GCCGCACAACCGAATCGCGATCCACAGAGCTGGAACTGGGCGGAGATGGTATTGAACAGAGTTGGGAACAATCATCCACCAGTACCACTCGCCCGAGTTCGCGACGACTTTTGAGTCTCGCCGGGTGTGTGGGTGCCGAGTTCCAAGTATCAACTTGGTCTCGAGTAGGTCCCGAGTATTCAAATTCAATACCTATTGGCCCTTGGGGAAGATGACTTCTACACTTTGAGAAACAACAAACGCTGCCAGCCTGCCGGAAGGCCGAACTTCGAAGCAGCATGCATTCCAGCATGTACATACTAAAGGAGTGGTCGACGACGTCTCAACGCTGAAGGGTCATCGCAGTACTGTCTACTGTCCGTGTTTGTCCACCGTCGGCCGTGAGCGGAGCCGTAAGGATACAACACGTCCATGACTCTGTGTTTGGGAAGTTGGAAAAATCGTGAGCTTGGAGCGAATGCTCTCGCGGACGTCGTGGCTGGTACATAGCCTGGCAATAGCTCCTGCGCGGTGGCAGTGGTAGGGACTACCCCGGCTATGGACCGTGCATGAAAAGTGGAGGGAGTGAGTGAATGATGATCTGGTAGGTATTTCCGTCACGAACGCTCCATCTACATGATACAAATCGGCAATCCACACTAGACCCCACGGAACTAGCGTGCTTGACCGTGCTATATACGCACGTGACAGTTTCCCCCAGCGCAAGTTTCCGCCGCCCTCGAAAGCGTTGCTCAACAATTGCAACAAGAAATGAAATGAAAATAAAAGAAAAGAAAAGTGAAGCTACGAGCCGGTGGCTTCGTCAACAAATCAAATACATAGTACAATCAACACTACAGCTTAACTACGTTCAACGACTGCGTCCTTCTCCTTCAATAGCTTGTCAGCCCTGTGCCGTGCACGCCTTTCCTCTAGACGGTGGGCTCGCCTTTCCAACCGAAGACGGGCTCGGTTAGCCGCTTTGTTGGCTTTGCTATCCCCTGTGCCCTGCGAGGGTTGGTGGGGTATGTTGGACTGACAGAGCTGGACTTGCAGAAGGGAGGGCGAGGGGTTGAGACTCGGTTCCTCTCGCAAGCTCCGCGAATGACAACGGTAGCTGAGGGTGAGGCTGGCTGTCCGGTTGGTCAAGTTGGCCAATGCTTGTGTAGTGAAGCTGGCCCGGGGTAGTGTGTTGGGAGGTGGAGAATTCCAAGTAGTCCCGTCGGGAGGCGTCCAAGGCGTTGCAAAGAAGACGACCGACTTGCAGGATAGCTTGGTCTCCCCCGTTGATCGATGACTTAGGGAGCTGCTGGGACGAGTTCGAAGCTATAAGGAGCCGCTAGTATGAGTACGAAGCTGTATGATGAGGGAGAAAAGGGCACCGCGTCTAGAGATGCGACTACGCAAGTGACGATTGGGATTGAGCTGGCTGGGTAACTTACGGTTCTGTTGAATGTCGCGAGGCGGATTCTTCTCCTACTTGGCGGGCATGGCCTGAGCTGGAGAGGAGGTAACGACGAGGTTACCAGCTGGTACCGAAGCACCGGGGGTGAGCTCGGCCATTTTTGAGGACTAATTGAATTGATTTGAGAAAAAGGGAAAGAAAGAAAAGCTATTTGTGGCCTTCAGGTGGAGAACCTCGAGTACGGTACCTCCGCGATGATGGATGGCGGACGAGGAGTAGAAGAAAAGAAAACAACCGGTCAACAAATAAAACAAGAGCTCCTCGAACGTTGAGACCACTGTATGCGGTCTAGCCCAGTCGGCGAAAATTGGCCGCTCGTATGGCTCCCGTGCCCGCTCTCAGCTCCCCCTGTACCTGTCATCAACTCCTCCTAAACCCGCTCTCAACTCGAACAATAGCACCCCTGTCCGTCTGCGATCACGCCCCCGACCGAGTTGGTCTCACCGAGTCCCGTACCAGTCACCACATCTTGGCACTCGGTCTCACTCAGGTCTGCAACTTCGGATACAAACGGCACTACCAAGCCGCCATTTGAGCTGAGTATCACAGTACGAAAGGCGGAAGTGACTCTTGTGTGGTTTGGTAAGGAAGCTCGACCGATGGTGGGGCAGAACCCGCTCGTTGTTGTTGCCAACTGTCATGGCTATGGACCGCGCGTGCACGAAAAACGAAGTGAGTGAGAGAATAATGATGATCTATTTGTGTCACAAGCGCTCCATCTAAGGTTGGTCTCGCTCCCGAAGCTTATAGATAGCTACGTCACGCTGCACTCCACGTGACTAGCTTGCTGATTCGTGATACGCACGTGACCGCGGCCGTCCGGCGCCGGTTCGCAGCTGCATCGGACAGCTTGGAAGCTGTGGAGCGATAAATATTTTCTTTCAAAATTGACCGAAATGACCGGTGGATGGTGGTAGACATATAGTACATACAATTGGCGGTATCGAGTCTGAGATTCCGTGAGATTCCTGGAAAGGAAGGAAGGTGATCTGGAAGTCTCGAGGGTGCCGAATAGGTAACTTGGTGGAATGCTCGGTGGTGAATACTATATCCAGTCGTTGGACATGTAGTTGAATAAGTACGGTCGGCTTGTCATGGAGCCGTGGTCTGCCAATCTTCGCCTTTCTTCGCTTTTCCTGCGGGGCTGTAGCCATTCAAGATTTGATGATTAATAATCAGCTATTCGTCGTCGCGGGCATAGATGGCAGGTAGATACGCTCCTCGTACCACTTTATAAGCATCGAATTGATGTATCCAGCACGGAAAAAACCCCGCGTGGTCTAGTCGTTTAGGCCACGCAATCAGCGAGGGGAGCTGACGGAAAGGTCCCAGTTCAACCTCGATAAAACGACCTGTCTATTCAGCTCTTGGGGTTTTCAAGCCACCCGCCGGGGGTGGTGACGGTTTTTGTTTTTGTCATTGTTTTTGGCAAGACAGGTGGAGCACAGTATATCACTCGGTATAAGGATGTCACGGGATGGAGTCCTCAGCCTTATGTACGATCTTCGACTCCGAGTCGCAACGTCGGGCCAGGTGCTGGGGAACAGTAAGATCTCGCTAGGCCGTACGCATGAAATAAGGTATTGGTACTCTGCTGGGGCGGGTATAGGGAAGTTGTCGGCGTGTGGAGTGGGAGGACACCGGGCGTGAGAATATATTACTCCGCGATATATCAGGCGCGGCGACTTGTGTCCGGATGGCAGGCCGTGGGAGCACGTGTGCAGCGAGCAGTGATTGCGAGCCTCGCTCGAGTATGAGCGGAATTTCTTGAGATGGCGGGATCCCGGGGACCTGTGCCGATGAGTGGTTACCACTGACGAGTACAGCGATCACCTCCCATCCATACAACTTCGATTCTGGACGAGCCGACTACAGCTATACAGCTACAACTATACATTGTAATCGATATATGGTCGATATACGCAATAAACAAGCTTATTTCGACCGGCAGAGGGAGGGCCAGGCGGGCCGCCGGAGGCCCGGGAAACAAACCGGCCGGCGGCCGATATTAACATATTAACGGAGAATCGCTGCGGAGGACGAGTAATCTGCTGTATACTTAAGTACACTACGCCGTACATAAAGCACAGCTAAATCCCTTCGGGTCCCCCAACGTTGGAGCTCTTTGAGAGTCACGAATCGGCATTGCACACCAACCAGAAACGTCAAACGAGACCAACGGACTTGGAAACACGGATATCACCAACGAACACGGATCTTCGAAGGGCCCGTTGAGTGAGCTGCAGAGCAGAGATACTAGCCGCCACGGAAATAGCGAGAAAGAGAAAGCCGCCTCCGACGATCGGGTCACCCCCTCAGTGCACGCCGACGGGATCACGCTCGATGATCGACAGCTCGTTCGCATCGATACAGCGCATGCACGCATGCACGAGTGCTCACGTTCCCTCCTCGAGAGTCGACCGACCCAAACCCGACGGACCTATGATAGAGTACCGCCGACCAGCGCCATCCCAGCACAGGATATCACTCGCCTCTCTCACCAACGGGCATATTATCCGGCCTCCCATGGCACGCCGGCGATCCGGTCTTTCCACGCCGCCCGATCCCTGCCCCCGCGGAGCTCAGGCCCGAGATCCCGTTGTCCCGAAATCTCGCCTGGCGCCGCGTATCAGAATGATTGGGGGGTTCTTACTACACCGTTCTATACCCACACGCTACCGCGGAATTTGTCCTCCAGCTGCCAGCCACTCTAGCGGTACTCTACCTGTCACGCCCGGGCTCGGAGTACTCTAAAGGATGCGGAGTCCGGATACGGTGGTGCAGGTGCAGTAGGTACGTAACTATGAGCGAGCGAGTGTTGAATGGCGGGTACGGACGGACGGACGGCATTACGAGGTGACGCATTACTATAAGTGCTGTACTATAGTTTCCACTCGGAATCGAGATGGAGGTAGCAGCAGAAAGATGTTCGTGCACGCTCGCCCGCGGGAGGGGGGAGAAAGCACAGGAGCAACAATTCTTCACGGCAGCTTGGAATCCTGGGATTCGCAGTCACTCGGATTTGAAGATGGGTGTTGCGCAGCGGCAGCAACAGTCCGAGCAAAGAGGGTCCGCCCGTCACCGGGAGTGCTAAGGCTAATGGTTCACCGAAGAAAAGTGGTACATACTACTGGCTGAACGAACGCCGAAGCCGGCGCGGACTTTGAGCAAGTGTTCGACATACCTAGTCCACCCGTCCTGAGCCTCGGACTTGACTGGACTGTATCTTGGCAGTCCGCCCGAAGGCGGTGCTCGGACAGACTAGTCCAAGATAAATCGAGGCCAGGACGGACTGCAGTCCGCACCCAGTCCACGAAATGCATGGACTAGACGAACTGCTTTTACGCAGTCCGTCCTAATGGCCGGACTGGACCGGATATTGGCAGTCTGTCCAGTCCGGACTACAGCACGGACCGGACTATGTCTCTGCTTTGAAAATGACGAGCTGGACTCAGAACCTCCTCGGAAGACTGCCGGAAGCCACTGTGCTATCCTTATCGCGGACGGAATAGGTTCAAATCACTGATTCACTGCAGCCATCCGAGTTTATAGGTAAGGAAGCAATATATAGATTATCGCCACACGATCAAACATTATTTACACAAAACAACAACCAACCATGCAAGTAATGCAACACACCGATCTATCCTCCCATCCAGCGGGCAAAGGAAACACGACCCCCCCTTTTCAACTCCTACCACAAGACTACCTCACGGACACTTAAAGAGTGTAGCAAGTGGTCCTCTGGACCTCGCACATGGAGAAGTCGACGGCACCTCCCTTGGCGCTCTGCTGGCTGCGGATGCACTCGTTGACGGCATCGAGACACTCGTTGACGGTCTGGGACGCGTTCTTGGCGGTGGTAGCGGCAGCGGCAGCAGTAGTGGTGCCACGGGTGAGGGTAAGAAGAGTGGTCGCCGCGGTGGTGGCAACGGGAGCCGCGGTCGCAGCGACGGTGGTGGCAGCGGTGATGGTGGGCTTGGCGATGGAAGTGGTCGCAGCGGTGGGGACAGCGGTGGTGGTGGGCACCTCAGCGTAGGCAGTGGTGGCGGGCTCCTCGACGACGGCGGTGGTGGTGGCCTCAACGGCAGCGGTGGTAGTGGGCTCCTCGACAACGGCAGCGGAGGTAGTCGGGACGACAGCAGCGCTGGTGGTGGAGCGCTCAGCGGCGGCAGAGGTGGTGATGGGATCAGCGACACTCGCGCCTCCGGTGTACACGGCCGGGCCGGGAATTGTGTAGGTGGTCAAGCCGTTGTAGATGTCGACCTCGATACCGGGGTCAGTGGCCGAGTACGCACCGGGGAAGTTGACGCCGGTCGGGGCAGCGGATCCACCACCAGTGATGACGAGGTTGGCACACATGGGGTAGAACTGGGCGCCGCCCACGGTTCCGGCGGAATGGAGAGCCAATATCTCGTGGCGGAGCATGTAGTTGCCCGCAGCGATGTCTGACGGAAGGGTCACAGTCCACTTGTTGCCAGCGGCGATGAGCGTGTCGGACGCCCAGGTGGTGCCGTCGTATCCGGCCTCGTCGATCTTAAAGAAATCGAGGGTGGTGGGATCAGCGGCAGAGCAGTCTCCATTGCAGTTCGCGAGGTAGGTCATCACGGGTCCCTTGTGGGAATCCGGCCACGTGGTCCAGGCGAACTCGACCTCGGCGCCGGCGGCGACGGTGGCGGAGATGGGCGCAGCGGTGGCGGCCTTGTTGCAGACGATGTCGCTGGAGCTGACATCCTCGACGGGGCCGTTACCGGCGGTGGGGAAAGACCAGACGATACGCTCGGGAGTGGGGGTTGTGTAAGGGTCCTGGTAAGGCAGGTAGCCGCTGTATACAGTGCCACCGATGGTAAGCTCGTTGACGATTCCGTGGGCGGCCGAGAGGGCAGCGGCGCCGAGGGCGGCGAGGATGATGGACTGCTGCATTTTTGGAAGGGAAGATTTAAAAGAAGGATTGACTGAAAGTGACAGTCTTCGGTGTGATCAACACGAGAGAATGATGGATATGCGGACGGAATGAATGTTACGAAGCTATCAAAGCTTGCAAAGGGAAAGAATGAAGGAAGATGGAAAGGACGAGTGATCGGTGGTGGTGAAGAAGGAAGGAACATCTCCAACCTCGAAGGTACCGAGTCGTACTTATACTGGTACTTCGTATTCTCCCCTTCTCTCCTATTACCTCTCCGTCATCATCACTTCTGCCTCTTAACCGGTGCGCAAGGCGAATAGATTGTAACTGAAGTCAGTGCACCGTCAAGACCGTCAGTGGTTTCATGTATTCTTCCGTCGCTTCCTGGAGCGGGCATCTACGCCCCCGGAGGGCACATGCCAGTGAACTGTCAGTGTCCATCTCTCTACCCGATGGGACTCTTTTCCCTTCCGCCGGGTTGATGTAAGCGGCATGGTCGTCTGTAGTAGATTGAGGAACACACGTCCCCCTACTTGGCAGCGATATTAACCGCCTGATATAATTCCCTGGTTTGAATTCCCTAGTTTGCCTTGTCAGATCACATATAACATCGAGCGCGCGCATACGGAGGGGAACTGTACGCCTCCTTCCCTCTCGATCGGTACGAATGTACATACACGGCCGCAACTTTAGTATGTAGAGTACGCAGGTACCCGCCCAGCCAACTCGGAGCTCCACAAGCGTCAAACATCATTTTTCCCGTATGCAACTCCAGCTGCTCTTTAGCCAGAATCAATCGCCTGCTTTCCATTTCCACCTCCCCTGGTTATGTACCCTCGCGACCCGCGGGCTTGCACGCCTGAATCCCAACCCGTTCCGAATTGATTGCCTAGCCGCGTGGTCGGACTCGGTACGTTCCGCATGGGGAGTGCTCGGGAGTCGGGATTACTTTGTTGCGGAAAGGGGCGGCCGGTGAGTCGCCAGTTGGGGTTCTTCCGGGATTGCAGGGGTGGGCATCGCGGCGGCGGGCTGCCAAGAGGTGAGGTCTGCTCAACGTGAAACGCGCTCGGTAGCGGAAGAGAGGGGCTCATGGGGTCGTAACTAGTGCGGCCGGGAGAAACGGAACTTGGGTAAATGCACGAACACTGGTGGCCGACGATGCCGATCGTGGGGGGTTCCGAGTCGCCGCTTTGGCTCGAGACTTGGGTCGGCCCGTTAGGTTGGCTTTCGATGGATTTCCCAGGTTCCGACCACGATCGCAGCTGGCCGACGCGCAACTAAGGCCCATACAGTCTTCGATTTCCAATTGAGAGCTGATGGAGGTAAGTCTGTAGTTGAGGTTGTTTTTCGCATGCGCGCTGGACAGTGTGGGAGAAAGGAAAGAAGAAGAAGAAGAAGCGGAGGCCGCGATGTGGAACCCGTCCGGCATTGAAAATGTAGGCTCACGAGCATGCGAAAATACCAGCAATATTAATGTCTGCTGGCAGGCCGCGATGCTCCGGGACATCAACTTTTGTCTCGTAAGCGCGCTTTGGCGATCCGGCGGCTACTTAGATCGACCGGTCAATCACACTTGACTAGAAATTGCCGACCAGCGACTAATTTGGTCCGCACCTAGACGACAGACATTTCCTTCAAGAAGTAGTACTAACTCGTCTCGGACACATGAAGGGAGGGTCAATCCAGCTACCGACGACATGTGTAGATGCTCTCAGTACCCCCCAAAATAATGACAAAGACCGACAATCCACACATGAACTTCAACCTTCACGTCGTCAAAGGCTCGAGAAACCAACTCCGACCGACCACCCCGACCGCCGTAACAGAGATCATGATGGTGTCCGTGAACCTAACGAGGAGCAGTACTCGGACCAGAATGCCTATCCGCGCATGCGGCATCTCCGGAAGGAATTTGTCCGATATCGCCGCTGTATAGATACCATCTCTGCCGTTGCTGCTTCGGTCCGCCAGAAGCATGCTCAGATTCCGACGTTGATGGGTACGGTTGCCGTAGTGGGTTGAATGACACGGGCAACAGCTGTAGGTAGGAAGGTGATGGGTATTCCGCAGGGTTGTTCGATACCCAGGTCTCTGCGGTCCGTGCAAGGTGGACGAGCCGTGCGTTACATAGTTATAGCCGTTCTCACACGTAATAATGTATCTAGTGGTGGCTTATCACTGCCCACTGAAGAGCCGTGGATGCCGTCGCTCGGCGTGCCATCAAACCGTCAACGCACCGAGAAGTGACCTATCCGAGAAGGGCGTAAGGTGATGGCCACCTCGGCCCGTACAGTGCAACCTCAACGAAGTGCCGCGCGAGGGTGACCGTCTCCATTAAGTATTGACGACGGCATCTAGGCAAACGTTGGTTTTGTGAGGGCTCTTTCGCCAATACCTCTCCAGGCGGGAAAGCGGCGGGTCAAGAGGAGGAGAACACACAAGGAGAAAGAGGAGGTAGCGGTTGATCGTCTATTGTGTAGATGATGAAGACAGAGAGAGAAGGCCTTTCACGTTCGCTCCCTCCCGGCTAGCTATCCTTCTCATGATCCACACTAACTACATTCGCTTCCTCTCGCCGCCGACAGCTCATCCGTCACTGCCTCCTCTCGTCGGCAGCTTTTCCATCACCCCGGCACAACGTCTCGCATCGCAGGTTGAGGGAAACTACACTCCAACCCTCCGACTACCGACTCTATTTCATCCGCACACCTCACCTGTTGCCGTTGGTATAAAATTTAAGAACACCATCACGTTTATCAGGAACACGAATGTGTCATCAATCTACACTACAGTCAATTCGTGATTCACACATTGTTTGTACCCTAGAGAGCCCGCCGCCCCATCTTCCAGTCTTGATCCGTCTGCATATCGGTTTACCTCCTGTGCAGGCGTGTCACGTGATACACCGAGTGATACGCCGAGTGATATCTCACTAGTGCTCCTTCCGTCACCCCCAAAACAAAAACCATCACCACCCCCGGCGGGTGGCTTGGAAACCCCAAGAGCTGAATAGAAAGGTCGTTTCACCGAGGTTGAACCGGGACCTTTGCGTCAGCTCCCCTCGCCGATTGCATGGCCTAGCTAGACCACTAGACCACACGGGAGTTTTTTCCGTGCTGGATACATGAATTCGATACCTATAAAGTGGTGGGTCTAACCCACGCGACGGACAAGCTCCGCCACGAAACTTTCTACGCTCGAATGAATGATAAGAACAGCGCAGTAACCACGGCTAGGCCAACGGGCTATTCGGCGTCACACAGCTGGTAAGTATCGTTGTCCTTTGCCGTCCTTGGATGTTTGGACGGCCTATGGTCTTCCTACAGCCGGTACGCTTTGCGCTCCCATTCCATCCTACAGTATCAGGCCTGGCGCGCCGCGGATACCATCTATTGAGCACGCCGGTCAGCCATATGAGCTCCTAAAAGCCATATATTATCAACTGCGAGTGATACCGTCACTCGACGTCGGGTTGCTACCCCCAGTTTTCCACGCTCGACACCAGTTACAAGGTAGGTATTCCTGGGTTACCAACTTGCTGATCCGTCACGGATGCCCGGCGCCAATCTAAGCCCGCCCACACACCGGGGCTTGAAAGGGGATCTGCTCGCCCACGTCTTCCTTTCACATGTGATGTATCATATGTACGAGCTATTCCGTATGCGCAGGTTTAGGGTTTTCAGTGACCGTTGTTGTAATATCTCACTCGTTGCTTAACAGCCGTTTACGCAGTCATGACGTCGGGAGCACTGGTCGCCTACCAACCTTCTTTTATGTATTCTCTCGAGGCTTCAGACTCTCACACTACAACAACAATATACTTGCTCACACATTCTAGCAACCGTCTGCTGTCATGTGCTCACGCGATGACCCATGAGTACTGGTAGATACATTGTAGGTGGGTACTGTGGGACACAGCTGAGACCGACGACTTGGCGGTCGGTTTCCATACCTGCGCTGTGGACCTGGGAGGGACCTACTGCAATAAGATGTCGTAAGTCGGTTGGGACCCGCTGCATTGCGTGTGCAACCATGTACAGAGGTCTTTTGATTTGAGCAGAGAGTAGGAATGGCTGATGCACGAGCGGCGAAATTTCGCCGACCTGGCTAGACCCGATGCAGTGGGTCCAAACGTTGAGAATGCTCTTGTATATATTGCCGGTGGGTTGCTTGTTTTCTCATTATTTCTTTTCATCGTTCTCATTAGTTTGCTTTTCGTTGTGGTTCGTCCTCAGGATCTCGCGATTCAACTCGCGACCTTCTTGGATCTCCTGAAGAACATAGGAGGCTCCTTTTCTCTACTTGTCGTCTTCTCTCTAGTGAAATACAATCGGTCCCCCATCTCTTACCGAAGTTGCCAAAGGGTCATCACGGCCCCAGTGGTGAAGACTTGCTTCCGCTGTTTTCCAGAATGCAATCTGTCGAGAGAAACTCACTAATACGTACATCTTCGGTGCTAAGTCTTCAAGGTCAGCACCAATCTCAATTGCTCGAAAAGAAGTAGGTTGTCCTCCATCAGCATTGAAACTCCCTACCGTATGTACCTCTCAAGATGCTACAAAGTCTGCGAGCATACACGCAAAACACTGTGAAAACCGATTCCTGAAGAGGAACTTACTTTCGCTGTTTTCGCTTCTCACCGTGTCGAGAGAAACTCGTTAACATATGCATCTTCACTTCAGCTTTGACGTCATCTCCAACATCGCTTCCTCGAACGTAAATTGTGCGTGTCCTTCCCCTATTCCTCCCCCCGACTTCGTAGGATGGCGATACACACACCCCTGTGGCGAAGTGATGGAGGAGCTCTCGGTGAAAGGAAGAAGTGAAGGAGTACTCCTGTCGGGGGGAGAAAACGAATGTGGTTAGTAGCGGCGGGCATCAACGTTGGCAGGCATGGCGGGGTCTTCTTCTTCTTCTCCTTTGTCTTCTTCTTTCTCCACCATCATCTACAGAATATATATACGATCAACCTCTATCTTCTCTTTCTTCTGTCTTCCGTATGTGCCCTCCTCTCGATCCCGCCTCCAGCCTGGAGGGGTGTTGGCAAAAGAGCCGTCTGCAAAACCGCCGCGATCCTCCAACCCGCCGAGATCAAAAAGTGCCCCCCACCCTCGAGCAGGCGAAAAACGGTGTTACGCTCCTGGCACTCACGGCACACACGTCGCCGCCGTATCTCCGACGAAGCAGCCTCACCCAGCGCGCGAAGCTCAATTCTCGATGCAGCCCCCGGTTTCACTTGCTACTTACCACTGTGCTAGGAACACCCATGAGCGTTGCCACAGCGGGACCAAGACTGGGGGGCGGACAGGACGGTGCATAAGTAGACGAACCGTCTGCCGCAGGCCCGCGGAATTCTTTCCCACAGTACTGGGATCTCGCTGATCGGATACTCGGATGCTCGGAGACCAGGGTGCAAGCGGGCGTGCGATCGCCCTTGGGGTAGGTATCGCAAGATTCTGCGGAGCTGCGGCGCTGACGCCTCAGCGGCCATACTGCCCTGCCCAGCGTGAACCCGGAGTCACCGCTCGGGATCGCGAATGCTTCGGAGTCCGGCCGGACACGGACACGTGCCGGCTACCCCATCTATTCGCAACGTGACGTCTGACACTGCCGCGCTGGACTTGAAGCTTTGCCCGAGAACCGACGGACTCGTTGGTCTGCCCACTGCCAGGTCGCAGCGGACATAAGGATATAGAGTACAGCTGTGGGCCCCAACCGGAGCGGGAGCTGGGGCTGGAGCTGGAGCTGGAGCTGGAGCTGGGAGGACCAAGGCAGGATGGCGGTCAGGATGGCGGTCCATGATTAAGTTACTCGGCGGCGGGAGGTGGGGGCGGTCCTTATCGTTGTTTTCGGCTCCGTGGCGGGCAATCGCGATGATCATCATCAGTGATCCCCAGTGATTCCTCCACCCTAGCCACTCATGGGACATCGGAACAAGTGACATTCACTGTTCGCGATTGCCAGATGACCGCTCCCCTTCAACGGACAAGTCAGAGCGTTTCGACTGACCGATCGACCGGCAGACCGGCAGACCGACCACCCGAGCGACCACCCGAGGGCCGAATTTCGAAATGCCGACGTTGGAAAGAAAAAGAAAACAAGGAGAAAAAAAAGAAGAAAAAAAAAGCAAAATCCGACCTGAAACGTTCCTCGCCGCCGTCACCACCGTACGATCATCACCACCGGTATGATCCTCTCCGGGCACCGCGAAGGAATGAAGGAAAGCTCGCGTATACTTTCTTCCTTCTTCCTTCCTTCCTTCCTTCGCGTTTCAAACTGATGACAGCCAACCAGCTACATACATACACACCTACATGCCTACATAGGAATGTACATACCCGTCCACCAGCCGAAAACTGCCGCGGAACATCGAGGTCCAAGATATGTATGTACGGCCCGAGTATTGTGTTGTGTACCGTCCGCCCCCAGCACCCCCAGCACACCCCCAGTCCTGTGATCTCCAGTGCAGACATGCTACAGCTCTGAAACGAGCTAGAAGGTCGAAGGTCGAATTCGAAGTTCGTTTTCGGAAGTACATTTCTAGAAGGATATTTTGAGCTTCTCCGTTAGGGGTGATCGATAACGGTTGCGTCTTTCGATTTAGACTGCGGACTGCGGACGCCGGACAGACAGAGGTGTGGCGAGTCACGATGGATGAATCTTTCTTATGGTTTCTGGCTTCTGCTTCTGCTTCTGCTTCCCCTTCTGCGTCCCCTTCCTCTTCTGCATGGTAGCAAAGTACCTACCGTATACCCAAGCAACTACCCAAGTACCCAAGTACCGGTATATACACACGAAGAAGGAAAAGAAAAGAAAAGAAAAGAAAAGCACAACCAGCCGCAGCGAATACCCAATGCGAATGTCATCACGACTCGCGGGTAATTGCAGCAACAGCAGCCGGCAGCGGGTTCCAGGATCATGGTTCATGTGCAGGTCTCTCCGGCCCGGCTTCGCGTCTGGCTGGTTGGCTGGTTGGTTGGTACGAGCGCTACTTATCTACAGTAAAGGTTCTAGAAGCTGGCCTCTCCATTCGTGACGAATTTGACGATGGGATGGGTGTGGACAAGCCAGGTGGGTATATGTACCTGCTTGGGTACATAAACACGCAAGCAAGTATATAGGCAGGTAAGTACTGGTACCGGTGGTGAGTATGCAGAGTGTTCTTCACGAAACTCCACCCCCCTTCATCCCCCCGAACGACTCCGGTATCGACCTCGACGCCCGGACGTCCCCATAATCTTCATCACCACCACCATGCTGTCACTCCAGTCTCCAATCGCCAGCCATGCCTGTCGTCTAAACGATCCCCCCACCAGCACCACCCACCACCACCAACTCGCGCTATAGAGCGGTACCGTAGTTACCGGCCTACCTAGAACACTCTAGCGCGATCTCCACGATTAGCCTCCTCTGGGGGGCGCGCTGCCTCGGCTCTGTGGAGATCCCTGAGTGCCCTGGGTGCACTGGGTGGGGAAGAAGGCAGTGGCAGGCACCAATCGGACAATGGACTTTGGACTTTGGAGAGTTGGGAATACTGGTGGATACTGGGCGCTGAACGCTGGACAGGACTCTGGATATGCACGGGAGAGATGCACGGGAGAGATGCACGAGAGAGAAGGCGATGCACACAGACTCACACACAGAGATTCACGGACTCAACAGTGCTTAGGGAAGGGGAAGGAGGAGGGAGATGGCATGTAGATACTGGTATGTACTGGTATACCGCACTCCAGAAAGGTATGGAGTAAGTAAAGATACTAGCAACATACTCGGGCAGATAATAGTGCACACACACACACGCCATAATCATTCCTCCGCATCATCTCGACTTCCAACTCCTGCTTCCTCTTCCCCCTCGCTGCAGCCCAAAGTTTGGTTGTCCAGTCTAAAACTCGCCTCCGATCGGATCCCCCCTTGCGCCCTCCAGGGCCTCCAGAGTCCACCTTAGTTAGCCCCGTCCCCACATCCTCCCGCCCACCCCAGACGAAAGCGCCCCCCAAAAAGACCGACTCAGCTTCTACTAGTAAATAGGGACCTGACCTGGTGTCTTTCGCTCCTACATACACACTCTACATACCATACCATACCGTCGCCCACACAGTGCACACACAGATAGATATACCTACCGTAGTTACGCACGCCCGCCCGCGCCCGCGCCGTATCCGAAAGGTCCGATCCACATCCACATCCACATCCTTCGCTCGCATCACATCGAACCGCGACCGCGACCGTAGCCAAACTCGCACTACACGAACCACCACCACCACCGCCGCTGCCGCCGCCGATACTCCCAACGGAGATCGCTCGTCACCCCTTATCTCCGGCACATCGCCCTTCCACCCCCGGATTGTCGGTCGGAGTCAACCCGCGATGCAGCACCTCGACGGCGGAGGAGGCGCAGGAGTGGGAGTAGGAGCAGGTGGAGGAATCGGAGGAGGAGCGGGAGGAATGGACGTGCGCGGGATGACATCGGACACCTCATCGACAACGACGACGACGGCGACGACGGCGACATCATATCTCCCCGCGACCGCCGGCAACATCGCGCGCAACAACGCCGTCACGTCGCCGCCGTTCCTGCACGTCATCACGACCGTTTCCGAGAGCGGCAGCCACGACTACGACGATGGAGACCACATGATGCACTCGCACGGCGGCGGAGGAGGCGGGGCAGGGGGAGGCGCGGGATCTAACAGTCCCACTGATGCGGTGCCGACGTTTCCGGGAGCGGCCGCGTCGAACGGCTCCGGCTCCGCGACAAGTGGAACCCCGAAACCGAAGAGGAAACGGAGCATGATCGCTTGCAAGAACTGTAATGAGCGCAGAGTCCGCTGCGATGGTGCGACCAATGGGTGCGTAGCGTGCTGTGATTTTTCTTCTTCAATTTTTCTTTTTTCGTTGCCGCCGGTCGATCGCTTTCGTCCAATGATTCGGATCGGAGGCCGATGGCGATGGTGGTGGTAGTGGTTGTGGTGGCGGTGGTTGGTGGTTGGTGGTTGGGGCGGGAGGGACCCCGGGGGAGAAGCGAGAGCGAGAGCTAATCGGCAGAAACGTGGGTTAGTCTTCCGTGTTCCAATTGCAAGCACGCAGGGAAATCCGATTGCCAGTTTATCGAGTCGAAGAGAGTGAGGTTCGTCGCGTGCACCCGTTGCTTCCCTTCCCATTCCCTGTTCGACGCTTACGATCCAACAGAGGCGCGAGAGGCCGCTTCGAGAGCCGCGATGGAGATTCTACTTCTCCCACCATCGGCTCGAAACGACTGATGACTCCGTCCGGCGGAGGTGGTGCGCCCCGGAGGAACACTACCCGACGCCATTCCATCAGCGGCACCGACGGCGAGGAATGGCGCAAGCTCCTCCAGAACTCTGCGTCCGTCCACCGTTCCACGACGGGACCGGTTACGTATCTCGGCGAATCGTGGCATCTCTCGTGGGTCGTGCAGGAGCAACTACCGATAGACGAGAAGCCGCTGCACATGCCCACGCTGATGATGGAGGACGACGGCGACGTGCACAACCGCGTCAACAAGGAGCTGTGGGAGAAGGGCGCTTACGTGCTCCCCCGCTACGAAGTGCGGGACCTGCTCATCAACCAGTACTTTGAAGTCTGCCATCCAAACTATCCGATCCTGTGCAAGAACACGTTCCTGCAGTCGCTGCAGATGAACACCTTTTCGCACCAGCTGGTGCAGGCCGTGCTCATGGTCGCCGCCACCCACTGCGACTGGGCCATCCTCCAGCGCGCGGGGTATGTGTCGAGGCGGGAGGCGATCGAGGGCTTCTATCGACGCACTAGACTGCTGTGGGATGGAGATGTTGAGCCGGACAAGATCACGAATATCCAGACCATGTTCCTGATGCAATTTTGGTGGCGCGCGGTGACGGACCACAAGGACCCGCTGTGGTGGTTGTCGGGAGCCATCAGGATGGCGCAGTCGATGGGACTTCACAGGTCTGCGGAACGGAGTCGGTTGAATAACCGTGATAAGAGGATATGGAGGAGACTATGGTGGTTGCTATTCGTATGTCCCTGTAGATTCTCTCGGCCGAAAGGCGGTGTGCTTATCGTTCCGTATCTGCGTGATAGCTTCGGGACCGGCAGGCATCCTCGCATTTCGGGAAACCGATGATGATCGACGAGAAGGACTGCGATGTCGAGCCTCTGGAGCTCGAGGATCTGGAGGGCGAGGTGGACAGAGTGCAAGCTCTGTGTCTGCTTGAGCAAGTCAAACTCGCCAAACTCGGTTCGCTCCCCCCCCCTTCCCGGTATTGACGCCCGGCAACTGACGGTTGCCCGCGCAGTAAGCGGCATCACATCCTGCGAGTTCTCGCCTGGCGCGGCCCGCGACCTGGTGGGACGCATGCAGCTACGCGAGAGCTGTCACCACCGCCTGAGCGAGTGGCAGCAGGGGCTCCCGCCGGAGCTCGTGTACCAGTCCAACAGCAAGAACCTGTGGGCCATGTGCTTGCAGATCACGTTCCTGTCGCAGCTGCTGCTGCTCAATCGGCCAGTCATCTACACCGACATCACGCTGCCGGATAAGATCCGGAAGCCGTCCGAGACGATCGCCGGAAACGCGGCGGACGCCATTACGAAGATATCGGACGACCTGGTCAAGATGTGGGGGGCGCGGTACATGTCGCAGCACAGGTAGATACACACATCCCTTGGTCCCTGTTCCGAGCGGCAGCTAACGCACAGCGCAGCATGTCCTGCCTCTTCGCCGCGATGACCGTGCAGATGATCAAGCGGCGGTCGCCCGACCCCAAGATCTCTCTCGACGCCGACCGCAAGCTGCGGCAGAACATGAAGAACCTGGTACAACTCGACAAGATCCTGCCGATGGCGGGCTGGATCCACCGCCGCTACTCGCGCATCCTCGAGCGCGAGGGCGAAGACGACGAGGCCCGCAACGTGTCTATCTCCCCGCCGAACCTGACCGGCGACGTCCTCGCCGCTGTGCCCATGCCTAACATTCTCGCGTCACAGAGAACACCCCCGATCCCACTGCCACTGCCCCTGCAGCAGATGGGAACTATAAAGGAGGAGGATCCGCTGAATGCTGCCGCTGCCGCGGCGAGGAATGGCGCCGGCGCGGACGATGAGTGGGGCGAGGACTGTGGGCCGATACTGAACCTGGAGCACTCCCTGACCGCGTCCAACGCCCAGCTGGAACATCACCTCGGCAACGGCAACGGCAATGGCAACAGGCAGAGTGAGTTCCAGCAGCACCTCCAGCAGCAGCAGCAACACACACAACAGCAGCAACACGAGCAGCAACAGCATCACCAACAACAACAACAGATACAGCAACACGAGCAGCAGCAGGTACAACAACAGCAACACGCACAACAGCAGCAGCAACAGATGATGCCCGAAGCTGCCGCGATGCAGCCGGAGATATTCGATTACCACTGGTTCATGGAGAATATCGGAGACATTGCGAATCCTTTCTGGTGGAATCAGCAGCAGGAGCAGCGGTAATGCAGGGGGTTGTGGGGGTTGTGTGTATTTTGTACTGTACTACTGTATGTTTATCTGTATGTTTATGATGGGCGGAGGGATGGAGCGGGTGTTGTGTTTTGATGTTTAGCTATGTTTATGCATTTGTGTTTATTTACGTGATGTTTATCTGTGTTTCCTGGCGTATACGTGTCTGTCCATCTACCTACTCTACCTACTATAGCTGCTGTACCTATTGCGATACCTACCTGTACCGTTCAACCGTTTCTTCATGTCGACATATATGATAGGTACGATATGTAGATGTTCGCCAATGATGCTGGTGACGCCCACAAGATAGCTACAGGATAGCTACAAGATGGTCACCGTATTGGCCGCGCTCCCGGCGCCGCCGTCGACGTTCACGGCATATTATTGCCACAAACCTCTGTTCGCCCAGAATCAACCTCCGCCGCCCTCGTCGCCACCCCCGCCCCGAGCATTCCGGCAGCCCCACACCCACGCGGCACCCACGCCGCCCTCAGGCTGCCCAGAGATGCACGGGTGATGGAATGAGGGGAAACTGGGATCGGATCGAGCCGGAGCGGAACTGCGAGAACAGCTGGGAGCTGGAAGAGCCGTGTCTCCGGTTGCACAAGTGTGTGTGTGTGTGTTACTCGCGTCCCGGCCGTCCATTAGTCCATCGTACTCATCCATTCGTGCGTCGTGCGCCTTGATTGCCGCTGTCTCGAGAGTCGATCGAGAGTCGAGACTGGGGCGACGGGGGGGTTACGAATCGAAAGTGGAAACCCCGCCGCTCTGCATAAAGAAGGACACACGACCGTATCACGTCCCCCACTATGTGCATTGTATGTGGCCTGCTCAGTGCTAAAGCCGAGGTTTTGTTGCTGCACGTCTAGTCTCCAGACTCCAGACTGCCTATATCCAGAACGGAGGAGATTGTAGTGTCAACACCGAACACTGAACAGTGCACTCAGCACTCAGCTATGCACGTCAGACGGACCAGCAGATCTGTGTGTGCGCACTGGGTGGGCACTGAGTACCTAGGTGGGTGGGTTCACGGCGTACACAGTACCGTATGTCGCGGGTGAACGACACGGCATAGCAGGACTTCATAGATAATAGGGCGGGAGTGGCGTATAAATCACATGCGACCAAGTTGCAAGTTCCGAGTTCCGTGCCGACATCTCCGAGTGGCCGAGTGGCCGACTGTTGCCAGTTGCCAAGATTCTCGGAGTTCGGAGGGTTTGAACACACAAATCAGAGAATATACAGAGTACGAGCTGGGAAAGGATGACAGCGATAGCTGCTGTCACAGGTAGCTTGGAGATGACCATAACGAGCCCCATCTACTCAGAACATCACATCTTTGAAACTGAATATCATGATGCATATATTGTCCAAACAAACTCCAAAACCGTCCCTTCGTGTCGTCGGTAATACCAATACCAACACCCATTCCAACACCCATATTCGTACTCATATTCATAAAGCCATAAAAAAACGCTGTAGCGTAGAAAGAATAAGGGAAAGATTGCCGTAACGTAAAAACTCGCTTCTCGTCCCTCGTCGTGGGGGTATCGTCGTAGGTATCGTCGTGGGTATCGTCGTGGGTATCGTCGTGGGTATCGTCGTGGGTATCGTCGCATTACTTCAGCCGCACAACTAACACCAGCAGCACCGAGTACGCCGCAACACTGATGCATGTGACGAGTGTGACGACCTATCTGGGCGGTTAGCACAGGCCACAACGCCCCCTCTCTCCCCACTCCCCACGGCCACTCTCCCCCCCATCGTAAAGCACAAGCAACACAGGCAGCACTTACATTCCCACTACTCCTCACCCTCCTCCCCTCACCCTGACTAAAGAACCTCTGATTCCCGCCCTTCCTCCTCAGCGCCGCGGCGGCCAGAATACAACACCCGAAAGTCGCAAACAGCGCGCCTATCGGATAGAACTCGTGCGTGAAGATCTTGAGCACGACAAGCGCAAAGCTGAACTGGCTCAGCGCTGTGCGTAAGTATGCGCCCTCAAATGTGCGCTGCTGCGCCCGCAGCTCGACGAGCTCGCTTTGTGTGAGATCGACGGATCGTGCCCGGTGGCCCCGGTAGCGGTAGCGGAGGGATGCGTTGGACTACATATCATGAAGGGTCAGTGGTGAGGGGGAGGAGGGGGAGGGGCGGGACGGACCTCGAACATGTTTTTGTTGTTGGTCGTTAGTGGCGGGTGGGCGGCGGGTGGTCGACCGTGGAGCTCGGGGTTGGAGCTCGGAATGGTGGAGCTCGGTGGTGATGAGACAGCTACATATGGTGAGGTGACTAGTACCGTGCGCGTGCGGCATGGCGTCACATGCCGTTGCTGTGGCGCGGCCGCAGCTGCAGCACCAGCCACACAGACAGCCACACAGCTACCAGCCACCGAGTGATATCACGTCACGTCTTGTAGTCGGCAGTCGGCGGGCCCTCGCTGTGAAGAGTGGAACAGTGAAACAGTGAAAGTCTAATAGGTACAATTTTAAATCTAAATAATGTATGCATACAAAAATATACGATCCCTCCAATGCTATATCCACGATGCAACTCCCATCCCTTCTCTTCCCCCCTCCCTTCCTCCTTCCAATTCTCCCTCCGTCTCCATCTACGAACGGCTAGCCTTCTAGTAGCAAGCAGCCCTCTGCGCCTCACAGCTCGAAAAGTCCACAGCGCCACCGCGCGCGCTCTGCGCATTGCGGATGCACTCGTTGACAGCGTCGAGGCACTGGTTGATGCTCTGCGAGGTCTTTGTCGCGCCTGCGGCGGGTGCGGTGGCCGGGGCGGTGGTCGACGTGCGGGTCTTGGTCATGAGCGTGCTAGGGGCCGCAGTAGTGTAAACGGGAGCCGCCTTGGAGGTCGTAGTGTACATGGGCTTGGTCACTGAGGTGGACGTGGGCTTGATGGTCGCGGCGGTGGTGGTGTACACCGGGACGGCGGCGGATTTGGTGGCGGTCTTGACGGGGACGGCGGTCGACTTGGTGCTCGTGGGCTTGACGGACACGGCGGTGGTGTACACGGGCACGGCGACGGAGGTCGAAGTGGAAGTGTAGATGGGTGTTGCTACCGCGGTGGTGGTAAGGACCTCGCTCGTGACCGGGACCTCGGTGGTGGCCGGGACCTCAGTGGTGGTGGGGTAAGCAGTCGTGGTGGGGACAGCAGTCGTGGTCGGCTCAACGACAACAGCGCTGCTGGACGGGGTGCTGCCGGATCCTCCAACCACAAAGTCGACACACCCCTCGTAGGTCTGGTCGACACCGGGGGGCGCGTACCAGAACCACTGGATGACACAGTCACCAGCGGTAGTGCAACCGTCGAGGTCGGCGGGCACAGTGATCTCAAAGCTAGTCTCGTCTGCGGTGACGCCGGTCGACGTGCTAGCGTACGACTCCCAGGTCTTCAGCGCAGTGCCGACGACGCTGTTGCTCTTCGTGTTGACGATGGAGACGTTTGCGTAGCCGGTGTGGGGCGCGCGGATGTCGACCTGCATCTGGATCGTCTCGCCGGGAGTGTATGTCTGCACGTTCGCCGTGTTGTCGTCGAACTGGTAGCCCTTGCATAACCACAGGTTGCAGGCGTCCAGGTCGGTGATCGAGCTGGCCGACTGCATCAGCAGCTGGATCGGCCCCGCCTGGTCAGCCTTCTGGTTGTTGTAGATGGTGTTGCCGCAGGCGGCTTCATATGCCGTTCCCGGCGTGCGCGGGGTCGGGCTGACGATCACACCGTGGGCCGAGACGGAGGAGAGGAGGCTGGCGAGGGCGAGGAGAATGGTGGGGGTGGTGAACTGCATTTTTGTAGTGGAAATTGGGGATTCGGTTTTGAAGTGATTGTGGGGTGAGCGCAGCTCGGTGTCAATTAATGATAATGAATGTGGAAAGAACGGCTGGCCGTTGAAGAAAGAGGGAAAGAGCGAGGAAGAAAGAGAGTGATCTGATGTACCGAGTGGATGAGGAGAGAGACTTCGAGATATCGGAGCACATGGCCATACTTATACGGCCGTCCAGCAACTCCCCACGACTGCTATTCGAAGACACAGGCCGTTCCTCTGGCCCTGGAGTTTCATCCGCACATGGACTCTCGCCTCACGGTCCGCCGCGTGTACGCAGTTTATCCAGACGAGTGACCGCCTTGAATTCGATTCCGCCGACCAGATCATCAGCACTACTGCTAGAAGGTAAAAGATAGATTGAATCCGAATGCGTGTATATTAAACCAACCCACTGAGTGCACCCCATGTGTATGTACCGCGCGCCATCACACCGTTGGTACCTGGGACCAAACTTGGTTTATTGGAAACGGGAGACGTTTGGAACTGCGGGCTAAGTGCGGGTAGGATTGCTTGTGACGGCCTGCAGTCCGTACCGGAACGCCACGCCCCCCTACGCCTGCGCTAATGGCGGCGGCATACCGGATCAATGGCAGCCGGGAGCAGAAGAACCCACATCCCCTCTCCAAATCTCCTAGACTGCGACGGGAGCTTCGATGCTGGAATGGTTGTAAATGCAGTCCCTTGTGGTCCACGGCCGTCTTGGGGATTGGATGTTCTGGAAACAGGCATGGTAGTCCAGTAGGAAGGGAGATGGTCCATTTCTCCTCATAGATAAGAAAACAGCCCAGGGGTTGATCACTGAGCTTCGAGAACAATAATGACACCGGCGGCCGGGAAAAGCAGCTGCAAATGCCTTTCCCGCCACCGCCCTGCTCTGTGGAAAGGAGAAAGACAATCCCAACAGGTCGGAGCCCGTGCGTACCGGGAAAAGGCAGAGAAATTAAAGGCTTCTGCATGCCATCGAGCCGACCAAGCGAGTAAAGTAGGTATAGCATCCAACCCCTACAGGCGGAAAAAGTGTAACCCCGACCCAGGTTCTTCGTTCGGGCGCCTCCCTAGACGCTTACTGGCGGGTGATGTCAACATGCAGCGGTTTCGCCAACAGAGTGGATTCGGTAATCATGCTTCCCCCTTTTGGTCGCACCTTATTCCTTCCCGCTGTCCCTTCGAACGTAGTTACTAGGAAGGCAGTGTTGACTTCGGGACCAATGCGCACTTGATGTAATTCTCCGAATGGTCCCCTGTCATTGCAGCGCCGCGGGTTGCGATGGGTGTCTTGGGTACCTGTCGTTCTGCGGTACTTTGGCCTGCATGGGCTTCGATAGCGCACTAGATACTCCGAATCTCGTCGGGAAACTCTATCAACCTTCGTTTCTGGAAGTCTTCCGAGTTCTTGGCCGTTGCGGGGGCTGATTACTCGGATTCAACTCTCGGGACCGAATCGTTTCCGCACGTCCGGATGTCTTTCCGGGTAGGTAGCCCTCCGTTGGCGAGTAAGACGGACGAGCCGGACTGAGTGATGCTTCAAGATATACCTTATATTAATCCGAGCCGAAAGCGGCCCGGATCTCAATCCGCCGAGTAAAAACGTCGGCCACGGCGAAGGTTTCCGTACGACTACTCTGGGGGTGAGAAGTCTGATGGAAGCGCCGGTAGAGAGATAACGTCGAGAAGCAGCTGTCCAAAGCCGTACAGGGTGTCGTGCAGGCGATGTGGGAGAGTACTGTCGTGTGAGTGTCTGCCTCCGCACCCAGTCAACGTCGTTCACGGCGAAGATTACATATCGGTCGCGGAAAATAAAGGGACAACAAACCACTTGTGTCGTTGCAGGGCCTTATCCGGTGAGACATGTAGGCGCTCGGATCGGTTGCGGGAAGGACACCATGCCGGTCGGGAGCGGACTCCTAGTGGCCGCCAACTCCGAGACAAAACCGGCTGTCGAGGTCAGATTCTCTCCATGGTTCCCATATTCGCCCGTGTATCTGCCCGTATTCTCCGTATCGTGTACCGAATATCCGGATTTGCTGAGGTCGATGTCGCGCTGTGGAAAGTTGTCGGCGCTCATTTCGGGATCCCTTCATCAACGGTACACCGATAGCGAGCGCCAGACGTCGTGGGGGTCGTGAGAGGGCCCGACCGTGATGAATGGCGAGGGCCTCCTCTTAAGCTGGTACAGCGCGGCACACTTTTCGAGCCAATTTCTTTCGCGGCCTCCGCAATGTCTTCCGTTAATATCGGCGTTCGGGATGTTTCCCGGGCATCCGACAGCCCGATCACTATCGGCGCCACAGAAGTGCCCGCCACACCCCCGCCACACCCATACGATGCAGTCTCCCGAAAGCTGGCTACGTAACTGCTAAACTAGGAATCGGAACAGAAGTGATACATGTAGAGTACGTGGTTTCGCTATCGAAGACTGGAACCTGCCAGTCGAGAGCGCTCAGTGACATTCTCACTCGTCATCGTGTGTCTTCGTTTGCAATGATTGCCACTCCCACACTCTTGCTCTGGGTATCACGCTTCACGCGAGCGATCGTTGCTTGATTGCAAACCCCCGATCTTACAGCCCAAGTACTTTCGTGCCCATCCGGATTGCGAGGGACATCGTTGATCTCCCCAAGTTGCGTTGTTTGCTACCAGTGAAATGTCATTGCCGGCCTGATCGCTCCATGGGTTGCGCATCGCAAGACTGTCCGGTAGGGTGGCTCTGCTGCACGCTGTTTGTGCCTCCTGTACAGAGGAGAGCGCTCACGATGCGTTCCTCTTCGCAGTGTCGGTGGCGATCGATGCACTCCGAGTTCGACTCGACGGCATGGTTCTCTGCGTAGAACCGAGTTCGCCTCCCCATTCTGCAGTCGATCGGGCCCCATCATGACGGGAGCTCACCATCGTAGTCGATACGAGCAGTGACATTGATGGGATGAATCACGATTGAGCGCATGTAGCAAACCACATTGGGAAAATCCACATCCATGCACTGTCACTCGTGCGCTTGGAACTCTCATGCACGGTATTGAGGTTGCACATGCGCTCGTATTGAGGGGACCTGGAGGGTCGATCAGGCCCGTGGCAACCAGTTGTCTTTTGAAGTGATCGTTGCCATCGTCGTCGAGCCGACCTGATGCGGTCGGCCCAACGTTCTGTTTTCGCCGCCCACCCTTATTTAAAGGGGGTCGTCGTCCTGTTTTCGTTCTCTTCTCTACATCTATCTCCTACTCACTTTTCTGTCGGTCGTCATTCTGCGATTGGGTTTGATCTTTTCTTATTTTCTGTGTCGCGATCTCTTCAATTGTCTCGAGTTTCCTGCTGATGGTGCGCTCTCTTACATCGACTCTTTTCTCTTTCTCAACCACCCTCTGTTTCGGGGCTTCTCGGTATACAACCACTGCTCGACCCTCCCTTCCTCCCTCCCCCCTCTGCTGGTTGCAAACTACACAGAAACTCGACAGTCTAACTATCCTCCGAATCCTCCGAATCCCAGCTTCAAGGTCGTTTTCCAGCTTCAATTCCTCGAACGTAAGTTATGCGTGTCCTTCTACTGTTCCTCCCCCCGACTTCTTAGGATGGTGACTATGGATTTCAGTTCGACGTCTGCTACTCACCTAGCATGACACTGTTGAAAAATCAATATCTGAAGAAGACCGACTTGCACTGATTTCCCTAAGGAAATCTGTCGAGAGAAACTCACTAATACGTGCATCTTCGGCGCCAGGTCTTCAAGGTCAGCACCAATCTCCATTGCTCGAAAAGAAGTAAGTTGTCCTCCATCAGCATTGAAGTTCCCCACCATACGTACCTCTAAAGATGCTCTCAAATAAAATGTTGTTTGGAAGTCATGTGAGCATACACGCCTGACACTGTGAAAAACTATTCCTGAAGAGGAACTTACTTCTACTGATTTCCTTTTCCATCTGGTCGAGAGAAACTCGTTAACAAATGCATCTTCAGTTCGTCTCCAACCTCCGAGTAACTCGTTTCCTCACGTAAGTTGTGCGTGTTCTTCTCCTGTTCCTTCCCCCGACTTTTTAGGATGGTGATACGCATGTCCCTGTGGCGGAGTGTGGATTTGGTATCGGTGAGAGGAGGAAGTGAAGGAGGACTCCGGTCGGCAGGAGAAAATGAATGTGGTTAGTAGTGCGTATCAACGTTGGCGGGCATGGCGGGGTCGACCAACTGGGTCTCGCGCGGTTTCTTGTTCTGATTCTTCGTTCTTGATCATCATCTACCAAATAGACGGCCAACCCCTCATCTCCAATCTCTCCTCTGTGTGCGCTCCCTTCCCCGTCCGAAGCCCTGTCGGCCTGGAGGGGCATTGGCAAAGAGCCCTCGCAAAACCCCCTCTGATGTCTACTACTCAAGTAGCTTGGCAGTGTCGAAAGAGCAAGATCCGAAGAGGACAACTGGCACGTACTATCTACTTGTTCGCACCATTCGGAGAGAAAGCTACCAATAATGTTCCAGCAAGCACCTTGCCCGATCGAACGGACCATGGACAGACAGCCATGCGTGGTATCTTTCGGTCTCATATTTGCCGGAACGTGCAGAGTTTCCGAAGGCTTTGCTCACTGGAGCCGCAGTGGCCAACGACTACCGAAGGCGAGCGAACAATTCCCGTTCGATGTGATTCAACGTACGAAATGATGACTTTGCGATTCTCGCTGCAGATCTCACGAGTCACGATTCCTGCTGCGTTGAAGGCCACTCGCGTCGGCTCGGCCCTCGGCCTCTGCGAAGGGCATCGCCTTGGATGTCGCAGCCGTCGCGGCGGTTGGGTGGGATGTGGAATGTGGGCGTCTGTGGATGTGAATTCACTCACTTAATCTCACTCGGCTTCGAGATAAGTTCCGAATATAATCTTGATTTTGGGCCGTAAACGGAATCGCAACTTGCGCATTACCCAATGGCAGTACGTGTGGATGAAGACTTGGATCGATATCCAATACCATTATATCAGTCATCTACTGACTTCCTTGCCAGCTACTTTGGTTTAATCCTAGATGTAGATACTGCTAGAGCTTCGGACACCGGTGGGATGAGAACGTAAAGGCGCCCAGATGCTTGGATCTTCGGTGGCCGATTTCTTCATTGAGACTGTATGTGACTGCAACACTCTACTAGTAGGATCATTTCTCTCTGGCTTCCTCCGTGCCAAACGCTTCTCTGGGCGAGCTGGAGTATGTAGGCCATGATCTACGAAAGTTCTGCATCTCCGTTCTCCGCCCCGTCCGACAACGAGAGTCGAGACCATCGCCATGTCCTGTTCCCCCACGGGTGCGATGCACCTCTTGAATCTTCTCGTAGTAATACTTCGGACGTTGACTAGGTAGCAAACATCCAGACAATCCCTCTCTCTCTCTCTCTCTCTGTCCCGCCTCGTATTCTCGTATTCTCGTAACAGGTGCAAGACACCCGGCCCGATCCATCATCCCGCGGAGTTTCGACCTAGTAGCAGAGCTGGTGGCGGCAATCGTGATCTCAAGGTGGGGGTTGGAAGTTAGAGCCGGTAATGCCGCTGCAGTGCGCGGCCAATAAGGAATGGCCATCCTCGCGCGGTGCTTTGGTCGGGCTGCAGCCACTGGTATGTGGATGGGTGTATTCACGACACGGTGCCGCCTGTAGGATGCTCTGCAGATGACTCGGAGAGAGATCACCACTACAGGTTGTACCTATGGGGGCCAGAACAAGCCAACCATAGAGTCTTGACTCGTCCTGTAGATCGTAACTCGGGAATCTCGGTCCCAAGACGCATCAGCAGCAGCAGGCGAAGACCTGAATGAGAATGGTGAAAACCTGGGGCTTTAGCACGAGCGCGGTTATCCAGCGTGCAGCGAATAGCGAATATTGCAGAGAGGGAATGAGTGGAAGCAGTCTCGGGGAGACTCGAGAGGGCAGTGTAGGAATAGGATCGTGTACGGCGGAGGTACCTATGAGCCCTTACAGACGGGGAAGGCGGTCGGCCATTGACATCGCCATCAGCGGGTGGTAGTGCTAAGTGGGTGTATAAGAGCCGAAAGGGGGATGGAGAACGGAGAGGAGAGGTCGCCGTTATGATAGGCGCTGGGATAGTGGGCGATCCGTTTCTTTTACTTGGAGTTCGCGCAAGCCGGCACGGCAGAGCTGCATGCTTCTAAGCCGGCTCGGTGCCACTTGAGTCGGCCGGGTAGGTCGGGCCAGATGGTGTATTCGGTGACAAGAGACTTGGAGCATTCAATCGATTCTGGTGTCTACTATCATAGGAGCCGGTAGTTAGCCCCCTCGACTACACAAGAGAAGGCTATGAAAACGTTGGATGTACGTTTCTCGATCGGGCCGTCGATCCATGGCGACATTGACCAATGCACTGGAAAGTGGACACCAGATGCTCTGTTCACATCGCAGCTTCGGCGTACTGCAGTGCAGTTTCCTAGATACATAGTCCGACGTATCCCCACCTCGGCACGGCGACATCGGCGTCCCCATTGCCGACCATAGATATCATGGCATATCTCCGTGCCGCATGGGTCGCGTGCGGGATTCCCACGTGCACCTACTATCGACTATCGCGGAAAGCCCATGGAACTCCCATGGACGACCCACGGGGCCACAGCTTCTTTCCACTCATAGGTGGAAAAGTTCCTTCTCGCTTTCACCGGCACCGTGGCACAAACAAGCCTTCGTGTCACCGCTGTGTGATGCACTGTACTTGGGCGTGCATAGGGCCCGAGTGCGGGGAATCAAGCTTCACATGCGTGCAGGAACGAGGGAGATCAGGGGCTGCGGATGGACTGTGCGTGCCGGCGGCACTGTCGGTGCGGCACTGGGGGAGAGTGAAAGTGGTATCGAATCTCGATTGACCAACGCCGCAGCCATAGCCGCCTCTATTGCGCGGCCAACACACGTGGAATGGCCGTGCAAGCATTCGATATATTCGCCACTATACACCCGACCTCGGAACTCTACCACCAGCAGAAATGGTTGCAGGCTTGCTAGAGATCCATGAGCCTTCGGCTCCGCGTTACAGCCAAGCCGTGTAGATTGGATATCGTTCTACGGGCCTATGGCTCCGCAGGATAACTTACCACTGCGCGGACTGGCTGTGTGTTCTTCGATTGTGGTCGGTATTCCTGTGCTGGGATCGATTGTCGTCTATCGACGAGAAGGATAAGAGAAGGGTATATAGCCTCCCCGCTGCCCGGGAGTTTTGTTTCCCAACCGGTAACAGCGTCTTTGCACAGTACCGGCCCTTTTCTTCTGTTTTATACACACTCGTTCCAGTTCCCAACATCGCAACGACAATGCTCGGCCAACTCATCATCCTTGTCACCGCCTTTGCGGCCACCGTCTCCGCGACGCCGCAGATGCCCGAGCTCCCCGAATGGTTAGTCCCTTTGCTTTACGAGACTCAACTCGACTGACTCGTCCAATATAGTGCAACCACCTGCGTGATCCCAGCGATCCTAGCGTCGGGCTGCGGCTTCAGCGGTGGTTAACCTGTTCCCCGATTCGCTTCCCGCTCGCACACACCTGACACATTATACCTGTAGACCCGGCCTGCCTCTGCATCGATGCAGGCCTGAAGCAGGCAACTACCACCTGCCTGCCCTCGACCTGCCCGGAATCCGATCTACCAACCATCTACGACTTCGTCAACAGCATATGCGAGGGCCAACCGGGATCCCCCATCGGCGGCGATGCCGCCACGTCCACGCCCCCGGCGACTAGCCGCAGCCCCACCTCCGCACCGCAGCCTCCCGTGCTCGCTCCTTCCCCACCAACACCACCACCCAAGCCCACCGCCGCCGCGCCTGTGCCCGAAAGCGGGATCACACGCACGCCGGTCGAAGAGCACGCCGGCCACCCAACCGTGAACCCGTTCCCGTCCCCGCCACCGGCGGTGGTGCCGTCAAAGCCCCCTCCCCCTGCCGCCGCCAGTCACAGTCCCAGCCCATACCCATCCTCGCCCGCGCCCCCGGCGACCCCATCGAAGCCCTCGACCACCACAGCGAGCGCCTACCCGCCCGCACCACCCACGTCCGGAAACTCTACGTACGTATCATAGTCCCGAATCCCAAGCCACATGTCCATGTCCATGTCCTCCTTCGACTCACTCGACTAACCAACGCTTCGATGTGCAGCACGACGAAGCTCTCGGCTCCCGTCGAGACGTATATAGGTGCTGCTGGCGCACTGGGAGTGCCCGCGGCGGTGGTGGTGGTGGTGTATGTACTGGCGGCTGTGGCGGTTGTGTTCTAGGCCGACAGTGCAACTCTGCGGATAGTTTCGGATTTTGGGGTGAATATAAAGTGGTTTAATGGTAGTTTGCCCGGTGCCAGAGTGCGTGCTGTGGTCAGAGGAAAAGAAACAAATGGATTCGCATTCGACACCTGAGCTCCGTTCTGCTCGCTTTACGCTGTGATGCTTCAGCGTACATAACTTGGGCGTTGCTCGAGCGTGTTCACCTCACCCACTAGAGTTAACCCGAGAGCACCCCTGGGGAAGCTGGTTCCAGTATCTACGATCAGCTCCGAACACCACTACGAGTTTGTTTCGTCGCTGCTGGGTGAATACTGTATGTAGTTTGTGCGGGTATAATGGCGGCGCTGAGAAATTCCGGTTGGATAGACAGGACGTAGTTGACATTGTAATACGTATTTGGGCATGTTTCGACCGAGCTCCCTCCTGCCCTCTTGCCCCCTTGCCCTCCACACTCCCACACCTACTCCGCCTCCGGTTTCCTACCATAAACATGCCACCTGTCCAGCACAGTCCCATTAGCAACCCATCACACCCATCACACCCATCACACCCATCACACCGCATCACAACCCATCTAGGTGGGGCCGTTCTATTCCACTTACATAACCTGATAAGCATGGACCTTCCTCCCCTCCACATCCTTATGGGCAGCCTTACACAGCTCGAGGACCTCCTCAGAGGTCATTCCGAGATACCTCGTCATCGGCGCCATCGCGTAGGCCTCCAGGCCCGTAGCACTATTCAGCGCCACGATGAACCCCGCCCGCTTCATTTCCGCGTTCTTGGGCCAGCCGCCCCAGGGCATTTTGAAGGGTTTCGTCTGTCTCTGTCAGCAGTCGTAAAGGGACGGGGAAGTGAGGGGGTAAGTACAACGACGTCGACGAACCCCGCCGCCTCGACCATGGACTTCAGCAGCGAGCCTGTGGGCTGGATCAGGTCCACGCCTACGCCTGAGATCGCCTCCACGAAGTTGGCGAAGTAACGCTCCAGTGCGGACCCTGCGAATGTGCCGTCGTCTGAGTGTAATGCCGTCTCGACTTCGGCTAGTTCGATAAAGCCACCGGGTTTCGTGTGGCTGGGGGGGAGGGGGGTTAGCGGGGAGGGAGGGGGGAGGGAGCGAGGGAGGGGGGCAGCGACGAACCGGTACATCTGCCGTAGGTATTTGGGCCAGTCACGGATACTCTGTGCGATGTTGCGCGAGTGGACGAAGTCGAAGCGGTCCTGTTCGAGGAGTCAGCCAGTCCGCGGTCACTGCCGGTGGTCGGAGTGGGGGCATGGCTGCGGTGGTGTGTATGCAGGTAGTACATACCTCTTGGAACGTCCAATCCCTTTCGAGATCGTCGACCTCGAAGCGGACATTTGGCACGACCCAGTTCGGCTGGATGGGGCTCAGATCGACGCCGATGACCTCGGCGGACGGGAACATCTCGCCGACATCCAGCGCCCAGATGCCGGTGCCGGTGCCGCAGTCGAGGATGTGCTGCGGCTTGTTGGCGATCGGGGCGACGAACAGCGCGCCGCGCAACGTGAGCAGTTGCAGGTGGTGGTACATATCTAGGCTGTTTTTTCACGGGACGTTTAGCTGGGGGGAAGGGCCATGACGGCAATTGGAGTAACGCACCGGTCTTGCTCCTTCTCGTCGTTCGGAAGCAGGTACTTGCCCTCCTGCAGCCGGTGGTAGCGCCGCCCATTCTCGTAGACGTAGTCGACTATCGATGAAGTTATGCTCTGCGTCGAACTCTCCCTACGCACGGTGGGTCTCAGTCGGCGCACGTAGCGTTACAGCCGTCGCCCGTAGATAGGGATGTATGTAGGTACATACAGGCTGGTGGAGTATTCCAAAGAAGTTTCTAAGTCGACTTCCAGCTACAATCCGTGAGCCCATTGAACGCCAGCGGGGGGGCAAGGAGAACTTACGGAGGGCTGATCGATCACTGCCGCTGCTGCTGGTGCTGCCATGTTTCCTGCGTGTTTCACGGTGGGTGTCCGACTGTAGTCTGTCGGGCTGGCGGGGGAGGGATCGTATGTAGTTCGTTCGGCTTCCGGGGATACCGACGGCGACATGTGGGACGCAGTCAAAGCGTCAAAGCACACGGCGGCAACATCGTATTTATAGGGGAGGGGGGCATAGTTGGTCCCTGACTCTCGCGCAACGTTGTGGGCATCCACACTCGCACCTGCCTAACGGACAGGCGAGAACAGTGGGAGACCCGCGACAGGCAGGTGGGCAGGTACGCCGAAAGTACTTACATGTACACACCGCTTACCTACTCCGGCCAATACTGACGGTATGTATTCTACTCTACTTTGTCCCGGTCCGCTACCACTACTCTATATGTAGCAGCCCCCAGCTTGGCTCACTCGCGTGCTGCGGCAGTGCCCAGTGCCGGCTTCCGCTCCTCACCTGTTCCCAGGCTGGCGGCTAATGTGCGCGATTGCGATTGCGACTGCCGACACGAGCGACCGCCGACATCTGCAGTCATAGTGGAGTAGAGTTGGCGGGAGACGGGCTCAGGCTTAGGCTTCAGCTGTTATTGCTATCTTCAAGTGGCCGAGCAGTCGCGCTCGTTGCGCGCGCAAAGTCCGGCTTGCGAGTAGGTATGTAAACGTGGCTCTGCGAACCATTAATTACCGCGGCAGCTGAGTACTGAAGTATGTATTGTACCTGGTAATTCTTCCGCTCGCATTGATGTGCTCGCAGTGGCAGGCATAATACATGCACTCGGGTGTAAGGGTAAGTGGTGCCTCACTTTGCACTTATAATCCGTAATGGTGGTGAGGCACAACCTATCGACTGTTCCCGGTACCTCTTCTACACCTAATCTATCCTCTATCACTCTTCCGGCGGGGGGCCAGGCTTTCCATAACCACAGCCGATCACTCGTTGATTTCCGATCACTTGATGATTCGATTCGGACCATTCGTTCATTTGATCACCGCAGTCAGCGATGCCCCACGTTGGTTGCTAAGACGAGAGAGGGTCGCATCCAAGACTGAACTGAAGATAATCGAGGTTGAACGTTGTCCAGTGCCACCGTGTAGCTCGTAACCGACGTATGGTATTGCCACCAATCATTGCACCAATCCGGGTCCGATTTACCATCGCACCGCCACCGGCAGGACCTGTCACCTGTGCTATCCATTCCTATATTTCTTGGTGTCACAAGTCATGACTGCCTGCTATAAGCCAGCTCTCGACCGCCTCCACTGGCCTTTCCTATATTAATCCGCCCCGGCGGCCACTAATGCGAGTGACTCGCGGTGCGGCACGTTGCATTACTGGCATATAGTAGATCCCAGGTCCTCATTGGCACCTGAAAATATAGTAGGTACTGCATCTTGCCTTCCTAGTGCCGGCCTCATTTTCCATCTCCTGCTTCGGATCTCACTCGGTGCGTATTTTCGACAACTGTAGTTATTGGGTTGCATGCGACCCTTGGTGTCGCTATGCCGCCGGCGCCAACTGCCCAGGCCGCTTGTATCGTCCTCGATGGGCCCCAAGCATCTGAGCTGCAAACGTAGAATTGCAGTGTGATCGCTACGATCTCAGAATAGCAGCCATCACGCCTCAAACCGTGGATCACGTCGTACCTAATGCGCAGCCCTAGGAGTCGGCTTCCGTCGGCGCCAGAGTCGTGTGGATACGTGCGCTCTCCTAACTACCGCTGGACCGTGGTGCCCTTTGCCGATTCGCTTTAGGCTTTAGATCAGAGACCTGACCTATCCATGATCGTTACCGGCACCCGTATTGGTCGGAGAACCGGGACTCGTCCAGTGTCTCGGCCACAAGCGGCACATAATCAACGTCGAACAAGCCGCGTCATCCATGATGTTCATGTGCGTGCTCACTCGCGCGAGGCGGACGAACTTCGAAGCATGTAAGGTGGGGGGTTGCATCGGTGTTGAGTTTCACGGAGTCGGCGTGAAGGATTCGATTTTTGTATTACTTTTCCAACAGAGAGGGCGCCGGCGATCTATATATTGTATAGGTACTCTCTACCTCCATGAACGATCCACGTATGATACATACCAATAGTGCTGGTTTTAAGGGTGGGCTTCGGAACTACTTCCAACAACCGGGGATGGATATACCACCCGAGAGGGCTGACGAGCGGAGAGGGCTGGGCGGAGAGCGATATGGAACCGGTATATATCGAGCTCGCGGCCAGAGGTCGGTGACAGCTGGGTGGAAAAGGAAATGTAATCTGCCATGATCTACTAAGCTCGAATGCAATGATGATTAAACCAAAAAAGGATGCCCCACTCGATGCGCAGGGAGATCATGTTGTGCCTGGCGAGACGTTCGTTCGGCATATATCCGTATCGTATCGGCTACCTGAGGCGTGGCCTACGATGCCAAGTGGCGGCTGGCCGACGACTGCAGGCTGCGGGGTCAGGGTCAGGGTCAGGGGTGTCTCTCCGCCTCGCCTTCCCGCAGCAAGTTCCACAGCGTATCGACGTTCTAATGCGTTGACGATGATTGGGCGCCTTAACCACTCGCCGATCGCAATCGCCCCGTCCGGCGCACTATGATGCCCAGTCCGTATGTCATCACCCTGTCGCCGCATGCAAGCCCCGCAGCTGATGATCACGAGAAGTGCGGGGTACGTCGTGCAGGCTGCCGCCGTTGCTGGCCGATAAATAGACGGTTCTCCCCGCGCGCTGCAAGAGACATCCATCCATCGATAACCTGCCCCCGCAAACCCATCCATCAATCCGAAAACCCATCACCGCAATGACCGAATTCACCAAAGTCATGTCCGTCCCCATCCTCCCGGGCCTCAAGGGCACCGGCGAGCACGACCACTGCCCCGCAAGTGCCAACCACGGACTCCCGGGAGCATGGTGGGGCATCCACGTCGAGGACCCGACCAAGAGCACCATGTTCGTCAGTACGTACCCCTCCTTCCGCTCACCCCCCCACCCCCGCCAACATGCATCCCAGACTACGAGACACCGGATGCGTACGCCGCGTTCCAGCGCTCCGCCACGTGCTGCCCGGAGCTGCAGAAGGCGGTCTCAGTCCCGCACGAGGCAACGTTCGACGCGATCCTCTCTCCGCCGGCGGGCAAGGTCCTGGGCGCAGCGCCGATCATCGAGGTGGCGAAGTTGCAGCTGAAGGCGGGCGTGACTCGCGAGGCGTGGCTGGCACAGATGGTGCTCATGCAGAAGCTGCTGGATGCGATTGACGCATGCAAGGGCTATGCGGCTGGGTTCGTGGAGGGGAACGATGACTACCTCATTCTCGTGGGATGGGACACTGTTGAGTCGCACACCGAGTGGATGAAAGGGGAGAAGGCGACCCCTGGTTCGCCGGTTCATGACTTTGGAGCTATGATTGAAACCTCCGAGATGCATCATATCGCGATCAGAGAGGTCATGCCCGGTGCGAGCAGGCACTAGGTGTGAGGATGGCAACGTGGGGGGGAAGGATAACGGATTATGATACCAATCGATACCTCTCGTCTTGATGATTTTCTCCGCGTGAACTGGTGATCGGAACATGGAGGGTACTAGAAGTGATGGCTGATGGTTTTAAATCTCGGTAAAGGAAGTTAGATGAAGACACGTTATGGGATGTACTTGCGTGCCAACATGTTGGAGGGCCCAAGTCCCCCATTCCGTGAGATTAGCCCGCGGCCGAAACCTCCCATCCCGTACAGTCATCCCCGGGGCAAAAAAAGAACGAAAAAACGCCTCCGTCCAGGCAGCGTGATGAAAGGAACAGCTTTATTTCGAGATCGGTTGGTGCGTGCCCGCCGGGGTGCTGTAGATATTCGGCAACTACTCCAGCCACAGCCACACACATTCTGTGATGTTCTTTGTGAAGACGGGAGTGAACGGCGCACGCCGTCCGACCAAAAAGTTTTGATTATCTATAGTTCCCACGGTCTACCATTATGCCTTACAATATCCTCGGGCAACACATCAGCCAGTGGCTCTACCACCTTATGTACCAACCCCATCCAATTGTCCACGGTCTCCCGACGTTCTGCTTCCACAACATGGTTTGCTTCCATCATGTCATGGACGGCGTGAAGCTGTTGAGTAAGACGTTCCCTCAGTTGGCGTAACCGAAGAGAGCTTCTGGCTCTGACGCTTTCCACCTCTGGTCGTTCCTCCGACTCCACTGGTGGCAGCGCATGTCCCATCGTCTCGTAAACTTCAAACCCTCGGTCCGCAAACAAAGCGACATACGTCTGCCACCGGTCCTTAGTGAGAACCTTCGTTCTCGAATCCAGGTGAAATATGTGGCGGCAAGGAAGCAAATATTGCCGGGAAAACCTATTACAGTTAATTTCATATCAACTTCATTCCTGTAGTGTTGACCTACTTGCAATGACACGTTAAATCTTGGTCAAAAACAGGAGCCTCCTTCCCCTGGACAATTCTATCCATGACGCCATCAACCTCCGGGCGCAGTAACTTTTGCACCGGGCGTGGAAATAACCCGACTTCTGGATACTCGCAGTTGCCGATGAAGTAACCATTGACACGGAAGTCATTCAGGGCTTTCTGTGCGGTCGAATCTCGGCATTCTGCTTGTTGCATGATGTCGAGAATCATGTCCTTGATGCCTAGATTTAAAAATTGTTAGAATAATGTAACAAGTCAAGTTTAGAAGAAAAATTACCATGAATGGTTGCGTCGACGTTTCCTAGTCCAGCACGAGCTTCCAGTTCACGATGCCAAGTATCCACACCGTTTGTTGACATGATCTGCTGAAGAAGAGGACTATGAGAGCGCGCATACATGGCCCATTTCCGGGTGGTATCCAGCCAAGACGTGCGAATGATATTCTTGGTTACCTCGTCCTGTGCCAGGTAGATGGCTTCTCGGCACAGGTCAAGACACCGGTTACGCGTCAACGCGTACAGCGCTTTTCGTAAAGCATTGAGAATTTGCTTGTCAGCTGCGGACTTGAATCGTGTGTCAAGAGTACGCATCGTGTGGACGGAGCAGAGGAGGTGCTCGACGGCCTGTTCTCCTCCTTCGGGCCCGGGAAACGCACGTCGAACAGCGAGCTGCTCAACAGCACTATCTTCGCCAGTAAGAACATAGCGAGGTTCCCACCCACACCATTTCTTGAAAGTCTTCATGGCAAGAGCGAGAATCTCGGGATTTTCTCCCTCCACCACACAATGAGTACCGGGAATCCATATTCCTTGCTCGTTGCGAACCAGAAAGGAGAACACATTGTGGCCCCACGTAGTAGTCTTGTTGGTGGAATCGAATTGCGTAAAATAGCCCCGTCTTTTGAGGGCCTGAATACGCGTCGGATGCGCAAAGCAGAGTCCCCAACGAGGCGCACCCTCCGCATCCAACACAGTAAACTCCTCATGTAACCATCCTTTCTCCCCGAGAAAACTGATGGCATCATCAATCTCCTGCCGCAAGGTAGTAGCCCGATTCAAAGGTATACGATCATCCACTCGGTGGACGCGTCGTGCCACTGCGTTTTGTACGTGTTTTCTAATCAAATCAATTAGTATATTAACCAAAATACTCGCTAAAGTTTTTCATGTTCTTACCGGGTCATGTGCGCTCCACCGATCGCGATAAGGCGTTCGGAGCCCTGGGGTGTGCCGACTCCTTTCAACGTGTTCATCACTTGTGCGGGCTGGTAACCCTTCAACGCTTCCGCTGCCGCCACTTGAATCGCGAGCACCGACGGTGCAATCTCCCTACTTCTAGCCAGATCGTGCAGGTGTTCTTCCGCATCCAAGCGTTCGACCGTGACAGTGATTGGCATTTCGATGGTACGCGTGACTTTGATCCGGACCTGGCAAAGCCCCGGCTGTCGCACTGTAGTTCCGTATCGCTTCTTCACTGACCCCGGATCCTTCGGTGGAGGAGGTTTACCGCCCTTCTTACTCTTCCGCAATCGGCACTCGTATCGCTGTACCGTGACTTCGCCGTTCCTCTGGATTTTGCTACCATTGAGCTTCGTGTACACCGTACTCACGAGTGGCCAGTACGTGTCGAATTCTTCGCCGGTCAGAACAACAGGCGCGGTGAGATGGAACAATCTATCGCACCAAAACTCGGCGTTCTGGGGAATGGGAATCAGAGTTGAAGTCATGATGGTAAAGTAGAAGCAATAAGGTAGATGATCTCGTGTTTGTAGTAGGCAGGTAGCAATGGGGATGAAGGAAGTACGAGGATCTGGTGGTACTTTACCGCGTGCCGTGGGCGTTCACTTCTATTTTCCACAACCAACACAGCAGCCAGCAAGGCACGAGATCGGGCGCTGCGTGCCTGCAGGGATGCTGTATTCGGCAACCACTCCAGCCACGGCCACAGCCACACGTATTCTGGTGCACAGACTCCAGAGCCCAATCTACGGATGCCGGCGGTGATGTGACGGTTACGTCGTGTCACGTCTCATCACGTGAACTGACGGAGATGCAAAATTCATGACGGAGTTCAATCACCCTCAAGCAACTCAAATCGCTCGGCTGCTATGTAGTCCTCCTACTCATCTGGTGACTACGGGGGAGAGCCTCGTTTGTCATCTGTGACCAACCGCACATATCATGCAGAATGCGCGGAGTTGGGTCAACTTTCAAGAGGAACGAAGAGCGACTATTAAAATCCGTATTCCCCGAAGATGTTTTCCGCTCCACCTATCCCGGCTGAAAGGGGAGCAGCGCCTACTTTGGGAGAAGAAGCCAAGAATGGCACCGAGGGAAGGGGAAATGATACTGTTGAGCTTAGGCCTGGGAAATATAGTCCGTCCGGACGGAAGACTATTGGGGCCCCGCAGCGCCGTCCCGTCTGGGGCGAGGATTTGGCCAAACGAGTCGGGCTCCGTCCCAGGTCCAAAACGCCCGGGGCCCGAATGGAGCCTCGTGGGGCCCGGACATTTTTAGTGCGGAAGCGGCCGGCATCCTCAATCCCAGCACCATGGCGCGGCTCGCCGAGATGGACTTCGGCGAGCACACCACGCTCGTCGAGGGTGTGCGCTTCTAACTCCTGCCGGGAGGGACGACGCGCGCCCCGCGCGGCGTGGTGTCCTTGAAGATTACCGTGCCCGCTGGCGTTGAGGGCGGCCAGTGGCCCGAGGAGATGGACTTAGTGGAGATGATGGGGGGGAGGAGGCGCGGGAGGAGGTGCACCAAAAGTAGGCGCAGCACCAGGCGGAGGTGCGGGACGAGGAGGAGGAGGAGCAGCTAGAGCAGCAGCTGAAGAACGAAGAGAAGCAGCAGGAGGCGGAATCGGAGGAACCGGAGGAAGAGGAGGAACTGGAGGAAGCGGAGGAACAGGCAGGCAACACCAGCCGCCGAGGTTGTGTGGTGTGATAGAAAATGTTTAAGCAGTAACCACCGTCTAAACGGGTTTACTTTGGTAAATGCCCCAACAGTGGTTACTTTCTTTTCCATCTTCTTTCATTTTTTCTTCTCGCGCCGCATCCGAAACGGCTGCATGATAGAAAGCACGAGTGAGCAATGATGCACGGCTGCGTCTGCGATCCGGCCGGAACTTCAAAAAGTGACTGTTGATCTTCAATTGGACCCACCGACGTATCACGCATTCAACTTTAAAACTTCACTGATTCGCCTTGAATCCTCCTCGTCTCCCCACCCAACCCCCCCACGCGCCTCATAAATAACCCTCCCACCTCCGTCCTGCCATCCTACTTCATCTCTCACCGCATATCTACTATCTGCACACGCCCAGGACGGTACGCACAAACGCACAAACGAACGAAACAAAGACATCGATCAATAAACGAACGAAGACATCCATTCACAAATCCCGCAGCGCAATCATCGAAGCACCTTAAACAACCACACCAAGTTTCAACAAATATGTCTGGAAATCCCGTCAACTGCAAGATCTGCTTCAGCCCGATGCCTTCCACGACGGGCCCCACGCTGCAGCCCTGCGGCCACAAGGGCATCCACGACGTCTGCTGGGCCAAGAAGACGCGCGACGGCACCGAGAAGACGCCACTGTGCCCGGTCTGCGGCAAAGAGGTGGAGTGGGTCGTGAGAGCCAATATCCAGGTCGTCGTGGGTAGTGATGATTACCTGTAGAGTGTCAGGGGGGGGGATTTGGCTTGTACTATATGGAGTTTCGCTTTAGATACTTGGGGGCATACGCTGCCTGCGAAGCTGCGCTTGGATAGCTGAATATCAAATCATCGTTCTGAAACTTCACACACGTAGTTAACGGTTGCGAGTGATCTCCTATGCATCATCCATTTGAACCCGACGTGAAGAATTTGCCGGAATACTATCAGCAGTGCTGTGCTCCAAATGGATCGAGTATGTACCTACATATACGGCTTCCAGAGAATATGTAATCACTAAGCTGCAATAAATCGTCGACGAGGCTGTAGCCTGCCATGTCAGGTACTTCCCCACCTGCTAGGCATACTAACGGCAGCAGCTGATGGTACATGCGATACACGCGCAGAAGCCCCCACGCAGTTGAAGGTGGCAATGATGATGCAACAAAAAAAAGAACTGGACCGTGGCTCGAACCAAAAACCTTCACCACCCCCGGTAGGTGGCCTGGAAACCCCGATAGCTGGACATCGGGGTGTCCAGCTAACTCCGCCGGGTGCGTGACCACTCGGCCACGCGGGGTTTTTTCCGTACAAGAAGTTTGAACTCAAAGCCTATAAACTGGTGGGTACCCCGTGATCTACAATAACAACAACGAAGTTACGCCCGCAAAATTGGAGCGTCTAGATGATTGTGCCATCTCACGCCGCGGTATCAGCCATCACAACACCGTCAACAGCTCATCGCATCCACTCCACAGTACCGAGCTCATGGAATCACGCTCGCCATCCATCGCGAACAAATCCACCACAAGCCAAATCCAAATCTGCGGCAAGGCGAGGTTATGTGCGTTCAACGGCGATCGCCGATAAGGGTGGGAGAAACGAAAAGAGAAATCGTTTCTTTGAGCTGCACCCAGACCACGCTAGCCCATGGACAATACCCATATCCTCACATTCAGACGTTTCGAGAAGCTACCGGTCCGCGCATCCATATGATCATGTGGGTTTAGATGAAGGCCCGGCCGCAGACCGTGCTGCCATCAGCAACACCTTGTGGCCCGTGCATGCTGTAAGCCATGATCCTTCATCTCCTGCCCCAACGTCCGTTCCCTGTCCGCAATTGAGTTCTACGGGCATTCACTCAATCCATCGTGGAAGTGGGTACTAACTATGCTCACGCGATGCGATCATGGCTATCACTCGCACTTATCCCCCGGGTCCCGGTGGGATGGCTTGGAAACCCCGATAGGTAGCTGGACCGGTGCCGCTGTCCGGCTAACTCCGCTGGGTGCGTGGCCACGCGGCCACGCGGGTTTTTTCCGTGCTGGCGATATGAACTCGAAAGTTATAAACTGGTGGCAGTGGGTACCCCGTGATGGACAAGATGGATAATAACAACGACGATGGCACGCCTGCGGCCCGCCAGATCGTCGGCTGGCATGACAGCAATACACAAAGGATAAAGCAGCAAATCCAAGCTCTTCACAAAAAATTCCATCCTGATTCCCGCACCCAGATAGAAAGACAAACAAGCAAAACATCGCGCATCGCATTTCCGCCGCCACGTCTTTGCCCACTTCACGCCTTTCTTTACCCCACCTTCCTACCTACTGTATAGTGAAGGGGGGGGTAAAAATACGCTTTTTGGCGTATCGGTACGGTCAAATAGCGTATAAATACGGTCAAAATACGTATTTTCACCGTATCGATACGCTTTTTTCTGTATCGGTACGGTCACAAAGCGTATTTTTTTACCCTCCCCTTCACTATACAGTAAGTATGTACCTACCCCCAACCAATCAATCAACCAACCAACCAGCCTACGCCCTCTGCAGCCCCCCAGCCCACTCAGCCCAGTCCAAGCACTTCGCCGTCCTCGGCGCCACATCGCTAACGTCAGCCACGAGCCTTGTGAACCTTGGTAGTACCGTCCGCATCTGCGTCGTACGTGCGGGGATCACTTTGCGGCGCCACCGGGTGCCCGCGTCCTGCACAATCCATAGGAAGCGGAAGTCCGTACGGTCGCAGTGCAGGTGGGCGGTCCACGCTTTCCAGTTGCGGAGGAATGTGTGCTCGGCGGCGGCGGGGGTGGTGGTGGGGGTGGTGGGGGTGAGGGTGAGGTGGAGGCCTACGACTACGGCTTTGCTGCTGGTGCTGGTGCTGGTGCTGGTGCTGGTGCTGGTGCTGCGGGCTCAAGCTCGGTACACCAGGATTCCAGCCACGGCGGAGGCGCGGGAGGTGGTGGTTGAGGGGATGTACAGGATCCAGCCGTCGAAATCATCTCGCAGCGGCGGGGGAACGTCTCCTGAGAACACGCGATGACTCCCCGCCTTGTTCGCGAACTCGGCCAGCGGCAGGGCAGCCTTCGTGCAGGATCGTCCGGAGCACGAGGTACTCGACGCAGAAGCCCATGGCGGCTGTGTTGTCGCCGCTGAGGCGTAAGCTAGCCTCCCACTGTGGGTCGTCGACGTCGCGGATGTCGATAACGCCCATAGCTAGAAGCAGCCCTTTCGCTACGTGCCGTGCGAAGCCGCGGGTGGCATGGCCGATGCCGGATCGGTCGACGAAGAAGTAACGCCAGTCTAGCCGCTTGGAGCCCGTGGTGGACACTTCGCGGTTCAGCAGACATGCGAGCACCACCGACGTGCAACTACACCGCGAATAAGTCAGTGATTGGTGTGTTTACGCACGGCACTCATGCTCGGCGAGAACAACTCACGCCTTCATCTTCTCGCTAGACAACCGTTTCGCATTACTCTCCCAGAACTCAGCGATGCTCGCGATCAACGTGCGCACTTCAGCGGACCTGCAAGCACCGTCGTAAAGCTGGTCTATTACTCAATCCACAACAACCTTTCGCCACGTGCACTGGCTGGGGTCTGTCACAGCAGCCGTAGCAATTCCAGGCTCCAGCTCTTAGCCCTAGGGTACAAGGAATGAGTGAATCACTCATTGACTGCACCCGAAATGTCGCAGAATGAGGTGCTCCTCATTTGGTGACAGAGACGCACCGTGCTAGATGCATTATTGCTAGTAAATGCAGCAAACTCGCTCGTGCCGATTGCAGTGATGTTAGTAAATGCGAATCTCATAGTTAATACGTCGATGGTGGTGGTGATGAATGCGCCATTGTCATGGAATGCGTTGTGGTATGTATAAGAGTACTACCTAGTCGGCGAGAGGAAACCGATGTAGTTAGTGTGGATGGTTAGGGCAGCTAGCAACGGGGAGGCAGCGAGGAGGCAGCGAACTTGAAGGCTGTCCGAGAGGCCTCATCTCTCTCTCATATCATCTTCATCGTCGTCTACAGGATATACGCCTCCCCTCCCTCTCTCTCTCATCATCATCTACAGAATAGACGATCAACCCCTACCTCCTCTCTCTCCCGTCATCACCATCCTCTACAGGATAGAAGATCAACCGCTACTGACGTCTGCCACCACCATGAGAGGGGCATCTGTTTGTACGATGGGTAGATGGAGGTTATGATAAGATAGGAGGAGGAAAAGCTCGTGGGATCGGTGGGATCGGTGGGATCGGTGGGATCGGTGGGATCGGTGGGATCGGTGGGATCGGTGGGATCGGTGGGATCGGTGGGATCAGTGGATCCGAATGGTGGTGTCAGCCGGACTAGCCGTATCGAGTGACACCGAACGTTGTAGGCAGCGGAGGAGAGCCATAAGATAGCTCCTCAAAGTTGAACCTACGTCATCCTTCTCTCTTCATCATCTAAGGAATAGACGATCAACCTCCACCTCCCCCCTCCCCCTCCCCGCCTCTCTCTCTCGAGCTCTATCTCTCTCTCTCTCGAGCTCTATCCCTCTCTCATCGTCATCTACAGAATAGACGTCTCCTCTCTCTCTCTCTCTCTTCATCAACCTCTTCCCCCTCTCTCCCTCTATTGTATCTACTGTAATGAGAGCACTATATCCACGGCGAGGACAGTCTTGCGAGGGCTCTTTGCCAATGCCTCTCCGGCCTACCCCGCCATGCCCGCCCCCCCCGCCATACCCACCAATGTTGATGCCTACTAATAACCATATTCCTTTTCTCCCGCCGACACCTCCTCCTTCACTTCCACATCTCGCCAACAGCTCCTTCTCTACTTCCCCCACTTCCTCTACCCGCTGACAGCTCCTTCTCCACTTCCTCATCTCGCTGACAGCTTCTCCATCACTGCCTCCTCTCTCTGACAGTTCCTTTATCACTGTGTCTTCCTCTTGCTCCCCCTATCGCTTCCTCCTGTCATCGATAGCTGCTTCTCCACGTCCCCCACTTCCTCCTAACCAACAGCCCCCACCCACACAGACAACTGATCCACTACTTCCACAACAGTGTGGTATTCGCTACAAGACTGGGTTGATGTTGTAGGACTGCATAGGAGGACGAGGCGAGAACAGCGAGGCCAGCGTGGTATCCGCAGTGAGATGACAGTGATATCCGCGGCGAGACTGAGCTGACTATTCTACGGCCGCATAAGAAGACATTGCGAGGACATCGCCGAGAGAGGGTGGTATCCGCGGTGATGAAGATCTGGTATCTGCGGCGGAGAGACTGTGGGAAGACCGAGGGCTGACCGCCAGCGCAGGACAGCGGGGAAAGCGGGGAGGAGAGGGTCTATCTGTGGTCGGTGAGGGCGGTACGCTGCGGCGCAACGTGAGGACTGCATAGGAGAACAAGGCGTATAGTACCACATGTGAATGTAACGCATTTTATAACACTGCAAATTACCCAAAATATCGCATTTTGCAACAATACCATCTCAAAACCCAGCGCATTCTGCGTCTTGTCGCATTCATCATTATGCTGCATTGAGTGACATCTCCGTTAATGCGACATCTTGGACCTCATTCCATTCACTAATTGAGTGAACTCATTTTAGGATGGTGTTTCTTGCGACCTCATTGACCATAAAATGCTGGTTTCCCTCATTACTTGCACCCTAGGGTAGGAGCTATGATGGACCCGCCATGTACAGTGCGCAGCCGGAACGAGCGCCAAGTGTTCGAAATAAACTTGTCGAGTGACCACTGACCATAGGTATCGCCGGTCAGTGACTTTTGTGGTATGATCATGTTTCTACGGAAATCTACTGTATCGGACCCTGTGAGGAGGAAAGATAACAGATCTCATGTTACTGGTGATCTCGCGCGCCACCATGCTTGGCCCGAGTGATCGAATAGGTACCTAGATTGCCCTCGTTCGTGGCCTTGGGGTATTTATATTCGCCGCAGCCTGCAGGATTTGTTCGCGATGGACGGCGAGCGTATTCCATGAGCTCAGACTATGTAGTGGGTGCTATGAGGTGTTAACGGTATTTTGATGTGACTCGGAGCGTCTCGCAGGCGATACCGCAGGTCCGCAGTGTGAGATGAGCGAATCATCCAGACGCTCCGATTTCGCGGGCGTGACGTCGTCGTTGTTATTGCCCATCTTGTCGATCACGGGGTACCCACCAGTTTATAACTTTCGAGTTCATATCCCCAGCACGGAGAAACCCCCCGCGTGGCCGGGTGGTCACGCACCCGGCGGAATTGGCTGGACACCAGCACCGGTCCGGCTATCTATCGGGGTTTCCAAGCCATCCCACCGGGCCCCGGCCGGCCCTGGCGGGGGTGGTGAAGGTTTTTGGTTTGAGCCACGGGTGAGGTGTTTTGGTTTTGTTTAAGCATCACTGAATTCGACGTTAGTTGCCAGTGGATCATGGCAGATTACATTATTACATATGCGTCTCCACCCGGCCGGCTGTCACCGCACAGACCGCTAGCTACGAGCACGATTCCAGCTCCCTATCGCTCTCCGGTCAGTCCTCCCTACCAGTCAACCGTAAATGTACATACTCGACCCATTCGGAGCACATCACTGCTTACAGTATTGCGGCAAACTCTTCACGTCGGGTTCAAATGGATGATGCATAGGATATCACTCGCCACCGTCTCGCTTCTGTTGCAGAACGATGATATCAATTCAGGTACCCAACCGCTGCTTCGAATTTAGCATATACCCCCCAATTATGTAGAACAAAACCCCCTAGGCTGCGCCAATTTTCCCGCCGACACGCCACAGGCTACAGGTAATCATCACTCCCCACGACGCCCCGGATATTGGCTCTCACGACCCACTCCACCTCTTTGCCGCAGACCGGGCACAATGGCGTCTTCTCGGTGCCGTCGCGCGTCTTCTTGGCCCAGCAGACGTCGTGGATGCCCTTGTGGCCGCAGGGCTGCAGCGTGGGACCCGTCGTGGAAGGCATCGGTCTGAAGCAGATCTTGCAGTTGACGGGATGGCCGGACATGTTTGTTGGAACTTGGTGTTTAAGGTGCTGAGATGATTGCTGTAAGGGATCGATGGTTGGTTGGCTTCGTCCGTTTGTGCGTTTGTGCATATCGTCCTGAGCGTGTGTAGATAGTAGATATGCGGTGAGATATAAGGTAGGATGGCAGGACGGAGGTGGGAGGGTTATTTATGAGGCACGCTGGGGGGAGGGGTGGGGCGAGGAGGATTCAAGGAGTATCAGTGAAGCTGAACAGTTGAATGCCTGATACGTCGGTGGGTCCAATTGAAGATCAACAGTCACCCGCTTGAAGTTCCAGCCGGATCGCAGAAGCAGCCGTGCATCATCGCTCACTCGGGTCACAAATCGATCTGGTTGTGCCGATGCAGCTACTACCCATTGCATAGATAGGTCGCACTCAATCAATGAATGAAGAAAAGAAAATACTACCCACTGCATATGATGGGCTGGAACAGCAACGTGAGACTAATCCGTCCAGGCCGAAAATCAGGGAAGCCGTGTGTGTAGAAGGGACTGTAGAGAAATTTTATTGCACTACCCCGTTTAAACATCCTGAAGCCTATGTAGATACATTGTGAATATCGGCTGATGGGTGCACGTACATAAGGCCCGGCGCTCAGCTGCATACTAACATGACCAATCCAATATAATCCGCCTAACGGGCAAGGCTCCGTGCTACAGACTCTGTCGTCCGACCTGCCTCCTCGATGATGCTCGGCTGTATCCGCTTTCTCGCCCTGAAGGGTGGCTCTCACGCTCTCCCGAGTCCCAGTCGATTGCCGAGATACCTAAGTATCACTCGCCGCGTGATATCGCGTGGCCAGCCCGGGCCCTGTTCGTGTTCGGAGTCCGGATTGGGTTAATAAACTGCAGATATATATATCTCTCGCTTTTGTTCGGATTGGATTGGGTGCTGAGACCAACCGTTCCCAACCACGAAACCAAGAACTCTCCGTCTTGATCCGGTGTCCCCCCCGCCTCGTGGCCCATCCAGTCTCGAGTTTCCACAATTCTCGGAGCTTCAGTAACTCCAACACGTTACGCCTCCCTCATCGCCACACACGTGACACACCTTTCGTTTTCCACATCAGCCTTGGTAGACCTATTAGGCTATGCGAAGTGGGGATGTATGTAGCGAGAGATGTGTTTAGCAACGGGGGTGTAGTGTAGAATCATGGCATCAGTTGGATGATTATTCGCTAAGTGATGTTGCTGGGGTGGTGATGAATCATGATGTTCTTGGTGGGTGCTCGTGGGCTAGGGTTCCTTTTTACTTTTGTTTAATCATTGATTGCATGCGACCTATCTAGATCATGGGAAATATCCCCTCGTCCTTACCTCAACAGGTGGAGAGAGAGAGAGAGCTTCAGTTTATTTCGCATGCAGCCTAACATCTCCACGGGTGGCAGCGCAAATCGCGTCACGTGATAGCCAGTACCGAGTGATATCCTGTGCTCCACCCGTGATGCTAAAACAAAAACAAAAACCATCACCACCCCCGGCGGGTGGTTTGGAAACCCCAAGAGCTGAATACATAAGGCATTCACCCGGTTTTGAACCGGGGACTTTTCCTCGGCTCCCCTCGTCGATTGCGTGGCCCTAGACTACTGGACCACGCGGGGTTTTTTCCGTAGCAGAGACAGGAATTTGAAAATTATGAAGTGGTGGATGCCCCGCGACAGAAAGAATAACAACGACGATGAAGGAACACCCGCCAGGCTGGAGAATATTGTGTTTCCCCGCTACCCCCCGGGCCCCACAACTGAGCGTCTAGATGATCCTTCCATCTCACGCTGCGATACCTATATGATATGATAAGGTCAAATGCTATGATGATTAAACAAAACAAAAAGCTGCGATATATGTCACCTGCTTCGACGCTCCGAGACACTGGCCTCTGAAAAGGGGATGTGCTCTCGAAGAAGCGGAGTACGTACTTTCGATACCTAGGCCGACCCGAGAATACCTAACACACTGCAGGAATTGCACCGGACACTGTACTTTGTTCTTCACCCGCCCTCTTCCTCTGCGCGGTGTGTTCATCACTTCTCGGTGCCAAGGGCCCAGGCGGAGGGCGCCGCGGGAGACGTACGGGCTTAAGTCCACACCGAGCCTGCTGCCTGGAGTCTGGACTGTAGACAGTAGCTTCGGAGAAAGGTCGCGCAGCCGAGCCAGGGTGGAGAGTCAAAAGCCTCGGTATTTAGAGAGAGAGAGAGAGAGAGATCTTCCTGTTTTATTTTGCATGCAGCCTATCTAGACTATGGCGAACCGACGAACTTCTTTCCCTACCCTCCGCCCCCGGCCTGTCCCAGAAATGTAGATATACTGTAAAGACTGAAATGGGCCTGCATGTCCACCTCTTCCCCACCTCTCCTCTCTCCCCTACGGGCTGACTCGCCCACTCTTCCCACCTGCCTTCCGTCCCTTCTATTGAAGGTTTTCCGAATCCTTTATATGAGTCTGGCGTGCCTTTTGCGGCCTGGAGTCCCTGTTCCCGCCAATGAAGACGGTTAGCCAGACCCCGCCCCTGCCGCTAACTTTATCAGCCCTCGCTGGGACGCTTCCCTCTCTTCCAAGTCCCGTCCCTCTTTTCTCCGCTTTCCTTTTCCGCTTCCTCTCAAACAAATGGCCACACGTTTCTGTGATTGGGGAGAAGATCTCTTGGCGCGAGTGATCCAGAGTGAGGCGTCGGTAGGTACCACCGTCGGTCCGCAGGGAGCAGACAATGATGGCGATTTGCAGCAGCCTCGGTTTCAGGCCTCTGGAGTTTTTTTTAGAAACAACTCGAAAAATAAAAGACAGATTCACCTGATGCCTGCACAGGCACATCCTCGGAATGAGTGATTTTCGGGCGACCCGCGGCTCGTATCCCATCTGCCCGCTTCGGTCACGGGTAGCCACTCTCGGCAAGCCGCAGTTACGCCCATACGCACACGCACCAACCCGAGTGGGCAGAAACAACATAATATGTACTAAGAAAACCAAGAAAGGTCAGATCCAGTTAAAAGACCTCCGTCTCCGCCCCCACCGTCCCCTCCAGCTATCCATCCACCGTACGTGCAATGTTTGACTGGAAGATCATCATCACTGCTGTTGTGCTCTACAACGTCCTCGTCGCCATCCGTCGGATATGGTTCCACCCGCTCGCTCGAGTTCCCGGGCCAAAGATTGCCGCCGCGACGTATCTCTACCATGCGTACTGGAAGGTCTGGCGAGATGGAAGGTTCCTGTCGCAGCTCCCTGAGATGCACAAGAAATAAGGTATGCCGCCGTGTTCTGTTTGTTACCGATGTGGACGGCTAAGTCACGTGGTTTGAAGGTCCGGTGATGAGGATAAGTCCCACCGAGGTGCAGATCAACGAGCCGGAACTGTACCATATGTATGTGTTGCGTGAACCCTCTTCCGCAATGGTGGGCGGGGCTGACCGCCGACAATGCACAGCGTCAACCGTCTTCGTTCGCCCTACAGGAAAGATCCGGTAGTGTATTCGTGTCTCGGGCTCCCGCACGCTACCGCCTTCGTCATCGACCATGAACGTCAGAAGCGTGGCCGGGAGATGTTGCACCCGATGTTTCCGAAGCGGGCAATCAACGATGCGACGGGTCTCATAAATTCCATGGTGGAGAAGCTCTGTGTGCTGATGGAGAGGTTCGCGGACGAAAAGAAACCCGTGCCGATTGCAAATGCATTCTGCTGCGTGGTGAACATCATCTCGGCGTACTCGTTCGGCAAGCCTTGGGGAATGCTGGATGAGCCGGGCTTCGACAGTCCCTGGGTCGAAAGCGTGCTTTCCATCACCGACGGCTTTGCTCTCGGCGTGCATTTCCCGCCCGTCCAAGCTGCAGTAAAGCTTATGGCGAGGATCATGCCGAACGTCATGCCGTTTGCATATTCGCGAATGATGCAGGCGTGTATCTTCCCTTCCACCCATCATTCTTCCAGCTGACCCCGCCCATCCAGACCTGCGAGCAACTAGTCCGTAGCGCGCTTTCCGCCGACGCCGCGCGCCAATCCGCCGGGCTCGCACCTCCCGAAACGCCCCGAACCGTCTACGACGCACTATTGCACTCCCCCAAGGGCCACGTCCGGCCCCCCTACGAAACCCTGGTCAACTAATCCGCCTCCCTGATGAGCGCCGGCACCGACACGGGCGCGCACCTGCTGCAGTACAGCACGTGGAACTTCCTGACCAAGTCTGCCGCCGTCCGAGCACGGATCCTATCCGAGCTCTCCACCGTCGTGCGCGACGAGAACGGCCGACTGCCGATGAACCAGCTGGAGGCGCTGCCGTATCTCAACGGGTTCATACGGGAAACGCTGCGGATGAATACTTCGGCGCCTACGCGGCTCCCGCGTGTCGTGCCACGCGAGGGATTGATGTGTCTGGAGTCTAGGGTGTTTCTGCCGGCCGGCACGGTCGTGGCGTTCTCGATCGATATGTTGCATAAGGATCCCAGGTGCTTTGAGGATCCGCTGGAGTTCAGGCCCGAAAGGTGGATGGGCGAGTGCGGGAAGGAGCTCGATACCTGGTTGCTTTCGTTCGGGAAGGGGGATAGCCAATGCGTGGGGATCAAGTGAGTGTCCACCGCCGCCGCCGCGAGAGCCACACACACACATACATACCTACTCACTGCGCGTGACTGCACCGTCTACATAGCTTGGCATAGACAGAGGGGCTGCTCGTGCTAGGGAACCTCTGGACCCGGTTCGATCTGGAGCTTTTCGAGACGACCGAAGACGACATGGCGTGGTGAGTCCCACTCCGCTACATAGTTACCCGATCCGGCTGCGGAATTTTAACGCCTTCGCTCAAGGGTCGATCATGGGGTAGCACGGCTCAAGGGACGGATGCAGGTGCTGGCGAAGAGGAAGTCCGAGTGATACGGTGTGCGATCCGGGAATGTCTTGTTTATGCTTTGTGAATGCTTTGGCTACGTTCTAGAATGCTGATATGCACTCTGCCTTGAAGGGCGTCGGCTGAGTAAGGGGCCAGTGGGGTGATTTCTAGTTGGGTGTCCCGTTGCCGTGCACAACTCCAAGTCGGTGGCTTTCCGCCTTTTGGTCGTAGTTGATGTGAGGTTCAAGGCCACGACGGCTGTTGCGCATAAGCATCAATGCCTATAGCTCCCGGAGTGAAGCTTATCCCTTTCCGGTGTGTGCTGTGCCTTCGCACGTTGGAGTTGCTTTGTTTTGTAGCCGTTTATCTGAGATACCTCAACTCGTGGCTTGTAGACCGACAACTTGCATGCATCGGTCGCTTTGCGTCCCCACTCCTGTCACGACCGACGCCGAGCGGCATGGGGGCAGTTCTGGTGACGCGGAATGCAGTTTCGGATTTCAAGGGCGAATTAACTTTGGGCTGCCCCAAATTCTTGCCATTGAGCTGTTGCCTGAGCTTCCGCGTGCCGAGCTGCGTTCCCATAGTCTGCGTTCCTTCCATTCCTTTGCTCCCTCATTTCTGACTGTGGTGGCGGCTGACACTGCTCTATTGATTACACACAGATCGCTGTTGGAGACTGTGGTTCGTCGCTCAACCATGTGATGGTCATTTGAAGGTCAGAGACCGATATCGCAATTCAATGCATCACGGCTCACACACAGCACGGCTTGGAGCGAGGGGAGGGCGCTACATAAAAGCACCCCGTCCGCCCTCTTCGTATCCATCCCACCATCATCTACACGATAACTCACTCCCTCACCGACCAATCAACCGAAACCATCATCACACATTCACGACTCCGTCTCTCCCACGACGCACACACAATCCCACGACCCCATCCCACCACGACTTCACAAAACACAATGCACTTCCTCGCCCTCCTCCTGCCACTGATCCTTGGCAGCACCACTTTCGCGATCACCTGCAAGTCCAACTGCGCGCCGCCTCCGAACAGCGTCGCATGTGCGGAAGCGAGCCGCAACGCTTTGCTGCGCCGGTACAACTGCCTCAACTTCCCGGACTCGACGTTCCTGTACAAGGGCGGGCGCACGGTCGTCAACGCGGCGGGAACCAGCTGCAGCGCGAGGATCCGCGGCTCAGATCTCCAGACCTATGTCGGATGCGAGGAGCTGAGTAATCGGCTTAATGGTATCATTAATACGTGCATTCGCAACGGGAACGGGGGTGGGTGGGATGAGGCGGCGAACTGGGGGTGGGGGGTTAGGACTTGTTGAACTTGTTGAGTTTATGGGTGGCGGGAATTTGTACTGTACTTCTAGGAGGTGGGGGATGTTTGTTTCTTGTTCACGGGGTCTGTTTGTTTCTTGTTCGGGGGGGACTATCTGAGTGGTGGGGATGAGGGGTAGGAGGGGGGAAACAGCGGGTCCGTTCAGAATGCAAACACAATAGCATAAACAAATACATCCTTTCGCGCGAATGCGGTAGAGTCCTTGTGATACCGGGTGATCAAAACTAGTGGTGTCTGGTGAACCGTGAACCCACTCGAACTTACTCGAACCCACTCGAACTCACCAGCCCTCCACCCCCACCATCCACACTTCCTCATGAATCTTCGCCATAGTCTAGATAGGCTGCATGCGAAATAAAACAGGAAGTTCTATCTCTCTCCCTCATGAATCATGATCCATCACAATATCGACCCACCACCAGAGTCCAGTATCCACCCCCTCATATGCATCCTCCAGTTGTTGAATACCTCGTTTCATGTTTCATCCCCATTACATCCACGTCCCCATCGACATTACATTCCCATGCGCCGCGCATAAGCGTAGGGGGCCGCTTCACGAAACTAAGTATGATATGATACCGTGGTCCGTGGGTGATAAGAATGTATGCGTGCAGTTACAGTTACAGACTTGTATTTGCATTTGCATTCGCGGGCTTCGGCCCGTTGTTCGCGGATGCATCTTGCGTGGAAAGGAAAGGTAGGCACGTAGGAATTCGAGGAGTAGAAGAGTCGAACTGCTTGCCGTGGCCTGGGGGTAAATGAAACGTCCCAGGGGGAGAGGAATGTTATGCATAGCATATGCTCCGTGGACCGTGGGAGGGCGCCATCGATGGATCACGGCGGTTATCCGTGAACGGGATTCGGCTCACCCCCCCGGTAACAGGTAACCAGGTATCCGCGAATCCGCGATAACCGCCGGGATCCAACGTCGCATACCTAACTCTACCACCAATCGCACGGTTAATTCTTGAAACGGTCCCGAGGATTCAATGCGGCACGGGAGACCGGCTGTGGAGTCTCGCCTGGAGCTTTCTAGGAGCGTGTCGATGGGCTAGGTGGCCAGGAGATTTAAATTTTGGCTGAGTCCGAGTCAGATCGAGCCTTCGAGGCCGCCGAACGTACCGCGGCGCAGCAGGCCGGCTGGGGTCCTGCGGAGGACCAGCTACCTCTAAAGACTAGAAGCAACTAACACGTGCCTCGTGGACAACCGGACAGCCGGACAGCCAGCCAGCCAGTTCAGAGATCGTGTAGGTATGTACGAGCAATTGGAGGGCCGAGGCCGTGATGATCGCTGATTTGAACTGCCGCCGAAATCGAGGGTCGCAGACTCGCAAGAACTTGGTTCGGCGCATTCCATCTTCACAGCAGACCTGCGGTTGACTTCGAAGTTCGAACCGGCATTTGATCTCGACCAGCCTGGCCAGAGAAACTGCCAATGCCAATGTCGGCGTTCATCATTTGTGCCCTCTCACGAGTCACCCTGGTCCATCCTTCGTCCAGACTCCAATGCAATGCGCGAGAAGAGATCAATGCAGCATCCACCCACCAGCCAGTCAGCTTCGCCACCGTGATGCGTGATGCGTGATGCGTGGAGCAACAGGGAAGTTTTCAGAAGGGAGATTGTGAAATATGCCAAGATCGATAGGAGGATAGGACGATAGGTAGGTAGGAAGATGTAACCGTTTTTTTGCTTGCTTGCTTTTTCTTCTCCGGGCCCGTTGCGGCGTTGCCCCTCTATATATGCAGAACATATCTGCCATTGGGAGATAGACCCGCCGGCGATATCAATCACCAGACATCAGAAAGACAGTTTGCATCATCGCATGACCGAGTCCTTGACTCGACTCCTTCAAACAGTGCTCCTTGAAACTTTAAACATCACCGTTGCTTGCGCCTTACAGCTGACAGGAGGAGATCCTTCATGTGCATTGTGCTTCGGACGCCGAAATCTGACACTGACAGAGATGGTACATATGGCCTGCTTCCGCTTTGCGTGCGCGGCAGTGGGATCCGCCCAGTGGCGATGGAAGCTGCTGGGCGAAACCAACCCAACCCTATCGTAAGCAAGGGGTATAGTCAGTGGCGGGTCTTCACGATGCAACGCCAGTCCCCACTTCCGACTCCCGATGACGCGAAAGTTGAAACCGCGCCAGGCTCTGGTTATCGAGATAGGTAGCCGCGCGCCTCCCCACAGCGCAAAATCGACTTCCCGACGCTCGTTTTCATGCTTCTGCTTGAGAGCGCATGTCAATCGCTTCCAACGCGCTTCCTGGATGGGCAGAATGATTAAATGACTATCTAGCCGACATATCTCCTCACTGATATATCCAGTCAAGTACAAAAACGAAAAAAACTCCTGTTGGAAAAGCCACGAATCATGACACCCAGGGTGGGACCGATTCCTCCGCACGCTCCATCAATTATTGAACCTCCCCAGTGGGTGTGTAATTGTTGATATTACGCGTCTTATTGCCTTTCCGGTGGCACTGCTACTTTTCACTGCCTTCATGGCCTTCGTGGCTGCTTACCGTAGGATTGTCCCTAGCTTTTCACCAGAACCAGCCTCTTTAGAGTGGCTAAGCCTTCAAGCCCCCAGCCCGAGTCCGAGTCCGAGTCCGGCGACGGCTAGGTATCGTCGCATCCTCTCAGCTCCGTGTGAGACCCGGTGCGCATCGCAGGCTTCATCTCGCTGTTTACACGAGCTCGTTTCCCTTTATAAGCAGTCTCCTTTCCCATCCCATCTTTCCCATCTTTCTCGCATCATTACAAAATCAAGTCAAGTCACGTTCTTCTGTTTCAACCAACAGTAACCAACTGTTGCGATTCACGTTGAAAAGCCACCGTCCAAGATATTGCACATTTGTCATGTTGGTAATATGCACTCTCGAGTGCGCCTCGAGTGCGCCTCGAGAATCCTGTTTGTTCTCATGCTTGCTTCTGCGCCTGTCTGGTATGTCTACCTGGCCGTTCGCTGTGTTTTGCGAATGAACTAAGTAACTGGAACTCCGAAACACCACACTCATATTCTCGGCAGTCATCGCGGGTACGGGCACGAGTGATATGTAAGGTAAGGTAGCAGACAACGCTGGACCAACAATCCCCGTAGCCCGTAGGACGTAGCCGTGCATGCCTCGGGCCAGCAAGGAGCAGCGATCGGTTTCCCGGCCAAGTCGCCCGTGTTCGCAGTGTCTCCCGATAGCCGTCGATCCGCAGGATCCGTTCACCTTAACAGTACCAGCACTCCGTCATCTCAAAACAACAGCCGATGACAACCATCACGGCGTCGGCGTTCGGTCGATGGATATAGTTACAGTGTTCATCCTCTTTGAGCGAGCGGCGGTTGCGACATCCCTCATCGACTCTCATTCGATGCATATAAGCGCATAACCCATTCTCGAATCTCGCCCCGATAAGATGAACTCATGCAATCAATGAGTAAAAAAAAGAAAACATGAACCATCTGGGCTGCAGGCTGGATACCCCGCAGTGTGCTTCACCGCGGCCCAATCAGGCTGCATCGAATGCATAATCAATTGGCAAAATAGAACACAACCCGAGAGGATACATGTACGAAAATGTGAAACAATACAATCGGATTACTACGGTATTACCGAGCAGTCGCCAATCTATATCTCATCTACAACCCACAAACGTAATAGGCACCTCCCCCTACTTGCCTACGCCTACCAGCAATCGAAGAACGGCCCGACCTTCTCGTGTCCCTCCTCGGTGCCCTCTCTATGCTCATCCACCAGTCCATCGAGCATGAGCATGTGCTTCGCGAGATCCAGCCCCCGCCTCCTCTCCTCCTCGATCCTCTCCCAAGTCCAGTACCCCTCCTCTTTCGAGTTCTTCCCCTGCACCGCCTCCCTCTCGGCATCCTCCTGCACCCTATCCACCCTCGTCATGCGCTCCACCACATCCTCCAACCTATTCTCACCCATCCGCCCCTCCTGCAATCCCACGGGCGTATCCACGCCGCTGCTCCCGCCGCTAGCCTGGACCTCGCCTGTGCCCTCGGGACCCTCGGGGATCAGCCCACTCTCGCGCAGCACGATCTCGGGGGAGACGGTGCGGCGCTTACTCTTGAAGACGTACTTGCTCAGACAGCTCGCAAAGACCACTCTTTTCCCGTCCTTATCCCTTCCGCCGGTGAAGTGGCTGACTACAAAGATCCACTTATTATCCCAGCCCAGGATGCGCGACGACACGGTGTACTTCTGGAACGGCTTGATTTCCTTCTTGAACAGTGCGGTGACGCCGGCGAGGGCGACGTACATCAGCGGCTGGTTGCGCGACTTGCGCAGCGCGAACGACGGCTTCGTCAAGTGGCACACGAGGTGCGTCCGCGCGATGTCCAGGTCAGAGAAGTACGTGCTGTTCGACTTGTGCCCGTTCAAGTCGCACTCGTAGGTGCTGCTGCGAGATGTTGTCGTGACGGGAGAGAATAGGTGCTGGGGTGACGGCTGCACCCGCCGGTGGAACATGAAGTGGAAGTAGAGTGAGCGGTAGAAACGGAACTATACTCCCCCGTGTGAGCGGTCTCTCTCTCTCTCTCTCTCTCTCTCTCTCTCTCTCTCTCTCTCTCTCTCAGACAGCGGGGAATTGTCCCGGGGAAGAGCGGGCGGGCAGGGCGGAGGGCGGAGGGCGGAGGACAGGAACAACTCACGTGCCATGTCAGCGGCAGACTCTTGATATTTGCGAGAGCCAGCAGCACGCAAAAGGCCTTGACGGCGGTCCAACCGTAGGTGGATACAGTGTTCATCGCGAAGGACGGGATGACGGTGAGAAGGGACAACATCATCGGAGTCAGAGCCGGGCGGCTATTTGAACTCGAGGTGGTGCTGGGCGCGTCGTCGTATGACACGTGGACGTGTGCTGCCTTGCGTCGCCAAGACAGACGGCCGTTGGTGGTGGTGAGCGAGAGACTGAACTGAACGACCGTTTGACTCGTGAAGGAAAAGAAAAACTCGAAGTATGTAGAGACGGCAGGCAGGCAGGCAGGTACGGGGAGTTTTTTTAAACCGTGTGCACACACGCTCGTAGGATCTGTGCGAGTACGGGCTGTACCAAGATACCTACGTATTACTCTAGTTAGGGGTTATCGGATCAACGGGTCCTTAGTCCTCCGCCGAAACCTGCAGGCCTCATCCTCAACGGTATGCTCGTCTGCTCGTTGCACAGGCAAAAGGGTACTCTATTCGCAGCTCCCACAGGCTGTACGAGTATGTAATTCCCCGGTTTCTCCCCAGGGGAGGCTGTGGAGTAGATATGTAAGCACTTCCTCCATCTGCGATTCGCTGAAGACTCGAAGATTGCTCCGAGCCCGATTCGCCATTACATAGGTTGACTCTGCAGATCACATGCTACCGAGGATCGTCGTCCCACAAAAACTGTTGGGAAAATCATTGCCTACATACAGTTCACCCAAGCCTTCGAAGTTCGTATCGCGATTCGCTATGTCCCCGGCCGGAGCTTGGCGGAAGTCGTTTCGGAGTTTACGGGCATGCGTTTTTTCTCCGAGCCGCATCACCCCGGAGCACTCGCGCCAAAGAAATGTACATTGGACTTCTGGAGATGGAAATGTTGACGGTATTACGAAATATCGAAGTGCGTAAATGAGAATGATGCGAGATCGAGTCACTCCTTTCGTGCCCCATGCGCGATCCTATTGCAGAGCTGCCATGTGCCATTGACCACGCCGGCAATGCCCATTCACTCCCCCGTGACTCGTTAATCCAAATCCCAATCTCACATTACCGCCGCCAAACACCAGATACGTCCATATGTATATCCCAGGCATCCCAAGCCTCCAAACTATGACAACGGCACATTACCCCCCAAACGCCAGCAGCAGCATCAGCAACAGCAGCAAACACATGTATCACCTTCCAAAGAGCCTCCCCTTCCAGCCCTTCTTCTCCTTCGAGCCACCACTACTGACCGTCTCTGCCCGTCCCAATCCCGGCCCAGAGCCATTATACGCCTCAACGCTCTCACTCTGCGCGCTCCCCCTGCGCCCACTCTTCAGCGCGCCCGAAATCTTCTCGCCCAGCACGCCCAGCGCCCACGTCGACCCCCTGCGTCCGCCGCCGTGCGCGTCCTCCGCCCCCGCCCCCGCCCCCGACCCCGCCGCATCCTCAAGCTTATCGACCCTACCCTTGTCTGACTCGTGATCCTCGCCATACACGCGACTGAACCTCAGCCCGCTCTCTCGCTTCTTCCCTGCGGTGGCGGCGGCTTTGCCATCGAACTGCATTGCGGCCAGGCGCTTCGTGAGTTCGCGGGGATCGACGACCGCGCCTTCGCCGCCGAATATGGAGTGCGGCGTTGACCAGCCGCTCACCGGCGTGGCGGAGCCGGTCGTCGCCAGCTCGTCCATCGCACCGCCCAGCGGCGTGGACGTCCGCAGTAGGTGCGTCCCCCCGCTACCGCTGCCGCCGACAGAGACGCGGAGCCACTCGAGGCCCACGGTGATCTCCTCCACACGTCCACCAGGGATGTGTAGCGGGGTGGAGAGCGCCAGCGGCTTCAGGGTGTTGAGGCTGTTGACTTCCTCGCCGGTGCCGGCTCGCGGGTGGTCAAGGTTCAGCGGGGGGTAGATGAGCAGCGACTTTCCCATTGTCGCGACGGCGAGCGCGGGGTTGTATGAGACGCGGAGGTGAGCGCGCGGGGAGGGGAGCTCCGGTGCCGGGCGCAGATAGCGCACCTTGCTCGTTTTCGACTCGCCCTTGAGCTGGAACACGGAGATCTGCAGGGCCAGGCCGGCGCGGTACGCGTCGTCGCGCGGCGACTGCCACGCCACCAGCTCCTTCTCGCCCGGCGTCAGCTCGAAGCCCCAGTCTCTCTCCGCGGCGACGAATAGTGGTGCCATGGGTAGGTGGAACGCGCGCGTGGCTTCGCCCGTCCGCGCATCGACCAGGACGATTCGGTGCAGGTTGCCGTGCGCCGGGAATACCTCCGCGACGAATACGGTGCCGCCGCTGTCGTCCGCCTTCAGCTCGCGGATGTTCTCGCTGCGGATCGGGAGCGCGCTCGTGATCAGCTCCGTCTCCTTGTGGATATCGCGCAGCCGCGCGATCGTGAGCACCCGCTTCCCGGTCGCCGCGACGACAGTGAGGAACGCTAGATAGTGCTCGTTGAATACCGGCCGAAGCCCCGCCACAGCTGCCCGCTCCGATAGGATCGGCGAGTTGAATAACGCGCTCCATAGCGTCCGCCCCTCTTTCCCGTCCAGGATCAGCGCGAGCGTCCCCACCCCCGCCGTGTCGGGGTACAGCAGTAGCACCTTATCGCGCACGTGTACTATCTCGGGCGGCGGGGCGCTGGACGGCCCGCCGTCGCCCAGGTGCAGCGGCGCCGGGACGATGATGTTGAACTCTGGGTTTGCAAGCCAGCGCACGGAGATCTCGACTCGGCTGCGAGCCTCATCGACCGTGGTGGTCACGAGGACTCCCAGGTCGCCGTCGAAGTTAGAGGTGGTGGACGATAGCTCGTGCGACTGGGTGTAGCCCAGGCTGACGATGCGACGGCGGCGCAGGAGGAGGGCGTTGAGGGTGTCGTAGGCATACTCGTGGACTGCGGGGGCGAACGGGAAGTGGTGGTGCAGGAGGAAGGCGCAGAGGGGCGGCGAAGCGAAGGTTTTGAAGGCGCTCCATGATACGCGGCGGAGGGAGGCGATGTCGTGAGGCGTTAGGTGCGTGCTCAGCAGCTGGAGCACCTCGACGGGCAGCGTGGTTAGGGAGTTCTTCATTGTTGCGGTGGGGGAGGCGAAACGGAACGAAATGTGCAGGTGATGTAATCGTGTGGGGAAGCGCTACAGAGAGTCTAGAGGTGCTCCACCCTGATCTGACAGGATGCAGGGGCCGAGGTAGACATCAACACACAACACAGCAGAGATACCTAAACATATGGTCGAGAGAGGGGATTTCGGTCTTGTTTTCACGTTTAAGGCCATCGCTGGGAAACACGCTTAGGCTACCGTTATGTACCATTCAGGGTTTTAGGGGATTTGGGTCCATCGCGCGACTAGTGACTTCGCTGGAATCCATCCGACATGCTACGACCAAGATCTCCATTCCAGGTCGGCGTCCCAATTGTCTTGCATTTTATGGAGATCTGTCTCGGCCCAGCACGCCTGATCGTCCGTTTACCATCACGTGATCCATCGATACCTCTGCTGTAAAAGTTTGCACTTTCATGCGAATGAACACTTGCGGGATCAGCTGCCTGCCGTGAGAAGTGCCCCTCGCACTTGTGTCAGAGGAAAAGTTGCTTTTTAACGACCTTGTTTAATCGTTGATTTTTTTCCGTTTGATCATTAATTGTTTGCGACCAAAGGCACGGGCTTCGACGAATGGCGACTCGTGACCGGGTGATAACGCATGTAAAAATTGGCTCTCGCACTCATACAGCACTCGCTCTACCGGACTGAAGGCCATCACATCGGCCTCGGTGGCAGCGGCGGCGCCCCCTCGCGATCAAAAACATACTCGACGCTGATCCCGAGCGTCCACTGGGCCACATCGCCCGCAATACCCACAATTCTGGCGCCGTTCGGCACGACCGCCTCCCTCGTCCCACCGCCCTTCCCGCCGAACATCTCCCCCCTCCTGTGAGATGTCACAACGCCCAGCGCGTCCACCCATGCACCGCTGCGCACAACGAACCCTCGCACCTCCTCGCCCTGCCCAAGGACGAAATCGTTTGCGCTGCCCCCGCGTTTTCCAAAGAGCGCGGATTCCCCCGTAGAGGATACAAATTCCAGCCCATCGAGGGCTGCGCCGGAGAAGATCCGGATGCAGTGGATGCGGCCGGCGGGAAGCATCGTGCGCTGGAAGGTGCCTTTTCCTGTGCCGACGGCGGGGGTGCGGAAGACCGTGCCCAGCATGGGGTCAACGCGGGTGTGGCTGTGTAGCAGCTGTGCGGTCGATTCAATGGTGTGGTCGCTGATGTGCGACGAGGCGGCGAAGATGTTGATCTTGCTGTCGATTGCGAGTTGGGAGTGGGGGATGACGATCGAGTGTTGGTCGCGCGGTTGGATGGTGTTGGTGGGATGCTCGGAACCTTTTGTGCGGAACTCAAGGAACAGGAGGGGAGAGTTCGTGCAGGTTATCAGGAGGCCGGAGGGCACAAGGGCGGCGGAGATTCCGCCTTGGGAAGAGAACGGGTCGGAGGGCAGCGCGAAACAAGGATGCCGCACGAAACGGAGGGCGTCGAGGACGTGCCAGTGGCATTCTTTATTCGGAACCGACGGAGGGACGAGTACGCTGAACGAGCGCGCGATGCTCGTGTAGTCCCTCAACATCACGCCCGAGCTCTGGTGGGGACATCCGAAACCATGACCCACTTCGTGCATGAAAGCACCTAGATCCAGAGTCAGCATGCGACCGTGCGCCACCAGGACTCGGAAGACTCACCGATGCCAACATTCGCCGCCATGTGGTACGTCTTCCCCTCGCAATCCACGCCGCAGAACTTCTGGTCCACCATCCTAGTATCATTGAACGCCGGCACAACGGCCTCCACGCAACTCGGCCACGCAAACAACGAATGACTGCCAAAAATCCCCAACGAGAACCCACCCGCATCCTGACTCCCCAAAGCCGCATGTCCACTGATCAGACTCCTCGCGCGATCCCACGTCGAGTCCAAAAACAACGCCGCAACGTGCTTCATCGCCCCAGGGAACTCCTCATGCGCTTTCAGCGCCTCGATAGCGATATCGAAAAGCCCCTTGCTCGCCTTCCCCCCCCTATTCTGCTGGGCACGATCCGGATCACGTATGTGCGCCACCGAGTAGCTCGATCTCAGCACAGTAATCTTCGCCGTGCTGCGTCGCGGAGTGTCGACTTTGCTCAGCGTATCGGGCAGCCACGCCTCGTCGAGGCGGAAGGTGCGGTGTCCGAAGCCCATGGCGTTCATTTCGGAGCCCGTGTACGCCTGCCAGAGGTACGCAGCCATCCGGAACTTCTTGATCGCCGTCTCGAGATTGGGCGGCTCGCCGCAGTTCGGGACATCGTCGTAGCGGAACGGCGAGTCCTTGCCGACTATGATGACGAGGTGCAGAGGCGGGTTCTGTAAAAGCGGGATGTAGGTCACATCGAAGACGGATTTGTAGCTGGCTCCCGGCAAAGAGGAAGGGCGGAAGTCGAGCGTTAAGCTGTTCTCGCCTGGAGAGAGGTGCAAGAGAGCTTTGAAGGCGCTAGCGCGCACGGGAAAGGTCTGGGCCGGGAAGGAGTACTTGTGCGTCGTGATCCAGAGGTCGCCATCCAATGAAGGGACTGGAATGATGCCTGTGACGAGGAGCAGGCGCGAGTGCACGGTCGACGACGGGAGGTGGGAGGTGACTTCGGGAAGCATTTTAGTGAGGGGTATCTGGAGCTCGTGTAAGCGATTGCGGCAGAGCGTGAGGTCAGCTCCATGGCCAAGACTCTGCGGATCAACTGATGATGCGCGCGATGTCACTCCCAGCGTTGCCGGGTTGGGGCCGAACGGATAATTTTCGCTGGGCAGTGGGTACTAGAGGGGTTATTTCGAGGACCCGAGTGAATGATGGTGATATATGAGTTGGGTTACATGGCTGTTGTCTACCACCACAATGAGAGGAGCGAAGGACTATATTAGGGATCAGATAAGATAGCTGTGGCCACGAAGCGTCGAATGGTTGTGATAGCCGGACTAGCCGGATTGGGTGGCATCGAACGTTACAGGCAGCGGAGGAGAGCCATATTCGATGGCTCTTCGAAGTTGAATAGAACCTCAACTTCTCCATCATCCTTCATTTTCGCCGTTTCCCTTCCAGGGCTACGTCAATGGCCGGCTCGACTAGTGGTAACAAAGCCCACCAGATACCCACTGCACTCGTCTAAATTACTACTACAGGTGCTTCTCTCACATTGCCCGGGTTTGACGAATCGGTTGCGGGACGGCATCAAGGTAGAATGAGTCCGTTGAGGTATCAGACGAGTGATGTATATCTCCGGACACTTGGAATAGCGTCTTGGAATGTCACAACGTTCTAATCTTCATTGTTCGTGACAGACCACCACGACAACACACCGCAGAAAAACCTCGAATGACTCTTAAGAATACTCTAGAGCTCCACTGAGTCTCAATTTCTCATTTCCTACAAAAATTTCGAACTAATGGACCGTCCAGCCGTTATTGTGATTTCGAGCGGGAATGACAATGAAGACATACATCGCCCGTCCGATATCCAAGATGCCTCAAGACGAAGAGTTCATTTCAAATCCGGTGCCAGTCATGTCTTCTTGCGACTTCCCCTCCAGTACCAGAGGCTAAGCTTCGGTGATAGACGATGATTCGTGGTGGTAAGTGAGCAAGCACTCGCGAATGTACCTTAACTACTCCGATTGCAAGCCACCAGCCAGCAAGCCCAACGGTAAAACGCCATGAGACGTTTATCTTGACCACGCGTATCCTCGCGAGTCTTATCTCGGCAATCAAAGACTGCGGGCACTAGAGATAAGTCCCACGTGAACTCAGACGGTATCGAATGCGGCCGGACTCTTCCTCGGCCGACCCGGACCGCCGGAGCTTTCGGTAAGGTCTGGGCTTCCCGCGTGAGACATGCCCGAAAGGGCTCCGACCCAAATGGCATACGGTAGATGTGGAAACAAGAGCCTTTCCCGACCACACCGTAACCGGAAATAGGCACATACAACGCGAGTGCTCACGTACTTAACCGCCGATGCGCCCACTTCATGCAAATATCTGCTCTACCGGTACTGCCCGCCACCGGTAGCCAATTCGACAGCTTTGTGAGTACATGACCTCGAATGAATCGGCCCAGCTGGTCCCTCGCGGTATCCCGACGGCGAAGACAAGATTTACGGTACCAAACGGCGACCCAGGGCCCGACGAACTGACGGGAACGTGGAGGGCCGATGAAGCCGTTCAAAGACTCCGACTCCTCTGTCTCCCAGTCAAAAGCTTCATTCCCAGCAGACGACCGACGAAATGGTCGGTATTCGGGCTCGCGATGCCGCATCGACAACCGGCGCCTTATTGCCGACGGCGAACGGATTCCGGCGAATCCACTCAATCGCAAGACAAAGCCCATAAGGCCATCATCAGAATCGTCTCGACGCATCGGCCTGAAGAATTTCTCGTATGCTACATCCACCGTGATGGAGATGTCCTGTTGGCTGCCAGCGTCTGCGGCGAAGGTCAGGGCTGGCTAGACTCCTTTGGTCGTGGCGCCAGAATCACGCCACACCGGATCATCTGTTGCCGAGACGTCGCAGGGCTGAACGGACCGGCTGCCGCTTCGGAACGAAACCGGCTGTTGGCGTCGGGCAACCGGAATATCCTCATACGGCATGACATCACCCAATTGGTGCGAGGGGCCAGTCAGCCAGCTGCCGTTCCGTTTGCGCGGCCGAAGCCACGATACGTTACCATATTTTTTATCTTACTATCGGTCAAGTTAGGGCTTGAGACTCCAGAGTGCTCCTTTTTGCGCGCGTTCTCTTCCCCACAAATACTCCACCTTCCCCGCTCTCTTTGCTTGTTCCTTCTCCACATCGTTCGATTGGCCCTTGACTGCGTCGATTGAGCCTGTACTTCTCCACTCTTCCTCTCTTTCCTGTATCATCGTTGCGTCACGCACGGGAATCGTCGCCGCCTCGTTTTTGAACACCCGCACTCCGGTTTTATAAGTCATATTGAAAAGGCCCGCCTTCCATCGAAATCCATTCAACAAACATGTCACGAGCAGCAATGTGTTCCGCCGCCCTCAAGGCCCGCGTGAGACGGCCTTCTCTCTGGAACAAGCTCCACACCCCCGAGGAGCTACTCCACCACTTCCCTCCGGGAGCCTACATCGGATGGTCCGGTTTCACTGGTACGTGGGAATCAAGCTCTCTGCCTTTCGCCGGGTGGGTTGCGTGACGATGTCTAACCGAGCACAGGTGTCGGCTACCCGAAGGTCCTCCCCATCGCACTCGCCGACCACGTCGAGAAGAACAACCTCCAGGGCCAGAGTAAGTACTCGCTCTTCGTCGGTGCCTCGTCCGGCGCCGAGACCGAGAACCGATGGGCCGCATTGGACATGATCCACCGACGGGCACCCCACCAGGTTGGAAAGTCTATCTCCAAGGGTATCAACGAGGGACGGATCAACTTCTTTGACAAGCACTTGTCCATGTTCCCCGGTGACCTCCTCTACGGATACTACACCAAGGACCGGCCAAACAACCGCCTCGACGTCGCCGTCATTGAGGCTACCGCCATCACCGAGGATGGTGGTATCATCCCCGGTGCCTCGGTCGGCGCCTCCCCCGAGATCATCCAGATGGCCGAGAAGATCATCATCGAGGTTAACACCTTGACCCCCAACATGGAGGGTCTGCATGATATCGTCATGGGCGATCTCCCTCCCCACCGCAAGCCGTACCTGATCATGAGCACCGAGGACCGTATCGGTACACGCCACATCCCCGTCGACCCCGACAGGATCGTCGCCATCGTCGAGTCCCGTCTTCCTGACATGACCAACGACAACGCGCCCGAGGATGCGACCTCGCAGGCCATTGCCAGGAACCTGATCGAGTTCCTCAAGGGTGAGGTCCAGGCCAAGCGCCTGCCCAGCTCCCTCCTACCCCTGCAGTCCGGAATCGGCAACATCGCCAACGCCGTCATCGGCGGGCTCGCCAAGGGTGACAACGACTTCCACAACCTGACGGTGTGGACCGAGGTGCTCCAGGACTCGTTCCTGGACCTGTTCGACTCCGGTGTCCTCGACTTCGCCACCGCGACGTCGATCCGCTTCTCTCCCGACGGGTTCAAGCGCTTCTACCGCGACTGGGACAATTACTACAACAAGCTGATCCTGCGTCCGCAGACGGTGTCGAACCACCCGGAGATCATCCGCCGCCTCGGAGTTATCGGCATGAACACCCCCGTCGAGGTCGACATCTACGGCCACGCCAACTCCACCTGCGTCAACGGCTCCCGCATGCTCAACGGCCTCGGCGGATCCGCCGACTTCCTGCGCAGCGCTAAGATCTCGATCATGCACACGCCCTCCAGCCGCCCCACCAAGACCGACCCGCACGGAATCTCCTGCGTCGTCCCCATGGCCTCGCACGTCGACCAGACCGAGCACGACATCGAGTAAGCCCCCTCCCTCACCCCCCCCCTCTTAACCCACGCACTAACCCCCCGTAGTCTCTTCGTAACGGAACAGGGTTTCGCCGACGTCCGCGGCCTCTCCCCCCGCGAGCGTGCCCGTGTCATCATCGACCGCTGCGCCCACCCAGAGTACAAGCCCATGCTCCTCGACTACTTCAACACCGCGGAGCAGATCTGCCTGCGCAAGGGCGCTGGCCACGAGCCCCACATGCTCAAGAACGTCTTTGCTATGCACACGGCGCTCGAGGAGACCGGAAGCATGAAGAATGCTAACTGGAGATAAATAAAACGGGGTGATGTGTGGGGATGGTGATGTGTGGGGATGGTGATGAGTGGGGGAGTGGGAGTGGGAGAGTGGGATTTTTGTAAATATTGAAGGGAAGGGATGGGAGTTGGGTGATATTAACAGCGTTCGGTTTCTACTTTCCGGGTGATGTGGCAGTGAGAGGACGTGAAGTGAAGTGAAATGATTGTCCGTCGAGGGTAAAATGCTGATGTGCTTGACTGGGAGTTCATAGTGTCTCACACGGTGTAGCCTGTTTACCGCCATGTCCAACACTTACGCCCTAGAGGCCAATGCACGGCGCTGAGCCTCGAGCCTAGACCCTCAACCCGTGACGCTCATCCCCAGCGCGCCCTCCCTCCCACCGGCCGCGAGTTAGGGCGGGGTAGTATCACTCGCGAGCACTCGGATAAATCCAGCTTCGCCACGCATCATGGATCCAGCCGCACATCGAAGTAGAATAACGAGGGGCTATGAACGACAGTACAGTATGTACCTAGTTAGTCCGCAGCTCCAGCACCAGCGGGGGACCCAAAGCCGTACCTGGGCGTCGCCGAGTGAGCACCCCGCGAACCCTTCCGCCACAGCCGTGGCGTGCATACCACACGTTGTGGTACTACGTATCATACTGCAAGACAAGGCAAGACAAGGCAACGCAGCACAACGCAACTGTGGCCGGCCAATGGCGACTGGGTACCTACCCCGCCAGCCAGTCAGACAGCCAGCCAGCCAGCCAGCCAGACAGACAGACAGACAGATAGACAGCAAGCCACCTATCCAGTCCCGTAGCCATACGGTCTCCTGGATCTTTATGCTGGTCCCAATCATGGCCGGATGTCAATTGCGTTTGTGAGGCTCACATCGGGTCACCAATGCATGCACGCGGAGAATGCCGTGGAAAATGCCAGCTAGTTATCTCACAGAATCCAGAAGGATAGATAGATAGCTGAGGCTATCTAATCAGAAAGATAGGGAAGCCACCTAAATCTCTCTCAAGAGAGAGGGTAGAAACCGCTTTTATCACTCGCAAGGCCGAAGGGTTCAACGGTTGCGTTTGTTCTACATACCGAGGCTTTCGACTCTCCACTCTAGCTCAGCTGCGCAACCTTTCTCGGAAGTTACGGTGCACAGCCCACGGTCCTAACTCCAGACAACAGGCTCGGCGTGGAAGCCCGTCTCCCTCCGCCTAGGCCGGCACCGAGAAGTGATGAACGCACCATGCAGACACAGAGAACGGGTGAAGAACAAAGTGCAGTGTCCGACCACTTCTCTGCAGTGTGCTACTGGTATATCTGGGTCGACCTAGGTATCCTCGTATGTATGTGCCAGTTTCCGACCCGATCCCTCATAGGCACCTACCTATGTCCACGCGCTCGCCCCAACAGTGGTATCCCTGAGACGGAGGAGATATTGAGAGTACATACGTCGCTTCTTCCAGAGCACATCTCTTGTTGGAAGACTCGGTGCGTCGAAGCAGGAGATGTATACCGCAGCGTGAGACGGAAGAATCATTCAGACGCCCAGCTGCGGGGCCGTCAGGGGGTGTATCGGGGAAGCAGAATAGGCACCTACTTAACGGGCGTCACGTCGTCTCAGTTGTTATTGTCCTATCGCGGGGTGGCACCCACCACTTCATATTTTCCAATTTGCTGTTTCCATCACGGAAAAAACCCCTGGTCCAGTGGTCTAGGGCCACGCAATCGACGAGGGGAGCTGAGGGAAAGTCTCCGGTTCAAAACCGGGTAAATGCCTTATTTATTCAGCTCTTGGGGTTTCCAAGCCACCCGCCGGGGTGGTGATGGTTTTTGTTTTTGGCATCACGGGTGGAGCATGGGATATCACTCGGAAATATGGTATCACGTGATACGCTTTGCGCTGTCACCTGTGGAGGTGATAGGCTGCATGCGAAATAAACTGAAGATCTCTCTCTCTCTCTCTCCCCATGTGGAGGTTAGGACGGGTGGATAATTTCCATGATTTAGATACCATGCATTAAATCAATGAATAAACCAAAAAAAATGTGGAGGTAAGCAAGAGGTTGAGGTCACTCCCGTTATTCCTCCCGACTGCGCGTTACTTCCTTCGTGGCATCTCCTGATGACACTGATCTGCCTCCGCCCACCGATTTCAATACCTCTCCAGCTACTAGTAGTCTAGTCGGTACTTTAAATTCAACCTCTGGGCGAATCTTCTTTGAACATGCAGTTACGATAGCATCGTGATACAGCCCTAAGTATTTCTCTCGACGGGATACCTACTTAGGTACGAGTGCTGGTGCGAGAGTACGAGTGCGAGGTGGGTGTGAGTGGGAGGTGGATTGTGGGAGTGGGATCATTGACTCATCGGTGCTCACTCACTCACTCACTCTTGATTGATAGATTGATTGATTGTTCATACAGCATGGAACCCGAAGGTTATGGCCGATAGAGATATCTACAATAAAACATTTCGATAAAGAAATTCCACCACCAATTCCATACAGAAATGACAAGCCTAATCCCTTCGCCTCGCAATATCTGAAAGTGAGCTTCCGAAGAGGCTCGGATTGTCGGTTTTGCGCTGTAGCGGCGCGTCGTAGCCCTCCTCTTCTCCAAAAGGTACCTCCACTCGGTACTACCCTCAACATAATCAGTCTAGCGCACACGGTATGGTGCTCGAAAGGAATCGTCGTCTCGGGGTTTGCGTCGACTCATCGGCGCTCACTCACTCACTCTTATTCCGAGTCTCGAATAAGTTGGTTCGACTTCATCGGCGCATAGCGTCGACTCTATGTAGAGTATCGGAGAATGGCTATCGACTTCATCTTCGATGGACAACTTTTGGTTCACGGGCTCTAGTAGGTATTCTGCGGGACTCAACAGCTCGAGCAATCACAAAGTTTTTATATTCTCGAATCGACCTCCGCCATCGACCTCCTTCATCACACCATCGCATCCAGTCTATCAACCATCATTCATCATCTTTCATCCATCGCCCCTCGTCCCCTCATCCATCGCCCCTCTCCCCCCACTCCAAAAAGATTACTCCAAAACTCCGCATCAGGCATTACACATTACGTATCTACCCCATCCATGCGGAAACACTCACCTCCAAGAAGAACAATCCAAATCGAAAAAGAAAAAAGAAACAAGAAATAACTCCATACCCCAAAAAAGACCGTGATCCATGCAAGCATTCCGTTCCATCCCATCATCCCTCTCATTAATCATCAATCATTCTTCCATCCTTTACATAAGGAACGCGAGCACAGCGATAGCACCAGCGACGAGCGCGGCATGAGCGCGAATAGTGCTTGCGCCGCCGCCGACAGGGAGCGACTCGATGGGCGGCGAGGTGAACGTCGGCGAGGTGCTGTTGGAGGTGTAGGTGGGCGTGTCCTACTGGATGTTAGTGGCTGTCTGCTGGGAACTGGGGGGTGGGAGGACTTACGGTGCTGCTGGGTGCGTAGGTGCTGGACGAGGGCGTGGTTGCGTATGTCATGGTTGTGTTGTGCACGGGGACCGAGTAAACGGGCGTGGTCTCGTAGACCGGGGGAACGTAGACGGCGGTGGTTGGCTCGTAGACTGTGGTAGACGGCTCGTACACGGGAGTAGAGGGCTCGTACACGGGGGTGGTCTCAGGCTCGTAGACGGGAGTGGTCTCGGGCACGTAAACGGGGGTGGTCTCGGGCTCGTAGACGGGAGTGGTGGTCTCGTAGACGGGAGTGGTCTCGGGCTCGTAGACGGGAGTAGTGGCCTCGTAGACGGGAGTGGTCTCGGGCTCGTAGACGGGAGTAGTGGCCTCGTAGACGGGAGTGGTCTCGGGCTCGTAGACGGGAGTAGTCTCGGGCACGTAAATGGGAGTGGTGGTCTCGTAGACGGGAGTAGTCTCAGGCTCGTACACGAGAGTGCTCTCATACACGGAAGTGGTCTCGCAGTCGGTGGTGGTGGTCTCATACGTGGAGGTGGTGGTCTCGCAGTCGGTGGTGGTGTCTGCAGGCGGGTAATACGACGGGTGGGTGGGTGCCGCGGTCGTGTACTCGGGGGTCTCTACGGCGTACTCTGGGACTTCCTACGAGGAATAGTCAGCTACCGTGCAAATGATATCGTCGCAATGCTCAGCACATACATCACGCTTGGACTTGTGGATGTCCTTGAGGTCCTTGAGGACGTCCGTGGGGACCTTGAGGACCTCCTTGTAGCTCTTGTAGGTCTTCTTCTGCACAAACAAAGGGCGATCAGATGTGATCTCGAAAAATGATAAAGACCGGACTTACGTTGTCAAGAGTGTGCATGACACCGTTCTTCAGCATGATGTCCGTCTGCGCGATCTTGTCTCCGTTGACACGGAAGCTGCCGTCCTTGTCCTTGGTGACCACGATCTTGGCGCCCGAGATGGCGGTGTAGGTGCGAGCCGAGAGGTAAGGAGAGTATTCGACAGTGTCAGCGACGACGTAGTCGAGAACGTTGCAGCTCTTTGTGGGGTTCTTGGGCGCAAAGATGGTGATGGAGGTGGTGTTGTCGATCGTGTCGACGACGCCCTGCTCCTTGGCGGCATCCAGGAAGTTCTCGGCGCCTACGGCACATGCGGTGTCGGAGAAGGTGAGGGGAATGGTGAACCAGCTGCGGGTTCCTGCGTTAGCGATCCGTCACGATTATCGGGGGGAAAAAGCGTGGAGAAACAAACCTCTCAACCTCGTAGATGATACCGTATTTGAACTTGACGACCTTTCCGGTGGACTTGACAGTCTTGCCGAGACCGACGGCGACCTCGACGTCCTGGCCGGAACCCTTGTTCACTGTGGCCTGTCCGATGCCGCAGCCGAGATTGACCACGCTCGGGTCCTCCAACCAGGACTGGCGAACACCGGTGGGGATGTCGGGCTCCTCCTCGTAGTAGCCGCGCTTCCTTGCCCGTCTCGGGGGGTTGCTCATCTGGTACGACCCGGCGAGGGATCGGGCCTGGCGACGGCGTCCGCCGCTGGTATCGAGCGGCGGCGCCTGGTTCTTCTCGGGGACGCCGACAGCCAGATCGGTGAAGTAGGAGTCGTCGCCGCTGGTCATGCGGTCCTGGATCTCGTCGCTGCTGAGGATGACTTCGGCGAAAGCGGTGTAGCCGAGCTGCCGGAAGGCGTCGGCGAACTCCTGGAGGGTGACGGACTGGGCAGCGGCGGGCGCCGCGCTGAGCAGGGCGAAGAGCGCCTGCGCGGCGAAGAACGAGTGTTGGAACTTCATGATTTGCGGGCGAGCTGTGACAGGAACCGAAGAAGCGAGTGCGTACTTTTGGAGGGGGGAGTGATGGCGATGAATGCAATCGTCCGTGCCGAGAGGGGGGCGGAAACTCGTACGGACTGGTGGGGGGATATAAGTACTTTACATACCTCACATACCTCACATACTCACGCACCCACACGGGGGGGGGGCACTGGCGGGATCCACTGCGGCGATGACCATTCGCGACAGCCGGGGCTGACAGAAGCGTACATATTCCCACATACGAATAAAAATAAAATACAAGGTGGGAGGATGATGATGATTTTCTGGAAGGGGAAGTACCTAACAGGACGAGGCAGTGCGAGCCAGAGCCCACGTATGCGGCGCAGAGACAGTCCGTTGACTGCAGTTCTTTTCTGCAGCTGCACGTTGACTTTCTGCAACTGCAACGAAAAACATATCGAGCACCGCCCGGCATTGAGCAGGCGGACAGGCATGCGTGGGCGAGCTGGGGATGTGGTGGATGTACTATTTACTATGGATAGCTAGCATTGGGGGGCGTACCTAGTCGGTCAACTAGTTGGATGACCAGCACGGCCATGTAGATATTCTGCAGCCTGCTAGTAGTTACTCTACTTACAAACCCATCACCAACTCGCGGACGTCGGCCGCAGAGCCTTGCTTTTTATCCATGCACGATACATACCTTGACTTGACTCTCCACGTAGTTGGACACGGACTGCCGTATAGTAGTGCGGGGAGGTACCCATCCATAGTACGATACCAACCAGCAGAACTCGCATAGATACTTGTCTCTGCCCGTGGTTCGTGGAGTGAGTCGTCAGTCGTGAGCCGCGAGTCGTGACGAGTCAGATGGAAGTGGAACAGCTTATTTTGGGAGTGCCTGTGCCCACTTCCCACTGCCCACTGCCAGTCTGCCAGCTAGAGCAGTCAGAAAAGAAACAGAATCGTCGCGGCCCCCACCGCCAGCAGCCGTAAAGAGCCGAAGCGGGACAGCTGGGAATCGAGAGAAAGAAAGAGAGAAAGACAAAGAATAATATGTAGATGCATTCCCAAGCAGTACATACCGGAGGCACCTCCTACCTGGTAAGTAATCATGTACTCCATGTACTTATCACAGCTGCTGTCAAACAACCGCGACACGCACTCCAGTCTCCAGATCCCAATCCCCGCCGCGAATCCGCGATGCGTGTTTCTCAAAATAGCCTCCAGTACCTACATCACCCAGTTGCTGTCGATTGGTCGCACTGGCGAGCCATTTGTTGCGTTTATTCCATGCACGCTATACCCATATTCGATAGTGCGCGACGACACCGCCACTTCCTACTGGTAGCCTGCCATGCATTTGTGGGAACGGGATCAATCAGCAGAATCATCGTTGCAGCAACAGCAGCAGCAGCAGCAGCAGCAGTAGACATCGTGTTCTATTCTCGGAAACAACCACTACCTAGAGTACTTGTAAGTTATGCATAGAAGTTTACCAGTTGGAATCTGGACGGATGCGACCGGTAGATGCAGTATTCGAGTCGTTGACTCTTTGGAGCTTGGAGGAGGTGTACTCTAATGTGCAGTCAACTGGAGAGCAACTCATCCGCAGAGATCCAGCTGATCGAGGCGAACAATAATACCCAAGTACGGTAATCAAGTAGAGTAAGAAGTAAGAAGTACTTAACTCGGTATCGCACTGCCGCCTAGGACCGTGGGACGCCCCGCCGCCCCGCCGCCCCGGCCCGCTAGGCGAACTGCAGGAGCTGGACGGCCCACCACCACCAGCAGCGACACCACCCACCACCCACCACCACCACCACCACCACCATCGTGAAAGTCACCGATCCAACACGATCAACAATCAACGATGGAGTGGTAACATGTATCCAACCATCCACTCATCCATCCAGCCTGGCATCCAGCCACCCAACGAGCACCCAAGTTCTAACTATACGTACTGATGTGTGTGTGCTCGAGCCAGCTGGCAGCTGCCACGGCTCCATCGCCTCCGTCGTCTCCGTCGGCTCGGTGCCGAGTCCCGGGCGTCGGGTGATGTCTATCACTAGTACATACTAGTACCGAAGCCGAAGGAGGGACAGAGGCGGAGAGAGAGACCGATGACTCCAGTGTCCATCCGACCCGAGCCGTACCGTACCGCGTGCCCCCGGTAGTATATAGTAAGTAGCTATCATAATTAGTACCGCAGCCTCAGCCTCTTTGGTCAACCGACGCGACAAACAGACAAATAGACAAATAGACAAGTCACAAACACCGTAATTCGTGAATCGTGAATCGTGAAGTGTGATGCCTAAATTGTAAACTCTGTACCTAAACATAGAGCTCTGCGGATCTTCGATCGGGTGGGTGGATTTGGAAACCACCGCGTGAGGGCTGGCGGGCCAATGTAGAGTGACTAGAGTAAAGCACATACTCAATACCAGGTATGGACAGAGTAGGTAGACCGGCGATGAGAGTGTACATGGCTATACTCCCCGCGCTGTCTCGACTCTCGAGGCTTCCCAGCTTCCCGTCATGACGCAGAAGTGCAAGAAGTTGCAGTCCCCCAATCCATCGTCGAAACAAAACACTGAAAGCACGTTGGATGTGATAGATGTGATCGATTAGCTATCGCACGGTATCGTATCGATAAGGTACCCACCCGTTCCTGCACCCGCGGGCGAGGCTACCAATCTACCAGGCTGCCAATTTACCAGGCTGCCAAACGATCACACCGGGACACCGCGTGCGTGCGTATGTGCGTGCGCGATGACAGCCGGTACCAACATAGGTACTTATATCTTGCTTACTCCGAGTGGTTATACCCAGTACCTCCGGTAGATACGGACAATCCCAGAATCCCAGAATCCCAGAATCCCAGAATATCAGATTCCCAGAAGCCGGATGACCTAAGCGGACGGACAGGGCGGACAGCCTGCACACCTGCATACAATGCGCAGGGCTGTGCCACACTTCCACGGTCGCGCAAAGTTCAAACACATGGACGCTGGCGAGCTAAGTTAGAACTTACTTCGTTCCGTTATTAGTTAACAAACGTAGGCAGTCTGGCCAGTGGCCACCGCATTCCCAGCCGCGCCTCCTCCACCCACCCACCCACCCCCCGACTGTCGCCGTGTCGCCGTGTTTCAACGTCAGGTTACCCCAAGTTCCAACTGGGCCCTCCACGACCGACCTACCGACCGGGGAAGGGAAAGCAAAGAGAAGGGAAAGGAACGCCAAGGAAAGGAAAGAAAGCCCCGCACCTCCCCTCCCCAAGGCGTGCGAATCGGAACAGGATGGTCCTGGACTCCTAGATATCCCGCATTGACGAACTCTTCTGCGTTCCGGCGGCCAATTGGCGATGAGATCGAGAGGCAGACAGTCGTTCTTTGCTCCGCAGGCCAGACCAGTTGAAGACGAGGTCCAGAGTGCTTCACTCCGCAGACCAGTGGAAGACGAGGTTTGGAGACAGTCGTCACGTAGGGTACCTAATCACTCATGTAGTTAGTTAGTTGGGTCTCGGTGTCGGTATGTAGAGTACGGTACCTACCCCCGGCCATGTCCTCACCTCACCTCACCGCTGCCAGTCCTGTGCCCCACCCACCCGACGTCTGACGAGCTCTGGTTCTGAACCGTACAGCGATCACCACATGTGTGTCTCTATGTGTCTGTCTGTGCGTGTGTGTCGTGTCGTGGCTGAAACAACCTCAGGCGATCCCGAGCGCGAGCTCAAGCTCGACGAAGCTCCAGCTCTCGGATTCACAGGCTGCACTGGAGTGGCCTTCGAGCATTCCTCCCATCTTCGCCGCCTCGATAAGCGCACCCGACCTCGCGCATAACTGCTCGAAACACAACTGCTCGAGAGCAGCCACTCGTCGAGACTCGAGCCACTCTCGGCCGGACAAACAACCATCTTGTGACCAGTAACAAACGCAGGACATCCGGACGCATCCCATCCCAACAACGCGGAGCAAGTGCTGCAACACGCCTCCTCCTTGTCCAGGCTCCAGCGCATGCAGAACACCAGGTGCAATCCAGTCGACGAGTCAAGTCCGCGGCTCCCTCAGTACTCGGATTTGCTGAGAAGGAAAAAAACTCGTCCCGACTACGCGATCATCCAATAATAACCTCGAGTCGGCACAGAAATGTAAGACACCTACCAGGTCAGCTTCCACGCAACTGGCCAACCCCCCAATCAGCTCGGTGCTTTCTGACGAAAATCTGCAGGCCTATCTTTCGTGTCTCGATACCACCGTGAGACGTGTACATGCCAACTGAGCCGCAACTCCTGTGTCTGCGCGCGAAAAAAGGTGTGCCCCCCAAGGCATTTGATTGTACATTCTGTTGATTGCGGGGTTGGATCGAAATGCATTTATAACGTTGCACCGCAACACCACCACCCACTGGCACCCGCAATGCCCACTGGCACCCGCATCCCATCCCAAATACAACAACCCGCCGGTTCAGCCTCTCTCCGCTGCGGATGGTAGATATCCCCTCTTGAGCCAACACGGAAAATAATAGCTCCTTCCTGCAAACAAACAAAAAAGACTCGAGAAAGTCCCCATCATATTGCCGGCCAACCGCGATGGATTCCATCGTCACCAACATCGATACCGAAGCCAAATATATTCTCGGCGTCGTGAAATGGTTCTACATGCCCACGACAGACGGGCGGCTCCTCCGCGCCGTTGCCGTGAAGTCGTCGGACGCCAGTATGTGGATCGCCGCATACACGTTGCTCCTGATCTTGATATTTGTCGGGATCGCTCGTCTGGTTAAAGATCTCGTGTGAGTAGTACCATGCATCGACGACCCCTTCGACGGCCGCGACCACTCGCGGAACGGTGCGCTAACGTAGCCTATGTACAGCGTCACCTTCTTCCCGCTCCGTGGAAACGGCAATCGCTATGCCATGCTAGTCGGGTACTACAACACGAACGATCCCGTCACCATCATCCTGCTAGCGGTGGCGTACTGCTACAAGACGTGCGTCTTCGTCGTCGGCGACGGCCGCGGCCGCATCGACTGGAACACCTTCTGGCTGGGGATCGGACTGATCTCGCTCTCGCTCGCACTGCTCGGGGCCAACGCCATAGGCGGTGTCCTCGTTCCGGGCAACCTCCGCCTCGGCCACGTCGCCCGAGTCAACCCCGAGAAGATATTCTCACCCCGGGTCGACGCCAACGCGACCACTCTCTACGAATACTGGCAGCGCTTCCAGAGCCCCACCGCGTTCCGCGCCGTGTCGGACTTGGTGCAGATGAAGGTCACCCTCAAGAATAGATATGTTATGAACTTCACCCCGATCGACCCGAATGGACCCGAGCCAGGCCTCAGACTGGATTACTCCTACGTCGTCACAGGCGTCGACTTTGGCTTCCAGAGGGCCCCCGGGTTGAAGTACACCGCCTCTGGCATCTGCAACACCCGGTACGATTGGTACGACGCCAGCTCGACTGAGGCCGAAGAAGTATACTTCCCTGTGGATTCGGACGGCGTACCTCTGAATCCGGAGGGTTTCTTCGTTAAGAATCAGACGACGGTCCCGACCGTTGAATTCTACGCCCCTCCGACCAACTCGAGCATACGCTCCTTCCTGATGATTCCGCACACGGCGAACCGCGAAAGCGAAACACGGAATCTCATCGATCCATGGTACCTAGCCCGGGACGTAGCGTTTCCGGACCAAGGGCGTATCCGATACAGAGTGGCACCACGCAGACCGGTCGTCTACTGCGAACAGGTGGACACGTACGAGTTCGAAGGCAAGAAGGTGGACAACGTTCTCGACCTGAACAAACTGTTTGAGGGGCCGCGATCGAAGCTGTCATCGTTCTGGTGGAAGCACATCCTGCCAGCGGGCGTGGGCGTCCCGGTGATCCAGCAGATCGGCAACAACCTGGGCGCGAACTCGCTCGCGTCGTCGATGCAATTCCTCGACTTCGACTCGTCCATCGACCTGTCCAAGGCCACTCTCCAGAGCGACCTGGAGCGCCTGGTGCTCGGCGCGCTCGTGTACACGCGCGAGCTGGTGCGGTCGACGACAATGACCACCGAGGAGCAGCGCGGGAACTACGTCAACGAGGCGCTGGTCAACAGCACCGACGGGCACGTGCCCGACGAGTACGCGGACTTTGTGATCTCTAGCCCGGAGGTCACCACTATGTCCGTATGGGTGCTCATCGTCACCCCGGCCATCTGCCTGTTCATCTGGACGTTCATCGCGCTCAAGGCGACCTTCCTATTTACCGAGCACTGGGGTAGCATCCGCAATGACAGCTGGCGGGGACGGTACGTGCAACGCACGATCCTGTTTTCAGCCGTCCAGCTCTACCGCCTCCTCGACGAAGAAGTCTCCGGCGAGCGCCGCTGGAAGGGCCGGCTATCATTCTACCCCTACGTCTCCGACGTCTCGCAGAAGTACATGCGGCGCTTCTCGGAATTCGAGGTGGTCCCCACCTCCGCGCGCAAATCCTCGCCCTCCCCCTCGCCCTCCCCCTCCCCCCCACCACAGACCTACGACGCCACGTCCAAATCCGGCACCCACGCGGAGATCCGCCCGGTTCCCGCATACGACCTCTCGCCCGGCGCCGAAGACGGCCGTGGCGGCGCCGGGGACTCCATGCGCCCTCTCGTCACGCCGTTCGTGCGCCCCGCGTTCGTGCCGCTGCATGAGCGGCGCAGCTCGGCGCCGATCTACGCGGCGGGGGCGGGGGGTAAGAGCGAGGGAGGGAAAGCGGCGTTCTCAGCGGATAGGAGAAGGCCGATCTCGGAGTATGCACCCTCCGCCGATAAGTATGAGCTTGTCATGACTAGGCATTGGAGGCCGAGTCTGAATGAGAGCGATATGATTCATTGGAGGCAGGTGCAGAATGAATAGGCTGTCTGATTGGTTTTTCGGTGTGCGGTGACGGGTCTGCCTTTTTTCAGATCATTTTTTTTAATGCGATTTTACGATACTACGACTTTCTTTTGGGATGTTTTGGGATGGGCTTTGGGTCGGTGTAGTTAGGAGTTTGGAGAGTTTTTTTGTTTGTTTCTTTGTATGATTTGATTTTCTTTGGGTGGACCTCTGGACTGTGATCACGGCGTCTTCGATGTGCTTTTTTTCTTCGTTTTTTTTCTCCGTTGATGTAGGAATGCGTTACCCAACAATCGTATCTGCTTCTTACATGGCTTACTCAGTTGCAGTTTCCAAGCTGTCTGTTTTTTTTTGGACGGAAGGAAGAAGGGAACTTGGAAAGATGTAGTTACGGAAGGATGTACTCTATTCTGGTAGCTTACGTGCGACGATACCTACCTTCTACCTACTTCTACCTACCTTCTACCTTCTACCTTCTATCTATAAAGTATCTACCGTATCTGACTATCTACCGTATCTGGGAAGTTCTGAGAAGTTCACCTTGAGAGTTGATGATGGCCTCCGTATCCGTGGCGGCGTGGCGGAGTCGCGGAGTTCTAGTTGCAGTTGTTTACTATTAGAGTAGAGAACCTAGAGTAGGTACTCGCGGTGTGTATGTATAGACGGTAGGAGGCGTAAAGTACTTCCGGATAGCGTGTTTCTGTCTGTTTCCGTTTCGTTTCGACGCCCGTGCACTCCCTCCCCCTTACATACTCTAGTGTCGGGCCAGTCCGGACTCCGTATTCACGAATAACCCCCTCACCTCCACCCCGTCACCACATCACGACGCCAGACCGCAACCAGCGCTGCCCCTCCCGCCCAACAGCACCACCCGCAGAGTTCCAAGACTTTCAAGACTGCGAAGATTTCCAAGGCTTCGAAGAGTTTCAAGACTTCCAGTTCCACCGCCACACCGCCGCACCGCCGCACCGCGGAAATGGGATGAGAGTCGGTCGGTCGGTCGGTCAATGCAGTCGGTCAGTTGGCTAGCGCAGCGATGAGCCTCCAAGACTCTCCACGCGGAGAGTCCTAGGAGAGATCGCCAGGGAAGAGAGAGGGAGCGCCAGAGGGATCGCCAGGGAGGGATCGCCGTAAATTGGTTAGCGTTGGATTGTCCAGGATTGTAAGGATGTGATGGGGTAAGGATGAATATGATGGGGTAAGAACGCTGTCTACAGACATCTACCGTAGAGTGCATACATACCGTACATATGTAGGATGGCGGTGGTGGTGGTGGTGGTGGACCATGGTGGGCCTGGAAGAAGGAAAGAAAGAAAGAGGAAGAGGGCCTGGAAGAAGGAAAGAAGGGAAATGGACGGTGCTGGCCACTGGTGGATTAACATCTCCTTGGTGTCGCGGGAATCGTGGAGATACCCTGCCCACCTGTGTACTGTACATGCTGGAATGCCTACACCAGCTACCTAGCAGCTCTACCAACCCAGTACCCAGCGGCGAGGCGATAGGTTAATTCGATACTAGACAGGCAGCACCCAGGTCGGCACGGCGTACGGCGCACTCTGCAGCCAGCAATGCCCACTGCCAACGGACGGTGGACGCGCAACCCGCAACCCGCAACCCGCAGCCCGCAACCCGCAGCCCGCAACCCGCAGCCCGCAACCCGCAACTCGCAACTCGCAAGTAATAGCAAGTACTGACGTAGGTACTGCTCTCCAGCATAACCCGCCAAAGCGAGACATCCCATCCCATCCAGCCCATCCAGCCGTCGTCGTCGCCGCGTCAAGGACTCAAAGAGCGGGGTCGGGTCCACTCGGCGTTGGCGTGCTCACCCCCCCCCCCCCCCCCCCCCCGACAAGCGTGCATGATGTGCTTCCCTTTCCACAATAATGCGCAGACGACGACGTGCACTCGGCGAGGTGTGCTCTGTGCTTTGTGGGGTCCGTTTGCAGCAGCAGCAGTAGCGATGCTATTTCTATAGCAGTCTCATCATTATTCATCTCGTATCTAGAAGCTGGGCTGTGGGCAGCGGGCGAGAGAGAGATCGGTTGCTCCCCACGGCCAAGGTTGGGGCCCTGGTGCGCGGTAGAAGCAAAAGCAGAGGCGGAAGCGGAAGCGGAAGCAAAAACAATGGCGATAAGCAGGCTTACCTACCTAGGCGTTTACTCCACGCCGAGTGGAAGCGGCCCCGGCAGCCCGTGAGGACCGGCAGCCAATGCGACGGCGAAATGCGAACTTGCTTTTTCCTCCTCCGCGCTTTCGTCCACAGCAAAAGCAAATCGCTAAAAGCACAGTGACGGGTCGGGAAGGTATGTATGTACGGTATGTTCGGATTCGACGATGGTGCGGCCGGACGGGGAGGGACAGCCTCTCTCTCTCTCTCTGTTTTTTTTGTTAGCCATCCACAGATTCTCAAGTACATGCGAGGGACTTCGATACGTATCGACTCGACCGACGCGATCGACATGGTTGGCCGCTCCCCAGCCCCTCCACTGCAGTTGGCCCCTAATCCCCAGTCCCAACAGCCAACCCCAGCCGTAGGCTTGATGCGAGCTCCAGTCTGCGAGGCTGTTACCTCCCAGTCTCCCCCGCCTAAGGCGGATTCTTTCGGTTCTCGGACGCGGTTCATGGGGCGTCGCCCGCTCAATCCAAGCCTTGGAGCCGCGAATCACCGGCTAAAAATAAAGTGGTGCCCCATCATCGATATCGATACCTCGCTTGCAGCCACCGGTAAACATCTCTCATACCAGGTAGAGGGTAGGTATCCCACCACGGCGTGAGAATTCTCGCAAAGAGCCGTGTGCTAGGCAGCAGTTCTACTTACCCAACTGCTGGTACAAATGAACGTACGTACGTGCTTTCTTTTTGTGTTTGATGCAGCGCAGTACTGGGTAGTATACACAGTGCGTGACAGCTGTCCATCGAAGGACTGAATCTGTGATTGCGCGTGCATCCAAGCCCCGCCCTGAATCCAGGAATCCTACCGGCGACTGGCGTCGATCCGCCGATTGGCGGGGTGTCTCGGGGATGTACCGTGGCGGTATAGGTTATCGCGGGGCCGGTCGCTGAATATGTACCTATATACTCACAAGTACCTAGGTAAGTAATTGCACCGAGCTGAGCTGAGCTGAACTGAACTGAGTCGGCCGTGTCAGGTATCATAGATTCATTGGTCGGCAGTGCAGGAGGAACATACATACCGTACATAATAGCTACCGCGCACCGGACGAATGCGCATTGCGAAGCGGGGTGGGGGAGTTGAGTGAGGGCGTGTGAGTAAATAAGCAAACAAGCAGGATGTATGCACAGTAATAGTTACCATTGCACAACGCGAGCGTGCTGCGTGGGACTGGTGCCGACTGCGACTGCGACTGCGGATGCGACTCGCGAGAACGCGCACTCCAGAACTATCTATATCCATCTTGGAAAGACTTGAATAGTTCCAAGTGCGCACTTGAAAGTGAATACCCAGCCCAGTGCCCACGAGTGACGAGTACTAAGGATGTGGAAAGCAGTATATATGGTAGCCTATAGGAAGTATCGGTATACTGGACGACTAGGATGCTAGGAGGGGCCGCACAGGCTGATGCCGTCGGTGGGGTACCGGTATGTACACATGTAGCTACCCACCTAGAGGTATGTACCCAGGTATGCCTAGTGGTCGTGTATCGTGTATTACCGGCGAGTGCATGTGGCAGTGTCAGCCGCCGATCCCGGATTCCCAGAAAGGCGGCCAATGTATGTGTGGACTGATCTTCTCTTGACGAACATCATTTCGCGGAGAAACAAATTTCCGTCCTTCCAGAGGCATGTCCTGGCGAACAAGGCACCAGTACATCAGTGAGGATGTGATCGCACTCGAGGTTGGTATGTACTCTACAGCTTAACTCCACATTTGTGGTCGGAAACGGGTATGCGGTACTTGGGTATGTACATACCTCATACTACATAGCAGCACCGTGGTTCGTAACGATCATGAAGCTCGTCCAGCTGTTAAGCGGGTCATACCGACCGAGTGCGGCCAAAAGTCCACGCTGCAATCTCCGGAGTTGTCTGTGCGCTGCAGCGGGTTTATTCCGTATGCGAGTGCGGGGGAGCGGTCCCTTCCACCACGCATCACTCGGTTTTCCATGCGGCGGTAAATTTTCCGGCACTCAAAAGACTCAACCATATGATCCGTACTGGGGTGTCGTGAGTGTAGCGAGTGCCGGTAATCCGTACGATTTGTTCGTACTCGAATCGAAGAACATGCGTTCCGGCTCCGAACTTTCGATGGCACGGCTGGAATCGACAACACCGAGTGCTGAAAGTTGAACGTTGAAAGTTGACGTTAATAGCCATGCGAGGCTGGTACTAGACCTTCTCCTACCATCTGCGATTGAATCTCGTCCGCCTCAGACTAGCCTTGAGCATTAACACATCTATCTATAAAACCCCACGCCCAACCACTTCTCTTCTTCTCCCCATCTTCTCTTCTTCTCTTCATCACACACATCGCAAGTTCACACAACTCTCTGCGCAAATTCCCAACGAAACATTCAAATCTCGAACGAATCTACCATCTACTATCACAAGTAAGCACCTAGATCCGTCTTATCACACAAGCTCACTCGCAACAATAAATGCTAACACAATATCTACCAGAGATGTCTGGGAACCAGCACAACCTGTGCCGGCGGGCCCCCGGCCTCGCTACCGCCGCGAACGCTGACCGCCCGGCCACCAAGGTAAGCACCAGCCCCCCGCACTCATATCCCGCGTACCGCATCAACCACAGCGCAAGGCCGTGGCCGGTGGAGACCGGGCTTGGGGGGGAGGGGCAGGAGGTGGAGAAGGGACGCCAGACGGAGGTGCAGGAGGGGGGAGACGCATCACCAGTTGGTGCCAGACGGTTCAGTCCCCGTCCGACGGTGGAGGACGGCCGTCCAAGTCACGTGATTATGGAGTGGAAGGAGAAGCCGGAATGGATTGCAACAGCAGAAGAAACTGTTGGTTCTGTCTGGAAGGAATTCTACAGAGGATACAGCACTGCACATCCCAGCCCTGCCATTGCGCCGCCTGAGACTACTGAAGGCGCATCCAACAGATCAAGCTCACTTGATAAGTGGAACCGCAAGCGCCCGCGGCGGCTCTGTGTCGTCGTCGACATGATGGAAAAGTTCCAGCTGGATCCCCCGCTACCAGGCGAGCAGATCGCCGGTGTTGTGGGTTACAGGCGTGCAAAGTTGTCAGAACCTCAGTGGAGAGATCTCGCTAGGATGGCACTTGACTAGGTACCTGACAATTCCGGCCATGAGCGCAGAGCCCGGACGTGTGTTCAGGGCTGCAAAAATCACCTTGTTGGACCGGAGGTGCCGTATGGGCGACGCCGCCATCGAAGCGCTGGAGTGTCTCAAGAGCTGGCGGCGAGATGGATTGATTGCGGGTAGTAGGGATGGTATCAAGGGAATTGAGGAACTGCTCAAGGCGCTTTGTGGGGAGGCTTGGAGTAGATAGTACAGCGATAGAAATGAAATGAAATAGCCAGTCCTGTCCACACTGTTGCTGTGAGAAGTAGCGTAAGTGTGCCGCTGGACGTCGCCGTCACTTCACGTCATGTCACTCCATCTACCGCCGGAGCGCGCACTTTATGGGCAGGCGGAATGGAGCGGAATTCATTCCAAGATCTAATGAGAGGTCAGAGGTGTGAGCCGGATCACACCTTTCCTTTGTGACTATGGCTCGGAACCCCCAAAACGCCCGGATTTTCACGCTCAAAGCTTCCCCCCCCCCCCCCCCCACATAATTTTAATACTAAAGCTCAATTGTCCATACTTGTACGTATGCTGGGTCGGTAACCACCATGGTGAATCACAAGTCATGATTCGCTTAATTCAATTTCCCATTTCCTATCTGTCTAATCTAATCAGGAACCAGGCATCTTGTGCACCGGCTCCCACTCCTTCTCCACCTGTTTCTCCTGCTCCTCCTCATCTCCACCCACCCCAATATTGACCGCAATGATCTTGACCGCCCTACTCTTCTTCAACGCACGAAACCGGTAGGACTTTTCCTGATTGGCGGCCTCGTATTTCCTCTCCAGATACATGCAGCGCTGGATCGCCCAGCGCAGCTGCTTCTGCCGCTACTTTAGCTCATACCGCAGCATCGCGTTCTCTGCCATCTCGATCCACTCGTCGATCGCGCTCTCGTCCACGAGGGACGAGAGCATGTGCTGTGACGGTACCGGCTCGGCCTCCGAATGACTGCAGGCGCTCGATGAGCGTGTCGAACATGGTGTCGTCGGCCTTGTCGGTGGTGGCGGTGGTGACGGTGGAGGTGGAGGTGGAGGTGGTGGTGGTGATCTTGATGATGGCGGCCTTTATAGTGGTGGCGGCGGCGGCAGTGTTCGCCTTCGGCTTCTTTAGCTGTGTCTTCTTGAGGATGCCTGCGGGCTGGGAAAGCTTGGGCGGCGAGGAGGGCGCCGTCTTAGTAGGTGGCTTGGGCGCCATGGTTGTTGTTATCGTTGTTGGTGTTATTCCTCACGTGTGTGGAGACTTTCGTGAAGTGTTCGGTAGCTGGATGGTGGGAAGGAAAGAAAAGGAAGGGAAGGGAAGAAAAGGGAAGACGGAAGTTGTGGGTTGGTAGAGAAAAATGAGCTCTGAGGTCAGAGTGGATGGCGGCTGCTGGAGCCATTCAGTCTTGCGAGAGTGGGATATTACTCCTCTTGCACATGCTTCCAATGCACCGCATCGCTCTCGTTCGGATTCGGCTTCCAACGCCTAGTCATGACCAGCTCGAACCTATCCTCGGAGGTGTTACTCTGCTGGATGGGGATGACCGTGGGTCTTACAAACGGCGTGACCAGTGGACGCATCGAATCGCGTCCTTCTTCGACACTTGGGGAGACATCATACGGGGGAACGTCGCGGATCTCGGACCGAGTCTCCGACTTGGAGGTGCCGTCACAAGTCTCCGGCGGCGGGGAGGGCGAAGGAGAGCCGTCAGACTTCGGCGCGGACGTGGGCACGGATTCCGAGTAGCGTCGCGTGTACTTCTCCGAGACGTCTGAGACGTAGGGGTGTGTGGAGAGACGACCCTTCCAGCGGCGCTCACCCGAGACTTCTTCGTCCAGGAGACGGTAGAGTTGGATGGCGGAGAATAGGATGGTGCGCTGCACGTAGCGGCCGCGCCAGCTATCGTTGCGGATACTGCCCCAGTACTCGGAAAAGAGGAAGGCTGCCCTGAACATAACGAAAGCCTAGATGAGGAGACATACGGCGGGGGTGATGATGAGGACGCGGACAGACATCGTGGTGACCCCTGGGCTCGATCCGATGATGTCGCCGTATTCGTCAGGGACCTTACCGTCAGTGCTGTTGGCGGTGGCTACGTTCATGTAGCCGGCGCGCCGATCTTTAGTCACTATAGTTGAGCGGACTACATCGTGGGTGTACACTAGCTCCCCGACGACTAGGCGCTCCAGATCGGACACGAGACTGGCTCGCGAGAGATCGATAGGGAAATCGGTGACCAGAAAGCTCATAGAAGAGGCGAGGGCATGCGCCCCCAAGCTGTCCCCTATTTGATGTATGGCTGGCACTGCAATAGCCTCTGGGATGATGTGTTTCCACCAGAACGCTGAAAGCTTCGAGTTGGGCCCGCCGAAGAGCTTGTGAAGATCGAGAACGTTGTCCACCTTCTAGCCTTCGAACTCGTACGTGCCGATCTGTTCGCAGTAGACGACCGGTCTGCCTGGTGCCACACTGTATCTGATACGCTCTTGGTCCGGAAACGCTACGTCCCGGGCTAGGTACCACGGATCAATGAGATTCCGTGTTTCGCTTTCGCGGTTTGTGGTTTGCGGAATAAGCACAAAGGGTCGTATGCTCGAATTCGTCGGAGGGGCGTAAAATTGAGCAGTTGGAACTGTTGTCTCATTCTTAACAAAAAAAAAGCACTCCGGGTCTAGAGGTAAATCGTCCGGATCCCTGGGGAAGTATAATTCTTCGTCAACAGTCGAGCTGTTGGCGTCGTACCAATCGTATCTGGTGTTGCACGTGCGGGTGACCGTGTATCTCAACCCGGGGGCCCTCTGTAAGCCAAATTCGAGGCCGGTGACCTCATAGGTGTAGTTGAATCTGAGCCTAGGCTCGGGTCCGTCCGGATCGATTGGAGTGGAGTTCATTCGGTACTTGCCCGTCAAGGCGAGCTTCGCCTGCACTGGGTCAACCATGGCGCGAAATGCTTTGGGGCTTTGGAATTGCTGCACGTATTCGTAGAGATTGGACGCGTTTGTTTCTGGGTGGGCGAGAATATGATATCGGGGTTCACTCTGGCGATATTGCCGATCCGTAGATTTCCAGGAACGAGCACACCCCCCATGGCGTTGGCAAGGAGTAGACCAAGAGAGAGTAAGATGAGCCCGGCGCCCAGCCAGAAAATGCTCCATTCCATGCGGCCGCGACCACCACCGGTCACGGAGGTGCAGATCTTCCAACAGTAGGCCGTAGCCAGCAGAATAGTCGTGACCAGATCGTTTGTGTTGTGGTATCCGACCAGCATGGCGTATCGATTTCCGTTTCCACGGAGGGGGAAGAAGGTAACACTGTATGCATGTTGGGGCACCAGCGAAGATGACAGCGGGGAGCGGATCCATACACCACATCTTTAACCAGGCGAGCGATCCCGGCGAAGATCAAAATCAGCAGCAACGTGTATGCGGCAATCCACTTGGCAGCCTCTGAGGATTCCACGGCGACGGCGCGGATAAGTTTCCCGTCTTTCGTGGGCATGTAGAACCATCTGGTGACGCCGAGCACAAACTTGATGTTGGGCGGTATGTCGAATTCGTTGATGGTATTCATCGCACTTGATGAGGTGACGGACTGCGCGTTCTGTGGCAGGAGGAGCTTTTATTTCCGCGTTCGGTCGAGAGGGTATATGCTTTCCGCTTCGGAGAGAGACTGAACTGGCGAGATGTGGTACGGGTTGTCAGGCTGGGGATGGGTACCGGTACATAGCACTAACTGCGGCCGGTGTTGCGGTATAACTTATATATGCAGTTCACTCTAACGTAGCCCCGCACTCAGCCGCTCGACGTATGTACAGCTCGATCCTGTCTCACCCACTCTCGACCGGACAATCGGTTTTGTGCTCAGAATCAAACGCAGAACACCTAGGCACTCCGCAATATCAGCGCAGAAACTCTCCACCGTATCCTTGAGCTCACGCACGGAGTGCGGCCAATCAGGTCCGGAGCTCAGTATGGAGACGCTTTAACCCTCCGTGGCTTCGGGAACATCCAATGGTAACCTCCACAGCAGCGCCGAAATGTAAGACAATCATCAGGTCAGTCTCATGCAGCCGGTATCACGGCCCTATCAGATAGCATATCTCGAGGAAAACCTGCAGGCGAAAAACTGATCCGCCTCTCACCATGAGTAGTGATCCTCGCTATCACCAGACACTTCCTTCATAGTGAGGGGGTATGTCTCAGATCGATGAGGAAGATGCAGCAAGTGAGGTGTCCGAGTGGGAGCTGAGGGAGCGGGAAGAGAGGGAGGTGCTGCGGCGGCTCGAGGAGGAGGAGGCTTCCGAGGGAGGCGACGGCGTGGTTTAGGGACTTGCGGAGGGGTACGGACGAGCCCAGGGAGCGGACGGTGTTTTTTCTTAGTGTTTTTTGTTTGGTGCGCTCTATCTTCATTTCTGAGATAGGCCGGGGCGGAGGGCGGGGAAAGCCACATCGGGCCGCTCGGTGAAAGTTGGGTTGGACAGTGGCATGGAAACGGGGGGAAGGGTGTACAGGTAGACATTGCCATGATCTAGACAGGTCGCATGCAATCAATGATTAAACAAGAAATATATCTCCGATCGTGTGTACTCGAAAACCCATCTAGCGGCGAAGAATAAATGTCCAAAAGCCGTTCGATTTGGGGGCGATCTCGAGTTCGCCCCGTGGATATTCCAGTTATGTGCCCGTACGCATGCTGAGCAGAACTCGAAGAGGACTCTCCAGTGGGAATTCCAGCTCGCAATGGTGGGAATGGACTGTGGCTCCTGAGCGTGCAAAGTTCCGTCTTCATTTCTGGACGGCCGTGGTCGTGGCTGATTGGTTTTTCGTTTTATTATGTTGTGGCATGGAGGACGCTTGTGCTAGGTACTTGATGCTGTCATGGCTTTAAACACACCCAATCCCACCCTCAGCCCCACCCAACAATCGCCACCTAATATTCTGAGGTTCCCTGATTTCCCAAGTGGTGCCCCACAACCCCCGCTTGGCCGGGAAGTGATCCGCGTGGATTCTCTGCTGGGAATGTGGAGACCGTGGGAATATAGACAACATCCCGAACACCTGGAGCCATACTCTGCCGACCGACTTATTCGGATCATGCTTGCGTTGACGTCTGAGGATTACTCAGGCACAGCGGGGTTTGGGCGGGACAGAACCCGATAACCAAGGAGGCCACGGGATACGTAGGGGCTGCAGGGCGTTCCGATTCCAGACGCTCCTTATTCTGCACCCCAAGTCCGGCCTCGGACCATCACTCAAAGCGGTGAATTCAAAGTTCATGCTGATGTTTGTCTTTGATCACGCTGAATATGCTATTGGCATGCTCCTCTATGTTGAGAATATGCTTATCGATGGCTTCACAAGAAATCGGACGACACCTGGGATTGTACTCCAGAGTAGATCTTTTCATCTGAATACTTTCGAGTTAACCGAGTACCAAGTGCACTCGTAGCAAAAAGACGCGAGGGGGCGTAGGTACCGTTCGAAGCGCCGCTTGTTTCCTCGGCGAAGGAGTCCAGCCTGGTGCATACGTCATCGCTCCGAGAATCGAACCAGCCGGTGTTGACTGTCACGTGTTTGGTTGATTGTACCTACATAGTTGGTCACTCGCTTGCTCACTATGTGTCACGTGATTGATCTTTCTACTTGGCCGACGTGTGGCTTGCTCTCTCTCTTGTTCGTCCGTGCGTGCTCTCCTATTAGGTTACTGAGATATCATGACATGCGCCTATGAAAGAACCCTATCCTCTCCACATAGCTGGATCCTCCCCTCATTACATCTCAGTCGAATATTGTCCTTCTTCATTCCCACCTATTCTTCAACCGCCGGCATCCTGGGCCCTGGCTCTGATAAACTCGACGTAGGTATTCCTTCCGTCCCCGGGATTCCACTATCCATATCTCATTACGCCTCCCAGGAGGACGCAACTCGCTCTTCGCCTTGCCCCGGTCGTATCGAGATCCCAGATCCGCTCCCGTGGTTTCCGTGTGCACAGCCGGCCACGTTGTGGAGCGCAAGCACGGCTCCCCTCAATGATGCGGGACTCGATCCCTTCCCTCTTCTGTTATACCTGTATGGTGCAGCCCCTCAGTATCGGGCTCCACTTTCATTCCGGGACGATGTGGTGACGTGCAGTTGTCGTCTGTGGCATCCCCCCCCCCCCTCCGGCGATTCACAGAATCCCACTCGACTACTGGACGGATTCACGGGTATTCCGACATGTTGCTGAGCGCCCTGCCGTAAGGTCATGTCGGCCTGCGTCCAGTCAGTGACGATGTACGGGCCAGAGGACTGGCGGAAAGAGGCGGACCAGGAGCAAGAGTGACGGTTGGAAGGGGTGATGACCTACAGAAGCTTATCAACCAGGAGGCCAAGGCGGTCACGGGTAAATTCAAGACCACCAACCAGGACACCTTCGTACTAGAGCCAGGACTGAGACCGGCAGCAGCACAACTCAACAACCGGGACAGACGCTTCGACCTCAGACTCAAACGCTCCAGTAGTTAGTCAGTTGAAATGAGAACACTGGTTTAAACAGTTCAGTTCTGGTTGATTTTGTTCCCGGCTCAGTTGGGAACAGAGGCTGTCAGTTCCCAGTTGGTTTAAGTATGTCTGGCATTTATTCCCGGGAAAACTGGCAGAACTGTCAGTTCAGCGGATGAACTGCCAGTTCAACCAGGGCAGCCAAAGTGGCCGAGATAGGTTTCCCATGGTCACGGAAAGAGCGATAGAAGATGTACATTACTAGATTTGAATTACTACTCTCATGCTCCCTACCCATGGGAGCACGGCGATTGAACCTCTTGATCGCGCAGAATCAATTACGGTTGCTGACTAAACATGCACCCGAGTCAATCTGAGCTAATCAGGATTATTGACTTGGGAAGCGCCCGGGTCAATTACGTTTGTTGACTAAACATGTCCCGAAGTCAATCTGAGTCAATCACGATTATTGACTCGTGATGGCACCCAGTGAACTACGGAGATCGATACTGTGGGCTTAGATACTCTTCAGAGCTTTAACACTATCGGTACCTAGGGAATGCCGATGATTAGTTAGAATCATCTTGCACTCGGAGAACAGCCGACATGGCTAGAATCGACAGAATTTCAATGGCCATTCGGTTGAGGTTAGGAAACCGTCGTTGCTAACGCGGTTCCAGCCACCATTCGAACATTCCTCTCACCGGGCAATGATTAATAGTCCTGGAGCTCGTCAACCGGGGCAGCGTGCTCTATATTTCCCAGCTAGTAGGTGGTGGGTTAATAGTCAGTTCGCCGGTGGGATGGTGGTGGCGGCCGGTTTCGCCCTCGATCTTAAGCTTCACTGAACTGTTGGGCCAAGCAGTTTTCCCAGTTCAAAACCTGCCAGTTGGTTCGGTTTGCCAGTTGGTTCAGTTCACTATCCCCCAACAGTTGGTTGGTCCGGGAACACCCCTGGTTTATTCCCAGTTCGAACTGTTGGAGGGTCTGCTCAGACTTCTCAGCCTCCCGAAAGGAGACCAGGCTAGAAGTACGCCACCCAGACAAGGAATAACATTGTTACCCTCCGCCGAAGGGAGCCCGAGATCACCATTCAAACCGGATGGTGCGCGGCACATAAACCTCAAAGGCGTCACTGGGTTGAAGGAGAAGGCGGACGAATGTGCGACACCACCACCACTACCGCGTCAACTTGGATATTGATTTAAAGATTTAAAAGAACAATTGCAAAACTCAAGGAACTATTTTCAAGAAACGCCAACTTTGTATCTCCCCCTCATCCCCTCGGGTTTGCCCCCCAATTGGCCCCTCCCTCCTCCCCGACGCTTCCTAGTCCCAGTCCAGTTGTCTGTAAAGAGCCCACTGTATCAGATGCATGTCCCTCATCGCGTTCAGTGGTAGTTGCTCGGTGCTACATACCTGGTAACTATTTATGTGGCTACCGCCAGCAAAGGGGCGGAGCCGCGGTCCATCGATGATTATATCAGTACCAGCGCTCGGCGGGAAATGATTCCGCCCGATGGCACGATATGTGTGATGTCCGGCTACGCGCGCGGGGGGGGGGGGGGGGGGGGGGTGCATCATGAGATGCCGGCTCCAAACCCCACCTAAGAATATTTTCGCCTCCCTCATCCACTCGGTTTACCGCCTATGTTGGCAACGGCCAGTTCAGTTCGCCGCAAGATGTTCATTCGTCAGGTTGTTGACGATGAATGCGGTAGAGTCAGCTTTGGTGGCTGGAGTGGTTGCTCCTGCATGGCCATAGCCATCCATCGCCGGGTCCACCAATGACAGCTGTTTGTCTGAATAGTGGTCCTCTTCCACGTCCTCTTCCCCATACGATTCTTCTTCAGCTGTAACGGATTCGGACTTCCAGTCCGGTCCCGTTGCCTGTAAAGAGCCCACTGTATTAGCTGCATGTCCCTCGTCGCGTTCGGTGGTAGCAGTTGGTGGCCTGCCTGGTAAATTTACCCATGGGAAGGTGTTCCCGCCCAGCACGGGATCCGCCGTCGAGATCTCGGCCTCCGCGGCTGCCTCACGCTGGGCATTCCCCTCCCTCCAGCCAACATTTCCCTTCTCAAGGGAAACCAGGGGCTCGTGGCTCCTTGGGTCTAAAAATACCTCGTCGACTTCACTTGGTACCTGCCAATCTACTGACTGGTTGGGCTTCGTTATTCCCGTCTTCCGCAGGCACCGCCGGTGCCAGGGTGGGGATAGCCCGATCGGGCGAGAATCGCGAAAGTCAGCGTGTTGGGCCGGGCCGGGTAAGGGGTCCTTTGGACGCAATATCCTCTAGGACGTCGCACTTCTTCTACAGAAATGGAAGAATCGTGTGCCACTTCTCGAAGAAAAGGTTGAACAGCACTTTCGTCAACTCCCGAGTCCGGAGAAGGAAGCCGGCGCCCAGGGCCATCATCCGACAGCTCCGGCATCTCATCCGTGCCCCCAGGCAAACCGAGCGTCACAGCGAGGACCTGATGGTTGGTTAGCCACATATAAAGCCGCGGCAGTGATACGGAGTGGCAACTTACGTCTCCGAAGGGATCTATATCGGATATAACTGCCCTCATGGGGCAGGCCAGTGGCCGCTGGGTGGATTGAAGGTAGACTCCTACCGAGGGGTTTGTCGGGCGTTGATATTGAGGTTGATGTATGTGATGGAGAGAGAGAGAGATAGGAGAGGGGAGGTGGGAAAGAGGAGCTATTTATGTGAGAGCGGGGGGGCTAGGTGCGGCCTAGTGCGGGCGGGGTTGAGCCCGCATTCCCGCGTCCCCGCAACCCCGCATTCCCGCACACGCTGAGGAACTAGGCACCTGTACACACCGGGGTGGAAGGCAGGGCGACCACCGGCAACCATTGAGAACCTCCGCCTTTGGAACATCCATGATATCCAGGGATGCCTTATTGCCCATCGCTGCAGTCGGGACTAGGTATCTCCTAGGTTGTATTATATAAGTAATGCCGACCACAGCGGCCCGGCCCAGAATCTTCGCCGTCAAAGTTCAAACTCCTCAGCCTCAAAGCCCCCCGAAAGGAAACCGGGCGAGGCTGGCAGCGCGATCGGCAAACGCACGGTGAACCGTGACCTTCCTGCGCTGATCGGGCTGGTCAGAGGTGACGGCGGTAATACTCGTAGATAAAGCGGAAGCACCAGAATGCACGGTCTCCCCATGGACGAAGAGCAAAAAACCAAGACTCGCGCAGAAGCTGAAGGTCCCCCTCGCTAGCCCCCTTAGAACTACGGTTTTGCGGATGGTTCTTTTGCCAACGCCCTCCAGGCCGGAGGCGGGATCGAGGGAGAGCACACACAGAAGGAACAGAAGATATGGAGGTTGATCGTCTATTCCGTAGATGATAAGAGACAAAGAAGAAGAAGAAGAAGGAGCAGACGACTAAGGAGCAGATAACACCGCTGGACGCGCCAACGTTGATGCTGCCTAATAAGCCATTCGCTTCCTCCCTTCGACAAGTCCTCCTCTCGCTAATAGGTCCTCTATTGCCCCGTAGGGCCGCCAAAACGGTATTGATGTTCACCGGTGGATTTCGGATGGATTCTGGTGAGATGGGATATGCGGTCCCGTGGCAAAACTGCTCAAAGTCCGCATAGGCTAACTATGTCGGTAGTGACTACCAAGAGGCCTGCATGATGTGGAGTGCGCGGTCACCGCACGGGCACGTGCACCAGAAGCGGCCACCAGCAGAAGGCACACTCTCTTAGCAGGGTCACCATCTACAAACCAGAATCATGAACGAGTGCGGTAGATACGGTAGAGTACCTACCTGATCATAGAGGTAGAAACTTTATGGTATACCTATACATGCAGAACCGGAACCAAAGAAATGCGGTACCATTGTTTTGTTTGTTCCATCATCATTGCATTCGATCTTAGTAGATTATGGCAGATTACATGAGTATATATCCGCCAACTTGGAGACTGATCTAAAAGAATAAACACAGAACTGAAGGAACTCTCTTTCCACCGAACACCAACTCTTTTGGTCCCCCCCCCTCACACCCTTGATTTACCCTTGCCACCCTTGCCGCCCCGAAGCTTCCTCGTTCTGCTGTCTGAATGGAGCCCAATGTATTAGATGCATATCCCTCGTCGCGTTTGGTGGTAGTTGGTCGGTGCTACATACCTGGTAACCAGTCACCGCATCATGTAGAAGCCGGCGGAATTCTGAAGATCTTCCTCTTCAATTTCATGCTCGTCTCTGCGGTGGGTTCCGTGACCACTTCTTCAGCATCCATGACGCTGACAATGCATTGGATAATGCGATTGATGTTCTCTTGATCCAACCGCGAATCGTCGACATCGATCGCCTCGTCGCTTCCCATGACGTCGTTCCCCACTAGCAGATAGTTCCTCATGCGCTCTGTATCCCCCACGCAAAGGGCAAAGAAACCGTCCTCCGTAGATAATGACATCGGTGCCGGCGCTCGGGGGGAACTAATTCTGCCCGATGGCACGATGTGTGCCATGCCCTAGTTGACGGGCGGGGAGGGGAGGAGAAGGCATCAATAGATGGATGCTATTTCCTTCGTGACATTCTGAACAAAACGTCAGCTCCCTTCTTTTATCGTGTGGGAAACAAATCATCAGGGAGTATGACTTTTCTTGCCTTCCATGGCATTCAACCAGATAGTAACGAGAATTGGCTCGGGTTAGAGCCGTACTCGTAAACAAATCTGGAAGCAAGGTAGGCAACTCCCAAAGATTGGTTTGTCTTCGGAGTACCTAGCGAACAAAGTTACAAACGGCGTTCGCTTCCATCGACGATCCTCCAGAGGCCCTGCCTTGAGATAGGTAGTTGTCTGGAACCCTCTCAAGGATGGTGTCAAGGCCGATGATCGATCTGCCATGCTCAAAGCCCAATGTACCTATTAGATGCATATCCCTCATCGCGATCGGTGGTCGTCGGTGCGGTGCTACATACCAGGTAACGGCCAGCAAAGGGTGGAGCGGCGGTTAGCCACCACCGCCATAGCCGCCACCGCCACCACCGGCACCCTACTACTCGGGGGGAAATAATTCCGCCCCGAAAGGTGCAACATTGGTGATGTTCTTGACCGCCGCGGCCGCGGTGGCGGCGTATGCCCGCATATATAGGGCGTGTTTGTTTGCGGCTGGGGTGGGGCCCATCAAGGGGTTTGTGGGGTTTTCGTTTCGAGGAGAGTAGATATGGACGTGGGAAGCCGAAGATTTGAAAGCGGGGTTTATCGAGTGTTGATATTGAGGATGTGTGTGATGAGAATAGAGAGAGAGAAGAGAAGAGGAGAGGAGAGGGGGGAGAGGAGCAATTTATAAGAAAGCAGGGCGGCCTAGTGCGGTGTGGTGCGGGCAGTATTGAGACCGCATCCCCACATCCCCGCACACACCGAGGAACTAGGCACCAGTACACGCTGCGGCGGAAGACAGGACGACTCTGTCGTGATGTATGTAGTACTCACGTATCCTCGCCCACGCTGCCTGTAACTATCGCCGTACGGGCGCACTCGTGATTTTGGTACAAAGATGTAGGTATGCCTTCTGGCATTTGTAGGGAGTAGGTATGTAGAGTATGTAGCTTTCTTGCTTCATCCCGAGTCATGTATGATACCTACCACTACTCTCTAGATAATAGAAACGATACCAACTTTCCCAAACACATTAAAGAATTCCATACATGATACCGATTGGAGTAAACACACCGAAGTGCCGCGGGCCCATGGTAATTGGCCACAAAAAGGCGCCCATGGTAATTGGCCAAAAAAAAAAGCCTATGTGGTTATGGTCGAGCGGACTACTTCGTGGGTATAGTACTTAGCACCCGGTCGATGTGCGAACGCCAACAAGAGTACCGTAGTGGGATCAATCTTCTGTGATATTGTGTGATGCACCCCCCCTTCGTGGTGCACAGTTGTTGGCGCAGTACCGACGGGACGATCATTGAGCAGCACTCGCCCGCGGCGGAGTACTAATGGATTACCTAATCGTGAATGACCAACGGCCATAGCACCGTGCGTGTTCGGCTCTAGCGGGAGACAGAGAGACGAGGACGCCTCCATACCGAACCCGTCGGGACTCCGCCATATCCTCTATGGGATATCCATGTAAATGCGAGTACCTGCTTATGATCTCAGACCAACAAACCAAACCAAACAAGACAAAAAAAACCAAACCAAACCAAATCTACCTACGGAGCGTCAATTTCTACTATAGAGTACAGTACAATACAGTCAGTTCGTACAGTCAATTTGTACAGCCAATTTGTACAGTCCAGCCAGGTAATCTGACAAGCGACCAGAAAGCTATGTCCCTGTCCGTGTCCGTGTTCGTGTCCAGGCTCCAGGCTCCAGGCTCTAGCTCCAGGCATTACCCATGCCCATACGATACGATACGATACCCCCGATACTATACGATACGATACCCAAGTTCCAAGTTCCAACGCAACCCTCGATGGACCCGCCATCTCCCTCCCTCCATCCATCCCTCCATGATCCATCCACAATATCTACCACCCCCTAACTCTGCCCCCTCACCGGCCCCCTCCACGTCCCATTCCCCTCGACGACCCCAGCACGGGTATAATCCATGGTCCTTCCGCTCCTCGTCAACCACGCCATCCTAACATAGCTCCTTTCCCCCTGTCGTCTCTGATACGTGAACTCCCTCTTCTCCCCGCCCTCACCCTCGCCGCCCTCCACATCCCCGCCATCCCCGCCATCCCCGCCATCCCCGCCATCCCCGCCATCCCCACCATCCCCCTCCCCACCCTCGCCCATCCGCCACTGAAACCGCTCGACATCATTAACGAGCACACTCACTCCAGTAACGCCGTACTGTCCACCATCCGTAAGTCCCTCCGGCGGGGTCGGGAGGCCGAGAGTGACATTCCACTGTGTAACCTCCGGCGCAGTGATATTCGGCACACTGGAGTAATACAGTCCATCGCCGATGAGGCTTTCCGGTGTCTCCACGACGCCGGCGAAACCCCAGCGGGCGACACCGTTGATGAACAATCCGACCAGGATCCCCTGGTACAGGAGGCTAGGGCGCGTGGGCAGGCTGCAGCCTGGGAGTAGGAGCAGTGCGAGGATGTAGTGGTGGATCCGCAGGCTGGTGCCCGGGATGGCAGCGAGGAGGCCGAGGGACGCGCCGATGGAGGCGTACAGGCCTGCCATTGAAGGGAGTCGTCCGCACAGGCGCAAGTAGTAGACTTGCCCCAAGATGAGAAGGATGAGCACGACGATGATGATTGCGAGCGCGGTTTTTGCGCCGGGCTGCTGGTTCAGGTCACGGGCGGTCAGGCGGGAGATCGGAATGAGCTTGTCGAAGGTGATGTTTGTGAGCGCGCCGACCCACAGCCCCGCGAGGTAGAGGACGGAGCGCTCGACGGCCGGCGTGCGCTTGTGCGAGCGCTTGAGTATGTACAGCCATATGAAGTGGGCGACGAAGATTGCGGGGAGGAAGCCGGCGAGCGCGCGGCTGACGATGGCGTACGGGTTGTTGAGGTATGGCGGGTCGCTGGCGAGCGCCACGTGGAAGAACACGCCGACGAAGGTGGCGTAGAACGGGATCGCGGGGACGGGCGAGATCACGGAGATAGCCGTCGTGAACGGGATCGACACGCCGAAGAGGTGCCACCGCAGGTCTTTGCACGCCATGAAGCTCACCCCGGAGGCGAACGTGTACGAGCTGGGGAACGTCGCGTCGAAGCCGATGCTCTCTATCCCGTTCCGCTTCGTCGACGGGAATGAGGACGCCTCACCCGTCCGCACCAGTACTCCGCAGCCGCCGTAGTGCGACGGGAACACGCCCGCGTGCACCGCGGATGGACAGATGAAGCTGTCGGCGCGGTAAGTTCCGTAGGTGCCGTCGTCGTTCCCGCCGCCGACCACGAACGTGCGGTACGCCACCACCTGGTCCCCGACCGCCCGCGGATTCAGCACCTGCCCACCGGACACACAATCCGACGGACAGCGGAACGCGAAAGAACTATTTGAAAACGGCAGACAAGCCTCGCCGTCGAGGCCGCAGAGGTTGTTCTTAGCCCTGTTCTACGTTAGCCCACCAGTGCACACCCACCACCCCGCTACCACCACCCCGCTACCCCACCACCACCCCCCCAGCTATCTTGACATACCACAACGAAGCCCCACACCCGAGATGCATGGGCACCACGCCCTCGACCGTATCCGCAAAGCGGGAGTAATGCACGACCACACCAAACAGGAGCGTCCACACCAGCAGGAACGCCGTGAGCGCCGCGAGCTGGGCCCTTCTCCTCTTCAGCGTCCGCTGGAACGTCCGCGCCGGCCACGCCTGCACCCGTGGAAACAGCGGCCGGAACGCGATGTCTACCGCCGGCGTCGGCCCGCGCAGCCACGATATCGTCGCAAGGAAGTAGCGGGTGTACCACGCGGGCGAGGGCGCGGCCGCGGTCGTCGGTGGCTGGTGTGGGTGTGTAAGCGGCAGTGTTGATGAGGCGGCTGATACGCCGCCGGAGTCGGTGTCGGATGCGGGAGGCGTGAAGGCGCCCGAGGCGCTGGTGCTGGGCGGCATGCGGATGGCGTGGGCGTGCCGGGACGGGACGTAGTGCTCGCTAGGTACTATAGTCTATAGGTAACTATCCGGTGTGCGGAAACGGGCGCGGAAACGGGCGCGGAAACGGGCGTGGAGAACGGTCGGTGATGAAACGAAACGACAGAAGTGGGGCGGGAGAGCGAAGTTCCGGCCGCCGAGGAAGTGTGCTGATCTGCTGGGCCCTGCGCTGTCCTGTGCGGTGCTGGCTGTGCTCGCTGTGCTGTGCTGTCAGCAGCGTTTGTAAGCGCACGCGGCCCTGGCTTTGGGGGTTTGGCTTTGGCTTTTGGCTTTTGGCTTTTGTCTGCCCGGTGCCTGCCTGCGGCCTGCCCTCTGCGGTTAATTCGTGAGCCAAGCTGGAGTACATAACTTACATACCTCATGCCTCATGCCTCATGCCTACCGGTAGGTACTCGTACATACCACATACCGAAGCTCGAACAAAGGGACCACCTGGAATCATCACCATCGACCATTGGCCGTGAGTCCGTGAGTCATGATTCATTTGCAGCTTCAGCTGCACAGTGACGATGTGATTTCGGAGTATCGGAGTTAAAGGTTGAAGGTTCTGGGGTCTGGAGTCTGGAGTCTGGAGTCTGGAGTCTGGAACTCGCATGCCTACTCGCAACTCTACCGATTCATAGGTACTATATATTGCGCACGTTCGAATGTAAAAATGTAAAGAATAGACGCCACGATCCATGCAAAGTCCTTAGATATCGCGTGCCGTAAACAGGGCTGAGACCGTGGACGTTTGGTACTCTTCGTAATTTGGAAGGATGCCGGGTGAGCGTTGTGGGAGGCGGAGCGACGATGCGGCCTAGTAGAGTAGCGACAGGCGGCGAGAGATACGGAACGTCGGACACCAACCGGAGCGAGATTCGAGGCCGCAACACGGACTGCGTTGCCACGATCCAGCTATGTAGAATAAATCGACGCCGCAATCGAGATTCGAGACTGTTCCGGACTCCGGAGTCCGGCCTGGGTACCTGTACCTGTACCTGTACCTCAACCTGTGCCTGTGCCTGTAACGTAGACAGCAGACAGCCGCGCGTTCATGGTGCTTTGAACAGCCTTACCCAGAGTAGGTACATGGTGGGGCTGGTGCTTTAATAGTACTCAACAACTCTGGCTGTTGAGCTCGACCTCAAGTGTAGCGTGTTCCCACTCCACTTCTCGAGATTCCGCAGATGCAATACTTCTTCGTTGCTTGAACTACAGTATATTGTGCCCAAAGTCATCACGTCGACAAGTTCCCCATCCTGTAACCTGTAACCTGTAACCCGTAACCTGTAACCTGTCATCGAGTATCCATAGTATCTATAGTAGGTACCAGTACACGACACTGTAGGCACCGCCGCACCATGGCATCACATCAGCCACACCACCGGTCACCAGCACATCAAGCAAGCACATCAAAGTAGGTAGAGCAGGGATAAATCCTATTCTCCGCCAAAAGCAAAAAAAAGATATGTACAGCCGCCGTATATTTACTCTCCCTTTCTCTCTCTCTCTCTCTCTCCTTCTCGCTTCTTCCCCATTTACCAGCTCAATTACCCTCCACTCTACTCCACTTCAGCCAAGGGCCAAAGAAAGACCAAAGAAACGAAAAAAATGAGCATGAAAAAAGTAAACCGAAACCGAAACCATCGCAACCCCTCTATACCCAGTGGCAAGCCAAAGGCAAGCAATCATAAAACGTCACGTCACACGCCTTCACACCCAAAGAAGTCCAAGTGTAAAGTCTAAAGCCCCGCGTCCTCCTTCCTGATAGCGCCAACATCGATCATGTTCTGGACCTCGTTAGGTCTAGGCTTGAGCTGATCCTTGGCGAGGGGCTTAACGCCGAGACCGTTGCGGTTGCGGAAGAAGACTACATCCGACGCCTCGCCGGTAGTTCCCTCGCTCTCCTCGACCCACTGGCACCAGCGGGCCGACTTCCAGATGGCCTTGATGAAGCCGAGGGTGCCGCCCTCGACGTCGGCGCGGTAGTGCTTGCCCATGACGGGCTTGATGGCCTCCGACGCCTCGTCGGCGTGGTAGAACGGGATCAGCGGGATGAAGTGGTGGAGCACGTGTGTCTCGACGATGCCGTGCATCAGGTGGCGGCCGATGAAGCCGAATTCGCGGTCGATGGTCGCGGCGGCGCCGCGGCAGTAGTTCCAGGCCTCGGGGTAGTAGTGCGGCAGCGACGGGTCGGTGTGCTGCAGGAAGGTGATGGCAACCAGCCAGTGGTTGACCCAGAGGTAGGGGATTCCGTACCAGAGAGCGATGTTGGCGGCACCCCACTTCTGGCAGGCCAGGTAGAGGACGTAGCCGGTGAGGGCGACACCGATGTCGGAGAGGATGATCAGCTTGCCGTCCTTGGCCTCGTAGAGGGGCGAGCGGGGGTCGAAGTGGCTGACGCCTCCGAAGTAGCCGTTGCGCTTTCCGACACCGCGGCCCTCCTTCTGGCGCTGGTGGTAGTTGTGGCCGGTGACGTTGGTGAAGAGGTACATCAGCCAGCCGAGAAGCTGCTGAGCGATGGTGTGGATGAGGGTAGCGATCGGAGTCTCTTCCGTCAGCTCGGCGATATCGTGGGCGATGCCGCCGGCGTAGCGACGGGCGTACTCGAGGCGGGACTTGGGCACGAAGACCATGTCCTTCTCGAGGTTACCGGTAGCCTTGTGGTGCTTTCCGTGCGAGATCTTCCAGGAGAAGTAGGGCACGAGCAGCGACGAGTGGAGGACCCAGCCGACAGTGTCGTTGACGATCTTGGACTCCGAGAAGGCCTGGTGACCACACTCGTGGGCCAGCACCCACACTCCGGTTCCAAACAGGCCCTGCACGAAACCGTAAACACCCCAGGCGGCGGCACGAGCAATCAACGGGGCACCCTCGAGAGCGGGCATGATGTGCCAGTTGAAGGCGTAGAAGTTGGCCGAGATGTAGGCGAGATCACGGGCGACGTAGGCCAGTCCTTTCAGGGCTGACCGCTGGAAGCAGTGCTTGGGGATAGCATCACGGATCTGCTTGATGGTGAAGTCGGGCATCTCGAACGTGTTGCCGTAGGTGTCGACCATGGGCTTGCCCGGCTTCTCGTCTCCACCCATCGACGAGAGCGAAGTCGACGAGGACGACATCGAGGGGGAAACCGATGCCGATGTGGATGCGGAGAGGGGAGTGGAAGCAGTCGAAATGGAGCCGCTGCGGCGAGCACGAGACCGGGTCATAGGGGATTCCATTGTGCAAGAGTCTAGAGATAGCAGAGTCGAGGTCAGTCAGGCCGTTTGCATTCACGGAGGGACCTGAGAGAGACAAACCTAACGGTGCCAGCAGTTAGAAAGGAGAGTCAACTGAATGGTTCCGATCCAAACGAGGGTGTTTCTGAAGCTGGAGCAGCGTCGGGGGTTCTGTTGAAGAGAGGGAGGTAGGGGGGAGGGGGGAGGTTGATGGTTGTGCGGGAGAATGGAGAGGGGAGAGGAGAGCGAGCGGAGCGGGAGAGCTTAAAGTTATGAACAGATATCTGTGAAGGGGACGAATCTGGGGGGCACGCTATTGATTTTTTTTGCGGGTGCTAGCAAAGCAAGGGGAGCGAATTACAAGGCAGCGATTGACAGCCGGCAGGGCGATATCAGCAGAAGGAGCATAGCACGCAGCGGGCACAGTCGACAACCGACCCTGGGATGGAGGGGTGGATGGATGGATCTTGGACGAGTGGCCAGACCAGCGACCCGGCCCCAAAAGAAAGGAGGAGGCGACAAAGATGAAGTTCGACCCGACGGGGGTGAGAGACTTTTTCTCTTCAGCCAGCACAGCTGGAGGCGGCGGCGACGTCGAAGACACACGGGCCAATCGAGCAATTGGCCAACCAGCCGATGATGCAGGGCCGCCAGCCTATCGCCGCCCGCCCGCCCTCGGTGGTCTCTCCCTGCTCCTTATCCACCGTATCGCTCTCCGCATCGAGATATCTCCATCTTTTAAGCCCCAATTCGAAGGACATTCCCAGACCGGGTCAAGTGTGAACGGGCGTACGAGGGACAGTTGGGACGAGCGCGATGTTGCGGGCTTGTCCTGAACGGATTGAGAAATACACAGAGAAAAAACTCAAAAGCCCCTAGCCCATTGACCGTCGTCGGCCCCAGGAGCGTTTAACCCTGTTTCCGGCGACGCAGGGCCCAAGCGAGGCCCCTGTTGCAAGGATGGGTGTTGCGACCATTCCCATCGACGCAGAAAAGGAAAAAAAAAGAAAGCAAAAAAAAAAGGGAAAGCAACCAGGCCCTAGCACGCATAGCACGAGGCAGCGGGAAGGAGGGAGGAAGAAAAATTGTTGGGAAGCTCGGCAAACGTGCGACCAACTGGACCCTCAACCATTTCGAGCCAACAAGAGCCAAGACCAGACAAGACAGCGACAGCGACAGCAACGGATGCCGGTGCGAACCCGATGAAAAACATGCTCGACTGCATACATGCGACCGCGTCTACTTGAGTACTCAACCGGCACCGCACCACCGCTCAGCTCATGTCAGGAGACGGCGGGGGCGCGGGGGCGCGGAAAACGGCAGGAGCCAGGCCGAGGCGGCGCGGAGAAGGAGCTGTCGTGCCGGTGGATGGTGGAACTCCACCACCACCACCCCCATCCTCGCGATGGTGTCGTGATATGATAGGTACACACACATCAATTGCCCTTGAGCTTATTCGCATCGCCGGTTTTTTAGGTTTTGAGTGTGGGTGCAGGTTCGGGCTACGGTACAGTACCGTGCCTACCTACTCTACATGGATATGATGGATATGATCGGAGAGGTGGTAGAGTGGCCGCCACACTCCTCGCATGTGAATCGGGACCGACCTAGGTAAGCAGGCAACGATTCCGATAGACGCGGCACCTTGGTTGCTTTTGTTGGGGAATGCAAAGGAACCTCAGCTGCTTGGTTCTCGTTTCGGTGAAGGCGAGCAAGCAAATAAAGCGAAAGAAAAGTGCTGCGATTCATTTCTTTGCATGTGTGTGTGCGCAATTTCGTTCACAGCTCCTTCCCTTCGGCTGCAATTCCTCTCGTCAGCGGAAAAAATCATTGCCGCAAAGCATTTGGCAGCATCCGGGCTTGCACACGTCAGCACTCGGTCGATCGGCTGCGGCCGGGAACTCCGTGGCGTGTGCATTCCCACTGCGACCGGTGATAATAGACCGAGTTTCTCGTTTTCGCTCTCTCTCCCTCTCGAACTTTGACCGTCTAGATGGCAAGGCCGTATATATGCGACAATAAATTGAATATAAAACAAAGGCATCCGTCCGCACTTCCGAATAGGTAGGATAAATGCGAGTATAATCAAACAAACTAACCAAGGCATCCGTCCGCACTTCGCAACAACTACATATAATACCACGGCCTACTCGAGTAGAGTCTAGCTACGCCGTTCGCACAACAACGACGGAAAAAAAAACACAGATGAAACCAACGCCGTTGACACTTCAATTCGATTCTCTGCACAGCCCACAACCTTCTGCACAACCTTCATCAAATTTCAGCCGGCGCTGAGCCGGAGCTGAGCCGGAGCTGAAGCTGACTGACACGGAAACCTGCTTTTCGCGGGACGGTCAGCGTTGCACGGAAACAGATGTTACCTAGAACACTGCACGTCGTGACGAACCGACGAAAACTATTGCATGTGAGAGCTGAGACTGTCTGGCTTCTGGCTTCGAATTCGAACTTTGAAGTGAAGTTGCTAAGTTCCATCCCCGTTACGGATAGTATGCCCGGATACCCGAGGCAGTGTTTTACATAGTCCAGTCCAGTCCGTCCGGGCCCATGGACGGGACTGGACTACATACTCTATACCCAGTCCGTCTGTCGGTGTCTGTCGGACGGGACGGACAGTAGTCGCCTGCAGTCGACTGCCAAGACTGGTACAATGTGACAGAAATCATGATAGAAAGCCTGCGGCGTATTATTGGTAGTTGTATCTAGTGGCTGAGGGAAGTATACAGTATGCGCACGGGCTAATGATGACGCCGCGGAGTTGATGGTTCCAAGCAAATATTGTGGCCACGATTGTGGCGCAGTTTATTGTTACTGGACGAAGTTAGTGTCGCCGACTCATGGTGTTAACTACTAGCACTGGACGGAATTCAACCCATCATATCTAGATAGTGGGAAATACATACTGTCATAGGTATTTGGTGGGGCAAGAGCTGAAAATAGTGGCCTACCGGACTGCAGTCCAACCCCGTCCAGCAATCTGGCGGACGGGTCGGACTACATACATACCGGTACATACTTTAATGGGTATCCCGTCCTCCATGAGGCACGGACGGACGGACCGGGCTATATATGGAGAACACTGCCCTGCCCGAGGTGTCTTGTCTTGTCTTGTCTTGTCTTGTCTTGTCTTGTCTTGTCTTGTCCAGCCAGATCACCGGCACCGCGGATGCGATATCATGAATTTCGGCACATGCCGCGATTCTTCAATGCTTCGAGGATACCGGTGGGTAGGTATTCAACTCGGTGGGAATCCCCTCGGCTGGCTGGCTGGCTGGCTGGCTGCGCTGGTATTGCTTGCGGAACAGTATGTATTCTACGCATATGGCATCTACATTCGAGACGGGCTCCCGCCATGTGCCGTAGGGCCTCCGTCTAAGTAGAGCAGCTGCTCCGGGCGTAGAAGGCGAGTTTTCTTGCCACCATTCCTCGCCTGGGCTAAACCGAGATTTGGTATGTAGATATGGAGGGGAACCATCGACCGGAAGGACTACCTATGAAGTACCTGTAAGCTATCCGGTATCGCGGTCCGACGAAGAGCGGGGTAGGTAGGTACTAGGAATTTGATGTTTCACAATACCCATCTCGTCCTGTGAGTCTATGACGGAGTACTTGAGGCTTGAGACGACGTCTGTCTCGGGCTTCGCAGCGAGAGCTGTATGCTACCTTTTAAGGTTCCGTTCTGCTCGTCCACAGGAAATCTTTAACCCAGTGCCCACACAATGTTTTCTGGAAGAGAGGTCACAGGTGTGCCGGCCGCATCCTGCAGGCTGCGGGTGGCGAAACCTCGTTTCCTTCCTTCCTTCCTTATCCATAGAGATGGATCCGTGTGTACCTTCGAGAAAGTGCGGGCTCGGCGCCCAGAATTCATGTATCATCCGTCACAAAGATGCCGATCGGTTGGGCTGATCTTCCAACTCAGGCCGAGATTTCTCCCGTCCAGCGCTACGCTGGTTCGAGTGCACCTCGGCGACGAAGTTAGAACCCAAGGAAAGCTTTCTGCTCAGCCTTCGGCGGCGGCTGACGAGCTCTTCCGCCTGCTTCCTCTGACATCCCTCCTGATGCGGGCGGCAAGATCCGAAGGCACGTGATCTTCCAACTCAGGCCGAGATTCTCTTGGTGCCCAGCGACACGCTGGTTCTCGACGATGAACCGAAGGGAAAGCTTTTAAGTTTCTGCTCAGCCTTCTGAGGCTTCGTCCGATGTGCCTCCTCGCCTGGACGACTGGATCCGAAGGCACGTGATTTCTCGCTCCATAGTGCAGCACTCGCCCTTGTTTCCTGAAGGCCTACTGCAAGTCGTCCAATTGGAAAGAAACATCGCCCGCCCTAGCCAATTACCCGCTGAACGCACCATCCACATCGTTCTTCCTTCCCTTCCTTCCTCCCCTTCACCATTCTCTCTCCATCCTTCTTCCTCCAACCTCCAATATCCACCCTCGACCCGCTATCATCCCAATTCAAACCACAACCACTCCTAAACCACTTCACTCCGGTATGCTCCCTCCACTCTTGTTAGGATGCCATCTCTCCAGTGCCGTCCGAGGTTCAGGCTGATGGAAATGCCTTCCTGGAAGACCCAGATACCATGGCTCCAGCCGCCAAGCACATGTCGGCCAAACACAGAGGCCTTCCCCAGTCGGACGCTGCGTGGAAGCGGGAGGGGCAGATGGAGGACGGTGATGTTAGTATGTTTCCCCCTTCTCTATGTTCTTCCTCACCCCCCGCGGGTCCTCCTCCCCTCCAGCACTTCTCGTTGTATGTTCGTCCCCTCTGCATCCAACGTCCACCCCTCACTCCCTCTGCATCCAACGGCTACTCCTCATTCCCTTGCCGCTATCCTCCTCCGTCCTCCTCCCTTCCAGCTCTTCTAGTTGCTTATTTATTCCCTTTGCATCCAACGGCCACTTCCTCGTTCCCTTCCGGCTATCCTCCTCCGTCCTCCTCCTCTTCTGCGTTACCCGCTGCCTTCATCTGTCGCTGACTTGCCGCAGCCTGTTACACCTGTCGCATCATCTTCCCAAACCGTGTCATGCTCGCGCGGCATTGGGACTTGAGTGCACTGCACAACCCTCACAAGATCTGTGCCAAGTGCTCCGAGGCGTGTGGGGACGAGACGAGTCTCTTGATCCACAGGGGAAGGCAGTATCCCCGGTGCGAGGCCTCAAAGAGGCCACGCCACCAGACGTGCGTGCCATGCAGGTGCATCTTCCAGACGGAGGAGGAACTCTCCCAGCATCTGAACTCCAAGTTTCATGACGATACTGTGGCACGTTGGGACGTGCTTGAGCGCCGCTGGGATGTGCCGGCGGCGGATCTCAAGACGTGGGGGCAGTAATGGTGGAGAGCCAGCTCACGGCGGAGGAGCTTGGTGGCTGCAGGCAAGTCGTCCAGTTAACATCTGTTTCTACCCCAGAGAGCACTCGCACTGCAGTCATACGAACCTTTTGTGATCCTCGCTCGTTGGATTGCTGGCGATAGTAGTGCTTACATTGCGTCGCAATTAGAGGAGTCGGATCTGAAGGGCTCTCGGTGGTCGCTATGGTCTTGTAAAGGCCGCATGCGGCATGCGAAATATAATTTTTATTCTTTCTCCGTCTCTAAAGGACTCTCAAAACACTAATAGTATTGCTGATGTAGCCGGTGTTGTACTGACGAACGATGAGAATAATGCCGGAGGGCAGGGCTCGCAGGATCAGGTGGAGGTTGCGCTTGGTGCTGATGCACCGTTTCACGGAATAGGATGTCGAGCCAGGACCGTTTGCGCGCATTCGAAAGCAACATCACCGATTCAGCCATCTTCCGGAAACAACCACAAACATACCGAGACTGTCCATGCCCCTTCCATAGAGAAATCACCCATTCCGTCCTCATCCTCCGAACCCAACCACGAACCCCAAGTCATCCTCTCTCCCGACATCAACCACCCCCACATCAGCAACTCCCACCGCACCACCACGCCACCACACCACCAACGAGCTCCCTGCCGTCATGTCTCCTCTCACTCGCCCGATCGAATCCCCAAGCAAAGTCGGTACTCCCAACGAGCTCCCAGCCAGACCCAGATCTGGCTTTTTTTCGCCCCCGTCCAGTACGGGCCATCCGAGTCCGCCGCAGGCGGATCTCATAAAGAAACCCCCGACCGACCTCGCCTCGAACGACGGCACCCCGGTGCCCGCGAGCGAATCGAACGAGCAGTCCGTCGAGAATGGAAAGGAAACTGCCGGCTGCCACGAGCAGCCAGTCGAGTACGAGACGGGACCTGAATGGTCGCCGCGGGCCATCATGGCCAAAACACAGGTCGACGAAGACCTGATATCCGAGGTCCTGCACGAGAACGTGCAGAATGAAGACCAGGAGAAGCGGATGGAAGATGAGATCTTCCAGGCCGAGATGGGGGAGATGAAGGAGTCTGGGACCGCCGACGGTCCCCATGTCGAGAAAGACACAGCCACGGCTGTTCTCGACGTCCCGTCTGCTCGCCCTGCGTCGCCGATGAAGCAGGATGTCACCGCTGAGCGGGGCACTGCCAAGGCCGAGCAGGACGTGCCCGGCAAACCCCAGGTCGCTGAAGACCAGAGACCCAAGGTCCCGCCCAAGAAGGGGATGAGTGACGGCGAGAAGATGCGGATGGCATTCTGGATCTTCCAGGCCAGGATGTGGGCGATCAAGAAGTTTGGGACCGCCAAACCTGAGTGGTCCCGTGTTGCGGACTCGACACCCGCCGACGCTCCCGAAGAGCCGAGATCTGAGGCCTCGTACAGGAAGGCGCTGGCTACCGACCAGAAGAGGCGGATGGAAGATATTATCTTCCGGGCCAAGAGGAGGGAGGAGATGGCCGGTGGAGCTACCGGCGAGGACGAGATAGAGGAGCTGCAGCAGCTTTCTCTCGACGTATCGGCGGAAACCGACGCCGGAGATGCACGCATCCCGGAGGAGTCCAAGGACCCCGAGGGCAACTAGGTTGCCCTCGAAGCTTACTATGGTAGGCTTCGGGAGTTTATCTCCCAGATGGAAGAGGGGATGATGGGGAGGAGGGGGATGTATCTGTTCTATTCTTTTATTTGTTTCTGTTCTTTTCTTTTATTTATTTCTGTTCCTTTCTTTTATTTGTTTCTGTTCTTTTCCTTGATTGCGTTGCTGTTCTGCTTTGGTTGTCATGCTTTGCGGTTGCATTTGTGCCTTGCGGAAAGTTGATTTACGAGAATGTATCTGTTCCTGCTTTACTATGTATTCTTTCCTGTGGTATCTTGCTTTGATTCTGTTTTCATCAATTTGTTTTGCATATAGTTTGTCTGCGGCTTGACGCTTTTTGTTTGTGTTTTGTTCATTCATTGATTGCATGCGAACTACCCAGATCATTCTGCGGCTTGATACTTTTGTTTTTGTTTTGTTCATTCATTGATTGCATGCGACCTATCTACTTAGATCATGGCAATATAATCTACTCGTGCACTCCCTCCCCGTTTTCACGCAACTGTCGAACCCAACTTTCATCAGGCGGCCCGATGTGGCTTTCCCTGTCCATGCCGTGGCCTTTCCTGACAGTATGTGACCGCACCAAGCAGATGCAGAACTAGGAAGAGGCAACGAGCGTTCCCTCGACCCGTCCTTGCCTCACCGCAAGTCACTAGTCTGCATCGCCGCCGCCGCCTCCTGCCTCTGCGGCCTGATACTAGGTCGGTGATAATGGAAGTTGAGATCAAAAGCCGAGTGATATCCAGTGGAAACAGTGCAGGCCATAAAGGAAGACGAGATCAAAAAGATCAAAAGCCACATTGGGTCGCTCAGTGAAAGTTGGGTTGGACAGTAGCATGGAAGCGGGGGGGGGAGTAAACAGGGTGACATTGCCATGATCTAGATAGGTCGCATGCAATTACTGATTAAATAAAAAAAGAAGACGAGACCAATAGCCGAGTGCTATATAGTGAAAATAGGGCACGAGTGACCACGATAGATTGGGTTATCGGTAGAGTGGGGCGACGCCCATCACTCTGGGAGTCACTTTGTCGACATTGGCCTCAATAGAAATGTACACAAGTCCACCCTTCACTTCGAGCAGTTTGCAATAGCATGAACATCGCGATTCCACAGCAATCAAAGCGATCAGTCTGATTCCTTACGCAGACTCTTATAGCTAACATCGAACTTGACATCCTCATCGTAATCCTTACTCTCACTCTCCTCCTCCATTCTCTTGAGCTTGCGCGCCCCGAGCCCACTGCCGCAGTACCGACGGAGCTCGTAGTCTTGCGTTCTGTAACTGAGAGGGTGGGTGCGAACCACAGCAGTGACGTGTGCGGCGGGTTCAGGGGCAGGGGTATCCTCCCTCTCCCGCTGGACACCATCATCTTCGCGCTCGCGCTCCCTCTCCCGCTCGCACTCATACTCCTTCTCGAACTCCTCTCCATCGAGCTCCGTCTCCCCATCGTCCGCTTCGGCAGAAAGACTACTGCCCGTGCTCTCCTCCCAGAGCATCCACTGAAACACCTCCATCTTGAGCCCACTCTTCAGCACGGACGCAGTCCGCTGCACCATGGCCACCTGTCCAGCCCCATGCATTTCCGCCTCGTAGCTTTCACGCTCCAGGAACTCCTCCGCGTACCCGAGCTTGTGCCTTGCCACGGCGGCGACCAGTCGCGCCAGCGACCCCCGCATCAGCCGCGACGTGATCAGCTCCGCGCACCGGCTGCATAGCTTCAGCGCGCAGCTGGCGCACACGTGCGTCGTGAAGTACCGGTCGCACGCGAGGCAGAGGCTCAAGGACAGCGCGGGCAGAAAGTACGTGTGCGGTCGCTTGTGCAGGTATTGGCGGTGCGGCGAGTTGAGGTGCTGGTATGCCCGCTGCTGGTGCTGGTGGCGGTGGTGGTGGTTGTGCGCGACCATGTTTGCGGGATGGGATGGTACGTGGGTGTGAGGGGAAGGGAGGTTTTTTTTTTGGAGGAGTGGGGGCTAGGATGGGCTGAAGGGAGTTTGTAGGATGAAGCATGGCGTGGAGTAGGACGGAGGCACTTCCGGAAGTACCCCCGACATCTCCGGAGCACACACGGTAACCTTCTCGCAACGCCGCGCCGACTTGCCATCCATCTCATTCCGATTCCCTCCACGGCAATAAAATATATGCCTCATCCGATCCGGATCGGCTGCGGAGAAGATCACGTCTCGATTCTCGAAGGGTCTGTAACCCAGAGCATAACCCCCCACCCCCCCGATTGAGGGATATAACCTTAAATCCACAGGTAAGGTGCGGATAGTCAACCCTATATACAAGTTCCCTGCGACGATCACTATTACCACCCTTCCCGCGTGGCACCCTGCCGTCGTAACTATCGACCGGGGTGACGTCGCAGTGGCTGCCGCGAGGTGAGCCAGCGCAGCATCGCTCATCACTCGCGTTTAGCCATCGACAGCGTTGGGGTCGGGATTTAGAGATATGATGCTTTCGCGCGGTATGAAAAAAAAAGCGGGTTTGCTGGCGATACGGCTCGACTCCAGAGCACTCCAGTAGTTGAACCGTGGCTGTTCTTTGTCGTGGATGGATACTGGTAGGAGGTTACGGTAGCTTCCTCCGCAGGCCTGTGGCCGAGTCCACAAATCACCGAAAAAACGCTTCACTGCCGCCGCCGGTAGACGCCGGGTTCGATACGGGTGGGTAACCGCAACCGCAACTGCACCCGTATCCGCGAAAATACCAAACCAGCCAGTGAATCGCGACCAAAAATTTACACGAGCACCTTTTAATCTACTCTACCGGAAGACCCGGCGTGTGCGGCTAGGTATCCACCATCGCTCGCTGCGGGAAGGTAAGTTAAGCGCCCGCCGGCCGGCTCGGTGGCTATGGCGAGATGAAGGCACGGCGAAAGTTTACATATGTAGTTTGTCTGGAACGCGCCGGTCGTGTCGAGTGGGAGGGCCGGTTGCCAGCGGAGCTCGGAGAGGTGGAGCAAAACACTATTCAATGAGCATGTCTTCGACCGGTGGAAAGTGTAACTCAAATTATCATTGTGACTACATACTTCCTACGACATGGATAAAAGGCTATACCAACATTTGAACAGTAGGTAACTCTATTTACGCAGCATCTCGATCCGAGGTACCGGTACCGGTATGGGTGATGGGAACGAATTGGCAAAGAGTGGCCATGTACCGTATGAAGCCAGTTTGGCACTACGATCGAATGGGTAATAAAAATGTCCGTCCACATCTTGAGCGGCGAGTTTATATAGAGTGAAGTACCATTACCCAATAAAGCTGCACTGAACTCAATTCTCCAGGGCTCTCCGGATAAATCAGGATTCAGTCAATCCAGCGGAAAAAGGTATTCCGCCGAAAGTATTAAGCTCATTAACTATGCCATACAAGTATAAATGAAGGTATTAAGTATCTCAACCAAAAATGCAAATCCAAAAACACCGAGTCGTCGGTCCGTAAGTTCCAATCCCATGCCCATGTCCTTGCCCGTTCCCATGCCCGTTCCCATGTCCCCGTGCTCGTATGCACTCACATATCCCCAAGCCCGAATCCCTAATCCCCAATGTCCAGTCCACCTGCCACTAGCCCCGTGATTAATTATCCCCATAGAGAACGTCCAAGGAAATATATGCGAGGAAAACAAAAGAAAAAAGGAGAAAAGGAAAAAAGGTAAAGGAAAAAAGAAGAAGGAAAAAATGAAAAAGGAAATGAAAAAAGCAAAAGCGCCGAGAAAATGCGATCCACCACTCCCACCCTCAAGTGTCTAATCCAAAGAAAGCCAGTCGAGCACCCTAAACGTACTCCATGCACAGGAGATCGCCAGTGACATCCATCACGTCCCTGATCCTAGCGTTGGCAATGACACCGAACATGTTGAGCTCATCGTCGAGCGTGGCGTCGATCCATCCTCCCGCAGGGCGATCCTGAGTCGTGTAGCCCGAGAAATCGGTGAGTCTCGCAGGGAGACTCTGCTGCTGCCAGCGCCACCAGACGCGGTCGAGGTAGGTGTGGTGCAGGTAGAAGAGAGGGTCGCCGGGGGAGGAGATGGCGTTGCCCATCTCACCGCCGACACCGTTGTGGCCACCGCTGTGGGGACTTCCCTCGATGCACGGCCACGCAGTAGCAAACTTTTGCTCTGCGAGGCAAGCGTTGACGTTCTCGGTGGAGCTGCCACGGCTGGCGTCGTCGTCGATCTGGCGGCTGATGCAGTGGTCGGTGTTGTCGTAGGACGGGCCGGTGTGTAGCGTGTAGTTGGCGAACGGGCCGGTCTGGATACAGTTGTTCTCGCCGACGCCGTTGCCGCCGAAGCCGTTGGTGGGGGAGAAGATGGCCGAACTGCTGAACGCGCCGGCGTCCGCCTCTTCGTCCCAGTAGGGCTGCGCGCCGTTGTAGCCGCACTCTTCGCGGAGGAGACGTTCGTGCGCGTGCATGTGCAGCCGGTGGAAGGGGAGGAACCATCCGTCGCCGTGCACGAGCATGGATTGAAGCTGGTGGGCCTTGACGAGATCGTCGAAGCGGCTCACTGACGCCTCGAGGCCGGTTTGCTGGGGAATTCGCCACATGAGGCAGAGCTCGGCATCAATGTAGGATTTCTTCTCAGCATCGGAGAGGGTGTGCCTGTATCATATCAGCATACTGCGAGGGAGAAGGGAAGAAGAAGTGGCATACCATGCGCGGCGCTGAAGCCTTGTAGTGCATCCACCCTGCCTTTTCCCGAGCTCCTCGGTGGTGTCCCGAGCGGAAAGGTCTGATGATCTGGCGATTGGAGAAGCAAATACAGCAGTCGCTGAAGCGAGAACGAACGAAGCGGTGAGGAAAGAACGGAAGGAAACCATTTTCGACGAGAGAGATGAAGAAGGAGAAGTACCAAGTAACTGTAGCGAGTGAGAATACTTGTACTGAAAGTATGAAAGACGCAGATGCAGAGAGAGAAGAAGAAGCTGCTCTGAGCGAATGATGATGAGGATGAGGGTGAGGAAGTGAAATTGAGTGCGTATCGAGGCATCTCTTTATACGGATTGAACTTCTATTGTTTGTCTGTGTTGATGATTCCCGTTCGCGTATGCCTGGCGAAGGTGGTGCTCTATTCTGGCGGGGGCTCTATTGCTGGCGGGGCTGAGGTTACACTGCTCTTGCACTATCGCAGCCACCACCACCACCACCACCACCACCTTGCTCCCACACCACACAACTTTGGACATCAACATCCCACCACACCGGTCGAACTTCGAGGCCGTCAGCACGATCTGGGAATAGCATCAGCAATGGCGTCGAGCGCAGACTCCGCAGAGACACTCGCTGTCATGGTCAGGTCTGTATGGTGCACACTGCACAGTCCACGGTCTGCCTAGATGCAAGTTTCGAGATGCACTTCCACTTCTGTTCAGCTCCTTCAGCCGTGGCGGGCCTGTGGTTGGTCAAGCCGGTGTTTGCTAACAGGTATTGACGGTACGGTGCTGGCAGGTGTCGATGTTTTTGGGTACACTCTACTCTATTCTGTTCACCGGAGTCCGGACAGTGGTTGGGAGAGCGAAGCGAAGAACACTCTTTGGTACCCTAGGTACCTACGTCTCTGCGGAGTCAACCGACAACCTGAAGGTATCGACTCTCTTCGGATTCAACCGACAACCCACGGATACCGGTACTCTCTGCTCCATCACCCGCGATCCGTTTTCCGCCAACTCGAAACTTGACGGCTACCACCAAGTTTCAACGGCCACTAGGTACCTCACCAGATTTCATCTCGGTCCCGCATTCTGCGGACTTGGGTACATGGCTACACAAAAGCTGCCAGCTAGCTACTATGAGAGCTGCTGCCTTCAATCCGAACATCTACACAGACAGGGTACCCCGCTGCCTGCACTGAGCGCAGCTGACTTTGACATTTTCCTCGACCACTAAATACACTTTCTTTTTGGAGGCATCGGGGCGAAGTACATACATACATGCACAGGCGAAAGACAAACGGGTACCCGGGTACCCGATTACTGCGCGTATTTATCCCTACGTTCTCTATTTCTGTGGCTATTTCCGTCCAACTAAAGTAATGTGCCAACTAGTGTGCTGTGAGCTGATGCTTGGTATTGATCCCGGTCTGTCGATGGTGGGGGCCGAGACTTGGTGGGATGGAGGCGGTATGGGTCTTATGAATCGATTCGGTGATGATTCCTCCTCGCTACGCGTAGAGCTGCTTTGCTTTTGGATGCCGAGTTCGTGCTTTGGATGTGCTCGTGCTCGTGCAGTCATCGGCGACGCATGTTTCCCCACAGCCAATGGGTGGTCGTTTCACGGCAGCGAAGGGCTGAGGTGCAGATTCTCCGTGCAGCTGGACGATGGGGATGTGTGCGATCGAAAGCAGGAGCCCCGCAGAGGAGAAAGGTGCGCTGGAAGTCCCACGATGAAAGAACAGTACGTATGTCCTCGGATTTGTGCTCGGAAAGCTCACAGGCTTAAGGACAAATACCCATGCGGTATGTACGAGTTAGCTATGGACATCAAGCGTCTCACTGACGTGCCGGACGACGGGGGAAAGAGTCAAGGATGGGCGCAAAGATGTTTCGAGACGAACGGGCGGGATTACTTAACCTCTGGGGTATTGATACAAGCCATTGGCTGTTGGGACGAGCGGCGGTGGAGGGGCCAACTATGTACAAGCGGAAACACTGATTCGCCGGTAATCGACTTTGAGACTTACCCAAGTTTTCGAACTGGCGTGCGCAGCGGTACGTTGCACGAGAAGGTGTAGATTTGGTCTGCAGACTTGTGCGGAGTACAGACTCTACCCTCTAACTACTATCTGCTTCCGCTCGAGGCGGGGAAGTTCAAAAAGCACAAGTACACTACATCATACAAGCACGAGGATGCGAAAGTGAACCTGGGATTGACCTGCTCGGACAGAGGTTCCCATGTGGACATATGGGTAACTGATTTACTACGTGCTTCGCGGGCTCGGAAGAGAGCAGGTATCCGTACCGGATGGATACGTACCTTATCGATACCAATCATCCGCTCGGTCACACGGGAGTGAATGGCGGTGCTCGATGTTTCGACCACAACCAATGCCGAACAAGTGCAGCTGGCTGCAGAGGTAGCCAGTAACCAGTAACCAGCACGTAACTCGTGGTGTAGACTTCCAGTCCTTAACTACGCCAATCCGCCGCCGCCGCCATCGCCGCCGCAGACGTACCGATGTCACCGTACATCCGGATGCAAATACTCAACATGCGTACTCCGTTGAGAAGCCGGCCTCTCCTTGGACGCCTCTCTGTGCGGTTTGAACGGAATACCCCGTTCGTTCGACAGTAGAGTACAGCTGACCCAAACTTGCGTTCTGTTTCTTCAGCTGCAGTACTGTACATCGGGATACTCCCACATATCGAGGCCTGGGTCTCGACCGCCGCTTTCCCTTCCGCATGTTCGCTGAGGACGTAGAGGCCGCGTACTTCACTCTGGTGCGGGGGTGTGAGGGCTGAAGGATGTCCTCACCGATGGTATCTTGAGTTCTGCTCGTCAGAGCTGAGAGGAGGATTGTGGGTGCGGAACTTTTGGAGGCGGGCAGTGGTGGCCAGTGGTTGTCGATACATCGTAAAGGATGGAGGATGGGAGGAATGACGAATGGGGGAATGATGTCTGCCTAGATCAGCTGGCTCCGGAGGTAGAGTACATACCAAGCATTGGAGGATTTGCTGATGTCAGAGTAAAGGGCTGAAGTCGGAAGTATTGATGCCGCTCCATCCTCCTCTTTCGAGTCGTCGACTGCCTTCACGAATGATAGCGACAGTGCTGGAGCCCGGAGTGATGTAGAGTTACGATACAATCGCTCCATTATCACCCAGGTCACACACGCATTATCCGCCTCACCCAATCATATCAACTCTCAGAACCGATCGCCAACACTACCAATAGCTACCCACTCAGCCCTCCGCTCAAGCCACACCGCGCCGCATGCTGCGTAGCTGCAGACTGCAGCGTCCAGAATAAGCATCGACGCAGCCCTGCCCCCACGTGTGAGCAATGGGCATAGGTAATGTAATGCGCGCCATGATCTCGGTATTCATATCATACTCCGCACTCCGGTGCCCGATTAGGGTATGTATCGAGGACACACACACTTCCAGAACGTTTCGGGTGGCCGTGCTTGCCAGTCCGCCGCTGGGCTGTGCAGTATAGGTCGGTTCGAACTTCGGCCTGGGAGCTGACGGGCGGGATTTTTGCCGATTTCGCCAGGCTGGAGGATGGCTCGCTGACTGTTGCCAGATGATGACTGTTGCCGGATGACGGTTAGCGGATGACACCACAGAAAACCGACAGACTCAAGCACGCTCTTGAACGTCAACGCGACTCTACCGAAGCTACGCCCGCCGCCGCAGTCCTCACGTACATACGGAAACTCCGCCGCGCCGTTGAAATGCACCCACCGCTTCATTCATGTTGTCCGATGTCGGTACCTGCGGCCCGGACGATGCCCCATCGATGCCGCGTCGATGCCGTGCTCACGTGAGCTTGGAAGTTGGCCCGGGTATTCGGCATCAGCAAGGTAGCGGTGTTGAACGTTCCAGGCTCACCAGCCCGACGATGTGTGGCTCTCTGGTGAGGTGAGTCGGCACCTATGGGCCCAGTGTATGGGCTGATGCTTCCACGTTTGACAGTATCGAGCGACCTACGGCCTGCGGCGACACGTGGTGTGCTGACATTAGATGGTCTTACGGCGTAGCTGGAGCGTGTGTGAGCGTCTTTAGCTGGGTGTTTACTGCCTGCTGATGGGGAAGATCGAACGATATTCGGTGATCCAGCGCGGTGTTTCCACGTAGGTACCTGCATTATTGGGGGGCATTTCACCGTTCGCCGAGCATCTCCGCCCGTCATAGTTATTCACTCCCGAAAACATCTTTGCAGCCAAAGTGCCTCGTCAGCCCAGGGTGTTGAACTTCTTCGTAAGCATTTGGATCCCTCCCTCAGCCCTGGATTGGGAAGGACCAGGGATGGCAAGTGATTCTAGTTATGATCATCGTATGCGAGTGACGGGTCCGGCCGTGCCTGGGGTCAAGGGATAGTGCTGGCACAGAGACGCCCAAGTAGCCGGGGGATTTCAGCCGCAGTGCTTGAGTTAACCCCTAAACTCGTAGAGTGAGAGAGGGCACTTCCCTCTGCCGCTGGAGAGGTTTGCTTATAAAGGCAGGTATCCCCAAAAGGTTCAAGGAGGAGAAACGCAGCAAACTTCTGTTTGCGGGATTCCTCTTAATGAATGGATTCCTCCAGGCGGAAATGACCAGAGATGGTAAGTGGTTCTAATTCTGATTATCGTATACGGGTCCGGCGGTGCCAGCGGTGCCGTACCTGTGGTCAAGGACTTGGGCCAGTGCTGGCTCAAAGACGCCCAAGCAGCCGGGGATTACAGCCGCGCTGCTTGCGTTAATTCGTCCGCTCGTAAAGTGAAGGAGGACACTTCTTTCTGCCGCTGGAGAGGCTTGCTTATAAAGGCGGGTATTCCCAGACGGAGGAGAAATGCTGCAAACTTCTGTTTGCGAGATTCCTCCAGGGGAAAGGTGAATCTCTCGTCGGAGATTCCTTCTTAGAAGTATCAGTCAGTGAGGTTTTTGCATAACCCAGCGACTCTCTCGTGCAGCCACTCGGTGAAGGAGGGCACTTCTCTCTGCCGCCGGAGAGGCATATGGACTCTAGAGGCAGATGTTCCCAGCCAGTGTAACACGGGCGTCCGGCCTCCGTCGGTCGCCGGTTTCAACCGCGGATGTGCGCATGTGCAGAGATGGCGGCGAAGTCGCTTGCTCGCCGAACACCCCTCGCGTCCAGCGCCTGCACGTTACACCTCGGCGGTGAGTCGGTGACCTTTACGCTCCGAGATCTCAACGACCGGCGAGACGCAGTATGTATTAGGTAACTTGCGTGCCAAAACGGCGAGTCATGCATACCCTGCCACTTATGGGCCTCGTGAGTTAGTACATAATAGGTATTGAGAGAAACCTAACACTTCACTGCCACTACAAGAGTGCGAGGTGAGGCTTGAGAGCGAGGTGAGGCTTGAGAGTGAGGTGAGGCTTGAGAGTGAGGTGAGGCTGGTATGTACATAGGTGCGCCACGAATGGCTTGTGGGGATGCGGGATTCTTGGATTGACCGTAACACCAATCGGGACTCGGCAAGCCGAATGTGTGCATCTGCAGAACACAAACGGCCGATCACAGCCCTACCGGGAAATAACGCTAGCGCATCCTATCAAATGCGAGTGCCAGCCAGTGAAGCACTCTAGCAGCACGTTTCGACTGAACTTCCTGTATTGTACCTCTGCGACTCTGCGACTCTGCGACTTCCCTCTAACGACAAGACAACTACAACAGCAAAGCTTCACCACCCCCACCCATCCGCTACCATGGCAGCAGCTTTCCACCCCGACGACCGCACGCACCCCCCTCTCACCGAGCCGCTCGAGGACCTCCATCCCGCGTTTGCGCACAAGAAGCTCCGCTGGCCGACGTCGGCGCCGAAGCTGGTAGAGTTTACGGATGCGAATCGGGGCGTGGACTACTCGTACGGATGCCACCAGGCACACAAGGGCGACGACGACTTGATCGTGCTGAACATCTACCGGTTCGTGAAATGAGACGGACGAGGGATAGCAGTGGGAGGTGGCTGCTAACGGTAGATGACAGGACCAAGACCACGCCCGCAAGCTACGGCATCGGCCCCTCGCCGCTGCTGCCCATCTACATCCACCACCACATCCCACACCCGGCGGATACCTCAGCCCCACCCGGACGTATGCGCGAGGCGGTATCACGGCTGCTCCCGTCATCCTCCACCCACCCCACCGTCGATAAACTGGCGAACCTTGTCGGCGCTGCGATGGGCAGGGAGCAGGTCTCGCTCGCCGCGCTGCAGTATGTGCTGGAGCGCCGCGGCGTCCCCGTAGAGAGGAACTACGACTTGGGCACAGGCCTCGATGTCCCGCTGGCGCTGGATGTCTCCTCGCCCACGCCCACGCCCGCGAACGAGAAGTTGGAGGCGATCCTGGCACTGCGGTGGTCTTCGGAGTTCGTGGAGGCGCGGATCTCGGCCGCCTGTACTTCGGCGAAGCACCGGAGTACGTCCCCCCCGCTCCCACCCCGCCGTGGACACTGGCCAACTAACAGCAAGCGGCAGATTCGACCAACACGATGAAGCTCACGGACGTCCCGGCAGCGAAGATCCACTGGAACCCGCGTTTCACGCCCATCGACCGGCCGAAGAACCACACGCCAGTGTTCGCGACGGTCGAGGAGCTCGTGGGGACCCGGGGCGTGGACATAACGTTCAGCAGCGACCACTCAGACGGGCGGGAGGGTGTATTCGCGTTCGTGTGGGAGGGGGAGACGTGGCGACTAGTGGCCACCGAGGTCGTCGGCGACTCGAACTGGAACCGCGAGGGCGAGTTCAAGCTCCGCGCCCCGCGGCCGCACCCGAAGACGAAGATGAAGACGCGCGGGATCCCGTTGCCGTCGCCGCCGCCGCCGATGTTGCGCAACTCCGCGAAATCTTCCCCCTCCGCTAAGGCGGGAAAGGTCCATGCCCATGTCGTCCACCTCTACGGCCACTCCCACAAGGAGCCCGTGCTGACCGCCGACCTAGTCACGGGGCAGATGTGGCTGGTCGACTCGCTGCACATCAACTTGCTCGACGTGGCGATGGTCCTGCTGGGCGCGGTGATGAACTTGGAGCAGACGGTGCGCACGGCCATCGAGAAGGGAGAGAAGGAACGCACCGCCGCGGTCCTGGCGTGGCGGAGGGAGATGGAGAAGATCTCGATTAGGTGCTAGACGATAATGGTGGTGGTGCTCTACCGACTCACCGACTCACCCGAAGGCACACGCGGTGGAGAAGTACTTAATAGTCATTTGTAGCACGCATAATGAGATTCCACGTCCCAAGGCCTAATCCATCCCGTGCCGCGATTGGAGTGCCATTTTTTTAGGTAGTATGTAGTGTAAATACGAACACCAATTTTGCCCCTGTGAAAGTATTAGGTGTCCAGGCGGTACCACTTCGCTTGACTGAGGAGATTCAAGAAGTGGCAATGCGTTATGTAGCCACCTCAGATCAGATGTCAACACCAAGACTCCATCCCATGCTACATAGCAGCTGGATATGATAACCCCTCGCTACGCATCTCAGTAGACTTTTCAATGCCACCAGCTCCTCCCGCTCCACCCCCTCCGGAATCCTACAAAAATCCCTCGCCCGACGTCCGCTGAGCAGCCCCACGATATATCACTCGGTTGGTGCACAAAAAATTGTGTTGAAATTAAAGTGGGGATATAGTAAATGTATTCAAAATGACGATGATGAGAGATAGAGAGCTAGTTTTTTCTGAAAGGAGAGTATTTTTAGTCAAACATTACAGTGAAATAAACACGGATGATCAGCGAAATAAGCGAGTGAAGAAGCATGACACGGTCGTTGAAACAAACGCGTGATAATCGCTTGTCATCAGCTTCTGATTTGTGCCCCCGTAGTTCCTAATGGTCCCCCAGTAATATCCACATGTCTGCATCAGCTTCGCACCCGCCACAACCACAGCATTGAGAGCCGTGGCGTGCCGGGCGGATGCATGTTTGATCTTCTTTCAGTCATGATGGACTCGCGGTAGTGGATTTCTGACCGGCCCTTCAAGAACAACCTCACATTGCTGCAGATCGATCATTGGGAAAGGGCGTTGCTGCTGTTTCCGCCGATATGCTGCCCTCCGGTTACTATTGTCACTGTTGCCGCTCATTTACTGACTTGCTGTTGCTGTTGCTGTCGATATGCTGCCCTCCGGTTAGTATTGTCGCTGTTGCCGCTCATTTGCTGACTTGCTGATGCTGCTGATTTGCTGACTTGCTGTTGCTCTTGCGCCCTCCGGTTACTATTGTCCCCGTTGCTGCTCATTTATTGACTTGCTGTTGATTCTGTTGCTGTTGCTGCCGCTATTGCCGTCTAAATAATTGGTTTTCAACCGGGTAGGTTTAGCAATGTCCTCCACGTTGTTCCTTTCCGTTGACCCGAAGAGCAAACTAAAGTTGCTCTCGCTGTTGTGAATTAGAGTCAAGAGGCCGCGAAGAAGGAAGAAAAAGGTGGAAGGAAAGTGAGATGGAGAAGGGTTGAAGGAGAGGTGGAAGGAAAGGTGGAGGCAAAGTGGGATGAGAAAGATGAAAGGAAAGGTGGATGGAAAGTGGGAAGGAGAAAAACGGGAGGAGAAAGGTGGATGGAGAAAGGTGGAAGGAGAAGGGTCGAAGAAAAGTGGGAAGGAAGGTGGATGGAGAAAGGTGGAAGGAGGGTGGGATGGAGAAACGCAGGAGAAAGGTGGAAGTGGGAGGAGAAAGGTGGAGGGAGGTGGATGGAGGGAGGTGGATGGAGAAAGGTGGAAGGAGAAAAGTGGAAGTAAGGTGCTTCTTTTCACGAGTTAGGGCTACACCTTATTTGCTAGTGGGGTCGAAGCACATCTGATAATATCGCTGACCACATGATTGTGTCGTGTTATATCTCTTATCCAGAGACTTAGAATGGTGGATGGCAAGTGCGAGTGAGAGGGAGAACACCAGTTTATTTCGCGATGGGTGCGAGTGATGTGAGGATATCTATGGCGTTTACTCATCCGTTAGCGAGCGACGCAGTGACGCCAACCGAGTCCATTTTTGGTTTTTGTTTCGTCGTTATAGATCCGCTCGCTGTAGAAGAATTCTGTGCATGTGTTTTCTAGGGAAAGTCGAACGAGCACTTATGCGTTATGGTCAGATGAATATTGGGGAGTATAGAAACACCATCATACTGTTACACCCAGGGAGCTGGCAACATAGGTATCTCAGACACATCGGAATACATATGGGTACAGATAAAGTCAGCATTGGACTATTGGCAGTCATCAGGGGAGCATTGCATGAGGTAATAAACCTGCACAGTTACAGTCATTGAAGAAATGACCCTACCCACCAAACAGAAATGACTCTAGCCATCGAGCAGGAATGACTGAGTCAATCCGCGTGGTGACGCCGAGTGATATTCCCTGACTCTCAAGGTCATCCTCCGCAGCCGCATGTACCTACCTCAAGCCATACTCCAATGTCCACGTCTTCAAGTGCACTTTAATGATATCAAACAGGTATTTAATCAACCGCGCTCCCAAGATATATGTACAGTACGAACGAACGAAACCCGCATCAAACATTAAACCCCCATCCCGCAACAAGCATTAAACCATTGCCCTCATCGCGAGCACCAACAAAACCAACACCACCACCGCGGTTAACGTAAACCACATCTCCTTATTCCCCCTCAGCAGTGCGCGATGAGCATGGAACTGCTCGTTGGTAACCCACGGGGCCGTCATGCCATGATTATCGAGGATCTGTTCCGCCGTGATCTTCGCACCGGCGAGACAGACTGGCACGCCTGTGCCAGGATGTGTGCTCGCGCCAACGAAGTAGCAGCCCTCGATAGTGGCGTGCTTTGTGGTCGGGCGGAAGATGAGCACGTTAAAGAAGTTGTGCGAGAGGCCGAGGATGGCGCCCTGGTGCAGGTTGAACTTCTCCTGCCAGACTTCCGGCGTGTTGACGATTTCGTTGGTGATCTTGGGACGCAGGTCTTCTCCCGTGCGGGCGAGGATGGTGCGCAGCACGTCTTCGCGGACTCGTGACAGGATCGCGTCCCAGTCTTTGTGCTCGCTGGTGAGGTGCCCGCAGGGCACGAGGACTACGAGGGAGTCTCCCGATTCGGGGGCGGCGGATGGGTCCACCCGCGAGGGGACGTTGACGTAGAAGCTGAGGTCGTCGGGAAGGTCGTGGGCGGTGAAGATGGAATCGAATGAGTCTTTGAAGGAGTCGGCGAGGAAGATGTTGTGTGTGCCTAGCTTCGGGGCCTTCTCCGATAGCGACCAGTACAGCGAGATCGAGGAACAGCTGTGCGGCCGCTCTTTGAGCTCGGTGGCGGCAGGAGAGGGTGGGAGGAGCGTGTTGTAGGAGTGCACGAGGTCGGCGTTGAGCACGACGACATCAGCGTGCAGCGCGGTGCCGTCCCCGAGGACGACTCCGGTGGCCCGCTTGTTGTCGGGAGAGAGCAGAACTTTGGAGACCGGAGTCGACAGGCGATACTGAACACCCATGCGTTCTCCAATGTTGACGAGGATCTCGACGATCCTGTGAAAGCCGCCACGAGGATACCAAACACCCTCCGCGAGCTCAGTATACTGCAGGAGCGAGTATGTTCCCGGTGCGTCATACGGACTCATCTAAACACCGTCAGCCTTCCATGTTCCAGCCACCGAACCCAGGAACTCTTACCCCCAAGTACATGCTACCGAACGTAAACGCGCGCCGTAGTCTTTCAGTTTTGAAGTATTTCGCCGCTCTCGTGTACTGCCTACCATCAGTCCCACCGCGCATCTCGTACGGGGACAGGATACCTACCACAGACTGGTGCACATGCAGCTTGATGACCTTCCCGATGAACTCCCAGCGCAGCATACTCTTGAACCCCTCGAAATTCCGCTTGAGCACATGGGTGTAGGAGATATCATAATGGCAATGGCTCTCCTTCAGAAAGCCCAAGTACCTAAGTGGCCATTGTCAGCTTCCCTCTCACCGCACGCAGGCGTCCCGTCGCACTCACCCTTCAAACCCGTCCGCGCCCTCCCACTTCTCGATCTCATTCTTCATCCTCGCCAGATCCGAGGACAACTCGACCACCTCGCCATCGCCAAAGTAGATATTGTAATTGGGATCACACTTGAGCAGCTCGACGCCCTCCTTCTCGATGGTAGTAGCGAGGTCGCGGAAAGTCTCGTGGAACAGCCGCGGCAGGAGCAGCAGCGACGGGCCCTGATCGAAGCGGTAGCCCTCGTGGTGGATGAGACTGCAGCGGCCGCCGGTGAAGTCGTTCTTCTCGACCACGGTAACGTCGAAGCCCGCGAGCTGTAGCCGGGCGGCTGTAGCGACGCCGCCGACTCCCGCGCCTAATTTCTATGCATTAGCCTTCACTCGCTGCCCCGTTCCTCTCCACCGTTGCGGATGTGCAATACGAACCGACAACAATCGCCGTCTTCCTCTTCTTCTCCTGATGATTCTGGAATGCCTTCTCCATTGTATTGTATTGTATTATTTCGGCTGTCGTGTTCGATTCTTTCTTTCCCGTGGATTGTATCGCTGTCTCTGTCGTCCCAGGCGGATCCGAAAGGCATAAGTACCCCGTACCCGATCGTGCATTCCCTGTCGCCCGCCAACGATCGGACCAAAGCCCCGCCAAAATATTCACGTCATGGATAACCACATCCTATGTACCCCCCGGTCTCCGATTTGGATCTGTAAAGAAGAATGCCCTAAGAAGCACGCGCAGCACATGTCATGTCATATATATCGAATGAATGAAGGTACATCAACGGCGGAGATCCGTGGCTTGCACGCGGATCGGTGCCCCTTGCATGGACGACGTGCATTGACTATATTACCGGGCGGCACACGGTAACTACTACATAGAAAAAAAAGCAACACCACGGTCCAGCTTAGCTAGAGTACCCACGAATCTACATATATGCGACAGATAGCGCATTTCGGACGGAAATCGATATGTATGATAGCTGCCTGATTCCCGATAGAACTCCGGACTCCGGAGTGGGATTCTCGCGTGATCGCGATACGGACGTCATGTCTGTTATGCTACATAGTTATCCACCTAGAGGATAGTATCCACATGCGAAATGCTCTAGAGAGCTTCACCCCGCTCCGCAGTGAAGACAAGGAACGCACATGGGACGGACAAACTGAGACCCCGTCTCCGCCGCTTAATGGCAGTTACCGGCGGGAGGACTAAGGTATTTTGTCATTGGGGGATAGTCTATGTGGCGTCTTGCAGTTTGCGGCTTCGAGGTCTGCGTGATGTCCCACGACTCAACGAGAGAGTGGGGTGGTTCCGGGGGAGGAATGGGGAGACTATGTACGGTACCTATTCTGGCAGTGGGGAGTAGTCTTTGTGGCCGCGGGCGCCTTGCAGTTTTGCGGCTTCGAAGTTCGAGGTCTGCGTGATGCCCCGCGAGAGAGTGGGAGTGGTTCCGGGGGAGCTCGATTACTTCACAACACAGAATAGGTATCCGAGAACTCAGTTTCACGTCACATCACGATGCATCACACATCATTCCGCACGATATCTAGAGATCATTCAATTGCTGCTTCTTCGCATCTCTTTGAGCAGGACGAGCGAAGAAGCATAAACTATGTGCTAACCGTGCAAAGAAACGAGGAAAACAGGGTATTGGGTTGGTATATCGAATCATGAATCGTCAAGGCGCTCCCCCAGCTCTACCCCCTCATGAGCCACCAAGCCCTCGCCATCCTCGCGATCTTCCCTCGTTTCCAGCGGCCGGCATTCATTCGTCGGCCGATATCCATGTACCCCTCGACGGCGACTCTGGCGCCGCCTCTCGCCTCGAGCGGCAGTCCCTCGATGGCCGCTCTGCTCTCCGCATACATCACCTCCGCGGCCTCGAGCAGTCTGCGCCTGAGCCCAAACTCCGCCGCCACGTCTTCCGGACGGTCGAGGACGTCCTGCTCGGTCACGCCCGCCTGCGAGAGCCACGTGGCGGGAATGTAAACGCGGCCGATCTGCGCGTCCTTGGCGATATCGCGGGCGATGTTTACGTATTGCAGTGCGATGCCCATCTTCAGCGCGTTGGCCAGGTAGTCGGATAGGTCCGTGGGCGTGGTGACGTCCGCGGAGTGGTAGAATACCAGGTGGCAGAACATTTCGCCCACGGTGCCCGCAACGCGGTGGCCGTACGTGTGTAGGTCGTTTTCAGTCTGGATCGGCCACGTCTTCTTCTCCGTGTCGAGCGCCGGGAACGTCATGTCCGTGTGGAAGCCCTCGAGGAGCTCCTCGAGCGGCCGCCGCGGGATCTTGGTGTATGGGAGGGAGAGGATAGGCGTGTGCGCCCAGGCGGGGAACATCGAGTGGACAAAGTTCTCGAGATCGACGCTGCTACGCTTCGGGTCGTACATGAGAGCCAGCAGTTGCTGGAGACGCTCGAGGGAGCGAGCCGGTTCTGGGGCGTCGTCGATCAGGTCGTCGGCAGCCCGACAGAATGAGTACAGCGAGATCAGGTCGAGTCTCAATCTGCCCTCGAAAACGCTGCTGGCCATGTAGAAACTCCGGCTCTTGCGCCTAAGTATATCGATTGATGCCGGAAGTGCGCAGTACTCGTCTCTGGGGAAGCGGCGGGTGAACAATGCCCGCGCCCCATAGGCGAAGAGCGTTCTGAAGGGAGTAACGCTACGAATATCGGGGAAGAGGGTCGGGAACGCTGTGGTAAGTGCGACAGCGTAATCGAATGCGACGAGGCCGAATACGATGAGGACGTTTGTTGCCAGGAAGAACACTGCTTCTCTGCGCACTGTTAGACTTGTAGCGATTTCAGGAGGAGAAAGTGGCACTTACTCAATCTCCATTCCACTCCACGGCTCAATCCCCAGCTTCGTACCAGTCGAGATCGCCCACGTTCCGCGCCGCAGCGCCAGCGTGTCAACTCCCCACAGGTAAACAGTGGGCAGCAAAATTGGGAACGCCGTGCACCTCAATGGCAGCGACAGAATGTGCCGGTACGCGATACACCTATGGTCATTAGCCCACAGCCGTCGCAGCTGAAAAAGAGAACTCACCACAGCGTCAACACGAATGGTCCAGCCCAAGCTATGAGCAGTCCCATATACTTCCCCTCACCACCGCTGCTCACCATCCCCACCGCCTTGACAATACCGTAGGCCAGCGCTGCCGCAACCACCGCACCGATGGACCTCTGCCTCCTGACTCGCCACCTGTTCGCCTGCTCATTGATCTCGCTCAGGTATGCCACGTGGGCAGTCGCCTTATTGCATAGTAGGTAGATCATCGTCGTATTGTACGTCTGCACGAAGAAGAAGAAGACCTCCTCGACGGGGATCTTGAACAGCGTGTAGCCCAAGACGGCGTCGGGAGGGTAGGTCCATATTCCAGCGGAGACCAGATACGAGTCCCAAGGGATAGTCGAGAGAACCGCGATCTAATTCATCAAAAGGGACTTTCTTTAGCTGGTTGTAACTCGCACGCGCGCGCTGGAGATGTGCGTTCCGGAGCATACCGTCAGGAGAAAGACAATCTTGCAAGTGTCCAAGTGCGTCTGCAGCGGTCGGTAGAGCGCGGTCAGGAACAGCGCGGGGGGAATCGTGTACTTGACGTGTCTGTAAAGCGCCGCCGCCGCCGTCAGTCAACCTCAACCTCAACCTCAACCTCACACTTCCGCCAGAAGGATCCTTACACGAGCGCATAATCCGCACCCATAGTGACTGATAATTAATAGATACGCTTAAGCAGGAACAACCGACAACTCTTGGTGCTCAATTCTCAAACGTGAAAGAAGAAGAAAACTTGAAGAACAGGAGGAAAAACGAACGATAAAGTGCCTTTTCCCCCTCGCCTCCTGGCCAGGTGATTTAAGGGGACCTCCTCAGAGACACCCCCACCCCGATAGACCTCTCAGGTGAATTGGGTACATCCATCGAGAAAATAATCGGCGCCAGAGACATAGCTATCCGCCGGAGACTCGGAGGAACAGAAAAAAAGTCATGTCGTCATGATTCTGCGGGATCCCTGGAACATTAGGGATGCAGGGGTGTCCCATCTGATCTCGGCGTGGGCGTCGAGCTGGCGCGAATCGTGGGCGCGCCAGTCGGTCGGTCGGTCGGTTCTCTGGGCAGTTAGCTACTTGCGGGGAAGCTGGTGAATATGCTCTAGAAAGCTCGAGACATGGAGGATGGAAAGTGGAGAGACAAAGTCCAGAGATCGCAGCTGGGGTGCGCCTTGAGTCGCACGATGCAGCCCCGGACAGGATACACAGGCGCAACGACTGCGGTGCATGGATCAGACTGCCTACCTAAGCGATCATTACGCCCATGCACGGGCCCGTGCATAGGGCGTCCGAGAATTGGCGCTGTGTCAAGTTGCGAATATCCGTGGGTGACATCTCGTGAATGAAGTTTTTTTACATTCCTGACGATAAAGCCTATTACGCCGCGAACCTTTGTAACGGCGGCTGCGGCCCGCCATTTCGGGTGAATGGGCGTTGCCACCGGCCATGCTGCTCTATCATAGTAGATAACCGTCTGCCGAAAGCTACCTACCCTAGATAACTTATCGAAGAACAGCAAAACGGTGAGAGACCCCCGACGGGGACGGGCAAGTTGCAACTGATGAGACTAATTCAATTGGTTGACTAAAAGCAACAAGAATAAAAGCAAGCCTGCGAGATCCGGACCGAACAACCTCAAAGTACCTCTGATGTGTTGAACAATACACCGCCCGACCAGACAATCCCACGATGGGGAAACTAGCGTTCCGGAATCCGTGTATACTTGCCCGTTTCCTGCCGATCGTTATCCGAAAAAATAGCCCTGGCAAAACGTCACTTCCTCTCCCGAGTCCCGTTGCGTGCCAGGTCATCGGGATTCAGGGTCCGTCAGGGTCCGTCAGGGTGGAGGTGGCGAATCGACTCATTGACACCTCCCTGCGGTCTCAGCCGTCATCAGTTCAAAGACAGAGTCCGCCAGCTCTGGGCGGCACGTTTAAATGTATCGGCAGCCTGAACGCGTGGTGCGGATACGGTGTGTTGGATCCCGTGACAGAAGACTTAGCCTCTTCTCGATGAGACGCAGCCATCGCATCGACACGAAGGCTCTCAGTCCACCGTCCACGCTCGACCAAACGATAACGATAACAATCAGAGTCTCTTTGTATTCACACGTACTGTACTCTATCTATCTATAGACTTATCAATGAAGCCATCAATCATCAATCATCAACCGCAACCATGTCTACGAGCCACGTTCTTTCACAAAAACAAAAAAAACAACAAAAACACAAAGCCCAGGTTAAATCCAAATCTCTAACAACTGCACCTTCCATGCACATCGAGGTCACTTTTTCCACACCTTCACACTACGGATCTTCCAATACGCCTCCCCGAACGCCTCGGGATTATCGGTGACATAATCTTCACAAGTATCCGCCAGATGGCCACTGCATGTCGTTAGTATTGTGAGTTGTGTGAGGAGAAGGGGAGGGACTGACCATCCACTCTCCTGCTCCCAGATCTCTTTCTTGCCTGCCCACATACCACAGAAGGTGGTGTTTATGACTACCGTATGATCCTTCATCTTGTTCATGCCGCACTGGGTATCTACACTGAGCACGGGCGTTCCCCACGTCTCCGGATTCGGAGTCCCCTGGTTCACATCGCACGGCACGTCATCCCTCGGGAAGAACCAAGTCCTGACTCGCTTATCCGTCCACTCCATAGCATACACACCGCCCTTCCAGCCCGGTCTGCCATAGCTTTCCTCTCGCGGATCAAAAGTCATGAGGTATTGGGCCGACTTCTGCAGGGTGCAATACGGTGTTTTTGTCCAGCCAGTCATTTGGTCATGCGCCGCAGGGACGAACTGACAGCTGCAGTCGCCGGGGGAGACGTGGATGGTCTGAGAATTATTCCGAGCGTTGTGGACATTCTCGATGATATCGATCTCGCCGAGCTCTGGCCAAGGGGACGTAAGACCGTAAGTCCAACTGTTCGCATGGATGTATCAGCTCCGTAATCCCCTGTACCCAAAGAAGGATTCCTCACAAAGCCGGCCACACGCCACAGCCATACGGCATGTGATCGACGTCCAATAGGAACAGTCCATGCGTGAACAGCATCTTGCTCTCGACCCGGACGGAGGGGCGGCCGTCAGGTGCGCGGGCCCAGTGGTCGACTCCCATATAAACGTATCCCTGGTCCGGCCTCTGCTGAATCAGTCCCATTTTCTCCGCATCCGGGCGAGTCTGGTATTGAACATGGCCGGAGGTTGGTTCATCGGTCTATTCCAAGCCCCCACACATCAGCGGAATCACTACGATGGAGAAGGGGATTACCCTGAAGTCGAAGTGGTCAAAGAAGTTGTTTGGATTGGCATCTAGGACGAGAGTTGTGTACTGTTCGGCCACGACAGCGGCGGCGGCAAGAATGGGGAGAAGCAAGAACTTCATAATGGATAAGATTAAAGATATTTATGACGAACTATTAATAGGTAGGAATGGATGGTAACTTGTAAGAGGATGGATTCTTAAGATGATGGATGGTTAAGAGGATGGATGTGTGGGGTGCGAGGAAGGAAGGGAACAACAAAGAAGACGCTATGGGGGCTTAAGTTTGCAATGGGCCAATATGGACACTGGGAGGGAAGAGCTGGCTATGTTTTGGTGGGTGTAACGGCCGCTGTGGCCGGATATTTTAGAGAGCAATGACACGACGTCAAGTCTGCATATAGAGACTACTGTCAAGCTTGATATACACAACACCTTCACCCTGAATGCGAGCCCGCAAGATCTTGTTTCAATTTTATTCCATCATTGAGTTGCATGCGAACCAACAAGACCATGACAATGTACTCACAGCCGGTTCCTCTCCTCCGCAGTCGCCGCAGCAGTCTGGTGGCCGCTTCCTGTCCCCGCTCTATCCACAACAGCAAACCGCACGTATCAAATAACAAAAGCAAGAAGTACATCCCATCACCAGACGGACTCGTGGATCGTGGTGGTGACCACAGGAACCATCGAGAAGGAGCGGTGCGGTATGTTCTTCAAGTCTTGTCTAGGAGCTACATAAAGCTACAGCTACAAGAGAGAGAGAAAGAGAAAGAAACCCAAACTTGGACCCGCTGCCGCACCGAATGTTCCAGCTTCCAAGCACCCACCAGATACTGTTCCTCCGAACGGCGGTTATACTACCCGGAAGAAGGGACACACTCTCTCCAGCATTCTCGTTCACAAAGATCCGATGCCCAGGCTGCCCAGAAGATCTCCCTCCTATTCGCGCTCCCATTCACGCGGATTTCAGGATCAGATACCGATACATCATACATGAAGCACAGGGTGAGAGCCTATGATGCCTGTCTCTACCAGTATACCAGTACCAGCACCTAGTCCCGGTAACTACCGGTAAGTGAAATTCGAGTCTTCAAGAAGCCACGGCCTACGGTGTGTGCTGTGTACCTATATCTCTTATGGTATCTTCAGTAAACCTGCTGTGGTGGGGTGGTAGAGGAGCTATCAGCGAGAGGAGGAGTTGTATGTGAGAGGAGAAGGAACTGTCAGCGAGTGGAGAAGCTGTCGGTGAGGAGGAGGAGTTGCGGCGGGAGTAGCAGTAGGAGTTGCGGCGGGAGTAGCAGTAGCAGATGCGGCGAGAGGAGGAGGAGCTGCGGCGAGAATAGTAGATGTGGTGAAGAAGCATGAGTATAGAATTGAGGGTTGGTGAAGGTGGAGGTTTGAGGAGATGAGAAGAGACTTGACAACCGGAACTGCAGCTTTAAGGCGGACTTCAACAGACGCTATTCCTATCCAAGCGGGCCTGATACTACGGCTTCACCCACGCAAACGTTTTTAAATCGACACCCTTAACCCAGATACCCAGAACCCCTTAACTGCACGACAACTCATAATACTACACTACATCTAATCTACTTCGTCTTCTTCCTGTACGGTACTATACACGCAAAATCAGCAACTCCCACGTCACTACACTACACACGGAGCCACATACGCAGAGTGAATGAATAGGCGGCCTGCATAGGATTGCCGGAGAAGCTTCCGCCGGAGGAGCTAGCCGTGCTCTCAACAGGAAACGCGCGTTTGAATGGGTTGACCTCCGGCTTGACGATTTTCTGCCGGGGACCGTGCTAAGCAGGGACCACGAGAAGCCGCCGCCGCTGGTGGTGATCGCGGCAGCTTTGCGGCTGTTGATCGACGACTCCCCCCCCCCCCCCCCCCCCTCCCTTCCCCTCCCACCCCCAACCTGTGTCTTACAGCCCGTTTTCTCCCTTCGCCCAGCTTTCCCAACATTTCCAAGCAACCGGCCAACCGAACGAAGAGAGTAACATACCATTGCCAGGTATTCGTGAGGAGATACCATCTCCTCTCCTTCTAAGTAGCCAAAATCTAAAGCAGAGGCAAAAAACCAAAAACCAAAAACAAAGGAGAAACTGTAGAACAGAAAGGGAGAAAAACGAACAATCTAGAAATGGAAGGAATAGATAGGTAGGTAACAGCACGCCCAGCCGTAGAATGTACATTGTACACAGTAATCGACAGAGGGGGAAATTAGGATGATCCGCAGCAAAAAAGGGAAGTAGTGCATCGGGAATGACGTGAGGATAGATAATTGGGGGGAGGACGGCAAGTCTAAGTTGGAAGAAACATGCCTCCTCACTCGACCCACATCACCACACTTCGTATTTTCGTCGGCTTGAATCTTCCGGGCGTGGACGGCAGCCGTTTCCCGCGGAAACCGGACGCCTCCAGGTACCGCAACAGATGGGTCCTGGTGCTGTGCACCGGAGACCCCGCAGTGTTTGCTCTGGCTCCACCGGGAGGAAAAGCCCCACCGCCTTCGTAGTCTGGGCGGTGGCTATTACTGGCGTACAACTCGCACACGAACCAATCAGACTCCTCGACACCGCCGCGCCTAGCGAGCACCCATTTCGTCCTGGCGGGGGCGGGGGCCGGCTTCTCGTGGTCTCTCGGGAGATGGAATAGCGACTTCAGCGGACAGAACACCTTCATGCTGACGCGGATCGGAGCGCGTATGGAGAAGGCGCACAGGCATCGCGTGCTGCTGGCCTCAGGGCTGACGGAATACAGCTCGCCGTACGCTTCGATCTTTCGCAGCGCTTCGGAGTTGCCGTTCTCGACTACGAATTCCTCGATGTCGCAGATGTCGAACCGCGCGTGAACCCTAACACGGCTCACGGTGATGGCACTCTTGCTCTTCACCGGCTTCGTGTTGATGGTTCCTTTGAAGGCGTGGAAGTCGGCTGGAAACATCGAAGAGCCTGGGCCGATGGCACCGTTCTGTATCCCGTTCCAATTGAAGATCGAAACGTCCCCCGTGGTCCGGATGATGCTTTCCAACAGCCTGGATATGGCCATTTTGCGACCTTCTCCGTAGTTGGTCGTCATCCGCACTCCAAGCAATCCCATCAAGGAGTACGCCCGATCCTCGGTCCGGCTAGGAGAAAAAAATGTTTTAGTATGATTTTTCTATAACGCAAATGGTTCGGGAAACACACCTGGTCTCTCGGTCGGATGCAATTTGTAACAAAAACGATGCTGCGACTTCGGGTCTTTTCCCGCAGCAGATCAGGCTACTGGACCTGACATTACATAGATATGCTAAATCCTCGAGAATTTGGAGACGCAGAATCTCACAATCATTCGCAAACCACGTATCATCCAGACGGAATGCTACATCGTCCGGCAAAAGATATCCATCGTCCCCCAAGGATGTATCACCGTCCTTGGCCTTGTCACCGTCGTCCGTGTTCCCTGGAATTTCTATCGGAAAAGCTACATCCTCCGTTTGCGTGCGTTTGGTGGTGCCTACGGGCTTAAGGAGACTAGTGTCCACGATATATTTCCAATGCTTATTATAGAAGACCGCGCGGGGGCTCATCACGATTTCCTGCAGCGTCCAACCACGGGTTGACCATCTGGGCCTTTGTGAGGGGTAAGGGCTCGGAGGAACAGTTGTTCCTTCAAAGTCATCAAGGTATACCAGACAGACCTGCGAATTCTGGTACCAATCTCCCATACTCGAGAGTGACTCGTTCAGCTCGGTTTTGTGGGACTTGTCGATGCAGCAGTTGTCCACCCAGAGATACCGGAAGTTCAGTGCCCGCGCCTGGTCGATCGCTCCCATCAACTTTTGTTTGGCTGCCTCCTCCGGGTCCATGCTATTCCCGGTGTCGAGTCCCGAGTGATCAATCTGGAGATCCGCCGCCGGCTCTGCGTATCCCGGGGGAAGCTGCGCCTTCCGCCGTATCCTACATTCTCCCAACCTATCGATAAGCCGGTGATTGTTCCTTGGGCCGCCGTACTTGGAGCCCTTCCCGTCCGACTCCTTAGTCGCTTTTACCCCGGGATAATCACCAGGTGCGTCCCCGTCTATTGCCATGCGGTCCGGATTTCTTAGCGTTTCGATGAGCGCGCTTTCCCTCTGTAAACGCTCGTTGGCCATCCGGAGAAATACATCGTTTACAGTGAACATATCGACCTCGACCGATCCCCAGGTATGGGAAAGAACCGCGTACGAATCGCGGAACACATTCTGATCCTCTTCGAACCGTAGAGTCTCGACATCGATCACTCTGGTCGGGTACCGGGGGGGCTCTATATCGGCCGGGGGAATTCTGGTATGTTCTCCCTTTCCCTTCACGAGCACCGCGATGTCCAGATAACAGACTGGTGCCTTCTTGAGGAACAGCGCGCCGATCTCTTTCATACATGCTCCGATGACAAGCGCACGTCTCCCGAGCAATCCCATCAACCGCAGGATGCTGGCCTTTGGCGCTGGAATCCCTCGCCCCGGCTTACCCAGAGCTAGAAATCTCGATTCCCATGAGAGCCACTGGCGTCGAGTTTTCGCTTCTTCCTCTAGGCTGCTTGGTTTTCCAGTCCAAAGCAATTCGTGACTCGACAAGATATCTCCCAGCAGTACCCCCGCCTCTTCATCAAGGTCATCTTGGGTGAACCATGCCAAAACCTTGATTACCTCCAAGAGCGCTTGGTGGATCGCCGGAAGGACTTTGTGTCGGATGGTACCGGAAACGCCCTTAATCCCAGCGCCCTCAGTGGTCACGAGGTAACAGAAACATTTGGAGCCGTGCGTGCATCGCTCAGCAAGGTCCGCCGAGTTCTGAATGTACCGAGTATCCGATTCCTCGGATTCCACCATTCCCAGGGCTTCCTCGAATACATCCTGCAGTTCCTTCTTTGTCCATTTCCCAAACTCGAAATCCTGTCTCTGCAAGTGCTTCTCGACGAATTTCAACCCTATTTTCGCCTTTCCCTGGGTCGCCATGTGCTGAAACGTCACGTCGAACGTCATTTTTTCGTCCGGGGAGGGGCTTCGGCGTTCCGTTGAGAAGACCCGGTCGAGGGGGTTGTAATCATCGTTCTTGCTGGAAACGTCGCTGTGCTCGATTCCGTTGAGCGCCAACCCCTCCATTCGCTCTCGCCCAGACAGAGCCGATATTGGATTCGTATCGCGAAGGCGATGGTGATGGCGCGTAGTTGATTTGCAACCCCTCTCTCTCTCCCGAAGAGAATCAATGTGCTCTCGCCGGTTGAATGATCCCGGCTGGCCGATCGGGTCCAGCTGCGATTGATTTCGCGGACCTTCTTCACGAAGCCTTCCTCTTTTTTTCTTTCTTTTTTTTTGTTCGTCTTCAAACGATCCAGTTGGCGCGATCGCTAGCCCAAACTAACTGCGGTCCTGGACGGCCGATCGTACCGCGGGCGTCAACGATTCCCCTCGCACCTAATCGTCCAGTATCAGTCAGCGTAGGCCAAGAACCGGACGAGCGAGGGTTGATCCACGGTTGGGATGCTTTCCGAAGAAAGAAGCTCAGACCAGCGCCTTGTTGGCTTGGGAGAAAGAGTGTGGTGGGGGGGCTTTGAGACAGGTGCAATATCGATCGATATCGTCGTGGGATGGTGAGCCGTGCGGAAGGTTGCGAGGGTTATGTACCGACTGCACGAAGCCCACACAAGCCACTGCCACGTGGTTAAGTTGCGGGCCTGCCAGTCCCGGGAAAGAAAGAGGTTTTAGGGATATGGAGTGTATTGTCGTGGGAGTAAAGCAGAGGCAGGAAATATGGAAAGTCCTGCGAGGAGTCGTGCAGAAGATGGAAAAAGGGTTCCATGAAAGCTGTCTTGCACAGCCCCCCCACCTGGCTCGCACGCGACGTCAGCCGACGAATGAAGCTTAGATATGGCACTGCTAGTTAGATCGATCCACGGGTAGGGACAGGCTGCTAGTTACCGCCGCATCCCAGTCCCTCCGAATGCGAGTGAATCCGTCGAGTATGTAGAGTCTCGGACCGGGCCCCGGCAGGAGACAACGATGAAAGGACTCGGGATTTCGTGTCTTCGGGTTGTGTCAGCCGCGAATGATTGTGCTGCACGTGATTGTTTCCTGGTGCAGCCTTGCTGCACTCCCGTATGGCCGGCTGTTTGCTGCGGCATTGGATACCGGTAGTTAGAGTATGGCGACACGCACCGTCCGCGAACCAAGTCTCCCGTCCGGAAAAACCAGCTCGAGGCAGCGACCAACTTCTCCGCTTTCTGCCTGGGCCCCCGTGACTCCGTGAGTAACTAATAGACCGCACCAAAGATAGTCAGGTACCCGAGTTGTGCCGTATCGGTTGACATACCGATTCCCCGGAGTGATGAGAGTTAGGACTGCACCATGAGGATAGCTACATGCCGACGGCAACGCGACAGTGTCATGACGTAGAGTATTGTCAGGTACATAACATTACGGACACGGAAGGGTTGTGACAGTAAAGTTAAAGTTTTTGCTAAGTCGCTGGGTTTGTTCGAGGGCGTTTTGTTTAATGGCAGGATAGATGCGATCGGCATGGCTGGTGGTGCGAGGTCGTCATTCGTTACGACTGTCCCCTCCACCAATTGGCCCATTATCGTCACTGAATGGGCATCTCTACTCGAGCACTCGACCGGAAGGCCTCTCCACCACCTAGCGGAGTGCTGTCACATTAGATTTTCCCGTACTCCGGTATACACATAGTATAACTAGTGCTTCATCTGACAGAACACTGCACATACGAGGAGATTGAGTCCCATCGTGCCCGAATCGGTCGGGTCAGTGCCGGAAGGGATGGGCCAACTCGCCGGCCCACCGTCAATGCCCCGTAGTTACTCGGCGGCCGACGGCCGGCCCGCTCCTTATGAGCCTATATATGATGTGTATGTAGAACCCGAGGGCCGATTTACGGTATCTAGATTCTAGTGCGGTTTAAAAATATACACCGGACTTCGCTACTATTAGGGTTGAAAGGGAAGGCTGTGAAAAAAAGCTTGGTGCATTCCGATTATTGATTATTGATGGATCAGATAGAGTAATAGTATGGTACCAACCAATCACGGCGGCCCTCCTGGGCGCTGTCTCGGCTCAGCTAAGTAGACAGCTGGCATGTTTCACAGCTGGCCTTCAGGTATTGGTTTGGCCCAAAAGTACTCACATATGTACCATGTAGTCAATCAAGTCCCGAAGGCCTACGTATAATTGTGCTCTGGGTTGGAGAGCCTTGGAGGCCTAGCCGTGCGTGCCGCTGACGATCCTAGTAATTATTCGCGCCGGACAGCCAATAGCTACATGAGCACCCCTCCCCCGTCCCCCTCCCCCTCCCCCTCCCCCTCCCCCTCCCCCCACATAACCTCAAGGCTATATAATGAGTGCAATCGGCCATTGTTGGGGCCAAAAAGCTCTTACGCGGACAATCTACGTTCCCTCCCGGTCGGCCGCATCTCTCCGAGCCATTTCTCTCGCGACAGCGCCAACATACCCTCCCGCAAATCGGTTTAGAGTGACATCGCACCCCTCATGATCCGGTTCCCCACCGATCGCGATGGCTGGCGGCTCGACATCATCTCACTGCTAGCGGTGCTGGGCGAGTCGGCGATGTTGCGGCACTCGTTGCCGATGACCACGAGCTGGCTGTGCATGCTGCCCCGCCTCGTGCCTGCCCCGCAGGCGCTGTTGACCAACAAACGGCCAGACCGGCCGAAACCGCACCGCGCACACATCGCGGGAATCCACTCCGGCGTGGTGTACGACGAGCTCAACTACTTCGCCCACCTGCTCTGCGACATCCCGCTGTCGAAGTTTGCTGTGCGCGAAGTGAAAATCCGGCGCGCTCCCGACAACCGTCGGGACGCCGACGTGGAAGGCACCCCGGCGGCGCGGGAACTCGCAGCCGCAGCCAAAGCCCCGGCGCTCGGGCTCCTCCGCCGACGCTTCACGACTACGGACATCTGGGGCCCGCGGTTCCGCGACTCGGTGACGATCGTCACGCCGCAGCGCCTCTCGCCGCTGGTATTCCTCTCGGTGGGCTCGTGCCTGCTGACGCTGGGGCTGCTCGCGTGGGCGGCGGTGATTGGCGACGGCGTCGCCGTGATCGCCATCGTCGCGCTGTCGTTGACCTCGTCGCTCACGGGCATGGCGTCGTTCTGGCGGCCGCGCACGATCGCGCGCCAGGTGCTGCGCGACGTGCCCGACGGCGACCTGGCGCTGCGCACGCGCCACGGCGCCTTCATGATCATCCGCTGCGACGAGAACGTGGCGCGCGAGCTGTACACCGGCACCGAGGAGTGCGAGTACTGGATCGGCGAGAAGATGTTCAACGCGCTGGCGGGCGCCGCCACGTTCCTGCTCATGGTCGGCGTCGTGATGATGGGGAACTGCACGTGGACCATGCAGGCGGCGCTCGGCGCCTCCTACATGCTGCTCAATGGCTGCTACCAGCTCGCGGCCCTGCTGCCCGAAACTTGGTTCTGGGACTTTTCGCGCTATGTGGTCGACGAGGGCGTGCCACACGAGACCAAGACCTACACCAGCGCGCTGTGGAAGGCGATCCAGGTCTCCAAGAGCACCGGGTGGGTAACAGTGATGCAGGCCGCCCCCGTAACGGAGCCCTGGAGGAAATGGCTCGTGGAGGCGGGGCAAAACATCGAGAACAAATCCTGGAACTCCGGTTTGCGCCTGGTACAACTCATGAAGGAAGAGGTGCAACCGAAGGGACAATGAGCCTAAGAAGGAGGGCGAATACGGTAGCCAGGCGCTGAAACCGGCTCAGATTGTCAACGGGGTAACTCCGAGCAGTGCATTTGGGGGAGGAGTGCTGTTCGCGGATGTGATACCTACCGGCGGCATGATTTGGAATGATTGAATGAAATGAAAATGTACAGGAGTTTTCCTAGATACCTATTTTGTTTTCGAGCGGCGGAGAGAGGTAGCTTTAATTTACTAGAAGGTCCCGGGACTGCCGGTGGGTTACTGAGGACAGTACACTTGCATGCACATATAGTTGAGATGTATATAGTGCGATCCACTTGGAGTCCGTGGCTCCGCTCTCTCGTGGAGTAGAATCACTATTAGAAACACCGGTGAATGTGGTAGTAAACGACGCACTCATGTACCGGTATTGCCGTATCATACAAGAGGGGCAGCAAGACCCGAGCCTTTGCGATGGTACCACAACCACTACTATACTGGTACCGCAGCATATCACTCGCTCTAGGTCCCCGAAGGCCGAGAATCCACGAAATCGGAACGCATCCCGACACTACGAGCAGTCCGCCCGGATTGAAGCAAGAATCGATGGATCTCTTTAGTGCTGCCCTGGCTTCAACGGTGCAAGGAGTGTAATGTGGATGGACGATCTCGAGGAACATGTCGCCCGCGCTGGACGAGGGGTACTATAGTTATGTCCATTGTCCAATCGCTACAGCCTACAACGACTAGAATGGGAGTGATACGCAGAATTCAGATCTCCAAATACGAATCTGATAGTACCTACTATATTAAAGGCGCGTTGAGAACTTGGCGGATATGTATGTTGAAGTGTTGAGTGTTGAAAATCATGACATGATAACTATCGCTGTCGAAGGAAGATCATTACTACATAGCAATCATTAGAGGAGATTGTGTAAGTGCTTACATGAGCAACGGTCTAGTTCCCGCGATTGTTACCTCAATTAAGCGATGTCGCCGTCAGCTGTGAGCAGTGAGCAGTGAGCACCGCCGCAGGATGGTACTCTATATAAATGGCAAGGGGTGGCCGCGTCCGACGCGTCAACGGATAAAGACGATTCGGGCAACGGAGAACCAAAAGCAGGTGTCTTGTCTAGGTAATCGAGTTCGTTAACTCCGAGCATAGATGGTGATACACGAGGCTTTGTCGTGTATCACCATCATTGAGTGAGTGGGCTTCGCATTGAGATGGGCTTGACTCCGCCCACAGTAAAGAGTCCCTGGCTAGAGAACGATCTGGCCAAATCGCAGCTGGTAGGTCTGATATCGACTTACTCATCCATTGTAGATTCTTACTCTAGGCCCTTGCTCCGAGCTAGACGGGTTGCTTCCCCGGGAAGCGGTGCCAAGGGATCAGTCCGTCGGCCCAAAGCTCCCTTTCTGGACCATGGATAACTGACCCTGTGACGCACATTCCTCTCCATGAGTAAGTAAAGTATTCCACTCCATCACAGCAAACACCGAGCCCGCGTATGGGCGGCCATACACTCCAGTTAACCCCGTCCTGACGTCCCCCCTTCGCCCTCGCCCTCCCTCGCCCCCTCGCTCGCTAGCCAAGTACTTATAGGGAAGCGTATATCCGTCCCGGACCGGAAAGGAAAACCCTCGCACACACCACCACACCGTCCACAGCGTAGCCGACCGGTCCGTTCCGAAGCAAGCAAGCCATGAACATCGAACCCCAAGCACTGTCTGAAACCTCCGACACGCCGCAGCGCCTGCGCACCTCCAAAGCCTGCGAAGAATGCCGCAAGCGCAAGATCCGCTGCAACGGACAGTCGCCCACGCCGTGCGACTACTGCCGCCAGAAGCGACTGCACTGTGTCTACCGCAGTCAGGCGCGGATTCGGCGGCCACGGCACGTGTTGATGGGGATGGCGCGTGCGTCCGCCGCGGCGGGGGGTGGGGCAGATGCCGGGACGAGCGCGGGGGCGGGCGCGGCGACGGGTGATGTGGAGGGATTGGGCGGCGCGGGGAGCGGGATCGGGGGAAGTCCGATCGAGAGCTCGCTGTACGCGGGCGTGTCGGCCACGTACGCCGACTCGCCGAGCAGGACCCTGCAGCTGTTCTACGGCCCCTCGAGTAATTTCCCCATGATCCAGCACATCCACCAGCGCTTGAACGCGGCAAAGAGTGCTTCCACTGCGCCGTCGTCGACTATAGAAGAGGTCGACGAGGGGCTGGACAGGTTTAATTACCGCGGCATCTTCTTCGGGAAACATTCGGATCAACAGGACATGTCGTATCCTGCCGCGGGAGGTGCTGGGGGGCTTGGCGGCAGCGGCATCGGCGGAGGGATAGGGAGGAGGGGCGTGGATGATTCGAATCTGCTGTTCCTGCCTTACAATCTCGCGGCGGACTTCCTTGAGAAATTTCTAACAACGCTACAGAGGCACTTGCCGTTTGTGGATCCGGCGGTTGCGGCGGACTCACTGGCGGTGTTGTACGGGAATGCGGGGGTAGGTGACGCGCGGGAGCTAGATATCGGCGAGAGAGCGATATTGATCGCCATCCTGGCGGTCGGTGCCACGCTCACCGAGTACACGGTCTGGGCCGAGACGCTGTACAAGCGCGCGAATAGTCTGGCGGATGAGCTTGACGATGTGGTTAATGTCCATGTGTGTCAGCTGGGGTTGCTGCTTGCGCATTTTCAGTGCGTTACCGGGAAGCCCAACTCGGTTTATTTGCTGGTGGGGACGGCCATGAGGAAGGCGGTCGCTGCGGGTCTGCACAAAGAGGCGTTGTCCAAAGGACGGCAGAGCGTGGACTTTGCACTGGTGCAGGAGAGGAGGTTAACGTTCTGGAGCATCTATATCTTTGAAGTGTTGGTCTCCCGGATGAACAGAAAAGGGTGCCGTTTCTGATGGTGAGGATAGTACCATCTCTTTCGGACTGGGCCGGCCGATCTCGATCCATGACAGCGACATCAGCATTCCATACCCTGAGGATTCACCCTTCTTCATATCGCTGATCACACTGGCACGCGTCTACTCGCGCGCCTCGCAGCAGCTGTACAGCACAAAACAAGGCTCGCTCCTATCCCTCTACAAATCCGCCACCGCGCTCAAGGCCGAACTCGACGCCTTCCGCGCCTCGCTCCCGCCCGAACTCCAACTCGGCCCGGACGCGCCCTTCAAATCGGGCGCACCCGATGTCCTGAAGCTCTTCCTCAACAACTGGTACTACCACGCCGTGATCCTGATCTTCCGCCCCTTCCTGATCTTCCACGCGCAATGGCAGGCGGACCCGTCGCACCGGCTGACCACTGACCCTGCCGTCGCCGTCTCGAAACGGCAACTGCGCACCTCGGCGCCGTGGATCTTCACCGCGTGCGACGCGTGCATCTCAGCCGCGCGCGAGCTGCTGATCTGTCTGCACCGCAGCGTGAAAACCAACGACCTCGTGCGCCGCCTCGCATACTCGTGTTTCTACGTCGAGTGCGGGGCGTTCCTGCTGATCTTTAATATGCTACGCGAGCGCCGCGCATCCGACGCCCCGGACTCGGGCGAGGACGCCCGCTGTATGAGACTCGCTCTCGAGGCGATGGAAATGATGCATGACACCACCCCGAGAAACGTCAGTCTCTTCGCTATACGTAGGATGCTGGCGCTGGTCGAGGGCGTGGAAGACGATGATACAGAGACTTGGGGTGGCGTTAGCCCTGAGAGCTCGACGCCCGGCACGACTATTGCAGTAGGTCCCTTACTCCTTCCCTCTTTCGACTGTGTTCTGATTGCGAAGGAAACGGCTGCGGCAAATGGATTACTGCGGATGCCGGAGACGGCGGGAATGCCCGGGGAGAATATGTCCCCAAGCAGTGTGCTGGATTGGGACCTGGGCGAGATGAAGTTGAATTTTGACCTCAACAGTATGGATCTCGATTGCTGGCTGGCTATGGAAGGGTTTGGGGGGGTGGGAGCATGCGATCTTGGGTAGTCTTATATTACATAGTCCTCCTTATCGCGAATAGAGCTACATTTCCACCTTCTCCTCTGGCACCCCCACCTCCTCCTCCCCCTCGCCATTCTCCTCCCTCCACCACCCCCAAAACTCGTTTACCCTCCTAGTCCTCTCCACGGCCAGTTCCCTCCCCAGTCTCGTCTTCATGAGCGCCTGAATCTTTACCAACTTCTCGCCAAAATGCTCCACGCACCCCTGCAGACTCGCGTTCCTCACAACCCCGCCAAACACAAAACACCGCGCAATCCCCACCGCCCCCAGCGCATCCAGGCGGTCCGCGTCCTGCACTACCGCCAACTCGGGGTACACCGCCAACACCGCGCGCACCGCGGCCGGGTTCGCGATCTCGGAAGAGTACGAGACGTGCGCGACCACCACTGCAACCCCGCGCGCGAGCGCGGCGGGGCAGTTGTAGCCCAGGAGCACACTTTCCACTGAGTCCCCACCAGTAGAATATTTATGGTCCCCGACATCATGCAGCAGCGCGGCGAGCTGGATCAGTAGCGCGTCGTGCCCGTGGTCGGCGGAGGGAGGGGTCAGCCGCGTGGCGAGACGCGACACCCGCTCGATGTGGGCCCAGTCGTGAGAGGCGTCGTAGCGCGACATGTAGTCGCGCACGAATAGGCGGGTGGAGGTGAGTAGGAGGGCGCAGGCGGCGGGGGGGAGGGTGTAGGGTTCTCGAGGGGGGATGGTGGGGGTGGACATGGTGGTTGTGGTGGAGGAGCGAGGCGGGGTGGTGCTGGTGGGAAGACGCGTGCGTGCGTGTGTTGGGAGACGCGGGGTGGGGTGGAAGACGCGGGGTGGGGTGGAAGACGCGGGGTGGGGTGGAAGACGCGGGGTGGGGTGGAGATATAGTACATCATAGTACAGCATAGCAGTAGTGGGGCGGCCGCCGCCGGCCGGTCCCGGCGCAGCCCCGGCTCAGTCCCGGCGTGTTTGAGGGGGGATTCACACCGGTGAGAATACCGGTACCTACTCTACATAGCCCCATTACGAAGCAGAATGGCAAAAGCAGGAGATGCATCTGAAGCCTGAAGGCCAATGGCTTCTAGCAGAAAGAGAAGGAAGAAGGTAGGAGTACATAGCGAATGATGCCTCATGCCGGAGTCTTGGAATCTCACTCGTGAACGGAGCCTGGCAGGGAGGTGGGAAGCTGCCGACCCTCCAGGCCCTGTGGCCGGCGCGAGGAAGCAGGAGATGAGGATGGGCGGTAAAATTGTCGTGGTGCGATTTCATTTGTTTTCTTTGGTAGGCAGCGGCGCCACATCGTGCTAGCTGGTAACGGGGTCCTAACAAGGAGTGTGTTGGTTCGCCATAGTTTAGATAGGCTGTATGCGAAATAAAACAGGAAGATCTCTCTCTCTCTCTCTCGACCCTCCAGGCCTCGGTATTCACCAGACGTAATACGATCTTCAGGTGTATGGTACAATGCTAGTACGCCCCAGAAACCCCCCGGGGCTGTCATGCCAGTCTGCGTCCTCACCATCTGTGGCATCGCGAATGACAGCATGTGCCACTAAGTTTGGTACTTGAGTTTGGTACTTGCGCAAAGAAGACACAGACAAAAGATAGCATCTAGTAGCATTGAATCGACCTGCTCCGATCCGATCTATCGATCTATCGTGGATCCAACCTACAACTTACAACTACACAAAGTCCCGTATAAATTACAGCCAGCCACTTCACCCGCGTGCAAAGCCCAGTCCAAGTCCAAGTCCAAGTCCAGAAACAGAAGAAAAGTAAAACCCCCATGCAATCGAATCAGTCCGCTCCGCAAATCGCAATCCATCCGTCCATGCTCGCCCAAACGAAATAAAGCAAACAAAAAACAACGCCCAAGAAACCCCATGCCTTCCCAACAAAAGAGAAAAAACCAAAACGCATATCGCTCGCCCGCTACCCCTGCGAACTCCCATAACTAGGCAGCGGAGCTCGATTCGCCACAAGCGGCTTCCCCTCCGCCGCCTCCTCCTCGCCGGCCGAGTCCTCAAACCACCCGTTCCAGGGCCACCACCTGCTCCAGGTCGTCTCCTGGAGGGCGAGACAGTCGTCGTCGTCACCGTCGAGCTCGTCGAAGTCCTCGGGCGCCCGCTCGCCCCACATGAGCCACTGCCAGCCGACCGCGGCATCGAGTCCGAGCACGCCAGAGGCGCCGAGGAAGAATGGCAGCGCGCGGCTCCACCACTCGGCGTGGTCGTTGCCGTCGGGGCCGGCGATGCCGCCACCGCCGTAGGCTGGGTAGTCGTAGTGGCCGAGCGGGTTGAGCAGGAGCGAGAGCGAGTAGAAGAAGTTGCCGAAGAAGGCGGCCACGAAGAGCGATATTGCTAGCCCGCTTGTCGAGCGCCGGCGGAAGTTGAGGAGGAGCTGCGGCATGCGAGAGCTCAGGTATAGCAGCGTCGAGAACCAGCTCAGGACGCTGCCGATGTCCTGCAAGGTTACGCCGCCATCCGCTGCAGGGGGAATCGAGGTGGTGGTGGATATGGGGCTGGCGCCCGCAAGATGGAACATCATCGAGACTACCACGATGAGTGTCGAGGCGAGGCTGCGGCTGCGGCCGCGGGAGCCGCTCGAGTTGCTGCGTGCCTCTTTCTTTTTCTTCTTGCTGTTGGTCTCGGGTTCGGAGTCGACGAGGTATGAGTCATCCGAGTCGTCGTCGTCGTCGATGCTCTCGTCGTAGTGGAGCTGCTGGCCAAAGAGCAGCTCGGGAGGGTTGATGTTGGTGAAGTAGAAGTACTGCGAGACGAGCACGACGTCGACGAGGACATAGTACATTCCGACCACCTGCTGGAACCACATCTGGCTGGTCCAGATTGCTCCTAGAAGGTTGCCTGTGTCCGTCAGCTGCTGCCGAGGCACATGCGAACAAGGGAAACATACAGATATCGCCTGCGAGCCATATCGCCAGGAAACCCAGACTCAGCCCGTCCACGGATCCGCGGCGGTAGTTCTTCCAGATCTGTGGCATCTGCGCAAACAGCCACGACACGATGGATAGCACGCCGGCCGCCGTAGAGAAGAAGGACAAGTACGATGGTAAACATGTTCCGAATGTCTGCGAGAGAAATACCAGCACCGGTGTATCCGGTTCGCAGAAGGGCGGTAGGTCTGGTGGTACGTATGATAATGGGGAGGACATGGCTGCTGCTCGTAGGTGTTGATAGGGGGTTGAGGGAGAAGAGGAACGGATGTGGATGTGAATGTGGACGCTGGTGCTGGATTCGGACTGGTGGGGACTATATGCAAATGCTGTTTAGCCCTGGGCTTCCCCGCATTTCAATGGTCAAAGGTCAAGTAGCCCACCTGCTCTAGCTCGTCCGTGTTTCGTTCCTGGTGGTGAGCGAGTGCAGTAACTCGTGCGTCGTTTCTCGGTGGATATAGACTGTTTCGTCGGGCCAGCCAGCGGAGTATTTACGTAACGAGCGCACTGTAGACGGAACGATGAGCCCGAGATTTCGCGCACGGGACAGGTAGAGACGCGACGTGTGGGCGGAGCAGGAGTGGAGAGTTTGGGGGAGTTAAGTATGAATGGGAGCTGTCGGGAGCTATGGGACCATCCGAGGAGATAGAGCAGATACGGGGGGGGCAGGGCAGAGGGGTGAGACACCCACCCACCACACCGACGCACGACTCATGCGCGGAACTAGGCTCAGATGACGGTATATGGTCGCGGTTGGGAGGCCAGGGCGCTTTTAGCTTTTTTCCATCCACCTTCGAACAACGTTGGCTTGGCCGAGACGGGACGAGACGAGAGCGGGGACGGGAAGCGGTGAGCTTTCGTTCGTTCTTCCGTTTGGTTCGCCAGCTCGTTCGTTCGTTCGGCCGGACTGCCCCTCCCCACCGCCGCGCGCCGGAAGACGATAACGACAGCGGCGTATGTCATCTCATCGCACCGATTGCTGTGCTGCGGATCCCGAAGGAGGAGGATCAGGAGGAAGTCGCGAGGATGTGGTGTCGTGTGGAGGAGATAAGCCCCAGCCGGTCACCTGCGTCACCGGACAGGGGGCCTGGCACACAGGGTCCACAGAGATAAGGGGAGCGGGTGGGTAGGTAACCCCGGCAACGCAGGGAGAGATAGCAGCACAACGGCGTCGTCCTCCGCGCCCTCTCCTCTCCACACTCCCCGCCCGCTCATCCCGCCGTCTGCACTTTCGACTCGGCTGTCGCGCTTTTCCCTGCGGAGCCGATACGCAATAAAGCTTCTTTCTCGTCTAGAATCCGATGAATGGAGAGAGATATAGCGAGTGGACTCACGCAAGATCTCGCGTTCCTTCCGATCATGCCCTCTGACCACAAGATCTCTCCCATGAGTCCAGTCTGCTGAGTCTTCTTCGCTGCGGCGCGGCCCCCGAAATAGGACATGGATATAGTGGTAATCCACGGTGAGTGGGCAGTGAGTGCGTGAGTGAGTGCGCGAGTGAGTTCGCGAGTGGCCGTCCCTGTCGACCTCGCCCTCGTGCTTCCTTCTACTTCGGTGTTACCGAGATCTCGCACTGATCGGATCGCCGTTCGTTGCGTCCTGCCTGCCTCTCGAGTAGCTATCCACTAATTCCACTCTACGCCCTACTCTACTTCGTGCGTGCAGCACTCTACGTCGTCGTACAGGGGCAACCGCGCTTACGCTCGAGAACGACTGAACGTGCTCCGATTGGCCGCGCCTCTTGGCTGACCGAAGCTGATCGTTACCGACCGCTCTTGGCCCGCTGTCTCGCTCTCCGGCCGGTGGTTTCCCGATTCGTGTTCTACGGGCGGATCCTACGGAATTCTGCAGCGCGCTTCCTGCAGTTTGCGGTGCCAATAGGCATCCGTCCAACCATCGCGAAGGACAGAGACATTGAAGTCACTCGATGTCGGAACACTGGCGAGCTGACTTCCACGCTACGTATGCTGTTCCAGTTTACGCAACCGCATCGGGTCGGATACACCTGCAGAAACTCCGTCGTTCATTCGTTTCCTTGATTTCGACCAAGCATATTGACATCTCTTTCGGCTTGGACTGATGGGTGCGGTTGATCGATACATACGACTGTTCGGGTCGAGTCCTGCAGTTTTTATATACCAAGGCGAGCACGGGTATTATGTTTGCGCTACTATTCGCCGCCGCGTTGGCGTGATATATTACTCCCCCGCAATATCGCAATTTCGGCAGTGATGCGAATCCGATCCCAGATCTAGGAACGAAAAAACCAGCCCCACAGGTCCTGATGGCCAGCTTCTTCTCCTCCCCTGCTTCACTGGGTGCCCTGGACGGATCTGCCGGTGCTCTAGAAAAGGCGTCATCGCGATCCTTTGCTTTCGTTTCTGTACGAAGCTCGTGTTTGTTGTGTCCGAGACACTTTCAGCTGGAGTGGACAGATTCGAATTCTATGGATGGTTCTGTGGGCCGTCGCGATTGGCCGTACTCTACAGGCACGGCAGCTTGTTGGTCAATCGCGCACGGATTTCTAACTCGTTCTGCATCCGGGTCCGTGCAGATCAGCTGGAAGCATCGACTCGATGGGGGGTGCTGGCTACATAGAGGCGACGAGCGGGAGGCTGTCCAAACGTCAACGTTTCGTGATCGACACCTAAATCCCCCAGTGTGGACTTTAGACCGGCCGTTGGCGTCGAAACGAGATATGTATGCCCGAGAACTGTTCTCCTCGGTTCCATTTTTCGGCACAAAGCCGACTTTCCATTGTTCTGGGTGCATGTGGTGGTGTCTAATGGACATCAAACTCCCAAGTTATACTCCCCGGAGTGGACCTCGACCATCACTGACCGAGGGAGGTTCCACAGCTTTCCTGACAATGACAGCGGCTACGCCAATCAATCATACATACTCATTCTGATTTCCTGCCTGTGCTGGCCAGCTAAAGGCAATCAAATCGACGGAGGAGCTACGGGTAGCTCTATCCAAGTACAAGTTCCCGGACCAAGCTAAACTTCCTTCCCAGCGTATATAACGCCCGCTATGGTTGTCCCGAAGCTGGCTTGCTGACTGACGATTGTTTTTTTCTTTTCTTTTTCGGGTTTCGTTTCCAACTGACTGACTGACTGACTGACTGACGGCGGTCTGCGAGGATCATGGTAAATTACGCTCCGTTTTCGGCACCCAAGTCCGTGCAGCTGGAAAGCTTCACGGTTCGGCCATCGTATTCGGCTCCAGCTTCCAGCAGACCAGAAATCTTCCATCATTCTACGCATCCAACTTTCTGGAAGGGGTGGATCATCGTGCAGCTGTCCAAGTTAAATCGAGTCGATGGATGGTTCCAAGTTGGTTCCAAGTTCGATGCTCAACGAAATCGGCCGGTACGTCGACTTCTATGTTCTGGGCTGCGGGCACAACGTCGAGCTCTTTGAAAGCGAGGAGTGACGAGTGAAGGAAATCGCAGTCGCAGCTCGTGTTTCGACTGTCCAATGTGTGGGGCATGTGTTTGCGGATCATGTGGCTTTGCAGTCTGGGGGGGTTCTGGAGTCTGGACAGGTACGTTAATCAACTCGGCCATACATGCGGCCCGAAATCACTCATATCGGCAGTTTTACAGACTCCGAAGCACAATGAAGTCTTCAGGCATAACAATCACGATACCCTTGGGGTTGATTGTAGTATCCTCTCAGCTATAAGAGCCAGCGACAGGACTTCTTCTTACTGTCAGCATCAGACTGCTTTACTTCTCTGTGCCACTATTAATGGCTTCCAAGAATACAGTGCAGCGGCATAAGCGACGTCGAAAAACTTCGACCACCACACCAAACGGCCTATCCTCTCTACCTGCAGAAATAATCCTGATCGTGTTGGTATGTTTAAACTCTCTTGAATACTTTGTTTGGATCTGACGGGTACACTCAGAGCAACCTTTCTCGTTCCGATTTCTACAATCTCTGCCTCGTATCCAAACTTTTTCACACGTACACAACCCCCTACTTGTACAGATCCGTGGACATCGTGCTCAGTGGGTCTTCATGGGATGCGAAGGAACATGTTTACAACAGCCTTTCTCTAGAAAATAACCGAGGGTTGAGATTTATCACGAACTTTCGGTTCCTGCCACCACCAGTTCGTCATAAGAGGAGGGTTCTGGGTCGTCTTGGCCCCGATGCGGCAAAGGATGTACAGCGGCTCATGGGAGTACTGCTATCAAAGGTCGGCCCAAATGTATTGCAACGGTTTGAATGGTACCTCCCTAGTCTGCCGCTCCCCGAGGTCCGAAAGTTGCTCCATCAGGAAGCCCTCACGAAAGTTTCCTGGAGCATCTCTGGACGTCTCTGTCACAATCTGGAGGTACCGCAGTTCTTATTTAGTGTGGACGGCCGTGCATCGCCTTTGGCCAGTGTCACGATCATCTCCATAGCGGCGTCCAACATTGACCATATCCGCGCGTGGCTGTCGCAGTGCCCAGCACTCAAGGTCCTACGACTAGAATGGAACCCACGCATTCGCTACCAGTTCTTGGAGCGTGTTCCGAGGGGGTGCTTTTGGACCGAAATTGGCCTCCACAATTTCCCGCGCCTCACAACGCTCAAACTGAAGTGGACGAACGTAACCTATCTCCACCGTCTGCCTGTAGTCGACCGCCTCACCTCGCTAGTCATCGACCGCTGCCAGGGCCTGGGGCCCTTCCTCAACGGCTGGCGCCGCAAATCCACCCCGTCCCCCATCCGCCTCCGCAAGCTCTGGATCCACACTAACGACCTCTCTTTCCGGCACATCCACGACTTCCTCCACGCCTTCACAGGCCTGCACGAGCTCGCCCTCTACAGCGGATACACACCGCACCGGCTGACCTACGTCTCGACCGGGATCCGTGCTCACCGGGGCACACTATCCCTCCTTGCGCTGGACACACTCTCCGACCGCTTCGGCTCTCGCTTCGCCGCCTCGCACGTGCCCATGGTTTTGGAAGAAACCGCCCTCCTCGCGACCGACCTGCAGCACTACCCGCATCTCCGCGCCCTCGCGCTCCCCGCGGACCTCGGCGCCCTGCCAGACCTCACAATCGCCGCCCTTGCCGGCCGCGTCCAATGTTTCCAGATCCACCTGCGCGCCGCTCGGGCGCTCCAGCCGCTGGCGCAGGCGATCGCCAACGCCGTCGCGCGCGGGTTCGCGGGCGGCGAGATCGATGGCGATATCGCTACTGATCTGGACGATAAGCCGGCGTTCGCACAGTCCGCTGTGCGCTCGCTGCCGGATCTCGCGCGCATAGAGAATGAGCGCAATAGGCTGCAGGCGAGGCAGTCGACCGAGCCGAAGACGCTTGGGATGGTGCCGAGGCTGAGGTATCTTTCGCTGTTTACCGGGGCGCTGAAGGAGTGGGTCGTTGTCTTTGAGGTCGAGAGGTGGGCACCGTTTCCGCCTGTTGTAAGGAAGGTGCGGAGGAGGGAGGTTGGGAAGCTGGAGATGGTGTTTAAGGTCTTGAGGGAGAACTTGGTTTGATGGGTAGTGTAGTTGGCGGACGGGGGAGTGGGAATACGTGGGAGTACGTATAGTCGGCAATTAGGTATCGTAGTATGCCATACTGATGTTATCGTGTGTTTATTCCCGGTGAGATGCGGAATTGGTAGGCCGCTCATCCAGTCCATCCTATCGACTCCAGTCCATCCAGTCGACTGCAGTCCATCCAGTCACTGCAGTCCATTCAGTCCATCCAGTCCGTCCAGTCGACTGCAGTCCGTCCAGTCGACTGCAGTCCGTCCAGTCCATCCAGTCCATCTACAAACTAGGTAGTAGACTACCGGTAATACCTAGGTGTGCGGACTTTTTTGTTTAATCAGTGATTGCTTGCGACCTAAGTAGATCATGGCAAACCTAGGTGTGCGGACGACCACCCGAATGTTTCCGGAGAACTGTCAACCCCGCGCTCGAGTCTGCAGGCGCAGGCTGTGGCTCCGGTATGGCACTAGATGATCGGTGCTGTAGGTCGAATGGTTAAACGTCTGGATAGGCTTATGTGAAATCTGGATGATCCAGTGGTCGTTGGTTATGGAGCGTCACTCGGCGGGCTTCGATAACGTTCCTGGTAATTCTTGCTTTACAGACAAGCGGATCCCAGAGGCGTCTGAGGAAGATGTAACAAGTGAGGTGCTAGGATGGGAGATCAGGGAAAGGGAAGAGATGGAAGTGGAGTTGAGGCAGGAGGAGTAGGGTGCTGAGGTTGAGGAGCCGGGGTCAATCCTACTCCGGTTTGTAATGCTCTCGAGGCGACAGATGCGCTTCTACTAGAATCTCTAAGCTAGGCTTGAATACCAGTATCTAAACCATACCATGCACTGTGATGAGTCCAGTTCCGCATATCCATAAGTGAAGTTTGGTAAGGCTGGGTATCCAAGTGCGGTCGTCAGCTGACTGTCTGTTGTTGGATTCATTGAATTGCTCTCTCAGGTACAGCAGGATATTAACTTCGGAGCCAAGCCTTCCCAGGGCAAGAATACTGCGAAGGATTAGGGTATCGTGATTCCAGTCTCAGGGCACCAGTGGTGTGCGTGCCCTCACGTAGTACTCACATCGTGGGCTACCAAGACACTCTCAGCCATAAAACCCACCGCTCATCTCCCTCCCAACTTTCTACATACTTCTCTCTTCTCACTTCACTCTACAAATCTCACTCTACACATCTCTCACTCAACATATCTTCTTAACCAACAACTCACCCCCTTCGATGGTACCTTCCAAAACCGCACACTCGACCAACCAAAACTTACGCATAATCCTGTCGCCAAGAACTGGTGGTGTGCGGTCTACTCCCTTTCCCCTATCCCCCATCCCGAGCCGAGCTGCAATACAGACTCGGCGCCCGACCCCAGCTGGCGATCCATCGTCGACTTCATTCACCATGTCGGATTTCCCGGGCGTCTATGCACCAACAGCAACAGCAGAAATGATTCTGCTGCCCACAGAAGCAGCAGCATCAGATTATGCTGTCGGCGTTTTGAGCAGTCGGGCAGCTCTTTACCTGGCCTTGGGCAACACCGAGTTGCCCAATCCCGGAGCTGGGGGGGCCTGGGCTGAGCACCAGATGTCGACATCAACCTGTCGATGACTACTCCACAGCCCTTGCCTCCCTCGGTCCCGTTTGGACCGGGGAAGCTCTCCCCCCGGCAGTCAGAGACTGCCCGCCGATCCGAAGGCAGATATACTGCCTGAATCCGATGAAGAGGGAGGAGGAGCGACGGATGGGGTCGGCCCAAGAAGCATGCGAAGCGCCGCATGAGGCCGGCAGCCAACCACGAGGAAGACGGGATGGGGCCGATGCATAAGGAGGTGAAGGAGCACCCTATGGGGTTGGCTCAAGTTGAAGGAAGAGAGGCCAGATTGGGCTGGTCGCCGGCGCACAAGGAGGCTGCCCCGGCACGAGGTTGGGACACTAAAGACTGTCTCGATCGATTCGAATCGTCCAGAGGGATGGGACGAACCGACCGAGACAGTCTTCATTATCATAACCTCCGATTCGACGAGGGCGGTGCTAATCGCCATTACCGAGAGAGCGCCCTTCTCTCCCTTTCGGATAATGAAGAACTCAACTCGTCTAGGGCAGAGCTTTCCGACAATGAAGAACTCAACTCGTCCAGAGTGGAACTATCGGCAAATGCCGACCCCATCACAGGAAACCGATTCTGGAATCAGCTCGGGATTCAGCACTCTTCCATTGGATGACGTGGATAACCTCCCACGTACATCCAAGAAGACGATTCATCCCGACCAGAATGATGTGGATATGGAGGATACCGGGCAGATGGAGGGCTCGCAACGGTTGGAAGATTCAACGGATTCTCAAATCGCGAAGGATTCCCAGGCCTCGAAGGATTCTTAAGTCTCGACGAATTCGCAGAAAAGCGATAACACCGCAGATGGCGATTCATCGGGCGAATACACGCAACCTAGGACTAAAACCTCCGAGGAAACGGAGGGTTTGCAGGAGGCGGAGAGTATCATGGAGACAGGGGGATCAAAGGATAGAAGCGGAGGTTTGAAGGCCGGTGATGAAGAGAGCCCATGGGGCTAGCGTGCAAGGAGGAGGGGGAGGAGGATGAGGGCCGCCCTATGGGGCCGGTGCGCAAGGAAGAGGGAGAAGCCCGATGGTGCCGGTGCGCAAGGAGGAGGAGAAGGAGGGCCCGATGGGGCCGGTGCGCAAGGAGGGGGAGGAGGGCCGAAATGGGGCTGGAGGATAAGGAGGCAGCCTCAGAGGGCGTTGGTGGTGGTGGTGGTGGTGGTGGTGGTTTTTGTTTTGTTTAATCATTGATTGCATGCGACCTATCTAGATCATGGCAATATCACCCCGTTCACCCCCCCGTTTCCACGCCACTGGCCAACCCGGCTTGCACCGAGCGGCCCAATGTGGCTTTCCCTGCCCTCCGCCCCAGTCTGTCCCAGAAATGTAGATACGCGGTAAAGACTGAAGTGGTGGTGGTGGTGGTGGTTGCTCAGCATATGCCCGATTCCAGCCCGGAGCACGCTCCTGAGTCCTGGTGGGCTAGGAACGTGCTGCTGAACTCTGAACTGCTATACAAACTCGTACGGGAGCTTTCATAGAAAGTGTGTGCTCAAGATATGTGCGAGTGATAGCCCGTCTACAAGCCCTCGGTAGTCGGTTCAGAATAGAGCCGTTGCCAAACCCCCTCCACCGGAGCCTGAGTACACCCGGCGGGATTGCCATGGGAGCAGCGGCGTGGACCGATATTCGGATGTGTGTGTGTGTGTGAATAGGTACTGGAAGTCCCCCTTGGGCGCTACGTACAGCGGGAAGCGGCCGAGATGCGTCGAGCGCTTCACGGATATCACTACCTATCACTCGGCATGTTGTCGTTTTTTAATGGTAGTCGAGTGGGAAGTTGTGAAGGCTGAGGGAGAGATGCATGCTAGAGAGAGATCTGAGGAGGCGAGAGGGTCGGCCGATGCTCTGGTCCAGTGGTCCCGTCGCCGAGACGGACGACTAGGAGGGCAACCATAGCTACGGGGAAGACACGGCCATGTAGCTGAAGCGCAAGTTAGGATTCCCACTACTACTAGGAATGGCACTGTAAACTCCCATTCAACCTCAACGAGTACTCCACCGGATACCGGTACACGAGAAGATGGGCTTATTTTTTATTTTATTTCGAATTCGAAGATGAGCTGAGCTGTCAAGCTGAATCCTGATACCGACCGTACGGTGCAGGTCGCGCCAGGCCAGTTAGCTGACGCAACCTTGGAACTTGGAAGCGAAGCGATTGACGAGCTGTCCTGGCTGCTCATGGGGGCGGGACGAACGCATGGATCGTGGAGCGGAACAGCAGAAGAGCAAGGAGAATGATCCTTGGCTGGCGCGAGCATCCTTTTCCAGCAGCCATGACGCTACGTCCAAAACAAATAGGTGTGGATGCGACTAGTAGTCACGTGCTTGTACTTTAGTCGCGTGGGTATTCACCCTGAGTTCCGCGTCAGTACTCTACCGTAACCACCAACAATCCCTACTAACGACCACCATCACCACATCCACCAAATGTCTTCTAGCATGATTCCCCCCCTGCCTAAAGATGCGGCCTACTGGAAGGAGCAGCTCTTCCAGGTAGAAAACCCGGTTATTTTACCAGTGGACCAATTCGACGAAGTGTGGCCGTTGGTGTGCAATGTCTACACGTTCCGGAACAAGAGTGTACAGCAGAGCGGCGCCATACAAGTCGAGCACGGGGAATGTCGTTTAAAGAAGAGCCGCAAATCATCCAGCAGTGTCCAACCCGATGGCAATCCGATCAAGCGCAGGACGAGCAGCGTCCGCGATAAAGACCAGTGTCAGGTGACGGTCAAGTTGACGCGTCAACTCATCGGGCCCCATCCTACTGTCACCCTCGAGCGCAAAACAGAACATCTCCACACTCACGACTTTGAAACTAGCTGCATGGTCAAAAAATCAAAGTTTGTGCAGGAGCTGATTGCGACGGAGGCCGAGAAGAACTGCTCCGCAGCCCAGATTTTCAATGCGTTACGCAGTGCTGGTTTGGAGGAAGGTAATGGTATTATAAAGATGTATGAGCTCCGAATTAATTAAATTAAATATAAAAAAATAACTAACATTGAAATAATCAGTAACGATATTCATAATGCCCGACGGTCAAAACGAGTCGACCCTCCGCTAAATTTCCAGCCCGGCACCGTTTTCGGAGACGATATAATACAAGCACGGAAACTACTCGCAGACGAAAAGTGGCTATACGAAGAGTTTCAGGTGGAAGACAGTGGAAATCGGAAGGAGGCGCGGTGGGGATTAGTCTTCGCCGATCCGACCAGAATACAAATCCTACACCAACGCGGATATTTTACGCAATTTGACTCCACCCATAAAGTCAACAAATGGAAGCACAATATGTTTTCCTTTCTCGTCAGGGATAAACACGGTATTTGGATCCCGGCAGCACACTGCGTCGTTGACCGGGAAGAAAGTCGAGTTATTGCCAAAGCCTTGTCTGTACTGAAGACCTGGTGTTCTGGTAAATGCCATCCGCGACTCTGACATTCCGAAAAATCCAAACTAACAATCCATACAATAGGCGGATGGCAACCACGATACCTCCTTACAGACGACAGTGCGATCCAGCAATCCGCCGTACGCCAGGCATTCCCCGAAGTTTCCCACCTCCTCTGCACGTCCCATTCCAAGCAAACTCTCCAACATCGATTCGGCGGCAGGGAAGCTTTCAAGCCCGTCTACCAAACTCTCCGGCGTGCCATGTATGTCTCGACGCGGCTGCGCTGTCACGATCTCTGCATGGAAGCGATCAGTCTCGCCCCGGACGACGAGACGAAAACCTACATCCGTACGTACTGGCTGCAAAGAATGCCCAAGTGGGCACTTTACGCTCGCCAGCACAGTCCGATGCTGCTACAGAACCCCACAACAAACGCGTGCGAAACGTGGCATCGACAGTTGGAAGCGGGGCTGGGACTCGTCAACAACGAACAGGTTGCCACAAACCACGGTAAACTTTCTATCATACATCCGCCTTCATTAGGCCTTAGACAAAAAAGCAACTAACTTCGTTTCCCCCCAGGAATCCACAGCATGATCCAGCACACGATGCAAAGTGCGCGGCAGCGCGATATACGGGCACACGAGGCGGCCATGAAGTTCAAGAACGGCACCGCGGGGCTGTCCCTGTGCACGAAGGAGTATCCTGAAATCGGCGGCTTTCCCGTCCCCATCCAGAAGCTGCTCGTGCAGGAACTCGCCGCCGTCGAGGCGCGCATCGAGCAGGGAAAAGATGCGCCGAATCCGAGCCAGTTCGATGGATCATTGCTGTGTCATTGCCGGTATGTAGTGTATTGCAGTGATCTGATCCCGCGTTTGGAAATGGATGGCTTGTCGCTAATGGATTGGATTGGATTGGATTGGATAGGTTTGCCCGTCACTATCGCCTGCCGTGCCAACATGTCTTTCATCTGGACACGGAGACGAAGGTGCTCACACCTGATGTCTGGCACCGATATGTCCACATGTTTGATGAGCTGGGAATGGCGGTCTACGAAACGATTGGATCTGTGCCTGTGGATGGTGCTGGTTCGGATGCACCAGTGCCTGATAACGGACGGACCGAGGCAATTCTAGATCTTCGTGTCATCGGAGAACAGTTACGACACATCACTTATGGTATGCAAGAGTTGATGGAGGTACACCAATGGGAGGGCCGTCAGCAGCAGCAAGTGACTCAGGCTTGGATGGACGAGGTTAGGGAAGCTGTGGCACCATTGGTAAAATCACGGCCGGAGGAAATTATAGAAAGGCATAGACCATGGGAGTTGTAAATATTATGTTTTAACTACTCCATCTATCTCCCTTGTATCCACCGTTCGCTCCTGCTCCTACGCCGCTATCTGCTCCCCGCCGAATAGACTATCAATCCTGACGGTGGTACTCCTGACGTCGGGCAGGACGAGCACCACATCGGCGTTAGCCTTGTACTCGGTTTCGCAGCTGACATTATCCGCACCGTCGGTGCACTTTATCTCCACGTTCGGAAGCGAGAGCTGTCCGGGCCGGGTGGGGACCAGGACGAGCGCGAACGTCTCGACACTGCCGTCGACACCGGCAAAGTGTGCGCGTTTGCGGCCGCTGATGAGCCACGTGTCCGGATTGTTTTGGACTTCGTAGAAGAACTCCATGGGCTTCGCGAGGGCTTCGGCGTCGGCGGTTGTGTCCCAGTGCCGCGAGTGGCGGATTATCAGTTCTGCTTGGAGCGAGACGCCGACCGTCACCATTGGCGGTGCGTAGGGTGAGGATAGTTGGCGCGAGATGCTGTCGCAGAGCAGGTTTAGCTCGACCGTGTGCATCACCTGCAGCGCCGGGACTTCGACGGGGATGAAAATGGAGCGTGTAATGGAGGTTAGGATGTCCTTCTGGTTGAGTGGGATCGTGGCGTGTTTCTACTTTCGATAAGCATCTCGTTTTCGGTGGTTAGTCGATGAGGAAGCATACCGTGAAGAACTCCTTCAACCAACTCTCCACCTTTGCCCGTTCACCGGAGCGCTGATCGATCGCTTCGAGCGCATCCTCCCATCCGTACTCCTCGTACGTGCCGATATCCACCTCTTCGAGCAGCGCTGCAGTCTCAAGCTCAGTGGGCGACCTATGTCTGAACCGCATGAAAAGCCCAGGTAGTAACCAGTGAACATATCGCTCGAAACCGGCATCCTTCAGATCCCTCTCGAAGACACTCGACACCGTCTCTCGCAGCTCTAATCCAACCGTCAGACTCCATCAACATCATCCGCCGAAGCCGGAAGCAACAAACCTTCGTCCATATTGGTGTACTCGATAACGAGCGCCAGACTCTCCGGCGGACTAGTAACATCCATCTTCCTCATGATCTTATAAGTAAAGTTCGCCGGCTGCTTCGCGAAAACCGTCATGCTCCCCTCGGTACCCACACCGCCCTCGGCATAGAACGTCTTGCTCTCGTGCAAGCCGACGGTAAAGACCCTGAGCGGAACCTCTGCGGCAGCAGTCGAAACCTGGAACTTGGAATAAAGCGCTTTCTCTTTGAAGATGTCCTGCACGTTTACGGCCAGCGGCAATGCCACGAGCACGTTCAGTGTCTCGATGAAGAGGAAGCCACCCTTCTCGGTGGTATAATCCACCTCGAGGCGAACCATCAGCTCCGTCAGCTCGTTGTCCGAGTTGTACGGGAGCCTCACACGGATCTCGCTCTCTGCCGGAAACTCCTTGAGACACAGAGTTCCTGGCTTCTCGGGGTTGACCACCACCACATCCGTCCCGCTAACGACCTCGAGAGATCCAGTGATGAGTCTGAGTCCCGCAGTCGCAGAGCGGATACGAAGCTCTCCCTTCTCAATGGTATTCTTCCCTGACGAAACCTTAATCTCTACCATCCGCATCTTCTCCAGGTGGATATCTTTCGGCATCTCCAGTTTTCCCGTCAATCCCCTCGGCGCGGGAAAGAAGCTCAGCTTCGTTTTCTTCGCAGCCGCAATCGCTGTGCCGGCACTCGAAACCAATCCCAGAGGAGTATCGGGCATCGTTCGAGCCATAAACTCGTGCACAAACTTGAGTTTTCCGGCAGTAATGGTGAGCTGCTCCACGATGTACCTGCCCGGTATCGTCTGGTTGGTAGAAACAGTGCTCTTAACGATCCCCCTCCTCATTTCAATCGGGCCCGAGGATTCAAGCGTCAACTCACGGCCTTGTAGCGGCGGCGCGGAGACGACTCTGACGGTAATCTTGTCGATGGTCAACGGATCGGTGAGTAGATATCTCATCCGCACACCGACCTCGAACCCATCTTGATCTACCGAATGGCGCGGATACGGGTCGACGGAGACGTCGCTCCAGAAGTGCATTATGGGATTGACTATCTCCCTCGGAATATCTGTAGAGAGTGCCATGACCTCCGATACATATCCCCGCACGTCGACGTGTGAAGTATTCAGCCTTCCCAGCGGCGACTGTGTCGGCGGTGTCTCAACGTCCTTTCCGGCGAGTCTTCCCACGCGGGCTCTTTCCGCGGCGGCCGACTTCTTGAGGAGCTTGAGGAGAACATTGGTGTGCTCTTCTGGCTTTTGCATCTCCTTAAGACACTTGGCATACATCCCCAACAGCGTCGTCTCGATGAGGCCCCAGCCTTGCTCCTCATAGAAGTCCGTCATGCGCTTCAGGTGCACCGCGGCGGTCTCGTACTCCTTCAGGTGGCTGCAGAGATGTCAGCAAATGTGCGAATATACGAGAATCGGGTGCTATAGCACACAATTTCAAGGCTGCCAGATCCGACTCCACCCTCTCGGCACTCTTGTACCGTTTTGCGAGGCCGTAGTATCTCATGGCCTTCTCGCTGAGCTCCGCAAACCGTGAGTAGAACCCCCCGTCGTCCTCGGCCGCCGCCTTCAGATCCTTGTTCCGAACACCCTCGGGCACCCAGGCCGCCGGCTTCCCCTCGTTCTTCGTTGCGTCATCGTCACCATCCAGATTCACCTCTTCCATCTCCCCCGAACCATCGCCAACATTGAACCACCCCTCGCGTCCCACCCATCCTCGCCTGGCTCCTATGCCTTCGAGGACTGTTCTAGCAAGAACAATGAGCTCAGCACGAGCAGCCACAACCTCCTCAAGGCCCGTAATACCCCCCTTCATCGCTTGCGCAAAGGCGGGAGTCTTTAGCGACAAGCTGCTGGATCGCTGCGGCAAGAGCCCCTTATCCGAGCCCTCTTCCAATCCCTCCGGGATTGCCGAGGAGGTAGTCTGTTGGAGCAGCTGTGAACATACCGCGTAGGTCCACGATGCGATCAGGTTGTCGATTATTGCGCTAAGTTCCTCGGATGAGGTGATCTCGTCCTTGTGCTTCTTCTCCGAGCCTTGGAGTGAGTCTTGGTGGGGCGCTGTGAGATCCGCCCGGAGAACCCGAGCAACGGTGGTGATGAAGTCGACTCCGCGCCTGCAAATCTCGGCAAGACGAGTCAGATCATCCCCCTCCTCCGAGGCGGATTCCTGCGAGGAATCACCGTTCCGCTTTCCCAATCGTAGCAGCAATGTCGCCTGTCGTGCAAACAGGTAACACCTAAAATCAAAGACCGAGATCTCGTTGCTCAGGATAAGCTCCCGGTACGGTTTCTTATCCGAGGCGATTGGATGTCCCTCCTCGATCTCATCCACCGCCTCCCCTTCTCCCGTCTTCCTCGCCTTCAAACATTTCCTCGCCTCCTCGATCCAGTAGAGCCCCTCCTTGGTCCACCCGATGAAACTACCACCGATGACCTCCCCCTTTTCCTGCTCCCTGACAATCGCCTCCAGCCCAAACCCCAACTCGTCATACAACACCAAGGCGTCCTCGACGAGTCCCACGCTCTCGAACGCACGCGCCAGGCCCTCCTTCAGCACGAAAAACGTACAAAAGTTCCACCCGGGCAAACTCCTCTGGGAGTCCCTTTCCCTGACATCCTCCTCATACTGCGTGACCCTCGCATCGAAGCTGGCCAAGATCTGCGTCTTAAGCTTTGCCACCAGGTCCAGCCACGCGGTATCGACCTCTGCGGGGGTCTCGGGCGTGGTGGTCGCCGCCGTCGACGCCACCGGCGGGCTGAGCGTCTGCAGATCCGGATGGGACGGGGCGATGCGGATCTGCGCGACCCGGTCGATCTTCGCATTCGACCCATTGAAGTCGGAGCGGATCTTGTCCAGCAGTGTCTGCGAGCCCTTCATCCACCTCGACGTCCCCGTAACGTTCGACGCGGACGAGCTCGACCGCGGCTGCTGCGCGGCGGGCGTGCCCGGGAGAACCACATGCAGGATTAGCCACTCGTGGGCGTCGTGGTTGTCGGCGCCGTCGACGGTGGCGTGCGTGGATACCCACTCGCGCAGCAGCTTGCGCTGCGTGTTCTTGTAGCTCTCGTTGTCGTCGCATCGCAGGATGTACACCTTCAGGTAGGGCGTGTTGCGTAGTCCCGGGATCTGGTGGCGACGCTCCTTCCGTGGGCCGGCGCGGCTGCGCGATGCGGAGCGCGCGATGTTGCTGGGTCCTTCATTGGAGCGGGTGGAGTCGGTGGATTTGACGCGGGTTAGTTCAGCGGAGGTTTGGAAGGCCGGCGAGGTGAGGTTGGTTGGAGACGGGGAGTATGGAAGGAGGTCAACGTGGAGCGAGGTAATGGATCGGACGGGACGCGCAGGGGATTTCCAGTGGAGGTTTCGAAGGGGGAGGCGCGTTCGGAGATCCGGGGCAATGAGTGGGAAGAGCGCTGCGGGGTCCCAGTAGCTGTGGATAGGTCAGACGAAAGGCTGTGGATGGCCGGGCAGGAGTCTATACGTTACGGCGACCTTGGAGGTAGAGCTGGGTTCCATTGAGTGTGTTGGGATGGAGGAGAGCTTCGTTCTGATGGATGCTCAAAGGGGTATCAATTGTTTCGTACGCATAGAAAAACAGACAGGCAGATCGTCAGGTGGAGCTACAGTTAGCATCAAGGGACTGAAGATGCACAGCTACTTCACGCCTGGCTACTTCCATCTTCGAGGTTGCTCACTTGTTACGTACAAGCCCCACTAAGCAAGCATGCAGGCCCAGAGCCGCAACGCCATCACCAGGTAGGAATCAATTCTCGGGACCGTCACCATTTTAAAGAAATTAGATTTTTAAGGCGTCAATCACCGAATTAAGGACCAGAGATCACATAGTAGGGGGTCATAATCGTAATTTTCCTTATTCCTATCATAGCACACCAATCCCCTTCATTCCGCCAGGTCATAATCATGTCAACAGCATCAAAGCCAACAAAAGAAAGAGACAAAAAGACGCACACATCAAAGAAGTAGGGTAGAAGTACAAATCTCCGTCCTTCAAGGCAAACCAGAAGCCAGCAGATCAGAACTCGGAGAGAAAGCCACGCATAGATCGCCCCCAAAGACAAAGAGAATCAATAGTACAGACCGTTTCCAAAACCACAAAGCACAGCACACGCAGTTGACAGGGGGTATCCTACGCTGAAAACAAACACAAAATTGAAAAAGCGAAAGAAAAAGGGGAAAAAAGAGAAGGGCGCAATCATTGTGATCGAAACCTAAAGTATACATTTCCTCCAGATGACGATCGACACACCTATTGCTGCGGGACCGGAGGGATGGGTGGCACCACATCGTCGTTGTCCAATCCTCGCCTCTTCTTCCGGTCCGGCTTGTTTGTCTCCGCACCGGTGACGCCGCCGCCCATGACTGCGTTCGATATCGCGTTGCTGACCTTTCTAACGCTAGCACCACTGATCTTCCGCAGTCCGGTCAATCCAGGGCTCTTGCTCCGGCCAACCACTCCGGGGCTCTTGCTACGTCCAGTGCCGCGTCGCCTATTCACAACCAGTGATGTCGGCTCCTGCGGTGGCTCGGTGACGGACGAGTTCAGCACTGGCGAAAGCGGAATCTGGGAAAAGCCTTCGTCCATCTCTGTGTCTTCGTCGACGGTTCCGGGACTCATGACACCGGGCGCGAACCGATTGTCGGCTGGGCTGGGCTCGGGAGAGTCCGGGAGCATCTGGTTCGGGTGCCTGGTGACGATCTTCTGTGCTGGGGTCTCAGATAACATTGTCTGTGATCTGGCTCCTTTCTTCGTGTAGGGTACCGGCGGCGGAGGCATTCCGTTGCTGTTCTTGTCTTGACTCGCCCGGGAAACAGGAGTAGGGTGCGGGGGCGCTGGTGGAGACATCTGGCTGGGAAGTTCGGGCATGGGAGGGATGGCACCGCGAGCGGTCTCTTCCAATTCCCGGCGAACCTTCTCCAGCTGTTCCTCAAGGTTGGAGACCTTCTTCTGCAGACGCTCCGCTTTCTTTAGCTCACGCTTAGTGAGGGGCTTCACGGGTCCGCCATTGCTACCGGCGGTCATGGTGGAGGCAATGGAAGTGGTGGAGATTGAGCCTGCGAAAACTTTAATCGACGTCCGGCTGACGATGTCGAGGGCGTTCTTCGGTTTCGTTTCGGTTTGGCCGTGGGAAGGGGCAATGGCCGTGTCTTCATACTTGACACTCATCGGTTCCTCTTCCGGCTCATCAACCTCGGTTTCATCACCATCGTCCTCGTCCTCGTCCGGTGGAAAGTACTCGTCCATATCACTTCCAATGCTCGCAATCTCCGCCCGCTTCCTCTTCCTCGCACTGCCGCCGAACATGTTGCCTTGGTCCGAGAAACTCGCCGCAAAGTCGTCATCCATGCTAGTAGCCCCCCCAACATCATCCGGATGCCTGACCAATGTCCCCTTGAACTCCCCGCGCGCCTTCATCTCAAAGTACAGCTGCTCGGCCTCCTTCTTCTGCTTCTTCATCTCCTCCTTCTTCCTCTCGCGCTCATCGTGCAGCGCCTTCTGTCGCGCATACGCCGCCTTGGCCTCCTCCACGATCGAGAACGGATTGAACTTGAAAAGGCTTCCCAGACCAAACGTGAACCGCTTCTTCTTCCCCTCCCTATCAGAGCCCAGCGACAAGCCAGACGAGGAGCTAACATTCCCCTCCTCCTCACTGGCACTGCCATTGCCACCGGCGACCTCCTCCTTAGCCGGCAGCACAGGTCCAATGATCTCTCTCGGCGGCGGCACACTAGCGCGATCGCGCATGCTGCCCTCGATGAACCTGCTGCGCATCTCCTCCTCCTCCCTATCCTCGTCCTCCTTCTCCTTCTCGCGCCGTCTGCGCTCCCGCTCCTCTTCGTTCTCGCGCCGAATCGCCTCCTTGGTAAATTGTCGCCCCGTGCTCCGCGGCAACACCTCCTTCTCCACCACGCTCAATGGCGTCGTGCTCCGGTCAAATTCCATCGACGCCCCGCGTGAGCCCTGTCGCCGCTTGCGCTCGAACGATTCGCGCCCGATCCGGATTCGCTCCTGTCGCCGCCGCTCGGCTGCCATGGGGTCCTCAGTAATGGCGGCGGGCGTGGGTGTGGGCGCGACGGTGGTGGTGGTGGGCTTCGGCTTCAGCGAGAAGCTGAAGGAGTCGCGCAGGATCTGTCGTCACGCGGTCAAGATTAGCACCCACCTCTCTCTCTTTCATTCTCTCACGCACAATCTCTCTCATGGATGGGAAGGGAGGGTAGAAACCTTCTGTGGAGTATTCAATTCCGCCATTATTGCGTGTGTTTGTGCGTTTGTTTGTCGCTATGATGTTTGTGTTTGTGTTTGCGCGCGATGCGTGCGTGCGATGCGTGCGATGCGTGCGATGCGAGGTGATGTTTGGTTTCGCGGGGGAGGTCAGTGCGGTTCAGTAGAGTAGAGTACGGTGCGATGCAGTGCGCCCAAGTTGGCCCAAGTGGCCCAATCCCCCAATCCAATGAGAGCGACGCGGTTGCGGGTTGCGGGAGGGAGTGGAAGTGGCTGGGGGTCGTGTCGGGGGAGGGGGAGGTGGAAGGGGAGGGAAGCGTGTGTCGGTTGGCGCGAGGTTTTATGTAAGTAAGAGTGTCTGTCCTGTCCGACGGTAAAATTAGATGAGATGAGGTGGACTGGAGCGAAAGTCAAAACAAAACACTCTGGGAGTCTGGGATGTAGTTAGTTAGGGGACACGTGAAGGTGCGGTTGGGAGGGTAACGCGCCAGAGTAGACAGGGGACGGCGCATGGTGAATGCGCTCGTGGTCACTCGGATCTGACAGACAGAACAGCGGACAGCGGGAGGCATATCCCATACATGTTCGGGAACTTATAAAGTTTCTACATACATACAGTGCATGAAGTTGACCCAATCTCAATCTTGATCGATGCCGAGAGGTTTGGTAACGAGTGATATCGAAAGCATTCTGCGAGCAGTGGATTCCGCAGAGAAGCTTGTGTAAGAGTAGAAACTCACACTTCCCTCCTCCTCCCGAAGCTTTCCTAAACATTTTACAGTGTAACTAGGTAGTAAATAGTGTCCGGTGGCATGTTTGTGGCTCGAATCCTGGCCCCGGCCCCGGATAACCTCTGTAGATACTCTACATATCAGCCCTGTTTCTCATTGTCTCTGGTACCTATTGGAAATTGGCACCGAGGATGGTCGAAGTATGTACACGTAAGTGGGTCAGAGGCGAGTCATGGTAGCAAACATGACTAGGTAATCGAGACGGTGAGTCGTGTGGCTGTGGGGTTGTGTGGTTGTGTGGTTGTGTATTCCAGTCCAGCAGTCGGTGTGGATTGGATGGACTGCAGTCGACTGGATGGACTGGATGGACTGGGCAGTCGGCGCAACTGGTAATAAGGGCTGAACAGACTGCAGTCGACTTGATGATGGACTGCAGTCGACTGGATGGACTGCATGGACTGGATGGACTGGATGGACTGGATGGATTGGATGGACTGCATGGACTGGATGGACTACAATCCAACCCCGTCCAGAAAATTGGCGGACGGGACTGGATGTTGGCAGTCCGTCCCGTCCGGACGCAGTCTGGACCGGACTATGGAGAACACTGATCGCATGGAGGCAGTTCCAACTTCCAACTTCCTGCTAGAAAAACCTCCACCATATTATTCAGACGACGGTGGAGTAAGAGATAGAGAGAGCTGGTATGGTACGAAAAGAGAACACGTGATGGTACGTTGAAAGAGTGATGCCCCCCGCTAGCCACATACCTAGTTCGACCCAAAAATTTCAGAAAGTGTCAGTCTGTCAGTCGACTGCAGTCCGAGACGGTAAATCTTGGGGACGGACTGAATTCAAACCGTCCTCCAATTTTATGGACTGGACTGGACTGGACTGATGCAGTCCGTCCAATCTGGACTGCCGTCCGGACTGGACTATCGGGAGCATTGCACCCACCGACAGAGACGCCACGAGAACCCGGCGGGCAGCGGCCACGAGTGCTAACCCATGATGCAGCCCACGGTCCCGGGGTTATAAACTCCGAAACGGGCAGCTCAGCGCACTTTGTATCCAAACCGAACCACCACCACCACCACTACCACCACCACCATCACGACGATCAGCCGCCAGTCGCCGCAGCGCCAGGGCTACCCAGTTATGTAAACTCTACCTACATGCGCAGAGTAGTCTTGTATGTATGAAGTAGATACCTCCTACCTACATCCTACCTCTTACTTATGAACCTTCCGCGACGGTACGTCGGTACCCTCCCAGGCCCCTCCCAGGCTCCCAACCCGGTCCCCGGTCCCCACCATTCCCGACCCGAGTCCCAGTCTCTCTCCCACCTCCGACCCCCGACCCCCGACCCCCGACCCCCACCCCCACCCAATCATAGCCGCCGGGTGACGCGCGGTGACGGCGATACTACGGTATACTCTACTATATACTACATACTGCAGACAGACACACACCGTACATACGCGTTACCGAGGGAGGAGCGTCGCCCCCGCCCTCCACGCTCCGCACTGCGCGCGAGCGCGAGCGCTCGGCAGATGCAGGTGCCTGCCTGGTCGCCTGCCCCCCCACCACCCTTCGTTCTCCGTCCCCGCGGTAGTTGCACGGTTATATATGGCATGTATAGTACCTACTCCAGAGTCCATAGTAGGCAGCCTATATACCTAGTGAGTTGCCACCGTCCATGTCAGGCGTTCGATATTCCTACTATGTACCGTACCTAGTAGACGGTGAACGGTGAACGGGATCTGGAGATCATGCTGGGAGAGGATGAGATGGGAGGCTGGGAGGATGGTTGGCTGGTTGATTGGCTTGAGCGATACTACATACTGGTACATTGGCGCCTATAGTACATACGACGGCCACGGCCAGCAGGACCCAGCAGCAGCCTTTCTTTCCTTTACTGCTATCGAGTAGAATAGAATACAACTACCTCGAGCCGAGAGCCAGCGTACCCGGAGTAAATAGGCCTGGGTGGCTACTCTAGAAGCAGAAGCAGAAGCAGCAGCAGCAACTACTAGAAGTCCGCGGCGGCACTGACATCGTGGTCGTCTGTGGGGTCACTCGCTCGCACACGCACACGCATACTGCGCTTCCCAAGTACTCTAGACTGTAGGCACTGGGCGGCACCGGTAGTTGGTAACATGTATGCCAATGGGGTGATCCGATTTCCCCCCCGCAGCTCGCCAGATCGCCGCCTCTCTCGACGATATTCAATGTAACATAACGTCTTTATGCGATCGCGCCCGCCCTCCCCCAGTCCCCCCTCCTCCCCCTCCCCCGGACCACGACCTCGACCGCGAATACGCCCCCCGGTTCCTTGCGTCACGCCACTCCGAAACACCGCAGTCCTTGTCCGTATACAGTCCGTGGCTGGCCGTGACCGTGGCCGGAACGGGAAGAATCTCTCCACCTTCTATGTGCTCTACCTTCTACCCGCGCATCGTTCGACTTCGAGGTGCCTGCAAGCTGCCAGCCTGCTAGCCTGCCAGCCTGCCGGTGCCCGCGAAGAAACGATAGATAGATAGATGAAGATGGGGATGAAGATGGGGATGCACGCAGCACGACGAACAGGGTACGTTACGCCATCACGTCACGTTCAAGGTTTGCGATATAGTACCGGTATGTAACATTAAAAAAGTTACACGGGTGGTTTCGACTCTCGAGTGCGTACGAGCGGTAGGTGCGGTACCTACCAAGGTACCTACATCTTATGGACTTATGGACTCCGGGGGAAGGAGTTGTGGGAGGAGTTCTGGAAGGAGTTCCGGAAGCCTGGAAGGGGCCTGGAATTGAAGCTTGGAGGGCACGACGTTGAAGCTTGAGCCAAATCTCGGTGCGGTACGTTGCGTTGCGGTGCGTTTTGTAGGGTATACTGTACACTGTATAATAGTACTGATTTTGGGTAGCCGAAGTTTCTGGATGGCGAGAACGGAGGAATCATGCTTTCCGGTACTTACCTACTTGGGGAGGGGTGATGCATTCGAGTCTCGATGGACGAAAGCAGTGCTGGTGCTGGTTACGCCATGGCTTTGGCGTGATTGTGTCCCCTCTCTTCCCCGCGCGGCTATGGTGTCCGGTCGTGATGTGTACGGCGGTCGTCATCTAATAGGAATCTACTTGCGCCATAGGATTCTACTTGCGTCATGGGATTTCTACTTGCGCAATGGTGGGTATTTGTAGCCCGGGGTCGTCATCGGACGGAATGGGGATTTCACTTTCGAACCTTCCTTCACAGTCCCATACCCCCCGTGCCTGTGAGTTTTTAGGGGTTCTGAGGAGGGGCCTTTATCGATCCCGACGACGGAGGGCGATCGTGGTTGACTCCGTCGCCTCGATAAGACATTATGGAGATAGTGCATACTGTAGCATAGATATCCAAGATGCAGCCAGGCGGCAGAGAAAACCTTCTTGACGGACTCCGCTGCTACAAAGGAGTGGTCTCTCTCTCCCATCCGCATCGAGCATCGAGCATCGATCAAGCCGGGAACCATCACGAACCAGGCCACCATGCGTTTCCTCTGTTTCGGCCGCAAACCATCCACAGGGGGTAAGGGGGACAAAGAGGGCAAGGACACAGACTCGTCGTGGTCCTCTGGGTCCTCACAGTCGGGGCCGGGACCTAGACGAGAAGGCACGCGTGGGCACCTCCTCGGCGTCCACGACCTCCTCCTCCTCCTCCGCGCCCGCACCCACACCCTCACGCAAGTCTCTCCGCAGCTGCATCCGGATCTTCTTCCTCCCCCGCACCCGCTCCTCCCACTCCTCGCGCATCCCGCCAATAGACGACTACATCCTGATCGGCGCCGCCGGCGTAGCCGACCACTACCCGCCGGCGGCGTTCCAGCAGCTGTATGACGCCGACGCCGACGACGGGCCGGGGGCGCGCAAGTACCAGTGGGTGGGCACGCCGCGGGTGGGGGGCTGCGGGGGGGACAAGACGGTGCTCCTCACGAGGCTCGTCCGACAGACGTATAGGACTGTCAGCTGGGAGGAGTTCCGTGCGGATCTCGTGCACGGCCAGATGTCCACCGAGATCGGCGCAAAGTGGATGTGGGTTGCTGTGGATAGGAAGGGTCGGTTTTCTTCCTCCCTTTCGAGTAGAGTGCTGAATGAATGGTTGGCTGGATGACTGGCTGGCTGGCTGGCTGACGATTGCATAGACTGGAGGCGGCGCAGGCGAAGGTAGCGGAGAAGAATCAGAAGAAGCGGCAGAAGAAGCCGCGGAAGTGAGGTGAAGTGAATTGACAAAAGAAGCTCGAAGCTCGAAGCTTGAAGGAAACAACGGGAGGTTGCTAGGGGCCAAGGTCTTCAAGAGGAGAGGCCGTTGTATTAAATGCGCGCCTGTTCATATACATACATAGATCGTTGCTGCATATCCCTATGTGGAATATGTAGGTTTGTACAATACATACTACCTAGCGATGGATCTAGGTCCATATATAATTCATCAGGATCGCTGGGCTGGGCTGGGTCGAACCGATCCGAACGCATGACATCTCTTCCCGAACTCCCATCCACGTCTGCCGTATGTACTCTACCTAATGTATGTAGTACCAAGGTATCAATTACGCACCTGCAGATTTCTTGCGCTCGCGCTCGCCACAAGGCTCGGGAGATGTCTTGCAGATGTGTATTAATGGTTGATTCATCCATACCATACCCGCTCCCGCTCCCGCTTCCGCCGCCGTCGCCGTCGCCGGCTGGCTGGCTAACAATGTAGAGTACCTACAGGCGAGCGGGCCTTGCGGTTAAGGCCTAACTAAGGGCGGTGGGCAGTGGGCTGTCAACGACGGTGCATAAAGTACCGTAGGTCCGTAGGAGGCTATGGGTTTGTCCATTGAGAACGTGGAGCGAAGTTTGCAGTACCAATATACCTCGTATATAGAGGACGTATATAGAGGACGTATATGAAGCCCTACGTACCCACCGTGAAGTCAATTGGGTTGGAGGGGGGGAGGAGGTCTCTGGGATATTGAAGACGGACACTGGACAGGATGGATGGAACTTCCCTCCGCGGATAGTTACATATTATGAACCAAGAGTCCAAGACGTGACAAATATCCGCACCCACTTCCGCTGGTTCGGTAGTTAGTTAGCCACCGACCCACTCACCGAGAACAACCCTCGGAACTGACCATCACCTACCTCATACCTACACATATCGGTACTTCTTGGATACCTTTAACATTCTGCTCATCACGAAACCTGGCCATGGAAAACCTATGTAGACACCGGATTGCTTCCTTCCTTCCTTCCCTCCTTCCCTCCTTCCCTCCTTCCCTCCTTCCTCCCGCCCTTCCTCCTTGTCGAGAGTCGACATTGAATCACGATCCGCCAACTCGACTCGACTCGACTCGACTCGACTCGACTCGACTTGACTTCACTACCGTAGTTAGCGGTCAAGTGACACATGACACATGACACATGACACATGACACATGACACATGCCACATCCTACCAGTAGGCCCCCTCCCCCCGCCAATCAACCGGCGACGAAACCAGAAACCAGCCCGAAAAAAAGCAAAGCAAAGCTCGCCCAGCAAATCCAATCCAGCAATCCAAATCCAAATCCAACACCGCCCAGTGCCCAGTGCCTAGATACAGCTTTCCGGAGCCGCGGTGCATCCACCCACCACCACCAGCACCACCACCAGCACCACCACCAGCACCACCACCAGCACCGAGCCCAGGATCGGGGTCCTGTCCGGGTCGGGTCCGGGCCGGTTCGATTCGATCACCATCAATCAAATCAATTACAATCAAATCAAATATGTAGAGTACAATCAAATCAAATCCCAATCCCCGGGGAAGAGCCATCCTTAAGCCATCCATCCTTAAGGGCGGGCCGTCCGTCGAGTGGTTACAGCGAATGGAAGAAAATTAAGTGAGACGTGGTAGGTAGAGTAGAGTGCGTCGCTGTCGCTGTCGCTGTCGGTGTCGGTATTGGTACCGGTACCGGTCGGCGGTAATTACCCTCTACGGTATGCTAGAATACCAGGTGCGGGTGCGGGAAAAAGTCGGGTTGGGACTTTGAACTTTGGTGCGGGGCCAATGGGAGGGGGCGACCGGAATACCATACCTACCATACTTGCATACAGGCGAGTGATAGGTATGTAGCAGAGGTGCCCCTGCTCTGTTCTGTTGTGTTCTGTTTGTTGTCGTGGGCGAGTACTCTACTCTACATAATCGGGCCTCGCCGCACGCGGCCTGGAAGTTCGACACGGCACAGCAGAGAAGTTGGAGGAACACTCTACATACATAGGAAGCCCTATGATATGGTTTGACGATTGATCGCAGGCGAGAAAGAGGAAGAGGAAGAGGAAGAGAGACAGCGTTCCGCGCAGAGCCAGATACCGGTATGGGGGTGCTCTATGTGAGTATGTAGAGTACCGGACCAGAGGTCATCCGGCGTTGGAAGGTGGGGATCGAGACTTGAGACTGGATAGGCTTGGCACTGGGCTGCACACAGGTTCTTGCTTGGGTGCTTGGATGCCTGGGGGAGTGGTGGAAGTTGGGGGAGTGCCGTCTTCCAGAGTGCAGCTGTGCGAGAGGGCTGGCTGGATGGATGGATGATTATGTACCCTAGATACTCTAGATACTGAGGACGGTACATACTCTACTGAATAGCAGAGCATGTATGTACCGAGTCCTCCATGTACCGTTCTCTACTCCAGGTACTCCAGGTGTCGACACAGCTCGCACTCGCCCTTGCGTTTACCTTTGCCTTCACCCTGCCTTCACCCTACCTTGCCTTGCCTTACTTCGCGTCCTCGCATCATCCCGACCCACCAGTCAACCAGTCAACGGACGCAAGCGAGCGAGCGAGTTCTTCCTCTCCGCCTTCTCTTGTCTGCTCTGCTCTGCTCTCCAGCTGTTTCGGGTAGTGTCCGCCCGCGCCCGCGCCCGCGCCCGCCTCCGCCTCCCAAGTAGCCCCCCAAGTAGCCCCCCCAAGTAGCCTCCCTCCAAAGTAGCCGCCGTTAGAGAAATTATGAAGTGGAGGGGTGTGTGGGTAGGGTAGGGAGGGTGGGAGGGGGGAGGGATCAGGGAGGGAGGGGAGGGATCAGGGTGGATGGGTGGATGGGGTTGTCTTGGAAGTTGCTGCACCGCGAATCCGACAGGGAATAGTGCTGGTTCGCTGGGCAGGGATGGGCCACACCACCGCTAACTACCACCACCGCCAACAGCAACAGCAACAGCAACAGGTTTTGGTTCGCAGCAGCGCGACGGAGGAGGGAGAGCGAGAGAGGGGGGCGTGGCACTTCTGCCGTGTGCTGGTGGTGGTGGTGGTGGTGGTGGTGGTGGTGGTTTTGGTTGTGGTGCATGCGTGGGGTTTGAAGGGGGGGATGGATGGGTGGGCTGGTGGGTTGGTGGGTGGGTTTTTGATATCGTTCTCATTTGTTACTCTACCTTACTCTGGTACTCTACTCTTGGATCGTATTACGATAAATTAGCCACCATATCTGCCCGTACCGTACCGTACTCCTCTCCTTCCCTCCCTCCCTCCCTCCCTCCCTCCCTCCCTCCCTCCCTCCCTCCCTCCCTCCTCTCGACGGTCATTTCGAGCGCGGGGGGCCAGATGTGACAGCTCAGAGTTTGGGTGCCGGGTCGGACCGACCGGTCTCGCTCGTCTCGTTTTAGTTATAGATACTCGTATTTATTTGGCTGGCTGGATACATACCGTTGCTTGTTTTCCCCCGTCCGTCGAACGTCCGACCGTGGTTGGTTTCAGGGGGGCGGGGATGGGGAGGAAAGGCATCGTTCGTTCGTAACTAACGATCCTTTCCTTCGGTTCGGGTCGGGATTTCCGGACCCGAGTTCCACGAACGCGGGGGGTGGGGGGTTGGCGATGGATGTATGTGTGTGTGTGTGTGCGTGTGTGCGTGGGTGGGATAGGTGGGAGGAACTGGAAGGGAAGGGGTCGCAGCCGGTTGGTTGGCTGGTTGGCTGACTGGTTGGTTGGCTCGTGCGAAATCCCACTCCTCCCACGACCCATATCGAACAGCCGACTAGGTACTCTACATAGAGTACAGACATCATACCTGGATGGGTTCCGACACCATGTACCGACATCTAGCATATATAGCATAGGCAGAGTACTCTACGCTACCCGCAGGCCGGCGGGTTCTTCGGGCCCGGATGGGACTGCAACTGCAACTGCACTGCACGTCGGTGCTGCTGGATGCTGGATACTGGATGCTGGATGCTGGTCCCTACATAGGTACATATGCCCGCGCGTCTTCTTCCGTCCTTCTCTGCAGCAGCGGGCTGCAGGCACGACGTGATGGCGCCGGCTCCTGCGAGAGAGAGGGAGGGAGGGAGAGGGAGGGAGGGAGAGAGACGGGAGGGGGGGGGAGAGAGAGAGAGAAAACAGCGCACAGACATCGGCACCGTCGTCGTGGCTGGTGCGTCCTGTCCTGTCCTGTCCTGTCCTGTCCCGAGCCACCACCAGCTGGGTCGGGTTGGGTCCCGGTCGGGAGTGGAGTGTTGCGCACGCCGCACGCGGCTCTGTTCGGTTCGGGCGACGGGGTGGGGTGTCGGTGGAATTTGCGATTTGCGATGCGAGACAGCCAAGCGCGTGTGATTCGAGCGGAGAGAAGGAAATGCCTACGGTAGAGATGCATGGGAGAATCGAGATGCGAGGAGTGTGCGTGCGCGGCGACCACGAGAGGCGAGGGGAGCGAACCCTTCGCTTATTTCCCTATTCGCGGGAACCGATCCCTCCCGGGGCGCGGCGGAGGAGGAGAACCACGGCACCGCGTCACCGCGCGCAAGATCCAGATCCATAGTACCGCCGTACCAGACAGTGGACAGTGGACAGTGGACAGCATCTCATCTCCCGCGATGGCGGGTGTCTAAGCGCAGCGTGCGGGTCTCTCCCTCCCTCTGTTTCTCTGTCTCACTGCCCTGATTGGGCAGCCGCGCAATCCCGTCCAAGTCAGAGTGGATACCCAGGGCGGGACCCGCCAAACTCAAAATACCTCCGGGAAACGCCCACTTACCGCGTAATGTTTGCATATGTATGACCAGCCGATAGCCGCATCTCACCTCTCGTCGAAACGTTTTTTCCCGCCGTTTCGGATCTAATCGAAGTGAAGTGAAGTGAAGTGAGGTCATGCAGGAGTAGATCAGCACCCCACTACCGGTAAACGTCTCTACATATACTAATCGGTGGCGTAAACCGTGATGCGTGCGTGGGTAGGTAAACATCTACACACTCGGTAGGTATCTACATCTGCCCGTCGGGTTCCGGTGACTGCCGGGTGGGAGACACTGTTGTATGGTAGGTAGAGCAGAGTACGGTCGGCTACATCTACTAGTTGAAACCCGCGCAATCGCTGTAGAGTACCGAGCACGGTACCATGATGGCCGTCAGTTCGGCTGGTCAGTTCGAGCTTCGGAGCTTGCTGCTTACATACTCAAAGCGAGACTCCTCCTCCTCCTCCGGCTCAGAAATCGACGTCATTGCCCTACCTATTTCAATTCCGGATGGATGGACTTGCAAGTTGCTGGGGGTAGTTAGGCATACCTAGCAGCCGTTCACGAACTACCGGTATGTACCTAGAGTACATATGCTTCAAGCCATCAAGCTGACTCTGCAGGAAGTTGGGATCTGATGGGCTCTGGACAGTGCAGTCTGCATGAGTGGATCCTGTTGGCAGATACCTTTGTATGCATCCAAATCTTCGTTTGCTCCGTCGTGTTAGTGCCCGATCCCGAGTGCGTACTCTAGCCCCAGCAAGCCTCGAGAGTTGAGAGTTGAGAGTTGAGATGAACCATTCGGATCGAACAACGAATGGGTTCGTCCGGGCAGGCAGGTAGGCCCGATACCAGTGATTACGATCGAGGTGTGGTGTGGATGCGTGAACCGAATGGTTACCTGGCTGGATAGCGAGTGCCTCACTCAGACTTCAGTCACATCACAAATCCACAGTCACAGTCATAATGCACATCGACATCCTATGATCCTAGAATATTTCCGGCCAATTTCAGCACTTTCTTCCGAGGATCGACATTCCGTTGGAACTTTGGTCGTCTTTGTCTCACATCCAATAGTCCAATAGGCAACCCTGCTGTTGCTATGTACAATACTGCCTGCCTTCACGACTCGGGCGTCGAGTGCCCGAGGAACGTCCCTATGACCAGACCACTCGGGGCGGCTGTGAACTCGGTCGGTGAGAATCGACCGGGCGGGCGACGATCCTGATCCTGATCCTGGCAGGCGGACCGTTGACTCGGCGTTGATCCTTGAGGCATCATCCCGCGCGTTCAGCGCGGCGGCGGCGGCGGGAATGCTCGGACGCAAACCATCCATCCATCCACCCGTCCGTCCATCAGTCTAGACCGTAGACCGTAGACACATGGCCGCGCAGAGTTCGTGCCATACATTCATCCATCCATCCAAGCAAGTTCATCCGACCGACCATGGAAGACGACTCCGTGGACCGTGGACCGTGGACCGTGGACCGTGGTTACTTGTGATGTTTATTTCGACCGCATACCTACCGTAGTCTGTTGGCTGTTGGATGCCGTCGTCGACCGACCGACCGATCGATACACCGCTCTGTTATTATCCTAGGCAAGTACCGGTAGCTAAACTAGCACTCGGTGCTTACTCCCAAGCCGACTAGACTCCACTCTCCACTCTCCAGCACCCTCCAAGCTTCTTCTGCTCTGTCTGCAGGGATTATCTACTCGCCACTAGCGAACCCACCCACCGAGATAATGTATGTGTAGCATGACAGGGGGGTGTGGGCAGTGCGACTTGGCCCTTGGGACTCGTCCTTCTTGGGGCATGGGGCGAGAAGAGAGATGGTTGGTGCCGAGCTCGCTGGGGCTAGATACGGTACTCTACTCTGGTTGGGGGAAGGAAGGAAGGAAGAGGCAAGCCACCCACCCACCAGTAACCGGCGTTTGGGTGCGGTGCGTATCATATGTAAGAAAGAGATGGGCCCGGAGAGAGCTCGTGCAGCGGCTGGGAACTTGGGATGGGAACTTGGGAGAGCCAGCGGGCTCGGGCTTGGGCTGCTTTTCGCTTTTCGTGATGACGACGGCGCGGCGCGGCGGGGTAAAGTAGAGTAGAGTGCTTTGTGCTTTGTGCTTTGTGCTCGATGCTTGGTGTGTGCGTGTGCTTGTGCGTGTGCGTGTGCGCGTATGTGGGATAACCGGACCGGACCCGACGATGGAGCCGACGAGCGAACGGACGGGGACGGACGCGAGAGACGCGATGCGACGCGAAGGCGGCAGGCAGGCGGGCTGCGGGTGCGGGGATATTCTGTTTTTTACTGCCATTTCGGCCGTATGCGGCCGATTTACCACATCGGTTTTATTCCGGTTTTTGCTACGAGGTGCTTCAAGATATTTTTACAGCCATACCGGTACTAGCAAAACACGCCACTCTCCATGGAGTCTACTCCGCCAATTTAATGACCGCATCCATCCATGGTCCATCCATGGGCCATCCTACCACCCACGCTTCCCGCCGATATAACTAGCTCCCCAGCGATAGTTGCCCCCTGTTTGCCTCGCCGTCCCTCCCACCCCCCCTCCCCACCCCCGGCCCATCTCCACCCATCCACCCCATCCGTGGGCATCCAGCGCCTGGACTCCAGGCTTTCCCTCGCTCGCTCGCTCTCGCTCCTGCCCGCCCTCCATACCCGTCGTTCGGTGTGGCCAGACGAGGACTAGCCGCGTGCAACTGTTCCGTTTCCCTTTGCCTCTCTCATGCGCTTCCCTGCCCTTCCTTCCCGCTCGCCTCCCTCCCTCCCTCGCCCTCCCTCTTCCCACCCGACGACATCAGCAGCAGCAGAAGCAGCAGAAGCAGCAGAAGCAGCAACCTTTGGATATCCCCCTTCCCATCCCTCCACACGCCTGAGCCGTGTGCGATCTCACTGTAGAATACCATCTCGTCGTCTCTCCCCACCTCCCAAGCCCAAACCCCAAGCCAGACTCCTACCCCGGGCCAGCAGCATCGCCCAGTCAAATCACGCCCAGTCAAGTCAAGCCCATCGTTCCCTCCCTAGCTCTGCCGCTTCGTCGTCGCGCGCCACTCCTCTCACGTCCGAGCCCAGCCCGCAAAGGTATCTGCCACCAGAACCGCGCAAAAGCAGCTGACGCCTTCCCACCCACAACCCACCCACACACCCACCCACCCCCAACCCAAAGAGAAAGAAAGAAGAAAAAAAAAAAAAAAAAAAAAAAAAACAAAAAAAAAAAAAAAAAAAAAAAAAAAAAAAAAAAAAAAAAAAAAAAAAAAAAAAAAAAAAAAAAAAAAAAAAAAAAAAAAAAAAAAAAAAAAAAAAAAAAAAAAAAAAAAAAAAAAAAAGCAAAAGAAAAAAAAAAAAAGAAAAAAGAAAAAAAAAAAAAAAAAAAAAAAAAAAAAAAAAAAAAAAAAAAAAAAAAAAAAAAAAAAAAAAAAAAAAAAAAAAAAAAAAAAAAAAAAAAAAAAAAAAAAAAAAAAAAAAAAAAAAAAAAAAAAAAAAAAAAAAAAAAAAAAAAAAAAAAAAAAAAAAAAAAGAAAAAAAAAAAAGAAAAAAAAAAAAAAAAAAAAAAAAAGAAAAAAAAAAAAAAAAAAAAAAAGAAAGAAAAAAAAGAAAGAGAAAAAGAAAATAATTGCACTTACCTCCACCCCGTTTGAACTGGGATCAACTGGTTCTGGTTCCGTGTGTGGGCCTCTGTCTGTCTGTGTCTGTCTGTCTGTGTCTGTCGGTCTGCCTGTCTGTCTGTCGGTCGGTCTGTCGGTCTGCCCGCCTGTCTTCTGTCTTCTGTCGCTGCATATGCATCGACCGTCAAATCTTGGAACAGACAAAAACAGGAGTGGACGGGGAAGGAAGGAAGGATTCCCAGTCTCCCGGAAGGGAAAGAAAGAAAGAAAAGAAAACAAATAAAAGGGACTCGAAGATAATACTCTCGTTTCCTCCCCCCTCAAAGTATCAATCGTCAATATTTCGAGCATTTATCATCGTTTATCGTGCTGGGATTCACGAATATCATTTCGGCGGGAAAAGGGATATCGTCTTTTTCTGGTATAATGTGGTTTTCGTTTTCGTTGGCTGTTCCGTTCTTACTCCATCCATCCATCCACCCATCCTTCCATCCTCTTCCCGGCAAAAGTGTGCCACAGCTTGATGGAGTGTGGGTGGCCATGGGTGTGCTGCCTGGGGGGCTTGTGGGAGTGGGAAGGAGCGAACGGGGATGGAGCGAGGGAGGGGGGTCCCACACTCTCTCTTCCACACTTGCTGTTTCCCTCAAAACTCCTTGCCGCCTGCTTTTGTTGCCATTCCCTCCGACTCGCCCCAAGCACTCCACCCTCCTACATCGCACAGGAGAACCGTCTCGAGAACGCAGCGCGACAATCATCGCGACTTCAACGACATTCGTGCTGACGGCTATGCTCTTGGAAATTAGTTAGCTAGCCTCTACCACACACCCTCCCCTTTATCGCATCCCGAAATATTATCGACTCCAGCCCATCGCGCTTTCCAATCCGGACTACTACCTCCTTAGTTCTCAACTACCAGCTCCCACTCAACCACCCCAGAGGTTCGTTCTGCCACGGAAGGAAATATACTCGAGTCCATCGGCTCATATCCTACAGCTTTATCGACCAGCAAAGGAAATAAAAACACACTCACTCACACCCAACAATACTCGACATGAGTCGAAACACCATCCACGACGTCCCCGAGACGGTCGCGATCTTTGAACGCCAGCTCGAGAATGGACAGTCCTTGGAGTACCGGCTGCAGGTGTTGCAGCAGCCCGAGAGGGCGAGAGCTTGTGGAATGGGCGCAAAATGTACGCTCCTTTTCCTCATCGCCCGAGTGATTGCGTTCCTCGGACGTTCTGAAAGGGGGAGATGGGAGAGAGAGATTCGAATGAACGAGTGATTGACCGATTGCAGCGCATGCCGACCGTCGACCAGTCGATCCGCCTCCAGTTGTCGAGCTCCGATTGTGGCAGGGTGTGGGCAAGGACAAGTCGGACGTGTATGTTTCCCCTTTTCTTTCTTGGAATCGATCGTGTGGGGAACGCAACCAGCTGACCCCGAGTGACGCCTGCCAGGACATTCGCACACAATGCCAACTTCTTCCTGTTCGCCACCTTGGAACATGCGCGCCCTGTCGCTCAGGCGCGAGGAATGCCGGCTCCCGCTCCCGCTCCTGTCCTTACCGGTGTCCCTGTTTCCGGCATGGCCTATCTCGATCGCCCGAACCCGGCTGGATACTTCATCTTCCCCGATCTGTCCGTTCGACACGAGGGTAGGTATCGCCTGCGATTCGGCTTGTACGAACACTCCAACGAGGAGACTTCGTTCAACCAGTCTCAGGACCCGCTGGAGCCACGTGAGTTCTGCACCCATCGCTTGGATGTCAAGTCCAAGGCCTTTACCGTGTTCTCGGCGAAGAAGTTCCCTGGACTGGCCGAGTCGACCGCTCTGTCGAGGATCGTAGCCGAGCAGGGTTGCCGTGTGCGCATAAGGCGTGATGTACGCATGAGAAGGAGGAACGAGAGGGTTCGTGGCAGGGATAGCGAGGAGATGGACGAGACGGCGTTGTTGAGGGCTGGAAGGAATGGATCGACAGACCAGTACGACATCGAGAACCACATCCAGGCTCAGAATGCCCAGCAACCACCGGCGCCTCAGTATCACCAGCCTCCTCCACCGCCTCAGTACTCGATGCACCGTTCGAATTCCTTGGATGCGCGCAAGAGGAGTGGGTCGGATGTTTCAGTGGCGTCCGTGGCGGAGAATGATCAGCAGCCTCAGCGATACAACAGCACCGGTGGATACATGCCGCCGGTGACTAACCACTACCAGGCACCACCGCCTCCTCCTCCTCCTGCGAGTCAGCCCCAACACTTGAGCTTCGGTAGCAGCACTCACTCGGTCCAGCCGCCGGCTCCTCCCCCTCCCGCTCCGACCTACAGCCAACAGCCTCCTGCGCAGGACATGTACGGACGTGGTGGATACCAGGGCCAGTACCAGGCGCCCCCACCGCCGCCACCGCCTCCGTCGTCGTACCATAGCTCCCGCGAGAGCACCATGGCGGCGCAGAGCCAGAATGGCGACAGGAGAGATTCGGTGGATCAGTACCGCCAGAGGAGGGATTCCGATGTTGCGTACCACGCACCCACTCACTACAGGCCTTCCACCCCATTGGCCCAGCAGCCGCAGTACAACGGCCCGATGCAAAACGGATACAACGGTCAGGCACAGCAGTATGCTCCTCAGGTGCCTTACACCCAGCCACAGCCACAACAGGCACTTCCTCCGATCCGCCTTCCTGCGCTCCCGCCGCTCGAGCCCAGAGTCTGGAGTGGCCAGCCCACGACTCCCGGTGCGACTGCTCCGTCGCAATACTCGGCGCCCAACCCGGTGCCTGCGCCACCGTCGCAGCAACGCACTGCTGCCCCGCCACCACCACCCGTCGCTCCCTCGCAGATCGCACCGCCGAACCCGAGCCAGTTCTCTGCGTACTACCCTTCGGGCTCCAGCGGATACGCACCGACAACTCCTGCGTCCCAGGCACCGCAGCCACCTGCCACCGATTCCTCCAAGAAGAGGCAATGGGGCCGTGTCTTCAACACTGCGCACACGGAGGGATCCATGCGCAGCGGCATGCGTCCGGACATCGAGTCGGACATGTACGGCAGCGACGCAACACCGTTCAGTGCCGACACCGAGGACGACGGCTACGACGACATCAACAAGCTGAAGATGACGTATCGCCGTGCGGACGGTGTAGAAATCGTGCGAAAGTTGACTGGTGGCATCTAAGCTGTCTTCGTCATCTTCTTCTTCCTTGGTGTTTGATTTTTGGATTTGTTTTTTTTTTTGGCTTTTTGGCTTTTCCTTTCGTTCGTATTCATGGTTTGGCGGGTTCCTCATCTTTTTTCGTTCTACGGTCCTCCTGTCTATATTCTCGTGTGGCATTTTTTTTTATTTCCTTTACTTATATCACGCAGTCAATACCAGGCTCTCTTATGTTATGTTTTATTTTTTATCTAGCATGCATTGCTTCGCTCTCCTCGTATATCTATTTTGTTTTTGCTTTCGCTTTTGCTTTCGCTTTTGCTTTCGCAGTGTAATTTGGTGTTTTTGTGTTTTGTGGCCTTTTGGTTCGAAAGTTTTTGTGAAAGGAAAGAAGGAGGGAAAGAGTTGGGGTGGATTGATAGTTTGATATATACAGAACGGAACGGAAAATCAGCCACTGCGTTCAATGTTTGGGTTGCAGAGAGAGAGAGAGTCATCCGTCAGTACACAAGTCTTTTTTCTTCTTCTTCTCTCAATCTCGATCTCTGGCTCTTCATACCTATCTGTATCATTCTCTTGTTCGATCGTTGCTGGAAGTTGAGCGGCTGGTGGCGAGTTCTTAATATCAATTCTTGATCACACTCTTAACATACTACATCTTCTTACTTGCTTGTCATATCATCGTATCGTATTGTGTCATATCATATCATATACCCCCCCCAACCCCCAACCCCCAAGTGTCGTACATGCATGTCACATCATATCACTCACTGATGTACTCATCGTTTCCTCTTTTCCTGTTTTCTTACAACAAAATATTATTTCTTCCTGCTGTTTGGATGGTGCGTTTTTGGGGGGTTTGGGGGGGTTTCTAGGTTGGTGAGATGGATGAAGGGAGGAAATGGAAGGGAGGAAATGGAAGGGAGGAAATGGAAGGGAGGGAATGGGAAGGGAATGGGATGGTGGAAATGGTGGATGGTGGATAGGGATGGTGGATGGGATGTGGATGGTGGATGGTGGATACGATGGATGGGAATGGGAATGGTGGATAAGATGGGCTGGACTGGGCTGGTGGATGGGCTGGTGAAACGGGACAGGATGGTGGATGGGCTGGGCTTCGATGGACGATGGACTCATGGCGGTTGTTTTTGCGTACATATATGGTTATTTTTGCTTTCTGCTTGAATTGCTGTTTTACCGTTCTCTACTATCATGCTCACTATCCGCCGGGTCCGAGTGAGCTCGCTGTCCGCTGTTCGCGGGGTTCTCGTGCCGTCTCTGTCGGTGGGTTGTTTGGTTTGTGCACACTGCACACAGCACCCGGAGGACTTACCTATGAAGGGGGGTTGGTTCGTGGGAGCGGACTGGCTGGCTGGATGGCTGGCTGGCTGGCTGGTTGAATCAGTGTTCTACATAGTCCAGTCCAGTCCGTCCCGTCGGGACTGCAGTCTGGACCGGATTATGGAGAATGCTGCTGGTATCGTGCTGGTATCCTTCTCCCGCAGCCCGCAGCCCGCTGTCCACCGAGTCAGTCCGCTGTCCGACTCCACTACCTACCTATTTGTCTTGTCCGCTGTCCGCTGTCCGCTGTCCGCTGTCCGCTGTCCGCTGTCCGCTGTCTGTCCGCCGGGTTCCCGTGCCGTCTCTGTCGGTGAGTTACACTGCTCCTGATACTTACCTATGTAGTCCAGTCCAGACTGCATCAGTGTAGTCCAGTCAAGTCTAGTCCAGTCCATAGAATTGGAGGACGGTGTGAACCCAGTCCGTCCCCAAGATTTGCCGGCTCGGACTGCAGTCGACTGCAGTCGAGTGACAGACCGACACTTTCTGAAATTTTTTGGGTCGAAGTTCGAGCTACCTAGGTATGTGGCTAGCGGGGGGAATCACTCTTTCAACGTATCACATGTTCATGCCAGCTCTCTAGAGTATCTCCTACTCCACCGTCGTCTGAATAAGTAAAGATATGGTGGATGTTTTCCAGCAGGAAGTTGGAAGTTGGAGCCGCCTCCATGCGGTTCCATTGGCGATGTGGTATAGTACTGGGCGGATAGGTATCAAGTCACATTCGCCTCGCTGGAAAGATCTTGCCAGAGTGGCCCTCGAGTACCTACATGGGTATTTGGGCATTCCCGCCACGAGAGCAGAGCCGGAACGAGGTTTTAGTGGGACTTTAGTAAAGCCACACACACTCTCATCGCCGCTGCAGCATGGGTGACGAGTCACGACACACTGAACTTTAAGGCCCTGTAATGTCTCGACTCTCAATTTTGAAAAGCTGGCAACGACTCACGAGATGGTCTTTTACATAGCTGCTATGTATTGTACATAGGGCGATATCAAGGAGATGGAGACTACCTACCGTATGATCAATGCATTGTCTGTGCGAGGAGGATTTGCAATAGATTTACTATGTACCTATAGACGTGTACAAAAAGTTCATTACTGATTTCAAACATTTTCCAATCCATTCAAAGTGACAGTCCATCCAGTCGACTGCAGTCCATCCAGTCGACTGCAGTCCATCCAGTCGACTGCAGTCCGTCCAGTCGACCGCAGTCCATCCAGTCCATCCAGTCGACTGCAGTCCGTCCAGCCCTACCAGTTGCGCCTCCTGCCCAGTCCAATCCAGTCAACGCCTCCTGCCCCACTGAACCTCTCAGTCCAGTCCGACTTTTGCTGAAAGACAGACTGGACTGGAATATCGGAGGCACTGGCGGGGTGTCGCATACAATCAATGATTAAACAAAAAAAAAGACCATCCCATCTTCGGTGCCAAATTCCAATAGGTACCAGAGACAATGGGATGAGTAACAGGGCTGATATGTAGAGTACAGAGGTTATGTCGACTCTGGAGCTAGGACTCGAGCCACAAACAGGCCGCCGGATACTAAACACTACACTGTAAAAATGTTTAGAAAAGCTTCGGGAGGAGGAGGAAAGTATGAGTTTCTACTAACTTATACAAGTTTCTCTGCGGAATCCACTCGCCGACATGATGCTTTGGATATTCACTCGTTTCTAACCTTTCTACATTGGTCCAAATTACTCCAACTTTATGCACTGCATGTATGTAGCAAGTTTACAAGTTCCCGAACAAGTAGGGGATACGTCTCCCGCAGCCCGCTGTCTGTCTGTCTGTCGGGCCCGAGTGACCACGAGCGTATTCACCATGCGCCGTCCCCTGTCCTCCGTGTGGTGATTCCAATTTCTGTGGGCATATCTATTCAATTGTGGGATCAATTAGAACAACTCAACACTTCTTTACCATGAGGATATTCATATACCTACCTTATACAATACCTTCTACTCTACCTATGCCCCGGGATCCTAACTGGAAGCGAAGCCCCGGTAACTTTTGCACATTGAATGCACTTGAGCCTCGGGAGTCGCCGCGAGTCCGCCACTGCTAAAATCAGCACACATCAGTCAGTCACTCATGAGCGAGCACCCGACGCCCGTTCCTGGACACTGCGTCCACCGCCCACTGCCCACTATCTACTTTATATAGTGCATACTCCGCAGAGAAGAGAAGAAAAAGAACCTCAAAACATCCCCAAAACACTCCAAAAACACACACTAAATATGGAAAAAATAACTTTTAAAATTAATAAAATAAAATAAAAAGGGCCCGGCAAAACACAGGCAACAAGAAAACAACAAAAAGCCCGGGAAAAATCAGCCAAACAGCAAAAAGACAAGAAAAAAATCACGGGGAAAAATCACCCGGAAAAAGAAAAAGAAAAAAAGAAACCCGCGGAAAAAAACCACCCCCTCCGACCCCAAGGGTTGCTGGTCATGGGCTCGTCCTCGTCGATGTTTCCTCTGAGGTCCATTGCTTCCCTCGTCTTGTCGATGCGCTTCGGTTTCGTCGTCTCGTCTCGCCTCGTCAAGCGTAAGGAACGTTACCAAGTAACGAGGTACGCTTGTTTTGATTGAGGTGTTGCTACCAAATGTAGAGAGGTGTTGGTAGTAGTAGGTGGGGAAAGGTTGGTTGATTGGGAAGAGAAGGTCGAGGACCCGAAGTCTATCTACCCCCGTACATCTGTCGTCACTCGGACCTATCTACAACCCTACACCAGGCCACCTCCCACGCTCAGTACCCCGCCCCCATCCTCCTCTCCTCCATCTCGGCGTCCAGCATCGTCGCCGACCCTTGGCCGTACCAAAAGGGTACTGTCGTGTGAAACGGGTTTGCACCCGTATTCAAGGCCTCCCAAAAGGTGCCCTTCTTCTTGGCCGTACCCTTCTTCGCAAAGAGGGCGGTCGATAACTCGGTGTTGGTATATGCGGATACACCGTGCCGGTCCCATGCATATGAGCGCTCGAGGATCTGGTCTAGAATCTCCTGGCAGCTTCCGGCACTTTCACTTGAGTTGAGACTTGTTCGAAAAGCAAGCCACACATCACCCGTCGGGAGTCCTTGGACCATGTAGGATGCCAGAACTTTCTCTGGCAGCTCGGTGCCCACGTTGCGCAACTCTGTAGCTATCTCCAGAATTCGAGAGTGATAAGCAGCCGCGCTGTCGAAGTCGGCCCTGCGGATGGCGTTCAGCTTGTAGAGACCAACGTTCGCGTCGATCTTGGCCACCCGGTTGAAGTCCTTCTCGATGTCCGTCCAGAGAACGTCTGGTGCCGAGATGTACTTCTTGTCTGCATACCGCATTCGCACAGAGGGGTCCAGGGAACGTTGAATCTTCGCTGTGGCCATGCCGACCTTACAAAGGCCCTACGGGCCGCAACACCCCGAGGGAGGCAAACGTCTCTAACGGGTAGAGATGGAACACGTGCAGCCCCAATATATCTGCATCGCCTCCAGCGCCGTGGGGGTGCGGTGCGTGCAGCAGGTCGGGACCTGGGCATACGCCATGGGCATTGGGGACTGCCGGGGCAGCGTGCGGAGGCACAGCGGCCTGAGTGGAGGGGCCAGACTGAGTCTGGCCGGAGGAGGTAGACGGAGTCTGACCGAAGGGAGTAGGCTGAGTGGCCGGAGGAAGTTGACGTAGTCTGGCCGATGGAAGTAGGCTGAGTCTGGAGCTGAGGAAGCAGACTGAGCTGGAGCGGAGGAAGCAGACTGAGCCGGAGTGGTCGAAGCAGACTGAGCCGGAGCGGAGGAAGTAGACTGAGCCGGATCGGTCGAAGCAGACTGAGCTGGAGCGGAGGAAGCAGCAAACATCTGTTGTCCGTCCATCTTGGTCGATGAAGAGCTGGTCAATTTTGTAGAAACGTTAGCGAGATCGAGCAGAGAAGACAAACCCGAGAGTCGTGGGAATGGTTCTGAGATTGTGCAAAGAAGGCAGCAGGAGATTTGTGGAACCAAGGTGGTGTGTGATGTGGAAAGGGGAAGAAGCGTTCTGGCGGCAATTCTCGCGGGTTTTATGGGTGAGGTTGGCCACTAGCCGTTTCCCTAATTTTGGTTTGTTTGACGCTCACAGCCAATTCTGCTAGATCACTCGGTCGTCGTTGCTATTGACGCTGGAATTCACTATCAGATCGTTGCTTATCATATCACTAATCTACCCCGCCCCATCATCAATCCACCGCCTAGATCGATACTATCGGCGGCGAAAAAGCCATCAGAGAACCATTTTTACGTGGGGATCGCAGTAACTACACCGGTACCGTAGCAAACATGATTGCCACCTACTAGTATATCCCACCGCATCCCACCGCGTCCGTAGTAGTTTTGTTTTTGTTTAATCATCATTGCATTCGACCTTAGGTTCTTAGTTGGTGGATCATGGCATATTACATACCTCATATCCTTTTCCACCCAACTGTCGCCTCACCGACCAGCTCGATACCTATTGGTTGCCTATCACTCTTCACCCAGCCCAGCTCAGCCCTCCCCAACCGCGTCCGTATGTAGTCCATCTCCGGCGCAGACAGAGCGTGCATACCCACCGCAGGATCCAAAGATCCAAAGATTCCGTTGCGTGCGTGCGTTTGGGCCGCAGGCGAGTGCGAATCTATGCAGCAACCACCTTCCCGCGCCCCCCCCCCCCCGCGACGAGCTGGCGGCCGCCGATATGTACGATAAACCCAGCCAGCAGGCTACCTCAAGCGGCGGCGGCGGTAGTTACCTTACCTAGCGGTAGCCAGTCGCTTTGACCAGCGCTGCCCAGCCCAGTGCAGTTCGAAGCCGGCTGCCGGCGAGACGACCGACCGACCGACCCGCGCCCCCGAGCCCCCGACCCGCGCCCCAGCATGTTCCCTGCACATCGCAAGAATCCACAGCCCCGCCCTATGTATCCCTGCCGGCTACCGTACATAGCATACCCTCCCGCTCATGGTCAGTTGGGTTCGGCCGAGATTCCGAGCTGCGGGGTACTGACGGGACGGTGGGTACGGTACCGTGGGTCCCCCCTCACCACCACCCCACCCACCCTCGGGACGCTATGCGGTACGGTAGCGGGGTTCAAGGCTGCGTATCTACCTTGCCCAAACGTCGACTATGTACGGTAGAGTAGAGTAGAGTAGAGTAAACCCATGGCCCGGCCCCATCGGAAGACTGCGCCTGTATGTACTGACACGGTCGGTCGGGAGCATGGTCTGCACCGTGAACTCTGCACCGTAGACCACGGACCGTGGACGAAACGTTGGCAATGACAAGCATGCATGTGTACCGCTTTGGGGGATGCGTATATGTACTATAGCCGCACGGATCGGAGGATCTGCGTCAAGTGCGTGGGTGGGTAGGTGGGGGTTGCCATGTCGCTGGGATGGAATACTCTACTGAACGTTATGTATGGGGGTATGGGAGTATGGGGGCGGAGGTGGAACCCCGGGTCGAGGATGAGCGCTGTCATGGGAGGGAGGGGGGAGGTGTGGAAAGATCCACGGTGGATGGTGGTGGTAGGGACTGGGGAGGAGGTTTATTAGGCGTTGGTAAGGAATTGAGACGTCTCGAGAGTCGAGACAGTGGTTGGTAAGGTAGGTATCACTCGATGTGTCGGGATCGAGGGCTGGGTTTTCTGGATTCTCTGGGATCGGGGGTGAGGCCGAATGAACGGTGGCAGGAAACCGAGACGTCTCGAGACTGTGGCTGGTACGGTAGGTATCACTCGATGTATCGGGGATCCCAAGCTAGAATCTCCAGGAACGAGGGTGAGGGAGATTCCATTCTGGTCGCTCGCGAAGGGGAATCCCGCTTGAGGAAGTATCACATCACGAAAGGAATGAAGGATGCAGCAATGGGAGAGAAGGCTGCACTTGTCGCCCGGTGTGGCGGAGCGAGAGGAGGACCTATGTGCGGGAGAAAACGAATGTGGTTAGTACTATAGTGGGCATCAACGTTGGTGGGAATCAATGTTGGTGGCGGGGTTCTTCTTCTTCTTCTTCTTTCTGGATCATCATCTACGGAATACCTAGACGATCAACCTCCATATCTCCTCTTTCTTCTGTGTGTGTGTGTATGCTCTCCTCTCGATCTCGCCTCCGGCCCGGAGCTGGAGGGGTGTTGGCAAAAGAGCCGTCTACAAAACCGGATTCCAATTACAAAGTGGCAGGAGACCCGGGACTGACCACCGATATCACTCGACTCAACTCGACTAGTCACCACCGAGAACTCAACTCAACTCACGCCGGGAGAAACGACTGGACTCGAGGGTGCCGCATCTGGACACTGAGGAATGAATGGTCATATCTATTTGAGTATGTAGGACGGCTGTACATAGTAGGAAGCGACTACCTAATCGAATACCTGACAATATGAAGCCGACCATTGAAACCACTCGACCGATCACTGCCTCGAACCGGCGCCGACGGAAAGCACAGGGCTCCACACAAGACTCGTCACTCATGAATGAAGGCGGCTGTTTGGCGGACGAAACAAGATCCTTAACGAGAGTACCCGTACCGTACCGTACGGAAGGCTGTAGCAGCAGCAGGAGGAGGACACCAATCCCAATCGACGCTCTCGTGTGTGTGTGTGCAAAAGGCAATCGTTCGTCGGGGCATGGTACGTACCATGTAGTCCCGGCCTGCTCGACTTTCCCTCGCTCTCGCTCGCTCGAAAACCACCGGGTTTGACCTGGGCCCCGAGTCAACACAACAGGGCTCAAGGCTGAAGAAGATCTGCTCGGGCCGGGGCGTGAAACGGAGGATTCAGGAAGCATGATGGATGGGATCTGACTTCTCACGTTCGGAAGGCTGTACAATATAGTACATGAGAGCAGGCCACGAACGGCCGGACTACATACCGGTAGGAGCCTGGGTTCGGGCAGGGCCAGGAGCAGGAGCCGATGCGATGCGCGAACCACGGGGCATTGGGCAAACCCTTGGGACCTGACACCAACAGGCAACAGGCAACAGGACCACCCCCCCGCGGCGGATGATGTGAAGGAAACCGGATTCGCGGCCGGCGAGGAGGGAAGAACCTTGCTATGTACCTATCTGCTACCTATCTGCTATCTGTGATGGGCCGGCGAATGTTGGAGTGAGATCCCTATGCGGGGTCATGGACTCGTGCCAATCGATAATCTACAAGAAGTTGCTCTGGCGGGAGAGAGAGAGAGAGAACAGCAATTAACTGTCGCATACGGCCTTACTAGACTACCTATGACGACCACCAACTTCCCGACCTTTCCTGCTAGTTGTTCCGGCGGGAGGGAGAGAGAGATCTTCAAATTGTTCCCGCGGGTAGGTAGAGGGGAGCGTCACTCGTCCATGAGAACGAGTGATAACCACCTCGACCTATCTCGGAAAGGGAAGGGAAGGGAAGCACAAGCCCATCCGTCCGCCTCCCCCTCCCCCATCGCATCCCACATATGCCCGCACATACATACATACATATGCTCCATTCGTTCAGCACCAGTCCACAGTCCAGTCCAGCCCTTACGTTGGAATCCAATCCAGCTCACCGGTACGGCGGTACATACATACGTCCCGCCATTCCAACCTCCAAGTTCCAACCAACCTACTTTGCCTAGAAGCCGGCGGCGCCCCTTGCTCCGGCGGCCGGGAGTGCTCGCGTGGAGTGGAGTCGGATGAATCGAAGGGGGAAGGGTTCCGGAGCGTTTCATCTGGTCTGGCTGGCGACATTAAGTCGGCGACGTCGGATATGTATTGTGGAGTACGAACCGAGGAGTTCGTCGTACGGGTTAGTTATCCATCACTCGTTGAGTCGTTGCCGGTTGCGGCGCGCCGGCGCTTGTCGATCGACGTCTGTCTGTCGTTGTGAATAAAAGCGGATGGATAGATGGACGGATGGATGACTGGTACGGTACCTATTGGAGGCAATTGCAATCGATGGGGGACTGGGGACTTCGCCAGGCCACTCCGACTCAGTGTCCGAGAACAGTTTTCCTGGCAACTGCTGACCGGAGCCATAACTATTGGACAAATGGAGGCTCGACCTGCAACTGCAATCGGCGGGGGAATGGGGGCTTCGCCAGACCACACTCAGTGTGCTCGGGTACACTTTTCCTGGCAACTTCCGGGGCCATCATACTCGGCATATGCATGGAAGTATGAAAGAAGGGAAGTCAAAAGCTCCGATCAACGACGTTGGGACTCTAACTAGAGTAGATATGTCGCTGACCCCAGTTGCTGGGCTCGGTCTCGGGCTCGGGCTCGGGCTACATACTCTACATACCTACTCTGCATACATGTGAGTACCGTACAGACGCACCTCAGTTGCTGGACGCACAGCTGACTACATACTAGATATCTACCAAAGACAGACAGAGCACCGAATGTCCAGCGTGCATCTTTGGGGTCCGGACGGTGATGGCTACTGTGATGGAGCCATGTGTCTTGCATCATGCACCATCCATCAGCACCCACCCCAGGTCCTCAGGGCCCAGGGCTCACAGAAGCCCGGTCGCTGGGCTGGGCTGGAAAGTACCAACTATATACGCCCGGCAACCTCCACGACCGAACGGCCGGTCAGCTCAGCTCAGCGAATCAGACCCGGATTCGGATTCGGATTTGCTCGATTCCGTAGCGGCCGCGGAGGATTGACTGCGAATAGTGTCCAGGGATTCCGCCGTCGGACAGACCCTCTCGACCCGAGATATTCTTCTTGTTCTGCTGCCTCTTCTTCTTCGGCTTCGTGGGATCTGGTTGGAGTATGGAGGTTAGGTATAGTACGGTTTATGTAGGTATTCCAGACATCTACATACATAGAGTAGAGTACCTACCCACTCCATGCGTGTGCGGTATGTCTGGTACTCTATGGTACTTGGGTCGGTGTGTAGATGTACCTACTCTGTGTGTGTGAACACTCCAAGCTGACGGGATACCTAACTCACCATCGATAGTAGTTGTCCGCTGGCAGCATATGTATCTGCTCCAAGTACATATGTACGTTCAACGGTTTTTTCTTTCCAGTTATCCTACCTACATGTGAGCAATGAGCATGGTAGTTATGCTACGTTCCTCCACTCCGCCTCCCCTTCCAAGTTCCGTTCCGTTCGCGGGCCTAGATACCTGCCAATCATCTGTAACCTATCATATACCCGGTGTGACAGTATCACCAAGTAAGTACCCCTCCCCTCCCCTTCCGTGTCCCTCTTCCCTGCACAACACTCAACATGAAACGGATTAAACGGATTAAACGGATTAAAATGGCCTTCCAGAATTCAAAGCCCGGCGACGACGACGACCAAGCACAAGCACGAGCACAAGACCAAGCACAAGCGGTCAACTCAAGCACAAGCGGTCAATTCAAGCCAAGCGGTTGAATTAAGCGGCTCGACTGGACTCGACTGGATGTGTCTCTCTGTTGCCGGTCGAGCAGGACAGAAAGCGGAGGAATAACACCCCACGGCCCCCAATTAGGTGACTGACCAGGTGACTGGCCGTTGGCATGAATTGCTTCTGCAGACTCCGACGACGGCGAAGACGACTCCGACGACGGCCCAATGCCATTGGGCGGATGAGAGACGTGATTAGCTGGAATGCGTGGGCAGAATCACCGAGTCGGTCGGTTGGTCGTCCAAAGGGTTTTCACATGCGCGTCCTCTTCAACTGGGGAGCAATCCAGTAGGTGTCTGACCGTTGACGCTCGCATAGGCACGTACTCTATGTACTCTATGTACTCTATGTACTCTATGTACTCTATGTACTCTATGTACTCTATGTACTCTATGTAGCATGACATTCTGGATGACTACAGCATCGCCGCACACTCGCGTTTTCTCAAGTACCGGTATGTATCATACCGGCCATGCTATATATCCCTCCCTTGCCCGCCGCCTCCGTATTCGTCTCCGCCCGCCCGCTCGCCCCCCTGGCCCCTCCCCCGGCCCCCAAGAAAACCGTCGGCAGGGAGCCGGCGGGGCGTGGCGTGGCTGTGAGACAAGCAAGCAAGGAAACTTCCGAACCCAACAAACACCGGGTGGGGTGACTTGAAGGGCGAGCCGGGATGTTCGGATGTGATGAACAATCAACTTTCTCTCTCTGGAATCTGGATCTGGAATCTGGCAATGAGGATCTGGCAATGAGGATCGTGCTGCGCGACCATTACTATGATATGTAGTGGTCAGTCTTCTAGATGAATATGGTGCAGTGACTGATTGTGTCGGACGCAGTGCGCACTGCAACACGAGGACAAATGGCCTAGTTACTCATGTAGGTACCGACTGAGCGAAGGGGCACCAGATGGCTGGCCTGATCTGCGGGTGAGAGGCGGCGAGAAAGAGGCGGAGAATTCTTGCTGGTGGACAGGAGGATTTGTATGTAGAGTACCGTAACCTAGCCCTTCGAGAATGGGCTCGGAACGAATGGCGACTGCAGGGGGTCGGTCACTGGGGTGGCATTGACAGGCAGGACTGAGGAAACAGAGCTCCGTCACCGTCACCGTCAGCGGCAGTGGAACCGTCAGCGGTATCGTCATCGTCGTCTTGGTATGGTATATACCGTATGTAGGGGCGCTCGAGAACAGAAAAGGAAAAGGAAAAGAAAAGAAAAAGAAGAGAGGCCCTGCAGAGTTGCAGCGCAGAGTTGCAACGAATCACAGAATCACAGAATTATTATCTGTTAATTATCGCGAATTTGATCCTGATCGGGCCTATATGCGACAAGGGAGAATTGGCGGCTCCGGGGGGAGGGGGGTCGCGAGCTGGCATTGTGTTTTCAGACTTTTGCCGGATTTCCCCTTTCCGCACCGCACACCCCCCCCAATTCCCGCGTCTTTCTTTCTGCAGCAACGAAGCACACACACAGACACTCGGACACTCAGACACACTCGGACACTCAGACACACTCGGACACTCAGACACACCACCACTGCTGCCGCTGCTCCGTTCACACACACACACATACGGCGCGCACAGACGTCTTTCGCACCATCACCCGGACCGATCCACCATCCCCCTTTCCCTTCCCTCCCCCCTCCCCTCCCTCGCTCTCTGCGCGAACGGCCGCCAACTTTTGTCCTACTACTACCACTACTACTTGCTACTACTACTCTACTAGGTCTCAGCAAATCGAAACTCAGCATCGGACGCCCGCCCTTGCTTGACGGACGGTTACAGACCAAACCGGCCTACCCCATCCATCCCCATCCCCCCTCCCACCTCCACCCCCCTCCCTCCCCTCCCATCCAGCAAAAGTCACTGCCCACCGTACACGGCCGCCCACCCGCCAGTCGGTCTGGGCTCACTGTTCCTGGCGGAGAAGTCGGCCGGAGAAGAAGACCACGCTCGCAGAGCTTCCGCCGCTGCCCGCTACTGCTACCAATACTACTACTACGTATCGTCTGTGTGTGTGTGTGTGTGTGTGAACGGTGTGTGTGTGAGGGTGTGTGAGGGTGTGTGAGAGGGTGTGAAGGGTGTATCAACGGTGTGTGGTGTGTGTGGTGTGTGTGCTTTGGCTCTCACGCGGACAGACGGACAGACGGACGGACTCATGTCGTCTACAGCAGCTGCTGCTGCGGCTGCTGGTGTTGCGGCTGGTGCTGCTGGGGCTGGCTCGGCGACGGCGATGGCGGCGGCGGCGGATTCTAGGTGTGTGTGATTCTGTGGTTTTGGTCATAAAGTGGTTGTTTGGTTCCGGTATCTCCTGAAGTTCCTACCTATCCGTCGTCCGTACTCTACCACTCTTGAGAAGTACCTGCTCTACTACTATACCTGCTATACCTACTCTACCTACATAAGTTCTTGTGTTGTTGCAAACTTGTACGCGGCCGAGGGCGAATGAGATTGGCTTCATCGGTATTCTTGTATCCTGCAGCTGTCATCTCTCCCCCTCCACCCCCCCTCCCGTCTCCCCCCCCTCCCCCCCACACCCTCCATTCCTTTTGGTTCATATATCCTTTTTGTTCGGTTCATCAATCCTCATACGATACCTATCCCATATCCTGCTTTGCCCGCTCGGTATCGTCCGCAAGAGTGCCCGCTCCCGCCCCACCCCCATCCCCCATTCCTCCCCCCCACCCGCCGCCGCAGCAGCAGAAGCTACTAGCCCTGGCATATCCTTGATTCGAGCTGTGTGGCTCCCTACCACTCGCGGGAATAACTGGCAACTTCATCACCAATCATGAAGCCACCCGTGAGCGATAGCAGCCCACAGCCGGGATCGGATTCCCCACACACTACTGCGAGCGGCTGCCGCCAACTCCCAAGCTCCTTGATCGCCGGCGGCGGCGGTGGCGGTGGTGGTGTTGGTACCGGTGGTGGTGGTGGTGGTGGTGGTGGTGGTGTTGGTGGTGGTGTCGGTACCGGTGGTGGTGGTTGTGGTAGTGGTGGTGCTGCCGCTGCCGCTGCTGCTGGTGCCTGGAAGCTTTCTCTCCCTGCTCTCACAACCACTGCCATGTCTGCAATGTCAGACAAGTCTCGACCAGGGACTGCGAGTGCGAATCGTGATGCTACAGCATCCCCTCTGTCCGCGTCTCCTTCACCGTCCCCAATGTCGTCCCTCGCGAATGCACTTGCGATGAAGAAGCGTCTGTCCGACTCGATCACTGACAGTTGGAGCAGAAGGCGCCCGTCCTTACCGCAGGGTGCAACTCCGCCGACGATACTACCGGGTTCCTCTCGCTACAGCAAGGACGCTTCCAGTAATAGCAATGGGAGCTCCGTCGCCTCGAAATCGCGAAGCCGAGCGTCATCGGCGGCTACCCCTACAGCCGGCACTTACGCGCGAAGTCCCCCGTCGTTGAACTCGTCGCCGTCGCTGGCAACCATCGCGTCGGTGGCCAGCTCCAGCAGCGGTTCCAGCTACCGTGGCGGCCTGTCCCGAAGGGATTCGTATGATATCATGAGGGGCTACTCGCAACCCTCGCTAGCCAGCATACCGAGTCGCGGCGCGACGCCAGGAGAGGATTCGCCAACAATACCACGTGCTTTGGATCCTGTGCGGAACGTCTCGAGCCGGCCCATTGCTAACTTGGCCGACATACGGCAGGCGGAGGAAGATGGCTCTCTAGATTACCAGGGCGGCTTCTGGGAGGTGGCTGAGAACGTCGATCCTACCGTTCAGGCGGCTGCGGATGTCGGGATGAGGCGGGTGGGCCTGACGCGGAAAATCTCGGATTCCAGGAGGATAATGACGCCGGTGTTGGACAATCAGGATGAGGGAGGCGGGAGTGCTGCCGAATTGGAGGAGGGGGACGACCACGACGAGAGCACAGTGTTAGTGGCTACACCAAGGAACCGGGGATCGACACAGTCTGGCGCCCAATCGTCGACGTACGACATGTCGTCGGACGAGGAATCCACTTCGTCTTCGGTGGGAACGAAATCGACAATCGGTTCGACGCGGACGGGAGCTTCGTTCACGAACGCAAAAACAAGATCGTCAAGGGGCTCGGGATATCCGCATCTGGAATTGCAGACTACTTTTACGCGGCCGTCTACGGCCAACTCCATGGCGGTCGATCGGCAGGTATCCGCGTTGATGCGGCCTTCGAGCTCGACGGGGTATCTGTCGAGGACAATGAATGCTTCGCCGATGAAATCCGGCACACCTTCGGGCAAGGTGAGGTTGCTACCTGGGCTAGAGATCCCGGGATTGGAGGAGTCGGGTTCGCGCCTGTCATCTCTCGCGGGCAGATCCTCGTCGTCAACTTCATCGAGCCAGCATACATCTGCGGCGAGCAGTAGAGCACCCTCAACGAACATCAGCTCGGTGATCCGTTCGGACAGCAATTCGTCCACAACTAGCACTTCGACAAGTACGCAAACGGCAAGGACCAATACCCCATCCGCTCAGAGAAAGTTGGTTTCGTCGCGTGACCGGAATGCCATCCCAAGAGCGCCTGCTGCAGCGGCTTCGACTCTCAAGAGCAAATCCCGACACCCGCCCAGCCTCGAGCCGCCGATTCCGGACCCCGCCAGTGCGCCCAAAGTTGACCCTGCTCCAGCGAGCGGGATGTATTGGTATAAGGCGCCGACGCATGGCCTGGAACATAAACCGTTGCGCGCGCACACGTGTACGCTCGTAGGGAGTAATATCTATGTGTTTGGCGGGTGTGATCTGACCACGTGCTTCCATGACATGCACGTCTTCGACGCGGACTCCATGTCGTGGTCGAAACCCGAAGTGTGCGGCGACATACCGCCGCGGCTGCGCGCGATGACGTGTACCGCGGTCCGCAACAAGCTCGTCATATTTGGCGGCGGCGACGGCCCCATCTACTACAACGACATCTACGTCTTTGACACCACGACGTCACGATATACCAAGATCGAACTGGGCAAGGACGACGTCATGCCGTGTCCTCGCCGCGCCCACACCGCCTGCCTCTACAAGAACGGCATCTATGTGTTCGGCGGCGGAGACGGCGTCCGCGCGCTCAACGACGTGTGGCGCCTCGACGTCACCGACATCGGCAAGCCCAGCTGGCGCCAGGTCTCGCCCGCGCAGTCGACCACCCCTCCCTCCCACGACGGGAGCTCCTCGGTAGCGCCGGACCCCGTCCGCCCCAAGGCCCGCGGCTACCACACCGCAAACATGGTCGGCAGCAAGCTGATCATCTATGGCGGCTCCGATGGCGAGGAGTGCTTCAAGGACGTGTGGGTCTTTGATGTCGAGAAACTGCTGTGGAGCTGTGTGGAAATCAAGAAGAGCTTTTCGAGACTGAGCCACTCTGCGACCGTCATTGGGAGCTACCTGTTTGTTGTCGGGGGACACGATGGCGTCGAGTACTCGCATGAGGTGCTGCTGTTGAATCTGGGTATGTTCCTGTCGGGTCGGGTTGGGTTGGATTGGTTTGGATTGGATACTGACCGTGTGGTGCAGTAACGATGCAGTGGGATCGCCGCAGAGTCTACGGCATGCCGCCGAGCGGCCGGGGGTATCATTGCGCGGTTCCGTACGACTCAAGACTCTTCATCATTGGCGGCTTCGACGGGTACTTGTCCCCCCCCCTCCTCATAATGCACGGGAATACTAATAGATCCAGACACCGAGTCTTCAATGACACGTACATCCTCGAGCTCGCCGTCAGCAGCTACTACAGCCAGATCTCGCACTTTAGCGTGGTGGTTAGTCCTACTTGACCAGCGTTTTCCACCTTCTTCACCGACATCGACACCGCCACCGCCACCCCCATCGCTACACACTCACGATATCCACGAACTCACTTCAACTACTCATTGTATTCACTAGTCGGCGTGGGGGTTTCCATTCCATTTCTCATTTTTCTTAGTCCATAACTAGATCCGAAGCGCTCCTGGAGTCAAAAGTTCCCCTCTTCTCTCTTCCTCTTTTCTACTTTATTTGGGCTGGTTTGGTTAAGGGAGTGGTCTGTTTTTTGTTTTTGTTTACTTTGCCTTTTTGCCTTGCTTATGTTTCTTGGGCGTTTGCTGTTGCTGTTTGCTGTTTGCTGTGAGGGATACTGATACTTTATTGGGAGGGGGGGGTGCTGGCACTGGGAGGAGGAGGAGGAGGAGCGATGTTGGGGACTTGCTTATATTTGCTGAGGGTTGGAGACGAGGAGGGTTCTATTCTATTCTATTCTGATGTAGTGCTGGTGCTTAAACGTTATTAACCTTTTACTGAGATCTTACTCTTCCATTCAATTTCTATTCGGCTGGTTTATATGGTGGTGGTATCATGGTCGGTGTAGAAATGGGGTGTGAATGGGGTGGGATGGGATAGGATGGGATGGGAGAATGGGGTGGGAGAATGGAATAGATTTGACTTGACTTGACTTGATGTGACTTGACGTGACTTTACTTGACTTGACCAGTGTTCGACATAGGTAGTCCGGTCGGGACTACAGTCCGGACTCCGGACTGGACGGTCTGCCAAGATCTGTCGGACGGACTGCCGAATAGTAGTCCGTCCCGTCCATGGATTCCAAGGACTGGAGGGGACTGCAGTCGGTCCTGACCTCTAAACATTTTGGACTACATATGTAGTCCGTCCGAACACCGCTCCCGGACGGACGGCTGCCGAGATAGGTACAGTCCGGTCCGAGATACAGTCCGGTCCGAGATACAGTCCGGTCCGAGATACAGTCCGGTCCGAGATACAGTCCGGTCCGAGATACAGTCCGGTCCGAGATACAGTCCGGTCCGAGATACAGTCCGGTCCGAGATACAGTCCGGTCCGAGATACAGTCCGGTCCGAGATACAGTCCGGTCCGAGATACAGTCCGGTCCGAGATACAGTCCGGTCCGAGATACAGTCCGGTCCGAGATACAGTCCGGTCCGAGATACAGTCCGGTCCGAGATACAGTCCGGTCCAGTCAAAGGCCCAGGACGGATGGACTGGACTAGGTATGTAGAACACTGGTTCAGTTCTGATAGTCCAGTTCTCATTGTCTAGTTCTCACAGAGTAAAGTACAGTCTAGTTCTCACAATCCTGTCCAGTCCGGTTCTCATAGTATGGTTCTTGTATAGTAGATACGGTTCTGATACAGTACGGTTCTCACATGTACCATACAATCCCGTTCTCTCCCCGTTCCCCCCGTTCCCTCCAGCCCATCCAGCCCGTCTATCTAGGTATCTAGTACCCGTGCTCTCCAAGCCACTTCTCAACCTCGCGCGCATCCCTCTCGACATACGCCGCATTCCCCCTAATATTATCCTTCACGACGCCCAAGCCCTTATCATATCCAGTATTATCCTTCTTTCTAAAGAACTCCTCGATCTCGCTTAACACCTCTCGGTTCGCAAACTTATTCAGCGAGTTCTTCAGAAACCTGTCCAGGACGACCATATTCCCGCTGAGCTGCTTATACACCTCGTCCCAGTTCTCTTGTATGAACCGCCACAGCGCCCCGCGCGCCTCAGAGTTGTTCGACAGCGCGATCGCGGGCGTGTGCTTGTCCTGCACCTTGACTTTGTCCGACAGCGTGAACTCGAGGACTTGGCGGATCAGCGCCGGTTCCCGCACGCGCCCGAGGGAGGAGAGACAGATCTCCTGTCCGTCGATGGCCGCAGTGCGCGCGTACTCCGCCAGCACTGCAGTGACGGCGACGGCGCCGCCGGTGCCCACCGCGGTCCGGAAGATTGCGAGGCGAAGGGACGGGTGCACCAAGGATGTGTCGCCCGAGGTGTAGGCGGCGAAGCGCCGCTGCGCTTCGGCTATGACGGCGGCGTGTCCGCATGTGCCCGCCGTGGAGAGGAGCAGGGCCCGCAGGCGCCCCGTCAGGAAGTCCTCGCCTGCGCTGAACTCCCAGCCCAGTTTGGCGACGGTCGGAGAGATCAGCGATAGGGTGAATTGTGTGAGGCCGTCGCGGATACGGGGGGAGGACTCGGCGAATAGGCTGCGTAGCTTGTTGAGCTGTGAGAGGATCTCGGACCACACTTGGTAGGACTGCTCGTCCGACAAAGCGTGCAGGAAGCTGAGTAGCCCTGCGGTGCTGCCCGCGCCGGAGAAGGCCATTGCTGCGGCGTCGGCGATGAGCCCAACGCGGTCGGAGACGGAGAGCGTGTGCCGGTCCGCGCCGAGCTGGGTCAGCCGCGAGGAGGGGTAGTTGACGCGGTAGAAGCCGTTCTGGCCGTGGTTGAGCTTGTAGTGCGATGTGTTGAGGTTCTTGATGGTGGATTCTTTGGCTGTGAGCGCGGCTACCTTTTCGGCCGAAGAGGTGTACGCTTCATCGTTCAGGAAGAGCGGGATCCACCAGGTGGTGCTGTCTTCCTCCGGCTTGACGTCGCCGGTGCTCAGGAACCGGCTCTGCTTGACCGTGATCTGTCCGGGCGCTTCGGTCACGGTGAGCACGGGGAATCCAATCGTCTTGATCCAGTTGCGCTGCAGAAACACTTAGCACGGAACAACTCGGTAGTGACCAAGTGACAAACCATGAACCCAGCCACGTCGGCACCTGCCTCCTCTCCCAGAGCTGTCCAGAGATCTTCGGTAGTAGCGTTTCCATAGGCGTGCTTCTTGAGGTAGTTGGAAACGCCGTTCAAGAACGTCTCCACACCGAGGTGACTACTGAGCATACGAATAGTGCTGCAGCCCTGTATTCTAATCAGCCACCTTCAACATCACCTCAACACCACCCGGTCATACCTTGAGATAACTGATATGATCGAAGATCTGATCAATCTCGAGCGCACTGCGCACCTCGACCTCGATCGGGTGGCTTCCACGCAAGCCGTCGAGCTGGAACGCTGTTTGAAGGGATTCAGTCTGAGGATGTGATCGTCAGTTGGGGAATCATGAGCGCGTGCCTCTGGATTGTCGACTCACGACAAACTGGCCCCACACGTCCCATTCTGGGTGAAATTTGTCGGTAGCCAACCTGCAAAGAATGAGTATCCGAAGCATTGGTAGGGCTGTGTGTTGGGCACATACCATCCGACCCAGGTTGCGAATCCCTCGTTCAGCCACAGCTCCGACCACCAGTCCATCGTCACCAGGTTTCCGAACCACTGGTGGGCTAGCTCGTGCGCCACGACTACGCTCTGTCAGCTCGGATGTCCGGATGCCTGATTGGTGTTTACTAACCGTAGGCAACCCTCGTCTTGTAGCGAGCATCCGAGGTCTTCTCGTCGAACAGAACAGCGGTCGTTCTGTATGTGATCAGACCCCAATTTTCCATCTTCGTCCCGGTTAGCATGGACCTCAACTTTCGAGTCGGATTGGGTCAACCTACAGCACCGTGTGACTAACAAACCGAGTGTCAGCAATGGAATATATGGCGGGGTTGGTAGGGACTTATAATTACAAATTCATGAACAGCCAACAGGTCGACCTTTGGGAGGGGATAGTCGATTTTGAAGATCTACAGTCGTTAATCCCATTCCAATGCCTACGGGCGTGAACACTACCTCCGAGAAGTAATCGACAATCTTGCAGGCGTTCTCGAGGGCGAAGCGGCCCTGCTCGGCGAGCCCCTTGGTGGTGTAAACCCTGACGGGCAGCTTCCCGCGGCCTTCATACTCCCTCTCGGTGAACGACTCGACATACTCAAACTCGCCGCACGCCCAGGCATAGAGGTACGTGCTCATCTTCGGCGCGGTGACGAACGTGACCTTCTTCAGTCCATTGCCCAGGTCCTTACTCTCCTTCTCGGGCTGGTTCGACAGAGCGGTGTAGCTCTCGGGGATTTCGATCGAGAAGTCAAACGTTGCCTTGAGGTTCGGCTCGTCGAAGCAGGGGAACGCCCTGCGCGCATCGCACGACTCGAACTGCGTCGAGTACATCCAGTCGTCCTTTCCACCGTTCTTGTACGCGCTGCGGTAGAAGCCGGCCATCTCGTGGTTCAGTGCGCCGGAGAACTTGATGGTGAAGGATGCGGTCCCCTCGTTCGGGATCTCCTCCGCCAGCGTGAGCTGTGCTATCTCCGTCTTCTTGTCATAGCTGATGTCGGTGACGGCGACGGTGGACTTGCTGCTGTCGAGGTACACGCTGCCAGAGTGCAGTGTCAGCTGCTTCGAGTTGATCGAGATCGTGCGCGTGGCTTGCTTCAGCTCGAGCGAGATCGTGACCGTTCCGTCGTAGGTGAAGCTCGAGCGGTCGAGGTTCGTGAGGTCGAGCCCGTAGTGGGTTGGCTTTACGCTGCAGACAGTCAATCTCTATGCATTTGGGCGGTATCAGATGCACATACTGCGAGGGGAGGATATCTCTGTCGGAAGCCATGGTTGATACGATGAATTGATGGTGTTTGATTGAAACACTATCGCCGTTCGCGGGGTAGTTTTATGTTCAGGCTGACGTAGGACAAAAGGTGGGGAACGCGCAGTCCGGTGGTAGCCGTTACGATCGCCCGCGCACGCTCACTGAAAACTACACTCCACACGAGAGAGGCAAGACTACAGTTTAGATCCTCATAAAGTGTTCGAAAATTCCAAGTTGTTCCAGTTGCTGTTTTGGAGCTGTTTTTGGAGCTGTATAGCGGCACGTGATCAGTCGCGTATTCGAAAGACGCGAACCCTCAACCACTCTACTCTAAAGTGCCTACACCGCTTTCCCTTATACACACAAACCACTATACAGCAGCGAGCCACCACCCCTTCACCCTCCCACCTCCACCACCACCACCACACATATACGCGCATCCCATCTAATATACGCGTGCACCACACAACATGAATTCGTCACTACCATTGATCACGCCCAGAGACGTACGCTTCCCCCTCTTCCCGCGCACAAATTCACGACCGCCAGCTAACACCCGTCCTCCACCTAGTCGCACACACTCTGGTACACGCCGTCGTCGAACCACATCTACTACCCGCCACCGCCCGCCTACACGCAGTACTCCGGCGGGACCTCCGGCTCACCTCACAACAACGCCTCACAGTCCGGCGGGTCCGGCCAGAACCAGCGGGGCGCACCACGGAGCACGCGGCTCTCGGTCCTGGAGCAGCTCGAAGCCGACGAGCAGAATGTCGCGATGCGGAAGCTGGGCATCCAGCGCTTCGGCGCGACGTGGATAAAGCCGCCGGGAATGTTGAAGACGCTGCAGGGAGAGCTGGATGAGAAGGCCGAGCGGGAGGAGGCGGAGGCCCAGGAGCTGCTGGAACAGGACGTCGAGATCCCTTCTGCCTTCGATGAGGACCCAGATGTCATGCATGAGATCACGGATCTGGATGCGAATGTCCCTGAGGGAAGCATTTCGGATCTGGAGGGCGCGGTGCCGGGCGATAGTGAGGATGATTCGTTCATGGGCGTGGTTGTGGGCGGTGAACAGGACGGGGAGGAGGAGGAAGAGGAGGGGGATGGTGGTGAGGTGGATCTGGATGATGATGTCCCTGAGGCCGAGGGGGGTTCGTATTCTGATGAGGATGAGGACGAAGAGGAGGAGGAGGAGGAGGATGATGAGGAGGAGGATGGCGATGAGGATGAGGAGGAGGAGGAGGAGGGCGCGCACGTGTCTACTGCCCATGAAGCACCCTCGGGCTCATCCCGTCCTGGCTCGGAGGAAGTCGGCGCACCCGACGAGAGCCCGCTCCAGGCTGCATTCTCGCACGACGAATGCTATCCCGACGAGAGGCGACAGCGCGCGAGACAGGACTACAACTGGAGGGGAAACTCTCGGTATAGACGCGAGACTACCGACAGTATGGAGGTGGACAGCGAATAAGCAAAAAAAAAAAGAGGTGGAGCTTTTGTTGTTGGTTCTCGGGAGCAGATTACCTGTAACCTACTCGGCGTTTGTGCCTATTTTCTTCACTTCGCTTCTAGTTACCCAATAATTACTTGGTTGTGGCGTTTCAATGATAAAGCTCCGATCCGGTTCGGCTCGGTTCGGTGTTTTGTACCTATTTTGAAGATCGTGGAATTGACATTGCACACAGACGAGCAAGAAACGGTGACTTCAAGGCAACGCGAGGCGAAATTCCTATGCGGATATAAGCCCAGACCACCAGCCGTTCCCTCCTCGCCATAATGGATAAATGACCTCGCGAGAAAAAGCCATGGATGCGGTTGTCACCACCCCACCGCTGCGGACTCTCGTCATGTCCATGCACCGGGACGGGGATATATAGCCCCCCCTCCAGCACCAGCATCCTCTCCCGCCAGCCAGCAGCAATGAATCCTACCACTCTACTGCTACTTGCGGCACCAGCCCTGGGCTGGGTCGTCCCGGACGACGCCATGGCTCAGCGCATCTCACTCTCCTTCCAGTCCCCGGCTCAGCTCGATATCCAGCAGATTTTTAACGCTTTCACGGAGCGCCTCGAGAGCAGGCTTGACGAGCTTGAGGGCACGACGCTGCTTACTGCCTTCGCAAGGAAGGATTCGGACGACGTTAAGGTGTTGGATAAGCAGAGTGGAGAGCGGGATGATGTCGGCGTGATCGATCAGGTTTACGAAAAGTATCTGGATCAGAAGGATGAAGCGTGGGAGGTAGGTGATGATCTGGAGTATCGCGGTGTCGAGGAGTGGGTGAAGTATTTTGGAATGGATACGGAGGATGGAGAGATGCTGGAGGTGGAGCACCATAAGAAGAAGGACCACGATCATGAAGGCAAGCATCACGGTGGGAAGGACCACGATCACGACGGCAAGCACCATGGTAGGAAGGACCACGACCACGACGGCAAGCATCACGGTGGAAAGGACCATGATCACGATGGCAAGCATCACGGTGGAAAGGACCATGATCATGAAGGCAAAAACCACCACGGTGACGACCATAAAGGCAAACACGGCGACGACCACAAGGGCAAGCACGGCGACGACCACAAAGGCAAACACGGCCACGACGGGGACCACGAGCACTCACCGTACGTACCTCCATCCCGCGAATGCACCAAACTGACGCCATACAGCCACGACGAAGACCCGCCCTACTCGGGGCCACCCAAGCACCGTCCCCACATGCCTCCGCGAGACCACACCGGGCCACACACTAACAGCACACTGTGGGACCTAATCTCGAGCTCCAAGCACACGACGCGGTTCGCGTCACTGCTGAAGAAAGACTCGTCTTTGCAGTCTTTGCTCTCCTCGAAATCCAGCAACATCACCGTCTTCGCACCGAGCAACCACGCCATCTCCACACTCGAAAAGCACCTCAAGAAGGGCCACGGGGACAAGGACGTTCCACCAGACGTCCTCCACCGCGTGCTATCGTACCATATCGCGAATGGCACGCATCGCTCGCAGGATCTGCGCTACCATAACACACTCATCACTCGCCTCCCAGATGCGGACCTGGGTGAGGGCATGGACCAGCGCGTCAGGATCGGGCTGAACCATAAAGGCCCGTCGCTGAACTTTTACAGCCAGTTCACCATGTTCGACATCGTGGGCCCCCCCCCCCCCCCACTTTCTCCTTTGCCCTCGTATATATCCGCCCAGTACTAACCCCCCACCCCGCAGTTCGCACAGAACGGCGTCGTGCACGGCATCGACGCGGTACTCCTTCCGCCGCCGGACATCAGCACTCTGATCTCCTTGTTGCCGACGGCCTTCAGCACGAGCGAAGCGGCTTTGTCGCGAACCGGTCTACTCGACACACTCCCCAAGCTCTCCGGCTCAGGGCTGACCGTGTTCCTCCCGTCAAACTGCGCATGGTCCAAGTTGGGCTACAAGCTGAACGGCTTCCTGTTCTCGCGGTGCGGCGAGAAGTATCTGCGCGCGATAATGAAGTACCACATCGTCGTGGGCCGCACGCTCTACTCTGACGCGCTGGATGTCCCACAGAATCAGAGGGCAAGTAATGAACTCGATGATCCCGCCGGTCTGTTGCATGGCTATGTTCATGTAGACCTCCCGACGCTGCTAAAGGATAGACACCTGAGTGTCGATATTACGAGACTGGAGAGGTTCCTGAGTTTTAGGGTTAATGGGTTGAACTCGATTGGTACTCACCCCCCTCCCCCCCTCTCCCAGCTAATAGGTGGGTGAATGCTGACGCGCATAGTCGTATCCGATGGCCTCGCGAAATCCGGCGTCATCCAGGTGCCGGACCACGTCTTGATCCCGCCGCATAGTCTTGGTGAGCACCGGGATCCGCCGGAGGAGGTGGAGGCGGAGGAAGATGAAGAGGAGGAGGACGAGGAGGCGGAGGAGGGAACGTACTCGATCTCGCAACTGAAGAGGATCCTGGCGCCGTACGTCGAGAATGAGCAGGAGCAGGAGTGGGAGCAGGAGCAGGAGCAGCAGCAAGAGAGCAGCAAGATGCTGTGGGGCGCGGAGCGGGAGTGGGAGGGCTTGTAAGCTTGTGGGCTTGTGGGCTTGTGGGCTTGTGGGCTTGTGGGCTTGTGGGCTTGTGGGCTTGTGGGCTTGTGGGCTTGTGGGCTTGTATGATAGGCTGGGTAGGGAGTGGATGTGGATGTAGATGTGGATGTAGATGGGGGATGTGGATGTGGATGGGTGTACGTGGATGTACGTGTAGACGTACGTGTATTATATGTGAGATATGTATGTAAGATATTGACGACGGGAGTACTTCCTACCTCCTGCCTCCTACCTCCTTCACCGGAGTGGAGGGGAGTGGAGGGGAGTGGGGGGGGGTACGACAAAAATAAATAAAATGCTTGGTTTGGAGAGCATGGTGGTATACGGATTGAACTCGAGGGTATCGTGAGATCGTGCGATATATCTGCTGGGAGGTAGTGGGAGGTGCTGGGAGGTAGTGATAACAACCCGAGGAGGAGGAGCAGGCAGTGTTCTACATACCGGTAGTCCGGTCGGGACTGCAGTCCGACCCTTCGGACGAACTGCCGAAAAGTAGTCCGTCCCGTCCCGTCCATGGATTACGAGGATTACGAGGACTACAGTCGGTCCTCACCTCCGAACATTTTGGACTACCTAGTCCGTCCGAATACCGCTCCCGGACGGACTGCCGAGATACAGTCCAGTCCAGCCCGTCCAGTCCAGTCCGGTCCGGTCCGAGGCCCAGGACGGGCGGACTGGACGGACGGTCTGGACTATGTATGTATGTATGTAGAACACTGGGTGCAGAAGGAGGAGGAGAGGAAATTGTGATCGATGCCGTTGCAGATGCTGTTTCCACCGTCGTAGTTGTCAGTCCCAGCACATATACCGGTATACGGGTGGATGAAACTTTGAGCACCACGCTGAGCCGGCTATGGATGCGGACACATTAACCTGAAGGCGATAACCATTAGGTATTCCGCTGTTTTGTATTGTACACCACATACCGTACGGGAATACCGCACATCAAGACCACAGGACTTCCCAATCTTCAAGTCGCGCACACTCGAGCCGTCCGCATCCATAAGGTAACCCATTACCCACTTTTCATATCCATTCAGTGGGAAGGAGCATCGTCAGTAGGTACATTATGTAGTCAGTATAGTACATCCACGGTCTACCAACCACACCACCACCACACTGCCACACCGCCAACTCCACCAACTCCACTCCAGCCCGAACCTCAAGGTCCTCAAGTTAAACACCATAAACACCACCCATTATCCATAGGCACTTCGCCATTCCTCTCCATTCTCTCCATTCGTATGATAAGCTATGATATGATATGTACGTAACCCCCGCCATCCCCGCCATCCCCGCCATCCTCGCCAACCATCCAACCATCCATCCATAATGTGTAGCCCCATAGCCCCATCTCTCAAGAAACATCTCCCAAGTTCGCACAGCACGGTGGATCACCCGCAATCACGCACAGCCAACGAAAGAAGGGAAAAAACAGCAGCCGCCCATCACACATCCCATCCCATCCCATCCCATAAAGGCAAGGCAGCAAGGCAAGAAAGACAAGGCAAGAAAGGCAAGAAAGACAAAGGATAAGTAAGTAAGTACATAAGCAAGTACATAAGCAAGCAGAAAGATACATAGAGCAGAAGGATAACCAGCAGAAGGATAACCAGCAGCAGCAAGCAAGCAGCAGTAAGCAGTAAGCAGTAACATCCCGCGTATTCCCCAAACCCGATAAAACCCCGGAAAGACTAGACAACAACAAAAAACTAGAAAGCACACCTGAAGAGGGAAAAAAACATATCAGAAGAAGAAGAAGCAGCAGAAGCACAATAAATGGGTGCAGATACTATACATACAAGATGAGACAACACAGAATGCAACACAGAATGCAACACAGAATGCAATGCAGTAGTAGACTAGTAGTAGACTAGTAGTAGTAGTAGTAGTAGTAGTAGTAGTAGTGCAAATCAAACGCCCGATGTCAATGCTATGCGAAACAAAGCCCTCCCAGCACACAAACTGCCGTTTCCGTTTCCGGGTATCCTCCCCTCCTACGCCATCTGCGGCTCGGGGCACACTAGCTTATCGCGTTCCTCCTTCTCTGCGCGATCCCTTGCCAGCCTTGCAAGAGCCGCCGAAATATCCGACACCGGGGCGGAACCCGGGCCAGCAGCAGGCGATTTGCCGGCGGCGTTCGTGAGCGTGGGAGTGAGAGCTGAACCTGCCTGCGGTGGAGATGGAGGCGGGGGTGCGTGTTGCTGTTGCTGTTGCTGTTGAGGGGGTGGAATGATGAACCCACTGGACTGCGGCATGGGGCTCGAGTGGTATAGCTGGGGCTGAGGTAGCGGCGCGTGGGAATAGTATTGCTGCTGTGTCGGCGGCGGCGGCGCCATCGAGACGGACGGACTGTATCTTGGCTGCTGCTGGGAGGGATGCTGCTGCGAGGGATGCTGCTGCGAGGGATGCTGTGGGAACGGGCGATGCTGCATGACAGGCGTGATCGGCGAGTAGCTCTGCGGCCGCGTGGGGGAATGCGCCTGTGGTGGTTCTCCTCCAAACATCTGTTTCAGCGGAAAACTCATTGACGATGAACGCTCTGCAGAGGAGGCCGGAGGCGAGTAGTCATGGTTGAAATGCGGCGAGGATTGCATGGAATGGACGGGAGTGGCCTGCGGTGACATTGGAGCCATCTGACGGTACTGGTTCTGGGGGCCAGGGCCAGGGCCGTATCCGATCAACTGGTGGTTGTAGTACTGCGGCCCGTATCCCGGCGGCAGACTCATGGTGTATCCCGGTGCCTGGACGACATGTACTGACGACTGGCGATACGTCTTTCTTGGTGGGGGCTTCGGCGGGACAAAGCTGGATGCCGGATTGTGCACTCGCTTGGCAGGATCGTCGGTGTACTTCGGTATGTACTCCGTAGACTTCTCGCCCAGGTAATGCCACCAGAACTTCACCGGCTCTTGCTCGGTGTTAACGAGGCCCTCTCCGACCACCAGCTCGCCCCACGTGTATCCAGAGCCCAACTCTCCAAACGGCACATCTGCTTCCAGAATATCTTTCTGGGCCACCTTTGGTTTCCTCTTCGGATAGCTGGGGTTGGGATACATAGGTGCCGTAACGGTGGCATCGGGGAAATCCGTTTGCGACGAATCCTGGGCGAGGATCCATTTCCATTCGACTTCCAGGATGTCTCTGCAGCTGCCAGTCAGCAAATGTACGCAGGGAAGCTAGATGAGAAGAAGAAGAAGAAATACCCTCTCGGCAAAATCTGCACCAGCACGGTTCCCTCCTGGACACGGTTCTCACGGACAACACCAGCAAATATTTCGGTGTGGCCCCCAAGATACTGCATCTGTATGACATCGCCCTTGATCAACGCGGCCGAGTAAGTGCGCACCAACGGGTCGTTCTCCAACGCTTCCGCATCAATATCCTTTGGTCGCTTGGAACGGTGGACTTTGCACCGGTAATCGATATTTGTCTGCGAGTATTGCTTACCGTCCTCGCCGGTAACCTGTACGTCCACCATGTTGACCAAAACACCTGCAGCGGCGGCGCACGTGGCATGGTACGCGCGTGTGCACTTCTTGGCTGAACACTGGAAGCAGGAACCCTTCTTCTGGCGACAGAACATGCACTTCAGTTCAAGTCTTGCCTTAGGGATCTCTTCGGTGTTCGCAACGAGTTCCTTCTCGCGAGCATCGTCCCACTTGAAGTATGTCTCGGGTGTGTAGAGGGCACATAGTCTATGCATCGTTAGTCATCTGATTTGTACTAAGGGTCTCACAGCGTACTTATGTGCATGGGCTCCATTATCTGTTTCTAGTAAAGGCTCAGACGGTATATCATTTGGACAAAGAACACACTACAATATAGCAACAGTAATTTAGCAAGTTATCATCAAAGCCATTTCCAGATCACCACATCAAAGTGGAAACAACGACGTACCGGCTCTCTGACAGGAGTCTTTGCAGGTTTTCTGGGTTTCTTGGCGATAGTGATGGTAGTACCATCCTCGGCCTTTCGCTTTCTCGGCCTACCGCGCTTCGGCTTTCCATCGACGCTTTCCGGAGGTGTGGGGAAATCACCAGGCTTCTCAATCTCCTTACCCTCCTCATCATAATATCCGTATTCAACCTCGTCATCGTCATCAAACTCGTCATCCGTCGGAAGGCCGGCCAGCTTGCGTTCAATCTCATCGATATCAACAAACACCGAATCGTCAACGCACTCGCACTTCTTCGCGTCACGTCCAAACTTGAGCCATGAGCTAGTCGCAAAGTTAACACTCTCGGCGCAGTTGTATCCTAGGTTGTATCCGGAATGGTAACCGAATGGGAACGTGATCACAAACTCGCCCTGGCGGTGAACTAGTTTATTAACTTTGATGCCATGCTGTGACAACAGGGCTGGTGAAACCAGAAAGGTTTTATGACGGAGGAATTCCGAGCACTTCTTAGCTTCATTCGGCCAGATGCCTATCGAACCAACGTTAGCTACACTGGAGAGGCTTTGTGTGGGGGGCATACTCTTCATGACTTGCTCAAACTTCGCCTTGTCTTCGCTGGAGATGGAATACCATTGTTTGGGCGCACCAAAGTGGATGTAATTGATGCTGTACAAGTCCATATCCTCCAGGTGCCACGAGAACGTGCTCTTCCACATCCCGAGGTACAGGTACGCCGTGTTGACACCCGGCAGCTTCTTGCCCAAACAGTCCAGCAGGTTCTCGAGCTTCGCGACGTTCCACGAAGTAGTGCGCTCGTCGAACAAGCTGCCGGGCATGTCGGCACCGTAGAGCGGGCTGTTATAGGTCAATGTTCTCCAGTAGGCCTTCTCCAGCTCAGCACAGCGCTCGGCAGTGAATTGGTCAACATCCGATATGCGGTAGTCGAAACCTTCGTAAGCGATGTCATCGGCAAGTTCCCTTTCCTCGGCTCGTTCCTTGGCTGTCTTGCGGCGAGGAGCAGCCTTCCTTGGCTGACGACCGCCGGGCGCGTCGGCTTCTAGGCCGGGGGTCTCCTGCGTGCGATCCCTATGACGGGGTTGCCTTCCGCCCACTGGTTCCGGTGTAGCGTCCTCCACCTTGTCGACGGGAGACTCGGGGGTGGGAGGGTTGGTCTTTCCCGACGACGCCTCATCCGGATCCTCCTCAGCCTTAACCTCTTCCTTGACCGTGCTCTTCCGTGTCCTTGTATTCCTCTTGACCGCCGGCTGTGTCTGTCCCTTCCTGCGTTCACCACGTCTCGCCGGCGGCTGATGATCGCTACCCTCACAGAGGCTTCGCCACTCGGGGAGATTGTACGTTCGCTGCTTCTGGACATTCGTCTGCCGGTATTCGCCCGAGCTTCCGGCAATGTGTTGCTCAATGGGGTTTTTGATCTTGATGTCGCGGACCTTTTCGTCGAGCGGCGGTAGCGAGTCATGCCTAGTGAACAGTGCCAGACCGAGCATCAGCGACATCACACACACACAGCAGACGCAACACAACCGACACGGGGGACGCTTGGATAATCCACATACCATTCCTTCGGAGGGACGATCTTGACAATCCCCGACCCCATTCCGTAGTGGTTGATGTTGTCGACGAACTTCTTGAAGCTTCTGAACTGGTCCATTGTCTATTCCCGGGGTCAGCACAACACGCCGGAGTGTGCCACCACCACCGAAACCCGAAGCTTCCACACACACACACACACACAAAAATAACAAGAGCAGTAGCAGTGGCAGAGCAGCGGTAACCTACAGGAGTAAAGACGGGAATCCTCGTTCCCTCAGAGTAATACGCGGGCAGTATCTCCTCCTCCTCCTCTTCCTCCTCCTCTATTTCCTTCTCCTCCGCGCCCTCCGTGTCCGCATCAACAAACTTCAAGAACTGGCCGGTATCGGCCATTGGCGGTGGTACGACAATCTCGAACTTTGCCGGCTCCACCGCCGCCGGCTCCACCGCCGCCGACTCCACCGCCGCCGGCGTCGCCGCCGCTGCCGAAGCCATTCGACGAAGCGAAAGCGAAAGCGCTGGGTCGCTGGGTCGCTGGGTGGTCGCGGTAGGATACGGGTTGTAATATTTTCCTTCTGCAATCGTTCGTTCGTCCGTGCTTTCGTTCGTTTTCGCTAATCGTTCGTTCGTTCGTCCGTTCGTTTTCGGTGGTCGTTGCTCCGCCGCCGCGCTGTTTTGGTGGTGGGTGTGGGCGTTACGGTTGCGGTTGTATCTAGGTAGAGTAGAGTAGTCGCAGTTTCCCGCGCAGTTGCGCAGCTGCTGCGATCGGAATTCGGCGCGAACGGATGGACGAACGAACGAGCGAGCTCCTTAGCGCGCTAGGGCGTGGATCGGTGGGGAGGAAGGGAAGGGAAGGGGAGGAAACGGAAGGGAATGGAATGAAGAGATTGGATTGGTGGAGAGGGTATGTACAGGTGAAGTCGGAGGTAAGTGGAGGTGATTCTCTAAGCTGTGCCGTTCTGCGTGGAGGGGAGGAGGGGGGGAGTAGTTGGACTTGTGGGGGGGGGGGGCTGCTTTCGTGTGTCTCGCTCTCTCTCGCGCGCTCTCTTCTGTCTCTGTCTCTGTGTGTCTCTGTCTCTCCGTCTCCGCTCGCTGTGGTCAGGTCAGTGGTTGCTGCTTAACCCGTGCCAAGCCGGCGCTCAGCAACGCGGAAGGAGGATAGCGTTGCTTTTCAAGGCATCATCCGATTTTGCGGAAAGCCACGAAACATGGCATTTCGGGGGGTCGAAGTCGAAAGTGGTCGTCGTCGATGGCAGGTCATCGCCGTCATCGCTGTCTGTATAGGAATGGGCATGGGGGAGATATCACTCTCCCACTCACTCAATCAATCAATCAATCAATCCATCAACCAATTACTCAATCAATCAATCAATCAGTCACTCAATCTCTCAATCTCTTGCCAGCCAGTCAACCAACCAGCCAGCTACAGTCTAAAATCTACAATAACCTTCCAACCTTCCCCGCATATCCCCCACCGACCCAACCTACCAGTGACCACACACAGAGCCCCATCAGGCGCATCGGAACCATCTCCGCTGCTGCCCAGCTGCCCCTGAAGGCTGATCCAATGGCACGTCTCCTACATACTGGCAGCAGTCAGTTTGTATGCAGGAACCCGGATCGGCGTGCGGCGTGCGCAACAAAGATTCAGGATAGATAGCTTCGACAACTTACAAGTCTCGCAGCGCAGCAACAGATGTGAGATTGCTTCCGTGCCAGTCAGGCTGTCAGAAAGCTTGTGTGCCCCATGTCAGCCCCCTCGTCGTTCCCCCCGTCGTCTCCCCCGCGCCAACTACGGTAACCCCCCTCCAATGTCCATCCTCCCCCGCACTGCGCCGCAGGCACTAGTCAGATAGATACATACCCGGAGATGCAGAACATCTGTGAATATCTACATTGATTGATTGACTGATTGTTCACAGCATTGAACCCTACGGTTATGGCCGATAGAGATATCCACAACACAACATTTTGACCAAGAAGTTCGACCACCAAATCCATGTATGTAGAAGTGACAGCCAAATCCCCCGGTCCTTGAAGAATATTCAAAAGCGAGCCTCCGAAGAAAGAGGCTCATGTTGTCGGTTTCTGCGCTGTAGCGGCGCGTCGTATATAAGGTATCTGTAGCCCTCCTCTTCTCCAAAAGGTACCCTCAACATAACCAACCAGTCTAGCGCACACTGCATGGTGCTCGAGAGTCGAGATGAATCGTCGTCTCGGGGTTTGCGTCTCGGGGTTTGCGTATCTATCTGTCAAGGCCGGGACCCGATGAATATCCAGCAGCGAAGATATTTGGATCGAAGATATTTGGATCGAAGATATTTGGATCGAAGATATTTGGATCGAAGATATTTGGATCGAAGGTAGGAACCGTGGGATTGGCGAAATGCCAGTCGTCGTGGTCAACGTTGTCCTGCGCAAAGCGCTGAGCTCTCCTCCCCCGCCGTCGCCATATCGCCTGCTGAACTGGCTCTCCTATAGTAGTGTGATAATCTGTGAATACACAAACCGCCTCTCGAGAGCTGCAGAGCATGCAACGTGAGAAACGTTGATAGGTACTTGCATGATATGCCCGCCGCTACCGATAATGGTGCTATGTAAAGAACCTAGCCTACATGAAAAGAGTCGGGGACTCGGGGGAGTGGGAATCAAGACGAAGACAGAGATGAATATGAATATGAAGATATAGATGAAGACGAAGATGAAGCTGAAGATAAAGATATAGATGAAGACGAAGATGAAGATGAAGATGAATATAAAGATAAAGATATAGACGAAGACGAAGATGAAGATAAAGCTAAAGATGGCAAAGCCAAAAGATGAAACAGGAACACACCGGGAACCCCTCACTTTTTGCACCCTCCAAACCCTCCAAACACACACACATACACTCCAGCAAGCAGCAAGCAACTATGAGAGGCAACCAAACAAACCACCAACAAAAGTGCCGCACATACATAACAGCCTGGATGTTTACGAAGATAAGAAGAAAAGAAAGAAAAGAAAGAAAAGAAAGAAAGAAACAATGTAATTGCCCAGAAATCCAGATCCCGAGTATAGCATGCGTACACCAGAAGCACCAAAGGAGATCACTGAAAAAAACAGACTTGAAGAATGCCTCAGACGGAACAGATGCAAAACAAGAAATCAAACCCCTATTGTGTAGTATGCCAGAAGAAATTATCACAAAAACGAGATCTAATCCTCTCGTTTTTTACAAGCCTAATGCTCTCTGTCCCCCTCAAACCATACAGCGTTCCCGTTCAAACCGTACCGTAAACTCCAAAGCGTACCGAACCAGACACTACAGAACGAAACACAAAGGAGAAGAACATACAGTTAGTTTAGGTGGAGATGGGCTGGGATGGAGCGGCTGGGGTGGCAGCTGGCGCAGCAGTTGGGGCGGCAGCTGGGGCGGCGTCCTCCCTGTTGAAGTTCGCACGACGTCCTCTGTAGCCCCCACGTCCGCCGCGGTCGCCACGTCCACCGCGGAATTCACCACGCTCGCCACGGTCACCACGGTCGGGACGGTCACCACGCTCAGGGCGGTCACCACGCTCGAGGCGGTCACCACGCTCGGGGCGGTCACCACGCTCGGGGCGGTCACCACGCTCAGGACGGTTACCACGCTCAGGGCGGTCGCCACGGTCACCATGTTCGCCATGGTCACCACCTCTGTCGCCACGGAAACCACCCCTTCCACGGAAACCACCACGGAAACCATCGCCTCTTCCACGGTATCCTTCGCCCCTTCCACGGTATCCTTCTCCCCTGCCACGGTATCCACCACGACCGCCCCTTCCACGCTGCTTGCGTTCAACGTCTTGGAATTCGGTATTCTCCTTTGGCTCGCCGGAAGGTGCCGCCGGTGTGGTAGTCGGTTGCGCGGTATCGGCAGCCTCGTCGGAGACCTTTCCATCATCGGCCCAAGATAGAGAAGAAGCCTCCACGGGGGCAGCAAGATCAACCCAGCCGCTCTGGATCTCCTGAGATGAGTGCGGCTCTGAAGAGGTAGCAAGACCGGCAGCATTAGCCGCTTCGTCCCCGGTAGTTGTGGCCTCCGGAGCAGAAGGGGCAGCTTCTAGCTCAGCGCCGTCGGCGCTCGTCGGAAGCAGAATGGTGGCGCCAGCGTCCTCTTTTGGGGTGGGGTTGTCGCCAGAAGAGGCATCAACTTGGGTGGTGGTCGGCTCGATGACATCCGTGGCAGCGGCGGCTGGCTGTTCTTCGACCTCTTCTTCTTCGTCAATCTGGAGACTCATGGCGAGTTCCTTGATGCGGGCAACTGTGGCAGCGATGTCAGTACCAGGTACAAACAGCCGTTCCCACTACCAGGTTCGAAACTTACAGGAGAAGTGGTTGTCCTCCCCAACAAAATCGGTAGACGCTTCGGCCAACTTGAGGCAGGTATTCATGCCTTCACCGGAATACACGAGCACCAAGACATGCTCGATGGCCTCATCCTCCTCGACATTTCCACTCTTGAACGACCTCCTGTAGCCGGCTAATCTCAAGAACTTGAGCAAAGTGTCGACCTTGTGGTTGCCCTCTTCGGTTCCCTGCTTGAGACCTTCCTTCTTTGCTTGCTTGATGGCCCTCGTAATCCTGGCTTCGTAGAAGCGTTTCTGCTGTACCAAGCGGTCCTCGATCTGTTTGTCCTCAGCGTCGGCCAGTGACTTCAGCTTATCGTAAACCTCCAGGAGCTCCTTGTGCAAGGCCAAGGTGACGGGCTTGTCCTGGAGCTTCTTTCGTTCGTCGGCGTTGATCAATCTCGTGGTCGCCTGTTCGTCCTCAGGCAAGTCCTTGATCTTGTCCTCGGAGCGTTTGATGTTGTCCTGGATGGCATGTAAGAATCAATCGAACCAAACGGAATGTTACACAATCCAATCCTTCACTGAGTGTCACATACCAGCTTCTTCGCCTGTCGCTTGAGTCTCCTGTTGACGAAAATCCACATCAGCCATCTGCAGAACAAGTAGATGGAAGCAATCATGGTTGCCACAACCGTAACCTACCTAGCAACATCCTTGAGTGACTCTTTCTCGGGCTTCTCGCCCTTCGCGGCCGCTCCGGACTCTGAAGTTCCAGCAGGAGGGGTATCGGTGTTGGTGGCTTCAATTGGAGATGTCGGATCGGCAGTGGAGGAAGCATTCTCACCCTCGACGGAGGTCAGGGGAGCGGGCTTGGTAGCTTCGTCGACGGATTTCTTCTGGCCTCGTCGTCGCTTGCTGGCAGCCTTGTCGGAGGCCGGCGGGGCGGGGTTTGGTGTAGTGGACATGTGAGCGGTTTCTTCGTGGGAGCGAATCAGAATCCAGCAGAAGCAGCAACAGCAGCGGCCCCGCAAACAGCAGGGAGCTCTTCGGTGACGATGGAGAGGGAGGTTCTTACTAGACAAAATGGATTAAGAAGTGAATTGGTTTGGATAGGAGTGGGGTCGAATGTCGTGGGTGAAGAGGAGCGAGAGAGGGGAGATGAAGATGGAGGGGAATGAAATGAATTGAGGGAGGGGAGGGGAGAGTTTTGGGAGGATGGAGGTGGTGGGAGTTGCTGGTTGGATGGTTGTGTTGGCGGGCTCTGGCTTTGCGTCGTCAACGAAAGAGGTTAGACCCACTTTTCGACCCCTTGTGTCGCACAAACGCGGGGGAGCTTCAAACTTCAACTAACTAGCCTCAACACGTGACTATATAGGTTGGGGCTCCAATCATCGGTGTAGGGAGTTTGCTTCTCTCCAGACATGCAGGAAAGGAGTCCTCCAAACCTGCTGGACGGCTCCAGTTCTCTGGGGTTGATTTTCTGCTGGTGCAACCGGTCAGGGTGGCAAATTGAGCGGCGCAGCTGTCAAGCAATCAAAACCCGGGAACTGGAGCACACCGCGGAACCTGCATGAAAGCACCCGTCGTCGACAAGCTACATATATCTGTGCACCGTCGTTCTGTATCTTCAGGCGCTCCTCCCTGGGCCGTATCCAATTGACACACCAGCGAGTGGAAAGAGACTGCAGCTTGCCGCTCATCAACGCCAGCTCATGCGCGACATGACATGCATCCTAGCCACGGTTGCTGAAGCTCGTCTCGCCTTTTGCCTTTGTCCCGATGGTCTGCGGAAAACGCACAGCCCTCTTTGTTCATGACTTGTATTGCTTGAGTTGACGGAACACCGCTGCGGATACCCGCACCCACGCCAGCCATGTGTAGAGGTTGTTCTGTTGCGCTGACGAAACCTTAGGGACACCTCGATCGAGTGCTGCCAGATTACCTAGCCGGACATCAATGAATCAATCTTCGAGTTCTCCAGGCAGAAGCTTTCCGAAGCTCTGGTTCAACTCTTTTCTGATTTGATTCCAGCACTTTAATCAGTCTACAACTCTCGGCTATCTCAAAGTGACTGCGAGTGATCGACCATGTCCAGACACACCAGGCCGCTCGGCTCACAGGGAGAGCTCATCGCTGATCGAAGGGCTGACGACTCTCTCCGTTTGAAGCATCGTGGATTGGGCACCTGATCGTTTATTTCCTGATTGGGTTCCTTGAGGCTCGCTGCATCCATAAGAAGCTTTTGCCAGCCATTCCCTCCTTCTTTCTTTCTCATCCGACACCTCCACTCCCGTACCAACCACAACAAACAACCTCTCCCTCCCCCCCTCTCCCCACCTTCACCCTTCACATCACCTCCTCTACCTTCCCCATCTCCTACCGCCTTTCCCCAGCCTTCTCCCTTCTTGCTACTTACAAGCACATTTCCATCAAAACCAAAAAAAAAACCATCAAGATGCCTGTTGAGAAGGTGTATCCGGAGAGGATCCTGATCCCGCGTGATCAGGACGGAAACCTGCCTGACCGTGCGATGGTCCCCTACTTCAACATCCAGTTTCCCGACAATTACCCCGGCAACGGACTTGAGTACAGGCCGTACTTCGACACCAATCTTGGTAGGCTCTACTACACACCGAGATCCACCTACCCCACCACGGCAGTTGCCCTGGTCCCGCAGGCTCCTCTGTCCCCCTACGGACTCGGCGAGCTCCACTATTGGCCCCTGGAAGCCGATGGTCGTCCCGCCTTCCCTGCCCCGATCCCGGCCGCCGCCTTCGGCCACTACCATGCCGCCGGCCCCGAGCACCGTCCGGCCCCTCGGCCGTATCCGGTTGGCATCATCGCCGCACCTCCGCCTCTGCAGCCGCAGCCGCAGCCGCCGCAGCAGCCGGCTCCAGTCCGTCGATCCGCTCCTCCCCGTCCCGTCGCCATCGTCGCCAGACGCCCGCCCGCCACCTACCCGGGTGTTCGCTGGGTGACGCATTGTCCTGAGCCTGGAACTCCCGCGCCCCCTCGGCCCGCGCCCCAGCCCGAGGTCCCCGCCCATCTCGCCTGGGAGGACATGATGCAGCGTCGGCAGATCGCCAACGACGCCGAGGAGGACTACCGCCGCCTACGCCACCTGGCTGTCGAGAGCTGGGTAAGTGCTTTGTCTCTCTCCACCCATTCCCTCCGCTCCGCTCATCCCCCTAACAACCAAGTCAGGCCGAAAACCGCTATGGGAACCAGTAGCAGTAGGGGCAAATGCTCTCTGCGAAACCTCGAAAACTCGAAGATCTGATCCTTTCATTTCATCTGCTCTGTTCGGATCTGTCTTTGTATGTCAAGAACTTGTCCATCTGTTTGTCCATTTCCTTTTCCTTTTCCTTTTTTCTTTGTCGCAACGATACCACGACCTTCTTCCTCTACGACTACCTACCTGCCTACCTACAACGCCATCGTACGACCCTGTTTCTTTCACGACACAAATTCTTGCGGGTATCATTTCAACTTTCAACTTTCGGTTTCAGCTTCGGTTTTCGACATCCGCATGCATGCATCAATCATCATTCGGGTTTTCTTTTCATGTAGTTGGTTGGTAGCTGGAAGAAAAGGCATTTCCTTAGATTGTTTCATTTCGCCACTTTCTGGTTGAGGGCTTAGAGTCGGTTTCGTCTCTTTTCTTTTCTTTTCGGAGGATGCGTGGAAAGGTGTGGGAGGTGTTGCAGTTTTCTTGTACCTTCCTGAATGATAGCTGCGTGGCGATGATTGTGAATGATTGTGAATGATTGGTGTTGATGATTGTGTTTTTTTTTCCATACTGGTTCTGCTTCCGGTGTACTACCTAATGTTTACGACCGTAATTGATGATGATGATGATTATGATGAAGGTTTACACAGCGGTTTATGGCGGCCATGACTGGTTGTAGTAATGGCTTGTGAGAACTATCATCGTGGGCTGCAGATGTTGATACTCTCGGCCGGTCAAGATGATCAGGCCCTCGACAACGTCTTTCACACCTCTATCCCTGCAGTAGCCATCCAGGTATCTACCTACAAGGTATCTAATCACTATCCATCAAATCCGCCAACTCCGCCTCTTCCTCAGCGGTCATAACGCCCTCCTTCTTCTCCTCTACTTTCTCCTCGGGCTCCTCGCCCTCCCTCGCCTTCCGCGCCTCTTCCCGTGCCACCTCCAGATCCTTCGGCAAAAGCGACCACCGGCGGATCGTACAGTCGATTCCGGCCGAGATCAGCCACTCCCCGCGATCCCCCACTACCGCGAGCGCCACTACCTCGTCCGCGTGCCCCGTGAACGTGTGGTATAGCTCGCCGGACTGGTTGATTGATTAGCAGGTTGTAAACCTATGAGAAGAGTGGGGTGCTTACAACGACATCCCACACGCGCACCTCCTCATCTCTGCACGCGGTGACGACCCATCTACCATTGCCCGCCATGACCACATCATTGACATAGTCCGGGTGCTTGAGCACCGTATCCGTCCTTTCGCCCAGCTCCTTCAGCACCCTAACCTCCAACCGTCTCGCAGTGCCATCCGCCGAGGCGCCCCAGCAATCTGCGTCCTCGCCCAAGAACCTCAGTGCGTGCACACTCGTCTCAAACTCGCGTATCAAATCCTCATCCTCCTTCGCCCCCGCCGGATTCCGTACCGGGATCCTCCAGCGACGAATATCGCGCTCGCTCCCGCCGGCGAGCACCACCACCTCCTCCTCGCTACTAGCGACAGGATCCACCGCCATCGCGCCGACCGCGCGCGTATGCCCCTTCAGCGTCGCGATGCGCTGCCCGGTGCCCGCAGCCCAGATGATGATATTTGCGTCGCTGCTGCCGGAGAGCAGCAGGCCCGCGTCGCCCCCGCCCCCACCCCCGACGCCCTCGCCAGTGGGTAGGTATAGCAGACTCTTCACAAAATCCGCGTGGCCGACAAACGTCGCCAGCACCTTGCGCGAGCGCACATCCCACGCGATTATCTTCTTCTCCCAGGCGCCGGCGAAGAGGATGCGGCCCGTGGAGTTGAGGGCCAGGCACGTGCACGGCGTGCTGAAGCCGCGGTACAGTGCGGATTTCGTGTTCCCTGCCTCTAACGTCACCCGCCGGACGATCCCGCAGCTCTCGCCGATGAACACCGCGTCGAAGTCGGTGGGGTCCGCGAGAAGGCATAGGATCTTCGAGCTAGCGACGAGTGGGCGGCCGTTCTGGTTGTGCGCTTTGGCCAAGCGGCGGGAGATGGTCGCGAGGGATGTACTGGATCACGAGCGGGGGGGTTAGTGAGTGGATGCATGGATGGATGGGCGGATGGGATGGGAAGGATAGCACGACGAACGCGGTCTGGAAGAAGTGCCCTGGGTCAGCGGAGATGGACATGGTTGCGGAGGGAGGCGGATGGCGGGGGTGACGTGACGGGACGTGAAGGAGGGGTGGGCAAGGGGGTAGAGGGATGGGTAACCGCGTTAAGTAGTGTTTCTAGCGCTTAATGGCTCAATAGCTCAATAGCTGTATTGTCGGTAGGATGCCAATATTCTTCACACACACAAATTGCACTAGTAAAGAGGAATTTACGATGGTAGTCATGGACTTATGTTCCACTGATTTCGATTATGTTCACTACCTAACCGAAATCCGTTTCTCCAGTCTGAGATGGTCACTACATACTTCGTATGGCACCAAAAGCTAAGGACTCGCGATTTCACCGCGGCTTGCCATGATGCGTTACAGTAAAGAACCTCTCTGGAATCCCCTTCGTAACCACAGCCCTCTTGACATCCTCGTACATATCCCCCTGCACCTGCACCTCCAAGAGTCCCGGCTTCAGTCCCGTGCCCTGTCTAGCGGTCGCACCACGGCCACAGGCCCTCTGGAGCTCCTCTGCGAGCGTCTTTGGTTCGATCCCGAAGGCTTCGAGGCCAGTTATGCGCGTAACCGCTTTCGATCCCTGTTTTGTAGTGACGATGGTAATTTTCGGGGGCGACCCGGATTTGGGCTTGCTTTGTTCACCGCTGGGGGAGGTGATGCGGTAGTAGGGCGCGCAGGCGGACACGAGGCGGTCGGCGAGAAGATCGCGTCTGTAGGCGCCTTTAGCCTTGGCGAGCTCGGCGGTGTCGGCTGCGTTAGTGGTGAAGAGGGTGTTGGAGAGAAGGGGGTCGAGGTTGACTAAACGCCTGTTAAGCTTTTGGGCGAGAGTATTGGTGTCGATGTACGTGTTGAGCAGTGTTCTGAGGTCGGCGGCAGTGTAGAAGTCTTTGGTTCTATTGCCATGTTAGCAGGTCGGAATCAAGGTCCGCTAGGGGTGGAAACGAACCCCGCGTCGATCTCCTGGAAGAATTTTATAGCCCTTCCGTTGGGTCTGTAGAGGGGCTCAATTTTGACCACACCCGGTTTCCCTCCTCCATTCCCAGCAGCACCGTCGTCATCGGGCTTGTCTTCCTTCGGTGGCACGGGGAGTTTGTACGGTCTGAAACTCTTAATTTCAGGATGCTCCCAGTTGATGTCCATCACGATCGATTCTCCGCCGTTGCGTACTTTAGTAACGACCAGGTCTTTGCTCTGCAGGTACTTGAGGAGCTTTGGCAAATTCTTCCAGCTCGTTTTCTTCAGCTGAAGGCTCGGATGTGGCCCTACATCCTGTAGAAGGTTGTATGGCGGGAACTGGCTCGCCGGCGGGAGATATGGATGAACTAGCATGTTTATAAATGTCGCAGACGGTAGCGGGAACTCGAGGCGGGCATTCTCTCTCGTCTCCAACTCGGAATAAACCTGGAAGCCGTACAACGCAGCGTTGTAGAATGCGTCGTCAATCTCCTTCGTACTCAGCTGTCGTATCTCCTCCTCGCCGCTGCTCTCCTCCTTCTCTTTCTCTTTCTCCTTCTCTTTCTCCCTCTCTTCCTCCTTCTCCTTCTCCTTCTGCTCCGAAGGGGAAATCACAAGCCTATTCATCGCCACTGACAGCACCTCATTCACTCCCGGCACCTCCAATTCATCGGGAACCTTCACAGCCCCCGCAAGTTTATAAATCTCATCACCGAGCCAATGCAGGATTCTCACCGCGCGACCCTTCTCTCCAATCGTCTTTCTCAATCCAGTAACGTCAATCTCACACACGCCTACCGCGACCGGCACAGTCGGGCGCTCACTACTCGCAATCCCCACCAGCTTGCCCACCTCGGCCCCATCCGGAAACGGCGGGCCGATCAATCCCGGCGTCATAAGATCCGCGCCCTCATACAGCCTCTCGATAACCGGCGGGTGGGTATGCAGCAGCGGCAGCAGCGTGGGATTCTTCCAGAGCGTGAACACGGTCGGGAACAGCTCTGGGGTCTGGCGCTCGAACTTGACCCACAGCGGGCGGTCCTCTTCGTCCGAGCTGTGGGAGCCCAGGTAGATCGTGCCGTGGGCGGGCGCGAGGTCGGGGCCGTAGGTGGTCGAGAATTTCGCGTGCGAGCTGCCGTCGGGGAGGATGAGGTTGCGCAGCGACGCCTCGGTTTCCGTTGCGGAGGGCGACGTGTACGCGAAGTTCGTGATTATTGATTGCGCGGTTTTGCGCCGGTCCGAGGAGCGTAGCGGCGCTTGCGCTTTGATCTGCGGCTTCTTCTTGAACATGGCGAGGGCGGACGATCGTGGTGGTGATGGCTGTGGAGTCGAGGTCGCGGTGTTGATATCTATGCCGCGGTGTTGAGGTCTCCGGTGAGTCGAGCCGAGTGCTGACGATGGCGGGGTTGACGTCTTTGTGTCACCAATGACGCGATGCCAATGCAGTGCAATGTCAAACTAGACCGCCGCGGAATGTACCGGCTGTCGGACAGTTGCACCCAACGCCTTACGTTACAACATACAACCCTCCAGAATAAGAAATCACACCACATCCTCTGCTATGTAACATCTTCGTCGCAGCAAAAAACTGCACGGAGATCCTCACCATAAAAAGAGCAACCAGAGTCAACAGGAGATATACATATAAAGAATCCTGGCCGATGGCGGTTGCTACCGACCGAGTTGGGGTGGGGCTGAAATGACTGTGGCGCTCAGTCGTTCGCATCTTGGATGAGCGAGTACATAACTCCGTACCATATTCCGTCGGAGATTCCCACTGAGGCATCTACAATTTTCCGGAGAAATTCGGAGATCCCTATGAAACTAGAGTAGCTAGCTCTCACCTGAGGAGCAGAGAGCTCCGCTAGCGGTAGCGAATGACTAACAACGGTGGACATCGTGCTCAGGAAAAACCTTCATAGATTCCGTCAAAAGATACCCTCCAATATCACCAACTATCATACGTTTATGTATAGAGAATTGAGCAAGGAATAAGCAGAGACACCCCCCGTGTATTAGCAAAAACCCGAGAAGACAAAGCACTTTTCTAATCAACCACAAAGTAAACCCCACAACAAAAGAAATCCCAAAGAAATATACCGATAAATTGACTACCGTACAAAAGGCATCAAAACAACCGTCTATCTGAACCCAACCCGTAGTCCGCTTTCGATTTAGTGCTTCAGCTTTTCAGCGGCAGCCGCCCGGCGAGCCGCATCTCTCTTCTCCTCGGCTTCGACCATATCTGCTTCTGTTAGTACTCGAAGAATTAGATGGTGGCGGGACGAAACAAACCTTTCCACAAGTCTTCTCCAACATATGTCTCATGGTGTATCCGCTTCTTGGGATCTGCGGAGTTCGCGTTCTGTTTTGCGGCGCGAGCATCGCTAACCTCGAAAGCGGCGGTGGCAACCAGAATCAACAGCGTCAAGCCCTGGGCGTACATACGAGCCTGTACGAGCTTCTGGGAAGTCGTGAGATATTTATCCCTCGAGACCATAGCGAGCGAACCAGCCATCGACGCCGCCCACGACGCAGTAACGATTGAGTAGCGGTACTCCTTTCCGAGGCTCATGGCCCTCTCCCATTTTGTCTGGTTGGCGCGCTCCTCGGCGAGCTGTCGGGCGCGGGACTCGAGCAGGTATCGGTCGCTGGCGGTACGGGCCTCCTCGAAGTGGCGGGAATACCGGTCCGCCTCGATAATGGCACCGAAGGTCGCGGTGGACGAAACGAAGAACGCTCGCAGGGGGATCGTAAGGCTTCGGTAGAAGGCCATGCGGCGATACATTAGCGCGTTTGCTCCCAGTCCCAGCGCGAGTCCCGCGAAACCACCGTAGGCTCCGCCGCGGAGGACAGCGCCGTAGTGGGCATCTTCTTCTTCTTTGCTGAGAACCTTCATTGTTGCGGTTGTGTGGTGTTGTGCGTTTTTGTCGGTGTGTCTGTGTGTAGCTGTGTCGGCGGACGAAGGGAACTTGGCGGCAAGTTGGTAGTGGATATTCTATCGCCTGTGGCGGGGGGGAGGGCGGGGGAGCGGCGGATACTTAATGGTTGTGGTTGGCGACTGTCGTCGGGATGACGAAGGAGCGTAGCGTCGTGGATGGGTGGAACAGCAACAGGAACAGCTCGAGAAACAGGCGAAGGCGACGGCGTGAAGCTTGTCTGTGGTGATCACTTCGATAAGCAAGAGGAAAGCAAGCTGTATTCGAAGTAAAATGTTCTTCTACGCCGTAGCAGTAATCCCTATATAAACGAAATTCGTCTCAGCTCCCGTGAGCACCCCTCCTTCACTTTCCGGGGAGTCTTCGGATGGCAGCATGAGTGTCAGACCACCGCCTGCAGTAGTGATTCGGGCCGATTAGGGACGTTGGGTGCGAGCAACGTGGATGACACTCTAACTCTCCAACGCCCATGTCCGCGGAGAGCTCTTCGGTTACGAAGCGGTCTGGTCTCGCCGGGAATCTCCTGATTTTCCAGAAGTCTCTACGCAAGGAGAACAGCGAGTGCGTTTCAGCCTGCCGTTGGGATTTTTTTTCTTCTTTAGTCCATGTGTGGCGGCTGGTGACGGATATTAGCGCTGCGGGCAGACTGTCGGATCGGATGATGTCAATGTCGCCACAGTTCAGCCACAGCACAAATCACTGAGTGCTTACATATACGTACCCTACCTCGGAGCTGATTACTAACGGTAACCGTCCGTTGCAATCCATCTGTCGCTCCATCCGCTCCATCTGCTCCATCTGCTCTACGACCACCTTCGGCACCGAATGCAAAGACGAAGACATTGAATCCTAACCTGCGATCTGCTAGTAGCCCTCGTCACCGCCAACCAACCTTTCGGAATGGTTGCCAGCAGTTACTGGAGAGGTCAGGATCCTTGTAATTTCACATCCTAAGCTATTCGTCAGCAAAGCAAAAGGAAGCTCGATGTAGCAGATTCCTGCGCCGTCACCGTCCTCTCCGTTACTGTTTCCTCGCCGAGGGAGGTCGAATTCGAAGGAAAACTGGACGAGCCTTCGAAATCTACACCAACAAGTAAAGTATCCCCATACCTAGGTACCAGTCGAATCCAGGAATCGAGTCCAACGCCTATACCAGCCCTTGGACCTTCTGTGAGACGGATGGGAGATCCGTATGTGTTGGTGGAAAGCTTGAACAAGTGCACCGGGGGCCAGGAACGAGAATAAAGAGGAATCGACGGAGAGGACAGGACCGGTACGTGGAGGATTGTGGTCTGTCATCGGTGAAATGCGGGAGTATCAAGCCTTCAAAGTCACAGATACATACGCGAATCGGAAAGATAATCTGGGAAGTGGGCGGTATGCCGGCCTACCGATCGGTCATCTGGTCTCATCCATCGCAGCTCCCTTAAATAGGGACTATGTTGGGCCAGTGAGGCGACACGAAAGAAAGTAATCCTATACACATACCAGTCGCCGCAATACGGCCCCCATCCCCGTGAGCGCGTGACCGCCACGCGCGTCATGCAGGGCAATGGGTCCTGCCCAGAAAGCGCTGTCTCCAGTCCATCTCGAAGCTTGAGTCATTGAAAGATCCTATATGAGGATTCATTCGGTAAATGGGATACCACGCAGTCCAGCACAAAAATCTCAGTCGATTGTAATTGCACTTCGAATGTATATATGATACCCGAATGACAGCTGATGAGCAGCTGTAAGCGTTGGGTTAAGACAAATAACCGACGTTACGTTAGCCTTCCTAGAGCAGTGGCAGTGTCTCAAACATGGAGACCGATGCGGAGATGCCCCACAATAAATGTGGAGTTTGGGGCATCTGTGTTGCGTTGAAAGGTGGTTGAAAGGCAGCGACAAGGCAGCCAGGACATGCGAATGCTCCGAACAAGTAACTTACCCCTAAGCCAATGGGCAGGCCTCCCGGTCGATTGGGCAGACTACTTGCCCGCCCACCTAGGACATACCTGGTATATACCTAGATCCAGCCACAGTTGTACACAGTACGTCACTCGCCGCACCTTCAGCCACTACATGAACCAACTCCCTGCAGCCAGCCACGCGTCAGCACAGCCATGTCGGCCCACTCTGCCTACTACCCTAGCCAATGAACAAAGTGCCACACGCCGCTTCACACCGCTGTCTGTATGCACGCAAATACGTGGTGTTTTGCTGTGCTTCTAAACTGTCTACATACACATGCCTTGCGAACGGAACGTCTTTGACTTGCTTTTCTTTCACCATGCTTGACAATCGAGCCGCGCATGCGCAGCGGTTTCCTTTTATGGAAACGCATGACCTTTGGTGGCGATAATTGTTCCGACAAGGGGCTATGGGGTGGGCGTTGTCTACAGTGCTGGTAGATACTTATGTACATACAAAAAGTCTCCGTCCACAGCCATAGCTTTTCCATGGAGGCTTCAATAGAATCTGCGTGACCAACGACCTCCATATCGCTGTTCTACCTAGTCCACCCTCACCCAACTCATGCCTAAACTCAGAATGCATCGCGCATGGAATATCTATGCAGTTATCTCGGTATTTGAAAATGTCGACGCTAATTTCGGTCGCCGAGATACCTACCACGCCGCGAGTATGGACCTTTCTCAGCTGGAAGTAGCTGGTGGAGCCTGAAGCCCCAAAACAGGAAACATATATCGATGCGGAGGAATTGCTCGATCGATTCTATACTGATGGTGTTAAACCGGAAGAAGCCAAGAGGCCGAAACCCGTCGAATACCACGGGGAGGAGAAAGAGAAATTATTCCAGGCGTAGGCCCGCTCGTGTCTGGTGGATTTCTTTGGTTCGCAGCGTAGGTACGTATGGGATGATCTTCTCCGGGAGGTCCTCCCACCTCAGGCTCCACATCCTCGGCTCAACACCGAGCCTCGAGCTGTGTGTTTGGCTTTCGAAGGCATTGGCTTGCGAGGAAGCAGTCAGAGAGCTTGGAGTGAAATACTATGTATGACCTGGTATGGATTTCGTGTTTATTGGTTCTCCATTCACATACCAACTACCTATTGGCAGGACGATTGCGTTCTTGTGGATCACCATCTGGACATTCCTATGCAACACGAGTGGGTAAGAACTGGGTTCTGAATCGTATTATATAACTTCATTCAGCGAAACATCACAAGACCCAGCTACCTATCTTGGGATACCACTTTTCTCACGTCAAACGCTCCCATGAGTGTTGTGCCGGATGAACCTGTCGAACGTTCCGGGAGTATCCCGGTGGGTTATGGGGGGCCTCTCGATCTTGAACCTGGAGTTGGAGTGTCGCGAGCAGGCGTGTGTAGCGAGCAGGTTCTACGACAGGCCTTCTCATAACCAGAGCGGATGTTTGTATAGCGAGGGGGTCTTGTCTCGCGAGCGGGCCCTGCAGTGATAGATCTTCACAATACCAGAGCGGGCGTTGTATCCTCTCTGTCTCTTATTTTCAAGAAGTTGAGAGAAGCGACGAAGGTCTCATAGCCTGTTGTGAGTCTGTCGAGGCGAACGAGGATTTTTATTGTAATAAGTCTTACCTCCTGACAGAGGCATCGAGGCGAGTGGCTCGCAGCGTCAAAGCAGGCGATACCGCAGCGTGGGATGGAAGAATCATCCAGACGCTTCGTCCTTATTAGTGTCCATCGCGGGGGCACCCACCACTTTGTAAGGGTCAAATTCATGTATCTAGTACGGAAAAAACCCTGCGTGGTCTATTGGTATAGGCTGCGCAATTGACGAGGGAGTCGAGGGAAAGCTCCCGGTTCAAGCCCGGGTGCAGACCCTGGGTGTAGCTCTGGGGTTTACAAACCCCCCGACGGTGGGGTAATGGCATTTTTGTTTTTGGCATCACAGATGGAGCACTATATATCACTCAACAGTGGCGATCATGTGACACCACCTGCGCTGTCGGCTTTTTTTTGTTTAATCATCCATTGAATTGGACCTTAGTAGATCATGGCAGATTACATATCCGTTTCCACCCGGCTGTCACGGACCGCTGGCCGCGAGCAACTCAGCAGAACCCTTAGTCAAAAGATATCACTCGCCACATCCCCGAAAAGCCACGTAAAATGGCGTCTCCTTTCGAGCCTCGCAAGGCGGGACCTTGGCTCGGGATATCTGCAAGGGAGTGAGAGGAGTACAGCTGCAAAGCTACGGAATACCTGTGCGAAGAGTAAGAATCTTGAGGTCGGCGTAACCGAAGCGACCAAGACTTGATCCCAGATACCCCGATGGTGGAGAGGAAGTTGCTGTCACGTGGTGAGGACCGCATGGAAGATAACTCCGCATTACAACAGAAACGAAACGAAACGAAATACCCGCTTGCAGTCTCTCTCGCTGTCTTGATTTGGTTGCCGCTGTGCTGGCTGGTGGTTGCGTTCATACTTTAGTTAACGAAGCGATCCAGCAGTCCACTCACACACCCAACTACCGCCCCTACCGCCCCTGCCGCCGTGCCGGAGTTCAAGATTTTGGTAAACCCTTTTGTGTCGGCCGTAATACATAATCGGGTTGATCGCTCGCCGAATCCAAACTCTATGTAGGTCATACTCCCAATCAGCCAACGGTCCTAGCGGCGCCGACCGTCGGAGTTCCCCTGCTTATGTAGAGTACGGTACTCTACGCTGCGTCACCCAGCTGCGGAGCTCCACGCAAGCCAAGGCGCCGACGGTGATAGGCAAAAGCCGCCCAATGTTACTGTGTTGTGGCTACGATATAAGCACGGTTCCGAAATCACGGAATGGATCGAACCTGCCAAACCACCCCGGATGAATATCTTCACTTCGACCAAATTCCTTCTCAGCGTGCCAATCATTGCGTATGGCCGGCCTTCGTTTTCTCTCCACATATACACGTTACTGATATGGAGAGAATAATAATAGTATTTCCGCCGCTTTCTACACCCAGCACACTCAAGATATGTCGAAAATGGCTGCCATCAGGAGTGCAAATGCCGCCTTCACCGCGAGGGGTGTCAAGAATCCCGTCGCCGTATTCGGTTCGTCCCCGGAATCCTGACCCGTCCATATCTTCCGTTAACAATTTCTCCAGTCGGCGGCACCAGCGGCATCGGCATGGCCACAATGAAAGCCTACACCGCCGCCACCGTCTCCCCGACAATCTACTTCATCGGGCGCAACGCCGCAGCGGGCAGCTCCCTCACCGCCAGCCTCCAGCAGCTAAACCCCAGCGCAAAGATCACCTTCCTGCAGTCAGACCTAACGCTGCTAAGCAACGCGCACACCGTCGCAGCCACCATCCGCTCCCGCGAATCCAGCGTGAACCTCCTCGTGCTCTCACCCGGGTACATGTCGATGTCGGGGCCCATGCTCACAGCAGAGGGGCTGGAGAAGAAGATGGTGATCAACTACTACGCACGGCTGTTATTCGCCGCGACGCTGCTGCCTTCGCTGCACCCGGGCGCGCGCGTCATCTCCGTCTACTGCCCCAGCCACGAGGGGCCCATAGTCGCCTCCGACATGGGGCTGGTCGACCCGGCCAACTTCAGCATCTTCCAGACCGCCGCCCAGGCCTCGGCGTTCACTACCGCCGCGTTCGAGCACCTCGCTGAGCTCCATCCCGAAGTCGCCTGGATCCATGCCGACCCCGGCGCGGTTATGACGGGGCTGCTCCGTGAGTTCCCTCTGTGGGCCAGGGTCGCGGCGAAGGTCGCTACGCCGTTTAGCACGTCCCATGAGGATTCGGGCCAGGGGTTCTTGAGGCTGGCGACGGGGGAGGGCTTCGAGAAGGGCCTCAAGCTGGTGGATTGGACGGGCGCGGATAGGGATTCGAGGAGGCAAAAGACGGGGTTCAAGTGGCTGGGCGGTGGCGTTGGGTGGTGGAGTGAGGGGTTGGGGAAGCAGGTGTGGAGCCATACGTTGGAGGTTTATGAAAAGGTGCTCGGGAAGAAGGTCGGGAATTGAGTGCTGATGGGGGTGTTTGGAGTTGGTAATTTTATGGCGTGCGTTTGATACCTGTATGTATTCGTAATAATGGATTAATTGGTACACAGCTGAGGTGTAGTTGTGTAGCTGGCGATGTTAGCATTGGCCACATATTCGTTAGATGAGCGAGTACACACCGTACTGACCGCACTCAACGGAGGAAAGAGAAGAGAGTGGGGACGTGCTGATCGATGAATGATAAGCATACTTCATAGCTGCTAAACCCCCATCTTGGCGAACCTAATCATCTTTCTCCCTGCATGATCGAAATCGATCAGCACAAGGATTCATCAAGGCCGTTGGATTTTGGTACCATTCCACAAAACACAAGCCTTCCCCGCACTGGTATCCCGCGAGACCAAGGGCGTCCACTAGTTATGTAGATAGTACATAGCCGAGCCGCGTCATAACTACACTTGAAGCTAGAAGACCTCGAATATCGGGTCCTCTCCATCTGGGCAGTGATGGGATGTGACGATTTGTAACATTGCCATAGTAAAATAACTGCAAGGATTGGCTCAGGGTTTGTTGAAGTCTGAAAGTCCGGTACCGTCACTACCCATCACTCAGTAATACCGACGAGAATGTGTTGGAATGTGTGAACAAGTAGTGTATTGTCATTGTAGAGTGAGAGGCTGAAGCCTCGAGAGAATACATAAGAGAGGGGTGGTAGGCAGTCAATGCTCCCGACGTCATGACCGCGCAAACGACTAAGCAACGAGTGAGATGTTACGACAGAATGTTCGTTCGCAACACTCTTCCACTTCTTCTTTCCACTTCTTCTTTCCACCCGTCGCCAGCGCAACTCGAAGAACTTCTAGCAAGAATGAGCGAGACCACCTCCCCTGGATTTCCGATGCTAAGTATACATATCCCCCCGTCTGACATCCCCAACCTCTGTATCGCCGGCAAGGTGTATATGCATATATTGACAAGAAACCCGCAGGCCGCAGCTTCCGCCAGAACCGCCACACTCTCGCCGGCTGCAGATTCCGTAGCCTCAGCATGGGCTCTAGTCCCAAATCCTGACGACGGGAAGGAAGGAAATATGCTGCTGTGGCGACTCTGTCACTACATAGCGACGAAACTTACCGCGCCCCCCTTGGGCCCTTCCGGCAGGAAGTGGGAGTCGTCGATGGCCATCAAAATTTCTCCTGTCTGCCAGGAGCTTGCCGTGGCCGAAGGCCGAGTATGACTGCGCTCTTGAGTTAAGCTCCTGCTCTCACAAAAGATGCATCTCGACATGCTCAAGAAGGTAGAGAACACTAACACTAACACTAACACTAACGCTGCCACCACCACCACCACCACCATCGCCACCACCGCCACCACCGGCAGGCACAAAGACATGGTAATGGCAGAGATCCCGCTGTTCCTGCCGGAACCCCCCGGACTACATAGTACGCAGTCACAACGGGTCCTTCACGAGGTCCGAGCCGACGTCGCCGTAGGTACATAGGTAGTCAGGTGGTAGATAGCGCCTAGGTAGCGTAGCTATAGTTTCCTATCAACAGTATCATTCCATCATTCACGCATCAATTGAGTGTTGTCCCAAGCGCAAACTATTCCTCAAGGATTCAGGTGTCTTGGTTCAGTGATACGTATGACCTCGAGTGATGGATGTGGGCAACCGGCAGTGTTGTAGCTAGTAAATATTCCACCTGCCAACAAGGCTGTCCCTCCTGTCCCTCCGGCCACCGAGCAAGGTAGAAACCGTTGCCAGTGCGCGGGGTCCATGAGAGAAAGCCAACACCGCCAAGGGTGTCTCGGCTCGGAGAGACGAAAAATTGGGAAACGGCATGTTCACCGCGAAACATCCTATCCGCTCCGGAATATCACCGACAGCATCAGGTATGCTACCGGAACCCACATCGAGCTCACGGCCAGCTGCTAGAGACAGTGGGGTGGAACCGGATGTTTGTACATCCATGATCTGATAAGGTAGAATGTCGGGACAGAGTGATCTCGTATGTATGTAGCCATTACGGCAGCAGCCATTCGTCTTCCCCGTCTTCCCGCACCTACATATCTGAGCTGTTGCATCGGATGCATCGGAGGGGCTACCGGCAAAAGAGCCACCAGCAGAAGAATCACCAGCAAATAGAAAAAAAAGTTATGCGCCAAACCCGGATTGAACGGGTGACCTTCAGATTACCCCGGATATTGGATAGGACCGAATTACTTCAGTCTGACGCTCTCCCAACTGAGCTATTAGCGCGCTTGATGTCCCACCTTCGCTCGCGTCGTACTCTGAAGCAACTTGCGAGTGATACCGCTCTGTCCCAGCAAAATCCACCATTTCATTGCTAGTATGATGCTATGTGTAGAGTAGGTATCTGATCGCGGTAACTACAAAAATCCAAAAACCCGCAATCTCTACATCGCATCTCGGGGCATCCTGGCACCTTGCACCGCCAGCAAATCTGCCATGGAGTTTCCATCGTTGTGGCCAGTATGACCCTTCACCCACTCGAACCTAGTCGAGCTCCCGTACTGCGACTCCCTTTGACGGATCTTGTCGACAATGGCCTCGACCAGATCGCGATTCTCAACCGGGCGCCCCACACTCGTGATCCAATCATTCCTAATCCAGGCGTGATGCCACACCGTCACGCATTTGATCGAGTACTGCGAGTCGGTGTAGATGTGAACGTCGCGATGCCCGGGCGCAACATTGAGCGCGCGGAGGATCGCGGTCAGTTCGGCGCGCTGGTTCGTTTGGCGGGGGCCGGCGAGGGGCTCGGAAATGTTTCTGAAGGAGGCTGTTAGAGTTGAAGGAGTGGGTATTCGCAAGTGGAGTTACCGATCATCCTGCTCACCGAACCACACTCCGATACCGGCCATGGACCCGGATTGCCCGTTGTTAAGAGCGCTGCCGTCGGTGTAGATTTTGAGGACCGCGCTACTCTTTGGCCGGGCGCGCTTCCTATCCACCACAGGCACGTCTTCCGGTGACGACGACGAGCTAAGATCTAGATCGTCGAGATGAGGTCGCTTCTTGGACGCGGGGAGGCCATCGCGTCGGGCATCGAAGATGGTCGGTTTGGACGTCAGGATTGCAAGATCATCGTCTTCGTCATCGTCGTCGTCGTCATCATCGTCGTCATCGTCATCGTCCGGTTCTTCGTCCGGCGGCTGGTGAGGTGGTGAGGGTGGTGATGCTAGCTGTGCCCGCGATTGGGGCTCTAGTGGTTTGGCGACTGTGGGGCCGCAGTTCACGAACGCCTCTGCCTCCTCTCTCGTCGCAAATGCTCTGCGCCGTCCGTCAGTCTTCCGCCCTCATCCGGCAAAGACGAGCAAACATGGGAAACACCTACTTGACCTTCGGCTTCGTCACGCCCTTGACCTGCTTCTCCGCCGAGCTCCAATCGGTATAAACGCCCGGGACCTTTCCACTCCTCACACCATAAAACTTGGCCGTATACGAGCTCGAATTGGGATCAAGAGAAGGGTCCTTCCCGGTGATGAACAGAGCTGCATCTTCGGCGGTGGGGAACGACTTGACTATTCACAACTCCCACGATCGTTCAGCACGCCGCGTTCCCTCCAACCACACGTGATGACGACGGATGGGAGATGTACGGACACTTTGCGCCCTTGAAGCCGCGGATCTGGTTCATGCAATCATTCCAGCTGGTGTAGATACCGGGGTGGTGGCCGGCCTGCACGGCATAGAACTTCGTCTCGCCCAGCCGTTTTCTTTTTGTTCCTGCACTCGCCGACATGCAGCCGGATCGTGGTGGAGTATGCGATGTTTGCGGGGGGAGGTGGAGGCGCGCAAGTGCAGCGTTGACCCGGGCGAGCTTTGAATCGGCCCACGAGATGGACGCGGGCGGGGGAGGGGAACGGGGAAAACGCGTAAACCGCGGGCAGCTCAAGGAAGCGTCAGCACCAACTCTACTACGTCCGCGGAATAGAGTTACTCTGCGGAGCGAAAGAATATACGGAATTCGAGATCTCATGCCATGCGAAGAGTGAAGCGAAAAAAAGGCCGACTCACGCGTGGGTCGTGCGGGGGAGGGAAGGATGGGTGCTGGCTTACTTACTATGGGGACTCTAGCAGCAGACTTTTTTTTTTTCGAGCGAGATGACGTACAGGAAGGACGCGCTTCTGTTTATACTTCTGTTTCGAGTGGTTTAGATGGAGGAGTGACCGATTATTTTCCGTATCAAACGCCAGAGGCCGATTGATTGATTGATATCTCAGAGCCTGGACCAGGTCTCATTAGCTCCCGTACACACATGGACATGTGGAGCAATCAACAATATCCAGGGCGGAGGCCACGGCAGAGCAGAGAGAGAAGGCGGGAGATCATACCAGCCAGCAAGTATTCGACCTCGACAAGCGGGATGAACAGCGAAGCGACGAGGAAAAGAAGAAAGTAAAGCAAGGTGAGTGATGGAGGATGTAGGGTGGCAGATTGTTGGTGTCAGCGGGGGGGAGGTGGAGGAGCCGGGGGGTGGGGGGTTAGGAGAGGAGAGGGAGGGGGGGCTTTGTATCGTGGATTCGTGGGGCCGAGAACGAGGAGAGGAGGAATCACAACAAACGCCACAGAGACGCAGCAACAACGAAACTACGAAGGAGCGGGAGGAGGACACAAGAGAAAAGCAGAAGCAGAACTTCTTAACCGCAAGGGATAAATATGGGAAGGAGCGAGGAAGTTGGAGAAGAAGAGGGGGGGTGTCCACTGTGTTGAATGGGGGGGTGTTGAGAGGGGGGGGGTTGTGCAAGGTCACCCACCCTCCCAGAACGCCCCCCCCCCCCCCCCCCCAAAGAGAGCTACAGCTACTCTACATCCGTCTCCCACTCCCCGCACACCCCCCCTTCCCTTTCCTTCCCTTCTTCCCCATAAGCCTACGGTCTGGAGCGGAGTGTGAGTGTGAAGGGGAGGGGGGGTGTGTGGTGGGTAAGAAGACAGGAGAAGATATGCTGCTGAAGAGGAGGAGGAGGAGGAGGAGGAGGAGGAGGAGGAGGAGGAGGAGGAGGAGGGGGAGGAGAGAGGAGTGGACACCACTCAGACGACCCCCCCCACCAGGGCCACACCAGGGCCACTAACCATACTCGTAGTTGCACCCCCCCTTCCTTCGTCGAAACACACCACTAAGCAACTTGCAAGAGCGGTTTCTGCTGCATCCCCCATCCCCCCCAACGTCGATCTGTCGCAGCAGTTGCGATCCCTTAAACTTCAACCCCCCCCCTCCCCTCCCCCTCCCACCGCGGCAAAAAGGAGAAGGCAAAGGTAGAAGAAAAGTCGACGAGTCGACGAGCCTGCTCTGTCTGGAGTCTGGTGTAACTAATGGTGTATGCTGGATGGTGTATGGTGGGGGCTTGTCAATGGCAACGACTCGACTCAGCGTACCTACCTAACCTCTTGGTGGGTTAACTACTGTGGGTATGGAGAATAGAGTGGAGCACAGGAGAGTAGAGTACAGGACAGTGGAGTGCAGTGGAGTACAGAGTGGAGTAAAGCACAGCACAGTACAGTAAGAAGAGTACAAGCTGCCGCCGCTGCTGCTGCTACGCTTCCCGGCTCTCTCTCTGGCTCTCTACCCACGCGTGGGGAAGACGTGTGGAGCAGGAGCAGGAAACGACGAGTGATGGATTGGCCTCAGGGCCTGGGGTACCATACCGTAGTGAGTGAGCACTGAGCACTGAGTGACTGAGCACCATGCGGATTCCAAGCTTCCAGCCCCTACATAGAGCACGGTACATCCATACATCATACGGTACTCGACCGTCAACCCCACAGGCAGGCCTCGTCCTTTCACGCCACGCCGCACTCTGCTACCACCTACTGGTACTCCAGTTCGTCGGCCCAGTCAGCCAAGCAACTTGTTCTTACCTCAGCCAGCCAGCCAGCCAGCCAGCCAGTCATCCAGAATATCGATTCAACGCGAAGCCAATCCACCGAATCCCTCGAATCCACCGAATCCACCGAATCCACCGAATCCCTTGAATCCACCGAATCCATCGAACTCTACTCTGAATTCTAGAGGAGGAGGGGGGGTGGAGGGCACCCACTCACCCATCCAAGCATCGACCACTCCGCGCGTTGTACCTATGGGGGTCTGCACGCGATCGCGGATACTCCGCTTCCTTCTCCTCGCCCTCCTCTTCATCTTCCTCGCCCAGATGACCGAGCTCAACATTCAACAGCCCAACAGCCTAACAGCCGGTTCCGCACCCAAGTACATTCATAAGTATAAACCCACAGCATAACCCCACAGGTGAAAATCACAGTGACCGGTAAAGTACATAAAAGTTTCCAGCACGAAAGTTCACAGCACGCAAGTTCAAAGCTCACAGCACGAAAGCTCAAAGTTCGCAGTTCAAAGCTTCTCTGTGTTAAAAGGTAACCCTGATATTACACTATTTGCATCATCAACCATATCTCAACCAACACAACCATATCCCCACCATATTTCATCCCCATCCACCCATCCCATCACCGCACGGCGCACGCACGCGCAAGTATTTAGATGTGTACAAAATGTATCCCCCGCCCCCGCCCCCGTCCCGCCCTGCCCCTCGTGAGAGGGAGAGAAAAAAATATAATCACCCCAAAGCATCCATGAGATTATCCGGCCACCGTCCACCGCAGAGTAAGTATCGTACGACGAGTCGAAGACGACGAAGGGGCACACAAAAAAAAGAATAAGAAGAAAGGAAGAAAAAAAAAGGGATCCCCAAAACGCCCGGTTCGTCCGAGAAAAACGCGAGCAAAAAAAAGAGAAAGAAAAAGAAAAAAGAAAGGGAAAGGGAGAGGAAAGGAAACGAAAAAGCCAAATGCATGCATGCTCCGCATATGTCCAATGCGGAAACCAAAACCAAACCATCCAAACGAAACGAAACGAAAAACCCCTCCCAAAAAAAGCAAAACCTAGTACATCCAAAACATGCGTGGCCACCCCCCGCCCCAACATATGACTGCTGCTCCCGGTATCCCTCCCTCCTCCGCATCCCCCAGTTCAAAAATCAAACATTAACCATTTCCACCCGGAGAGCCGGTACCGGCACATTACTGTTCCTGCTACTGCCACCTCCGCTCCCCCTGTCCGCAACCGGTCGCACGCCAAAGTCGTCGTCGGCGTCGGTGTCGTCGACATCCTCGGTCCGGATCATGAAGCGGTTCGCCTCCAGCTGCAAACGCCTCAGCGCCGCCTCCTCGCCGTCGTGTAGCTGATCGCTGCGCCTCCGCTGCGGGAGTTCGAGTGCTGGGAACGGGCCATCGTGGCGTTGAATCTGCGACGAAAGCTGATCCCAGCTGTTGTGCAGGCTCCGTCGGCGCGCGGCGTTATTGTTTCCTCCGTTCAGAGTCGGCTGGCCAACCGAGCCTGCATCTTGCCGAGGCGCACGCCATTGGCTGTCGATCCCGGGTGCCATCGAGTGACGTCGTTGTGGCTGGGCGATCGGCGCTGTCTCACTTGAATCCCCGCATTCCTCCTCCATGATGATCTGACTCGTCACTGTCCTGCGGAAACTCCGACCTTTCGCCTCCTTCCAAGTCCGCCGGCCGTGGCTCGGGCGCCCACTCCCACCATCCACCGGCGATCCACTGTCGCTGCTACCACTGCCGCCAACGTAGCTGTTGCGCTGCGGGCTCAGCGTAGATGTCTTGGGGTACAGGTAGAATCCATATCCTGCGGGATCAGCTCCCAAGATGGATTCGTGCTCCATCTTCTCCTGTTCCGTGTAAGAAGTCGGCTTCTCGATATCCGCGCGCCCCTTCTCGGTCGCCCTCCTCCTCAATGTGCGTGCTCTCGACGGGACGCCTGCGGACGAAGGTTTCGAGTAGGGCTTCGTGGGCATCGGGGGCATTGCCCCCTCGTCACTGTCCTCCGACATCCCGGAGAGGTCGGGACTCGATTGGTATCCCCGCGAAAGCAACCGGCCCAATGAATTCCTCCGCTTCGGCATGAAACTATTGCGCCGGTCGTGCAGGATCGGTGATGCCGGCGGCGACGGAAGCGGGTACAGCGAGAGTGGTGGTCCCGCTGACTGCATGTTGGACAGTGGTGACGGGTGCTTCCGGTAGTTCTCGGGGACCGTCCAGCTCGGTTTCTTCGCTGGCTGGGGACGGCGAGGGGGCGCGGCGGCGGCGGCGGCGCACTCGCCGAGACTGGTGGTGGAAGCACCCGCACCGAGACTGCTCGTAGAAGCACCCAAGGCCGAATCGAGACCCTTCATCACCACCGACGGCGAGGAGGTCGAGGGTGTAGTAGCGGCCGTGGAAGCGTCCGAAGTGAACTCGAGCGAGGATGCCGACGAGGACGAGGACGAAGGCAGGCTCGAAGCCGCAGGTAGGGACATTGTCGACAGGCGATCGGGATTCCCATAGGGAGACGACGGTTTGTCGGTTTGTGTTTGGGGGAGGGAGTCGAAGGACAATGTGGTCTGGATATTGTCCTTCTCGGGGTAGCCGCGCTGTTGCGGCACGGCGGGGGCGGACTTTGAGCTCCGGAAGATGGAGAATATAGACCGCATGCTGCTCTTCTTCTTGATAGGGTCCGCAGCCTCTCGTGGGTATTCCTCGACGCTCGGCATGGTTTCCGATAGTGTAGGGTAGACAGGCAAGACGAAAGCCGGTTGGGGAACAATCCTCTTTCTTTCCTTCCGTGTTACTGGGGGAGGAGGTAGGGGGGGCTCTGGGGAAGATGTAGGTAGTCCGGGTGTGGTGGGGGATGTTGATGGGTATTAACGGGGGGTAACGGGGTATCGTATATAACTTGTAACGACGAGCGAGCGAGATCAATGAGACGAACGAGCGAACGAGTGGACGGTACGGTACGGGCACAGCTACCGGGATCGGGATGCGAACGAGTGATGTGGGGGGCACAGCTTTCCGACGTTCCTTCGTGCGAGACAAAGCTAGAGTAGCTGGCGCCTGTAGATGGTGTTGAGTTGATTCAGTAGTATCTGCTGTCCGCAACCATGATGTGGGTTCCGGGTAGCGATTGCAGTATGTAGATGGCGGCGGAGGAGGAGGAGGGTACGGTATTATGTGGGGCTAGGAGTGAGATGGGAAGGGACAGGGAAAGACGGGAGGCGGAGGAGTATGAGAGGTGGAAGGAAGGGGAGCAGGAGAAGACGAATGGGCCACAGGAGAAGACGGAAGGGCTACTCTACAGGAGGAGACGAGTGGTCTACAGGTAACAGGAGAGCAGACGAATGGGCTCCAGGAGAAAACAAAAATATAAGGTATGTCTGCCGCCGAGGAGGGATAGCGAACCCGCTGCTGGTCGCTTGCTTGGGTTGCTTGCTTGCCTGGGATGCTCTGCCGTCGTTGCAAAAGAAACAAGACCGCGCGCGCCGCTACGGGATCTTGCGTAGTAGGCTGTAGTTAGTAGTTAGTGGTGATAGTAGTAGTAGCAGTAGCGCAATGACCATGTCAGCCAGCACTGGCTGCCTGCCCTCCAAGGATTTTTCCTTCATCCTTCCTTTCCTTTCCTTGAAGCGTGCAGGTGAGACACCACCATCACATCACATCAATAATCCCTACAAAGGACCTTTCCGGCCAGCCAGCAATCGACGACGACGTCGCCTCTCTCTCTTCCTCCAGTAAGAGAAAAAATAAATGCAAGATTTGCATGTTCGACCCACCGGGACTTTCTTACAGAGACCGGGGGGGTCGCTGGTCCTAATTAAAAACGTGCGGCGGTTGAAGATGTTTGAATTCGACGGGCTACAAAGGGGGGCGGAAGGACAAGGTTGGAGGATGGACAGCCGGAGAGTGATCAGTGGCAATGCTGTAACTACGAATAGTACCGTACGGTACCTACTTGGAGCACTGTAGGTATCTACTCTACATACATGAAGGAACGGGGGAAACGAAACACTGCGCCTGCGTTCGTCGTGCCGACTTGCTGCTTGCTGCTGGATCGCGGAGGGCGAAGGGCGGAGGGCTTAGAAACGGGCGGCAAGGGAGGGAGGGAGTGCAGATTGCCGACAGAGTGCAGAGTGCAAGCAGGAGGAGCCTAGAGGAGTTTCCAATGGATTCTGCAGAGTGTCGGTCGAACGATCTCGGCGTTCTCGTGGTTGCTTCAATGCTTAAAGAAGTTACCTGTGATGTGTTGTGCTTGCTGGTGGAGGAACACAACACAACACAACTCAACAAGCACAACACAGCATAACACGGGCCGTCCGTGGTTCCATCCATTCACCGTGCTACTGTATGTGCTAGTACTATATCCGAGACCCCATCGCTCATCGCTCACCATTCACCATCATTACCACTGCCACTGCCATTGCAACCACTAACACTACTGCAACCGCAAACACCACTGCCACAGCAATTGCCACAGCCACTGCCACTGCCACAGCAATCACCACCACAATCACCACCACCACCTCCACCACCCGCGCCAGCCAGCCCGTTATCGTGTCCCGCACGTTGTTGCTGGAGCTGAAGCAGTTATGTTCCACATCTCCGTTCGTCCCCCATAACCCCATAACCCCATAAACCGTACGCGCGATGTGCTCATTGCAGTACCAACAACAACACACCGTCCCGCCGGTTGGCCACCCACCACCACCCACCAACGGAAATCTCTCCCTTCAACCCAGACTGCGGAATCCGTCGCCGCGCGATCGCACGCCGGCCCCTCCCCTACCTACCTATCTCATCATCCTCATCCAATGCGAATTCATGTCATAATGAAGATCTGGATCGGTGCGATGACGCTACCCACCTGCTCCCGACTCGGAGGTGGGTGTAGATCGATAGATAGATAGAATCCTAGACAGATAGGTGGGATGCAGTGGCAGCGTCATTTCGCCCAGACGCCGTCGCATCGCTGGAGATAGAGTACTCTAGTAAGAAGTAGTGGGTACTTGGTTAGTTAGGCACTGGTACATACTGCGCTCCGTGAGATAGATAAGGAACGTTCATGATTCGATGGATGTGATGGAGTGTGTGTGTGTGCGGTGGGTGGGTGATGGGTGGCTGGGGGGACCTGCCTTCCGTAGCTATTACCGTAGCTACATACCGGTGCTCGAGAGTGGAGTGGAACTGCGGGACCTGGAACTGGAACTGGAACTGGAACTGGACAGAACACGCGCGGAGAAAATTGGAAAAAGCTCGAAGGGAAAAGAAAAAAAGCCCCGCCAACAGCGATTGACTTTTGACTTTTGACTTTTCGGTCGCGCGTCGGAGCTCGATAAGAGAGGAGGTGGAGGAGGAAGCTTCGTTGCAGGTGGTTCAACTCGCCCTCAGGTATCTGCTACTTCTAGTGCTGGTAGATGTCGTACTTTCACGCAGCTCATACACGACTCTAGCATACACGTGCATCCGTGCCCAAAGATAGGTGGCCGAGTATGAACGTTGGGACCTGGATGGAACTTGGAACTTGGAACTTGGAACTTGGAACTTGGAAGATGTATCTACACTACTGCTAGTCTTACTTGGTATCTCGAGTACCGTGGTTAGTTGATGTCTGTGGACTCTAGCGAAGGGCTTAGGGAAAGAAAGCTCGAAGAAAGAAAAAAAGAGTCGAGCGCTAAATTAAGCCTGACAGACGTCGGACGGTCGGACGAACCGAAGTTCGAACTGGGAGCCTGGAGCCTGGAGCCTGGGAGCTGATCCAGCGAAACGTTGCGGACTCGCAGCTTCCTCTTGCGACTCGCGATATGGGAACCACGTCAAGGCGGCGGCGGCGAGTGGGAGATATGTATATAGAGTAGAGTAGGTACGTGCCGCAATCGCCACCCCCACAAACAACGAAAACGACGAAAACGCTGACATGACATGACGGGCGGAAGCCTGAAGGAATGGGAATGTACCCCCACGAATCGCACATCACACATCACACATCTCCCGTGCAGCCGTGCGATGTAAGTACGGTATGTGCAATGTGCTATGCGAAATGTGCACTGCCTGCCAAAAATACATATTCTACTCTATTTTACTCTATTATATACCCCACCCCCACCCCATCCTTCACCCGTCTCCACCGTAATCTATGGGAGCCTGGGAGGCAAACTTCAATAGATATCATACATACCTCCATACCTCCATACCTATGGCTATAAGTAGTAAGTTCCTATGAGGTAGGTACCATACATACCTTCTACCGGTATCCCCCATGAATCCATGATGACAACCGCCCGCGATCCAAGTTCAAAGCAGCCCAGCTGCCCAACATTCATTCTCTCCTGCTCCCTCACTCTCTTCCACCCTCTTCCACTCTCACTCTTCCCGGTGATGTGATACAATGCAATGCAATGCGTTCGTGGGTGTGGGTATCTATGTCCCATATTACCTCCGTCGCAAATCTCCATTGCCGCAGTGCAGTGCATGCAGCGTCTGAAGAGAGGATCCGAAATCACATCCGAAATCACCAGAATCGCACTGACTGAAAGCACTAACTGCACAACTGCGCGGGCAGCGGACAACGGACAACGGTTTCCTCTTGTGTAAAAAGTCGTCGTACTCTACTCTACCCGTCCGTCCGTTTTCGTCGCTCGGGAATATCGAGAGAAAGAGAGAACACACACACCTTACGCACCGGCTGATGTGCTGTGCTGTGTTGTGCGTGATGAGACATTGAGACATTGAGACATTGAGACATGAGGCCTTCCACCCCCCGCCAATGAATGGATGGATGAATGAAAGGAAGGAAGGAAGTGGATGAAGTGGATCCGGATTCCAGATTCCAGATGGCGATTTGGATCAAGTCAATCAATCAATCATGGCTCGATGTCTCAGACGCGGCAGCAGCAGCAGTAGTATCATAGCAGCCGCAGTAGCAGCAGCAAATTCGGGTCCGTATGTGCGTACATAATTGCCCTAACATCAAGGCGTCCCGTATGTATTGTACTCATATGTAGGCTGTATGTAGAGAGAGTAGGTCCTCGGAAAAATCGGAAAATCGGTAAATCGGTACTGACTGCCAAAACGGACCGGCCGGCCTGGTAGGTACTCTTCTCGACCTGGCGAGCGAGCGGGCGAAAAGGCGAAAAGGCGAAGGCACTGCCCGCCGTATGTAGATACCGGTATCTAGCCTCAACTTGTCGATCCTGATTCCTGATTCCTTCCCGTCCAAACATCACAGCACGGTGTATGTAGTGTACGCACGCACTAACTACATCTTTACGCGCCCCGTTATCTATCTGCCTACCGTATCTACATACCAGTACCTACAGGCTACAGCACTGGTAACAGCGTCCGAGACCTTCCCACAGACGCCCAAACGAATGTAGCTCCCTCGCAACAGCTCTTACCCAGAATCCAGATACCCGGCGCAATCGTCCGGATCTTCGCGTTCGGCCCGCTGCCCAATCCAGTCCACTCAATCGTCGGCCCTGTTTCAGTTGTTCAAGCCGCGCAATTTCCGAGCCTTCCGAGACTTCCGAGACCTTCGTTCCGGCCGACTGACTGGAGTTGATCTGCGATTTCCCACCCTGGCGAGACGAGGCGAGTGCGGGTTTATGCTTCAATCGGCGTCCCCCCATAGTACTTGGTAGGTACATGGTACCTACAGTCGCAAGTGCAAACCACAATGTTTCAACCCTTCCTGAGCGAACGAGCGAGATTCAGTGCGTGAGCTTCCCGTCCCCTGCCCAGTTGACGCCAGCAGCTCTGAATATTGAAATGCCGCGCGCCCGTCCACCCGTCCGCCCACCGGCACGCACGCTTAAGCATGTGGAAGTGAACCCCAGTCCGCCCTGTAGAGAAATGAAAGGGTTTATCTCTTTTACCTACTATGTAGCTGGCCGGGGATGAAAAAAAAGAAAAAAGAAAAAAGCACATGTATGATACTCATGCAATCTGGGGCGGAAAGGGACGGAAACGTGAAAGGGACAGAAACTTGAAAGGGACGGAACAGGACGGAGGGCTGGTCGATTGAGAACGAAGGGGGAGGTGTATTTATTGGACATGTTCCTCCTATGACACCTATCTCTGATACATCTCGAACTGGAACACTTCAGGCTTCGGACTCTCCAACTACCTATGGACCTATGGTAGAGTACCTACTCGATGAACCACTGACTGGATTTTCCATTGACTGATTTTCCATCGGCGGCGGACATTGTGTGTTTTTCCGTGATTGGAGTGTGAAAATCAATTCGCAACCCCCCCCCCCCCCCCTATCTGGCTATCTACCTGGTATCTGTCTATCTATCACTCGCCCACTCGCCCACTCGCCCTCCTACCGAGCCCCAAATCTCCTGCCGGGCCCTTCAGGTTAGAGTACCGGTAGGTAATTGGTTAGTTAACGCGATTCGGTGCTGCTAGACGAGACGAGACCGCGTCCTCCCTCCCTCGCTCCCTCTGTCTTTCCCTCCGTCTCTCCGTCTCTTCTATCTCTCGGTTACGACGCGCGCTCGCGGGTTCGAAAATTATTTTACTGCTTTACTTCTTGCTTTTTCAGCTGGTGTTTTCTTTCAGCTGGTGGGTGCGCGATTGCGGGTGCAGCTAGCAACTCAATTACTAGCTCAATACGCACGGACTACGCTGGTAAGGTGGTAGTGGATTGATCCGGCCGGTGCTAGGTGGACGTCGGACTCGGACGCGAGGATGGAAAGTCTAATTTGGGGACGGTGACTTCTGGATGGTTGGATGGATGGATGGATGGAAGATAATTGATCCGGCCGGTGCGGTGCGGTGGAATCTGGATGCGAGGACTGGAATTTTCTACTGGATGGATGGATGGATGGCTATCCTCGTCCTTTCGCACCCCCCCCACTCCCAGGCGCGTTCAGTTGCCCGCAGCAGCTACGGTCTAGACGGGACACATCATCCCTCCCCACCGCCCCGCATGCAGTCGTGATGGTTATCTCGATGTAAAATATTTAACTTTTAGATACGCGGCCTCACTACTACAGCCTACCTACCACATAGCCTGCTCGTAACTCTGCCTCATCCCCTCCACCGTCATGTCCTCTGCGACCGGGTCCGCACCCAACGGCTGCGGATCCTTCAATGCCACCGGCTCCTGCAGCTCCTCGGGCTCGCCCCCCCCACCGAACGGCTTCAGCTCCTCCAATGCCACCGGCTCCTGCAGCACCTCAGGCTCGCGACCCCCACCGAACGGCTTCAGCTCCTCCAATGCCACCGGCTCCTGCAGCACCTCAGGCTCGCGACCCCCACCCACCGCCTCCACCGCCGTCGCACCTCCCTCCAAACCACCCAGCGCGCCATAGAACCTCCCGAACGCCTTTCCCAGATCGCCCGCGCCCTCCGTCGCGCCTCCAGCCAGCCCATTAGCCCAAGCGCTGACGGGGCCCTCGCGGAGCCTCTTCACGCCGCCCGCCAGCGCCCTCATCTGCCTGACCGAGCTCTCGACGTCGGCCTCGTCCGCCTCCAGATCCAGCACCCTGCCGAGCACCCTGCGCACGCCGCCCTGCGCGTCCAGCAGCGCCCTATCGACAGCTCTCGCGCGCCAGCGCAGCGCGCTCACGAGGCCCGCATAGTTCCGGCGCAGCGTGGATTCCCACGCCGCCGAGGAGATCGCGGGGACGCCCTGCGGTGGAGAGGAGGTGCGCCCGCTCTGCTGCAGGAGGTAGCCGCCGAACCGCCTTAGCAGCCGCGTGCACGCCGCCAGGTGGAAGTTCACCTCGGTGATGGTCGCGCATAGGTCATGCTGCGAAGAGCCGGCGAGGAGGAGCAGCGGCGGGAGGAGCGTGTTGCTGCTGTTTTGGAAGGTGGCGGTCGAGACGAGGTGGCTGTGTGTGCGTGTGAGCAGCGTGTGGATCGTGTGATGACGGGAGTCGGACCAGGCGGGGCAGGTGGGGTCGAGTAGGCAGGCGAGGGGTGTGGGAAGGTGCACTTCGGGGAGTGGGAGTTCGAGTGATGATATCGGCGCTGGTACCCCGCCGAGGACGCCGGCGCGCCAGCCAAAGTATATGGCAAGTAGGATGGAGGCGAATAGGACGACGGTGGAGGTGAGGAGTCCGTATACAGCTCGGAGCACCCGACGCTCCTGGTGGATGGGGTAATACATCTGACGAAGACGTTCGCTCCGCCTTACTCCGTCGCGACTGGGCGGCCGCCATAGGAGCTTACTGCACTTCGGTACCTGGTCCCAGTCGTTCGTGAAGTCTATGGGGCTATGCGGATCCGGCGTCTGTAGATAGTACGAATCGTCCCCTTCCGAGGTGGACTCGTTGGCTTCGGTGAGCGGCGTGGATTCCCGCATGCGCCAGCGACGTCGGTGCCCCGGAAGACTACAGGCGCGCTGTTGCCGTGGCGAGGCGGAGGGGGAGATGAGGGAGCCAACGAGCCGCCGCAGGGTGGTCGGCGTGTAGAATTGCTCGGGGTCGGGTGTCTCCCGTCTTGGTGTGCTGGGTGCCACCAACGGTGACGCCGCTTCGGGGTGCACCCGTATGGATATGGACAATACATCCGTTCCCTCCGCTTCCTCGTCCTCTACCGTCGGCAGAGTCTCCGCGGCCGGGTGCGATCCCGCGTGTGAATACCACGCCGCGCTGATGGTAGGATTCTTCACTTCCGATATCGTTTCGGGCACCAGGTTGGCGGGGAGACTTAGGCGGCCCAAGCGGCATCGCTCCGCAGGGTGGATCGTGTCGGGCTCGGATGCCATCTTTTGTGGGATGATTTTGTGGAAGACTGGACGACGAAGTGAGTCCCGTTGCAAGTAGTATATGTACATAGGCTGGGGGGAATTTTCTTGTCGGCCGCCAGGTATATGGATGACGAGCTGGCTTTGTTTCGATGTTCCATCGATCGTTTCTTTGTCTCGCCCGCGCCCGCGACTGCGTCTCCGTGGAAATGGAGGCAGATATACCCATACGCACCCGCTACGGAATCCAAATCAAAACGCCTTTCGCCAATCCCAAACGCCGTGCTCTCTCCGCCTATTTGCCTCCAGTGCCCTCAATAATCTTCCCCACCTCCTCCATCAGCTCCGGAAAGCTAACCTCCATCTGCGCAGCGAGCACATCCCTGAACCTCTTGAATGCCCTCCTCTTCCCATTCATGAACTGATTCTGCTTGACCACCAATTCGACAAACTCCCGTGTATAAATATCCGGATTTCTGCCGTCCTCGACGTACTGTATAACCTCCCGCGGCAGCGCTGCAGTCGCGGGGACACTTGTCGCCGTGCTGTCCAGGCGTTGGAATTGGTCGACGAGCTCTTTACTAAGGGAGCGTCAGTGGGAATAGAGAATATAGCGGAGGCGGTGGGGGGGGACGGACATTGTGGTGGCGATGATTTCGTTTGATTCTGCGCCGCCCTCGTGGCTGTGCACGCGCACTTGGAGCTCGTAGAGGGTTTGGATTATTCGGTGCATGTCGCCTACATACTGGGTTTAGCTAGGGACGTTTCTGCGAACGAACGGACGGAATCCATACGCTCGACACCGGCGAGCGGCCCGGCGCTGGGTGTTGGTGGGGCCATGGTCGTGATCGTGGTCGTGAGTGGTGGGAATGTGGGAAGACGTGAGCGTGTCGCGAGAAGGTGGGAGCTTCAGGTGGAGACAAGGGTTCGCCGCGGGCTTGGCAGGTACATGCGCCCCTTGAGGGAACAACAGGCGCTGAACCGCTGGTCGCTGTCTCAATTCTACCTCAACTTTTCCAAGAGCGCAATCATCTACAATACCAAAGATGCAAAAACGATGTTTCCATGACCCATCTACACGGACGGTACTCTAACCACGGCGATATCATAACCCCAGTCCTGGTTAGGGTATTTTGTTTGAATAGTGCAAAGCTGTCACACTAAAACATCCAGCAACATGGCGCAGCGGAAGCGCGCCGGGCTCATAACCCGGAGGTCCCTCGATCGAAACGAGGTGTTGCTACGACGATTCGGCCCCTAAGTCCTTGCGTGGGGGCGTTCCTTTTTGTTTTTGTTTCTGTTTGGCGATGGGTGACGGATAGGGGAGCAGGCGGAGACCAGTGAGAGCAATTTCTTCAGCGTCAGCCGAGATGTCTGGCTACTGATGCATGGTCTATTATATTCTGTCGATCCTAAATATTTGTACATACGTGGGCACTCCTTCCCGTACATACAGGCTGCCGACAACGATTCTCCACAAACGCTTGGTGGAGGCATATCTACATATCCACAGACTCTGGTCCAAGTCCAATCTACTGAATTCACTCTCACAGAAATGGGTATCATATTCTCTCTCTCAAATGCTCATCTAGGAATGCTAATACAAGTACAGGGCTCATTACGACAACTCCCGTGTGGTCTACACCTTGGTGCGTTTAACGCTGGGAGTTGTGGCATCTATGGCCATCCTCTTTCCGGAGAGGCTCGCCGTAGTCGTAGAGCGAGTACCGGCAACGGCCTTGCCCTTCGCCTTGCTGGAGGTAATGGGACCGGTGGCGTTGCTGGTGGTGGAGGCAGAGGCGGCTTTGTCCTGAGAGATCTTTCCCCCAATATGTCCCTGGGAGCTCAGACTTCTTCAGACAGGCTCGGCTTTCGGTCAGAGTCAGAGTTAGAGTCAGAGATAAGTACTCAGAGATATGTAGGTACTCTGCTGGCATTCTGCTCTGCTCCCGCCGACGACGGGAAAGGGCCGGGCCGGTGAGCGACGTATGTATAGTAGGTACGTATCCCGTGCAGAGGCCACCACCATCGATATGTCAGCATTGCCAGGGCTGTTTCTACATACACTGGGCCTTCTACACCGTACTGTAGTAGTAGTATCCCCGCGATCACGCCCTCCAGCAGTCCTCTACAGAAACCACCACACGGGACAGGCGACAGGGGAGAGGCGCGGGTGATGCGACGGCGGCCCATATTGTATTATAATATTGAGATCCGTTCGTTGATTAGTTAGTCAGTCATAACGGGAGGCCTGGCCTGCTAGGTGTCCATCTTTTCTTTCTCTCGAGGCTCAAGGCTCTCTCAATACAATACATGTTACCTTTAATATCATCCATTACAATCCGACAGCCCACAACCAGACCGGGCCGAACCATATCCTATGACCGCGCGCCGACGTGCCCGCCCGCCATCACGTATCACGTGCCCGCCCACCCTTCTCGCGACCGCTTGGCCGCTCGGCGGGCATCTCGCCACTACCCTACCACTACGCGCGATCCCTGTCCCTGCCGGTTCTGGAAGCTATCATAGGGGCCGGCCGGTAGATACATGATAGGGCAGGGGGAGATCGACGATTCCAGTGCATGCTGTGGCCTGTGGGCTGTCGGTTTTCGCTGGGGTTTTGCTGGATCCAACGGCCACGCAGCAGCATCGACTCTCGGTGGAAGTGGAAAGTTTTTTTTTCCTTTCCACGCTTCGACCGTGAAAACGCTGATTGGCTGGACGGGAGGTGGGAACATGGTGCGCGCGGAACAAAGAGTAAAAACGATGAGTCCCGAGACAGAGAGATCGAGATAGATAGAGATACAGATGGAGATAACGATACAGATACCTAGATCCCTCCCGTCTGAGCTTTGTCGTATCCCATGTTCCTTTGAAAGCGAAGGCGAGACCGAAACGAACTTGAACCTGAACATGGTGACTTCACAGCTGGTACTCCACCAGTACTTGCTCCGCTACCCTAAGAGAGCCTTGGCGCGCGTTCTGGACGAGCTTGGCACAAAAACGCCCCACCAATCCACCACGCTTCGCACATCAGAAGTACTTGGCATGTACCGTTGGTCGTCCAGTCACCCCCACAATCGTCATCACATACTACTTCACCGCACTCACACACCCAGGACCCAGCTGGCTTCAAATTTTTGTTGCGGCGAACCAACAACCACGAACGAACGCACTGACCTGAACTTTCTTTCTTCCTCAACCACGACCCACAACCTTAACCCCACCAACCTTCAACCTTCAGCCACGACCACAGACAACACATATCCAGATCGTTGCTGATTGACTCATTCCAAGACCCATCCTCTTCCAGTTGAGTAGAGAATACAAAGGTACATTCCGTCCTGTCTTTCGTCTACTCACTGGCACGAAAGAGAGCGAGAGAGAAAGAAAGCGTGTGTTCCATGCTATCGCCTCGACCGTATTCTAACGCGACCGATCGCATATATAGACAAGTCTATGGCCCCGACAGCTTCGCCGCCCAAAGTCCCGCCAGTGAATTCTAAGCCCAGTCAATGCGCACCGCGCTTCCTCCAAATGACAGCCGATCCCGTTATTATGGAGACCCCACCGACCCCGAGTGCGCCTCGCCAGAGCCAGCACTCTGAAATCGCCAAAGCGGTGATGGCTGCTCCGGCCGTGACCATGTCCAGGACCAAGTCGACGTCTTCGAACAAGGAGGGCGCTGACTTCCTCGCTCCGCCGGATCTCTATCCCATTCTGAGCGATACTCCACTCGCGACCGCGCCGAATTCCCCGAGGATGTAAGTTGTCTTCTTTGGTTGCAGAGGGGGTGCCGGATTGGAACTGATTGCGGGGTGTAGTCGTGCTACGACGATCGATGTTCCAGGTCTCACTAAGAGTAAGGTTTCCCCAGACGGCCGCATCGCAAATCGTGATCTCGGATCGAAGCTGGTGAGTCATTGATCTCCCATGGTGTCGTCGTGCGGTCGTCGTACTGATGGCAAACAGGTTATCGTCATGGTGGGACTTCCGGCTCGTGGAAAGTCATACGTCACCAAGAAGCTCGAGAGATACTTGAACTGGTGGGTTTCTCTGCGCAGCGCTCTGGTATCGGTTCGACGACTGGCGACTGACGTGGTGCGTGCGATACAGGCTCCAGCATGATACCCGTATCTTCAACGTTGGAAACCGCCGTCGTGTGGCTGCCGGTGTGGTCGAAGGTCCTGCAAAGGCTGCTAACGGACATCCCCCGCCCGTCCAAGGAACCGGTCTGCTTTCGTCGTCGTTTGCTCAGCTGGACATCGACGGTATTGCCTCCGCGGGCCCTACCCACAGGAGAACCTCGTCAACGGGAGACATCGCTGGAAGCATGGACCAGACGGCCGAATTCTTCGATCCCAAAAACACGGCGGCGTCCGAGCTCCGTGAACAGGTCGCGTTGGAGACTCTCGACGAGCTGCTCCATTACATTTTGTATGAGGGTGGCTCCGTTGGTATCTTGGATGCGACCAACTCAACTCTGAAGCGTCGCAAGGCGGTGTTGGATCGGATTCGTCAGGTCGCCGGCAAGGAAATTGGTGTCGTTTTCTTGGAGTCGGAATGCACAGACGAAAAGCTCCTGGAGGCAAACATGCGTCTCAAGTTGCAGGGTCCTGACTATAAAGACTCCGATCCGGTACAGGCCTTGGCGGACTTCAAGCGTCGTGGTAAGTCGTCGTCGTTGCATGTGCGTTCCTGGGGTTGTGTTGGCTCAGGTACTGACGATCTCGCGGGAACTAGTTAAAATGTACGAAACGACCTATGTATCGCTAGGTGATTTTGAGGAGAAGCTCGGAATGCAGTATATCAAGGTAAGCCGATCGCCTTTCATCCTCGGTTGTTGTGGGGTATCAGGCGCATGCAACACGTCGTGCACCCACCCAACTCCGCTCATCCGGTTGCGGTTCCGTTTCCCTTACACGACACGACAACCATCACCCACACATTCAGCTAATAAAAACATCAATAGATGATCGATGTGGGACGCAAAGTCGTCACCCACCAAATCCGAGGCTTTCTGGCTGCACAGACTGTCTATTTTCTTCTCAACTTCCACCTGTCACCTAGGCAGATTTGGATCACTCGCCACGGCGAGTCGGAGGACAACGTCGCCGGCAAGATCGGCGGCGATGCATCACTGAGTCCGGAAGGCAAACGATATGCCAAAGCTCTCGCGAGCTTCGTCGCGTATCAGAAAAAACATTTCCACGAGCGGCTTCTGCAGAAGCACTCGACATCTCACCTGCCGCCGCACATGGGCGATACGACCCCGCCGAATCCCCAGTACCGGAATACGTACCAGGAGGACGACGAGGGCCAGCCCCTCGAGAAGAATTTCTGCGTCTGGACGAGCATGCTTAAGAGGTCTATCGAGACGGCCGAGTACTTCGACGAGGAGGAATACGACATCAAGCAGATGCGTATGTTGAACGAGCTGAACGCCGGAAACGCCGAGGGGCTCACATATGACGAGATCCGCGCGCAGTGGCCGGACCAGTATGCCGCTCGCAAGAGAGACAAGCTGAGATACCGATACCCTGGCGCCGGAGGAGAGAGCTATCTCGACGTCATCAACCGGCTGCGCGCCGTCATCGTCGAAGTCGAGAGGATGCAGGACCATGTCTTGCTCGTCGCTCACCGAGTCGTGGCTCGTGTGTTGCTCGCATACTTTCTTGGCCTCCGCCGCGAGGATGTCGCTAGTCTCGATGTCCCATTGGGAACTCTTTACATGCTCGAACCGGTAAATATTCTTCCCTCCCTCCCTCCTTGCGAGTTAGCTTTCAACTAACGAATGGAATATAGAAACCGTACGGAGTAGACTTCAAGGTGTACGTCTACAACAGCCAGACGCAGTGGTTCGACTACAAGGAGGACTACAAGCTCAAGAACGATGAGCAGAAGGACGTGGTCATTGGTCGCTAGCCTTTTCATCTGTTCGTTTCCGGTTGATTTTTTTCGTTTTCTTTTGCGCGCGATGGGATGGCGATGGCGATGCGGGGTATATCATGGGGGCGTTTAATGGGTGTTTTTCTTGCTACTTGCTACTACTACTTGCTGAGGGATCGATCGATCTGAATGGTGTTTCGGTGTATGCTTTCTTCTTCTTTTTGTTTGTTTTGTTTTGTTGGGGATTTGACTGGAATGGACTGGCTTGCGAAGGCGAAGGGTGAAGAATTCGAATACATAGATTTCTCTTCACGGTTGACTGCGCACATGACACATGGGATATCATTCGCCCTCACTTTGATATCACAACTCGCGCCGGGTGGTCATGAGAATCAATGATTAAACAATAATAAAAGAACAAAACGGTGGCCATGAGAAATAGTCCTTAACACTATTAACCCAAGTACATAGTCTGAAGAACACACCCGCATCATACCGCGTCGTTCCAGTGTTGTGTTGTTTATTCGTACATCCCATCCCATCCTCTCCCTTTTCTCTTCACAAAACCCGTTAAAACTGTTAAAACTCCGCACACTCCAGACCAGATCATCACGCCAAGGGGGTAAGGTAAAACAAACAGAGTATCCCGATAGAAAACGGAAATACTGGAATGGGAGGAAAAATTCAAAAAATCGCATTCAGTTGTTAGTTTGTTTGTTTGAAACCTCCCTTCGTCCCTCCGTCCACTGCATCCATCCACTCCGCGAACTCCCCATACACGTCTCCATTGCCATTTCCACTTGAATCCCTTTCTGTGAATCCTCTTTCTGTGGATCCCTTTCTGTGGATCCCCTTTCTGCAAAACAAAGCAAAGCGAAGCAAAACAATACCATCCAATCCAATCCAATCCCATGGCACACCAGAGTCCCATCCCGAATGAAAAGAAAAACAAGGTACACAAGTAGGGTACCTAGCATAGCGTATACCGACCGACTGATCGATCATAGACCGTGGACCGTGCGATCCCGACCAGACAGACAGACAAAAAAACACTAGAGAAATACAAAGGAAGTAACAGTTACAAAAAAAAAGAGAAAAAAAGCAAAACTCGCAAGTTAGTAGCAGAAACATAGCAAAAGACGTAAAAAAAACGTAAAAACCGCAGCAGGAAGCAGGCAGAATTTCGAAAAGACCAGATTGATTATCTCATTCGTCATCGTTCCTCATCCCATCCCATCTCATCTCATCTCGTCCAAGTATCATCATCACCGAGCAATTCCCCGTCCACCTCCGATCGTCACGTCTCAGTAAGTCAGGTTAGTTACCGGCGGCAGTACCAGCCTGCTGCTGCTGCGCGCGGTACCCGCCGCCCGTTCCGCTGCCTCCACGGGAGTATCCAAAGCCTCTTCCGCGGTACCCACCCCTAGCTCTGCCGCGGCCGCCCCTCCATCCGCCACGGTATCCGCTGCCATACCCATCAACGCTTCCCTGGCCAAAGGTCTCAAGGTTCTTCTTCTGCTCTTCGGAGCGGAACTGTGCGCCGCCTCTACGCTCGCCGGGAACTGCCTCAGCACGCTCCTTATTCTCGCAGGAGATGTTGTCAAAGAAGCTTGACTTCTTGTTGTAGAAGCCGTCTTTCGGGGGCGGCGGAATACTGACGGCGGCCTCGTCGGTGTTGGCCGACTGCTCTTCCGTCGACGATGCGGGCTCCGTGACGTGGGGTGCGTTCTCGTCCGTGCCCGACGCGATCGCCTCCTTGACCAGGTCTTGCTTGTTGAACTTCTCGTTGTTGCCCTGGAAGTCGAAGTCTGTCGTGGGAACCTCCACCTTGCGCGTCTGCTGGTTGAAGTTTCCACGTAAACTACCGCGGCCACGGCCGGCGACAAAGTTGCCGGTGCCGGGCTGCTGGCGCGTGCGCGCTTGGTGGTGAGTCACCTGGACGCCGGGGGCTGGGACATTTGGTACCGGACCGTCGACGGCACGGGGGCTGTTGGTGTGGTTGGCGTTATTGGTGTTGCTATTGGTGGTGGCGGTTGGCTTCGGCGCTGCAGCAGCATTTCCAGCTGTCACGGCCAAGCGATTGACCTTGTCGGCGAGATCCCTAACCGCGGCACTGGTAGCATTTGCACTCGCGGCTGCTTCAGGCTTCGGAGGAAGCTGCGCAGGAGATGCTGCAGCATTGTTCGCTGTGGTGGTAGTTGAAGGTCTAGCGGCTGGCGACGTTCGGGGGAGAGCGGGGACGATTCCACCACGTGCCTTGGGTCCGGAAGGAGCAGTGGCAGGATTGTGGGGGGCAGCGGCTACAGGCGCACCGGCATTGGTCTGTTCGGACAGCTTGGGTTGGTTGGTGTTCTCGCCTTTGGGTTGCTGTTGCACAGGCGCTGCGGTAGGCTGGGCGGGCTGCTCCTGCGGCTTGGGAGCTTGCGCAGGAGGCTGACGAGAGGCACCGGGGACCTGACGATTCGCAGAGGGGCCGATCGGAGCTTGTGGAGGCGCTCTGTTCTGTGGACCAGTTGGCGGCTGCTGCTGGTTAGGCTGCGGGGGCTGCTGCTGCTGCATAGGCTGCTGTGGGGCTTGATGAGGCTGCTGGTGCGGGGGCTGCAGCGGGTGAGGCTGTTGCTGTGGAGGCTGCTGCTGTGGACCAGCCAATCCAGGACCTGGCATTCCCATAGGAGACTGACCACCCATCGGCGGCGGGTAAGCTCCAAACATGCCAGCAGCCTGGTAAGGACTAGGGCCGGGTCCGTAGCCGCGATGCTGTTGCTGAGGCGGGGGAAACTGGTAATACGGCGGCATTCCCATCGGAGGCGGGGCCTGTTGCTGCTGGAACTGCCCAGGCGGAGGCTGTGGTGGCGCATACGGACGAGAGCTTTGCTATTGCACGCACATTCATCAGCCTCCCCCTCCCCTCCCAATCACCTTCCCGCCAATACTTACACCCAAGATAGCTGGATCATCCAGCTGCGGCGGTGGGATAGGTGGCTTCTTCTGCGCCGGCTCCTCAATCCTCAAGTCCTTAACGTCGCTTCCACGGAATACAATGTATTCGTAGACATTTTCCGAGCCCGCAATTTCCCCATCGCCCCCGCGTCTGCCCTCCGTGCCATGCGACACCACCTGCTCGAGCGCTACCGTGCTGGTCTCGGAATTGATCTCGTGGAGGGTACCGACATATCTACCTCATGTTAGAGGCTGAAGCCTGGGGGACGACGACGAGGAGGGGGGGATGAACCGTATGTTGCTCTTCGAAATCAACGAGATGCGAGCACTGTACAACAAAAGAAAGACTATCAGCAGCTCTCCTCGTATACCTCATATCTACCATCACCAAGTAAGGAGGCGGGGTGGATGGGAGGGAGTGAAGGGGGGGAGAGGACATACCCAATGAATTCCGTCATAATCTACTCGTCAGGTTCACGCCCCCGGAGCTTCCTTAACGATGTCGAAGCTGAAGTGGCGGATGCTGGGGTTTTGATTGAATTGTTATTGTTTTCTGATGTGCGATGTGATGTGATGGTTGAGGAAGACACGACGACGACGGGGGCAGAGACAGAGAGAGAGGACTTGGGAGGGAGGGCTTTTGGCGAGCTGCATCCTACCATCCACCGATCCACCCAACCCACCCACCCACTCACAGATTGTTCGCTACCCGGCCCTTTTTTAACTTTGCTAGGGCCAGTCCGCATTCCATTTCGGGCCCAAACAAAACAACACCAACTGCTATCTACTCTACACACTCCCAAGCTCCAACTCAGCGACAGACATCCATACATCAACTCGACAATGCCACCGACAACCCCCTACCCCCGCTCCGTCGTGAAGCGCATAGCAAAAGCGCACACTGGCTTCAACGTCGGCAAGAACGTCGATATACAGCTATACCTCCAGTACAAGCTCTTCATGCAAGAGTCAGTCTCCATAGCTCGGTTGGTGGTGGTGGAGACCTATCTGACGCGTCACAGATTATTGCGAGAAGCAGACCTCAAGGCGCGTAAACGGGGAGCTACCAGAATCTCGCCCACAGATATCAAGAAGGTCACTTCGGTATGTGCGAGCTCGAGAAGAAGGGAAGAAAAGGAACTGATTGAGATCGTGGTAGGATGTCTTGCAGAAATTCAAGGTCTAGAGACAACCGAACTGGGAAGGCGTTTTGATATGGCTGGGTCGTTTTGCTTCTGGGCGGGGCGTTACTGGAGTTCGGGGGTCGAGAATCATCTGTAATACCGCTCGACTTCTACTGTATTGTTTTCGTTCTTCTTTCGAGCATCAATCAAAGCATCGATTTTACACGCGCAGCGAGGCGGTCGTAGTTACTGAGATGGGCATAAGCTGGAACCTTATATAAAGCTCACAGAACGGACAGACAGAAAAGCAGAGACAGCAAAGCAAATACGACGAACGACATAAGACGAGACGGAAACCAGACAAGCAAAGAAACTGGAACACAAAAGGACTCCGGATCCTCCATTCAAAAGACCATAATCCAAGAAAAACAAGCCACCGCCCGCCCAATGCAATCACAGTCAAACGAATGCGCAACCTTCCTCTCCGCTGGCCCAGTCTTCCCATCAGGTTACCTACGACATCCGCAGCCTTTCCCAGTTCACCAATCCACCCCGCAATTGCCCATCCAGACGCATACCGTTCTGCAACAACTACTAAGAAGCACGGAACGAGTGCATCCAGCGATAATACCCGGACGGGGAGGTGATGAAAAGATTGTTAAGTGAAGAAGACCGCGAAATGCTCCCATCTAAAATTATCTAGAAGCAGTAGTAGAAGTTTCGAACTGTGATCAGGACGGACTGGCGACACGGAAAAAGAAAAGGCACGGAAACGATTGTTTAACAGCAACCTCCAGCCGCTCCCTGCTGGACGTCCCGACCGTTGTTGACCGTGACCGCGGGTTTGTTGTTGACAGCAGTGGATCCCATGCGCTCCTACAGGAAAATGGGTTAGCTTCGCGGTCCAACGACAAGTTGGCCCAGCCAGACAAGGTAGAGGATGGCAACAAACCTTGATCTGTCGGGCCATCGTCAAGAAGGCCTGCTCGACGTTGGTGGCGTTCTTTGCCGAGGTCTCCAAGAATGGGATTCCAAGACTGTCGGCAAATTCCTATCCGGCGCGAGCAGCTGATTAGCACAGGAAATCTTTTGCGCGACCGCCGAGTCATGGGGACTGTGGGGCAAAGTACCTTTGCGACAGCATAGTCGACCACCTTCTTGTCCGCCATATCACTCTTGTTGCCCACGAGGAGCTTGTTCACACCTTCCGTCGCGTAGCGGTCGATCTCCTGCAACCACTGCTTGACGTTGTTGAAGGAGTCTGGTAAACGAGTTAGCGAGCGTCGTCGTCATCGTAAACGGGAGCCCATACCCATGTCCGTCACATCATACACGACACAGATGCCATGCGCCCCTATCGAATTTCGTCAGCCATTCAAGTCATATGACAGCCTTCCGTGAGTCAACACCGAGCGCCAAGTACCTCTGTAGTAGGAACTGGTGATGGTCCGGAACCGCTCCTGGCCAGCTGTATCCCACTGCACAATATTGTCAGCCGCCCGTGTGGCCTCAAAGCGGATCGTGGCGGATCCGGGGGCGAAGGGGAGCACGTACGATCTGAAGCTTCACAGTCTTGCCATCGAGCTCGATCGTGCGGATTTTCTGGTTATCAGGTCAGCATTCCATACGTATTGTGTCAGTCGAACGCATGGACGTACAAAGTCGACTCCGATAGTCGAGATGTAGCTCTCGGTGTAGGTGTCATCTGCGAATCTGAGCAAAAGACAGGACTTTCCGACACCAGAGTCTCCGATGAGGAGGAGCTTGAAAAGGTAGTCGTATCTGGAGTTTCCGGCATCGTCAGCATCATCGCAGGGGCCAGAGAACGACACAGCGACCGAGGATCGACAGCACGAATCCGAGTCGAGCGTGTGCAGAAACGAGGGGAGTAATTGGAAGGGCGGTTGAACTCTGTACGCTAATCAGCAAACCGATGTGGCCGAGGGAAGTGGTGATGGCGAAGGCGGGGGAGGGGAGGTTTAGAGGGGAGGATAAGGCGGCGATAGAGGGGGTAGGAAACATACCACTCGGGGGTAACCATTGTTGCGGTAGGATGTTCTTAGTGGTGTTGTTTGGGGAGGGTGATGAAAACTGTTGTTGGATGGAGCAAGGTCGGTCAGTCAGTGAAGTTGGCTTTAGTTGCGGTGGGCAAGAGGGTGGTGGTGGTGGAAGTGGTGTTGGTAGAGGTGGTGTTGTTGTTATTGAGTTGGCGGGTTTGAAGCTGAAGGAAGAGGGAGGGAGGGAAGGATCCGAAGCAAGCAAGCGGCAAGCACAGGGGAAGCAAGCAAGCAAAGCAAAGCAAAGCAAGCGAAGGGGTAGCCACTCAGCCACACCGGGGCGACAGCGACAAGAGAAGACAAAGAAGTACGTACAGTTCGCCGAAAGCTCTTATTAGGCGGTGACAGTAGCTGGAGACGGTGGTGGAGAAGTGGTATTCGCGGCTGTCGGGCGTTGAAGCGATGAACGTGGTTGGTGGGTTTGGTGGTGGTGGTTTTGCGGTGGTGGTGGTTTTGCGGTGGTGGAGGAAGAGAAGGGGAGGAGCGTGAATGGCTTTGCTTTTCGGTGAGTTGACTCCAAGGGTTCTTTTGAGTGATAGTATGTCTGGCGTTCTTAGCCGCGAGGAGAGGAAAGCGAGCTGCCTTATGTCGGATGGCGGATAGTGAGAGAGCCACAGATGGAAAGCGAGAGAAGAAGACGGCCATTCTATGGCAGATGTCCTCGTCCTATCCACAGCCTTTAGAGATTCTGTCACATGGACAATCCTTCCGTCTCCACTGATCCATCCGAGATGTTTGCGATCATCATCACCCGGAAAAGTGCGGTAACTATGCGTTTCACATTTCAGCTATGATGGGCGGACTCCCTCGACTACGATGCGGCTATCCCGCTCAAACAGCTCTTTGATTCAGCCCGCCGGTCCTGGTTATCATCGACGATATCATAGCTTGCAGACAGCAGGCCAATCCGATTGCTGGTATACTTATGCGTAGAAAGAGCTATGCGCGTGCCGCACAAAGTCGTGTGGAGGCTTGAAGCATTCGGCCCCCGAGTCTAGCTAAGGACATGCCATCCACCACCCTCTCTCGTCCTTATATCGTCCTGATATATCCATCCCATCTTTCTTCAAAACGGAAAGGTTTTTGCTTCTTCCTGGACCTTGCAGGCGACGCCGCCCCAACTTCGGTAGAGTGCCGACTGTTAACTTTGTCGCTCTTGCGTCTTTCGTCGTCGACCTCCTCCTCCTCCTCCCCCTCCCTCGTCGTCACTTCTTGACTTCTGCAACCAACACCATCAACACCACCCCCCACCACCACCACGACCCCGCGAGCCCATGAATCCTTCAGGCGCGCTGCAACCGTCACCAGGCCCCAAGCCTCCGGCACGCTACCAATGGGGCAAACCCATCAAAGACCAGATCTTCTGGCAGAAGCCCGACAAGGTAAGTGGACTCTTCTTTCGATATGACTTCCGTTTGATTGACCCGTTCGATAGCCAATGTTCCTCGACGAAGTGTTGCTCGACTTCCCAGAGTAGGCAAAACTGCCCTGGACCCTTGCATGCCGCCAACGGACAGCTGACCTCGCAAAGGCCCGTTTCGATACCAACAGTCAACAGGGCTGATATGAATGTTGGACCCACCTCGAAGGTCGAGGCCAATGTGCGATTCCTCCGACAGCGCCACCAGGAGCAGAGGTGAGCCCCGTGTTGCGACTCATCAGGGTTATCTTGGTGTTTATCATTACTCAGGCGCCGTCTTCTGGCGCGTCACGAAGCCGAGTACCAGAAGTGGATGGCCGACATCGAGAAAGGCATCGATGTTGAGGACTTCCCCGCCGACGACTACCAGTTTATCAAGCCTACCATTGGGATTTATCCAGAGTCCGTCGAGATGATCAAATCGGAGGAATCAAGGGCGATGATCAAGCGTCTGCCGATCGACAAGCGCAACGTGTTGGTCTCTATCGATCAGCTTATCGCCCTCACGCAACCGTCTGGCTCCGGGGGGCACACTGCTCCTGATGCCCGAGAATCCTCTGCGTCCGGAGATGCACGCAAGTCAAGGAGCGGTACTCCTCCTGTCCGAAATGACCGGGTGCGTACTCTGGAGAAGATAAATCCCATCGACGATGGTCGGACTCGTGCTCGGAGAATTCCCGCTGACGATGGTGGGATTTGCGCTCAGCAGACATCACGCCGTCAGCTAGAAACTCCGGCGATCAATTTCGCCGCGCTGATTGGGCGTATGGCAGCCGACGAGCGGAGAAGGATGCTGGGCGAAGACCAGGAGCTGCGGCTGTTCCACATTGACACCATGGAGATCTACTACCAGGCCATGATGAAACTTGACTCGGTCAAGTATCCCCCGCTGCCTCCGCAGCAGAGGGAGGGTCGAACAACGGCGCCGCTGAATAAGGACGGCAGCGCGTTCAGAAGGAGGTCGTCGGGTGGGAGTGTTAACATGCCGCCGCCCGCTAGACGCGAGTCTATCACTGGTTCTACGGCTCTTCCTAGCCCTAGCGGTCCGACTGGTCCTGCGTCTGGGGTATTGGCTGCTCTTACTATGCAGGCTGGTTTTCCTGCCCAGAGGCCACGGAGTAGTGATGGTGCCACTCCAAGGGGAGGAGGAGGGATGGGTGGTGGTGGGGGTGGAAGAGGGGGCGGGGAAGGGGGAGGAGGCGGTAACATTTTCACTCTAAGAGGAAGGGAGCATGAGGATGCTGCTCCAAGAGGAAGGGGTGGATCCACTCACAGAGGTAGGAACGAGGACGACCATTCCAGAGAAGGAAGGAGTGGTTATGCTAGCAGAGGGAGAGATGATGATTCCAGTCCGAAGGGGAAGGGCAACCGCTATGCTTCGCGGGGAAGAGGTAGAGGGAGGGGCAAAACCCGCTCTTCTTCGCGAGAACGTGGTGGTTACGCTCCTAGAGGAAGAGGCTCTCCTAGAGGAAGAGGCTCTCCTAGAGGAAGAGGCTCTCCTACTGATGACCGCAGAGGATTCGATTATCCTCACAGATCGCCCGGATACCGCCCTCCGGGCCCCTCAAGGCCCGATCCAAGAAGTCTGGATAGATCCCGTGCTCGGAGCAGATCCCGTCCTCGGGGTAGACCCGGTGCTTGGAGCCACTTCCCTCCGAGGAGCAAATCCCGTCCTCCAGTCCAGTCCAGGCCCCCTCCGAGGAGTCCTGGAGCGCCCCGCCCAAAGAGTGCCAATCAGTTCCGTCAGAAGAGTCCTGACCAGCGCCCCCCTCCCGGCAATACCCGTCCTCCCCCTGCTACTCTCCCTTCAAGAAGCCCTCCGAGAGACCCTAGGCTCCCTAGGCCTTGATAATAGGTACATAGACCGATTCATCATGTTGAATGCGGGATCAAGATTTTCTTTTGTGTACTTTTAATACTATCAATCACTGTGCACGTCTGATGTTCTATCTTTTTGTTTGTTTATTCATTGTGCATGCGACCTATCTACTCTGGATCATAGCAATAGGTATAGAGTACACGCTCCATTTCCACGCCACTGTTCAACGGGACTCTCATCAGGGGAGCGGTGTGGCTTTCTTGACGATATATGAGCGCACCCAGGAAAAAAGAAAGAAAAAAAGAAAGTTCGCCCCTCAAGCCTTCTCTCAACGTCCTCAACGTCCTCCGCCCCGTCCACTAGCCGCAAGCTCTCTGCCGCAAGCTCTCTGCCTGTCTCTTCCTATTCCCCAACATCCCACTCAGACACCCCGCATATGTACTGCATCTTCCTCAACGACCGAGTCCGGGTCCGGGTCTGATATTCGTCTGCCGAGATCTGTGCCGACTTCAGTAGCGGCAAGAAAGGGTAAGAAGGTGCAAAAAAGTCCAAGAAAGTCCAAGAAAGTCCAAGAAATTCCAAGAAAGTGACTGCCTGACTGCAACTCTCGTGTATAATACAAAGAGGTTACAGGTCTTGGAGCTCCCCGTCTCCTTCTGAACCTTTGCATACAGGATCATTCATAGTCTTTGTCCACAGGATGGTGGAGCTTCTACTGGATTTTTTATGGCATTAACTACAGGCAGGACTTGAGGATGTCTGGGTTTTGTACATAGCAGCCCCATCTGTACTCGAGTAGAGTAGAGTAAAATAGTAGCGGGCGTCTGGACTCTGCGCGGTTGTTTGTCCACTGGAGATACATACCGGTATATAGTACTACTGGCCGGTGAGATGAGGCAGTGTCCTATCTTCAGCTGGTAGTTACCGTACGTCAAACCTTGAGGCCCGGTTCTCGCGGGCCCTGGCCGCCGGCCGGGCTCGGCCCCGGCATCTAACAAAGTTTTCGGCTATAGCTAACTACCGGTAGCTACATCTTACATCTTGCTGCTGATTCGCTTCGGCCCATGCCTTCACTTCCTTCCGTTTGCTTCCTTCCACATTTGATACCGGTACATATTCCACCTTAGTGATCGCCTATGAAGCACTTAGTACATCGGTAGCCGATTACTATAGAGTAAACAAGCTGCGGCCGTCGGTTAAGCCCGTGCCTGTAAGCCCGTGCCCGTGCCCGTCAGGCGCAAGCACTGTGCACCATCCACGGTCCACCGGTCAACGCGTCCACCCCACCTCGTCCACCTCCCCCCACCACCCCACCACCACCCCCCTTACCTCCCCCCGCCCCACCAGTAAAGAAGCAAACGAAGATGCCCACCTCCGCCGAAAGCAAGACATTCTTCAAGATCCGCGACTACACATGGGAGAACAACGCGGAGTTCCAGGCCGGGCTGCGGAGTATCGTCTCCTCGGCAGCAGCGAATGATGTGCGTGTACTCACTAATAGGGCGAAGTGTTTCTATTTTGCGAAGTAGGTTTCTCTCTTCTTCTTCTGTTTCTACAGAGGTGCGATTGGGCATTGGGGAGGGGAGGGGGGGGATTGGGGGGGGGAGGGGGTTTGGGGTTAGAGTGCAGCGTTGATCGCCCGAAAGGAAAACAGGTGTGCATGTTAGCGACGCGGAATACCAGGCCTGGCTCGACGGCGGTATGACGAGTCCGCCTACTACTCCGGACGAGCACGAAGACGAGCACGAGCACGGTCACGGTCACGAAGAAGTGGAGCAGGAGGCGGGAGGGGAGAAAGACGAAGCGCCGTACCCCAAGAGCTTTGCGGAGGTGGTGGAGCTCATCACCGCTGGCAAGCCGATCCCGGGGATCATGGAGATCCCAGACACCATCCTGCCGCTGCCGACGGAAGCGGAAGCGGCGACTGCGCCCGTCAGGAGGAAGCCCTGGGAGAAGGAGTGACGAGTGATGGGTGGGCACTGAACACTGCATGGGTTCGGGTGGGGGCATTGTTGGCATTGTTGGCATTGTTGGCATTGTTGGCATTGTTGGCATTGTTGGCATTGTTGAGGGTTGGCGAGTGGGACATGTGTACCTACCGTATGGTGGCTGGCCTGGATCATGGGCCCCTGAGGCTTGAGTAAGTGAGCTAGGTAGCATAGCATATGTCTTTCAAGGGTACCTAAATACCCGTCCCGCTCCGCTCTCCGCTGCTCGCTGCTCGTGTGTCCACAGACTCCCACTCGTACACTGGATACCTATACGCAATCATGATCCCCAGCACGTTCCCACTCGTCACGACCGCGCTCGTCGTCGCCGCAGGGAGCTACATCGCCCTCTGCCGGCAGCGTCGCTACGCACGGCTCGCCGAGCTCCAAGCCCGCCACAACTCGCACTCCCTCAGCAGCGCCGAACTACACTCCACCCTCAGCCTGTCCGCGGCCGAATCCATCATCAGCACGCAAATCGAGCTGGAGTTCCCATGGACATTCCACACGGCGCTTCAATTCGCGTTATTCCGCACCTACGCGATCCCCAGCATCTCACGGGTGCTTCAGGGGACGGGGCAGCTATGCACGGCGCACCACGCAGGGCGACGGTACGCGGACACAGTCGTGCTAATCGGCGAGTTCACGACGTGGCCTTTGGGGTCGGCGCGGGCGGCGCGGGCCATCGCGCGCATGAACTTCCTGCACCGCGCGCACCCCGATATCCGCGCCGAGGATATGCTCTACACGCTGCTGCTGTTTGCTACCCAGCCCATAGAGTTTATTAACCGCTGCGAGTGGCGCGGGGTTACGGAGCTGGAGGAAGCGGCGAGCTGGAGGTTCTGGTTTGAGGTTGGTAGGAGGATGGGGATTCCTGAGGAGACGATTCCGGGGAGCTATAAGGACATGGTGGAAGCGTATCACGCCTACGAGGAGCAACATATGTGTCCTGCCGAGAGTAATGAGTTCGTGGGCAGGCAGACTGTCAAGCTGCTGCTGTATTGGGTCCCCGGCGAGACGGCGAAGCGGACGGCTAGGCAGCTGGTGTATGCCGTGTGCAATCCAAGGCTGCGGAGGGGCATGGGGTTTCCGGAGCCCGCGGCGTGGGCGGTGTGGTTGCTCCCCGCGCTCCTGGGCGCGAGACGGTTCTTCCTGAGGCATTTGGCGCTCCCGAGGAGAGATGCCAGCAGGCAGCGGAATGTTTCCGACCGCCCAGCTGAGAATGGCAGGTACTTCGTGCCGAAGTACGATAACCAGCCGTGGTACGTCCCCGCAACGTTTGGCAATCGATGGGGGCTGTGGGGAGTCGTCTCGAGGATCTTGGGACTGCCGGTTGCGGGAACGGAGGGATATGGCGAGGATGGGTATGAAATCGGGACGGTGGGACCGACGGCGTTTAAGAAGGTGGGCGTGCAGACGGTTAGGAGGGAGGCGGAGGAGATTATGAAGATGGGAAGTGGTGGTGTGGGTGCTGGCTGCCCGTTTGGTTGAGCTTCAGCCTTCAGCCTACTATACTGCTGCTGCTTCAGCTCATTGGTGAATGCGTTATTTGCCCTTTTGTTTGCTTTTTGTCTGTATCAATGCCCAATGCAGTACCGTTGTCGTGTTTTCTTATTCCGACGACGGTTCATTGATAAGCACCTTAGTTTTCAGTCATGCATTTGATCATTCGCTTCATTTAATCATTCGCTTCATTTAATTTCCTGTGGCATCAACATCCTCACTACTTCTCCGCAGGAGTATGTCTACTCCCACTGCCGCCACTCCCACTCTCGACCGTCACGATCTCCTCCTTCTCGAGCCCCAATCTACTAACGTCCCAGCCATTCCTCTCCAAGTATTCCCTAAACATGCGATCCTCCTTCTGTATCGTATCCTGTCCGACATGAGGCAGCAGCATTGCGAGTCCCGCCGAGAGCACGCACAGGCTGCTACTGACCCAGAACGGCGCCTGATTCCCGCGGACGGTGTCTGACCCCCCGGAGTTCCTGATGATGATGGGGAAGACGTAGGTGCCAACGAAGGCACCGATCTTTCCCACCGCCGCCGCGATGCCGTAGTACTGGCCGCGGATGGCGGTGGCGCTGGTTTTCGACGCGAGCAAGCCAATGTTGTCGCCTGGACCGAGCTCGCCGAAGGACAGGAACAGCCCGTACACGACCACGAAGGCGCCGATGTACTGCGGTGTCGCCAGCGTGCCGTAGAAGCCGCTGAGGAGGAAGCCGGTTATGCTTTGGAGCTGTGCGGACGCTGTAAGCAGCTATTCACTTGCATGTACATATGATGGAGGACTTACCACGAGACCCAGGATCAAACAGTATCTGGGCCCGATCCAGTCCGAAACGAAGCAACCCAGGAAGCTCCCGGGGATGTAGAACAGATTCACCACCACGTTCCACCCGAACGCCGTGATCATGTTTCCGTCGCCGGCGACCTGCGCCATGATGGTCGCCGAGTAGATTCCGGCCGAGTACACCGCGAACTAGATATGCATCATCCGTGAGCTACATACATACCTAGTGAGGGACGAGGAGGGGGGAAGGATGGCGATGACTGACGTCGTAGATAAACCAGATCAGAGAGACAAGCGTGAGCCGCCACCAGTAGTACTTGATCACCAACCAGTACGGCGTCTTCGTGTTGGCCATGCTGTTCTTCTTGGTCTGCTCGGGCTCCTGCAGGCGGAGACGGAGGAATAGCAGGGTGAAGGGCGGCAGGATTCCGAGGCCGAGACTTACTCGCCACTGTACAGTGTCAGCCCTTCCATAGTTAACAGACATCCGGGGGAGGGGGAAGCACTCACGTTGATCATCAGATCATGCCTCTCAGTCCCGAGGATCCACAGCCAAACCAGAGGTACGAACGCAGCCACCACAAAGCCGACATCGATACTAAAGTTGGTGAAGAGGATGAACCACCTATTCCTCGTTCCCTTCTTGACCTCACCGGTTGCCTCTGCAGCAGCAACACTGCCGGCGGGATACTCCCCGCCGATGCCAATGCCCAGGAAGAATCTGCACACGACCAGCATTGTGAACAGCCCGTCGACGCTTCCACCCGCGCCATAGCTCCCCGTACACAGCGCCGCAAACACGATCAGTATGACCGCCGAAATGGTCATGGCCAGCTTGCGCGTGTAGTGGTCCGCGACGTAGCCGAACGCCAGCTGCCCCACCACCGTCCCCGCGAACGCGATGCTGCTGACGTTGCTTTGCGCTTTGGACCCCGTGTATTCGTCGGGGTAGATCGTCGAGAGCATCACGCCGACTTGGCCGATTACCTGTCGTTCTCGTTCTCATTAACACCACCACCACAGAAATGCACAGCAGCGAGAGAACAGGACGCACCGCGTTGAGATACCCATCAGAGAACAGTCCGGCACCGCACGCAAACACGGGCCAGACCTTCTGCCATTTGCTCTTTTCCTCGGCACCCTCGTCCCGCACCACCTCCTCGTGCACCGAGTCTGCATCGTGCAGCGGAAAGGGATTAAGCTTGACCATAGCCGCTGTCTGTCGTCGTACGTCGTCGTCGTCGTTATCGTCGTTAACCTTTTTCCGTATATATACTTTCTCGGAGGGAGGAGGAGAGGGGGGGGGAGATATAAACTCTCGCCAGCAGGCTCCCCCCGCTCCATGTGCAACCCAAAAACCCGATTAACCTACCGACTTACTACGTATATTGGTAAACGTGTGCTGCGTGGATATCGAAGCCATGGGATCTCTCGTCTATGTATGCAAGCCCGGAAGCATCATCGACATTGAGGCAAGATCTCCGTCCTCGGTCCCCGAAGGGGGGTGGCCGCCGTGCTAAGTCACATACATTAGGTACGGACGAACAAACCCATGCGATTCGGAATATCGGAGTTTGGGTTTGGGTTTGGGTTTGGGGTGCTAGGTATGATATTTTCCCTTCCCTTCCCTTCCCTGGGGCGGCGGGGCCTGTCAAGGGTCTTGCATGGGAGTGTCTGTGATTCCTGAGAAAACGAAAATAAAGCAAAAAGCAGGTTTCTCTACCGGGGATAAACAAAAGCAGTGAGGAAGGTCATCAGTACTCTAGAGTACATACCGTACCAGGTACATAGCATCGACCGTTTCCCCTCTAACTATCCTCTTTCGCTCCCGACGCCGACTACATAAAAACACCGCACTTCTCTCCTCTCGAGAACCATCATGCGTAGACATTACGGTAGTTATCTCCAGCCAAGAGCGGGAAGCGGGAAGCCTAGCAAGCTAAGCTTTCCTTAGCCAGCGCCTTCCCTTCAGGGTGCATGTTTCGGAGGGTGCCGCTAAGTCGTACGAGATATAGATTACCGGTGAGGAAGAAAATCTGAGTGATGGCGTCACATGGCCAATTGGCTATGCGGGGGTCACGCACGTGCAGGTCTTCGGTTTTGTTTATCTACTCTGTCATATGCTTACCCGCCGGTTGCGTGCCGGTGAGAAACTGAGAGTGGATTCGATGGTTATCTTCGGGTTGTAGGGGGATTCATAGGGCATCACTCTCAAGGCCCGATGGGATGTGATGAGAATTGTCGTGGCTCCAACTACGTACAAGACCTGAGATGCGGGAGACCCAAGTACCGGGATATAGTACATACCTCATAGGCAAATCGCCCAGTTTCCGGCGATGACAATGGGATTCGCCTCCAAGCAATGAGATATCTCTCTGATCATCTGAGCCTGCCCATTCCGCAGCCCAAAAACTACATACTTCTATGTACCTACATCAACATACATACGACCAAGGCCCAGCTAGTTCCCTAACTACCCGCTGATGAGAGTGAACTTGGTGTTGAACACAGAACCTCACTCCCGAATCCCGAATCGGTAAATACAGAAGTGTGAAGAGTACCTATCGAGCACTTTCACTACTGCAATCACTCGGTCTGCATGTTCCCACATGGAGCGCTCGAAAAAAAAGAAGAAAAAAACCGCCACAGATTTCGTTTCCATCGAGGGATACGATATATACATCTCGTACACTCAGTGAAGGCGGAGTGGGGGTATAAAAGAGCCAGTCTGAACGAATAACGAGCACCGTAATCGAGCACCGTGATGAAGACTCAAGCACACATCGCAGAAACGCACCCCACAATGAGCACCTACTTCTTAGACACAAAGCTTGTGGAAAGACATGTACCATATCAGAAAATATTGCCGTAGTGTAAAACCTCGCCGCGCCCCTCATCCGTACAGGCAATAACTACCTCCATGAGCAACTCCGCAATACGCATCCCCATTGGTGCGAGTGGATGTGTACATAGCAGTAGACGTTTCAACTTTCACAAGCCATCACACAGCCATTGCTGCAGCCTACATGGTCTGAAATTTCAATCGAAACGTAGCGTAACGGCCTTCATACATACAGTACTCATTCATGAAAACGAACGCCCTACCAAGCAGCACCAAGCAGCACCAAGCAGGAAGAAGCGAGAAGCAAGCAAGAAGCAACGAAATCATCAGCATCAGCATCAGCCGGAGGCCTGTCGCATGGCGTCCCTATCATGGAATCCTTAGGAGTAAGAGCCAACAAAAAACACCCGTCATGATATTGGTCCTTACTTGTACCAAGAGAGAAGTAGAGAAGTAGAGAAGTCAAAAAAAACCCATCCCCATCCCCATCCCGTATTCCCTTTAACTACACACATTACGCCCTAGCAATGCTGTTCCCCACCATCCCGCCCCACCGTCCCACCATCCCCGGTCCCCCGCCCCACCGTCCTGCCACCCTATATATTCACATCACATCTCACAGATTCTCCATCATGCGATCAACCTCCTCGATTTCGACATCGAAGACCCTCCTATCGACAAGGATAACGACGCTGACGAGGGCGGCGTAAGCCTCACGCACCGCGCACGAGACACACGTCTTGGACAGATCCGCGGTAACCGAGGGCAGGCCCCAGAACGAGCACCACGCTCTGGCAAAGACCTCATTATCGGGGACGCCGTAGGCCTCTATGACGAGGACCTCATCGACATCACCGTCCTCTGGCTGGTCGTCGTCCTCGTCCTCATCCTCGACATCCTCGTCCCTGCCGCCCGACGTCCCCCAGTTCTGTATATCGACTAGGTCGTCGACGCGGACCTCGCGGAAGCGGTAGTCGGCAAACAGCACGTGCGGGCCGTTCTGGCACGGGTACGCGGCGATGAACGGCGTGTCGTGGCGCAGCGAGACCTTCCACGAGCGCGCCCGCTTCTCTACCGTGATGGCGAACGTGATCGACGCGTCGAAGATGATGACAGGCTTCTTGTCAGAGTCGTCCTCGAGTGCTTGCCGGTGAACGCCTATTGGGTTCGAGGCCGCGGGCGTAAAGTTCAGCCGCTCGATCCGGATCGAGTCCACCGGGTTCTTGCTCGACGCGACTACCGGCAGGTAGTCCGCTACCGGGTAGGACTCCTGTCGCGGGCCTATGGGATCGCTGTAGTTCGACATGCCGCGGATGATACTTGGCGTGAGCTGGTTCCTTCGGGGCGGATTCTGCTGGATCAAAGCGACTTCCGAGCGGTCCAGGTCCGCCGAGGCCGAGCACGGGCCAATCCATCCAGCGATCTGCGTGACTCCCGCCGCAGCCCCCAGAACCTTCCCTACGATGCACTCCCACGACCAATACGTGCAGCCGCGGTATTGGAATCCGATATTTGAAACCGTCTGTTGGAGGTTGCGGAATTCCGGCGGTGTTTCAACATCACAGTCAATCAATGCGTTCATTAGAATAAACGGCATCGACTTCCCCGGCAGCAGCAGTCCGGTGAACCATGACATACAGTTGGTGCTGCGGTCTTCGAGGTACTCTTCCGGATCGTCTTCCTCCGAAAATTCGAGAATGTCTTCTACCTCTGGCATGTTGGGCCACCTGAGAACTTAGTACAACGATATCCGGCACGAATCGAACGGAAGGATATATCGAGGGAAAGAGGAAGAGAGAGGGGAACAGCTATTTCCAGGAAGAACGATATAAAAAAAAGGGTCCCCACGATCCTACGATCGAAATGATATGGAATGCCTACTCACTTCAATGTCCAGGCAAAGTTCCTGAGCGCTGCGATTTGATTCTTTTTGTTTGGAAACCTGAACCCTACACTAGATTTCTGTTCTCCGCGACCCTTCACTTTCCGTGGTGGCTCAATTTCCACGTTCTCCAACCACCGCTGCGCTAACATGAGATCCCACCGGATCTTCTCAGGGATATCGGTTAGCGGCTTACCCCGTAAGCTCTTGGAGCTCTTCACTCTCAGGTGGAGTTCTGTCGCCAGGAGCAACTGGTGGAAGAAGCTATTTGAGATTCCTGGGTCTGGGTTGTTCAGGAATTTGGCGACTGTCTGATTGTCCGGCAGCGAGAAATCCACCCAACTCGGCCGGCATAGCGCAGCAACCAAATCCGAGATCTGATTATCCAACGATGATTGGTTTCCCCCGGGGTAATCGTATTTGTGATTATCATGCAGCAGATGCTCGTAGAGATGGTTGTGCAGGTCCACACTATCCTCCTCAATGCCCGCAACCTGAAGCTGTCGTAACCGGTCAAGGACGTAGAGCATGGTGAGCTTCCGGACCTTTCCTCGGGCCGCAATTTCCGATCCCTTGAGCTCACTGCCGAAGCCTGCCACATAATAGGCCAGCGTCACGGTTCCAGGATATATCCCGAACGCATGGCCCATCGCGGGCCTTTCCAGTGCATCCGTCTGTTTCCCTTCGGGGGCTGAACTCATATCCCCGAACGAATCACTCTGGAACGGTGCCGTGTCGGTGTATTCGTCCCATTCCTGGCCGGCGAAGGCGAAGAAGTGGAACTGCCCTCTCGGACCATTCGAGATCTCGCGGAGCTCGCCGCGAAACGTTGGCGCACCGTTTGCTACGTATTCTTGAGCTTCTTTTTCCGACAAGTCAGTTTGATAGCGGTTGGGCGGCCAGCGCCTCGGCGGTGCTTCGATCTGTGCGGGGGACGAAGGGGATGAAGGCGAATCCAAAGGATCCTGTGGAGGAAGCACCACGAGCGCTTGGCCCTCTTGCTCTATGCGGAACCGCGGTTTGGTCGGCTTGTACCGCGAGAGCGATACCTCGCTCAGCTGCGACGCCTCGTGAGGAAGAGGAGATGGTGCGGAATGGGGATGATGAGGCGCCATATCAATCGCATAACGGCCGGCGGGGGGAGCAGCAGGGTGTGAAGTGGGGTAGGAAGACGAGTGATGGTGATTCGAGTTCTGGCGGCGGTGTTGGTGTTGGTGGTGGTGAGGGTGGGGAGATTGAGACGGCGGTGGAGCATCGTATGTAGCGAATGGAGGAGGGTGTGAATGAGGAGGAGTGGGGTAGGAGGAGTGCGCCACGGGAATGCGATGTGCCGCTGTACGGGAGCCATCTTCGTAGGGAGAGTGAGGATCAATCGGTGAAGGGCCATACCCGTGAGATTCATAGACGCCGTAATCCGGCATGCCCGGAGCGCTCGCAGGTGACCATTGGGTATGATAGTCCTGCAAAGGGTCGCAGTATGTTAGAAGATCGAGCACGATGCAGGCGCGTTGGTAAATGTAAATGTGTTTATATACGGAAGAGGAATGATATGCCAAACAAAGTGCGGGGTGGACGTCTATGGAATGAGGGGATCGAGGAGGAAGAATAAGCAAGTAAGCATACCCCTTTGGAGTGTCTCGCACTCGATGTCCTACTCAGAACGGGCACTGGGCGAACGTGTAGTTCCGGTGCGTGGTGGACACGATATTTCGATGGACCCGCAGAAGATGATTTCATTTCAAGAATCGGCGCTCGTGGCTATCTATGGAGTTTCGAATCCAGTCAGACAATGGTTCCCCGAGAAACCCTAGGGAATGACCCGAATATGTATATTCCACCTCTCCGTCGTCGTCACCGCCTGAGGGGGGCTGTCCGCCATCGTTGGAGTGGGAACTAAAAAAACGGCCTTGCTGCTGAAGCCTCCAAGGGAGAGCCAGATGACACGGGCATGGGTAGCGGCATGCAGGGGGGGTGGTGGGAAGGGAGGGTAGGTAGGTGGGTAGCATATGTAGCAATGAAGACGAGGGCGATGATGAGAAGGCGCCCGCAGTGCCAGACCAGACCGGAGAGGCAGCAGTGGGTTTTGTTGCAACGATATATGGGCTGCGAGACGAGTGTGAAAGGATGAATGAATGTGTAGTATTGGTATGATATGTAGGTACGGCACGAGAGGCAGAACTGTAGCGCTCACCGAGTTGCAATAAACAAGCTCCTCCGACGCCACCGGAGAGATGGGCGGACGGACGGACGGGGTACGACAGACAGACGTGCGCACAGCGACGGCGACAGCGGGGAGAGGGGGGATGAGGCGGGCGGGTCGGAGGGGTAACGACAACAAGCCGCGATGGCCGCCGGATGTCAACTTTTGGCTAGTCGGGCTAAGACGTCGATAGGGATCTGTCGCTTGCGGCAAAAAACGGGGAAGCGGTATCACAAGTCTCGCGGGTTAGCAGTCGCTGGTCGTAACCGGTAGCTGGGGGGCAGAAGTTGAACGGTATGTAGGAGCGGAGTGATTTGATTGAGCGCGGAGGGGCGGTAGGGGAGGTTGGTGGGTGGGACGGATGGGCTGCAAAAAGCGGAGCGACGTATGGCGATGGCTGATCTCGATGCCGCTCTTCGCTTTTGGTTCGGTGGTAGTGGAGACGGTGACCGCGGTGGTGGTGGTGGTGGTGGTGGTGGAGGGTGGTGGTGGTGGTGGAGCTGCGGCTGCCGATGCTGGTGCTGCTGGGTGCTGCTGCTGCTTTGTTCTTTCTCCTCTCCGCAACTGACGCCTAATGCACGGCGAGTAGGTACTCGAGCAACGCTACGGGGATGCCTGCAGCTAATCGATCACGTCGTTCGTTAAGAACTAGGGCAGCGCAATATCTATGCACTCTGCTGAGGATGAGGATGATCGAATCTGTGCAGCCCCACTGTCGAGTGCAAGTTCGTATATATTCAGCCAGTAGACTGTACCGACTCGAGTGTTCCTCGATGAAGGTGCTGTGGCTTCCGTTCCTGCGAGCGTCTGAGGAGAAGTCCTTGTGCACGTGCAGCCCAAAATATCCACGGTGGTTATAACTGCTAGTAAGTAGGCGCGAACGGAATGCCGGGTAGATTACCGTCTCCTGTTGGGGGCTTCAGCAGAGATCCGATAACAACAGTAACAGCGGGACGAAGCAAGCAAGCGATGCGATGTCGGTGGCGGAGAACGGAGAAGGAGGATCGTTTCGGTCGCAGGAGTGAGCAGGAGTGAGCGAAAGATATTTGTGCTTGATTGGCTGCGAGCAGCCAGGCCAACTTCTGGGCAACAGCACGGATCCGGATCGGTAGTGGATGGTGGAGTGGTGATGACAGGCGTCGGTGGCTGCGGAGTATTGAGAGCGATCAGGGATAACTATTTCGCTCGCTGCCGGGTCATTATTGTCCTGCCACTGACAGTAGGGCGAAGCGTAGATATCGATGTCACGATAGAGATCGATGTCACGATAGAGTGTGTATCCGACGAAGGAGATCTACAAAGTATCAGGAGGCCTCCATTCACGCTTAACATTCCACAAATACTAGTAAACATTCTCCCGGACCCCAAATACGCAAGGTAACTTGGCATGGCAGGTGACGGACGGACGGACTGTGAAGCGCAAGAGCTGGGGATTACGATACCGATGACCATGATGCAAACGTCCCCTCAGCGGAAGGACATCCCGGCTGCGAGATCCAGGCTCGGCGCGTACCTAGTTACCAGAGGACTTTCTTGGGTAAGTAGACCTGTTTGTGGTAGTTCTGTATCTAGACGATTCTCTGAGCTTTTAACCGATGCATATCACCAGCCTTCTCCTCCGCATAACGCTGCCACCCCCGCACGTCACAGCCTCATGACTGCAAGTATATACATATCTCGACCAGCAATCCAACTTGCTTCAAAGCGGTAACTGGATACCCACCTAGAGTGTGCTCGCTTCCTTCACCCCACACGACGCCGGCGGCCGGTCGGTCAGGCGGTCTTCGATCCTGCCGGATCTGCCCGACGCTTGTCACATCATGACAGCTTCTCCGCTGATACCGCAGGTCCGCAGCTCGCTCTCGCCCGCAGGCCGCAGGGGTTGGGATCCGAGGCCTCCGTCTATTCTATCTAGCGCTTCCTTGCAGGTCGCGACGGACGGACGCCGGATTAGATAATTCGCAACACATCAAAGCACTCGGCGGTTGGTCCTGTTCCGGGAAAATGGTTTCTGCTCGGTCCACGCCTTTGTCATCAGACACCAGAATACCAAGTCCCCGACTCACTGTCCCTCCATGGCTCATGAACCTGACGGAGAAGGATCGCCCCGGACACCTTATCGTAGCTTGCCTCAGCCGGCGTGCTGTGCAACTTGCGTGAGCACTTCCGCCTTAACTATCTGGAGGTCCGAGTCAACCTCGCTTTTGCCAACACGTTACGGTCGGTGTGCCGGAGGGACGGGGCTTATGAGACGGATTGAGAGCCGATGTACGGGAGCGACTCGCCGGCTGGGTATTCCCAGTCCGTGGGAGTGGACGGCGGGACTTGGAGTTGCCAACTGGACCGTAGACGCGTGATGGACGTAACAAGTCGCCGTGGGATTCCCGTGAATAAGTAGGTAGTGGTTTGGTTGCGCTCGGCGGAGAGAGGGATTGAGGGAGGAAGACAATCCGAGGCCGTTGCTTGCTAGAGTACGATCGTTTGAAGCTGCCAGGTCGGATCGTTGTCCAGGAGTAGAGGGAATCCATAGGGAGAAAGTTACGACTGCTGGATGTCATGCGCACGTGACCACTAACCAAGTACGTTCAAACAAACTTTGGCCACGTCGGACATCGTTAACACTTTATGCTTAATTGGCGTGGTCCGTCTTCCATTGCCCATCATCCCGACCCATCAGACTGACGGCGGAGCATCGAAAGTGCTTTTTAGATGGCCTGGCCATTGGTCAGTCGGGCAAACACATAGCTTCCCGAAATACTGTGTTGAGCTCTGCGGGTGATCTCCATACTACATAGACTCATAGAGTATTCGTCCCCGGCTTTCTGGCCGGTGCTGTAACTATTACTAGTAGCTGTCCGGCTTTGGCATCTCCTGTGGTGCCTCACACGAACAATTACTTTGTACCTACCTAGAGTAGACAGCCACCACCACCAAAGGCGATCATTGTAGTTGAGCATAGCATAGCAAAGCGAAGCGTCAAGGGAATCGAATTCCCCAGGGCCCAAGCATCTGATTCCTGAATCCTCGATCTCGACTCCAGCCTTTCCGTTGGCCCGCTACCATGGAAATCATCCCCACTTCCCGCAAGCTTGCACCGGCGAAGGCCAGGGGGGCTGCTGCTGCGTGGTTGCACCTGCATTGGCCGTCGGTCCATGCTCGAAACCCACCACCACCCCACTCCATTCGCGGACACGCCGACAGGTTGGCAGTTGACCACCAGGCATGGGAGACATCGCGTCTCGTAATTGCTATATTTGCAAGCCCGTTATCGATCATGGTGCTCACGAGGCAGGCAGACAGGGAGGCAGGGATAGCTGATAACTAGCTTCTGTACAGTTGCCTACATACCTGCTCTACTTACTATCACACGTACTCCCGGTCGCGGCCACAAACTCCACCTCCTCGTCGCCGAAGAGAGGCTTATCTTCATTCCTCGGAAAAAAAAACATACATCTGCCCAAAGTGTTCCCCCCTGCGGAGGCAAAAGGCTCGACGTCGTTGCTTTGTTTATCCACCTTCGCCTGATCGTCGCGTTTCTCCCCGGCCTGCAGCTTCAAACCCACGAGTACATACCGCCCAGAAGGCTATCTACATATCTACATTCGCGAGGGGCTTGCAGCAGCAGTCGATTGATTCCCCCCTCCTCCTCACCCCTCCTCTACCGACGTCATGGCACGAGATTCGACGGCCGACGCCCAGCTGGCGGCTATGGGCTACAGAGCGGAGCTTCCGCGTAACCTGAGCATGATGTCGATTCTTGGACTGTTTGTTATTCCTCTCTCTCGAAGAAGGAACACCTCGCTGATAGCTCCTCTCCAGATCATTTGCGATTATGGGTTCGTGGTCATCCCCCGCCCCATTACACCTCCACTGTCCCAGTATCGCTCTGCAAGCATGCGTGCATGATTGCATGGCAGAAACGTTCTTCTCGATATCCATCCTCCCCACCCCCACACACGTGCAGAACGTGCAGAAGTAAAGTATCTATGATACACGCCACATCACCAAATGCATCGATGTACAATACAATACTCTAGAGTATTATTTGTTTCTGTTTGTCACATTCCGCTAACTCAACTTTGACCGGCTGCAGCTGTGCCATTTGTGCGTACATAATCCGTTGTTTTGTTTTCCATCCCGCACCTTGAAGTATTTCCAGCTACATTGCATACGTGCAAATCAACTGATCTCCGCTTCGCGCTTTGCTTTCACTAGGGGTTGAGTACTACGATGTACATAACCCTGACGGACGGCCAGTCCGTCACCATCATCTGGGGCTGGGTCTTGGTCTCGCTGATATCGCTGTGCATCGCCGCCTCGCTGGCGGAGATATGTGCCGTATTCCCGACTGCGGGAGGGGTCTACTATTGGTACATACATACTTTCTACCTATTCCGCTAACTAGTGGATCATTGTGGATGGTTCCCCGGTTTCTGACCGTCTGCGTAAAGGTCTGCTATGCTGTCGAGCAGAAAGTATGCCCCGATTGCTTCGTGGATAACGGGATGGTTGACCCTGGTGGGCAACTGGACGGTAACTACGAGTATAAACTTCTCTGGCGGCCAACTGGTGGGTCAAGCAAGTCCGGATTCTTAAGTGTGTATGTGCCTTTGGCTGACTGACGCCTAATTCTTCGAAAAAAGATACTGAGTGCAATCGCCCTGTGGCGTGATGATTGGGCTCCGAATGAATGGCAGACCGTCCTGATGTTTTGGTGTATGTTTGAACCATCAAGCCGTGGTCTTTTTGTTTTTATTGCGTTTTAACACTGTGGCTGTTCTAGGTGTCATGCTGGTGTGCTTACTGGTGAACATCTTCGGAGCGAAATATTTGGATCCCATCAACAAGATCTGCATCTACTGTACGCATGCAAAAAAAACCTCGATGACAGCTTTTGGAGCGAGACTTACAAACCATCGTTACAGGGACCGCCGCCAGCGTTGTAATCATCATGATCACTCTGTTATCGATGGCCGACACCCGGCGGAGCGGCGAGTTCGTGTTTACGCATTACGATGCGTCCGCTAGCGGGTGGCCGACAGGCTGGGCATTCTTTGTGGGCCTACTTCAGGCTGCGTACACGCTCACCGGTTACGGCATGGTTCGGCTGCTATCTAAATACCGCTCTGTGCTCTGGATCGACTGACCTTGCTATGTACCTAGGTGGCTTCGATGTGCGAAGAGGTTCAGAACCCCGAGCGGGAAGTCCCCAGGGCTATGGTGTTGTCTGTGGCCGCCGCCGGCCTCACGGGTGTCATATATCTTATCCCGATACTGTTTGTGCTTCCAAAGGTCGAGGACCTGCTCGGCGTCGCGAATGGGCAGCCCATCGGTGAGTGAGAGGAAATGTTCCTGTGGAGTACGTACCGAAGACGAGAACTGATAGAGATGTGTAGGCTTGCTGTTCAAAACCGTGACCGGCAGCGCGAGTGGAGGATTCGGCCTGCTGTTTTTGAGTTCGTAGATTGACAGTCCGCGCATGCACGATGTAGCATATACCTTGCTGATCGGCTTTGCGTTTTTATCTAGTCCTGGGGATCTTGTTCTTCGCCGGAGTAGGCGCATTAACTGCGGCTTCGCGGTGCACCTATGCGTTTGCGCGGTACGTCGCCACTTCCCCCTCCACCCCTCCCCCCCCCCCTCCCCCTCCCCCTCCCCACCCCTCCTCCCCTCACGCAATCAGTGCAGTGCGTATCCGATGCTGATGGATTGCCGTTATCGTGCAGAGATGGTGCCATCCCAGGTTCGCGGTTGTAAGTCCAAAAAAAACCCTTCCCTGCCCTGCCCGACGCTCGTGGCTGTCAAGCCCGCATTGCTGATGAAGATTATGCATAAAAATAAAGATGGTCGCAGGTTAACCACAAGCGGGATATCCCGCTCAATGGCCTGTTCCTGTCGACGATTGTGTGCTGCCTGCTGGGTCTGATCTATTTCGGAAGGTATGTGTGATATGATATGGGGATTGGAAAACGGCCGAACCGCATCTGCAGGTCCGAGCCGGGCGATACAGCTGCTGATTGATTCAATTCGATTATAGTTCTGCGGCTTTCAACTCGTTTACCGGCGTCGCGACTATCTGCCTGAGCACTTCGTATGCGATTCCGATCCTGATCTCGCTGCTGCGCGGGCGGAAGCTCGTCAAGAACTCGCCGTTCTCGCTCGGGCGGTTCGGCGTGGCTATTAACATGGTCCGGCCTTGACTCCTGCCCCCCCTCCTATATACCCCAATTGCGATGCTGATGCTGATGCTGACAATGGTGTTTTCAATATAATAGGTGACAATGTTCTGGATCGGCCTGGCAGTGGTGCTATTCTGCATGCCCGTTTCTATCCCTGTCCAGGCGGATGGAATGAGTGAGTTGCCCCCTCCCCCTCCCTACTCCCCACTCCTTCCCTCCACACGCAGGCGGGCGGACAGCGGGCGGGGTTAATACATGTGTTACTACAGACTACGCATCCGTCGTATTCGCAGGCTTCACCGCCATATCCGCGGGCTGGTACTTCATCCGCGGACGAAAGGCATTCAAGGGGCCGCCCGTCGCAGGCGTGGTAGGACCGGACGCCACGCCGCCGTCGTCCACTGCTGGGGTGGACGATGGCAGGGAGAGGGAAAAGGCTTGATTGAGTATCGTATGTACATTGTTTTCTTTTGTATTGTGGGTTTTCGGATGGATGAGGGTTTTATGTTTTGTGTAAGACGCGTTTGGAAATGGCGGTAATGGGGCTGCAGGAATGCCCGTTAATGCGGTGGGTGGATGGGAGGTGTGTGGGTGTGGATTTGGATGTGTGTGTGTGCACATAATTTATACACGAGCGGTATACATTCCGCTATGGTGTTTATACAGGTGTGTATACACATGAACGTGTAACTGTGTAGTAAGCTACTGGCGGTACGCATAGTCACTCTGGAGTCTACATGCAAGGAAAGAGTGCAATTAATTGACTTGACTTTTGCCCCATCGAGAGTCGACAGTCGAGAACGTCGATTGATACCGTACTTTGTTTCCTTTTGTCTTTTTTTCTTTTTTTCCTGCAGCCTGCAGCAGCAGCGTTAGGTGTGTTTCGTTTCGTTTCGGTTATTCACATTCACAATCGGGTCTACAATGCACAGATTGACTTGCATAATTTATCATGTACGGTATGCGTGTGTGCCTTGGGGTGGAAGAATAGCAGGGCTCTGGAGGGGGAGGAGTCTGAAGTCTGAAGGGAAGGTGCGGGATGAACCGGCAGCTTTTGATTTTGATTTTGCGCAAAGAGAAGAGAATCAAGAGAAGAGAATCAAGAGAAGAGAATCAAGAGAGGAGATGGCTGCATCGGGAGGATTGTTCGCAAGAGCCTCAGTGTGAGCACCGTGAGCACCGTGAGCACCGTAAGTACCGGTGGGGTGCGGCCAGGCTGCCGTACAATTCCGTTTGCCTGCCTGGACTGCCTGCCTGCCCCGGCGCCCGCACCTCCTCCCCTCCCTCCCCTCCTCCCCTACTCCCGCTCGGCCAATCCCCGCTCGGCAGGGAGGAAAGGGAGGGAGGGAGGGAAGAGGGAGGGAAGAGGGAGGGAACTTGAAAAAGAGAGAAAGAAAAAAAAGGGCAAAGAGCAAAGGACAAAGGGCATTTGGCACCGCACCCGGTCGACGCATCCAATTTACGTATTGTACAGCGACAGTGAACAGCGAACTCACCACGACATCGGACGGACGGTCGAACGAATGAACGAATTACTGGGCGGCAGCGGCTGTGCCCAAGTCTGTCTGTCTGTTCGTGACGTCTGGGCTCTGGACGATGGGGAGAGAGCCGAGACATTTGCTGTGGAGCCCTCTTCCTCCTGGTCCTGCTCTTCCTCCTCCTCTCAGAAAACCACCACTCACGCATCCAGATACGTGAGAGGGTTACACGTTTCAACGTAGAGTAGAGTACTCTGTGCTCTGTGCTGCGGACTGCTGCGCGGACTTCTCATTCGACAGCCCTCCCACCCTCCAGTCAGCGATTCCAGCCAGCCAGCAATTCCAGCCAGCGACTCCAGCGACTTGAGTCTCCAATTCATGTCCGCGAGTCGGTAGAGATGGGTCTCTCTTTCTTTTTCTTTCGTTTTTTTCTTTCTGTTGTTTCTTTTCTTTCTTTGCTTTTCCTTTCTTTTCTCACGCTCTATCTACGGTACATGTATGCCGCCTAGTTAAAACTTGACGACGGCCCGGCGGGAATGTGCGACTCGGTGCTACTGTGCTACATTTGCATGATATCTGCGATTCTGCGATTGGGTAATCGGGGAGACGCGGCTGGCTGACTGGCTGGATGTATGGCTGGCTGGTTTCGGTGGCAGGGAAGGCAGGCGTCGGCGGTGGCTTTTCTGGGCCGGCCAGCCAGCCAGACAGCCATGGTGGGGCCAAGTTGCTTGGAGGGCGGTGGTGGTGGTGGTGGTGGTGGTGGTGGTGGTGGTGGTGGTGGTGCAAAGTGGTTGTGCAAAGTGGTTGTGCAAAGGTGGTGGTGGGTTACGGGCCCGTTCAGCTCAAGCCGGAAGCGGTCAAGCATCACCAAATCGCTCTTTCGCTCGCCCTTTTGCTTTTCCCGTTCGGTCCTGGCTCGCAGACAGACAGGCAGCCCGCGGTATGTATCAGATATCTTGGTGTCCAAGAACAAGTCGATCGAGAAGCATGGGAGGAACATAGGAAAAAACTCCAAAAGGCCGGTAACTACGGTAGATATGGTACTTGACTTGCGCTTGATATGACTTGAACTTGTGTGTGTGTGCAGCCTCCATGTGTGCTGCTTGTCTACATGCTTGGTACCTTCATGCTCACTTTAGTTACCTCGTACACTGATGGTAGTGGCTTTGCCTGCACACGACTTACGACTTTGGCCTGCGGGCTTGCGACTTTGAATCTTTCTTCGCATCGGGTTTTTGTTTTTCGTTTCCCAGAACACTGCAGACTGTCCCGCGACAGTTGTTTTTCCCGACCGTCCCCATCTTCCCTTCCAGCTAACCCACACAATCTATCTATCAATCCCATAGATCCTATATTATATATCCATCATTCGTCTGTCTGCCGTAGTCATCACTGTCTATCCATCCATCGCCCGACCACACACCCACCCACCACCACCCCCCTCCCAAAATCGATAATCGTTCACGAACCAGCAGCCTTACCGAGGGGCTCGGCGGCCACTCTCCAGAATCGTACCCCTGTGACCACCAACTACATACCACCCACGGCCACCCACGACTACCACCACCACCCCGTATCCTAAACTCCCATCACACATCACGTACACCCCATCTGCTACACCGGTCGGGAATACTCAGGTACACAATCCAGCATCGTCAACCACCTACACCTACAACACCACCACCTACAACCACCACCACCTACACCACCACGTCCCACCCACCGAGACCAGGCCCTCTCCACCTCACCTCACCTCCACCCTCACCATCGCCACTACCCTATCCCGCCGCCCCGCTGCTCAACTCCGCCGCGGCACGTACCTGAGTGGAAAGCATAGCACTCACCGCCGCTGCCGCACCATCGTCGTCTCCGAACGAACACGTACACAGCAGTAAAGTAGGCCTTGCGGCTCGGCTAGCACTAACTCAGCCTTGAACCGCGCCACAGCCCGACCGAAAGCCACGGGCCAGTCTCCGGCCACCGCAAAGAAAGAACAACGAGTCTCTCCTCAGAAAACTTAGGTCCTGCACGCAGCCACACACACGGCACACAGGCGGACTGAGAAATAGAGTGGGAAAAGGGAAGAAAAAAAAGGGAACGGGAAAGGGGAAAAAAGGGAAGAAAAATAAGCTTAACTGCCACAGGCCTACGGATTTTTGCTACGTCGCCCCACCACTCTTAATCGGCCAACCACCAACCACCGCCTACATTCTCATAGAGTTCAAAACCAACGGAAAAAGCAGTTTAAAATAATCTCGGTTGCTCGTCATGAACGAGGACGACTGGGAAGACTCCGCTAAAGATCCTTCGTCGACCCTCCCATCATCATCATCATCCGCCGCCGCAGCATCAGCTTCCGTCAGACCACCCACCGATTCCATATATCCAGTACAAGCTCCGTACGGTGATCTTCAGGTCCAGGGTCTCACACCACCGCCCGACGAGTTCGGCTTTGACGCAATCCTGAGAGACTGTCAGTTCCCCACACAGTTCAACCTTCCGGAGCCCCCAACGCCGCCTCGGACGGAAGCTGTCTCCTCGCCTTCGCGTTCGTCACATTCCGGGGGATCCTCACCGTCCGACGAGCCCGCGTCACCCGATAGTGATGCTGTGATGGGCGATGATTTAGGCCCAATTGTGTGTGATACTAATGCTTGCCGCTTCCGGCCTCCCTCCCTCCACCCCCCCCGTATTGTATCTGTTGCTGACGCTCGGTCGCGCGAATAGGGCTCGGGTTTCCACAACGGTATTTTCGACATGTCCTCGGGCGGGCCCGGCAGGCATGGCCAGCCGCCTCTAGTTGTCGACTCGAGCACTGACATCGACGTCGATTATAACAACCTCCTGCAATACTTCGATTTTACCAGCGCAGCAAGCTCGCCGAAGCCAAATCCCAGCGCTCTAAACATGCAACGACAGCTGCCCCAGCAGTACCCCGGTCAGAACCAGTTCAATCCCATGAGCTTTCCGCAGCCGAGTAATGGACCGATGCACCGAGCGGCGGGGGGAAAGAGGCCGAGGGACGAGGAGGAAGAGGTGGATAACTTGGGTTACGATGACGACGACAGCTACGGTGCTTCCCCGACACACGTCAAGAAGGAATACAACCCGGAGATTCGACATGGAGGTTTTGGGCATGGTGCGGTGGAGTTTGGATCGCGGACGTCAGTTGGCACTCAGGGCTTCGACTTTTCCTCGTTCATGGACACTTCGTCATTTCCAACTGCGCCTATAGAACCTTTGCAACCGGCCGTTCAGATGCCCCGGAATGGCGGTGGAGCTGATTTCAACTACCAATTGATGGTCGACTTCCCCAAGCACACGAAATCATCGGGACCAGCAGGCTTTGTGGACCCACAAGTCAAATCCAGAGTCGAAACGCAGATCTCGGTACGGTTCATCATGTCGCCAGCACCCGAAGGCGTGTCGAAACTGCGCCTTCCGAGACATGCAATCTCCAAGATCAAATACATCGAAGACGGCCACCCCGCGAATCGTCCCGACACTTTGGAGCTCCAGGCGACGTTGGTGTGTGCCAGCGCGATGGGAGTGCCGGACCAGCTCGAGCGAGCACTGTACGAGGCGAGGGGAGATCCCGTGCCCAAATGGATCACAAAGCTCCAACACGACAAGATCGAGGCGCAAAAGAAGCGCATTGCGGATGCAGCCTCGAACAGGAGCAAGGATGATGGGGACATGTCGGGCTCGAGCTCGGGAGGCAGGGAAGGAACGGTGGCGAGGAAGGACAAGGAGATTGACTACGACAAGTCGGTCTTTGGTGCGCCGGTTCAGATCTGCGAGCAGTGCATGAACAGGGAAAGGAAGCGTGCCAGCAGGAAAAAGAATAAGAAGCCCGAAGAGGAGGAGAAGTGGGCCCAGGACGAGAGGAAGCGGATCATCGTCTTCAATACCAACCAGGTCCGACAGTTCGAGCAGTACCCAGGTGCGCAGAGGGCGATTGCGGCGGAAACCCAAATGAGGATATGTTGCTACTGCCGTCACCACGGAGAGAAGGATGGTTTTCAGTAAGCGGAACTCCCCCGCATTCAATGGATCCCATGTTTCTTTAACTGACAAAAACTGCGATAGGGTGATCTTCACGCTCAAGGACCACAATGGCAATGTTGTCGCACAGACGATCAGCAGCACCATCGTCATCACAGACGATCACAAGAACACGGCTGCCACGAACGCCACGGGGCTACCGGACGGAAGCATAGCGATGCCCGCCGATCAGATGTCCCCGGTGCAAGCGCCGCCGCGGCAGATGGCAGGGTACCCGCAGCAAGCCTTCATGGTCTCGCAGACGCAGCAAGGGCAGGAGAGGTTGAGGGGCTACACTCCCCAACCGCCAAACGGAATCAACTTCCCCATGCATATGGACCAATCGCCTTCCCCTCAAACGCCGATGCGCGGTTCGCTGAGCCCTGGAGGGCATCAACCCAAGAGACGGAAGGGCAGCAAGGTGCCAACGAACCTGACCATGACTCCGTCCGAGCCCACGCAGTTCCACCGCCCTCAGTTCGACGGTGGAAACATGGCTTTCACACGCAACCATGCAGAAGTGCCGCGCCAGCAGTGGCTAAATACCGGTCCCGTATCCCCGATAGCTCAGCCGGATGAGGCCTTCTTCGTCAACACTACGAATTGGATGTCTCCGGTGGAAACGAACGGCAATGGCTTCGGCAGGGCGCTGGGATCCCCAGAGTTCAATAGCATCCCAACGACCCCGACCATGTTTAGCAGACATCAACTACCTAATCAGATGATGAGCCCACAGTTCCCACATGGGATGCTAGCGCTGGAGCAGCAAATCAGGCAGGGTCAAGCACACGTGGACGAGATGCAAATCAGCGGTCCGTTCATTAGTCGTGTGGTGCCAGGCGAGGGAACCTGTCGGGGAGGAATCGAGATCACGATCTTGGGCCGCGCTTTCGCTCAAGGGTTGACCGTCATGTTCGGCGACCTGCCTGCTAACGACACGACATGTTACAGCGACAGCACCCTCCTTTGCCGCCTGCCACCGAACCCTAATGCTGGGCCCGTCGTGGTCACCCTGAAGAACATTGAGCGGCCACACCAAGCCATCGGTGTGCCCGTCTTCACCTATGTCGACGACATCGAAAAAGAGCTGATGGCTCTCGCACTGACCGTTGTTGGCATGAAGATGAAGGGAGAGATGGGTACCAGCAAGCAGGTCGCCCTTGCCATCCTACGCGACAACGGTGTCGGAGAGGATGAGATCGAGAGCACTCGCAATGGCGGCGGCAACCAGCGTGCGATGGATCTGGAGGCATTGCTCCTGACCTGCCTCGACGTCATCGACATGGACGAAAGCCCGCACCCTGCGACGTTGGGCCAGAGGAACAAGTCCGGCCAGACAATGCTTCATCTAGCATGCATGCTTGGAATGCAGAAGTTCGTGGCGGCGCTGCTCGCGCGTGGCGTCTATGTTGACAGCACCGACAAGAACGGTTACACGCCTCTGCATTTTGCTGCTCTGCACAAACGGTCGGATGTCGTTCGGCGACTGTTGATGAATCGTGCCGATGCCGGATTGCGCACCAGGGGCGGGGAGACGGCTGCCGACCTCGGAGAGTCCGACCAGATCGTCAGGGCTACTAGAAGCGTCCACCAGATTCATTCCCGCCACCATAGTAGGAGCAGCTCGGTCTCGTCCGAAACTCGCTTCAGCAGGAGCCGCTCCGGAAGTGTGTCTTCCATCATGGCGCCTATGTCCATGGCCCGCCTTCGCAGCGTGGACGACTACTTTGCCGACAGTGACGATGATGACGAGGAGGATGATGATGACTTGTATGACTTGGATTACGACAGCAGCGAGGATGGCGAGCCGGGCTGGGCCGATCGGAGACTCAGCATCCAGGATATTCCTGTGCCCATGAAGTCCGCTCTCATGGAACATACTGCGCAGGAGAAGGTTGTCGAGATGATGCCGCCGATGGACGCTTCGTTCGGCAAGAATGCCTCGGCACCTCTCATGATCGCGTGGATGGATGCTTGGAGGGAGCAGTTGACGCAGAGCTTCCAGAACCTACAGCTGAATATTCCTGTGTTGCCAACGGCTCAGATCGACTACCAAACCATGTTGCGAGACCAAATGGCCAAACTTCAGTACCCGCAGATGCCTAGATGGGGCTTCGCACAGGACCCGGAGCGCAAGGCCGTCGACTACAAATGGTCCGAGCTATTACACCCACCGGCTGCTCCGGAATCTTCCGGGGAAATGGCTCCGCCTGCCTACGACGAGCTGTACCCCGACGGCAACGGTTCCGGTGGAGCGCCGCCGGAAAAGATCGAGCCTGTACAAGATACGCCGGTGCAAGTTGAGGCGGAATCTTCCAAACCGACTCGCACGGCGTCGCCCGAGCTTGCCATGGACCTCCGCGAAATCCACAGACAGATCACGCGTCGGGATCAGCCCCTCACCAGTGCTCAGCAGGCTCACCTCCGCAAGATGAAGCGAATCGAGAGTGATCGGCGGTTGTATTTCTTCTGGGTATGTTGCTGTCCTACCACGTGATGTTTTCAAATACTGACTAGTCCAGATTCCGGTTTTGGTCTTCATCATCATGGCCATGGCCTACTCGCATGGCCCACAGGCGTGGACCATCTGCAAGACGGTTGCGACCTTTGTTCACCAAGCAGTCAACGAACCACAGGTAGTCAGGGAACGACTGGGACTGACGGTGGGGCGGGCTGTTGGTGTCCCTGGTTAGTCCTCTGCGATTCATTTCGGTGTTCCGGGGTTTTTTTCTCTTTTTCCTTATCTCTCCTACTTTTTCTATTTTCCTATGTCCATATCTATGTCGGCGGTTCTACACGGTATGTGGTTTACGTCTACTTAATTCTTTGCGGTCTACGTCATCGCGTTCTTTCTTCCATGTCATTGCAGTCTGTTTGGCTAGAAGGGATGAGCTTTTCGGGGGGAATGTTTTTGCGTGTTTTTGCATGTTTTTGTGTGCTTTACCAGCTTCTGTTCGTTTAGTTTCATTTGCGTTTTTATCTGTTGATTTTGCTTTTGCTTTTGCTTTCTGCCTTGTTTTATGTTTTAAAATCTGCTATATCCTATACCCCTCTCACTCACTTCCTCTGCCCCCGGCACGGTGGTTTTGCGGATTCTTCTTCTTTTTCTTCTTAGGGAGGGAGGATCGAACGGGGACATGAAGGTGATGTCCGCCTAAGGCAGGGCATCTCAACTTGTTTTCCTTTTTCCTTTTTCCTTCAAGTTTTGTTTGTTCTCTGGAGTTTGTGTTTTAGTCCCTTATGTCGTTTTATTTGTCTTTGGAGTGGATCGGTTGAATTGGTCTGTCTGGGATTGGTCTGCGGGCTGCTGGTGGGGCTAGTGGGAATGGTGGGGCTGGTGGGTGGGGGCTGGTGGGGGTAGTAATATTGTTTCTTGTTGTTCTTGTTTCTCCTCGCGTTCATTGAGATTTTATTGATGATTTGAGATTTGAGGTTTCGCTGCATTCCCTAGTTAGAGGCTTTTATGTTTTCTATGTTTTCTATGCATACTTTTATGGTTCATGGAAGTGGAATTGGTTGCAGAATTGGTTGCGCAATATGAATCTATGGTTATTGATGCATGCTTTTGCGGTGTTTGTGAGTGTTGGCGATTATTGATGATGATGACTGTTGAGATGACGGTTGAGATGACGGTTGGGATGACGGTTGATGCCTAGTTTTGAGATGACTGTTGATGAATTGATACCCGGTGATGCGTGGTTTTGAGAGTTATTCCCTCGAGTCTTGACAGTGTTTGACAGTGTCAACGGCTGGATGGGGAATAGAAAAGTTGTACAATTCTTAACAGTGCTCGTCGTGATGGCGATGGCGATGGAGTCAGTGATTCCGCAGGTAGAAACGGGGAGGGGAGGAGGGGAGGAGGGGAGGAGGGGGCTGTGTCACTCCGACTCCACTATGTAGTTACATGTTAGTCGTACAAGTTTTACACGTGCACGTTCCGTTCCGTTTTGTTGAGGATTCCTGGCTGGGGATTCGTTGAGGTTGAGGTTTTGTCCGCGCGGTACTCACCCCCACCACCTTCCTAGAAGACAGGGCTGAAGATAGATGGGGATAGAGACAGGTGGAGACGGGTATGGGTGGAGATGGAGACAAAAGGTGATGAGAGAGGCGGAGGCGGAGGAATGGCGTCACCGCGGGCACTTGGTCTGCTCTGGTCTGCTCTGGTCTGCTCTGGTCTGGTCTGCTCTGGTCTGCTCTGGTCTGCTCTGGTCTGCTCTGCTCTGCTCTGCTCTGCTCTGCTCTGCTCTGCTCTGCTCTGCTCTGCTCTGCTCTGGTCTGCTCTGGTCTGCTCTGGTCTGCTCTGCTCTGCTCTGCTCTGCTCTGCTCTGCTCTGCTCTGCTCTGCTCTGCTCTGCTCTGGTCTGCTCTGGTCTGCTCTGGTCTGCTCTGCTCTGGTCTGCTCTGCTCTTCTGCTCTGCTCTGGTCTGCTCTGCTCTGCTCTGCTCCACTTCAGCTACTCCGCCCCATACGGTGTAGTTACCCAGCCTATTTACGGGAGATGGGAGATGGTGGGATAGCTAGGTGGGATAGCCAGAGCTGACGATTATCCGTTGAGAGTGGGAGCGGGAGTCTGAGCTCTGTTCTGTTGTGTTCCATGTATATATGTTCTGTTGTACCGTACTACCATGCGCCCCGCCCCGGGCCGGAGGCGGGCCACTTTCGGCCCGGGCCTGGCATGGCGATAGCATAGCATGGCCTGGCCTGGTCGATATATAGCATGGCCTGGCATAGCATAGCATACCTAGTTTAGCGATAGGAACGGCATGGCGACGGGGATTTGGAATTGGATGGGAATGGGAATGGCATGGCATGGCGATAGGAATAGGAATGGGAATAGATAGCGCAGCCTTGTGCGATGTGAATGTTTTTGGCAGCGCTGGGGGTGGGGTACACATGTAGAGTATGGGTGGTCAGCTATGGCACTATGCTACTATTCTGGCGATCGCGAATGAAGTGTGGTGTACAGCACCAGTGCTACGTGCGGAGCGGTGGTACATACTACGTACCTCCTCGGTGCCGGTGCCGCTGCCGGTGTCGATATCGATGGAGGGTGAACAGTCGGCTGTAGCGGGGGCGGGCCGTGGACGTCATGTTGCTTATTGTTTGTTGCTGCAGCAGCTGCAGCTGTACCGGGAGGGGCAGGAGGAGGCAGGCTGAGACTACCCCACCGTCGGGACGTCCCAGTACGGCTTCCCGAAGATCTCATAGGTAGCTGAGGAGGTAACCCGTTATTACCGGCGATGTCATACCCCCCCGACCAGCGCGGAAGCGCCTGCCTGCCAGGCGGACTGATGGACTGACGGATGAACGTCGCACAAAGGCTGGCCTCGCGGCATCTACAGGCTAGGCTGTAGAGTAGTACTCTAGTAATCTAGACCAGCTGCAGCCTTGCCCTCCATTTGACCATTCACTATGAAGTTGCATTCAAACTGCGGCGGAATCAATTGACCGCTCTCGTTCGTTCACCGTGCTTCCTTTGTGGCTAAGTCCAGCTCCGAGTGCGAGGGTCTAGACTCCCATCCCCATCCTGAAATCTCCAAAGCACAGTTCCCCCCAGTCCCCGGATGGATCGGAATTGACCCTAGCCTTCTCTGCTGTCTGCTGTTTGATGTGCGTAGCCTTCCGGCCGGTGCCAGCCTGACTGGTGCTGACCGGTGTAGCCTGACCGGTGCTCGGTGCGGGCTAGATGCGGGCTAGATGTGCTCGGCGCGGGCTAGGTACGGCCTAGACCCCCCGATGATGGTGTTGTATGAATAGTACGGTGAGCTGGCGGCAGTAAACATTTCCCTTCGAGATGGCCGTAACTACTCTACATATCCACATAACCCGTAGGGTGGGGAGCGCCGGAAGCGGAGCCACGATGTTCTGCGTTTTGCTGCGGCCCTGAGATGCTGCCTTGGGTCTTTGCAGTGGTAAACCTCACTTTTATGGTGGTGGCGGTGCTGTAGTGCTGCTGCTGTTGGTGCTGATGCTGCTGGTGCTGGTTGTGGTGGTGGTCATGGTGGTGGTGGTGTTCTGGTAGTGCTGGTGAACCATGGTGGTGGTTCTAGAGGTGCGGAGAGTGCCACTCGTGCAGTGGCCGTAGCCGTAGTATATGATGCAACTAGAGATGGCTGTGCTTGCTGGCTTGTTTGCTTGCTGGAGTAGGTAGTTAGCTACGTACTGCTGTGCTGGAGGGCGGGCGGAGTGGGAGTATGTTCCGCCGCTTCGGTCTTGAGGTGGCAATCTTACACCATGGTGATGATGGGGGCGTCACGGAAATGTCGTGGCCGTAGCGGATTGATGGCCCATAGGGGCTATGGGGACTAACTACCTACATATACGAACAAACTGTCCATGCAGTAGATACTTGGGTGTTGTTTTGGCCGGTGGCTCGCAATTGAGGATCTGAAAGGTCTGCGTGAAAATGTCAGTGTTTGCAAGGCAACTCTGTGGGCTGGTTGGCTGGGTGGTTCAAGACGTTATTTTATGTTGACGACCGCGGGCCGAGGCCGAGTCCTTGTGCCGATGAACCGTCGGGACAGTCGGGACAGTCGGTCAACATAGGGTATGTGCCGAGAGCACGAGTGACCTATCGTGCAATATAGTACAAGTGGTATGGTGGTTGCATAATATATCACTCGTCTATGAAGAGCTATCATTGAAATATCAATGGCCACTGGCCTCTCTATATCTCCTTCAAGGGTATCCATCCCCCCCCCCCTCTCCTCCTCTCCCTCCTCTCCCCCCCCTCTCCTCCTCCCCCCTCGCACCCCATCTACAACATCGCCTTCCCCCCGCCGAGCACAAAATGCGTATTCGGCTCCAACCCACCCTTCGGTTCGGGCTCGAACTCCAGCATGGCGAGCTGGGGGCCTAAGTTGACCTTATGGTGGTCGGCGACGGTATAGAAAATCTTCCCGTCCGGACTCTTGATCTCGCCCCGGATCAGCGCCATCGTCCGCCCGGCTTGCAGGACATAGGAGTCCACGATTACCGGAGTCCCTTCTGCGCAGTCCCGGAGGTATGAGAGAGAGAGGGAGCGCGTTACGCCACCGAGGAAGCTAAGGGTGTCAGTGGGGGTGAAGGGGGAGGGGAATGGGGGAGGGGAAAACGCACACCCAGCGCTTGTCGCTTGCGAGCGGGCCGAGAGCCGACATTGTGCACACTGTGTGGTGGTTAGACGCCATTACTACCGTATATGCAGCCACCACTTTCGAGAGGGGATCGTACTATCCAGCAACAAAGCCGCGCCACCACCATGAAGCGAACCTACGCCCCCCCAATCAATCAGCGCCCATCATCCCCCTCCACTCTCCCCCACCCGGATGCCACCATACCGTTAAGATTACACAAATACCTGGGAATCGTAATCTCCCAAACAGCGCGGCCCTCCGGGCGAGCATCGATCAGCTTCAAATCCTGCATCATGCGGTAGTCCACCAGGTCCTTGTACCCGCGCGCCGCGGAATTAGCGTGGAATCAGCGTGGAATTGGCGTGGGGGGGTTCGCGGAGTACGGGGAGATGTGGGAAGGCGGTAAGCTCACTTGTAGCTGCTTCGCCTCGACTACCGCGAAGTACCAGTCCCAGATGTGCTGGACTTTTGTCATGGAGGCCGCGTGCGGCGCGGGGGTGTAGGGTGCTGGTGCTGCCATTGTTGCGTGGGATGGGGGCGGGTGGAGTGACACCTGGTGAGAGGTGGATTGGGAACGGGGTGAGTGAGTGTGTCGTTATTGTCGTTGTCGTCGTCTTCGAGCGTCGCAAAGCTCCCTGGGTAGAGTACCTTGAGACTCAAGAGTGGGATCCATGCACGGAGATCTCCGACCCGAGAGCCGAGGTGTGTGGGGATATGTAGACTCGAGAGTCGAGGCGTGCCTGTGACGTCGCCGCCGAAGACGTGCTGATGGAGTTCCGGCGCGTACAAAACAGAGAACAGTGATATCGGGCACCATCGTTGCGACGTTGCCGGTGTTCCTCAGCGGGCGGGCGAACCGCTGGAACTCCGTGATTGCGGCTGGTTGGTTTCTCGGCCCGTTGGGCATGGCCGGTAGCGAACGAGCACGAGATAGGTAGCTAGGTAACGTGCAGGCATCACCGAGAGAGAGAGAGATCGATGCGGGGAACCTGGGGACCGATAGTTTGGCTTATCCTATGTACAAAGATATCAAGTGGGTATCATGTTAGTTACCAGTGGACGTACATACATCTAAAGTACGATGATTACTTGCTTAGTGCAGCATGGACAGTTGTAGACTCTCCAGGTCCCTGGGAAGCAGTGATGCATCACGTAGTTCTGGTCCTTGGGATTAGGATGGTCAGGGATGGCCAGGGATCAGTTCCGGGAACCGATTCGAGTGGATTATGTACCTATCTATCATGATGGATTTTCCAGGCGTCGACCGAGCTCTACGGCCGTAGTTAGCTATTAAGAATTCAAGGATCGAGATGGACCGGCCTCTGGTCTAGAAGAATGCATCTGTGGGGGAAGTGGGGTGGGGATCTATGGAGAAAGTAGGGCGGGGCAGCTGAAGCATTAGGGCCATGGACATTGAGCACTCGATTCGATCAGACACGGGGATAACTACCGTCATACGGTACTCGTGCCCGGAAAGGACCAGATCATGGGACAGTCCGTCCATGCAATGCGTCCGCACTGCCCATCTCAGGGAACCGGCGTTCGGTGGAATTGGGGGTTCCATACTCTACTCTACATACTCTAAGGACCATCATGACCCATTGAACATTCAACCGATCATCCATGAGAATGCGGTTCAGGATGCCACCATGTGACAGTGTAGGTAAAGTACCTATGTGTTATGGCAGTCACCCACTCACTTTCTACGTGTGTGACGGAAGCATAGGCGGCTGCAGCTCTTGCAGCGCCAGAATTCTGGAAATAGGTAGGCACCGAGAGAAATCACTCAGGAACAGGGAGTGTGAGTGTGTATAAAGCAGATGGCTTCTCGCCCTCGTTGCGCCGCGGTCGATGGACCTTCGGCTTATATATCCATCCACACTCCTACATATATACGGCGTTTGCTGCGCTGATGGTGTGGAGGGGAGAGTTGGATTCGTGCCCGCAAGGTGAACCCGATCGATCGTGTCTGAGAAGTCCCGTGGGGGTGTTTCTCGGTTTGGGACGGGCAGTTGTCGTTGGAAATCGAACGAAAGACCCCCCGTGGTGGTGATGCTTTTACTATAATCCTAGCACCTTCTCTCCGGGAGATGCAGTGCACTTGGGGAAGGGAAGGCCGGTAAACACACTGAATTCAATGGCTTGCAGAGTCAATGGAATTGGGTTTCCTTTTTTCACTTTCTTTCCTTTTTTCACTTTCTTTCCTTTTTTCACTTTCTTTCCTTTCTTTCCTTTTCCCTTTTTTCCTTTTCGTTTCTTGCCTTGAGAGGAAGTAGCACGCGACCCACTGCCGTGCTCTCCCTCGCTTTTCCGCATTGCATGCATACCTGGTGCAGTCTCTCCCCAGTCCGACGAGCTCCGAAGAGAAGCATCCAATCGCACATCTGCAAACTCCAGCTGAGCGAGCAGGAAGCGAAGCCATCCGACGATGCTAACTGCGGCAAGTTCGTTCAGGAGATGGTTGGTGGACGACGACGAGTCGATGACCACTCCTCTTAGGTACAACTTCTGACTTGGTTACTTACCTGTGCCTAGGGGCCGAGGGCATCGAGCATCGGGTTTTTAGGCTAGCTACTTACACACACCATAGATAATGTCACCCCACGCCCCGCAGCAGCCGTTGTTTTCGCAGGCTGAACCGTGTCGTCGCGGATCCGGCTGAAGAATCGTGTCAGGTGCCCCCCAGTGCGGCACAGGATGTCTGGCCTCGAAGGGCATCTAGAGCAGGGGGCTTGTCAATGTCGGTCCACCTGCCTGCCTGCCTGCGGTCGTGGATAGATATCCGACACGACGACGAGCGGAGGAGAAATCGAAAGAAACAGAAGCGGATAAATGTGGAGCAGGATGCCTACGGGGAGCAAAGTCGGCGAGCTGAATGGCAGAAGCCGTCAATCGGAGCATTCCTCCAGTGATAGATTGCTCGAGATACCTATTCATGTGAGTAATGGAGGGGCCTGGGGGGTTTTGCACATGCCGACTGTAGGGGGATCTGAAACTGTTGCCGGGAGTTGCAGCTCGTCACCCGAATTCTCCCGTCGATGAAGTCAGACGGCCCTCGCTCTCTTGGCAGGGCCACTGATGCGATGCAAGCTCCACCACCACCACCACCACCAGCACCACCACCATCAGCACAACTACAGGCACACCACCAGCACCACCACTACAACCACCGCCGCCCCGCTCGTGTGCTATGGAGCGTCTGATTTCCGTCATCCGGACGAGAAGATCCGTCGGTTCAAGGTCCCGATGGCTGCATTGTCGTACGCGCCTCCGTCGGTGGAGTGGCAGCGGCGACAGTCCATCAGCAGCGGTCCATCTGCGGCAGTCCATCTACCCTGAGCGTGAATGACGATACTAGTAGGTAGAGTACTAGTACCTTGAGTATCAGTGGCGGGGCAACGGCTCCCTTATCGATAGTGCACCGTCGGCATTGGCCGCCCCAGTTTGGGCGCACAGCGGGATTGAGGGGGGCGGGCGATGGCTTTTGGCCCTTAGCCCTTGGGAGTTGGGCGTGTCGGTTCGCTTGGGTGGCGTGTAACCACCGGGGGCACTGGACCAGCTGGGGGAACGGGCCAGTTGCATTCCCGTCGCCCTAGCATTTGTTGCCAATCAAATCGCCGACTTTTCAATTGGCGTGGGGCCCAAATTGTCCGTGCACTGCGTTAAGCACCCTTAACGTCTTTAGAGTGTAAATCTAATTGCCCCGCTTCTGCTCCAGAAAAATAAAATATGGAGAGAACGAAACACTCCAAACACTCCACGCTCAACACACCCTCTCCCGGATCGAGCAGATCGGACCCGCATTCCCTGCTTCCCCGGGCACCCTAGATGTGCGCCAGATTCCGCTGTGGCAGACCAGATATCGTCTCTGTTAAGTCGCCGTGTCTGACGACGAGCATCAAGCTCCAGATAACCTGCTTGTTGGCTGGCTGTCCGGAATTCGCCCTTCGAGTTAGAGAGTTCGAGTGAAACCTACGCCCCTGTGGGTATAAATACAACCCAAGACGTCCCATCTCCGGTTTCCCAACCTCCGCAAACCTCGCCATCCCGATCCCCGCCGTCTTGCTCCCATACAGCCAAACAGACCCGCCAGACGGCCAACTTCAAAGATCGCATCATCCGAGCCCTCCCCCATATCCGACCTCCTCGCAGTCCCCCGTAGAGGCTCCGATAGGGAACCAGCCGACCATAGCGGACAACACTTAGGTAGGACCCACTCGTGCTCCCCCGGATCGATTTCCTAGTTATCCAAACGAAACGGTGCAGAGAATCCGCGCGTACACACTGTTTCTCGTTGCTGCTTGGCTGGCAATCAAGCATAGCTTTCCTTGTCTCTACCCCTTCCCCGCCTGCGCCGATAGCTATTTGTCCGGGAACTACGGGCGAGAGTGAGAGCTCCGGCGGGCTGCTAGGGCTACGCACGAGAAACATTTGTCTGGCTTCACTGGACTCGAGCGATAGTTCTGGTGACCTCCGCTATCTGGCACTGGCCTTGGTTGCCAGCTGCTAATTGCCTTGACGTTATCACGCTGCCCCTCCCCCGTCCCCCAAACAGAGCGAGCAACCCCGCTACCGTTACATGCACATGCACGCAGCTCCATCTATTACTCCCCCACCCCCCATCCCTAGATACCCCACCATAATCAATCGTCACTTTGCCTTGATCGCTTTCTGTATTTCCGAGAAATCTCTTGCAAATTTTTTCCAAGGGAATTCATTGGCTCAAGTGTCATCCCTGGTAAAATCGAATCGAGAATTCTGAGAGGCAACCGGTCCTTGACGACCATTCCCCGGCACCCACAAGTGGTTGTCCCTTCAACCTACCCCGCCAACACTCCGAGCGACCCTAACTCAATTTCAAGCTTCTCCGGTTTCCAAGCTTAGCTGTCTTCCGAGAACCCCCCAAACCCCAACCCCACTACCTCCCCGAACACCTCCTACTTCTCGCTCCCCTTCTCTCCCTTTCATCTGCACTTTCATCTTCCTCTTCAACCACCCCCTCCGTCCCCTCCTCTCTTTTCCTCCCTTCAATCCACCTCTCTCACATAGCCGTCCTTCAGCTCCCACCGTGCTACTCCCATTACTGTCTATCGGGATCATCATTGCTTCGGGTTAGTCGTTATCCTCGAAAACATTCCCGGTTGATTGTCGAATTGGATGACATTGTTTCCTCATCAATTCTTTTGTGTTTCATTGCGTTGTTTCCTGTGAGTAGACGGTTTGCTGATGTCCTTGCTACATGAAGGCAGATCCACATAATAAAACCCCCTCTGGCCTAGAGCTGCTACATAGCTTCTCCGTAGACATCTCGGACCCCCGCAAACGAATCTCGTCGGCGAACCGTCTTCCCCCAAAGAACGTAGCAAGATCGGTTCACGATCTTGCTGATACCGATGGAGGAAATCTACGACCCTGAGATTGAGCAAGAGGTCACAAAGGTTTTCCCCTACCAGGAAACACCAGAGAACCAGTCATGGGCAAACACCCTACCCGTGAAGCAGGGTCTCTATGATCCCGAGAACGAGAAGGATGCCTGCGGTGTCGGCTTTGCTGCGTAAGTGGGACCCGATCTCTTGCCCACTCCAACTTAATTGCCGGGTCGTGACTGACTGGGTCCAACAGCAACATCAAGGGTGTCGCGAGTCACAAGATTCTGAGCGATGCTCGAAGTCTGCTGTGTAACATGACGCATCGAGGAGCTGTCGGCTCCGATGCCCGTGATGGAGACGGCGCTGGTGTCATGACCTCCATTCCCCACAAATTTTTCGTGAAGGAGCTACGAGGGCAGACTGGAATCAAGTTGCCAGCAAAGGGCCACTACGCTGTCGGGAATCTATTTTTCAAACCCGACGAAGATGTCCTGTTGGAGAGCAAGAAGAAATTCACAGATATTGCCGAGGGACTGGGTCTACGGGTCCTCCACTGGCGAGAAGTGCCGCATGACAGCTCCCTGTTGGGCCCTGCAGCTTTGTCGAGAGAGCCCAAGATCCTGCAGCCCTTTGTCGTTCTCAAATCGCACTACGGTGATGGAGATGAAGCTGCGTCCGTGGATGATGACACCTTTGACGAGAAGAACTTCGAGAAGCAGCTCTACATTCTCCGTAAAGTTAGCACTCGAGAGATCGGTCTCTCCAACTGGTTCTATATATCGTCCCTTTCAAACCGCAATATCGTGTACAAGGGCCAGCTTGCACCGGTACAGGTGTACAACTACTACCATGACCTCGTCAATGTCGATTACGAGGTCCACTTCGCCCTAGTCCATTCCCGGTTCTCTACCAACACATTCCCCAGTTGGGACCGTGCTCAGCCTTTGAGATGGGCTGCTCACAATGGTAGCAAACACTCTCCGTCCATTTCCATCTCCAAAAAAGAAGAAGAGAAGAAAAAGTTATTCTAACACTATGTAGGTGAGATCAACACTTTGCGAGGAAACAAAAACTGGATGCGGGCTCGTGAGGGTGTCATGAAGTCCACCTTCTTTGCGGACGAACTCGAGAAACTCTACCCCATCATCGAGGAGGGTGGTTCGGACTCGGCTGCTTTCGATAACGTACTCGAGCTCCTTGTGATCAATGGAGTGCTGTCGTTGCCGGAAGCGATGATGATGATGGTTCCTGAGGCATGGCAGGACAACGCCGACGTTGACCCTAAGAAGGCTGCGTTCTACGAATGGGCTGCATGTTTGATGGAGCCATGGGACGGACCTGCGCTGTTCACCTTTGCCGACGGACGTTACTGCGGCGCCACATTGGACCGAAACGGCCTGCGACCCTGTCGGTTCTACGTGACGGATGATGATCGCATCATCTGCGCCTCCGAGGTCGGAACCATTCTGATCCCCTCCGAGAAGATCGTGCAGAAGGGACGACTACAGCCGGGGCGAATGCTGCTGGTCGATACGCTGGAAGGACGGATCGTCGACGACCGAGAGTTGAAATCGGAAGTCTCCTCGCGATTTGATTTCAGATCATGGGCGGACGACCAACTGCTCACCCTCGACAAAATCCAGGAAGAGCTGAAGACTGCCGGAGTCTCCCTGAAAGTTCCACTGAATGAAGTCCGTCTGCAGAGTGACAGCCGTCTCCTCGCCTTTGGATACTCTTATGAGCAGGTGACTCTGTTGCTCGGCCCTATGGTAAGTTGTGCATCCTCCCAGTCCCCCATTCCAGAATGACAAATGCGAATGAATGCTGATCCCTATCCTCTTACAGGCCGCAGACTCCAAGGAAGCCCTGGGATCGATGGGTAACGACGGACCTCTGGCATGTCTCGCCAAACAACCCCGGCTCTTGTATGACTACTTCCGGCAATTGTTCGCCCAAGTGACGAACCCGCCAATCGATCCCATCCGTGAGGCTATCGTCATGTCTCTCGACTGCTACGTTGGCCCCCAGGGAAACCTTCTGGAGATGGATCCTACGCAGTGCCACCGCCTCCTCCTCCCCTCGCCCGTCCTCTCCCTCGAAGAGTTCAAGGCCGTCTCCCAGATTCAGAAGGTGCACAAGTCATGGGGCGTCACCACGATCGACATCACATTCCCCAAGTGCGATGGAATCCCCGGCTATTCCGCCGCGCTCGACGACATTTGCGCCCAGGCTAGCCAGGCGTTGGAACAAGACTCCAAGGTTATTATCCTTTCGGATCGAAACACGTCTGCGGATCGCGTCGCGATGTCAGCTCTGATCGCCTGCGGTGCGGTTCACCATCACCTTGTACGCAACCGTCTACGATCGAAGGTTGCCATCGTTGTGGAGACTGCGGAGGCTCGTGAGGTTCACCATCTATGTGTCCTGGTGGGTTACGGAGCCGATGCCGTCTGTCCCTACCTCGCCCTCGAATGCATCCTCAAGATGAACCGTGAGAATTTGATCCGCGGTGGCTTGTCGGACCAAAAGATTGTCGAAAACTACCAACACTCCTGCGACGGAGGCATCCTAAAAGTCATGTCAAAGATGGGAATCTCGACGCTCCAGTCTTACAAGGGTGCTCAGATTTTCGAGGCTCTCGGTGTCGATGACTCGGTTGTGGACAGGTGCTTCACTGGAACTGCCAGTAGAATCAAGGGTATCACGCTCGACTACATCGCGGAGGATGCCTTTGCGTTCCACGAGCGAGGTTTTCCGTCCCGGGAGATCATCTCCGTTCCTGGTCTTCCGGAGACTGGCGAGTACCATTGGCGTGATGGAGGAGAAGCCCATGTCAACGATCCCCTCAGCATCGCCAACATCCAGGATGCCGTCCGTTCGAAGAACGACAAGTCTTACGAGGCGTACTCTTTATCTGCATACGAGCAGATCAAGAACTGCACCCTCCGAGGCCTCCTCGACTTCAACTACAAGTCTTCCAGGGAAATTCACATCGATGAGGTTGAGCCGTGGACCGAGATTGTTCGTCGGTTCTGCACCGGTGCAATGTCGTACGGCTCCATCTCCATGGAGTCTCACTCGACCCTGGCCATCGCCATGAACCGATTGGGCGGAAAGTCGAACACCGGTGAAGGTGGAGAGGATTCCGAGCGCAGCCGTATCATGGAGAACGGAGACACCATGAGGTCGGCCATCAAGCAGGTGGCCTCCGGTCGTTTCGGTGTCACCTCCCACTACCTCGCCGACTCGGATCAAATCCAGATCAAGATGGCCCAAGGAGCGAAGCCTGGCGAGGGTGGTGAATTGCCTGGGCACAAGGTTTCCCAGTCTATCGCAAAGACCCGTCATTCCACCCCCGGTGTCGGTCTCATCTCACCGCCCCCGCACCACGACATCTACAGTATCGAAGATCTTAAACAGTTGATCTACGATCTGAAATGTGCCAACCCTCGGTCGCGCGTGTCGGTGAAGCTGGTGTCCGAGACTGGTGTCGGTATCGTTGCGTCTGGTGTGGCCAAGGCCAAGGCTGATCACATCCTCATTTCCGGGCACGACGGTGGTACCGGTGCCTCTCGATGGACCGGTATCAAATACGCCGGTGTTCCTTGGGAGCTCGGTCTCGCCGAGACCCACCAGACGCTGGTGCTGAACGACCTACGTGGCCGTGTCGTGGTCGAAACCGATGGACAGCTGAGGACCGGACGAGATGTTGCGATCGCCTGCTTGCTCGGTGCCGAAGAGTATGGTTTCGCTACCACCCCGCTGATTGCTATGGGCTGCATCATGATGCGCAAGTGTCATCTCAACACTTGCCCGGTCGGTATCGCCACCCAGGACCCCGAGCTCCGCAAGAAGTTCACTGGTACGCCCGAGCACGTGATCAACTTTTTCTATTACGTTGCCAACGAGCTCCGGTCGATCATGGCCAAGCTCGGCTTCAGGTCCATCAACGAGATGGTCGGACACTCTGAGAAGTTGCTGGTGCGCAAGGATCTTCTGACGGAGAAGACCAAGAACATCGACCTCAGCAGGATTCTTACGCCCGCTCACACCCTTCGACCTGGAGTTGCGACTTTCAACGTTCGCAAGCAGGATCACCGCCTTCATGTCCGCCTCGACAACAAGCTGATTGAAGAGGCCGAAGACACGATCTCCAAGGGAATCCCCAGTCGGATCGACGCGGATATAGTCAACACTGATCGTGCTCTCGGTGCTACGTTGTCCTACAAGATCAGCAAAGCTAAGGGTAATACCGGGCTCGCTGAAGATTCAATTCACGTGACGCTGAAGGGTTCTGCCGGTCAGTCGTTTGGAGCTTTCCTTGCACCCGGAGTCACTCTGGAGCTCGAAGGAGACGCCAACGATTACGTCGGCAAGGGATTGTCTGGAGGTCGAATTGCGATATACCCCCCTCGCAACGCTACTTACCAGGCTGAGGAGAACATCATCGTGGGCAACGTCTGCCTCTACGGTGCTACATCCGGTTCCGCCTTCTTCAGTGGTATTGCTGCCGAGCGTTTCTGTGTCCGGAATTCCGGAGCCACAGCTGTCGTCGAGGGTGTGGGTGATCACGGATGCGAGTACATGACTGGAGGACGTGTCGTGATTCTCGGAGAGACTGGCCGCAACTTCGCCGCTGGAATGTCCGGAGGTATTGCCTACGTTCTTGACTTCAAGCAGAAGTTTTCCAGCAAGGTGAACATGGAGATGGTTGAGCTCTCCGGCCTCTCGGACCCGCTCGAAATCGCATGGGTGCGTGGTCTCATCGAAGACCATTACCACTACACCGGATCCGAGATTGCCAAGAGGGTCCTTCTCGATTTCCGCCGAGCGCTCCCCCGTTTCGTCAAGGTACTGCCTACCGACTACAAGAGGATCCTCGAGGAGGAGGCTGCCAAGGCTGCACTGGCGAGGATCTACCCCACCGGAATGCCGGAACAGCAGGTCCAGAAGGTCGACTCCGAGAAGACCGACGCGCACAAGCACGAGGCCAGCATGACCGATCTCGAGGACAGCATCATGGACACGAAGGCTCAGAAGAAGAAGTCCACTTTGGTCCTCAACAAGACGAAGGGATTCATGCTCTACTCCCGTCGTTCCGAGAAGTACCGCAACCCCAAGACTCGTGTCAAGGATTGGAAGGAGCTGTCTCGGAGATTGGATGTGGATGAGCTCAAGCATCAGTCGGCACGTTGCATGGACTGTGGTGTTCCTTTCTGCCAGAGTGACACCGGATGTCCCATTAGTAATGTCATCCCCAAGTGGAACACTCTAGTTTTTCAGAACAAGTGGAAGGAGGCTTTGTACGCTCTCCTCGCCACCAACGACTTCCCCGAGGTTACCGGCCGTGTCTGCCCTGCTCCCTGCGAAGGCTCCTGTGTGCTTGGCATCAACGAGGATCCTGTCGGAATCAAGAGCATCGAGTGTGCCATCATCGACCGCGGTTTCGAAGAGGGATGGGTCATTCCAAACATTCCCACGAGCAGGACTGGAAAGAAAATCGCCATCGTCGGATCTGGACCGGCTGGAATGGCCGCTGCTAACCAACTCAACAAGGCCGGACACACTGTCACCGTGTACGAGCGCCACGACCGAATCGGTGGTCTGATGATGTATGGTATTCCCAACATGAAGCTCGACAAGTCTATTCTCCAGCGTCGCGTCGATCTGATGGCTTCGGAAGGCATCGTCTTCAAAACCAATTCCCACGTCGGAGAAGATGTCACATTGGCCGACCTCAAAAAGGAGAACGACGCCATCATCGTCGCTACTGGAGCTACCGTTCCTCGCAACCTGCCCATTCCCGGTCGTGACCTGAAGGGTATCGACTTTGCCATGACCTTCCTGCATGCAAACACCAAGGACCTCCTGGACTCAAACCTTCAGGACGGCAAGTACATCTCCGCCAAGGACAAGGACGTCATCGTTATTGGTGGTGGTGATACCGGTAATGATTGCATCGGTACTGCTGTTCGCCACGGAGCGAAGTCGGTGGTCAACTTTGAGCTTCTTCCTGCTCCTCCGTCCGAGCGCGCCCGCGACAACCCTTGGCCACAGTGGCCCAAGATTTTCCGCATCGATTACGGACACACTGAGGTGCAGACCAAGTACGGCCGCGACCCCCGCGAGTACTGCGTCATGAGCAAGGAGTTCGTCAGCGATGGCAATGGAAACGTGAAGGGTATCAACACAGTCCGCGTTGAGTGGCAGAGAACCCGTACCGGCTGGGACATGAAGCAGGTCGAGGGATCCGAACAGTTCTTCCCCGCCGACATGGTCTTGTTGTCGATGGGATTCTTGGGTCCCGAGGACAAGGCGTTGGGAGAATTGGAGCGTGACGGTCGCAAGAACGTCAAGACCGCTGCTGGACATTATGCCACGTCCGACCCCGGAGTGTTCGCCGCTGGTGATTGTCGCCGTGGACAATCTTTGATCGTTTGGTGAGTAGACTCCGATGTTCTGTGCTATATGACTTTGCGCTAATGATATATCATAGGGGTATCAACGAGGGCCGTCAATGTGCTCGCGAGGTTGACCAATACCTGATGCAGTCGACCAGACTTCCGGTCACTGGAGGAATCGTCCATCGCTCCAAGATAGCTGGCGAAATCCTCGGCCGCGCCGATCGCGCAAAGCCTCAGCAGATTGCGATCGCTGCCTCCTCATAGACGACTAACTGTATCTATTGTTTCTATTTTCGAAGGAAAATTCTATTTTACTTTTTCTTTACTGGCTGTTGCCCGGTGACACGGAAGGAAGGAAGGGGCGTGCATTCTGTTTCGTTTCGTTTCGTTTCGGATTGGAAAAAAGGCTGGAGGTCGGGGGTTCGTTCTTTCTTCTCTTTAGTTAGGGCGGGGGGTTTAGGTTTGCATATTTCGGGGGCGGTTTGCGGGTACTTTGCTATTTTTCTTTTTCCTCCTTGTTTTTCTTGTCGTTCTTGTATTCTGGTTCGCATGATGGGTTACAAGATGACCGTGCTGTTGTTCTTGTGGCTAGGTAGTAGTTTGAATGCTGCATATGCCATATGGTGCATACTACCTATCTTGACTCTTGACTCTTGACTCTTGACTCTTGACTCTTGAGATCGTCACTGGGCGGTGGGGACGCAGTGGGGGCTCAGTGGGGGGCGTGATGATTATGATGCTAGTGATATCGACGCGTATGGGGTAGAATGACTTTGCACTACCTATCCTATATCTACACCGAAACAGTCCCCGCTGTGGCCATCCTGCCTGGATATCAGGCCGGGACTCGGGAGATGGCCTGTCGTGACTCGCGGAGACGTGGACACGAGAACTAGGTCTTGGCTTGTAATTCGTAGGAACACGGGACTACCGTATCTACATAGATTCACAATGTACGACGTATTTGTATTTTTTATTCGCATATGGGGCTCGCTATGCCTACTTAGGTACTCTTGAGTCGTAGCAGGCGCCTTTGTGCTCACGTTCTCATATGCCTGGGAAGCTGGGAACAGAGCCGCCGCCAGTACCAGGTAAGTATTGGAGTCACTACGAATCCATGATCCATCTGTGAGGCATCTGTGAGGCATCTGTGCGGCATCTGTGCGGCATCTCGGAGGATCTGTTTGGAAGACGTACCTACCGTATGTGCCGTAGGTATGTGCCGTAGGTAGGTAGATATGTGGCGCTGTTGGCAAGATATTGACTGCGAAGAAGAAGAAGAAGAAGTATCTGGAACAGGCGGGGACCGCTGGGGGACTGCGCATGGAGGACTCGGGGAGACGCGGAAACGGGGAGATAGGGAGACGGGGAGACGCGGAAATAGTGCTGAGCACTCAGCTCGAGGAAAGGATCACGATATATCGTCCGGTGCCCACAACCAGGTTCACCGCCGGCTCCTCCACGAGCCCACCGTCCACCAGCCATCCTCCCAACGGGCGAGGTATTACTATGTCAGCGCGCAGGACACGAGCCGAAGCCTCGCCCAAGGAACAAACGCCAACAACGCCAACAACGCCGGCACCGCCGGCACCGCCGGGACTGGAGCGTCGAGACTAGAGCGTTGAGAAGAATCACAGCCCCGGAGTCCGAACCATCCATAATTCACAGAACAGAGAACTGGATACCGGTCTACAAGTTACAACTTACATCTAGAGACCGTAATCGCAATCTAGCAGCGGCAGCGGCGGCAGCGGCGTGGGAGTCGGGTTTGGTTCTTTGGACTCTTGGACTCTTGGAGACGAGGAGGGTACGAAGTATGTATTCCTATATATATGTGCCGCTGGTATGGGTATGGTGGGGGGGGATCACGTATTGACGTATCCATGGACCTAAGTAATAGATCACGACGTCTACACCAAGAGAGCCACCGCCGCCGCCGCGAGACCAGCTAATCGGCGTCCCTTGCCTGCCCGCTCGAGACAAGTATTGTACACTTGCCAATCGAAAATTTCTGGAGCAAAGGTATGGAATTCCCGCTGCACCGCCACCCTAATTTTGTGTAAAAAACCAGGTTTTTTGAAGCAGTCGACTAGGCAACGAAAGTTCGACAGAGAGAAAGAGAAGTCTTTTTCTATTTTATTGAAGCAATGAAGCTCGCTATGGTGCTGCTTTCCCAACTTTTATAACAATTTTCCGTGGGTTATGTGTTCCATCGGTCGAGAAGTAAATTTTTGGTTCGTATTTCAATGATGGGTCAATTTATTTTAGTGGCGGGTCAATTTATTTTAGTGGCGAGTCAATCCATCTTAATGACAAGTCACTAGATGTGCGCATGGCGAGTCAGTAACTTTGATGACTCAAGCGCAAATTCCACTCATCTGATCTGCGCTGTTCGTAACGCGCGACTGGAGACAAATTGGATGTTAGACAGTTATCAAATGCAAGCAAATCCTCAGTAAGATTATTCCGATGATACTCTTTTTCTACCCTACCTTCTGTCATATTGCATTGTGTTCGTTGCGTTGACGCGTACATATGGTACTCTACTTTAGTTATCTAGTGGTCAAGGCGCACAAGCGCCCCGTCCCCGTCCCGCTTGAGGACACTGGAGGAAGGCTACGGAAGACTCCAAAATCTCTACGGAGAAGGGCGCCAGAAGTCCGTGACGGCGAAGAGAAAGGCATATAATACAACAAACCCCAAGGGCCAAGAGGAGGAATGAAAATATCACCAATTGTAGCCAAAGCTGCCGGAAAGCTACGAAAATACGAAGTCCGGACTCCGGCCCGGCCCGTCTGGCATGATTTCGAAGCCAAATGCATGTAGGTGAAGGAACGGAGAACTAAACAGCAAAAGTATACCTACTGTATAGTGAAGGGGGGGTAAAAAATACGCTATTTTCCGTGTCGATACGGTCAAAATACGTGTTTTGACCGTATTCATACGCTTTTTGACCGTATTGATACGCAAAAAAGCGTATTTTTTACCCCCCCCCCTTTCACTATACAGTATGTAGAACTCCGATTGTGTGATACTCAAATCTGGTGAATACCATTGGCAATCCTGCTCCGGCTATGAACGTTGAATTGGCCTTGAGGCCATATCCCGTGACGCCATTGGTGCTTGCCTGATGCTGCGTTCCTAGGGCTGTTCGTACTATGTATCACAAAATAGCACTCGCTAATACCTATGCAGGTCTGACCAGTCACGGCAAGGAAGCGGAAAAATTGTGCTTCTAGCTGCATGCAAAATATTTGGCCTCTTGAAAGTTGAGTGGATGGATCGTGATACGCTACTGCACCCGCTTTCGTACGCTCCAATAGCGATCGAAATTCGCCATGGCAATTCAGCTGCACGCAGCACCTCCTCACTTATCATAGCGATCTCCGCCTTTAGTGACATTTAGCTCTCTATCTCCTCTACTCCGCGTCTCTCGGCTCCCCAGCGCTGAACTTCAGTACCATTATGACTCCATTACCACTACCCGACGGAATATTGTTCGTTCTGTTCATCGCTATCCTTGCACTACTCCTCCTCAAGCCCAGAATCCAACAACTAGTACGGGAAAGCCGGCCAGAAGAGAAACTTGCGCCGCAACCCGCAATCGACGATGTAGCGGCCGACGATACTGGAGTTCACGGAACACGAGTGCAAGCCACCACTACGACAGAAACCAAACCAGATCCTTCGATCGGAGCTCACGGCGATGTATCCCATGCCCAAGCAACATGTTTCCGGATCTCTGGAATACCCTTCAACTGGGATAGCAACAGGCTCAGACAGGCATTACGGGATATCGATCCTGAACTCTATCTTCCGCCCGCCGAGCTATCTGAGCTGTTTCCAGCTTGCTGCGACACCTCGCAAGTCGCCTTGCTCACCTTGGAACGCTGTACAGCTTACTTTCAAAACTTCAAACATAACGACGAACGCCAGAAAGTATTCGCCGAAAATGGCCGGAAGATTCGACTTGTGTTCGACAAACACTTCTACGATTTGACACCGATGAACAGACCGACTACACCAATCGTTGTTGAGTTAGTGCCGTCACTGTGCTGTCGTTTCAAATGCTGACCCGCGTGTCTATCTAGCGTGATAGCAATTACTGGTCTTGGAGGCCATGCGTTTGAGTCGTGGAGGAGCCGGACCACCACTGACCGGCCTGTTGATCGCCCGATGTGGCTTCGTGATTTTTTGCCGCAGGCAATCACAGGCCTTCGAATTATGACCTACGGCTATGATAGCAACCTGAAGAACCCTAGTGGGGCAAACCTGACCGACTATCGGCGTAACTTCATGGAGTGTCTACAAAACGCCAGAAGGGATTGTCCGGTATGTTTTGTTGAGCCCATTCTGCGATTGAATCGTGATCAGCTGAGATGCTTATGATTCTTCTGCACCACTTAGAAACGTCCAATCATCTTTTTCGGACACAACTTGGGAGGCATACTGGTCGTGCAGGTATGAGAAAAACATACGTCTGGACACTGATATCAACTATTAACGGTTATAGACTTTAATTGAATCGAGAAAACACTCCAAGCACCGTGGTATCCTCTACTGCATCCGAGGGGTATTCTTCTTCGGAACACCTCATCAAGGACTCAGGACTGTCGAATTCGATGAGATGGCTGGCGAACTCGACGATATGGATTCCCAACGGAAGGTTCGCAATCTACTCGCCCAGTTGCGCGAAGGCTCCGAATATCTGGAGAACCAGAAAGACGACTTGAGCGAGATGTGGGGGAAATTGCGTGGAAAGGTCTTTACTTTCCACGAGACCGAAAAGACAAAGTCGGTCAAAAAGGTGGATATTTCTACCTTCTGGGATTACATCTATAAAGTTTCCCCGGGCGGCTCTTTTGGTCCTCTTTCGGTGGTCCTGTCTGAAAGCGTGTTTTGGAACCACCGAAAAGGTGGCTCAAGCTTTCAGTGGTTCTTTCGGTGGTGTCTCTGCTTCACTTCGGAGTCACACTAATCGTTCCAAAGAACCGCCAAAAATTATCAGAAGAAACACCGTCAAAGATCCTCCAGTGCATGAATGCTGACATCAATTCATCAGCTAGGATCAGGAGTCTTCGAAAGGGCGGGCAACGAGTTCCAAATGGTCCAGCGACTATCAGCTCAGCTTTACCTTCCGGGGGAATCTCGTTTTCCGATCGCCTCCAATAATATCGACATGGTGAAGTTCGATTCACCTCAGGATAGAGCTTTTCAGACTGTTGTCACAAGCATGAAGGAGTGTCTCGGTGCGTAAGCGGAATGGTATACTACTAGAATCGGCTCGATTCCAACACTAACCCTAAAAATTCCCAAGAACAAGTGGATTGCCTGCCCGGTGTAGCTGGAGAGGAAGTTTGTGTTTTAGCTGTCGACACCTTGTTAGCAGCAGGCGCAAATCATGGCTCCGTGAACTGGTGCGGCGATACACCGCTCCACCGTGCCATCTCGAATGAACACAATGCCACAGTCTGGCTGCGCATCGACCGCGGCGCCGAAGTCTCGGCCGTCAATCACAGCGGATCGACGCCGCTGCGCCTCGCGCTCGAGAACGGACGCGACGCGGTAGACCAGCTACTTCGCGATCGAGTGCCACCGTGAATCAACTTTCTTCCGCTTCTTCCCCAACCTCCTCCCTTTAGCTGTACTCTACTAGACTGGTTATGTTGAGGTAACTAATACCGAGTGGAGGTACCTTTTGGAGAAGAAGAGGGCTACAACGCGCCGCTACAGCGCACAACTGACAACTCGAGCCTCTTCGGAGGCTCAGTTTCAATTATTGCGACGATGAAGGGATTTGGACTGTCATTTCTGTTTCTGGGGTTGGGTGGTGGAATTTCATTGCCAAAATGCTGTATTGTAGATACCTCTACCGGCCATAACCTTAGGGTTCCATGCTGTATGAAATATCAATCAATCGATCAATCAATTGAGCTGTGCTCCATGTATATATGTGATGAGCCTCTCGTACCTTCCAAGTGAGAAGAAAATATGTGCAGTGAGGTTGCATGATGGTCGAATGCGTGTGGTGGTCGAATGCGTGTGGTAGTCGAATGCCCAGACGCTAGGAGGTGAATTTAGGGATAATTGTTTTTCTTTCTTTCCTTTTTTTGTGAGTTTTCTTTTTTTTTCAGGGGAAGGCTTAGGTCTGTCGGGAACTGTAGTTATGCTCTAGATATCTCTGTAGTGGTGAGAGTCCGGCAGCAAAGCTCAGCAAATGGCGAATATCAACGAGATCTTCACGGTTACTGATAGCTATGGGGTTGCACGGGATGACGGAGAGCAGGTTGCTGGGAACGATGAGGTTGCGCGGGTTGTCGGAGAATGGCAGATGGCCAGTGGGGACGACGAGGTTGAGCTGGTTGCTGGGGAGCAGGTGTCTTGGGACAATGAGCCCGCGTCAGCTTCAGGGAGCAGGTTGCCGGGGCCGATGAGGCTGCGCGGGTTGTCGGGGAGCATTGGGTTGATGGGGACGATGGGGCTGCGCGGGTTGTCGGGGTTGCTGGCGGCGGTGAGGACGCGCGGGTTGCCGATGGCGATTCGGTTGCGCGGATTCCAACCGACGACAATATCGTATCCGGCGACCCCTTGTTCAACGACGAAATTTTACCCGAATGTGATCGATTCCAAGACGGTATGGCGATGTACCGCAGTGGTCTTGTGCCTTCCAAGCAGGAGGCGGCTGTGATTTCAGAGATGAAGGTGTCTACCTTTGTACATCGAAGTCTCGGAAGACGGTCACAGGCAGACTATGGGAAATCACGCCGGCTACTACTGGAAGCGGAGGAGAAGACTTTGATCTGGCGTTGTGATATTCTACAGCGCGCTGGATTCGCGCAGAATGCGCGGGATGTCAGAGATTTGACCGAAGTACTCCTCCGAAAACGAAATCCAACAGCAACTGTCAGTCCTCGATGGATCGACCGGTACTTTTACAAACAAAATCCTGAAGTGAAAGCGAGATGGATTCAACAACTGGATAAAATACGGGTACAGCAGGGGAATAAACACTACGCATTGGAGCAGTTCTTCGCAAATATAAGTGTCACAGGCCTTTTTTTCTATATTCTTAAGAGAAAGATAGCTGGTTGTGTAATAGATGCATAGTCTAGTCGTCGAATTCGAAGTGGCACCGAAGGATACCTATGACCTCGACGAAACCGGATTTGTGATGGGAAATGTACAGTCTCAACGGGTGTTGGATTTGATTCGACACCCTCGGAATACGAAAAGCCGTCGTCGACCAGTACCGGATCTGAAAGAGCTTCAACATTCTGCAGGCGCACGAAGTCAAGATGGCTGCCGAGACTCAGTTGCAACTGTGATTTTCTGCATCTACACTAATGGCACCTATGTTCCCTCGGCCATTATGATGAAGGGACAGGGACAGCAAGATGCGTGGTTTCAGAATCTTGCTGGAGTTCCTCGGGATGTACTATTCGGTGCATGCCGCAACGGTTGGGCGGACAACAGCAAGACTCTTGCTTGGCTAAAACACAGTTTTGGTCCCGGAAGCGCAACAGAGAAGAAGGCTGCAGGGAAGTGGCGGATGCTCATGTTTGATGGAAAAATCTCTCATGTCAACCGTGAATCTCTATCTACTTGTCTCAATTACAAAGTCCTACCTGTTTGCCTTCCTCCGCACACCACTGATTTTTCTCTACCCCTCGATGTTGCTCTTTTTGCACCACTGCAGTCCGCATATGCCAACATCCTACGGCGCCATACCGAATTTGGAGGACGAGGTGTTTGGAAAGGAAACTTCTATCACTTTCTGCACGAGGCAGGAAGACGGCATTCACACCGGAGAATATCCGCAGCGCGTTTTGGTGGACAGGTCTGGTCCCGCTAGACTTTGAAATCATCCGAAGGAAGCTCGATATTCCCAATCCGGTCATCGCGAATACCATCCAGACAACCTCACGGCCGCTGGCCCCCCTACTCCCGCCCTCCGAATCTCCAATCCACCATTTATCCCCCACCACTGCCGCCTCCGGCACTACCGTGCCATACGCTATATCCACTGCACCACGAGATCACCTCGGAGAATTCCATCAACTACGAGAATCGCCGCTATCATTGGACTTGCAAGGGAACAGCCTTCCCCCGGGTACGTGGACCGGGCTTCCACATGTTCTGGATCAGGTCCCGAATGCTCATATTTCCAATGAGCTAGGAGCCAAAAGGGGAGCAGCTGGTAGCAGAAAGCAGCCACCGCGAAAAAGAACGAAGAATTCCTGACGAAGGCCGAGTTTGACTGGACGTCTGATGTCGCACAGGTTGATGAGTGGTTATCTATGTACGTGGTTCGAATATATGTACATACCGTAGGTATTTGACTTGGTGGCGACGAAAATCAGGTGGCTTTGTATGTACATAGGCGAAGGTTCTCGTGACTCCAGTAAAAACGGGATTGGCTACTAGGCAGTGGAATAATGCGGCCGTGTCCATTAGTTATATACCTATTCAAGATTTTGAGGGCGTGAGTGAATGGTCATGACGACCGCATGGCCGGCCAGGAATACTCTAAATCCATGATTACACGTAGGTACATAACTACCACTGTATGTATTAATGTCGAGAATGTTGAATTGAATGGTATCATGCTTGTAAAGAACACCGTGCACTGTTCGGCCTGAAAACAGCCGAATAAGAAACCGATACGGTATTCGCCCACACTCGCGCCCGCCATCCGTTAACTATCTCGGTATCATTCAACGAGTTTGTTCGCACAAGCTCTTGGTGGTGTCTTTCTCATGAACGAGTACCTACCTTAGCTACCTACCTACCTAGAGTCCTAAACGCATGAAGAAGCGCAGGAAAAGTGCAGGAACGCAACCAACCGGTGCAGGCGGCGCACCGGACAACTGCGGAAATGCCATGGCCGTCTAGACTGTATTCAGTTGGCCGCCATGTAGTGGTGACAGCGGGGTAGGGGTGAAGCCAGAGGCATCATGGTCCATCGGGCGAGCTCAGGCGAGCTCAGGTGATGGCATGCCAAAAGATCATCAACCTGCGGAAGCTAGGACAGCCACCTACAACGTTAGGAGTCAGAACAACCACGATATCCAGGGATGCCTCATTGCCTGTCGCTAGATTCGGGACTCATAGGAATAGCACTGTAAGTAAAGCCGGCCACGGCCCAGCCCAACAGCCGGAACAGCCGCTTCGCCTTCCAACTCCTCCGCCTTTCGAAAGGAAACAAGGCGAGGCTGGCAACCCGATTGGCAGACGAACGGTGAACCGTGACCTTCCGGGGCTAATCGGATCGGTTAAGACTCGGTGGAGACGGCGATACTCTACTGGGTAAAGCGAAAGCACCACACTACACGTTCTCCCACTGGAATGGCCACAAAGTCCACATGGCATGCTGGGCTACTACCAAGAGGCCTATGATGCCGTGTGCGCAGTCACCATACGGGCACGTGCACTGGAAGAGGCCACCGGCAGACGGCACACTCTCTTAGCAGGGTCACCATCTACAAACCTGAATCATGAACGAGTACGGTAGATACAGTAGTGTACCTATATGATCACAGAGGTAGAAAATTATGGTAAACCGGAACCAAAGAAAGGCGGGACCATCATTTTGTTTGTTTCATCATCATTGCATTTGACCTTAGTAGATCATAGCACATTACATGAGTATATATACCCGCCAACTTGCAGACTGATCTAAAAGACCAAACCAACCCACCCACGAGCTGCAGCGAGATGCAGCGAAGTCAGGCCATCCTGAAGGCGAGCCACCTAGCTTCGGCTTCCACACCTTGAAGGGTGGCCAGCATACGGTCGTATGCACGAGCAGCTCCTCCACGCTGCACGTGGGTCGTGACCCAACGTGGTGATTCTGGTGTCAAGGCCCATCTTGTTAGAAAGCACATTTTTGACGAATTCTGCGGTAATTGGAGTCAGGCCACGATCGGTAGCCCCCTCCGCGACGATGACAATCGTCTTTCTCTTCCCCATCCCACGGTGCTGCAAATAAACGTCAGTAATCCACAGACTATCACTCGGGACACGTTTCCACTAACCTTCGCGATGATTGCACACATCTCGGTTTCCCAGCCCTTAGCCGGGGGCTTCTCAGGCAAGAATACGAAGTCCGCCCCGGTACTGACACCAGCCATCAGCGCCAACCACCCGCAGTGTCGTCCCATGACCTCGACGACGAAAGCTCGCGAGCGAGAGTAGGCGGTGGCATCGATGAAATCCACGCTCTGACAGATTCTAGTAAGAGAACTGTAGCATCCAATGGTCGCATCGGTTCCGATCATATCGTTGTCGATGCTGCCGACCAATCCAGCGATGTTGAGGTTCTGGTACGGCTCAATCTGCTCCTGCTTGAGCTCGCCATTCTTGACGAGCTCAGCCAGTAGCCCGAGCCACTCGCCGGAAGATATCCGCACCAGTGAGCGAACCGTCTCCACCACAGATGATGAGTGCATCGATCCTGTTAATGATAAGGTTTTTGGCACCCCTCAGAGGGCCATCTCGATCCTCTTCTTCTTGGCACTACCGCCGGAGCGGATAGGTCGGCTGACCATGGGGGTATCCCCCCCATCATTCCCATCTCGCCGGCCTAATTTCCGGAGAAAAATATCATGCCGCTACCGCGACTGTGTATGCCCGCAGGGGGCTGAATGGTGGGAATTGAAGGGGATGACAACCGAGGGGTTTATCGGGTGTTGATGTCGATGGTGAGGGGAGAGAGAGAGAAAGGAGAGGGGTTTGTCGGGGGTTGATGTTGATGATGAGGAGAAAGAGAGAGAGAAGGGAGGGGAGCGGAGAGAGAGGAGCCTTTTATTCGGAAGCGGGGGACGGCCTAGTGCGGCCTGGTGCGGCCTGGTGCGGCCTGGTGCGGGCGGGGTTATGCCCACATCCCCGCATCCCCGCACACGCCGGAGAACTAGTCCACACATGCCGAAGAAGGCAGGAAAACTCTATCATTATAGGTCTTACCTAGACGAAAAGCACTCTTCTAACGGAAGGGGACGAAACACATGTTCTCTCGGTGTGATACTAGACATAGTTGGAACTTACATTGTACAGTACCGTATGATACAGCTGCTATCTAGAAACTATACACACCAACTTTCTCAAACACACCAACTTTCTCAAACACACCAACTTTCTCAAACACACCAACTTTCTCAAACACACCCGGTCCGTAGGAATTGAACACATCAAGGGGCCTATGGTAATCGACCACAAAAAAAGCGCCCATGGTAATCGACCGCAAAAAAGCGACCATGGTAATCGACCACAAAAAAGATCTGTACATACAAGACCAAAACGCACCTCCGTCGCTGTGCAAGGATAGCAATCCTTCCCGGCTGACAGGGAGATAATCACACAGGTCAAAGGAATGGTATGACACTTCTTCTCTTGACCGTCACGCCGAGCTGGATGTCCAATATGACAAATACTAGGTATCTCGACCATCCTATTCCGGAGCTGATCGGGCCGATCAGAGGATGGCGGTATGTACTAGACTTAGATCAAGCGGAAGCGGAAGCACCAGACTGCACGGTCTCCATTATATGAACGTAGAGAAAAAAGCCAAGACCCGCGTAGATGGCCCCGGCCAGCCTAGGGACTGTTAATGTTCACGCTCGAGTTTCAGACGGGAGCTAGAGTGATCGGATGTGCGGACAAATGGAAAAACGGCTCCCGCTACTGTAGGCCTAGACATAATGCGGAGTGCGCAGTTAACACGCGGGTACTGGAAGAGGGGAACGGTGACGATATTGATGTGATTGTAAAACTGTAGAACTGGAATCTTCCCCACCACCACTACTCCGCCGACTTGAAGACTGATTCAAAAGACCAAACGCAGAACTCAAGGAATTATTATCACGGAACGCCAACTCCGGGCCCCACTCAAGAAAATCAAGGCTTCGCCCTCTATTATACACAGCAACAAGGTCAATGAGAAGGTGATGGCTAGCTTGGCCCAATTTGGACTGCTGCAGATAGGTTGGTAACGAGTGATATCAAAAGCATTCGGCGAGTGGGCTCTTCCGCAAAACAACAGGTGTAAATTAGTACAAACAGGCTCTCTAACATTATGTATCTAGCAGCATATATTCCCACTTCCCTCCTTCTGAAGCTTTCCTCAACATTTGAGACAGTAAAATAAGTTACAATCCTCACAAGACTAACTTCCTCTCGCTATAGTAACTAAGTCTGCCGCTCTCGCTATAGTAATCGGGTCCGCCGCTCTCGCTATAATAGCTAGATTGGGGGTTCCAAGTATGGCTTCGTCAAAGTAGGAATCCGCCGCAGCATCTTGTGGTCTTGTCGAAGGCTTTACGGTAAAGGTAAAGGTCTCTCCCAAGCCTTGAGGAACCAATCACAGAACTCATTGCCACAGAAATGGTGGACGTCGGAGTATTGCTGAATCAGGCCCATTATGAGCTCTTGTGGGAGGTGGGATAGGTTCTGGATCTCTATCTGCTGACTGATTTTCACAACACATCGCATCGTCAGCGCGGTTGTTCCAGCAAGCATCAAGTGGGAGAGGGGGGTAGTCCGCGGAAACGTACCGAGCGCATCTTCCGAGAACTGGGTTGGTTCTCGTGTGGACGATAGCTCCACAATGTGGGCACCGTAAAACTTGGTTGTATTAGCTGCATATCCCCCATCGCGTTCGGTGGTCATTGGTGCGGTGCTACATACCTGGTAACGGCCAGCAAAGGGCGGAGCAGCGGTTAGCCACTGCCGCCGCCACCAGCACCCTACTGCTCGGGGGAAATGATTCCGCCCGAACTGCGGTGTGAGGACGTTGATTTTCGTGACCCCCGCGGCCGCAGCAGCTGCGGCCGCGGCGGTGGCGGCGTATGCCCGCATGAGGCTGATTGATAGCCGCTGCGGGATGCGCATCGAAGGGTTTGTGGAGTGTCCATTTGCCTCTCGCACGATGAGAATACCGGGAGAATGCTCCAGATCTCTCTGGGTATGGAGGATTCCAGGATGCTCCGGTCTCGCATTAAGCTTCTTGCTCAACGCTATGCGGGCGCTATGCGGGCCGTCAGCAACCAGACAGCAGATAGGGACGTAGGAAGCCGAACATTTGAAAGCGGGATTTATCAAGTGTTGATGTTGATGATGACGTATGTGATGGGGAGAGAAAGAGAGAGAGAGGAGAGAGGAGGGCGGAGACAGGACCTATTTATTGAAAATCGGCGGGCTAGGTGCGGCCTAGTGCGGGCAGGGTTAAGCCCGCATCCCCGCACACACCGAGGAACTAGGTACCAGTACACACCAGAGTGGAAGGCAGGGCGACCACCGGCAACTACTGAGAACCTCAGCCTTCGGAACAACCATGATATCCAGGGATGCCTTATTGCCTATCGCTGCAGTCGGGACTCAGCATCTACTAGGTATGTATGTATAAGTAATTCCGGCCACGGTGGTCCGCAACGGACTCTTCGCCGCCGTCAAAATTCAAACCCCTCAGTCTCGGAGCCTCCCGAAAGGAAACCGGGCGGGGCTGACAGCGCGATCGGCAAACGAACGGTGAACCGTAACCTTCCTACGCCGATCGGGCTGGTCAGAGACGGCGGTACTACTAGTAGATAAAGCGGAAGCCCCAGAATTCCCGGTCTCCCCATGGACGAAGAGCAAAAAACCAAGACCCGAGCAGAAGTTGAAGGCCCCCCTCGTTAGCCCCCTTAGAACTACGGTTTTGCGGACGGTTCTTTTGCCAACGCCCTCCAGGCCGGAGGCGGGATCGAGAGGAGAACACACACAGAACTTAGAAGGAACAGAGGATATGGAGGTTTATCGCCTATTCCGTAGATGATAAGAGAGAAAGAAGAAGAAGAAGGAGCAGACGACTAAGGAGCAGACGATTAAGAAGCAGACGACTAAGAAGCAGACGACTATGTAAGGAGTAGATGACTCCGCTGGACCCGCCAACGTTGATGCTGCCTAATAAGCCATTCGCTTCCTCCCACCGACAAGTCCTTTCGCTGACAGGTCCTCCATTGCCCCGCCACAACGGTATTGACGTTCACCGGTGGATTTCTGATGGATTCTGGTGAGATCGGATATGCGGTCCCGCGGCAAAACGGCTGAAAGTCCACATGTGCTAACATAGTTACTACCAAGAGACCTGTATGATGTGGAGTGCGCAGTCACCACCCGGACCCGTGCACTAGAAGCGGCCACCAGCAGACGACACACTCTCTTATATAGCAGTTTCACCATCTACAAACGAAAATCATGAACGAGTATGGTAGATACGGTAGAGTACCTACCGGAACCAAAGAAAGGCGGTACCATTGTTTTATTTGTTTCATCATCATTGCATTCGATCTTAGTAGATCATGGAAGATTACATGAGTATATACCCGCCAACTTGGAGACTGATCTAAAAGAACAAACTCAGAACTGAAGGAATTTTATCCACCGAACACCAACTCTCTTGCCCCCCCCCCCCCCCACCCCCTCTCACACCCGGGTTGATTTACCCGTGCCACCCTGGCCGCCCAAAGCTTCCTCGTTCCGCTGTCTGTATGGAGCCCAATGGATTAGATCCATGTCCTTCATCGCGTTCAGTGGTAGTCGGTGCGGTGCTACATACCTGCTAACCGCCAGCAAAGGGCGGAGCAACGGTTAGTAACCACCGCCGCCGCCACCGGAACCCTACTACGCGGGGGGAAATAATCCCGCCCGAACGGTTCGGTCATGGTGATGTGCGCAACCTCCGCGGCGGTGGCGGCGTATGCCCGCTTGGGGCTGGGTTCTTTGAGGGCGAAGTGGAACTCGGCCTCGTTTTCGACGTAGCTGAGCTTCTCGAGGTCAAGGTTTGTGGCATCCTCGGACGACAACTTCTTGGGCACGGAGCCCTCGCTGTTGAAGAGCTCCTCGAGGAGGTTGGGGGAGATGGAGAGGTAGTCGCATCCGGAGAGCTCAGTGATCTCGCCAACGTCGCGGATGTCCCTGGGAAATTCCTAGGCATGACTGTTCGAATGCTTCCTCGTCGGCAAGAGGGAAATCGTCGACTCGTTCGACTTTAGCGATGAGGTAATCATCCCGGTAGCCCCACTTCTTGATCCTAAACTTGGATCGCCGACCGTCCAGATATGGCTGTGACCGTCTGCATAAACTTGTATGGAATCGATCTGCAGCATCGTTCCATACTCCATGAATGGAGTCCCCTCCGCGTCTCCTACCCCGTTGCTAACGAAGTTCGGAAGCACCATTCCGAACTGTTGAATCAGCAATCGATATCGAGCCTCGAATATGAAAAGCATGGTCGTCGGTGCGGTGCTACATACCTGATAACTTTACAGTTACCGTCAGCAGAGGGCGCAGGAAAGATTGGTTGATAGTATCGTAGTCGAAATGATTCCGCCGATGTGTGTGAAACACATCATCGGTTCGCGGTGGCCTAGGCGACGGCGACGGCGGCTTATGCCCGCATGGGGCTGGTTGTTGGGTTGATTGAATGGATTGCTCCGAGGGGCTTGTTGAGTGTTGAAGTTGAAGTTGATGTTTGATGTATATGATGAGGAGAGGATAGAGAGGAAGGGAGAGGAGACGGGAGAGAGAGGAGCTATTTATAAGAAACGGTGGCGGCCTAGTGCGGCGTGGTGCGGGAAGTACTGAGACCGCATCCCCGTATCCCCGCACACGCCGAGACACTAGGCACCAGTACACGCTGGACTGGAAGGCAGGGCGACTCTGTCGTTAGCACTGACATATCCGAGCCTACGCTGCCTGTAACTTTCGCCGCACTCGTGATTTTGATACAAATTTGGTATGCCTTCTGGCATCTGAAGGGAGTACGGTATGTAGCATTCTTGCTTCATCCGGAGTCATGACGCCATACCTACATAGAGTGAATCACTGGTGCGCTCCAGCGTCGGGTAGAAAATGTGCTTCCGTACAAATTTTCATTCGTATGTATAATACCACTGGTCTTTAGAAACGATACCAACTTTCTCAAACACAGCAATGGGCTCATGGTAATTGGCCAAAAAAAGAGCATATCAAATGCAAACTCCTCCGCTGTACAAAGACTCATATGCTCCGAGTGATGATGCATGAAGCCGTGTGGTCTCCCCCCTCATTACACAGTTAGTACACGCGGTGGAAGGCAGGATAACTCTGTCATTAATATTCACATATTCAAGCTTCTTATCGAGAATCGAACAGCACTCGGCCAACGTAAGGGGACGAAACAGACTGCACACTCTCTCAACAGGGTCACCATCTACAAATGGACAAAAATCATGAACGAGTACGTAGATACGGTAGAGTAGGTAGCTGATCACAGAGGTAGATAATTCATGGTATATACATGCAGAATATACCCGACCAAAGAAAGACGGTACCATTGTTTTTTTTTGTTTAATCATCATTGCATTCGACCTCAGTAGTAGATCATGGGAGATATATACCCGCCAATTTGGAGGCTGATCTAAAAGACTAAATGCAGAACTGAAGGAATTCTTTCCACCGAACACCAACTCCTTTGGTCCCCCCGCCCCCTCTCACACCCGGGTTGATTTACCCGTGCCACCCTGGCCGCCCCGAAGCTTCCTCGTTCCGCTGTCTGTATGGAGCCCAACGTATTAGATGCATGTCCCTCGTCGCGTTCGGTGGTCGTCGGTGCGGTGCTACATACCTGGTAACCAGTCACCGCCAGCAAAGGGCAAAGGAATGGTCCGTCGATAATCACATCGGTGCCGGCGCTCGGGGGGAACTAATTCCGCCCGATAGCACTATGTGTGCCATGCCCTAGTTGCCGGGCGGGGAGGGGGTAGGAAGGCATCAATAGATGAATGCTATTTCCTTCGTGATATTCTGATCAAAAAATCAGCCTCCTTCCTTTATCGTGCGGCAAACGAATCATCATGGAATATGACTTTTCTTACCTTCCATGGCATTCAACCAGATAACGAGAACTGGCTTGGGTTAGAGCCGTACTCGTAAACAAACCTGGAAGCAAGGTAGCTCCCGAAGATTGCCTTGAGGTAGTTATCTAGAACCCTCTCAAGGATGGTGTCAAGGCCGATCTGCCATGCTCAAAGCCCAAAGTATTAGATGCATATCCCTCATCGCGATCGGTGGTAGTCGGTGCGGTACTACATACCTGCTTGACCGCCAACAAAGGGCGGAGCAGCGGTTAGCCGCCACCGCCATAGCTGCTGCCACCGCCACCACCGGCACCCTACCATTCGGGGGGAAATAATTCCGCCCGAACGAGTTAGTCATAGTGATGTGCACGACTTCCGCGGCGGTGGCGGTGGTGTATTCCCGCTTGGGGCTGGGTTCGTTGAGAGGTTTTTGGTAGTTAGGTAAGGAAGAGAGGAGAGTATGTGTGGATGGAAGAAGGAGATGATTTGAAAGCGGGGTTTATCGAGTGTTGATGCTGAGGATGATGTATGTGATGGGGAGAGAAAGATAGAGAGAGAGGAGAATGGAGGGCGGAGAGAGGAGCTATTTATTGAAAACGGCGGGCTAGGTGCGGCCTAGGTGCGGACTAGTGCGGGCGGGTTTAAGCCCGCATCCCCGCACACGCCGAGGAACTAGGCACCAGTACACACCGGAGTGGAAGGCAGGGCGATTCTGTCGTTAGTATGTGCTCACATGCGAGCCCACGCTGCCTGTAACTATCGTCGTACTCGTGATTTTGGTACAAAGTAGGCGTGCCTTCTGGCATCTGTAGGGAGTACGGTATGTAGCTTTCTCGCTTCATCCCGAGTCACGACGCCATACCTACATAGAGTGAATCACTGGTGCGGTCCAACGTCGTGGATGAAATGTGATACCATACAGATTTCATTTCTATGTATGATAGATACCACTGTTCTCTAGAAACGATACCAACCTTCTCAAACACAGCAATGGGCCATGGTAATCGACCACAAAAAGGCGCCCATTATAATCGACCACAAACAATGGCGGCGGGCCTATGGTAATCGACCACAAAAAACGGCGGCGGGCCCATGGCAGGTAATCGACCAAAAACCTCGGTATACATACAAGACCGCAAGTTGAAACGCAACCTCCGCCGCCGCTGCTGTGCGAGGAGAGCTACAAAGGTATCCTTCCCGGCTGAAAGGCAGATAATCGCACAGGTCGACGGAATGGTTGGTGTGTAGCCCCACCGGCTCTTCTAGGTATATATCCGACCGATTAGTGAATCCAAGAATCCACCTATATCCAGACCAGTGCTTCCCCCAGATTCCGAGCCCTGGTGCTCCCGTACTCTCGCACCACGGAAGCAGCGCACAGAGTGAATGACTGCTGCCTGCATTGTGACTCGTGAGTCGGCGCAGAGTGTTCCGCCGTCCGATCTTCGTCCAATCCTCGCGCGGTTTCAGGTTTCGCCGTTTCAGCGCCGGTTTCAATATTTTTCCAGTCATTATGAATTGATTGCAAGCGACCTGTCACCTGTAGATATAGTATACCCCAGATCACGGCAGTATACTACCGGTACCTAGTCGTCCTACACACAGCGGTTCTACGTTCCACGTTTCCGGAGCCGGATTCCGAATTCCGCGTACGACAGATGCTAAATCGGGTCGAGTGATGATCCATGTAGTCGTCCGGTCCCCCCTCCCCGTATGTACTCGTACGAATCCCGGCGCGATGAAAATCTGAAGTCTGACGTGTACCACTTTTTTGACAGTCTGACAGGTTGGCCGCGCGGCCGTTACAACTCTCGCTTCTCTTGCTCCGATACCGGTAGACCGGGACCGGGACCTGCGCAGGCGCATCGGCCCCACACACGGACATACGCGGCCAAGCACGACGTGATATGTATCTATGTGGACTACCGTATGCCGCTTGATGAACCGTATGTACGGGAGAGAGAACTGCCGTTTCGTCCCAGTGGTTCGGTTCGGTGGGGATCTAGAGAGCCAGATGGATTCCAGAAACTTCTAGATTGCATTTACACCTGTGTCCGGTCCGGTCCAAAAACTCCCTCCCCCATCCCCCCCTCCCCCGGCCCCCCATATCATGAGTGAGTGAGACATCTACGCAGCTCGGGGGAAGGTGGGGGGAGGGGGGTGTGTGTTCTACTCTACTCTACTGCATCAAAAATAGTCCATAGTCCGTACTTACGGCGTGCTACCGCTTCTTCCTCAACAATCCCATCTCCCTCAATCCCTCCTTTACGAACCTGCCCACGACTCTAAGCGCCTCCTCGGCACGCCTATCCCCGCGCTTCCTCATCCACAGTAGCACCAGACCCCAAAATATAGCTTCGATGGCGAGGTGTCTTGCTGAAGCCCAAACTGCCCACGCGAACCACACCCACGCCTTCTTCGCCCTCGCCCTACTCTTCTCCACGCGCCGACTCTCGAGCTGCTCCCTCAGCGCGGCCACCTCCGTCGCCATCTTCGCCAGTGCATTTTCCACGCGGCCTCTCCACGCCCTCTCCCGCGGGACCTGCTCGCCCTCCTCCCCGGTACTCGGAAACACCTCCTCGCCGTAGGGCTTAGGGCTAACCAAGCCGAGGCCCAGCTCCATCTCCAGCTCCTCATCCTCGAGTTGTGCGCCGCCGCCGCCGCCGCCGTGCCCATACGACTGCGAGTGAGTGCTCGGCACGTTGCTGCGGATCTGATCCCACACGAACTCGAGCTCGGAGACCAGTTCGCGCGCCTCCGGCGTCGCCGACGCGTACCGGTGCATCGTCTCGATCAGCGTGGTGACGTAGCGCCGCTTGGCCTCCGTGCGCGATAGCCCCGCTTGCGCGTGCCACGCTTCCCACTTGTCGACTTCGGTGCGGTGCGCGTCGGGGTCTACCGGGACGGTGGAGGTGCTGGTGGAGGTCGGGTTGGGCGTCGACGGGCGCGACATCACGCCTTCTACGTCGCCCTCTGAAGGGAGTCAGCTGTTGTGCGGAGGGTGCCGGCAGAGGGAGAGACTACGCACCCATGCTCTGCTTGTAGAGGCCATAGAGTTGGAGACGCGCCTCGGGCGGCGGCCGCGCTGAGCCCTTGCGGGGGATCTTGCGGACGGTTTGCAGTGCATGCGCGAAGACTCTATCTGCGATGTGAGCTCCCGGGTCAGCCAGCCATGTCTTGAAGTCGCGGATCACGAACAGGGGTAAGCAATGGGAGCTGTGGAAGCCGAGGGAGTGACGGGAGGAAGCTCACCGACGGAATCAGACATCGGTATATTACATGTAGGGGAGGGCAGTGATGGAGGGGAGTTGGGAGGAAGTTGAGTTGAACTTTTTTTCTCGAAGCTGGCGGTGGAGATGGGTACTCTATGCTGACGGCGGAGCTGAGGTAGGTAGTTGGTGGCTTATGCGCTGCTGTGCTGTGCTGTGCTGTGCTGTACCGGCTGGGATCAGCGAGACCAAACAGCCGAGGAGCGCGGGTACAGCAGATGCAATCACGTGCCAACGCCAGCTGCCATCCAGTCAGGTCACTCGACGGTGGACGCCGACGGATTTGCTTTTGATGCCTATGTGGATAAGAAGTAGATAGGTGAGTGCCTAGGTAGGTGTGTACTTGAAGTATGTTATCGCCGAGATGAGATGCACGCGACCGGTTGGTCATGGGGACGAAGCTGTCTCGAAAGCATGTAGATAGCGCCGGTGAGCTTCTTCTTCTTCTCGACACGGGCTCGGACAGTTGAGCTCGGGCTCGGGCTCGTCAAGCTCGGGCGCTGCGAGTGACTGTCTGCGCGTTCGCCCGGTCGTCTAGACACGGCCCCAATATAATCTGCACATACCACTCTATTGACTGTATCATGGATGGAGACGGTGCTTGAGATGAGGCTCGAGATGGCCGGAGCCACTGCCGGCGGGAGATAAAGTCCCAGATCTGTGTGCGACGTTGTTCAGCTGGCCCAGCGGCGGCATTCGGTCTCTCGGTTCCTTGGGTACGGTAGGTACGGTGGTGCTGTGGGGGAACGAAGCCAGACCGCAAGGAGAACCCCAGCCCCACGAACGATAAAGTGGCCACTCGCCAGCGTTATTATCCGGTCGTGTCGCACCCCCCACCCATCCCCCACAACTCGACTTGATCCGAATTCCGCAGCCATAGTTATTTATTCTGCGGAGGCATGTAACTCACGATTAACGAAAGGCCTGTCGCCTGTCGGTAGAGTTGCCGGAAAAAAAGAAAGAATGAAAGAAGGAAGGAGGAAAAAAAAAGCCACGCAATGGATCATCGCTAAGTGCCGCCGTACCGTACCGTGCGGCACGTCACCCACCCACCCGCGGACGGGCGTTTCAGCTTCCACGAGCTTCCGTCCGAAACGTGTCGCGTGAGGGCCTTCCTGATCAGCACTTGACGTGGGCGGGGGGGCGTAACGAATGCCCGGATTCGAAACTCCGGATCTGCTCCCCCCGTGATGTGGGGTCGGAGAAGAAGTATATAGAGGTCGCGTCGCCCCCTGCTCGGACTGGCCGGCTGCCGGCCGAATCGTCGAGTCTCGACGACGACAACGACGACACATATCTATGGGCCGAGACAAGTGGATACGGCACGCCGAGAAACGCGTAGAGTATTACTGGTGCTAGCAGTACTATACTTGTGCTTCCAAGCCACTGCCAATGTCACTGCCACTGCCATGCCAATTGCCAATGCGAATTGCCAATGTCCTCCAAGAGTCCAAGACTCCCATCGTGAAGGCTCTTCGTCCGTATCGTCTGTCCTTCCCGTTCTGTACCGACACATAGATACCCAGCGATCTTGGCCTCATCTTTGTCGCAAGCCGCCCTTCACCAGCAGACGCCGCCCCCTATGATGCGCAGCTGTAACTCGTCAGCCGTCCAGCCGAAGCACAACGGTCGTTGGCGCAAACGGGAAGGCGCCTTCCTCGCAGCAAGTGCCACTCCACCGCAGAGTAGAGTAGGTGCCTTCTAGGGTAGAGTAGAGTGCCGTAGTTAGCTCGACTGGCTGTCGTGTGCCCGTCGATTTCTTGGTGCCTGTGCAATATAACACAACTGCAGGGAAAAGCCATCAGCATCCCTTCCCGAGATCGGTCCACGGTGTTTGCGTCGTCATCATACTCTACGGACATACCTCATACATACCATGCCATGCCATACCGTGCCATGCGCTGCCAGGCCGCAACACCGGTACCGGGTTTATGGCCCTCTCGCTTTCTGCCCTGGAGACTCGAGAGTGGTCGACCCGCTGCCGCGCCCAGGCTGGGAGGGTTCGTTCGCTCGTGCCAGTGCGTTCCCAGTCCATGCACGCCGAGCGGAAAAATAGTTTCGCGTTCGACCGGCGTTTCCGTTGTTGGTGATAGTGCCGCGACTGGATCGGCGCAGGTCTCTGGTTGTCCCGAGACAAGTCAACTTGGACCCTCTCCGTGCTCTACCTACCCTTCCATCCCCGTAGTTATCCCCCCTCCCCAGTTTACATAAGATACCAAGATCTTCTCCTGACAAGAACGCTGAGAAAGTCGGTCCGAATCCGCTCACACTTGTCACTAATCGTCCACAACAAACAAACGACTCGTCCCCTCCCTCCCTCCTTCATATACCATCAACACTTCCACCTCTCCAACTACTCACGCTCTTTCCCACGCTACTTCGCTTCTACGACCGATACCGGAACCCGTTGCTCGACGCAGAAAAGCCCCTGCAGTACGACATCATACCTACCACGGCTCCGACTTTCCGTCGATTGGATCATCGCTTGCCATCACATCCCCGGAGGAAGGCTGTCCCGAGTTCCCGCTGTTAACCTTCGTCAACCCCCCGACATCATAATAGCATCAACCCCGAACTCTACAATAAAAAAACAACACACAAGCCCAACATCAACACAAGCAGCAGCAGCATCGCAACGATCAAACTGCAACCACTACAATGCTGTTCGGAAAATTGATACTCGGATTGACCGCGCTGGTCAGCGCTGTCGCTGCCTTCCCCAGAAGCGAAGACACAAAGTACTTCCGTGAGTGTTCCTCACCCTTTCTAGGTGGTGGCGTTGTTTGTGTCGCGTGCTAACCGCTATCGCAGATGAACCTGGGTAAGCTCTAGATACCATGCTTCTTTCTCTCCTTCTCGGCACACCCCCCACCCTCATCCCCCCAAGCCAAAACTGGAACATCGTGATGCTGCGTGTCGAATATTCCGGTTCACTAACGTTGGTGATTAACTCAGTCGCGGCAATCTGGAGGGCCATTATGATGCTCGGTATGTTTCTCTCCCCCGCTGTCGCCGGCACGCGTAGTCCTCCCGGATACTGATATCGACGTTTCTGCTGCAGTTACTACAAGGAGACCGTCGACTACGATACAAGGCTGGATACGTTGACGCACATGGTCCGGGCGTGGTTGCAGACGACCCAGCAGGAGAACATCGAGACGTGGATCGCCCACGGAACGCTATTGGGATGGTGGTGGAACGCTAAGGTGAGGACTAGCGGGTGGCGGCCTGAAGCCGAGTAACAACGTTCTGACAGCTGTGATTGCAGATGCTTCCTTGGGACTGGGACCTCGACGTCCAGGTGCACCACAACACCCTGACCATGCTGGGCCAGAAGTACAACCAAACCACGCACAAGTACAAGTCGGCGGACGGCACGGTCGAGCGCGAGTATCTGCTGGACGTCAACCCGTGGATCTGGCAGCGTGTGCGTGGCGACGGCAACAACGTCATCGACGCCCGCTGGGTCGACGTGAGGAACGGCCTGTTCATCGATATCACCGGTATCGCCGAGACCGATCCCACCAACGCTCCTGGAATCCTGAACTGCAAGAACTGGCACCGTTACCACTACGACGACATCTGGCCGCTCCGTGACACCACCTTTGAGGGAGTGCCGGCCAAGATTCCGTACAACTTCGATGCGATCCTCGTCAAGGAGTACAACACCAAGGCACTGACGGTGACCGAGTACCAAGGGTTCGTCTCCGTTCCAGCTCTCGGGGTTTTTCTGTTTCTAACATGAAGAATACAGTCATCGTTGGAACGTCCAAACCAAGGCCTGGGAGAAGGCAACCGACGTCCCGAGCGGTGCCCAAGGCGAGCTGGCGCTCGAGAAGCCCCGAGTACCCGGCCGCTACTCGACCGTCGAAACCGGCGGCTTCTTCTATAACGTCTTTCGTTTAGTGCACTTCTGGTAGTACCTTACACCAACACACATGATGTCCTCGGAAGCGACAAACGGCCGGTGCCTTTTTTCATTCTTTGAGCTCTGTGTATAATTTGTACGATGACGATCAATAGTTTCGAACCCTCCTCTAGCATAATTCTCCTGTTTTTTTTTCCCTTCCTCACGACTTGACTTGGCGAGATTGGCGCTTATGGGTTTTGATTCGATTGTTTGGTTGGTTTGGCTGGAAGGGGAAAATGGTACTGTACCAGGTACTGTACCAGGTACTGCGCGCGGTGTTTTTAGAGCTTTGCGGTGCATACTTCTAGATGGGTCCTATCTCTTTTTCTTTTCTTTTTCTTTTGTTTCGGTCTTTCACTTACGTTACGGGGTTCACATCGTTCTTCTCCTTCTCCTTCTTCTCCTTCTTCTTGTTCTTTTGTATAATCTTTGCTATACTTTACTTTACTTTTTTCACTTTTCACTGCACTCTGCACTTTGCACTGCACTTTGCACTTTATCGCGACGGCCGACCGACTTGCTCGCAGCTCGTCTCGTCTGCCTGGGGATTCTCAGATCTCTCGTCTTTTTACTGTATGCTACCTCAGTACCTTTTGCTTATCTTGTACCTATATTGTGGGGCGTTACTATTACTATTATATTCTTCGCTGTTACTCTACCTACCATAAAAGAGGAAATATCTTGTCCATCAACGATTCAACAACCGCACAGTGCACAACCGCGGACAAATGACGTCTCGTATTGAACTTTGTGCCCTATATGATATGCGCGATGATCGATATCTCAGGCCGGCGCAAGGGGGCAAGCCTCAAGGGCGGAAGACTGGTGTGTGTGCTACATGGAGTAGATGGAGTAACAGCGGGTGTGGCTTGCGTGCAGGACCTAGGTGCGACATGCGACGTGCGTGCAGTGTGCAACTCTGAGACACCGGCTGGCAGCCAGACGCTGAGCATGAGCATGATCAGTGAGCAGGGTTCGGAATCCGGAATTCGGAATCCGGAATCTGGAATCTGCGGAGAGAGGAGAGAGAAGGTAGTAACTGTATGTAACGGTGACAGTGACTGTGACGGGTGGCGGGTGCAAGGCGGTGGGTGGAAGGCCGCGGGCGGGTGGGTGGACGGTGGGCGGTGGAAGGTGGGAAGACAGTTGAGTGTTTGAGTGTTTGAGTAGGCGCCAGTGCCTCCACCCCCCAGAAGGAGGGGAGATGGGGACGTCGTCCCAAGATTGAACACGCCGATCGGTGCCATGGAGGGAGATGTGTCGTGCGAGCGAGTGGGTGCAGAATGGGTGCGGAGGGGCGACGATCTGGGGGCTGAGCCGCTGGGGCGGCGATCTCGCTATTATTATTTTGTAGCAGCAGCAGTATTTGTAGCAGTAATAGCAGGAGGAAGTGCGATGATCTCTGCACTGCACTGCACTGCACGGGGACGTTTACTACATACCGTAGGTACCATGAGCTTTGCCGGTCTCCCGCTGCAGCCGCCGCCGCTGCCGTGTGTGTATGTGTGTGTGCCGGTACGGTATGGATCGGCGGGTATGGAATCTGGATCGGCAGGTTTGGATCGGCAGGCAGACAGGCACTGGGCAGGCGGAGTTCGCAATTGCGTTTCGGGCTTCGGAGAGTGGGCTGTGGACTGTGGACACACGACCATCTCTAACCGCTCTGTTCGGTTGTTCGGTTGAAGATCGGCGGACAGTGGGTGGTGAACGGGTGGTGGAGGGATAGCACTGCATAGCACTCGCTCGGTACAATAATCACCGTGCACTTTTCCACATTCGCGCGAGCACCTATTCAAAAACTGCTCACGGTGGAGAAGTCAACAGAAAGCCTTGTGGGCAAAGGTCGGGAAGGAGACGGAGAGAAGGAAAGAGAGGTGGTCGATAGCGGAGTTGTTCGCCGACGAGCGGTGCAGCGAGGCAATCCTAGAGTTTCTGGGAACGACGGATGTGGGGAGTAAAGCACCAGCAGACTTTGAGGAGGAGGAGGGGGAGGCAAGCATCGCATCAGGGGCAGAGCAAGAGTTCCCAGCAGGGTTCTGTGTCTGCGGCCGGTGCGAGGAAATAGGAGATGAGGATATGCGGTGATATCTTCTTGGGGCGGAAAAGGCGGAAGACGGGGAGAGAGGCGAGGGGGCAGCAGGAGGAGCGGGCATGCAGGCCCATACCGGTCTTGACTGTCAACCTACTTTCTACTTTTTGCTTGTGTCGGCCAGTCGAGGTGAAAGCCCCGGTGCCGGCCAGTCCGATGCGGCGCCCCACTTCCCCTGCCCATCCGTCTCGGGTCAGGACAGGCAGGAAAAGAAGCTCGTTGGTTCGCCATAGTCTAGATAGGCTGTATGCGAAATAAAACAGGAAGATCTCTCTCTCTCTATTTCGCGCGAGGACGTGTGTAACTACCGTACTCTACCGTATGCTCGTCGAGTGACGGTCGAATGTGTCGGTACTCTACCTATGGCGGATACGGGGCGCTAACAACTTGGTTGGTGGGTTTGTGGAGGGATATTTCGACGTTCGACGTTCGACGTTCGACATGCATAGGAGGTGGGTACCCAGGCAGAGTAGGTACTGACACAGCGACACAGTTGAAACTTGACACAGTGACACATTCGACCAGTATACCGCCGCCACTGCCAGGGAAGCCGCTCTGCTCTAGGCAGCACCCACTCAGGTCGCCACGCATGCGCGCGCACTTTCCGAATCCCGATATCCGCGCGAACCACTACTAGGTATGATAGAGTAGGGTGCACTACCCCTTCGTCACGGGGCGGGGAAATTGGCGATGGACACGGCCGGTGAATTGGAAACGAGTACCGTACCGTACGTTGGCTACCGGACCGCGAGAAGCGAGATCCTGGTGGTCGTCACTCGAGATTCGCGGCCGCAATACCTACCTGTGTATGAGGTAGGTATGCACCACGTAAGTACCCACACGCCTGCGCGGCTATCGCGACTTGCTTCGGATGTTTGGACGGCATTCGGGAGCGCACAATTTCTTGGATGGATAGATGAATGGATCAAAACGTTTCCCCGCCGCTCGGGAGGATCACTACCTGAACCCGTGACGACTGTAGAGTACGACCGTTCTGCATAGCTTATCACTCGGGATAACCGCTTTTCTTGTTTGCGTGAGACCAATCGTGAGTCTCAGAGACAGTTGGGAGGAACCAGATGTGTACTACATCCATGATCTACTAAATTCGAATGCTAAGATGGTTAAACAAACAAAAATTAGATCGTGCGTTTAGTGTCTACATCGAAATTCTAATTGTAAAGGCAAACTTGAAAGCTTGGGTATGTCTTCACTTAAGTTTGAGGATGGTATGCATACACACCGCTGCTGGACCGTGAATCATGGCAACTTGGCAATCTGGAAGCGGAGTGGCCAGGGTGGAAATGTACACATCTAATCACCTGCGGGTATATTACAGCGCGGACAACCGGTGTCAGGAAAAACGCTTCAGTATGCGCAAGTATCGATGGGATCTAGATGTTTCTTCTGGTTCGTTTCGTCGAGTCCTAGATGCATATCTTGATACGGTATCACGCATGTGACCCACGGTAAACGTGATGTTATAAAGCTCCCCACAGTCTACAATCTGCTTACCGTCATGAACTGTGAATGCCCGCACACTCTGATGGTAGAACCCCCCCGAGCACTGGACACATGCGGGCTTAGGATCCCTGAGTCAATTAGGCTTTGGCTTTGGCTTAAGTTTTCAGGCGTAACCGTAAATTGTAATGAACACAGAGTTTGGAGAAAACCCCAACGAAAATTTTCACAAGGTTTAAGTTCCAGTGTCTCTACACCTCTCATAGAACTCTGTCGAAACAACTCGACAGGAAGCTCAACTGAGTACATACCAGTTATAAAGCCCTTGGTTGGCCGCTCGCCTTTCCCTTCCCTCCATCTCTCGTACCATCTTCATCACCACCTGTCACTCGACACAAGCCATCCGCACCAATCTTTCGCTTGCACAACATTTCGTTCATAACACCGTTTCCACACGTCACGTTTCTCCCACGTAAGCTCTCTCACAATGGGTATTCCGTATTACGTTGTCCCTACCAGTTCTCCCGCGCAGCAGCAGGCTGTCGTTGAACCCAAGCCCGAGCCCGTCAAGCTGCAGAACGTGAGTCTCACTCCTCCCCCGATGTTCGAGATGAGTAACTCGATGGTGGGGATACAGACCATTCCCGGCAACATGTCGACCGAAGAGGTTGCCGAGATCTTCGGACTCAAACTGACCGACGAGCGCCGACCATTTTCTTGGAGGTGGCGCCAGCCCGCCGAGGAAGTTCACCTTGATCCGGTCGGCCTGGGTATGCACATTCAACACTCCCTTCGCTACTCCCCCCTGATAGCCGACACTGATATGCATCTGCAGAGTCCTGGGCGCACCTGAACGAGCTGCTCGCGTCCGCGGAGCGCGAGTACCGCACGCCCGGCATGATTACCGCCTGCGTCGACGCCTACACGGTGACGCCCTCGGACACCCGGGTGACGCACGTGGAGGGGAAGAGTTTCTCTGCGGAGGTGCAAGGCCAGCGGGAGAACACGGTGATCCGGTTCGACTGCACGTTCGACCACATGATCACCACTGCCAACGAGGATCTGATCATTGGCGTCGAGGCCGAGGCCGACGCCGACCTCAGTGACGCCCTCATACAGCTGCTCACGAACCTGGTGGCTGTTCGCGATAATCGCGGTCAGAAATTTGCCCATGGATTCGTCTCCGACGGCGAGAGGTACGCCTTCATGAGTATCGCCGCGGATGGTACCGTGCACTGCTCCAACGTCTACGATATCGCCCAGTGCCCCCCGCATGTAGGCATCGTCTACAATTGGATGATCGATATCATTCAGTGGAACGACATACGGGCTGCTCACGGGTACTAAAGGATGGAGGTAACCCACTAATTTCAAAGGAGGAGGAGGAAGATCGGGGGAGGGGAAGGGTTTGACATGTTTGGGTTTTATGTTATTTCATGTAAGTCGCACACGAGCCACTCTTCCGATCCGGCCACTCTGACCTTTCGCCTCGGACAGGTACTATCTATTCTACACCCAGCTACTCGATCAATCCCACCACAAATATCACCTCCGAGATCCCGAGCCGACGGGAACGATACTGATTTCCGCACCACTAGCGGGCCAGTTTCCCAGTAAGCCTCGGGCGGAGTGAAGAGTTGGGATGAGGGTGGAGAGTGTTCTGTTATGTGTATCTGTCCTGGTGACTACTATAGTATTTACACATGTAGTGGGAAGAAAATGAAGCATGAAATGTTAGGACACGAGTCCGTCTATTACTGTATCGTGCCATTGTTTTACCGTGCTACTGTGCCATCGTGCTACCGCCAGGTCCAGTTCCGCTCGTGTGAACACGGTGGATGATCACGCGTGATCACTCGCAAGGCTGCAAATCTCGGACGGAAGTGAACGAAACGGCGGCGGAGGAGGATGGAAGCCGCTGCGGGAGTGTGTAGAGCACTACCATGGATGGCTATACTGTGCGAGTGCTCCTCGTGCTCCTCATGTACCGAGCGGGCGGACGGGCGGGCGGCGGCGGCGCTGCCCGCATGCCGACTGCCCGCCGGATCCCCGCCGTCCGCTGCTACACCCCTTTATACCTCTACACGGCTCTACACACCTCTAAGTATCTCGTACGGCCAGCCAGTCAACCAGCCAACCAGCCAACCAGCCCACATTCACACCACGCACACCACGCGCACCCTCGTCGCCCGACCCGCAGGGTTATTCACCAGAGGATCGGCCTAGAGATGCACGTACGTACGGTACATATGGTGTGTACGGTGTGTATGTACGGTGTGTATGTACGGTGTGTATGTACGGTGTGTATGTACGGTGTGTATGTACGGTGTGTATGTACGGTGTGTATGTACGGTGTGTATGTACGGTGTGTATGTACGGTGTGTATGTACGGTGTGTATGTACGGTGTGTATGTACGGTGTGTATGTACGTACCTAATGTATGTATTTATGTGTGTATGTACCCCACACTCCGCATCCTCAGTTGATACACACTCTACATATCGCCAGGGTAGCACCACTGCACCGTGTGCAGCAAGGGTAGCAGCGGCCCGTTGATCTCCGCGCTGGTGGTTTCTCGGTAGCTCTCTCGGTACCCTCGATTGAGCTGTCGGTGAGCTGTCGGTGAGCGGCGGCGCGGGGGGATCGCGATTGAGTCTTTGAGGTATATATGCCCCGCGCCTTCACGCTTTTACGGCAGTTACTCGACAGTACTCAATCCATGCACGAGAGGTAGGGGGAGGGGGAGGGAAACGAAAGCGAACGATTGACCGATTGACCGATTGACCGATTGACCGATTGACCGATTGACCGATTGACCGATTGACCTAGGTACATACCAGCAGCAGAGCGGAAACTACTCAGAAGGGGTACGAGTATGTGGGTATGCATTAACCTCCGTCCGTGCCTGGAATGGCAATGGCAATGACAATGCAGTGGTTCAATGATGCAGTGATGCAGTGAGACTTGAGTTGTGGGGAGCAAGAGAGGCGGGCTTGGTTCATCGGTGAGCACCAGAGACTCGGAAACCAGGAGACTCGAGAGAGGAGGCCTTTGTTGTTGAGACCTTGCTAAGACCTGGTGGGACCTATGTGTTAGGAAGGTGGGACCTGGTGGGACCCGACGGCCAATGCAGACCCAATGCGGTCCGTTAAACGTTGAATCGTTTCTGCTGTCACTATTTCTGTTCTTCCTGCTCGTCTTGCTTTTCTTCTCATCATCATCACCACAGACCTCTTTTTCAACTGATCACGTTTTGTTCCTCACCCATTTTTGCGTCTCTCACTACCTACGAGTCTTCGAGTCTCTGTACGAGTCTGTATACGAGCACCCCACGGCCCACTGCCCCATTGCACACGGGATGCTGCATCGTGCAGCTCAGCAATGGTTGGCAGTTGGGAGTGGAGTAATTGGAGTAATACACAACTATGGCGGATAGGAATTCGAATGCACGACTCACGACTCACGATATCTCCACACCCACCTGCTCACCCGCATGCCCACGCACCCACGCACCCACGCACACCTTAATACCCCGCAATTGATCTCGCAGCAGCGCCGGCAGCAGCAGGAGCAGCAGCAACGATCGACTGTCCCCATCGAGCAGTCCGGCCAAGCACGTTTGTCGTACGTCGCACCTGGACAGTGGGAATTCCCCTCCATCCCGTCCCCTCCGTCCCGTCCTGTCCTCGATATGTGAACCACGTGCCTGGGATGTGTGCTAGATGTGTTGGGTATGTACGGGTTCAGTTCATTTCCGTTTGAATGATTTTTTAACGTTTCCAATTCAATGCTGTCTCACACTGGAGGAACTCTGGGGGGGCATCGCGGCAAAAGCGAAGGTTAATTATAGTACAGTGCATGGCGTGCGCAGCTCACGATAGTTGCCATCAACGAGGAGAAGAATGATCGCAGTGAGTGCCGGCCAGTGCTGTGGAAAAGTGCACACCCATCCTGCTCCCCGTTGGCCCCCGCTCGCGGCACACACACACACACACACACACAAACACACACATCATGTGCTCTTTTACCTCCCTCCCTTCCTTCAACTTGCTTCCTGCCTACCTGCTTGCTTGCCTGCCCACTCGCCTGCCTGGATGACACGACGAGCTTCAGGTTTCCACTGCACCAGTGCACCACCGCCACCACCAGCAGCCAGCCATCCAGCACCCTCCCCTCCGCTCCATCCAACATCCCGATTCGAAATCCCCGACAAACCGGTAAAGCGGGAGCGAGTACCGCAAGCGCAAGTGCACGTGGACGTGTCGAGTACTCCAGAGTATGCGTCGTACATGGTTACCACATACATACCGGTATGTAGGTATCGTCGGATCGACTTCGTCCGCAGCAGCGTCCCACGCGCCCCCCCAATGCCCGCCCCCAAACCCCAAACGCAATTAACGTCGGGCAGTGTACACTGGACTGGGAGCGGGCTACGATTTCTCATCATCGTCGTCGCCGGAACATCCACATCCAGACTTCCGAGCCCCCCGTCCCGCTGCCCCCATACCGACGCGTCTCGTGCATCCCCACAAAAGGTATGTATGCGGTGCCCAGAGTGGAGTGGGGTGAATGACTACCGGTGCAGCTTCGTCCCCGGTACAGTACAGTGCAGCATACGTCCGTAGGTATGTCCTCTCCCTTTGCCACCGGACTCCGGAATGGACGCGGACGCTGTCTGTCTGTCTGTCTTGGCGGGAATCCACGTCACTTGGGCGTCGTGGTTACGTCCCTGGGGCCTGGGGGGTCTGGGGGGCCTGCGCGCGTCGTCCTCCGCCGGCTCCGTGGCCAATCGAAGCGTGCAAACCTTATTCCTTTCCACCCCTTCCCTCCTGTGTACCCCTTCCACCCCACCACCACCACCCCTAGCGGCGGCAAAAATCCCGAACATGCAAGAGCAGGCTCGAAACCCGACGCTATGTCACCGCGAGAGAGAGAGAGGGAGAGAGAGAGGGAGAGAGAGACGAGACCCACAATTCCAGCACACCACATCTCTCGCGAGCTTGTTGATGCTCTGCTCTGCTCTGGCCTGTCCCCGTGCCCCATTATTCCAGCAGCCGGTGAGCCCGAAGGGGCAGAAAGACGCCAGAGCCCAGCGGATTGCACTACCAGCCAGCCACGGACCGCGGACCACGGTACCACCACCACCGCCCTCTTCCCCGTCCCCCACACACACACACTCGGCCAGTCCCTGCATCACATCACCCGCCTCCAGAACGGCATCGTAAACTCGTGAAATTAAGGAGAAGAAGGAGAAGGACCGTTTCTCTCCTCCCGGACTTCGCGTCCTTCATGTCGTTGAGAAGGGGGGCGCTTTGCACTGTGTCAACCACTTCAACAACCACTTCCACATCCTCAACCACTTCCACAAGTAACCACAACCATGTAACCATCCAATACCGCCATTTCAATTCGGTAGGTAGGTAGCTGTCTTCCCCCATCAGCCGCGTACACGCCGCAGTACAGCGAAGAAACACACAAGACGCTTTGTAACAAAGCAAACAACTGCGTATAAGGAACAGGCGTCCGGTACCCACCGCACCCATCCATCCACTCAGCCCATACCTGCCAATTCCCGGCAGAGATCCTTTCGCCTGCCATCTTCATGACAAAAAGAAAAGAAAAAATAATGAATCCCCACACAGAACAAGAAAAGGTAAATAAACCATTCTCAGCTTTTTCCGTGGTTAATCCCCCTTCCCTTCCAAAAGGCAAAAGGTAAAAAAAAAACCATCAAAACGAAGTAAAATGTAAAAAAAAGTAAGAAGAAAAGAAGAAAAAAAGCAAACCCACTCAAAACTCCATCCCGCAGACAAAAAAGACTAGAAAAGAAAATATTGCCTCCCCCGGGCAGACCGTCAGAGACTCAGAGGGGGGGGCTTGCAAGAGTACGCAAAAAGACGCAATCCAATCTCAAGGAATGGAAAAGAAAGGAAAAAAACTCAAGTTATTAACTTTTTTCGGTGTTTGATGATCCGCTGTATCCTCCATCCCCCACCCGCTCTTTTCATCCTACCTCCCCCTCCCCCTCCCCCTCCCCTTCTCCCCCAAATGCAATAGTAAAATCCCGTAGTAAGAAGTCCCATGATATAGTACCGTCGTTAAGAAATGTCCATCCGTCGTGAGTGTGTGTATGTGTCCTGGCAGTGATTGCAGTGATTGAAAGAAGGCTATCGGCTTAACCTTCCCATTGGTCGGCTAGTCATGCAGCAAACTCCAGGCCTTGTTCGAGCTCCTCAGCGGGCGTGACGAGCCCACTGACCCCCTCAGCCCATGTTGCCCCGTTCTGCTTTTCCTCCAGCGGCCACGTTTCCCTGGCATACTCCTCCAATCCCCGCCAGCCGGGCCAGAGACGACGCGCTGTATTCGGGCACTCCATCTCCGGTCTAAAGTATTCTCCTTTGTTCTCGCACAGGGTGTGCACAATGCTCTCCAGTTGGTCCCGGTAGCCATCCGGAATGGGAATCTTAATCTCACACGGGGCATTCACGTAGCGGACCGGTCGTTGGAGGCCTCGCGAAAAGTGTTCGCAGGCTTCTGGCGGCGTCAGGACTTCGAACGCAAGGGCAATCCTAGTTTTCCCACATCTCAATTAGCTTCCGCGTTCAAGGACAGAATAGAGGGGGCAAGAAATGAGAAAATGAGAAAATGAGAAAAATAAGAAGAAAAACTAACCGCTTTCCATTCCACTTCCGCGGGCCATCCTTTAGAATCTGAATTATCGCGGCCCCAAGATCGTGTTCCGTGTCGATGAAGGGGATCCCAACGTCGGCCGGGAACGGCGTCCTCCACTCAAAGCTCCCATCCGGAATCGGCGTAAGTTGCCACAGCGGGTAGGGACGCGACGAAAAGTTATTGTGGTAGCAGCCCACATACGGGAAAGCGGCCGGGATGCCCAACTCGCGAATATATTCCTCGACCTCAAACTTAGTCGACCACAGGGGCAGGGCGGGCAGGGCGCGGTCCTTGTGCTTCGAGTGGTCCGTCAATCCCGAGTAGACGAAGAAGGCAACGCCGGCCTTCTTCGCCGCATCCGCAAGGCTCTTGCCCGTCTGCACCTCATCGGTCCATCCGTACGGCGTGGTGTTGATGAAGGCCAGGTCCGCGCCCTCAAACAGCGTGCCCACGAACGCGGGGTCCTCCAGGGATCCTTCCACCAGCTCCACGTCCTTCAGCGACGAGAGCTCCGCCGAGAGCTGGGCGTTCTTCTTGATGCTGCGTAGCTGGCCGCGTACGCGGTAGCCGACGGCGGAGGCCACCCGGATCACCGACGAGGCTTGCCGGCCCGACGAGTTGACGACCACCAGGAGCTTCCGCTGCGATTGCGAGTTTACGGGAGAGAGGTTTGGCCGCGAGTACGAGCTGGACAACATGTCGTCCTCCGTGGACGACATCTCGGACGGCGGTGGGGTATGTATGTACGGAATTTTCTGCGCGACACCGACGACTCCCAGTTAGCATCCAGCAACCACATGAACATGAACCGTAGCGAAGACGCAATGCGAGCTGAGCTGGATAGCCATATCCACAACCGGGGGAGAAGTTGGCGGAGGGGTGAGGTGGGGGGGAGGAAACGGGAGGATGGGCAGCAGAAGAAGTAGTGAACAGGGTATATACGACGGTTGCCGCGTTGACGCGGTTGTAACGTTGAGGTGAAGGGTATTGTGATATTGAGGGGTGGTGGTGGTGGTGATTGATAGCGACAAGGTCAACAACGGCGAGTGACGTAGGACCAAAAGAGTCTCTCTTTTTTTTTATCTTTCTTTCTTTCTTCTCGAGGATGAAGCAGAGCAGGCAGACAGATAGGCAGGCAGATAGCAGGCAGACAGGCAAGCAGGCAGAGAAGACGCAGACAGGCAAGCAGGCAGAGAAGACGCAGACAATGCAGGCAGAGGGTATGTCGGCAGGTGCAAAGTACAGGAGGAATAGAGGAAGCAGATGAGGGAAGTTACGCAGATATAATAGAGCGGGCTGATAGAGAGATAGCAGGGCAGCACAGCATGTACCGGCAATCAATCAATCAATGGGGGAGAGAGAAGGGGGAGGGGGGGTTCTGATAAAGAACGTGCGCGCGTGTGTAGAGAGACAGGGATGCGGAGGGATGGGGATGGGGATGGGTGAGCATGTGTTTCAGTAGAGCAGACGGTAGCAGACAGCAGCAGACAGCGACAGCGACAGCAGCAGGCCGTGCTATCGAGCGGATCTTCGCTCGTGGCCAATAGGTCGGTAGCCAAATCCACGCGGAGGGGCCTAACGAAACCAACTCCACGCGGAGGGGCCTAACGAAACCAACTCCACCGCCGCCGTCGCCGTGGGGCCATGGGCCATCGTCAGCCTCTCGAGCCCCACCGCCAGCCGGGACTCTGGGTCATGACACACTATTCCTGCGGGTTCGGCGGACAGCGGCGAGCAAGCGATGCCAAACAGGGCCGCTGGTATCCCGGCTAGCAGCCAGAGGCAGGAGGACATGGCCAAGCGCGCAAGGTCGGGGGGAGGGATGGGGATTGGGGCATAGGTGATGAGATGGCGGGCAGTGATGTGTATGTGGAGGCAATGATTTGTAGCAGGCAGTGATATGTAGCAGGCAATGACATGTAGAAGGCAGTGGCAGTAGCAGTAGCAGGTACGCAGACAAACTCAAAATCCAGATTTCTCCGGAGCCACCACCACGGGTTTCTCCATGACAGCACCGGTACTGGTACTGGACTGGTACTGCTCGGTGGCTTTGGCCGAGCACCTGGCCTGACGGAGCACTACATACTAGCAGATAAGTACTTCTATAGTACGTACATGGCAGTATGTACCTGAGTCTAGCGGAAGAGCCATGGCCACAGTCCGGGGGATCAGCGGCGGAACCGCCGAATGCACCTCCTCCAGGAGGGGTCGTTGGCGAGAGAGGAAGAAGCTCGCGAGACGGGGGGAACAGAGTGCGTGCAGTGCAGAGAGTACGTACACGAGTAGAGTACATACGATGGCCGCTTCAGGGCACATCTTCCCCTCCACAGCCGGGAATCCGCCGGCAAAACTGCAACGCTCGCGGTCCGCGCTCGGAGAAACACGAGAGTGGGGAGAGGAAGATGAGGGGGATGGGGAGAGGCAGCGAAACCGAAAGGAAAAAATAAAAAAACAAAACAAAAACAAAACAAAAAACCAACATGAGGCAAAAGCCGTTCAGATAAGAAGGAAGCGAGGCTAACTATGCCCCGCTCGGAAACTGGGTGATAAGGCGTGATACGGGTAGATTTGGACGTTGCATGAAGAGGAGAGGCGTCAAGCCTCGCTTCTCCCCGGGTGGTGGTGGTGGGTGACAAATGTCTGGCTGGCTGGTTGGCTGGCCTGCTTCTTGCTTCCTGACCTCCTCACACCGCCAGGAACGGGACGTGCAACCCCGATGAAACAACGCAAAGCAAAGCGGAACGAAACAGAAAGGCAAGAAGATTCGCACGAGCAAGACGGGGGCCAATCGAGTAGGTACCTGGACTTCGATATCCTTCCAATTGGACGACGACAGCGGCGGCGGCGGCGACGGCGATAAGCGGGAAGGGAGATCCAGATGATTCGGGATGAAGGGAGGCAGAGGAGCGAGGGGAAAAGCAAAAAACGGAAGAAAAAAAACAAAAACCGATAACGGATGTTGAACAAAACAAAAGAAAGGGACCCAAACAAATGCAACGAGTCGAGCGGAGCGATCTCGATGGATGGATGGATGGGCTGGATGGATGGATGGACGGATGGATGACGAAGATGAGGAGGCCCTGGCACCACGGTATGTACAAACAAACACCGCATCACCCAGCCCCTCACACACCAACCCACAAACCAACCCGCCCACCTCAGCATCACACCGCAACCACGCGACCTCTGGCCATGGCCATCAGGGATCCGATCAAGCGGCTGCTGCCCCTCCTCCCTGACTTCTAAGCCGTGGGGCCCGGGGGTGGCTGTTTTCAAGGCCAAATGCGAAATGCGGGGTGAGATATGGAGAAATGAAGGGGTAAAAAAAGAGAAAAGAAGAAGAAAAAAAAGCTGGAGGTGCAGATAGTGGTTTGGGTGGTGCCTTACTTTAGCCCAATAAGTTTCTCCCAATCGAGGTTGGGTTCGATAAGAACCTCTCTCTCTCTGCTGCAACGACGAAGAAAGATGCAGGTGAAAACGAAGGTATGTACGGTATGCAGCAACTACCTACACTGCCTGGCCTGGCACGGAGCCCGCTTCTCTGGGTGCACCGGATGATGATGATGCGTGGCGTCTTTCCTTCTTCTTCTCCTTCTTCTTCTACTTCTTCTTCTGCTTCTTCTCGATCCGCCGAATGTCTCAGCTGGAGTGCAATCGCCGACGGGAGGCGGCCGGCCGGTCGGTCAGTCGGGGGGCCGACAACGGAAAGCGCGGGGCCAGGAGAGCAGGTACAAGCAGGACGCGGAAAAGCTGGCGAAGAAGGAACGTTGAGGCGGAGATCAAAAGCGAGATAGGCGGATGGATACTTACCGGTAGGGATAGGTAGGTTGGTAGGTCGGTGAGGTAGGTGAGGTGCAAAGGGGGGGGGGAAGGAGATAAAGGCCTAAGCGGAGAACTCACCCACGCCGAAAGAAAGCTCGAAGCTAATGGAAACTTCCCCGGACGATTGTGTAGTTCTTCCTCTTTCAGTTGGACTGTTGGAGCATGCAAGGCGCTCTCAATCGACGCCCTTTACCAGTTGCTTGGTTAGTAGGGGAATTCTCTACATGGAGCAGGTGGAGTAGGTAGATGCTCCAGTACCGTACCCCGGATAGAGCCCAAAGTTCCAATCGAAGAGACGAGCCTGCGTATACCTAGTACACAGAGGATGTATAGGTAGCGCACCAATCAAACCGTGCGATAGATAGGTAACAACCGAGAAAGCGTGTCCAAATCCGCTACATAAGATGACGTGCTCGGAGTGAGAGAGGTAGCTATCGATCGAAAATAGGTATCGTGGGTGACGAATGGGCTGGCCGGCTCAGCTGAGAGAGACGTCAGCTCTCAAAAAGAAGGACGGAAGGAAGAAGCAGTGCGAGTGACCAGCGGATTGAGTGGTAAGGTATGTACGGGGAATCGGTTGGTGGGGTGAGTGCACGTGTGTGATCAGAAGAGCTGATACGATCGAATGATACTTCCCTCCACGGTTGTGGTTTAGGCGGGAATCGCGAGGGAGCGGTGGACTTTCTATGTCTCTACATACGATACCGGTATGTTCTGTCTGGCCTCATCGGAACTCGTCACCATCATGGCATTACCTATTCGTTCCGAATACCTACCCGCCTCATACCTATGCTGATACCGTATGTACAAGAAGAAGAAGCAGAATAACAGGAAGAAATCGCCAGGCTCCTCTGCTCGGACTACCTACACAGGTATTCCGGTACGGTACATGCATACATGCTTCCATGGGCCATGATAACTACCGGACACTAATTTGGAGTCGGAGAAATTTCGGCAGAAAGCGCCGCCGCCGCTTGCCCTCCTCCTCCGGGCTCCTCCTCCTGCGAAGCCGATTGTCCAACCAGCAGGGTGATCTGATCGCCATGGCTGTCGCACAGATGTCAGACGGCCCATCTACATATGATACATATAGTATGTATATGTACAGAATTTGCCTTCATCGCGGGACGCATCATCACCAGCATCATCATCAGCATCACCCCACCAACACCACCACCACAACCATCCACCATCAACATCCACCCACGCGCACAAACGACGCATGAGTCTTTTCGGGGCCAGAGCCGTCACTCTCCACCTGCATCATTGCGGGAGCCCAGGTTCAGATGGAGAGGGAGAGAAAATTCAGACAAAACCCACGATGCACACAACTCACCAGTTATCGTGAAGCACGGCAGAAGCAGAAGCAGAAGAAGAAGGAAAAAACTCAAACCACCGCTACGGCGCACCACGAACCGGCACTCTACTCTAACATGCACGTGCACCACAACCACAAGCACATAAGCACACAAGCAAGGAAGGAAAATAAAAGGAGAAGGCGAGGGAAGAGAAGAAAAAAAGTCTGCGGACCAACCAACCCAACGAACCAACGAACCAGCGGACGAGCGAACGAACGAGCGGAAAATACCTGGTTTCTTTTATGTAAAGGCGTCATTATTGCCTGCCTGCAGAGTCCCCCCGGATTCCTGTGGCGCGAAGGAGGGGGACGATCGTGAACTCGGGAGCAAGGAGGTGAGGGAGAAGAGAGAGAAAGAAAGAGCGAGGTCCAGCGAAAGAAGCAGCTCCAGCCGCTCTGCAACGACGGAAACATGTCGGCTGTTAAAAGAAGACTCGACACGGTTCGGCAGTACCCGAGTTAGAGACCACGAGCGGGCCCGCGATCGATCCTGAGTACATACCGGTATGATGTATGATATGTACGACGAGCCAAGACATCCAGTGACTTTCCCTTCAACGATCTCATCGAGATTCAAGGAAGCTTCCGCTCGCCTTTCCTCTTCGTTTGCAACTGTCCCGCCCGGGGGCCCAGAGATCTGAGATCCCGACATCTCGCTGACCCGCGGTTGGGCGCACTTGTTACCAAGCTGATTCCAGAGTAGCTGGCTGGCTCTTCTCGATTTTCCGTAGGGGGGAGTTTCGGCCCCCCCGCCGCTACCAGTAGTTATCCCCCCTCCATCCTCACCCCACCACATGAGTACTCAGGGCCGAAACTGGCCTCCCGCCCTTCTTTTCTGCACGGAAGCCTTCGAGAAACCGCGGTTATAGATGGATACATCTGGTTAGCAGTTTGCAACCCACCGTGACCACAACCGCCACCAACCACCACCACCACCACCACCACCAACCATGAGAGCGGCGGGCCAACGACGCCGCAGTGCGTACACGTTCACACGTTCACAGGATCAAGCTTCATGCAGCCAGCACCTGCCTCCAGGCGAGGCGGAGGACGAGGAGGAGGACGTTCTTCCGTAGCGACGCCCCCCAATGCCCATTCCGGCTGCTCCGCGGAGAAAGTCGAAAGTCGCAAAAAGCCATGCTCGCAGGAATTTCCCTTTGGCAACAACGCCGTGCAGGGCAGCAGGGCACGCATGACACATATCATACCGGTAGGTACGGTAGGTAGTCTACCGGCCGTATGTCCGCATCTCATCCATCTAGATGTCCGTCAACTAACGGTAACGGTAGTTACGCTCCCGTGCCTGTTCCTGTGCCTGTGCCTGAAAACTGGGAGGGGGGGCGTTGCACGGCGAGGTCACTCACTCGGCACGGTATACCGGTAGTAGGAAGTAGTCATGTATGATACCCGAAAGGAAAGTTAAAAGAATCCCGCAAACGTCTGCGGGCCGGTCCAACGGCCAACGGCCCAACGGCCCAACGGGCAGCTTTCTTAAGGCTTAAGCGCGCCTATATACCGGTAATTTATAGCAGCAGAGTACCGACTCCCGACTCCCGAGTCCACAGAGAGTCGGAGACGCACTGCCGCCCCAGTTACGTACAATCGGTTGGGTGGGGCCCAGAATCCCCCCACCACCCAGGTGCCACGGGAAATTTGCGACACAAGCGTTGTTTCTTTGAGATGCCAGCAGTTAACCGGGCGTGAACGGTCGGTTTTACTGGTTGGTATGGTAGAGCATCGTGGGCGAGGCATAACCAAGAACGAAGATGTATGGTTGAGAAGAGTCCTCCGAAGGAGCGGTAGTAAAACACGGTACTTCACGACCGTCGACCGGTAGAGTAGATAGAGCACAGCTCCGTTCTGTAGATGAGAATTTGAAGGGCTGTTCCAACTTCCAACTTCCCAACTTCCTTCACGCGGCAAGACTTTTCGGACGGATCGTGTCACTCGCTCGCGGACGGCTTCGAAATTCGAATCCGGGGCCCATCTGCTGCACGCGAAGAAAAAAAAAGAAAAAAAACTCGCGCATTTAAACAGGACACGCCAGACGTTGATTCGGGCGGATGGTCGGACCCGGGACTCGGGAGGCCGCGGGCAGCCGGCCGGGCGGGCCCCCGGATAGGCGGCCGCTAGTGGCCAAAGGCGGTCCACTCCGCCCCCGCCCCGCCCCGCTCGCCGTCGCCGCCGCCGCCGCTGCCCGCCGCTGCCCGCCGCATCCCGCTGCTCGCGAATTCCCCTACCCACACGTGTCCACTCATCGAGAGGGAAGATATATAAGCATAAATACAGAAACACGTATCGTAACCGTAGGGCTGATATGATCTGGAAGCTCTCGGGATCGTCTGGGTACCTATGATAACTAAGCAGGCAGACCCGATGAGGAAAGAAAAGAAGACAAAAAGGTTCCCATGGAGTCCAGCCTCGGGCGATCCGTCTCGAGTCCCCCCACTCTGGCCGCTACGGATCCGCCTCGCCGCCCCGGTCGAGCGTCCGGCCTGGGTATATAGCCAGCTTGGGAATGAACGCTATGGTGCGGTACGGTCCTACGGTACGTGCCCGGCGCCCGCTCGAACTTGCTGCCCAATCGTTTTGCGGATGGCAGAGAGATGCCCATTTCAAGTTATGCTACATACAAGAAGTCCATTCTAGGTACGGGTATGGTAGGTACATCCACCGACAATTCCGCATGTATTGTACGTCCGGCCAATCCACAGCAGCAATAAAAAATATTCCCGAAAAAATGAAGAGAAAAACACCACCGGTCCGTAGATTTCCAACCGATATGTGGAGAAAGGAAAGGCAAACAGGAAGATAAAACATCTACATCATAAAGTACTTCTCATATTCAAGTACTTGTCTAGGTGACAATAGCACCGATTACCGAGAAAAGAAAAGATGAAGAAAAAAAAAAGTCCCCGCTAAGATATATCCATCCAATAGCCATATCCGCTCCCATAGAGAATCCCCCCCTTGTCCTCATTCAACGTAATCCTCATCCGATGAATCATTCACTCCTTCATTCCTTGCCGCCGCTCTAGAAGCAGACGACCCGGCCGCATTCCCCCTGCGCCCCGAACCGTGCCGTTGTCCCCTTCCTCGACCTCCACCTCTACCACGTCCACTCCTCGCCCCAGCGGTGCGAGGCCGCGGCCACGCAACCGCGCGGCCTTCGAGAAAGTCGCCCTCGTCGAATTGCGTCTCCGTCGGGCGGGCATTGTCCATCTTAATGTCGACACGATCCGGTTCGCAGAACCCATGGAGCTTCTGGTCTGCATCTTCTCCCGCCTTTTCTGCATCTTTCTGCGGGGTGGTCTTCGGAGACTGGGCGGTACCGGCACCACGTACGCGTTTGCTTCTTCGCAGCTTGGAATCCACGTCGGAAGACTCCTTCGGGGGTGATGGAGACGCGAGCCGGAAGATTGGCTGTGGTTGGGACGAGGGCCGGACGAACGCGCGGATAAGCTGAGGCTCGTATTTGTCGCGCACGTTGGCACGTTCTCTCCATCCGAGGTCGTCGAGGATGCAGTGCAGCGAAAACTCTCGCATCCGGGGCAGATTCGGCGCCGCCGCTAGAAGGCCATCGAGGAAGGCTTCGACTTCGTCGGCATTCCACTTACGCAGGTTCAGCAATTTCAAGGAGCATAGAGAGTCGGGCCACACGGCCTCTGTGGAGATCGGCAGAAGACTGTCGTAACCAGGCTTCGCATCGTCGCCATTTCCAGAGGCAAAGTACCGGCAGTCATAGCTGAGCTGTCGCAATCGAGGAGTGTTGGAGAGGGTAGGCAGAAATGCGAGGTTGCACATGCGACAGTGAACGATCGTGAGCGACTCAAGGCCAGCACATATCGGAGAGAGCAGGAGAGGCATGAGAGCATCGGATTCGAGGGTTCGACAGTTGATGAAGCTCAGCGATTTCAACCGAAAGTTCGACATCTGGATGGGTAGCTGCGACAAGGCCTGTGGTGTAAAATCACAGCATTCGAGCTCGATCTCCTCGACCGCCGGTAGCACGCCCAACGCCGAAACAAAGTCAAATCCAGGGTCCCACATGTAGATGACAGACAACCGCTTCAGGGTCTGGAAAGACGGCAGCAGGTGAATTCGGGTGACGGATTGTACGGTCCAACCGGCTAGAAAAAGGCCATTCCACCGCCAACTCGATAACCGTATGGGCGCCACCTTCTGCAGAGCATTCCCTCCACCTTCCACTATTGCGTCTTCCTTCGGCGTACCCGGCGCGCCTTGTAGTACATCGAATAGTGCATCAGGGTACTTGAATGTTGGAAGTCTGATGTCGTTGTATCGATACGGAGGACGGTCCAAGTAATGTGCCAACCAAAGTTCCCGGAGGCCTGTGCATTTACTCACGAGCTCTGCTAAATCGAAGTGACCGTATCCAGGTGTCATCAATCGCAGCAGTGGGTCCACTTCCAAATACAAGTATTTGACCTTCCGTCCCAACTCTGGCCGCCTCTGCAGGGCTTGCTGCAGTTGGTGCGCGCGTATTGGTGGTTCCGTGAGCGGCATGCGGTACAGCGCGGTGATTGCGGGTTCGTAGAAGCCCTTGCACATTGTTGCCAGCTTCAGGAGATACCCACTGTTGCTAGTCGAGCCCCGTTGGGCAGCATACAGGAATATCTCCAGCAGAACGTGGTATGGGAGTTCTGCCAAGTCTCGCTTTCGAGGTCTACGAGAGCTAGAGCTTCCGGAAACGGACGTGCTGGTGGCGGCTGTAGCGGGAGGTTTTCGAGAACGTTTCGCCTGAGGTATTGAGCTCGACTCGGGAGTTGAAGGAGCTTTGCGCTTTCCGCGGAGAGTCTTCATGCTTGGTTGTGTTGGTCTCGTTGTTGTTGTTGTAGTGAAAGGAAAGGCTGATCTGTTTAAAGTATGTTTTTGAGGATCGGATGTGGAATGTCTGTCACACATCGATTACTAAATTTCATATCAACTAAACCTGCTTTGCCACACACCAGAAGCGACGATACTTTGAATGGATAAACAAAGCCAAAAGAATTCTCAGATCATCTAGCGAAATCTGAATGACGGTGAATAGCTCCCAGAAGCTCTAGATATGCATCATGTGATTTATGTGCATCGAGGCTTGGCATTTTCCGTGTGATATCGTGTGATTATCGTGGCTACCTCAATTACTTCGCTGACTATATTCGTTTACAGAAAACTTTCCTCATGGAGATTCTTAAGATTGGTTTAATTGCAGTATAGAACAATGTTCCCGTTGTTAAATAAGGAAAACTGGCCTTCCGGTTTATCGAATGCTGCAGTTCATAATTCTTTTGCTATCTCTACTCAACATTCACCTACATGTACTCAGGATATCTCTGTGATAAAAGTCAGCAAGACGACCGAAATGTCCCCTCAGCAAACCAACAGTTCTCTCAGTCGCGCCGGCGTGAATCCGACAGATTCAAGGTTCCAATCACCGCCCCTTTAGCGGCGATTTTCCACCGGCGGGCATAGGCCAGCCTAGTAAACTCCAGCGGCGTCCACGGTCTAGTCTAAGGAGGCGGAGATAGCCACGACGTCGGCGACTATAAATCCGGAGTACGCACTAGCTATCGAGGAAGGGATAGCGCGTGTGGGCATCATGCACTGAAGTCGAGATAAGGTGAGGCAGGGATCGGATTGGTGAGGGATGGGAATCAATGGCGTGGCTCGGGACTCGGGGAACTCCTGATGTGTAGCGATCCGAAGAATCTTGTTTAAATGCGTGCCGTACCCCACACCCGCCCAAGGATGGAAGGATGGAAGGATGGGCACAGAAACTTGATGTGTGCTAGCTTCGTCATAACTTCGCATTCGGATCTTTGAGGTCGCCGTTGTGGTTGCCCAGTTTCTTGGCCTTTTGAATCGTCGCGATCCATATGGCTTCGGCTTCCTCAATAGGAATTTGAATCCAAGCGAGAACTAAGTGGCCATCGCGTATCCCATGACAGAGCTGGACTTTCCTCACCTCCTGATAAGGTTATTTTAAGTGCCTTGTCCACCATCTTAAGGCTTGGATTCCAGCTTGGGTTCCTCGGCTTCATCGTATCTCATCACTCGTTCTTTTCCCCAGCTTCGTGCCAATGTAGCCAAGTCTCCTTGGTCTTTGAGGCAGTCAATTCCGGTCTGCACTTGTAATAAACAGCTGTATCCATGTCTCCCCGTCTTATGACCACGGTATTCATTTTGGACATCTCTGATAGCCCTATCACTAGGTTCTCAGCTGATAGTGATTGCCCTAAACAGTTTTAAAGAGTTTGACACCTGTTCCTCCATCGGTGACACGAACATGGTGATCTCGCTCTGGTGTTTAGTCGAGTTGTGCACTTCCCCACGGAACAAGCCACGCTAGCAAGCTCCGGGTCTGTGTAACGTGCGATCCAAACCTTGGATGACTCCAACGCCAATCTAGTGGCGCACGCCTCACCTTCAAAGCAAGATCCGGATTTCGCACGATGGTCCACCTCCACAACCATCACCATGGCATCTACACCGCCCGCGAAAGCTCCCCTCTCTGCGAAGACCATACGACGGATTGTTCGTCAACCCGCACCGGTCTGCGTCGCTAGTTAGCTAGCTAGGCTGACAGCTCCGCGTAGGAAGAGAACCGGCTGAAGGCGAAAGCTATTCGCGATGCAAAACAGCGTGGCGAGAACGTCGGTACAGCTACAGTCGCCGCGACAGAATCCGCGCCTCAGGGCAATGACAAGAAACGCCCGCACTCCGCCGTTTCCGCGACTTCACGAAAGGGTGGCGAAGGCCGCGAGACCCTCCGTCCAATGAAGAAATTCACGAAATTCGTCGAGTATGATCTGTCAAAAATGACGGATACGAAGGGCGGGTTTATGAGCACGGATGACGACCCGCACTCTGTTCTCTCTGCCGAGAATCTGAGCGACAAGCCGCCGGGAATGACGCTGGAGGAGTGGGCGAGGCATCAGAAGCGGAAGAAGCTGTTGAAAGAGAAGCAGGGCGCGTTTGCGCCGGCGATCTCGGCGTTGGATGAACCGGATGAGAATAAGGCTTGCTGGGAGTGTAAAGCTCCGGAGATTGATTGGAAGTGGAAGGAAACGTTTGGGTGTCGTGTCTGTGAGAAGTGCAAGAAGGACAATCCGGAGAAGTACTCCCTTCTGACGAAGACGGAGGCGAGGGAGGATTACATGTTGACTGATCGTAAGTGCTGTCGATGTGGTCGTGCGCGGGAATGTGCTGACGATGGTACAGCTGAACTGAGAGATCAGGAGGTCATGCCCCATCTCGAAGAGCCAAACCCTCACAAATCGACATGGAGCAACATGATGCTATACCTCAAGTACCAGGTCGAGGAGTTCGCCTTGAAGAAGTGGGGTAGTTTCGAAGCCATGGATGCCGAATTCGAGAAGAGAACGGCGGATAAGAAGAAGAGGGGCGAGAAGAAGTTCATGACGAAATTACGAGAGCTGAAGAAACGTACACGGGTCGAAACTTGGAAGCGTGATAGGCAACATGGAGGCAGGGCAGCGAAGCACGAGCATGTTTGGGGTGCCGCCGTGGTGAAGGAAGACACTGGGGAAACGGTCAAGACTTGTGAGGATTGCGGGTTCGAGCTTGAGGAGTGGGTGATTTAAGCTTTTGCCTTTAGACTCGCCAAGAGAACGTTGTCCCTTGTGTTTCATGGCGTTTACTAGTAGAAGAGTGTATTATAGAACTAGAAGCCTGGCATCATAATGAGAAGAATCGAAGGTCCTGCATTTTGCCGCATTCTTTTCTTCAACTCCTGCCGAGATAAAGCACTTGCGCCAAAGAGCAAACGGCAGAAGTTCTCTTGAGCCATGACCAGTACAGGTAATTGGGATAGGCCACATTGCAGATTTTCTGCTGCCGCAGAGAATATTCACCTCAGGGACGCCGTAAGATTGGTCACTTGAGCGGTCCACCGCCCCCCATCCAACCACCCAGTGCAAACAACCTTTCGACACCTCAAATTAACGCGGCCGAGTCAGCTCAGGTCGGATCGCGTTTAAAATCGTAGTCCTGCGCCCTGTGTTGGGCTCTTCCCTGGTGCGCTTTAAGCCATTGCCCGGCGAGAACTATTGTCTCGCTTAGAGCGCCAATCTGGGGTCAGGGGAAATTTGTCAACTCCTTTCCAAGAACGCAGCGCAACGCACGAACCACCACCCACCACCACCTCCGACTTTCCAAGACATCGCTCGAAACACATATACACTACAAAGCCCCCAATCTTCAAACGACTCACCACCACCGACAGCGCTATCCCTACCCACCGAACCCTCACCACCGGCGAACCCATCGGCAAATAGCGGCGATCACGTCGGAAGCTCCCTCCCTCGATTTCGGCATCAAGCGGTGGTTGCAGCAGCTTCTGAGATAGTATGGTCTGGCAATCTCCATCCAACCACAACACGGCTTCCCCGGATGGATCGAACAACGGCGGCGGAAACCCGCAGCAGCAGCATGGCCACGGCAACGGGGGCGGACCCATAGGAGCGGAGTACACACTCCAAGGTTTGCGCCCGCTTTCTTTTTCTTTCCATCCCCGCGGTGTCGAAAATCCATCGGGGGAGACGGAGGAACTGCGCTGACAAGTGGATCTCGCAAGGGGTGATGCGGTTCCTGCAGACCGAATGGCACAAACATGAACGCGACCGGAATCGTTGGGAGATCGAGCGGGCGGAGATGAAGGCTCGGATTGCGAAGCTGGAGGGAGAAAACCGCGCCGAAAAACGACTACACCAGGTGCACCTGGCCCGGATCAAAATTCTAGAGAGGGCGCTTAAGAAAGAGAGGGCAGAAAGGGCCATGGGGGAGGGGAGAAACGCAGACGACGTCATCAAAGATGAGACAGCGCAGGCCGAGAAGGATAAGGCGAGGGGTATGTCCACCAGCTGGAGGGTCGACGACGACAGATAACTGACCTTCTCTTCCGGGGCGGTAGTGGCGGAAAAGCTCAAACGCCTAGATGAAACCTCATCGGTGTACAAAGCAGAGGCGGCGCGAAACAAGAGTCGAGCGTACCTCGAGAAGTGCCTTCAAGAGATCACCTATCTGTTGAAGCCACCGAGCCATCCTGCTCCGGCGCAGCAGCCACAGCCACAACAGCAGGTTATGAGTGCCGAAGCCATGTCTCATCAGCAGCAAGCACAGTTCGCCCTGATCCAGCAGCAGCAGGCCCAACAGCACGCGAACCTCCAGCAGCACTTGCAGCACCCCTCACCTTCCCCGAACCACCAGCCGCCTCCCCCGCCGTCGCAGTCCAATCGCGAAACAGCACAATCTCACCCGATGCGCTCTCAAGGCGGCGCCCCTAGTCATATGCCCAACGCATCTCCATACTTGGATGATCGTCCCCAGGCAGCGCAACAGCACATCCCCTCCGGTGATGCGGGCGAGAAGACACAAGCCGGGTATTCATCTATAAAGCACGAATATGGAAAGAAGGAGACCAACCCGTTTTCGGCGGCGGCCGGTATCGAAGTGGCCATGAGGCGCCGGGAAACCCAAGAGACCGCCGACGATGCGGGGTGGGATTTCGATGACAAGATAGGAAGCAGTAGCGACACCGATTCAGTATCCTCTTCCGAAGAACTCAATGAGTATGGGAATCATAGCGGTCGGAATAACATCGACTCACACCGGAGGAAATCGCTTTCCAAAAGACGATCCATCGTCGGACAGGATTTCTCTGTGGGTTCGACAAAGCCGGATTCAAACTTCAAGGTGAAGTTTGCGCTTCGGGGTCATCTGGATGTTGTGCGGGCAGTTGTATTCACGGGTGGGGGGACGGTAAACGAACCTGAGATTTGCACGGCTGGTGATGACGGCGTACTCAAGCGGTGGTACATTCCCGGCAGCTATGGACTTTCTATGAGTGGTTCGTTGGATGTGGATGTGACAAGCCATTTCACCCATCGCGGACATGCCGGAATAGTCACCTGTCTAGCAGCATGTCCGGCAAGCAACGGCGATGGGGTTGGAGGTAGTGGTTGGGTCTTTTCGGGAGGACAGGATTCAACTGTGAAGGTTTGGGAAGCCGGAAGGGTGGACCCAGTGGCCACACTGGTGGGACATACCGACGCGGTTTGGGCGGTGTGTGTCCTGCCATCGGCCTCCGCCATCCTCGGCTCACCAGACGAACGCGTGCTTCTCGCCTCCGGATCGGCGGACGGAACTGTCAAGATCTGGAGTGTTACATCTCCTCCCGCTCCCCCGCGACGGCCTTCATCTTCCGCATCGAATTCGAGCACAGGAAGCCTCCGCTCATTCAGCACATTCAACAACAACCCCGCAACATCGGCATTCGACTATTCGCTGATCTCCACCATTAAAAGACCAACCAATGCTGAGAAACCGGATGTCATTGCGTCTCCCACCTGCATCATACCCATGAGTGTCACGGGCGATACCTTTATCGTATCGTACAATGACGCCAGCGTCATCATCTACGACACCGCATCATGCGAGGAGGTGGTGTCTATGGCATCACAGGAAACCTACGACGGCACGCCTGCGACTGGGGTCTCCTCTGTCGTCGCCACAACTATGAGTCTCGAATCCGGCGCTGAACCCGGAAAAGAAGAGGACATACTCGTGGCAGGCGCTACGGGTCAAGCGGGTGGCGTTGGCGGAGTGGTTATCTCCGGCCACGAAGATCAATATGTGCGCATCTTTGATGCCAATAGTGGTGAGTCACGAATACTTCTAGCTAGCTTAAAACGATTTGCTGATTTGTGATGATTGCAGGTCAATGTACATACACGATGCTGGCACACCCCGCTGCGATTTCGAGTCTCGCTCTCAGTCCTGATGGCCGCGAGTTGGTTAGCGCCGGCCACGATGCGAGCCTTAGATTCTGGAGCATGGAGAAACGATCATGCACACAGGACCTCACGCCTCACAGGCTCATGCGCGGCGAAGGTGTCTGCACAGTTGTTTGGAGTGCCGACGGCAAGTGGGTTGTGAGTGGAGGTGGCGATGGTGTGGTCAAAGTGTATTGTAGGTAGAAGAAGACGCTTGCGTAGAGTGGAGGGAAACCCATGGGATAGCATCGGTTCTGATTTCATTTCTTCACTCTCCTCTTTTGTCTTTCTTCCCATTGACTTTAGCTTCTTCTTTCCTTTCTCCTTCCCCCCCGCCTTCTCTTTCCTTCCTTGGGGGGAGGGATTTTTGTGAATCTCCGATCTGCGTCTGGTTTGGTTTGGGTAACGGGGTTTCTGCTGTCTTTTGAGTATACGTTGTGGTATGGTGTGATGTCATGGGCTTATTGTTTATTCCCTTCTATTGATGAGCGTTTGGGTTGGGCGGTTGGATTGGGATTGGCGGCGTGGAGTCGGCACGAGGCGGAGCATCAATGAAATTTCGATTTTCGTGGTGATTTTACCTGTCGAGTGATATCACATGCATTATTATTTGCATCGTCTATGAAATACGATGGGGTGATCTGACATGGTTCGGATGGTGTTGCCGATAGCGATCGGAAAATATTTACATGATTCAAATCACGGCGAATGCGTAGAGTAATGAGCGACGTGGTGTTAAACCTCGTTCAGATGAGATGAGATTAGATAACCGCTAGGACTCGATGCAACATCGCAGTATAAGCGAGGAGACATACCATTCGAGGCGGCTCAAAGACGCTTTTGATGCTGAAGATTTGATAAAGACTTCCTTTACAACGAATCCGTGAAGATTGTTGTCTGCCGGTGGCCTCTGTCGAGGTCGCTGTCTGCACAGGTGTCCTTTTCTCTTCAGAGTTGAGTCAGACGCGATGGTTATTCGAACCTCGAGTTCGTTGCAGCAATCACGGACTCTGTCCTTCGGATGAATAAAAGAACATACCGGAAAGACACAACAAAGGGAGCATAGACTCGTACAGTGCTGGCATATCGAGTTCTTGCAGCACCTACATGTTCTAAAAGCGTGACATGCAACAAGCCTTTCGTGGCGCTAGGTAGAGTGGCTAGAACGGTTGCTTCGCACTCTGGCCCTCGTCTCCCCGACTGCCGCAACGCATTGCATCACACCGCGGCCGATCCTAAACCTTCAGACACAATCACCACCACCGCCGCCCCTCCCCGCATCTGGCGGAGCTTTGCCACGGTTTTCCGCTTGACTACTCATCACGCCCAGCAGACTCGATCGCCCGCCACACAATCCCCCACCCCGGGTTCTCCACCGCACATTCATTGTAAAAAGGATCCGGCCCGTTTGATACCCAGCCCCGCGTCACTGCCGACCTGCAGGCTTTCATCGTCCTTTCACTGCCCACAAGGGACGGCCCTCCGCGCTTCTACCAAACTCTCCCCGCTCGCTCACCTTCATATCTATCCTCCACGCACCTTTTCACAACCACCAGACGAAAATGACGACTCCTCCGCAGCCTCCTATCCAGAACAGTCGCGGTCGGAAACGCCCAGCCCCGGGAACATCAGCTCCCCTCGTTTCGTCGAATCCCTCAACGAGTGTTCCCACCGCGTCGGCGGCCGACATGAACTACTACAGTAGCCTTCCAGCGACATCGATGGGCGGTCCAAACGGTAATCTCTACAATAGTGATCCCGCGACGTCGATAAGCGCCCAGCAACAGCAGAGCGACATCTACCGACTGCAGAATGCCCAGCAGCAGCAGCAGCAACAGCAGCAACAACAGCAACAACAACAGCAACTTCACCAGCAACAGCAACAGGGCAACATCTACGACGGCAACAACCAGCTGGCAAGGGTCGCGCGGGGAAACCAGTTGATGCGCGTACCCTCATTCAGCGGCATGAACGTTCCTGGGATTCCGCCGCAGATCAGTGGGCTTACGCCACAGATGCCGATGAACATGAACATGATGGGTGCACCAGGTATGATGGGATTGCCCGGCGGCTTCGAGCAGCCGGTGAGCGCTTCGGAAGCGATAGATAGGGAGCTTTGCGCGAGGATTGAGAGCATGAAGAAGAAGCGCTCCAACATTCCGCCATTTGTGTTGAAGCTCAGCAGGTATGGTGACCCCGCTCGTCTCCTTTAATATATGGGCGTGTGTGTCGGCGATCACCGGGCGACGTGTGATGTTGCAACACAACGCGCGCGCATGGGTCTTTATAGTTACGTCGAGAGAAATAATGCGCTGATGAGATGGAACTTTCTAGTTTTGTCAACGACCCAAACTCCGACGATTTGATTCGGTGGTCGGATTCAGGCAATTCGTTCATGGTGCTGGATGAGGAGGAGTTCTCAAAGAAGCTCATCCCAGACCTTTTCAAGCACAACAATTACGCATCCTTCGTCCGCCAACTCAACATGTACGGATTCCACAAAGTCGTCGGGCTCGCGGATGGCTCCCTCAAGACTTCCGAGCAGCGTAGCAAACCGCCGAGCGAATACGAGAATCCGTACTTCAAGAGGGGGCAGCCTGATCTGATGTGGCTTATCCAAAAGCCAAAGAGTAAGAACGCCAGGGCGAAGGGGAAGAAGGGGGTGAAGCAAGAAGAGCAGGACACTGACAAGGAGGACAATATGAGTGATGCAGGAGGAGAGTCTGGCGATATTGGAGGAGGCTACCTTGAAGGTCCAAAAGATGCGAATGAGCCTCAGAACCACAGTGGAGGAGGAGGAGGAGGAGGAGGAGGAGCAGGTAGCCGTAACCGGGGCGTTGACTTCAGCGCCCTGTCAGCACAAATCGAAGCTGTGCGTAGCCATCAGCTCATGATTTCGCAGGCGATAAACCGATTGCGGAAAGATCATCAGCAGCTTTACGAGCAAAGTTTGGCTTTCCAAAGTCTTCATGACCGCCACGAGAATTCGATAAACGCAATACTCACTTTCCTTGCGACCGTGTACGACAAGTCGCTGGGAGGACACATCAATGGGGCGGTTAACAACCTCTTCTCCCATCAGGTGGACCAGGGTCAAGGTCTACATCGTGGTCCACCGGGCTCATCCGTGGGCCCTACTCCGACTGGTGCGATAATCCCCACAGCTCCGACCGGTGTGCGGCCAGCGGTTATGCGAACTCCTCAGATGGCGAGACGGAAACCTCTATTGCTCGAAGGCGGCCCTACGTTTTCCGGCGACTCATCACCCATGAATGGACGGAATCCCGGAAGTCCCATACACAAGGGTAACGGAGGATCCCCCCAGGTCACGCATCAGCATCAGCATCAGCACCAGCATCAGCAAAACAACTATCAGCAGTACCAGCAGAACACGCCCATCACGGAACTGTTCACGCCAGTCAGCGGTAATGTGACGTCACCAGCTGATTCTCCCCAGCAACACGCCGATCAGCACTTGGGAGTCAACCTACCGAATACCGGAGGATTGTACTCTCAGCCCACCACGCCTACGCCGCAATCCAACTACGCGTCTCCCAACGTACAGACGCCCCTCTCGAACCATAGCACCCCTGTTCCCACTCCAAGGAGCATCGCGAGAGCTCTCAGCGGAACCCCTTTCCAGACGACTGCGCAGGCTTTGCACGACCACAATGCTTCCCTCGCCCAGAAGACGCACGAGATCGAGGAGCTCGAGGTTCTTCAGACCAAGCAAAACGATAATATCGACCAGCTCATGGGCATGTTGCACGAGTACGTGGAGCCCGATGCAGCTGTTGGGACTGGAGAGGGGGGGGTAGAGGGAGGGGTAGGCGACAATTCGGACTTGGTCCACGAAGATGTCGACCAGTTCTTCAATTTTGGTCTGCAGCCCGACGGTTATGTGGGTGTCAATCCCTACGGCGATGACGATTCCCACGGAAATGTCGACATCGATGAGTTGTTGAGAAATGTCGAAGCCGAGGGCATTACGAACGGTCTCAGCGGACATAACAAGCATGTCTTAACAGACCTCACGTCTAACGCGGCGAGTCCCACAGGGAGCTCGGTCGGCAGTCGAGCCAGGGAAGAGCTTGAAGAGGAGATCGAAGAAGTGACTCCCAAGAGACGACGCGTCAACTGACGGCATTTATACTACGACGATCACGACCATATTCAGGTATAAAAAACCTTCAAGCTAGATTTCTCGAGGCGACTCTTTTTCAGATTTGATTTCCTTCGTTTGTTTTTGGGGGTGGCGTTCTCAACTTTGTTTTCTCACATGTTACACCTCTACTCTACATTTACCCCGGGATGATACGAGGTGCGGGTTTGGTTGTCTGGCATTGCGTTATTTCACGTATGGATGATTGTCTAGAATTGACGAATCACGGTGATTCCAAAAAACTTGTATACCTTTTTTTTCCTTTGCATCTCCATCCATATTGTTTTTTTGGTCTTTTCTTTGGCTTGGGACAGGCACAATGCGTTTGGTTGTCTTTTTTATCACTGGGTGTGGTGGGTGTCCTTGTATCTTTTTCTCCCGATTTTGATGCCCTATCCGAGCAATTTCCTGTCGCGCGATGTAGATTTGTCCCACATATACCCACTCGAAGGGCGTGTGTGAGTGCATGTATTGATTGGTTGGTTGGAAGGATGGAATCATACTGGGGTTTCCTTTGGAAATTCACGAATTCATGTCTCTCCTCTCCTCACTATGCGTTCATGAACACCTGCCGGTACTGTGATCGTAACACTGCAGTGAGGCTGTGGGGAGGTGTCGGTGCTGGTACGGGTTCGGGGGCGGGAAGGCATCCATCCGGTAAGTAAGTACAATCCGGGTTTCCAGGCGGAAAGGCCTCCATCCGGTCCGGAGACGAAGACGTCATGTCTCATGAAAGTCGACATTGAGCATGTGGGTTGCCGGAGGCCTTATGCTCATGCTCATGCAACATATCGGATCGAACCTGAGTGGCTGCCAATAAACGCCGGTCGCAGGGAGGCGTGCCGTGCTCTGCCCCACTTCCTCAGCCCACGTTCTTGTCATTCCTCGGCAGCGCAGGTGTTTTAAACTTACGATTGGGGCGGCGGCGGCGGCGGTGAGTGAGTGGGATGTAAGGACTTGTGCTAATTGTGTTTGCTTGTATTTCGCCGACTTGACTTGCCTTGCCTCGTGGTGGGAAGACATGGCGAGTGTCAGGAAGCAAACACCCCACACGTTCTTGTGGTTTGCTTTTTTTTGTTTTTTGTTTTTTGTTTTTTGTTTTTTTCCTCGAGAATTTTTTTCTCGAGTACTCCTCTACGCATGAGGTGTGCTGCTGCTGCTTCTTCTTTGCTGGTGTCGCGCAGGGTGTCTGACGATCATGATCACGGCGGCGGCGCGGCTTCGATAATACTAGAACCGATAACGATATGTTCCTTGCAAGCGGATTATCTACCGATTAGACTAAGCCAAGGGCTGCTTAAAACTGACGTACGCGGTGCCACTGTGAGGGGCTGCCCAGGATAATACTGCATAGGGTGGGTCCATTTTTTGTTTTGAAGGTATTCCTATTACGTTCCGTGCAGCGGGATCTTTCCTTCCTTATCCTGCTTCAGTCTTGTCAGGAGAGGGATAGGTGAGGGTCAGAGTGAGGGTCAGTGTTTTGCCCTTGAAGGGTTCGCTGGCTGGTGGGCTGGCGCGTGTTGCTTTTTCTGTAGGGTAGGTTTAATACCCCGCCTTCCTCATCCCTTCATCTACATTTCTATCTGCGCTTGCGAAACAAATTCCATCACCATCACCAACAACATTCTTTACCTACAACAACCTACAACACACATTCCGATACCATCTTCCCTGCGATAACGCAACGTAGGTGTTGGAGTGTATGTCTGCCCCCATCGGAGCTGGTATTGAAGTCGGTTTGATGCATCGCGACGTTCGATATCGCAGGTTTGCTGACTAGTGGGGTTTCTTTGGTGGTGTACAGACAAAGAACGAAAGGGTCGAAACCTAAACATGACGACTACTGCTACAACAGCGAAACAGGCGGAGGTGCCTGAGCTTTCGATTAGGTAAGAAAGGCAACTCTTTTTTAGCTTCCGTTCTGCTTCAAACTTTACTTGTCACTCCGCTGTCAACTTGTTACGACAACATCACCTGTGCGCGAGAACGACGTCGACCCTCCTCTTCTCTCTCCCCTTCTCCCCCACCTACCCCCACCACACCAACCCCCCACAGCTTCCCAAATACACACTCGGCGCAGCGCCGAGACAACAAAGATAATGTCCCGATCTGACAGCTATTACGTTCCTTCTAGCGGAGTCTCTTTCGTATCGCTGGTAGCATCCAACGAAGACCTGTTCTACGAGACCGTCGCCTTCTACATCGACTTTGGCTTCGTCGAGGTATCCGTGTACGACCGCGCACTCCCGACACAGAAGCGAGAGAGCGACCACTGCTTCACGTCCGAGAAGGAGACCTGGCTGCTCTCGAAGGGCGACGCCGAGGACGATGGCGCCAACGTCACATTGAAGATTAGATTCGTTAGCGAATCGCGCGGCAGCAACCGATGGAACGACGGCGCTGGAAAGAAGGACGATCCGCCGCTGGACGCCGCTCACGAGAACGACTGGCGTGGCAACACCCAGAGCTGGGTCTTCCACACCCCGCACATGGCTCGCATCATCGAAATGCTTAAGTCGAAGAAGCTGGAGTTCCAGTGCCAGCCCAACGAGCGTGATGTCATCGAAATCTACACCCATGACCCCCTCGGAACTCTGGTCGGTTTCACGAGAAAGCCCAACCCGTTCACGACTAATACTTCCGGCCCTACTATGAGTTTGATGCCCAATACCGTCGAGACCGGGATGATGGGTACTCCCATGGTGAGCCGACCAATCAGCCCCGGTGGCAGCGTCAAGAAGAAGCGGATTGGCATTATGACATCCGGAGGAGATGCGCCTGGTATGAACGCAGCTGTACGAGCGGTCGTGCGAATGACCATCGCCAAGGGGTGCGAGTCCTTTGCCATCTACGAGGGGTACACAGGTCTGGTGAAGGGCGGAGAGTTCATCAAGAAGATGAGCTGGGAGGACGTACGAGGCTGGCTGTCTGAGGGCGGTACTTTGATCGGTACTGCCCGGTGCAAGGAGTTTCGAGAGAGGGATGGTCGTCTGAGGGGTGCCAAGAACCTCATCATTAACGGGATCGATGCCCTCATCATCTGCGGTGGAGATGGTTCGCTCACTGGAGCGGATATCTTCCGGCGAGAGTGGCCCGGCCTACTGGCTGAGCTCGTCAAGAATGGCGAGCTCAAGCAGGAGCAGATTGAGCCGTACCAGAACCTCAACATCGCTGGATTGGTCGGCAGCATTGATAACGACATGATCGGAACTGACGCCACGATCGGATGTTACAGTTCGCTCACCAGGATCTGCCAGAGCGTAGATTTCATCGATGCCACAGCCTACTCACACTCGCGAGCTTTCGTCGTCGAGGTCATGGGACGACACTGCGGGTGGTTGGCGCTGATGGCTGGTGTCAGTACCGGGGCGGACTTCGTATTCTTGCCTGAGAAGCCCCCGGCTAAGGGCTGGGAAACCGAGATGTGTGCAATCATCGCGAAGGTTAGTGGAAACGTGTCCCGAGTGATAGTCTGTGGATTACTGACGTTTTTTTGCAGCACCGTGGCATGGGCAAGAGAAAGACAATCGTCATCGTCGCGGAGGGGGCCACCGACCGGGACCTGACTCCAATTACCGCAGAATTTGTCAAAAATGTGCTTTCGAACAAGATGGGCCTCGACACAAGAATCACCACGTTGGGTCACGTGCAGCGTGGAGGAACTGCTTGTGCATACGACCGTATGCTGGCCACCCTCCAAGGTGTAGAAGCCGTCGAAGCAATTCTTGCATCGACTCCGGATAAGCCCAGCCCTGTGATCACCGTTAGCGAGAACAAGATTGGCAGCCGCCCGTTGATGGAGGCTGTAGCACAGGTGGGTGCACAGACAATTCCTTACTCGTCCGGTTTTCTTTTACTAACCTCCGCATTAGACACAAGCTGGAGCCGCTGCTATTGCAAGGAAGGACTTTGTTGGTGCCATGGCTCTCCGCGATGCCGAGTTTGAGGAGTACTACCGCTGCTACATGGCGACAACCAAGCTCGACGACCTGAGCAATAAGGCTGCTGAGGACAAGCGGATGCGTATTGCAATCATTCATGTCGGCGCCCCTGCCGGTGGAATGAACGCTGCCACTCGTGCCGCTGCCACCTACTGTCTGTCCCGTGGACACCGTCCTTTCGCTATCAACAATGGCTTTCCCGGACTGGTCAGGCACGACTCTGTCAAGGAGCTGACATGGCTCATGGTCGACAGCTGGGCTATCCGTGGAGGTTCCGAGATCGGTACCAACAGAAGCTTGCCGAGTGAGGATATGGGGATGGTCGCCTGGTACTTCCAGAAGTACAAGTTCGACGGACTTTTGATCATCGGTGGTTTCGAGGCATACCACGCTCTGACGGAACTCTACCAGGCCCGGACGTCTTACCCTGCTTTCCGTATCCCGATGACTTGTTTACCCGCGACCATCTCCAATAATGTCCCTGGTACAGAGTTCTCGATCGGCTCCGACACTTGTTTGAACGCTTTGATCGAATACTGTGACGCCATAAAACAGTCTGCTTCAGCTTCCAGGAGACGTGTCTTCGTCGTCGAGTGCCAGGGAGGCCGTTCCGGATACGTCGCTACCATGGCTGGTCTCAGTGTGGGAGCGTTGGCCGTCTACACTCCTGAGGACGGCATCAACATTGCGACCTTGCAATCCGACATCGAGCATCTGCGTGAATCTTTCGCTAATGACAAGGGCATGAACCGGGCTGGAAAGCTCATCTTGCGAAACGAACGTGCCTCTAAGACATACACGACTCAGCTTATCGCCGACATCATTCGCGAGGAAGCGCACGGGAGATTCGAGTCACGTACCGCCGTTCCCGGCCACGTCCAGCAGGGTGGTACTCCTTCGCCGATGGATCGTGTTCGTGCCGTGAGGTTGGCTGTTCGATGCATTCAGTTCATGGAGGCAAACTTCACGAAGATCATCGACGAGGGGCAAAACACTGGACGCGGATGCATGGACCGACCGGAAACCGCCGCTGTTATAGGTATTAAGGGTGCCAGCGTCGTATTCACGGGGGTCAACGAATTGCAGGAGAAGGAGCACACCGACTGGGAGCAGCGCCGCCCTCGCCGCGGATTCTGGAGGGATCTGAGAAACATCGTCGACACGCTTTCGGGCCGCTATGGTGTTCCCGGCAAGGAGTAGAGCTGATCTGGGTTTCGTTGGTTTTTTTTCTCGAGCTACTTAGTTGGATTTTTCACCTTTCTTATGGGAGGTAGATGAATTATGATCTCGGGGGGTTTTTTTACTACTTGTTCTTGTTCTTGTTGGTTCGGTCTGATTTTTTTTTTGTGTTGTGTCCCGTACTTCTGGTTCCTACTTACTGATAAACTTTCACTCCTGACTCTTCTTTCCCCTTTACACCATACACGGGAAAATTCGGGGGATTTTTCTTGTATCTTGTCCTTATTGCTGTATTTTTTGTCCGCTTTTGCTTGTGTTTGGTTTTAAAAGTGGCGTCGCAAAATGGGCTGGCTAGTCTTTTGGGTTGTGGATTGTGGGTTGGCACGGGATGTGGGTGGAACGGAATGATGGGACGATGGGGGTTTGCTATGCTGGTTCGTTGTTGTCTAGAAGTTACAAACGTACGGAAGATTTGATGAAGGATTGATGGAGGGATTGATTGAAGGAGGGGATTTGAAGAGCGAAATGTGAATCGTGTTTCATTTGGGGACTTTTGGTACAGTTGGGTTCGATGTGATGTGGAGCGAAGTGATGTGATGTGATGTGTGGTGAAGTGTGGTGTTCTACAGATCTGGTGGTTGTGGCTGTGGCTGTGGCGGGACAGTTGCGGTTGTGGAGGTGGAGGTGGAGGTTGTTGAGCTCTCTTCGAGCGATGATACAATCACCAATATCCACCAGATTAATCTCGACGACCATGGCTATGGGAAAACAGCCGTGGGATACCTAGTCACCTGTACATTCTGCTTGACCATAGCGGTGTTTGCTCATCCGCCCCTCCCCATACCTACCGTTTCCATCTTGCTAAACACTGCCGGGGAACCCCGCAGTGGACATTGGATACGGTCAAAATGACATGGACATGGAAATTATACACTTCGCCATAGGTACCCGCATTCATTCGCTGGATCGGTGAATAGAGCGAATGGTAGATATGTGGATATACACGTTAGTTGCAGCCACACATTCCTAGAGAATGGGAGAATGCTGGAAGTGAGTTTGTGGTTGGTACATACCGGCGTAACTACTTCGAGTCTTCGACACGAAAGGGCGAGCACTGGGCCACCTCACCTGGCGATGTCTTCCTTTCCGGAATCCCACTCGTCCACTCGCCCACTCGCCCACCACGACCCCCACGGTCACTTAGGCACATTATGTACATATCAGCACTCATTTCTCGTCCGACTTACCCGACTTGCCATTTCCGAATGCGACTCGATACGCATTAGGTATCTCCTCCTGCTCCACCACCAGACGCCGCTGAGAGTCAGAGCCAGTCTGAAATATAATGTGCCCTTTCCCTCGCAACTTGCAAGCTTTGCTGTGCTGTGGCCGGACGGCACGAGTGGGAATTGCACTTTTATGTCATGCTTACCGGGGGCCGGGGAGGGGGGCGGGGGGGAACACCAGCCATATGAGGTATGTAGAGTACGCTCGTAGTCGTTCATGCAAACAACCAATCAATAGAGTCGAGAAGAGTAGCCCCACCACGATGCAGAGTCAGCGCTGGGCACACGTGAATGGCTGAATGGCTGAATGGCACATCGCCCACCGCCCACCGCCCACCGCCCACCGCGATGCAGAGTCAGCAAGTCAGCACTGGGCACACGTGAGTGGCTCAATTGCCCACCGCGATGTAGAGTCGGCATTTGTTACATAGGTGCTCTATGTAGAGTACAATACACGTCCAAGTGCAATTGTGCAAGTGCATTTGTACATACCCCGTTCTTTCTAGGTGAGTGTTTCAGGTTTCTGGACTTATGTATCAGCGTCAAGACTCAAGCCAAGCAGAAGTGCATTTATGTACGTAGGAGCACCATTTTACGCCAGGCAGATGAATGTGGATGGCTGGTGGTATGTACCTAGGCTCTGTGAGAATTCAGGCAAGATTTCGGATAGGGCGGGATACCGGTTTTGGGTTTTGGACTTGGCCCACCCTACGTGCTGTAATAAGACATTCAGTTTCGGGGATGGATTTGGCGATACTATTCGGGTATTTGCGAGTGATATCTGAGGATTCAATCCGACGTTTGAGATCCAAGAAGCTGAGCCAGGGTAGCGGACAGGTGCCAACCAAAGCGCTTGGTAGCAATGTCAAAGCTGAATGGGGCTGGTAACCTCGGATTCGGTCTCCGAAGGCGCCGTGTGAACGAGTGGGTGACAGTCGTGGCAGATATACGTACACATCTCTTACGAAAGAACTTACTACTACTACGCTATCCTCTCCCACTTTCTAGACCTTGCTCCACCTCACCAGGCAGATAGAGTACACCGGTGATGACACATATCTAAGCCTTTCACTGAGTACTCTAGATAGGCACTGTTTTTTCCCATGACGGGAAAAATCGAGTGATATGCGAGGCTGCAGCGTGGAAGCTTGCCGATTTCGTCTATCGATCGATACCGATATCCCTACCTGCGACAAGCATCATCTCCCCCCTCCCTTCGCCTGCTGCACATAGAGCAACTGCGGGCCCAACTAGTCCCCGATGCGTGTCGCTGCTGCTGGCGGTCAGTACGATGTAGAGTGCGAGTCGAGAAAGTGCCCGTCCGCACACGAAGCCCGCAAACTTCCCTTCCACATAGACATGAGCCAAATGTTTCCTCCCTCCCTCGCCTGAATCCCCATCCCCCTCCGTCATCGTCCTGTATCGAAGTGTGCTCATACATACTTTGTTTTTTTTTCCTTTTCTCCCCGAGTGTGCGCGAGTTCAGGTTTCAGAACAGCAAACCGCGGGCCAATCAGCGCGGGCGTCGACCCGAGACTACATATCATAGCTGCAGATGCAGAAAACCGGCGAGCACCGTACTCTGCCTGCACCACATACACCCGCGCGCGTAGAAACACCCCATCACACACTCACTCACGAGGAGCCCAGCACTACCACCACCACCACCACCACCACCACTTAAAGTCCACCCAACCCCCGCCCCACTCATCTTCGCTCATCAGCCACCCACGAAGGAAGAAATCGCGAATATCTTCACACGAAACCCCATCCCATCCCCTCGAGTCCTATTAGGATCCAACAAACTTTATTTTGTCCCAGTCACGAAAAACTACTGGTGCTGATCTGACATCACCTGGCCCCCCCGCCCCACTCTCGGTCGCTCGCCCGCCCGTTCGCTCCCCCGACGGCAGGAATATATATGGCTGGTCCAGCAATGGAGATAGACTGGAACAATTTTGATTCCTCGCCGGCGTCGGCGCTTCTCTATCGCAAGCTCGCACTTGGTACGTGGTTGGTGACGATGATGATATCGTGATGCGTGTGTGCGAGAGTACCAACGTAGCCAGCCAACTAACACCTCTATCTTATCCTACCTGCAGACAATCTGAACACGATCCTCCGCAGTGGCGTGACGGATCTCAAGTTTACGCCGAACTACCCGCTCACCATCGCGTCGTTCTCGGACTCGACGGGCTCGTACAGGGCGGTGCCATATGTTCCCGTCGACGGATACACCTGCGTCCCCGTGATGTTTCCGGAGCTCCTGAGCACGTTCGATATCCACCTGAAAACGCCCGCGGGCGCCATGTGGGTACTCCTTAAGGCGTCCGAGGCGAAGGTTAAGGAGCTGGTGTATCTGCGGCCCGGCGAGAATCCGGTACTGAATCCGGGCGGAAGAACGCTCAAAGGTGTTTTGGGCGTGATTCGGGATGCGCCCGCGGTGCAGCTGGAAACTGGGGGTGCTGAGCTGGAGGAGGCGCCGGTGGAGGCGGTGCAAGGCGCGGTACTGAACACGGCATTGTCGGTTGTCGAGGAGAAAGAAGAAGGATCCCTAAAGTTAGTCCTTTTTGAGGAGCCATTCTTTCGAGGCCTGGCAATGGCGGTAGCTAACGAGGGCAGGAGACCGGAGCTTTTCCTACCTGTGGTGCCGGCAACGTCTATGTACAGCTGGCAAACGGAGCCTGACCCGACCACCGTCGAGCCTGCGGATATCCAACCACGGTCCGACAGAAAGCACAAGAAAAGAAAGAAGAGCTCCAGGTCGAAGGCGGCGGCAGCACAGGGAACTCTCAACGAGGAAACAGTGAATCCCACTACGGGCGATGACGCGACGAATGCTACAGTGGAGGAGGTTCAGATGACCGAGGAGGAGAGGGCGAAGCGGACGGCGGCCAAAGCTCGGAAAGCAGCTAAGAAGATGGCGCAGAGAAAAGCGTCCAGGGAGGAGGACAACTCGATAGCAGCTCCTTTGGACGAGCGCTTGATAGGGCCACCCGATCTGGACGACGCGGTGAAGGAGAGAATCCGGATAGCAGAGCAGGTGGCTGCGGTGATGAGGGCGGAGGAGAACGAAGAAGTGAGGTTGAGACTTCAGCATGAGATTGCCAAGGTTCGGGCTTGGAGCTTGATGCAGAAGAAGAAACCATATCAGCTACTCCCGGTAACGGAAATGTCGCCTATCGCTTCGGAACCGACTTCAGCAAATCCCGAGGTTGACGCGAAGGTCAACAGCATAATCGCGGGTCTGCGTCGAGTCGTCGAGGAGAAGAGGCAGAAGGTTGACTCCATCTTGGCTGAAGGGGATCTGGTTGTTGTGCAGGAGGAGGATGGGGGGCCGGTTGTTGTCGAGGCGGAGGATGTGATCATCGAAGGAGTCGCAAAGCCGAAGAAGACAGTCGATGAGTGGATAAAAGAAGTGATGGAATTGCCATTCGACGAGGATGAGGACATCTGGGGACCGATCAACAGGACGTTAACTCCAGCGGTTCCATACAAGCTCTCGAACACCAGGCTTACCCGCGAGAATCTGAAGGCCGCCCAGAGGAAGCTCTCCGCAAAGGAGACTATGATGGCGCCTGCTCCACCTCCACCACCGCCGCCACCACCTGCTGCACCGGAACCGGGAATGCTGGGGGATTTGGGACTCGGGGGTGAGCAATACGAAATTGTGGTTCCCGTCGTGGAAACCGTGGACACTGGACACATCAATCATCTGGCCCGAGCCCGAGCAATGCTCGCTGTAGCCCCGGCCCCGCCGCCCCGTCCTCCACGACTTGCGGTTGCTCCCGCCCCACCACCTCCGCCGCCTCCTCCTCATCCTCGATTCGGGTTTGCATCGGCGCCACCGCCCCCGCCACCACCACCACCTCCTCCCGTATTTGCATTTGGACCAGCTCCACCGACATTCGTGCATGCGATGGGACTTGCACCAGCGCCGCCTCCCCCTCCTCCACCGCCCGCACTCGCACTCGCACCTGCACCTGCACCCGCATCCTCACCCGTACTTGCGCCTGCACCTCCGCCTGCGCCTGCCCTTGCGCCCGCACCCTCGCCCGCACCGGCAATGGCGCCCGCACCGGCAATGACGCCCGCACCGGCAATGGCGCCCGCACCAGCAATGGCACCCGCACCCTCACCCACACCCGTGGTCGCCGTCTCGAATGATGTTGCGGTGGAATTTTCTCACCCGCCTAGGGGTGCTTTCTCTCCCGTATTTGCCGTCCCTACTGCCCCACCTTCATCAACCACCAGTAACGGGTTTTCAGTCATCGAGTCCGTTAGATTGCCCGGCCTCGAGCTCGATATGTCTGTGATCGGCATGCTGACTCCGCGCCCTGATGGCCACCACTCGGCCGCCCCGACTGTTACCGGCCATTGCGTTTCATTGGACGGCAACAGCACCGATCAATCCCCGGTGGTGATCGACACACCGGCTTCGTCGCAGTTTGGCGAAACCCGGAGCCAAAAGATTGGGGACATGACCAGCGACGAACTCAGAGACGAGATCCGCACCGTGATGAAGGATGCGTTGATCGGTGTTGTGAGGCAGATTGGCGGTGCGTTGGAGCAACGCGCTTAGCGGCTATTCTTGGTATTGCTTTTTTTTTCTCTCTTTCTTATTCCTCATTTTTTATCTTAATACTTTTTGGGTACCTTTTGGAGTCAGCGTGTTTGTTTGGTTTATTGCTGCATGTTTGGCTGGCTATTTTGTGTGTGGGAGCATTGTATTATTATGGCGTTTTGTATGGTGGGATCACCAACGATTGATGGATATCATGGTAACTTGAGAGTAAGTGTGTAGCTATGGGACCTGGACCTGGACTGGGACTGGGACTGGGACTGGGAGGCATTTAATTTATAGCATTGTTGGGATAGCGGGGTGGTTGCATCATGGGCACTGGGACGGACGGACCCCAATTAGGGGTTATCTGTAGTTATAGGTAGCATAATCAACGTTTGTGACGGACTGTATTCAATCATCACCCATATATACTGGGTCCTGCATCTTGCTCTTGCTCTTCTTCTTCTTCCTTCTCCTTGACGGCCCTCACGCCCCCCTCCCAGATCTCAAACTCCATCTCCTCACCGCCCTTCGCCCAGCCCGCAAACACCACCCCGATCCTCCTGCGCAACCCCCTATCCTCATCCGCCTTCCTCAGCACAAACCTCGCAGCCAGGCGATTGGCCCAGACCATCCCGAGCGCGGGAACCTTTGCGCCTTGCGGCTCGACCGCCTCGTTCCACCCCGTAAACCACCGGCTCTGGAAGTCGAGCGAGTATACATCCTCGTCATCCCCATCCCCGTCGCCGTCCTGCTGATCCCCACCGCGCGAGAACCGGTCACTCACCTGATTCGCCACAACAACGACCAAATTATGCCGCCGCGCCAGCTCCCGCAGGCCCTGCGCGACCGCCACCAGCTCCCCGCCGCGCCGCGCCAGCTGCGCCGGGCCGCTCTGCTGCTGCTGCGACGACATCTTCACGCGCTTATTGACCGCGGGCCGATCCAGCTCCGCGCGAAAGTTCGCGGCAATACTGTCGACAATGACCAGGCCCACGTCGTGGCGCGCCACCGCCACGGGCAGCTGAAAGCGCAGAATATGCTCCTGCGTCTCGAGGTCGTTACACGTAATGGCCAGGACGTTGTCGGTGCTCACGGGCGGATCGGGGGCCAGCCGTGAATTCAGCGCTCCTGCTAGCTGCACCAGTCGCGGCGTCGACAGTGGCGCTTCCGTCGATATGTACACCGCGCGCCGACCCAGCCCGCCGAGAGAGCGGGGGAGTTGGCTCGTCAAAGCGAGCGTGAGCAGGAATTGCGTTTTGCCCGCGCCGCTGGCGGGGACACACAATCAGCTCCATGGTGCTGGGCGCGCGGGCGGGGTGGAGGGGAACAAACCTCTCACCAACCAACTCCGTAATCCCGCCCGCTCTCACGCCTCCACCGAGCATCCTATCTATCGCGACATCGCCCGTCGTAAGCCTCGTCTCCCTCTCTTTCAGCTTTGCAGCGCTCTCGCACAAAGTGTCGGCGGCGAACGCGGCGGTGAGTCCAGCAAGGAAGCGCTTTATGTCTAGAAGTGGTGGCGCAGGACTGCGGAGCGAGCTGAGCCGCCGTGATATCTCGGGCGAAGAGAGCGTGAGGAGGTCGGCGCATGTGAGAGAGGCGGTCTCGATGAGGGAGAGCAGCGGGAGGTGGCAGGGGGGGGGGAGGTAGGTGGGGAGGAGGGTGGACAGGTCCGACATGGTGAGGTGGGGTGGGGTGGGGGTGACGGGAGGGGAGGGGCGAGGGGACGGGGTAAGGACGCGGGATGGGGCGAGGACGCGGGAGACGCGGTGGGGCGCATGGGAGAGCACTCGTCGCTCGTTGCCAGGGCCGGGGGTCGCGACGACGAGACGAGTTGGGCGCGAACGAGCTCTTCACCCTCCCAGGCTCCCAGGTGGTTGGTTGGCTACCTAACACGAGGTGGGGTCGATGCGGTCAGCGTTTTGTACCGGTACCGTATTGTAGAGTACTATATACCGTACCGTGCCCTACAGTACATAACTCTTCAAGCTCTTCAAGCTCTTGCTCTCCAGCTCTTCCTCCTCTTCCTCGTCCTCCTCATTACGAGCTCTCCTTGCGAGCTCTGTATATCCATAGTAGTATGTAGCTCCATCGTACCGAAGCACACGCACACGCATACAAGCACACAGCACACATGTAGGTACCGATCACAATTCGCAATTTGTATGTATTGTTCATACTTCCGAAGGTTTAGTTGAGCATTTACTCGCATCGCCTCCAACAACCCACCCAGAGCACCGGTGAGGTTGAGTGAAAAACAGTGGGGCGCGATCACGACGAGAAGGAGGCCGCACACAAGCAGCCGGGTGGGCACAATGAATCACTCGCCCACTCGCCCACTCGCCCACTCGCCCACTCGTTCGGGAGCGCGTCCATCGTTTTTGGGGGAGGGGACGGAGTTGGTTAGTTGCTTGCTACTCAGACCCGACCGAAGGCGGAAAGCGACGTTGGTTAGGGGGCTTTTAAGTTTTGGCCTTGGAACTTTGGTGGACCGGCACGTGACAGACATCGACCCATTCCAGGTCGCTGGGGATTTCCGAGTAAACAAACTCTACTCTAGAGTCCACATAGGAGAATTAAGCAGGGTGGTAGGGTAGGTGGGTAGGTGGGTAGGCATGCAGTGGGAGCTTCTTTGGGAAGTACACAGGTGAGCCAACATTTCTCGAAGCTCGAGGTAGCGAGTCGTGGGAAACAAACGCTGGGAGGCTGGCGGTGAAGTAATACTTTTTTACCAGGTATCTTTTCTTTCTTTCTTTTTGTTTGCTTGATTGTTTGCAAGTTGCAAGTTGCAACGTTTCTCGCGTCCTGTTGGGTTGAGGCCACGGTTGAGTTGTAGAGTGGAGTAGGGAGAGAGGGAGGGAGGAAGGGAGGAAGGATGGAAGGCCTGCTCGTGGTTGGTCGCAGAAAAACGGATGAACCGCATGCCGTTGCCGGCCGGCGTTCTTGGAACTTGGGGGGAGGGGAGCAGGAACGAACAGGCAAAGCTCCCTTCTCCTGGAAAGCAAAGCAACGCAACGCAGAGCACTGACCGCCTATATACCATGGCTCTACCAAGAATCGACGATACTCGATCGGGCCGAAACAACCAACCACCGCCCCTTTCCTTTCCCTCCCGCTGTTATCTGTGCGTGATTGGCCGCGTTGGGAGCTGTTTTTATTTTATTGCGGAGGGTTTGTGCGGATGAAGGTTGGCTGCTGCTTGGTGGTACTGGTGGTACTGGTGGTACTGGTGGTGGTGGTCAGAGCGTGGTCCGCCTTTTAGTGTGCTGACTGCATGAGTAGACTGGCCGCTCGGGAGGAAGGTCTCGGAGGCGAACGCGGCGGGAGAGCTGCGCTGGCTGAAGCACCATGGAGCTTCAAGTCGATGGGGGAAGTTTGAGCTTGGAGAAGACGAGTGCGGTAAGTAAGGGTTCGGGTGGTGAAGTCTGGAGGGCTTTGGCTTCGGCTTCTCGAGCAGTGTCGAGGCTCGAGCAGAGTACATACGCTGGTTCTGGCATGCTTACGGTTGACCACCGACTGAGCCTGGCCGGGCAAGATGGCATTCCCGTTTCCCGTGTTCGGATAGGTACTCTCGATTTCCCTCGGAGCTTGTTTCTGGATAGCCTCCGGATTCGAAGACCAGTAAGAGTCCAGATCCTGCTGGTCGTCGCTAGTCACATGCCCTAGAGACGCGGTCCTTACTTAAGGGTCTGAGGCCACGGAGAGTGAGAGGCAAAGGGTTCGTCCGCGGTTCACCTCGTCCTTGGGATCGCAACGGTGCACTTTGGACCTCAAGGATGATGCTTGGGCGAGTGCGTGGCGACCATAGTAACGGGGGAACATCAGACGATGGAACCCGTCAATCTCCATCCGTCAATCCGTCAATCCGTCAATTGGCTGTCCTTCGCCATAGCCACTGTGACGGATTGCGTGGCCAGTCCTGACGCTGCGCGGGCGGGCGTCGTATTGCCCTCTTGGCTGCCCCGGTCCCTACTCTACGGTACTCTAGAGTCCACGGTATGTACTCTGCACATAGTGGACCACTATATCGCGGCCCGGGAACATGTCTACTCGCACTGTCGGGCCCTTCCATGCCATGCCACGGCCATATCCGTGATGTCCCCTATTGTGGCTTCTTCTGTGGCCTCTCGCCGCGTTCTTCTCGTCCTCGGATCCGACAGCAGAGAATGTCCATGCCTTCCATTGCTGCCGCCGTCGTACATACATCTCACACCGCGCAGCCCCTTGCTAAAAGTCTTGTCCTGGCTCTAACTTACTCACCCCCAATGCCTTCGTTCGTTCCTGCAAACCCAGCACCCCGGCCCAACCAGTTCATTGAGCGAAGCCAGCGCCCCACACACCCCCCTTCAGCCCTTGACCAGTCATCGTCCGCCTTTCACCGCTGCTGCTCACCCCAATCCAACTCTTCCAACATCCCTCCTCCTCCTAGACTACCTAACCTGACTCCCCCCCCATCCTCCACTACCTTCCTTACTAACCACACCCCCCCATCCCCTGAAAGAGCCGCTCTTCCTACTCCCCTTTCTCCCTCTCCACAGCAATCATAAGTTCTGTCGTCCCTGCCCACCCCCCCAAAGCGCCCCTCACCACTCGTTTCCTCTCGCCCCGCCCTCAGGCCGCCGCCCCCTTTTATCGATCGGTTAACGAGACCCACGCTTTTACGATCCGGAACGAGATACGCACCGCATGACCTTGTGATATTATATTTTCCAGAACGCGAAAGACCAAAGATCGTCCATCGAAAAGAGAGATACCACACAAAAGGGGATATATATCTTGTCATCAGCATCTATATCGGTTGTTTTTTCCCCTCCGGGTTTACGAAGTTGTTGAGTACTTGAACGACCTACTACAGAGACGAACGAAAGAAGAAAAATAGTTTTTTTTCTCTCCCGCTTCCATCCATCGTAGCGAAGTTCGACCGCAGCGGGGACCATCCTAATACAGCATACATTACACTTCTCGTCTCCGCATCGGTTCGATTCCCCCGCGACATCGGTCACGGAGTTGCTCAGTCGCCAGAAAGAAAGAAGAAGAAAAGGAGTGTCAGAGTTCGTATTGCAACGCGTTGCAGTCCGATACACGGTTTAGTAACGAAGTCTTCACGATCGCCAGGCTTCCCCGGAACCTGTAGCCACGATCAAGCCGGCCAGCTAGCTAGTCCCGGTTTCGAACGGACTTTCCCGTCCGCACTTTTGCTGTGAGCAGAGAAACAGAGAAAAACGAACATCCAAGAACTAAGCATCCAAATCGTACGACGAACTATCAATATGGCCAGCCACGACTCCTACTACGATACAACGGGTTCCATGAGGTCCGCGAGCGGCCAGCACCACAACACGCTCCATCGGGCTCCGTCCCGGCAATTCGAGACCTTCGCCGGTCAGACCGGCCTCTACACCGCCGAGGACCATGCCGCCAGATACGATCACAACCGCGCTTACGATACCACGCGTATAGCTCCCACCGCGATGACTTACGGAGGATATGAGGCATCGGGCGCCCAGACCTGGAACCCGAGCAGCTTTGGAAATGTCGGTACGCTGGGGGGGACGATGGGTGGTGGTTCGGGAAGAATAAAGGGCCCTTCGCGACAGAGGAGCGCGCTGCCGTCGGTACGACAACCGTCCTCCGTCGGAGAGTACCCGAAAGACTCGGTTGCTAACGGAAAACAGATGTGGACCGAAAGCCCTTCGGCTCTTCCGACCGTCAGCCCCCTGGCCGCGATGGGTGGTGGGGTGTCTCTGGGTGCATCGCCCATGCGCCAAGAACCTGTCGGGTCAGACATGGGGGAAGAGGAGTTGATCCCGACCGCCATCGTCATCAAGAATATCCCGTTCGCCGTTAAGAAGGAGCAACTGGTTCAGTTGATGACGGAGATCAACCTACCGCTGCCGTACGCGTTCAACTATCACTTCGATAATGGCGTGTTCCGCGGTCTTGCGTTCGCAAACTTCACCACCGCGGAGGAAACGGGAACCGTCATCGACATGTTGAACGGATTCGAACTGCAGGGCAGGAAGCTTCGGGTGGAATACAAGAAGATGTTGCCCATCCAGGAGAGAGAGAGGATCGAGAGGGAGAAGAGGGAACGGAGGGGCCAACTGGAAGAGCAACACCGACCTGTCACGCAGCCACCGCCGTTGGCTACTTCTCCTTCGCCCAGCGCGTCGAGGTCCAAACCAGGTCAGACTATAGTTACTCCGACAGATGTCCGATATTCCAGCGTGCTAACCGCCTTTTAGACGTAGACTTGAACGACCCCCAGACTCTTCAGTTCTATTCGCAGCTGCTTCTCTTCCGCGACGACCACACACGCGAAGCGCTCATCTTCCCCCCTACCCTGTCGCCTCAGCAGCGTCGTATTGTGCACACCCTGGCACACCACATGGGACTCGCGCACATCTCGCGCGGAAGCGGCGAAGGCCGCCAAGTACATGTTTTCCGCGCGCCCCAGGGGCAGACGCCGAACATCAGCCCGCCATCCATCCCGACGGTTCACCCCGTCGAGAACCACCCGAGACGTGGACTGACCAGGGCCACCACCATGGACTTTACCGATACTCGGTCCGAGAGCGCCGCCATGTTCTCTACAATCGGGCGCCAAGCATCGGCTCTTCTGGATATCCCATCCTCCCCGTCCGGTCGGGAGAGCGCCGTTCAGAGCCGCCAGAACCTTCGCGCGGCCAAGTCGTTCGCCGACCTGCGGTCCTACACGCCCTCACCGGTGCCCTCTTCCGCCAGCTTTCCCGCGGCGTTGGGTAACAACATCTCCCGGTACCAGCAGCAGGATTACGGCGCCCACAGTGCCGCCAGCACCACACCCACTCTGACGCCCACTGCAACCGGCAACCACCAGGAGTCGCTGCTCGTCAACGGGCTGGCCGGTGTGTCGCTCGGTGGTCCCCTCGGTAACATGGGTGGAAGCTTGAGGGGTGATCCCCGGGACCCTCGGGGCATGCTCTCCCACGAGCAGGAGCGAAATGGTGGCACGATCGGCGGCGGAAGCGGACACAGTGGAATGGTGGGCGGTGGAGTAACCCGCAGTTTCAGTATGGGCTTCGATGAAGTCCGTGCCGAGCGCGACCGATCCCACGTCATCCCGCAGAGACAGCCAAGAGGGCCAGATTCCGAGCGGGGGGCAGGATTTTCGTCAAGGAGTCGCCAGCACCACGGAGGACGAGGCGGCTCGGGAGGGGAATTGGACGTCCAGAGTGGCGTTGAGATTGTCGTGGAGTAAAGTAATTGTGAATGGGAGTACAGGGGGTGTAGTAGGGGCTTGAGATTACACATGGTTGGGACAATATTTTCTTGTGTCAGTTTCTTTCCATTGCGTTCATCTTTTTTTCTTTCTTTTCTTTTTTCCTTTTCGTTTTCTCCACTTTATCATTATCTTTTTGGACAATCATCGGCATATTCCTTCCCACCACATTCGATCGATGAGACGAGGAGGGTGCTTCTTTTTTCTTTTCTTTTCTGCCTCTACTTCTCTCTTGTTTTTCTGTGTTCAGTGTAACGAAGGATGGACTCTGGAGGCTTCCTCATCATGATGTATGAGAAGGAAATTTTTGGCTGTTACATGTACCCCTCCCACTCCCGTGCTACGTATGAGTATATACGTGTGTGTGTGGGTGGGGGGGGGGACGGGAAAGCGGATCAAAGTATTCGATATATTGAAGGGGTTTTATTTCTTGCTTGCTTGCTTTGAAGTTTGGGGGTTTGTTTATTCTTTGCGTCAAAAAAGATTGGTTTTTTTTTTTCTTTTGCTTGCTTGCTGCTGATTCTTTCTTGCTGCTGCTGATTCTTTCTTTCTGCTGCTTGATTTTGTGTGTCTTAAGTATCGCCTTTTAGTTACTGTTACTGTTACTGTTGGGTTGGATATGTAGTGTCCCGAGCAATGGGGAGGCCCAGAGAGGGGAGGGCACGGGCGATGATCTAGGTTTTTTGTTTTTTTTCAGTTGTTTTTTTTGTCCATACGTGAAGAGTTGATTCTAATATTTTGAGCTATCTATTGACTGCTGCCTTTTTGACTTTGCACTGTGACACGCACTTATCTGCACTTGATTTATGGCGTAGTCACCACCGTGGCACCGTCGGATATCTCCTTCATCGTGAATACTAGGTATGCAGCTCCGTCAGGAAACGCCTGCTGATAGATCCTTTTCGTACACAAAGTTCATATGTTACTCGGCCCTGTTTACTGCTGGACCGTGCACTGCTGGAGCTTGGGGGACATCTTCCATCTTCCTTCCATCTTCCAGCTCCCATCTTCCAGCTCCCATCCTCAATCTTCCATGGAGGCTGGAGCAGGGTGTCATCGCCGAATCCTTATGATAGTAGGTAGAGTAAACCTTTATACTTCTGTAAGTGAAGGCTCCGCCGCAGAACAACTCGAACTTCGAAAATCGCCTCGGCACCATAGGAACGCAAACCGGCGCGAGCAACGCAGGCGCTGCCGCGCTGGGCAGTCTGGAAGGCATTCGGGAACGCATGTGAGCTGCAGATACTCGAGTCGACTCCTGCATGATCGGTTCATCATGAACCGGGCGACCAGAGTATAGTGTTTGAGCATGGCGAAGATCTAGTTATGAACTTGTGACGGTATCCATCGGTCCGTCTGTCTGTCCGCCTGTTCGTTCAGGAAAACCTTGGATGGCTCCGGTATCCTGCCGTAAGTTTAGGTAGTGTTGGAGTATGGCGAAGATCTAGTTACCTATGGCCGTGCCTATTCGTCAGTCTGTCTGTCCGTCAGTCCGTTTGTTCGTTCAAGAAACCTTTGGTGGCTACGGACTGCCTAGGACCTAGGACCTAGGTAGGTAGTCGGACAAGTATATTCGGACAAGTATCCTGCCGTATTAGATAGGCCCGGGGATGTTTGGTTCCAGTCTTCCAGTCTTCCTGAGAGCAACGGCTCGGAGGATCGCATACCTGCTCGGGAGTCGGAACAGATTCGAAAATGCCGGAGTTGAAGGCCTACTACCTAGGAGGTAGGTTGCGATGTTTCGACAGCGATGTCGCGGTAAGGGATGGGACTTCGCGGAAGGGAACGGTATACAGCGCCTGGCTGTGATTGGAGTATAGTAGAGCTCCATGTGGTTCGCAATGTTGTGCTCTGGAGAAGCAGGTTGAACGTCCATGGTCGACGATCCTGCGGACAGATGCCGATGGCATGTAGAGTAGCTCTACTCTACTCTACTGCCAGTAGCTCACCAGAGCCGGCGGCTCGGGCGCCAACGCAACATAACCACGGCGGCAAGTTTCTCCGTCCGCCGTCCTCCGCATGAGTGAGTGAGTGTGTAGAGTACTCTACTCTACTCTACAACATCGAGGCGAGCCAAGCCTGCTACGTACCTCTGTAGTGTACTCTAACTGACCGATTTATTGCGACGGTAAGATGGGCCACCTACCTGGTACTGTATGGTGTCATGTCATGTCAGGTCATATCAATGCCTATGATGGGCGTCCGAAGGGCAAAGATACGCAACTGCACTGCACTGCTGCGCTGCATGTTTGCATGTTGCATATGCGTGCAGCGAAGGACGGAGAAACTTGCTGGTTGGCTGCAGAATGCGGTTGCATGCTGACTGACGGATTGGGGGACCGGGGGAGGGGGGCCCGAGGGGGCGGAGGGGGCGGAGAATCTAGTGGGCTTTTGTCGCAAGCCCGCATCCGGCGGTGGACGTTGTGTTGCGGCTGGACGACGGAAAGAGGGAGGGGAGGAGGGAGGTATTCGACCAGAACCACGGCCTGGACTGGATACGAGAGCGTTGGATGCCCCCTCGAGTTCTTCCGATGGATGCGATGCTAAGTAGGAAGCTGCAAAACTAGAGCACGAGGATCCGCGGGTCGATTTGGCCTCGCCGATCGGGAATGCACCCGCGAGCGATCCGCCGAACTGCACTACAGGCTAAAGCTATCAGTGGTGAAGATCGGCTCCGAATGCGGCCGGACCGCGTCCTCTCTCCACAAAGCTTGGCTGATTCCACCATTACGTCAACGTTTCGCGACGAGTGCAGCCGTGTGTAGGCGGATGGCTGGCCGGCCGGAAACACAAAACACATGTGGTCTGTGGTTTGTGTCGAGGACGTGCGAATGACGGCATGCACCACAGACGTATATACTACACTCCGCTCGGCTTCGTTCTGAGGACTCTGCTGGTATCTTCTACATACATCCACATCTGCTCGAGATCCATCCAACAGATACCTCGTATCACCCACCGTTGCAGCCCTCCTCCATAAAGTGCACTCATCCAAGGAATAGTTCCGAGTCCCCTGCGAAGCCGGTTTCCAGTCAATCCATGGAGTCGAGCAGGCACTGAAAGGAGGCTACATATATCCCGTACATTGCTCCCTCGGTGGTTGCTGCTGCACTGAATGACAACGAATCACTATCAGCCTTCTTCCCTAAGTACACCACTGACTGACCACGGATTCTTCGACGACAGCAACTATTCCAGTGCTACTTCCAGCCCCGCTCGGCACAGCTACTTCTCCACTACAGCAGAAGAAGACGGGGCATTAGCTCTACCTTGTACCTTCCCACTTCCTCCACCTCCTCACTCTCCTCCGCCCCCGCAATCGACGCCCGTCCGTCGTGCACGTCCATATCGTCCGGGAAGGGCCGCATCAGCTTCTCCTTTGAGCCCGGCCACAACACAGCCTGGAACGCTGTTCAAAACAATTGTGGAAGGAGACACCCCCCAGTACCTGCTATCGCCCCCTGTGCTCAAGCCCGCGGACAGTACAGCAACAGTGAACAGCTACATCACCGCGCCGAGCTACGCCTCATCTCGGTCCTCGTCCTCATCCAGTTCCCGAACCATTCAGAACCGACCCATCGCCTCACCGCCGCGGACGCCACTGCCCCCGCTCACCGACCGAGACGTTGAGCAGATCCGCGGAGCACACACTCCATCCCACGGCCCGCACGAAGCACAGGACGCACTCCTATCCTCGAGAAGAATGTCTCACCGCAACGGCAACAGCAATGCGGCCACCCGCACAAACAACGAAGACCGCGCTGCCCGCGAGCCACTGATCCCGCGCAGCAACGCCTCCGACCCCGACTCCCGCCGTAAGGAGGAGTCCATGCGCCGCAAACTCCGGGCGTATGAAGCCTTCCTTGCCCTGAAGCAAGGTGACCTGCCCGATACCCAGCAGCTTACGGAATGGGGCCGCCATACGCTTCGCTCTCCCGTTCTGGACAGCCGCAATAGACGCCTCAGCAGTAGGGGGAGGGAGTTTGTGAGAGATCTGAGGGCCTGGATTGAGGCGGTTATAGACCTGGGACTCAGTAAGAATTATGATGATAAGATCCAGGAGTTTATCTACCATACATCGCATGCGAATATGTTTGTGAACGTTCCCGATGTTAGTGGTGCGGCGAAGGCGGGCACCACCGGGTCGGGACAGGATGCGACGAGGTTTATGGAGAGGCTTAGGAAGACGGCGGGACTGCTGTGGAGTAGTGATGAGTTTAGGGACTTGATCAATGATTTCGCCAGTATGTGTGCTCCCTCCCGACTTGTGAAAGAGGCTGTGCTGATCGGTGAATAGGTGTTGGTCGCGACATGTTTGCGGATGCAGCTTCGCAGGTGGCTTCTGGTGCTTCCCACGCTGCCGACAATGCCAGATCCACCGACGTGAATATCGATCAGGAATCGACGTCCAGCAAGGCAATCAAGGAGAAGGGCAACGCAGCCTCGCAGCAGGTACGCCAGGCGAGTTACCAGTTCCGTGACGACCTCGAAGCGTACCTCCGTGAGAAGTTCCCCAAGCAGCGCAGGGACGCCGTCATCAACCGCATGAAAAAGGTGGTGCAGGATATCCAGGAGAATCCCGACTTCCAGGAGACGGTTGATTTCGTTGTCGATATGATGCACCGATATGCCACTCGCGTCAAAGACAGCGTTGCCGCTGAGGGAAAGCAAGCCGACGTCAAGTCGGATGAGAACTTCGACATTGCCATGAAGGATGCCCAGGTATGACATCATAATCACATGTAATGTCGCACGAAATCGAGTGATGAATGCTGACTCGCATAGGCCCTTCTCATGGCTTTTGCCAATGGCAAGTCGTTGGATCCCATCTACGACGCTCTCAACAAGGTCATCGATGACATCCAGTCGGATAATGAGCTTAAAGAGTTCTACAATCACGTCTCACAGGAGTTCAACCGGCTCATCACTGAAAAGGGCTACGTGACTAGCGACGCTGCCGACGCAGAAGCGCACAGGCTCTACGAACGCTCTCAGGAATTACTGAATGAGAAATCGGACCGCTATCGCCCCGACGTCGAGAATCTGTTCTCCGAGGCGCGTTCATTCATCGATGCCATTCGCAACGATAAGGAGAGTGTCAGGGTTGCCGAGGCGAGCAAGAAAGTGTACAAAGACTTGGTCGTCACGGATAAGAATGGAAACTTCAGGGGGTTCAGGAAGAGGGTTCTCTGGGATCTACTGGAGGTTGTGTTCCCTCGCTTCGTGGATGAGGTCAAGTATATTCCCATCCCGAGAATTGAGTATCAAGATCCGGATTTCGATCTGATCCTGGAGAATGTTGTGCTCGAATCTGGTATGTCCTAATCTTCCCATGATGGGTAGGTATGCGATAGCTAACATCGATCTTTCAGAGCACTTTCTCCCAACCCGCACCGTCCTCGAAGCCTTCACCCGTTTCGAAGTTACAAACTCTTATACGGTCTCCAGCACCCACACGACGACCACGCACCTGCACGTCTCCAACATCAATCTCTTCTGCAAGGACGCCTCCTTCATCGTGCGCAAGAAGACGGGCCTTTCATTCTCCGACCGTGGGTTCATCGACGTCTTCATGACCGGCCGCGGGGCGTCTGCCGACATACTCCTCGAGTCATCTTCGCACGACGAAGATGAAGACGAAGACCCCACGGCCGAGTCCTACTTCCGCGTCAAGTCCGTTACCGTCAAGATCCACAACTTCTCGTACAACTACCATGCATACCACACCTGGGCCGCTGCCTTGCTAGCCCCGATCATCAAGCCCGCGGTCCGGAAGCTCCTCGCAAACGTCCTGGAGCAACGCATCCGCGGCGCCATAGAACAGCTCGATAGGGAGATCTATGCCGCCGCCGAGCGCATGCGTGTAGCAAGCATTGCCAACCGCGGCGGCGGAAGTATGGAGGCGTGGATCCGTGCTGTTCTGTCACGGCCCGAGCATGCGAGGAGACGGAGGAGGCAGCGCGGCGAGTTCAGAGTTTCGGTCGAGGACGACGGCGCACTCATATTCCCAGGCGAACATGCGCCCGGAGGGATACTCGCGAAGGTTAAGAAGGCGGAGGACAACGTTGAGGTCGGCCATGAGGGACAGGGCAGGTGGAGGAATTCGGTGTTTGATGTGCGTCGTTGATTTATCTTTGTGGGATTTTGTGGGTCTTTTTATTTGGGATCAAATTGCAATGGGCTGCTGGATTGGGATGGTTGTTTTTGTACGTACCTGTATTGCGAATTTGTTGTTTGTCTGGCATGACTTGCTGTTGAATGAAGAGCTCCCATAATATTCATCCTGCACGTGAAATCTAAAGCTACACCTTGAGCCCATCAAGGCTATAGAATGTCTAGTTGTGGGGCGTAATCGGGCGTGAAGACGGAGAAAATCACGATATCACTCGATCCACCAGGCTTTTCAATAGCTCGCATTTAGCCCAAAAGGGCGCTTACAGTTTCCGGCACTGTTCGAGCGCCCGGCTGGCTAGATAACGGGCGCTCAATAGTCTAGCGCCGACGCCGCCCTGACGATCACTTCATTGCTCCCTTCTATGTATCAAACCCAGTATGTAGGCTTTTTTTGACCGATTACCATGGTCTCTGGTCGATTACCATGGTCCATGGGCCCGCCGCCGCCCGCCGCCATTTGATGGGATTAATCCCTACGGACCGGCCGCCCTTCTGTGTTTGCTTCACAGCCTGCAGGAATTTTCGTTAATGTGTTTGTGAAAGTTGGGATGCGTGGCGTTTCTGGATAGCAGTCAGTGGTACCATACGATACCAACTTACATAGAAAGATAGAAAGATGGGAATCAAATTTGTATAGCATCACTGTTTCTACACGACGTTGGACCGCACCAGTGATTCGGAAGTAAGAAAGCCACTTCTCACAGTCTACAGAGCATACCTACAAGATGTGTGTACCCAAATTACGAGTGCGGCGATACGGCCGGCGTGAGCACTAGGCAATCACACCCCTGAAGTTCCCGGTGATTGTTGGTGGTCGCCCTGCTTCCACTCCAGCGTGTACTGGTGCCTAGTGCCTAGTGCCTTGGCGTGTGCGGGGATGTGGGGGTGCGGGGATGCGGTCTCAATCCTGGCGGCGGTCTCAGTCCTGCCCGCACCACGCCGCACTAGGCCGCCACCGTTTCTTATAAATAGCTCCTCTCTCTCCCGTCTCCTCTCCCTTCCTCTCTATCCTCTCCTCATCACATACATTTACTTTTCTTCCACACCCATCAAGCCCCCCGGGGCAATCCATTCAATCAACCCAGCGGCCACCGGTACCACATCCAACCAGCTCAACCAGCTACCGACACTTCTCACGGCCATCGGGTTTGACCTGCGGGACATGCGGGCGTACGCCGCGGCCGCCACTACCTACGAAGACCAATGAAGACAATAATCACGATGTCGACTGGCCTCTGGTACGTGGCCCCCGATCCGATGCTGTGTTTCACACACATCGGCGGGGGGTGGGGGGGAAAGGGGGTGGGAGGGGAATCATTTCCCTTCCCTGCGAGCGGCCGCTCGCCGTCGAGTGATGGCTATAAAGCAATTAACCAACCGTTCCTGCGCCCTTTGCTGGAGGTGACGGAAGTTATCAGGTATGTAGCACCGATTAGTTACCGCCGAACACGACGAGGGATATGTAACTAATACATTGGGCTCTGTACAGACAGCAGAGCGAGGAAGCTTCGGGGCGGCAAGGTGGCACGGGTAAATCAACCCGGATGTGAGAGGGGGAGAGAGGACCAAAGGAGTTGGTGTTCGGTGGAAAGAATTCCTTCAGTTCTGCATTTAGTCTTTTAGATCAGCCTCCAAATTGGCGGGTATATATCTCCCATGATCTACTACTGAGGTCGAATGCAATGATGATTAAACAAAAAAAAACAATGGTACCGTCTTTCTTTGGTCGGGTATATTCTGCATGTATATACCATGAATTATCTACCTCTGTGATCAGCTACCTACTCTACCGTATCTACGTACTCGTTCATGATTTTTGTCCATTTGTAGATGGTGACCCTGTTGAGAGAGTGTGCAGTCTGTTTCGTCCCCTTACGTTGGCCGAGTGCTGTTCGATTCTCGATAAGAAGCTTGAATATGTGAATATTAATGACAGAGTTGTCCTGCCTTCCACCGCGTGTACTAACTGTGTAGTGAGGGGTGGAGACCGCACGGCTTGCATCATCACTCGGGATGAAGCAAGAATGCTACATACCGTACTCCCTACAGATGCCAGAAGGCATACCAAATTTGTACCAAAATCACGGGTGCGGCGAAAGTTACAGGCAGCGTGGGCTCAGATATGTGAATGCTAACGACAGAGCCGCCCTGCCTTCCACCCTAGCGTGTACTGGTACCTAATGCCTAGGCGTGTGCGGGGATGTGAGGTGCGGGGATGCGGTCTCGATACTGGCCGCGGTCTCAATACTGACCGCACACGCCGCACCACGCCGCACTAGGCCGCCCACACTTTCTGATAAATAGCTCCTCTTACTTCCCTCTCCTTCCCCTTCCTCTCTATCCTCTCCTCATCACATACATCTACTTCACTTTCACACTCAACAAACCCCTCGGGGCAATCCGTTCAATCAACCCAACAACCAGTCCCATGCGGACATAAGCTGCCGCCACCGTCGCCCAGGCCGCCGCGAACCGATGATGTGTTTCATGCACATTGGCGGAATCATTTCGACTACGACACTATAAACCAACCGTTCCTGCGCCCTTTGCTGGCGGTAACTGTGAAGTTACCAGGTATGTAGCACCGATTAGTTACCAACAAACACGACGAAGGATATGCATCTAATACATTGGGCTCTATACAGACAGCAGAACGAGGAAGCGTGGGGGAGGAAAGGGCTAGGGCCCTGCCAACGGATCGGAAATCTTCTTGCATCTTTACCAAAATAACATCGACCAGAAGGAGCAACAACGACGGCGAACTGTGGACATGACCCTTGGGGGGCTCGGGGAATAATCCCTTGGAGCGGGGTTCGGAGTGGGCATCTCTTGATGCCCCTTCCGTCCCATCTCCCCGCCAGATGTCGGCTCTTCTCGCGAATAGTAGCGCTGCTCGCGGTCGAGCCACGATTACGACCCTTTCGGTCAACCGCTCGTCCGCCCTTTGCTGGCGCTTCCTAGGTATGTAGCACCGCACCGACTACCACCGAACGCGATGAGGGACATGCATCTAATACAATGGGTTTCATACAGAGAGCGGAGCATCAGGAGAAAAAAAAATTCCGTTGAGTGCGTGTAGGCGGTGCTGACTTTGGTAACGCTGGGAACGCCCTCGAGCCATTGCATAGAGTGAATGCCTAGTCATTTCCAGATATGAACGACCAATGGCCAGTCTATTTCGTGTGTGTGTGTGTTGGGGGGGGGGGGGGTGGTGGAGGACCAAGAGAGTTGGTGTTCGGTGGAAAAAATTTCTTCGGTTCTGCATTTTGTCTTTTAGATCAGCCTCCAAATTGGCGGGTATATACCTGCCATGATCTACTAAGGTCGAATGCAATGATGATTAAACAAAACAACAATCCCTTAGATCGTCAAAAATATTTCACCGTGACGGGGGGCGAGTGGGGGACACAGGGGGTAGTCCAAACTTGGTTACTAGCAAGGGACCGCCCACCAGCCGGCTGAAGGAGGCTGGCCTGTGGTGCGGGCATAGGTGGTGCGGCGGCGGAGGCGGCGAGGGATCTCTTAGTCGGCCGCACAGTCACCTCACGATACCACTTGACATCGGCCCGACATCATAACCTACACACTAGTTGCCTCCACCCGCCTGTCTCTCCACCCCCCCGTGCCGTAGCTCAACGCGGTGGAAACAATCAAATGGATAGGGCTCTAGCCGCCTCTTGCAGTAATATGCTCTGACCAGCCCGATCAGCCCCGAAAGGTCACTACCGACTATTCGGTTGCCGATCGCGCTGTCAGACTGTCAGCCTGCAGTAGCTCTCTGACTGGGTTCATTTCGGTTTTGAGAGGCTGAGGAGTTTGAACTTTGAAGGCAAAGCGTCTGTTGTGCTGGCTAGTGGTCCGCTTTACTTGTCTATAGAAGTCCTAATGAGATATTCGTGGATATTATAGTTGTCCTGAAGGCTGAAGTTGCCAGTTGCCGGTGGTCGCCATGCCTTTCACTCTGACGTGTACTAGTGTTTAGTTCCTCGGCGTGTGCGGGATGCGGAGATGCCGGGATGCCGGGATGCGGTCTCAGTACTGGCTGCGGTCTCAATACTGACCGCACCACGCCGCACTAGGCCGCCCCCGCTTTCTTATAAATATCTCCTCTTCTCCCGTCTCCTCTCCATTCCTCTCTCTCCTTCCCTCATCACATACATCAAGCTCAACAACAACTATCGATAAATGCCTCCGGGCAATCTGTTAAATCAACCCAACCGCCAGCCCCATGCGGGCATAAGCCGCCGCCGCCGTCGCCCCGGCCGCGAACCGATGATGTGTTTCACGCACATCGGCGGAATCATTTCGACTACGATACTATCAACCAATCGCTCCTGCGCCCTTTGCTGGCGGTAACTGTGAAGTTACCAGGTATGTAGCACCGACTATGTAACTACCACCGAGCGAGACGAGGGACATGCATCTAATTTAATCGGCTCCGTATAGACAGCGGAATGAGGAAGTGTCGGCGAGGCAAGGGCTAGGGCCCTGCCAACGGATCGGAGATCTTTCTCCATCTGTACCAAAATAACATTGACCAGAAAGAGCAATAAGTGGGGTGACTTGGGGGTGTTTGACCCTGGGGGGCGAGGGGTGGGGGCGGGGGAATAATCCCTTGAGCGGGGTTCGGAGTGAGCATCTTTTGTTGCCCCCCGTGGCCAGCAATCAACCGCTCGTCCGGCCTTTGCGGGCGGTAACCAGGTATGTAGCACCGGCTACCACCGAACGCGATGAGAGACATGAATCTAATACATTGGGTCCCATACAGATAGCGGAAGGAGGAAACGTCGGAGAGGCAAGGGAAAGGCGAAGGTGATGACCTTGTGTGGAGTCTGGAGACGGCGCAGGCATGAGAAAATGATTCCTTGAGTTCTGCGTTTGGTCTTTTAGATCAGCCTCCAAATTGGCGGGTATATATCTGCCATGATCTACTAGGTCGAATGCAATGATGAT